AGATAGGGCCTCTGATAATTGGCTTATCTCCTATTCTTCGTTCGAGAAGCTCGTCCTCTCCGATCTAGGCTCGGACTACGACCAGTCCTCTTTTAAAGATTCCCACGATATAGATTCTTGCACAGAAGACTCGCTTGATTTCTTCTTCTAGGAAATAACTAATAGGTGCTGCGGAAAAACTAGTCTAAAATAATATAAACTACCAAAAAAAATTGAAAAACAAGGGGCCACTAGCTCGAATATAACTATTTCCCTTTAATTGTAGAAGGCACCTTATATTCTGATCTAAGTCTAAAAATCAAAATATGTACCTTGCTATTTGTAGCCTCTATTTCTGAGGTAAGTCAGAAAGTGAGGAAGTTAGAAGGGTAGTGTAATATATATAGTAGTCTTACCACCATGATATATATATATCTAAGGTGGGATTTTGACTTTCTTCAGAATCTAAGGCCTTTTTTATTCTGCCTAATAGAGTAATAGAGATATCTATATCCGACTATTCTACAACTTACTACTAGCTTTTATATATAGCCCTAGATAGCGGCTTACGGTTGGTTATAAGATCTAGTACTTGAAACATTGATTTTAAACTCTGTAGTGTTATAGTTAGCGGATAATTAGACTATAAAAATTTCCTATAGGACTAATAGGAGTTCTATAGGAATTCCCACGGGACTAATAGGAATTCCCACGGGACTAATAGGAATTCCTATAGGACTAATAGGAAATCCTATCCAATCTACTAATTAGACTATCGTCTACTATAGGGTAGTTACTTATTATATAATAGATCTAAACACTTCTCTTAGTCCGAGACTATACCCCTATCGCATCTTCTACGGTCGTATACTACGATTTCTACTTAGTAAGATAATCCTTTACGTTCTTATATTCACGCCAATATATCTAAATTGAGTCAGTCTTCTAATACTAGCCCTTTCTCGCAGCTCCTAAGCGATACGCCTAATCTTACCTTACTCTTTTTAGATAACCAATCCCTTATATACGAACCCTTTGATAGCTAGCGAACTTCTACCTCTTTACCTAGGTCTTAATTTATTACCCCTATTTCCGCTCCTCTCGCTCTCGAGCGTGATAGGCCTCCGAACAAGCAATTCTAGGTGATCCGAACCGAAATAAATAAAGACGAATTCGTTTAATAATAGGTACAAACATAAGCAAAGGAGACATAGAAACGGATTCGCTAGGATACGAAACGTACCTTAGATACTTAGGACGATTTTGACTAAGTCGCCTATTTTATTACCGGTGAGCCAAAGGTTTTATATCGGAAGTGTGGAAAGACATTTCCACATCCTTAGTCAACCTTAAATAGGACTAATTCTATAAAGCGTTATAGAGTAGTAGGCCTATGTCAGCGTACTTCCAAGAAGAACTTAAGGCAATAGAATATCCAAATATCGTTGGAATCAGCGGTATAAATAATCTACTACCTACTTATTCAGAACTACTACTAAATGATTATCTCTATCTATAGGCTCAATATACCCCGAATAAAAGCAAGGTCTTCGATATCGATCGGTAGGAATGTATACAAGTTATATTAATTGCAAAATCCTCGCTTCTATTCTAATTCCTCGCGTATCGTGATTTTGAAGATTTAATTGTAGAAGCCTAGCTTTGCCCTTTAAAGCCTAAACTACTTTCACCTAAAACTACACGACGTCGACTTCACACGATAGTAAAGGAGGACTAGGAAAAGGTTCTATCGGCACTACCGTAAGGCGCAAAACTCTTAATCGCGCTTAATTGCTAGATATCACTGTTCTAATAGACGTTTATAGCTATCACTAGGTACTTTCTTGATTATGACTAGAAGTTTCGTGAAGTCCTTCTCGGATTCGAGCTATTATATAGAATACACTCTAGTGCTAATCTTGGTGCTACGGTTTTTGCACTACTCCAAAAGTATAGTATTGTTGATCGGGTATTAGTAGTAACCACTAATAATACGTCGAATAACACTACTATAGTTAAGAGTATCTAATATTCGATTAACTCTCTTAAAATGCCTAATTAAACACCAATCGTCCGGATTCCTTGCCTCGCGTATATTATTTAACTTAGCCTACGTGATCTCCTTGGTTCAATAAAGGTTAACCCAAAAAATGACACGACCGACCGCTAATAGTTAGAAGATTAAGAGTAGTCACTCCGCGCTATCTAATAATAGCAAGGGATTTCGTATATACTTTCAAAGGTAAATCTTAATAAACCTATTCGTGGTATTATTCTCTAATATATTATATATAGATTCGTGGCCTTACTATCTTTATTAATACTAGTCCCTAACGCCGTGATACTTTTCTTAACCTTTAAGTATAAGAGCCGAAGCTAATTCTAATACAAGATATTCGAACTCGCTAGAACTTAATATTTCTTATATTAAGACGAGCAAAACGTCTTACATCGATCTTCGATAAATACTATATCGAGTATAACTAGCCTCGGTTCAAACTAGATTTAGAAGAATAGCGATAGATCGATTACCTTCTCTAAATCATATAGCCATTCTACAAATAGATAACCAATCTATCAAAAATCAAAGATATTATAATCTACAATATCTTTAAGGTATACAATATACTCTTTGAGTATTTTAAGAAGTCAATTCGTTAGCTTCAACGGAAAAGGGTGGCTTAGAAAAAAGCAATGCTCTACGCCTTTTATATAGGAAAGGAGAAGTTATCTATCTACTATAATAAGACAGAGCAAGTTTATAGCTATCTTTTCGCGATTAGGACAATTCTTGCCCTAGAACATAAGCTCGAATTCTTCTTAGAGAAAGACTAGGCTAACAATAACTATAAATAGCGTCGGAGGTATAAAGAATCTCTACGGCGGTATCTAATTAAATATTAGCAAGAGTCTCCTCTACTACCCTCGCTACCCTCGCCACTAGATACTTTAAGTCAACTAGCAAGTTATTTTGATGCTTTATTTAACAAGGATCGATCTCTACAAAATCAGCCCTAGAGATCCGGCTTTAAAAGTAAGCTTAGTGATTATCTAAATATTGGTATAAATACCCGCTTCGGTGCTTCAAAGCTTATAGTCTAACCTTCTATATAGGACAATAGAAAGATCTTAACCCCTATAACTATTGGCGCTCTTACTAACACCAATATCCTACACTTACTAGTCTAGTATAGGATATTTTCTCAATTCCTACTATAGGGGCTAGCGTTAAGCGCCTTTTTAACTCCGCCCGTGATATATACCATTATCGGCGTGGCTCCCTTTAAGCTTCTACTATCTAGGATCTAATAATGTTTCGCTATATCTCGAACTTCTAGATAAAATAAGACGAAATTGGATTAGGTGATAGAGGCTATACTCGTGAAGAGAAGTAGGCTAATAAGGAGAATAGGGAGGAAGAGCTTCTATAGGAAATCCTGACTACGATTAGTGACGATAAGGAAGAGCTAAGTAGCGAGATATAAGCCTAACTAGTTATTCAAATACTAAGTGAATGCGTCCTTAGAAAGAGACGAAAGAGCACTACGTCTATATCAGATACTAAGGAGAATAAGGAGAATAAGGAGAACCAACCCGCGGTAGGAAATGATATATAGACAAGGATGGCAACAAGAAATCGAGGTCAGAAGCGGCCAAGGCGAGAAGATGAAGATTTTGTATATATATAAGAATCCAAATTTTACTTGGTCCAAAATCATCTATCGTTTAGAAAAAGCTATTGTAAATGAAATACCGTTCAGAACCGCCAAGAAATGCATAATTCATATAAGTCACGAGATAGCTTATGTTTGCATTGTTTACAGTCCCATAGGAATTCCCATAACTCCCATGGGAGTTCCCACGGGAATCTAGTCCCGCCATAGGAATTTCCCATAGATGTTTAGTCCCATGGACCCACTCCCATGGGAAATGTCAAGGTCTACCTATTATATATCAAATCTTTGTTTTTGCTAACTTTATATCTCTCTAGGTACTATCCAATTAACACCCCTAGTCTTCTAGAAGGCTTATAAGGCAGAGTATCCTATCTTAGTAAGCCTTACCCGAGATATCCTTACAACTCTAGCTAGCGGCTCTAGGGTAGAGAGACTTTTTAACTCTGCTCGGGATATATACCACTATCGCCGGGGCTTATTAAGACTATAGACTATTTAGGACCTAATAATATTCATATATATAACTAGATTTGATATATAGTCTAAGCAGCTTGCGCTAGTGGATAAGTTCCTCTCTACCTAAGAGAAGTATTCGAAGAAGGAGCAGGATAATACTAAGTAAGAGGATAAAGAGTTTGATCCTATTAGCGATAACGAGGAAGATCTTACAATAGAAACTTCTATAGAAGTATCTATTAAGTAGCCTAGCCTACGAGCGCTAGGGAAGAGAAGGGCTATTGATAATGATAAGATCCCTCTACCTGATTTTGACATTTAGAGGCGTTCGTTAGGGCGTATTCCAAAGAGACTGAGATATAATACGGATTTTGTATATAATTAATAGATATAAAGGACAATTGATCCTTTCAACATGAATCATGTATATAAGTAATTTCTAGAAAAGTACTCAAAATTTCTGGAAAGAATACGTTTAGGCTACATATAACAAAGTATGACAGTAAAATACTAAAAAATACCAATAGATTCTTCATAAATTATGTAAATCACGGGGTTCTACATGTTTGTCCCGTTTGTAGGACCGCAAGACCGGACCGGACCGCAGTGGTGCGGTCCTATAAAAGTTGGGACCGCCCAGCGGTCCTGATAGTAAGGACCAAGCCCTGCATGGTCCGGTCCGGTCCGCGGTCTGGTCCGGTCCCTTGCGGTCCTTGCCGAGGTCTACATGTGAATTACGTTATTTTCTGATAGCTTATGTAATACTCAGGGGCGTGCTCAGTTTTACTCAGTGAGCAAAAAGCGGCAAGGCGTGAGCACTAAAGCGGAAAGGGAAAGCCATGTCGCGCGGCCTAAAATCCGATGTATATGTATCCCATCCCATCTCACTCATCCAACAATAGAAGTCCAACCATTATCAATAGCAATAGTAGCCCCATTAATCTGCCCAGCACCCTTGCCATAGGTCATATTAACACAGAACCCAGCAACCTCATCAACATCTACATGGGGCGTCTGGATGGACTCCAGAATCGACGCCATCTTCTGATACCCCTCCATATGCATTCCAGTCTTGAACGCATCAACAATGTTGGTATTCATACCACCCATCATCAACGCATTACACTTGATACCCTTGGTACCGTAGAAAGCAGCCGTGTTTTTAGTCAAGCCAACAAGACCGTGCTTGCTGGCTGTATAAGCAGCTCCTGGACAATTACCGATATTAGCAGCTGGTCCTATGGATCCGAATACTCTCAATTGGAGTTCAGAAACGGAAGGATACATACCACTAGCCCATCCAGCCTTTCCAGCAACAGAAACAATATTTATAATCCTTCCATCAACAACCTCCTGTTCAAGCATATTGCGAATAGCAAATTTGCTCAGTAGAGCCGGTGCAGTCAAATTAAGCGCAATGACACGATCCCATAGCTCCATGTCCAAATCACCGATAGGATCAAAGTGATCCATGATGCCGGCGTTGTTGACCAGGACATCGATCTTGCCGAATGCTCCAATGAGAGTCTCGAATAGACCTTCTACTTCGGCGGTGTTGGTGATATCCGTCTTGATAGCCTTGAGCGGACCCTTGGATGATAATTCTGCGGAAGTCTGCTGCAGACGCTCGTCGTTGATATCACAGACTACGACGTTGGCGCCTGCTTCTAAAAATTGGCTTGCGATTGCTTTTCCTAGGCCACCAGCGCCACCGGTGATTAGGCAGGTTTTGCCGGCGAGGATTTGGGTCGTCATTTTGGGTTGGGTTGGGTTTGGGGTTTGTAGGGAATGAAGTCAGAAAGAGAGAAAAAGGGTATGGTCGGAAGGTCTACGGTAGAGTCTGGGCTTCGATTTAAATATCCATCCCTGAGAAATAATTTAGGCGACGGGAGGCATCTTACCCGCCTTCCGTCTGTGTTGGACACGTTGTTATTCATAGAGGTCAACTCGGTCGGTTGGGGCGCCACATTGGCCTGGGGAGCGAGCGGGACAGAGGACATCGGACCACTCAAGGAAGTTGGCGTTGCCGAGTGGTATTGCCATTACGCAGGTATGGATTGCTTTAGGGGGGACTCGAATTGCCTGGTTTGGAGCTGTGAGAGTAGGTTGTATATCTAGATCATCGTATAGTCGTATAGCCGGGTATACAACTTGATATAGTTAGCTTGGATGTGGACTAAGTTTTGGCTTGTCTCTGCATGTCTGTGGCCTATCGAGTGAGCTGCAATACGCATCAGTGTATGGCTGCTCACGTGGTATCCCGGAAGACGGGCTATCCGGGGCCCTAAGCCCTATTTGCCTGTTTGGTATGTTCTGTCTAGTATAGGCGGAGTGTTCGATGAAGGATAAGGAATCTATTTATCTACCATGGTCTGACTTGGACAGATAAAGTGATGTATTTGAAATGGCAATACGGTAGGCCACATTAGAACCCAAAAAATACAAAAGAATCAACAAGCCTGCAACGCCCCATAGAACTCGACTGTAACTCCCCTCGCCAGACAATACCCAATCATGTCCTTTGGTAATACGCAGAAGAATGCAATGGCAGTCTGAATACTTTGGAGAAACCAAAGTAGCATGTATGGAATAAGATAGATAACCAACCCCCATGGAGCCCAAACGCCAAGATATTGCTAATGAGTTCTCGTCTCAGATAGAGGAAAAGAAAGCTGAGACGAAATGAGAGACGGCGAAGCGCACAGCGCGAAATAAATGCAGAAGAGTAAAGCAAACTTTTCACGAAAACCGGACGGGGGAGTACCCCATCAGTTTACTCGTTATAATGATAAACCTAGCAGAATGTTAGCATCAGAAGAAAAGAACAAGTAAAGGAAGAACATACGAAATAATCCGGCAACCCAATAACGTCGTACCCCAACCTCTTTACCATCTTCGCAAAGCCCTCGGTCTCGACAAGATGGAAGAAAGGAAAAGCAGGGAACATAGCCCCATCACGATGAACATCGGCCTTCACAAGCAGCGCCGTCCCACCAACCCCATCAAGCGCAAGCATCTTTTTAGGATTGAGCTTCTTGAAATCAGGCAAGTAAGCCATCAACGTGCGATAAGTCGGAATCTCAGCGTAACCCTCCAAAAGAATCTCATCAGGACCCATCTGTGCAGCGAGATTCTGCGCCTGTTCACTATCCACCCATGAATTAAAGTCGTACGGCCGAATATCCCACTTCCGCTTCGAGGAATCATAATACCGCTGGAAACAATTCGGCACGATGACAGGTTGATCGAAGCTTGTCAGATCCTGGATCAGAGACGCAGGCGTTTCAACAATATCCGCGTCTAGCCAGAGAACCCAAGAAGTAGCCGGACCAAGCGTCGTAAAGACAAGACTATTCCGTGCGCGACTCATCGACTCCCGGCGCTCTTTCTGCGCGCCGAGTTTATGCCGCTCTTTTTCGTTTTGGGATTTCAGTGGCGGTTCAAAATCCTGGCGCAGAATACTGATACTCGCGAAGCGGGAATCAATGGGACCGGACTGTGTCTTCGCGATGGCCTTCTCCAATGCCGCGACGGCAGCATTGCCATCGCTCGTTTTCGGCGCAATGAAACCCAATGAGATGAGTTCGTGTGGATAGCTCAATTTCTCCAGGTTGTCCCAGTATCCTTGGTAAAAGCGGGCTAGCGGGGTGAGGATTAGGACCCGCTCGCCGTTGGCGACGGAATCCGCCGTGCTTGTCAAGCTGTTGAGGTTGTAGTGCACGACTGGAGGCGCGGCTTTGTGGCCATCGCTGCGGACGGCTTGGGATTTGAAAAATGGTTTTGTGGGTGGGGAGAGGGGGTGCTCGGCGGCGTTTTCTTGTCGTTCTTGTGAGGATGCGGCGGATGACGATGTTGATGCGGAGGGTGTCGAGGGATTCAGCATGAAGCAGATGAAGCCGAATGCTAGGAGGGCGGCTATCAGGAGGCTGATTGGGCTCGTGCGGCGCATCGAGCGTGCGACGGCCATGGCCGTTTTGCGTGGTTTGCGGTTTTGGCGAGTGTCTTCGAGGTGTTGTTTGGTGAGTTCGTGAAACCGTTGGAGATCACCCCGGTTGCCTCAGGCATACAGGTACCAATCTATCCTCCGAGATGAGAGACTACTGAGGACAGTAGGTCTGTTCTCTATTCCTTTAAGGGGGAGAGATTGAGAAAAGGTGTCAGCTTGGAGAGAAGTTTTATTCCATTGCTGTTCCGGAAAGAGACGTGGGATCTCACGTCACTCCACTATCTCATCTCAACGCATGGCCCAATCGCGAATCTGGATTCGATCGGACTTTCTATTCTTTACGTGTTATCGCGGGATGCCTCAATGAGGGCCCCGGCCTGCATCGCCGAATGCGGCCTGTCAAGGAGGCATTCCTGAGAATCGAGACCCACCTATCGCAACTCCTGTATGGAAAAGTAACTTTTCCACGCCAACAACCTATGAGAAAAATACCTGGTATCTATATAAATCTATCAGACAGAGAGTCTGAATGTATGTACAATATCGTAGTCACGCCCAATGGCGCGTCATGGTAAAATTAGGGCAAGGTACGCATTACACCCTCGAATGCAACCAAAGCCATCGCATTCGCCGGGAACGCCCTGAGGAAGCACGGCACAAAGCCCCGCCAGTACCCCTTCAACCCACGTTCTCGCCACACTGCCCTGGCAGCGTCCTTCCATCCGCGGAAGCGGCGCTCGCCGTCGTTCAATGCCCCACCCATCGGGTCGACCATGAGACGCTGCTTGACGACGTCTGACGGGTAAGAAAAGAGCCAGAAGATCTGGGCGGAGATACCACCAGCCCAGAAATTGATTGCCGGTGCGGACATGGAGGTGTTCTGTTTGAAGTGGCGGGTGAGGACGTCGTAGGATCCCCACCAGAAGAAGAAGAAACTGCGGAAGAAGACTGTTGCCCAGAGACCACGGTATACACCGCTAATGCCATGTGTGCGAAGCTATCCTAGTTGTTAACAGATTTGTCGATAAGGTGATTTCTCGGTCGACGTACCATCTTGCGAAGACAGTCAATCGGCCCACTATACATGCGCTTCGACTTATCGGCCGCATACTGAACTTGTAATCTAGCCTTAATATGTTCGACAGGAGCAGCAATGAAGCTGACCGTCGTACCGGCCATAATACCAGCAATACCATGACCTAAACTCGGCAGCGTAGCAAGATCAGGCTGGAAGCCGCAGAAGGGAAGGTAAGGGCGAATATGAGGCTTAGAGAAGACGTTTTCAAGAAGTAGTCGGCGGTACAGGGTCAAAGAGCCGAGCATGCTGTATTTGCATAGCGTTAGTTGCCATCCATGCAGGTCATAGTCATAGTCGCAGTCATAGCGCTGCACGTTGCTCGCCAGGGCAATATGCAATATGCAAATATGCAACTATGCGAATGCGACGCCACCAGGGGAGCTGGGACCACTCACACAGAGTCCATGACCATCCATCCGACCAGCGGCGGCGTAGCACCCTTATATAGTCCCTTCACGCCCTCCTTCCGTACCGTCTGCAGTGTACAATCCAGCGGACCCCGGAACTGGACATCTTTACTCGTTTGTAGTCGGACCTTGACGGTGTCGAATCTGCGCGCGTAGAAGTAAACGTTAATCAACTATCCAAATCACAGTCATATCCTCGCCAGGACAAGGAAAGAAATCCGGGGGAAATGACGCGCGAAGTAGAAGTACGTACGGATGACCAACTAAAAAGCAAACAAGCACACCGATCAGCCCAAGTCCAAAGCGCAATCAAAATGGAGAGGCAAGAAGAAGGGAAACTCACCACTCAGCTTTGCAATACCGGAAAATATGCCCGCAACAAACCCCTTGTAATTCGACTTTGGAGTCTGTGCATTAACAGGCGCGGTATCCGCCATATTAGACGGCGCTGAAACGGGCAAAGGCGCCGGCGCCGATGTCATGTTGAAAGCGCTAGCTCCACGATCTCGAGTCTCAGATGCGCCAATGCGTCCGGGTGGTAGGCCTTGGAATGGTGCTCGTGCGCACGGCGATTCAAGGTGGCGACGGATGCCGATAAGGATAGTGAGTCCGGGGGTTGGTGACGGGGGTGGCTGTCTTTGGGGTTGATGGGTGTTTTTCTGGGGTGTGGAGGATGGATATAAGGTTGGTATGGAGTAATTGAGGGGGATTTGAGAGTGAAAGGGGAGGAGGTCCGTTGTTTTATGATTCTTTTGGGCCCCGCAGATTCCTCTCGCTCGGGGAGGGTTGGTGCAGCTCCGGGTTGGTGCCTCAGGCTCTAACGTGATGCTTTGACGACGTCTTAGCCCTATTTTGGTAGAATTTTATCAGTATATCCGGGGCTAGCTGGTTGATCTTGGTGTTTGGCTCTCCAAATATCATTTGGTGACCTCAGAAATGCATTACGGGGTATGTGTTAGGCGCAGATTACCTGTACTAGTGAGGTCAGCCTCACCACTGGGTATAATGATGAATTAATCATTCAATCGAGAGAAGCTAGCCCAAAGCAGGACTGGAGCGGGGTATAAAATTTGTAGATACATGATATCGTGATGCAAGATCAACAGCTAACGCAGACGTTGACCGTTTAAACAATGATCGCGCATAAATCAATAAGAAAATCAATCCCACGTATACTGGATCGGCAGTCTTGTATGAGTTTCGAAGCTCATTTTGATGCCCAAACACCGAAAAGCAGAAACAGGAAATATGGGTCTTATGCATGAATCCCATTGAAACGAAACAAAAATAGAAAATAGAAAACATAACACCATTTTGATGCAGGAGCGGTGAGAGATGAGTCCACCGACTCAACGGCCCTTGGCAGCCTTGCGAGCCTTACGAGCCTTCTCTTCGTATGCAATCAATTTCTCCACAAGCTCAGCTGGAGGTCCAGAGTTCTTCGAGACATCTCGCGGGGTTCGCTCGGATGTGTTGTTCACCGAGCCACTGGTGAGGTAGTCACCGGCCTCCAATGCCAGTGGAGTGACGGGGCCAGGACTGACCAGCGGATCCAGGCGGGGCGCGGAGGGACCTTGAAGGGTATTCTCCATAAAATCGCGGTACTGCCACATCATATCACCTCGTGAGCTGGCGGAAGTACGGTAAGTGGGCTGCCGGGATTGCCGCGGAGAGGGAGGGCCCACGGCAGAAGAAGTGGCATTGGGCTGGTAAACAGCAGGATGGAATCGCGGCAAGTTGCCGAGATGGAAGCCTTGCATGGGCTTTGGCTTGGCTGTGTTCTGAGTTCGAGAAAGAGGGGGTTGAGGCGACGTTGAGCGTCGCGGCGACATGACTGGGGAAGCAACCGGGGAATAGAAGGGTGAATTATCAGACCGCATCCTTGTCCTTGGTGGTTGCTGTCTGGATGAATAACGGCCGGTACGGTTGGACCGGATCGGCGAAGGGATATGCCGGGTTCTTGCGGATTGAGACGCGCGTTCCCAATCGTCAAAGTAGTCGTCGTGATCAAAACGGCCAGTCAGCGGTGTGACAGGCAAGTCTTCTTCGTAAGTTGAACTGGGTCGTCTTGGAATGGGAATGGGTCTTGTGGCTGATGACAGCGAAAGTGACTCCAAGGCGTCGATCGGAATGGAGTTCGGGTGGTGTGGACGGCGGGGTGAAGGGGGAGTATAAGTAGATGAAGTAGCCGTCAAATCCCTTAGGGATGAGAGCGACACGGGTGTGGGGTAACCGTGCTTTACGATCAGACTCTCAAGATGCTCTCTTGGTCGGAATGTTGGGGGCCGGTCGGAGTCCGATGATTGGTCTGTAACCGGATCAGCATGGGAATAGGAATGCCACACGTGTCTCAGGTATGAGAGACTCGCGATAGCCGACAAATTATGTCACGAAGGGGAATGTACACAGGGGTAGACCAATAGTGTGTGAGAGGAAAAGACACCCGTCTTGTAGATCACGAATGCGGGAAAGAATGGGATGTGACATGGATCATTGACTTACGGGATAGAGAACTGCGAGATGACGGATAGAGAGAGGAAGAAGAGTGAGACGAAGAAGAAAAGGAAAAGGAAAAAGGGGATTCAGAGTGTTTTCTCATCTGTGACCCGTTAGTGTGCATTAAGCACCCGCAGGACACTTGCGGGGAGTCCCACTATGGCACTGCCGCGTCTACAATATACTGTTAGATTCATAACATAGATAGAGAGATAGGACTGCAGAATCACAGATATACAGAGTATATCCCTCCAACTGCATTATATCTCAAAATCAACCCCCTCACATACCGTAAAAGGCCAAATGTTGTATACTTCAAATTCTCGCGCAATGACGAATGTGCCGTTGCAGTGGGGCATCAGAACTTGGACTGGGACAAAATGTGGAAATTTTTTTCGCTTTCCCGAGGACTTCCTCGCTCTTTAAAGAGTCTAGGCACCTGTGAAACCCTTCCCCACGCGCAATAACCCGGTGACCAGACTCTTCCAAGGCACAGTCTCAAGTTCTTCTGTGAACAAGATCATCTACGATCCGAGAGGGATAGACCCTCCGTCGCGGTTGATCGACCGGGGGTGTCATGCGAGGCACCTGGTCATTTCTAATTTGCACGCGTCTTTTGAGTCTCCGAGTAGGTCACCCAGGCTGCATCTTTGTAAAGCCAATCTGAAGGAGAAACCTCACCTATCTGTGCTGCAAGGGCCGTCGCGTCACCCGACACCTATCACCACGCGTGGAGGGAACCGTTGATGCTGACTGGCTATCGACAAGGGGTAAATCTCGCTTTTGGACGGGCTCTATACACCCTCATTCTGCTCCGGGGTGCGTACATGTCTTGGATTCACCGTCCAAGCTCCCATCCACCACTCACTACCCCCTGGACCGGTGCCACATCTGGTAGGCTGCAGAATATGATATCTTTAGATTTGGACATAGAACTGCCTAGAAAAACATAGTACAGTAAGGCAAGTGTGTGCATGTCGGATGAGCCGGAGAGTAACAGCTGAACGGCACGCTGACCCCGCTACAGTCACGGGCTGATTCCAGTAGCAAACAGCAAGAAAAATAACAAAAGCACATAGTAATCTATGTCGACTGAAACGGGTTAGCTGCAGAATGGGCTGGTGGTTTCATCATCGGAGACACAGCTGCATATCCCCCTATCACCCACTGAGAACACACCGTTAGGTCGGTTGGAAATTATCCCAAATCAGCCAAATCAGCCAAATCAGCCAAACCAGTCAAATCAGTCAGACTGTGTCTTGATCCACCGATTCTCCTATTATTGGAAGAATAGTCTCTCGACGTATATTGTAGGTTTCGGCTTTGCCCCTGCATACTGTCATCCGGTCTCTGCAGTCTCTCGGCCTTATTCCCTGTACTACATCGGAGACGGCAAATTCTACGAGCCATATACTCCGGAATTCTAATTCCAAGCAACATTTGACCCAGCTAAGACCGTGTTGGCTTTATTCAAGTTATTACCGATTAGAGTGAGGCCATGTCCCTATTTTGAGTGTGCATCTCGCCCAACTGCAACAGAGCAATACGTGCTAAGACAAACCCACAGCCAACAAATCATGCAGCTCCGACTAGTAGATATGATTTCAAATTCATTCAGCGCTACAGCACTGTCAACTATCAACCCACAAGACCCACAATCAAATCTCATTCCTAACCTCGTATCCAAATCCCACCTGCTGTATAGAGTAAGCAACGTGTTTGAACTTCACCCACCTCAACAGACCCATAATGCAAGCTGTACCGTTCACCCATCCGCTGTCCCAGCTGTACACTTGTCACCCTCAGCGCATTCCTCATGTCGCAACCAACATTCAAGAGCTGAACAAAGCGGGGTGCCTCGCTCCTCGCATGTGGCTCCATGCACTCGTCGAATAAGGCGTCTTTAGCGGCGGCTTGCTGCAGGGTGTTTCGGGCTGAGGGGATAGAAGATGAGATAAGGTGAGACTGATGCATCATGCAGGTGGGCGGGGTAGTGGTTGTGGTAAGGATGGTGGTGGAATGCCGTGGGTCGGCTACTACTGTACAGTATATGTACATGTACTGGATACGGAATGTAGGAGAGCTTGCGAGTATGATATGTCCAGACTGTCGGGTATATACTGTATGCTGGCAGGGCTGCTTATCTTGGTGTGCTGGACGTACATGTACATACCTACTGTACCTCGGGATTGGTGGCTGGTGGATTGGTGGATTGTGGCGACTTGGGAGGTATTTGTTTTCAACGTATCCGCTGTCACGGTAGAATGTATAGAAGCTCCTTTATCTTTGTTGCATTAGAGTTAGAAGTCAATTCCGAGATTGGCCAGCAGATGTTGCCTAGGATTGGTGGTCGTCAGAGCTTGAGTGGAGTATGCTGCCCATCCTGGCCGGTTCTGATGCCCAAAACACGCCACGGTTATGTTGACTCGTTCATTGGGTGCTTGGGCTGGAAAAGCTAGCCGTGGATTATTTGCCTCGGGTCTTTGACATGCTCGTCTCTCGGCTATTGTAGGTCTTGGGTCTAATGGAAAGGCTTTTTTGGCCATTGCTTTTGACACATGCTAACGTCAAATTGTTTACCGAATTGGGCAGCTAGCAGAGGAATATCTGTATGTTTCGACAACTGCAGTGTTGGAGTCTGTGATCTTCTCGGTCTGACATGTATTGCATCGTCCAATGAGACCGCCACTCATGGGCCTCGACACCGTGTCGAACTAATTGACTGACTATCTGATCACAAGCAATTCAGATACTGCTAGATATTGGGTACACTCGTCAGTCATATACCATCTACGCGGTATTCTGGGCGCCTTGCTCCAAGCCCTGGTTTCTGATTGCTGAAGTAGCCATGCTTTGTCAGGGTCTTGCTTGGGCTTTACTACATTGGTGCTTCTCGATTGAAATTAACTTCAGGCCCAAGAAATACTGGGTCAATCATCAGGGATGGGGAAATGAAGATATGGGGAAATGGGCAATCATAAAGCTATCAGATGGCAAACTATACTGGTTCTACGGCGATGGAGGCACCCGGTCAAATATGGCGACAGACATGGATTGTGGTTAGACCATGAGGACTACATCAAGACTTGGTCTCGCGATTATCAAGTTTACGCCCACGATAACACTTCCTTTGATGATGTATGTTGCGGTTCCTATCATTATTATATAAAATGAGCTCACGAAAAATCGAGTCGCAGGCAAGATACGCTCTGGTAACGGTTGGGGATTCCCCAGCAGTAAATTCAACGAATATGGGACTTTCTTCCAAACCGAGTCAAATTTTTCTTGCAGCTCTTGAAAGAGAGAGCTATGAAGGAAATCGCGCAGCAATGTGAGAAAGATAGTACGTAATGGAATGGCTAGAGGATCGGATGCTTTGAGAAAAAGAACTCGGATTGAAGTTGCTAAGCCATACTGACTATGCCATGGACTGTCTCTTTCATTGCCACTCTTCTTTTCTCTCGCTATGGTCTCTTTCACCAAAGTGCAACGCCAGACTCTGCAGGAGTTTAACAGTGATGGGCACCGATGGGTTACCACTTTAACCTGATATTATTTCTTTGCAATAACTTGTAGAGATCGACAATTGTAGAATCTTCTTTCAAATATAACATGAAGCTTACAGTCAGCTTTGTTCTTGGATCGAGTGTAGTGGGAAGACTTTGATGTAGTAGGGTTCTGCCTCAATGGAAACATTTACTAATGGAAAACGCTAAATTCTGATTCATTTTTCAATCCAACTTTGCCCGCTTATTGCTATTTCGAGGTGTCTATATAATCATTTGATCAATACGCAATATGCCGGGCTATACCAGCAGATCAATATCACTCATTTTAGTCAGGCGTTTAATCCCAAGAAATGCTAGAGAAATCGTTAGCAAGCATCCAATAGAGGAATTGCAGGACAAGAAACTTACGCAAGCATGATACCTGCACCCAGGGCAACAGCCAAAAACTGGGTAATAGTCTTCCGCACCTCAACACCCTTGTCCTTGCCGGTCTCTAGCAGCTCAGGAATGACAGCCACAGTGCCGACATACAGGAATGTACCAGCAGTGAATGGTAGAAGCATATCACCCCAGGTAAGGCTAGTTCCCATAAGACCAACAGCAGGGCCATCAGTTAAGATGGTTCCGTTACCACCGAACTCCTGCACAGCAATTCCAATAAGGGTACCCAAGAACGCACCAATAGCAGTAACAAATTGGGCGCCCATAGCCTTGCGCTTGGAGAAACCAGACTGGATAAGCAGAGCAAAGTCACCGACTTCGTGGGGGATTTCGTGGAAGAACACGGCAACGGTGGTGGTCGCACCAATAGTTGGTGAGGCATAGAAGGAAGAGGAGAGTGCAAGACCGTCAGTGATGTTGTGTGTGAAATCAGCAATGAGGTTCAAGTAGCCACCGAGCTTGACGCTAGGGTTTATCTCCTTCTCTGGGGTGGCATCAGACGAAGAAGACGATTCCTTGGCGACCGATTTGCGCTGCTTTAGCTCACCATTGGACTTGTTCTTGGAATCGGCACTGGTGGTAGTTGCGGTAGATTTCTCGGCGTGTGTATGGCCGTGAACATGGTCGTGACCCTCGCCACCTGTCGCGATGCGCAGAATCTTGTCCATTGCTACAAAGGTGAAGAAGCCGACCATAATGCCGAGGCCGAGCAGGAGGTTCTTGTTCGGCTCGACCATGACAAAGCTGACATGGTCGGGGGAGTCTTCACCGACGAAGATCTCTGGCAGGAGATGGAAAAGGGTGTCACCCAGCAGGCCGCCGACGGCGAAGGCTACCATGACGGACAAAGAGGAGGGGTCGATGTTTGGTGGACATAGTGCGAGGAGGAAGTCTATTGCAAAATCAGTTAACTTGTCGTATTATGAGCTTGACGCATCGCTTGGCCACTGAGAGACTTACTAGGAGGACCAGAAATATACAAGGTTGCCAGAAGCGCGTTGATAGCGGGACTGCTGGGGAAGAGAACAGCGAAGATCTTCGAAGTCAGGCTAGCAGTTTCCGGGCGGATGGCACGCTTATGCTCATTAAGAGATTCAACTAGCGGGCAGCTCTGTAGGAGGTCAATTTCTGTATCGGCTGCAAGCTGTTGCACAAAGAACAGTATCATACCTGCAATTGGTCTTCAATCTGGCTCACGGAGAGATCTCCGGGTCCAGCATTAGCTGCAGCTAAGGCCGAAAACAACAGACATCCTGCAGCAATAGCAAAGCCCGTTCGGCGCGAGGGAAAGAACCGAGAAGCCATTGCAGTAAATCTGTGGAGAGTGACAGGGGGACAAAACATCGGAGTACAACAGATCTGCTTTATCAGTGGTCGGACCACTTATCGCGGGACCCTGAGCAAACATGCCAAGACTTGCAAACTCAGAAAAAAAGTTTCGATAACGCTTGATTTTATTATCGACAACAGAGAGAACTCACCATATTACACTCTCAACATTCACAATGGGAAAGGTTTTGCAAAAGAAGAAGGCCCGCTCTGGGCGCTCCAAGGCCCGCGCGAAGGATAACCGCCTTAAGAGCGGCCACAAGAAGATCAATGTCCTGGGAAACCAGATCATCGCCGACAACTGGTATGCATGCAGTTGTTCCTGTTATATCTACCGCGAGTCGAAACTAATAACACATACTAAAGGGATCGCAACCTAACCTTGACCCAAAACTACCAGCGCCTTGGTTTGATGCACAAGCTGAACGCCCCGTCTGGTGGTCGCGAACGTCTTCCCGGCAAAGAAGAAGAATTCCCCGAGATCCAGAACTCGCTTCACATCAGAGGCAGTGCCAAGGAGGCCACGGGCAAGATTCAGCTCGGTGAGACAAGAGTCGAGCGTGACCCCGAAACTGGCAACATTCTGCGTGTCATCCACGACGACGCCGACAGCATCCAGGTTGCAGGCCGCCAGCACTCCCGCAAGAACCCCCTCAACGACCCTCTGAACGACATCTCCGACGGCGAGATCGAGAGCAACCCCCTCAAGGACTCGATTGTTGTAAAGCAACTCGAGCGCCAGGCTAATCAGGAGGACAAGACTGTTCGGGCTAAGAAGCCTCGGCACCAGAGCAAGCGTGAGGAGGAGTGGGTTCTGCGCTTGACCGAGAAGCACGGCGATAACTTTACTGCTATGGCTCGGGACCGCAAGCTTAACCCCATGCAGCAGAGTGAGGGTGATTTGCGGAGGAGGATTAACAAGTGGAAGAAGACTCAGGCTTGATCGGGCTTGTGTCTCTATATTTTTTATTCTGTGCATCCGGGTTGGGCGAGTCTGGCGTTATGTTCTTGTTTCTTCGGGGTTCTTTTGTCAAAAGTGCCTATCTACATGGATGTATGTGGATGTGAATGTCCCAAGCAGTATATATATTTGTTCAGTAATGGACGGCAGGCTGAGCTGCCACTTCTGAGTGATTTCACTATCTCGTAGTTCTGATTAATTACGGTTCAGCGATGACAGCGTCGAGTAGGTGAGAACTCCCGCCGGCGGAAGGCTGATTCGCTGCACTACTCGTACCCATCGGCGTCGTCTCCATTCTCCAACACCGAAGGATGCAGGGGTTCCTTCTTCCCAGTCCCGGCCAGAGGATTTGTTCTTTTCCTTATCCTTGCAAGACTTCTTTCTCTCTTTGGGCATAGGAGAATCCGTTGGTAGATCCCCGTAGGCCAACGGGAGCTCATCATCTGTATCCTGTGAACGGGCAGGGGGCAAGTCCCAAACCCAACCACCAACTTCATCGACAATAGCATTTCCTTCGGCGGTCACACCAGGCACTTCGAAACCAACTCCGGTGATCATACGCTCCACAACCCATTCACGACAGTCCAGGTCGAGTTCCCACTTCTTGCTCTTCCAGTTCCAACCAGATGGGGCCCGAACATCCTCAAAGAATCTGCATCCACGAGGACGATCCCCGGCAATGCGAGAAGGCGAGAGCGGGTCATATGGCGCGTGACTAAACAGGAAACTCTCCCACCCAGACTCTGACGTTCCTGCAGCCCGGTGTTGCACTTCAAAGATTTCTACCTCGCGCTCTTCCGGGTCTGTATCCAGCGAAATATCTGCGAGCTTTTCCAGTGAAGACATTGCTGCAGATGGATTTGCGGGCATCGATGGAAACCCATCTGAGGTTTTCTCATCGCCCGCAGCTGAGTCCGTGTCTAAGGACTCGCCAGCCATGTCTTGCATCAGGTCCCCAAAAAATTGCTGGACAGTTGGGTGAATCGATAGAATCGCCGCATTTCCACCGACTAGTAGGACAAGCTTCACGGGCAAGAGATGCGCGCTGATGAACAATACCACAGTAGCCACCGTGCAGCCCAAGAAAAGAGCCGACGAGAGCTTCTCATTTGAGAAATTCGTCAGCGGTGCAACTACAGACACGGTTGCGTCGTGGACGTCTGAGAAGTCAGCCATGACGTTCTGAAGATCACGCATGTTCCGTAGAAAGTCCTTGGAGGTCTCTGGTGCTGGCTTGATAGTCCTTGCCGGTGCCAACGCTGGTCCATCATAAGAGTAGTACGGCGTAGTACTGGAAGTGGACGTATTTGGGGGTGGTGGGTGACGAGTCACAAAGGCCGGTACCATGATGAACAGCAAGAGAACCACCAAGGGAAGGATCAATAGTAGGCGGGGATCCAAGCAGATAAAAGAATAGACAAAAAGAAGCGAGATGGTATGAGTTGGTGTTTCCCATGTTAGCACCCGCTCAACCTGGCTCTGGAATAGAAACACCACGCCGATTCTATAGTAGCTTTAGTCTCGGTGGATACCCAACAGCATGTTTCAGTCCCACCTGGCATTGAAACGACGGAAATTGTTTGCCATCACCGGTAAACTAAAGGCCGGTTTCTTAGGGGACGACGCATAGGCCTTGTCTCCTGAGTCGGTTTTATCCTCATCATCGTCTTTGGGGATGACTTGTTGGAGGAGCCTAGGATCGTCAGTAGGTGTTTCTACACGTTCCGAGATATAGCAAAAAAAGAGATATAGAGGCTTTTATTACATACTTTGTGAACAAACGATCTTGAAGCGAGTTTTTGGATAGCGAGGACGACCTCGAGTGCGTGCTGTCTGGCGAGCCCGGCCTATCACTCTTCGATTTAGAAAGAGATGCCCGTGGCTCATCCCGGGGAGTCGGGGGCATGAATTCATCCATAGAAGTTGAGCTTCATAGGCATATCAAAGGGAGGGATGAAGGAAGAGAAGACGCGAAGATCCGGCTATTCGTCCACGGGTTTATTGTCCATGTGAAGGTGCCGATCTGGGGGAGGCTGACATAAGCACTGTTTGCATCAGGGGACGTTGATGCTTCTTTTTTTGAGGTTTCGCTTCTTTCCTTTAATTCTGATCTTGGGTCTTGGTCTTTTGATCTTTGATCTTTGATCTTTCCTTTTTTACTCTGTACTGTCTACTGTGTATAAAAATCATCTCTGAGACGGGCTTTGTTTTGTTCTTAACCCCCCCAATTGTCTCTTTTTCCACCGCCTTGGACTTGCCCCAGCAACCCTCGAAGCTCCAAAATTATTTCGTGCCAGGTTCGGATCAAAGAGAACTTGACCTGGGACTGCCTTTTCTCTAATCTACTCGCGATGGACCGGTAACTGTTGTCCGGGTCGCGCGACGGTGCTCAAATTTCTCCCCTATTCTGTTTCTTGAGACCTCGCACTTCTCCTGAATGCAATTGCGACTCCCTGGCACGGTCCAGTTCTTTTTTTTTCTTCAACGAGTTGACGATCCTCCTTTCACACCGGAGAACACATGGATTTACGAACAATGTCGGCAAAACCGCAAACACCGGGGAGGGGTCAAGCGCGGGCAGAGCAGTCCCGAGCCTCCAATGCCTCAAGGAATGATGATTCAGGGTCTGGAGGTATGTTTCGATGTCCCATGAGGTGCAACTTGACGCTGACCTTTTTAAACAGCAGAGGCTCCGGCCCGCCGACGCTTGCAAAAGTCGGCTTCAACCAATTTCCCCTCAAATTCATCCACCGATTTTGACGCCCAATACTCAAAAGGGGTTGCTGGTCCGCGCGCAGGTGGGATGGGTAGGAGAAGACTTTCAATTCGAGACCAAAAAGTCCCACAAGGTCCGCGACCGCAGGAGGCTTCACGATGGAGGTATGTTTCCTCCACGTTCTGTCCTCATAAACAGGGCATCCGTTTGTGGTGATCTTCTGGCTAATGACCACCACCAAACAGCAAACCAACCGGTTCATACGCTCATTCTGGAACATCGTCAATTGACTCTACAAACGACTCGAATAAAGGTTTAAACCTTCGATCTACCAGTGTTGGAAACCTCGCGAAATTGGACGCCAACCAAACACCCCCAGACAATATGGATTTCCTAGCGCCTGTCAACTTCGACGACTTTCACAATAGCATCATGGGCGAACCCAGCCTGAATCACTTTCCTATGCCTGGGCACGGCGGTGCAGAGAATCACGCGACTGGTCTTGGAGTAAATCCCTGGGCAGATCACACTTACAGCAACGTATCGGATCGCACACGAAATGCTTCTGCTCGCCGGAAGAGTGAAGTACAGCGTCCGAATGGCCAGGCCCCTTCCAACACAGGATTGACAGCATCCACTGCCAACAGTCGCTCTCGCCGCCAGAGTTTAGCCCAACCGACTGGCGGGACCAACACTGCTTCGCGGGGTTCACGCAAGTCGATCAGCTCGGGCGCATTTGCTCCTACAAATGCATCCGCAAGACGCGCCAGTCTAAGTGCCCGCAAGATCAGCACTGACACTACTACGCGAACGGATTCGAACTTCCTACGTCCTCGACTTCCAGAAACCAATCGCGATGAAACCAAGGTCCCATCCTCCGTTCGAAACTTAAAGGCAAAGTCATTCCAGCCCAGCCCGCGGGAACCCCCTGGACCGTTTTTAACTGCCTCCGGAGCTGTTGACCACACGCGATCATCCTCCACAAATGCTGTGAGGACCCCGATCAAGAACCCTGCCGGTGCCGCGGCTACGACACCTTCTTCGTCCTCTAAGCGTGCTTCTGTTATGCCGCCCCATGCAACGGGACTCGGCGCTCGTACCATTAGCCCTACTGATGCACGACGGATGAAGCGAATGTCAATGGCACCCCCTGCTCCTCCCATACCACATACACCACCTACCCAGACGGAACCACTCCCCGTCCGTCCTTTATCTTCAACCCAATCACCCTCTCAAATCCCGAGAAAAAGTGTCACGCCCTCTTCAAATCGAACTACGCCCGACCCAAATCGCAAGTCTTACAGTTCAGGGTTATCTGTCTCTTCGAGCACTAGTTATAACTCGGCGCGGAATTCGGGTAGCTCTCTCCAGAACCGTCTCTCGCAGAACTTTTCGTCCTCGCGACTTCCTACGCCGAAACCGCGTACCGAGCAATCAAGCTCCAATGGAGAAGAAGTACCACCTGTGCCAGCTATTCCAAAGGCCTACGAATCACCAAAGGGCGAATTGGATGCGCCTGTGTTCCCGGCCCCTAGAAAATCAAGTATTACGACAGATATTGGCCAGTTGAATATTTCACGGGATTCAGACTCTGATGCGCAGCTTGCACCAAAGACCGCGGAAGTTGAGCAACCTGATAATTCGACTGACAATGCTACAAAAACGCCCGACTCGCGGTCAAGGACCTCTACTGTTCTGGGTGGAAGGAAGGGCCTACAGCCTTTGAAACTCCCTCCTTTGAATTTGCTGCCTTTGGGCACGCCTATGGCAGCCAAGATTGATGCACTGAAGGACAGGGACAACGATGACCGAAAAGCCCACACCCCCTCCAACCAGGTCATGTCGAAGACGCCTAGTACTCCGATGACAGCATCCAAAGCAAATTTCTGGAGTTATCGCGACGAAGATGAGCATGTGCCTCTCACCCAAGCTCGAAGCAGCACCTCTCACTTTGCTGTCAGCTCATCAACAGCTGCTTTGCGGGCGTCGAGTAGTACCAGCGCGTTTGAATCTTTCGAAACGCCAAGTTCAACGCGTAACATCTCTCCCTATGCCTCGTACACGTTGCCCAAGAGCGGTGCCGACCTCAATCATCTCCGCCACCAGGCTAGTGGTGATTACTCGAGTCGGGTGCAAACACATAAATTGAACGGACCCCGGCCCCAAACTCAGAGTGCCATGTTCACCCCGGCGCCAGAACGACTCAGTCAGATATCAACACCTTCTGAGCCTGAAAGTGTGACTGCATCGAGCTCTTCGCTTCGGGATCGCCTCAAGGTTGCCCGTATTCGCAGCAACTCGAGAACGCAGAAAACGACCGAACCCGATTCTGACCCAGCCAAGTTCAACCACATGCCACCACCCAAGCTCCCGGCTTCTGCGACATGGAACAACCTGTCTTCAGCTAGCTCGACAAGCCCCAGTCTCAAGCCATCCTATCTCAATCCTCGGCGACAATCGTCCGTTTCCAGTGCGACAAACCCGGCTGCCCGGAAACCCAGTGTCAGCAGTGAGAAGAGCCTTCACCTGGAACCGAGTCCTTCAAACGAGTCTGGGGATAGCGATCGTCCTCAAAAGCGTGCAACAAGCACTTATATCTCTCCGGTACATAAAATGATCAGCAACGCCCGATCCAGTGCTGCAGCTGCTCCTCGGTCCACTGACACCAATATTGATCCTGATGTGGTGATTGCTGATGAGGAAATGAAGCGACTTGGATCTAAACGCAAGGACTTTGAAAAAGCAGCACGAGTGCTAGATGACTTGCGCCGTAAGGCTGGTCCAAAGGATCGTGTCAGTCCTGCCCAGGCTCTGAAAATGGCCAATCTCAACATCTTTGAGCGAGGCGAGATCATTGATTATCGTGATATCTTCTTCTGTGGTACTCAAACCGCCAAGAAGCATGTTGGTGACCTGCACTCTGGCGCAGCAAACTTTGGATATGATGATGACCGTGGCGACTACAACATCGTAATGGGCGACCATTTGGCTTACCGTTACGAGGTTGTGGATGTCTTGGGTAAGGGCAGCTTTGGACAAGTCGTGCGATGTGTCGATCACAAGACCGGCGCCCTTGTTGCGATTAAGATCATTCGTAACAAGAAGCGGTTCCATCAACAAGCTCTCATTGAGGTCAACCTCCTTCAAAAACTGAAAGAGTGGGATCCCAACGGGAAGCACAGTGTGGTCAACTTTACTCAAAGCTTCTACTTCCGTGGCCATCTCTGCATTTCCACAGAACTCCTTGGCATGAACCTTTACGAGTTCATCAAAGCACATGAATTCCGAGGCTTCTCGTTGAAATTAATCCGTGTTTTTACCAAGCAAATGCTGAGCAGTCTCGTTCTGTTGCACGCAAAGAAGGTGATCCATTGTGATTTGAAGCCCGAGAATGTCCTTCTCGTCCACCCAATGAACTCAGAGATCCGTGTCATCGACTTTGGTTCAAGTTGCTTCGAGAATGAAAAGGTCTATACCTATATTCAGAGTCGTTTCTACCGTTCCCCAGAGGTTATCCTTGGAATGTCTTACGGCATGCCCATTGATATGTGGAGTTTGGGTTGTATCTTGGCTGAGCTGTTCACCGGCTATCCCATTTTCCCAGGAGAGAATGAGCAAGAGCAGCTCGCCTGTATCATGGAAGTCTTTGGTCCTCCTGAGAAGCATTTGATCGAGAAGAGCTCCCGCAAAAAACTGTTCTTTGACTCTCTGGGCAAACCACGTCTTACTGTGTCCTCCAAGGGACGCCGGCGTCGTCCAAGCTCTAAGGAACTTCGGCAGGCACTGAAGTGTGACGATGAGGCCTTCCTTGACTTTATCACTCGCTGTCTCCGCTGGGACCCAGCTCGCCGGCTTTCGCCTCACGATGCACTGAAGCACGAGTTCATCACTGGAGTCAAAGCCCCTCCTCGACCTCGTATTTATGCATCAAACTCGCCCTCCAAGCGAGGGGCGACGTCCTCAAGTCGCCCGCTCCCTGATCCCCCAGGCACACTGAAGACCGGGACCTACACGCGCTCTCGTGATGTTTCTGGCACCTCCCCTGTCAAAGGCAGCAGCGGGAAACGCCACTCGACCATTAACGGTCCACCGTCCAGTCCCGCCAAGCGAGTGTCCAACAACACTACTGCTCAGGGCTCTGCACTTCCTCGTGTCTCCGCACGGAGTATCAGTGGAAGACCTGACCTCGCTACTGCGGCGGCCGCGACAAGCCTAGTGAGTTAGGCCAGGCAACGAAAGAGTCGAACGGGATGCTGACCAGCTGACAGAGGAAATGATTTCTTTGCATGTCTTTGATGAATGCTCTGTAATAATAACTTTTGTTTTTACGCTTTTTCCCTTCTATTGAACTTGCATCGGGTGGTTTGTGTCAGCATTTGTCTATCTGGTTTCGGAGGAACCCTTGAGATGCATGATTCATGTTAATACCCCCTTTTTGTGATTGCATTTGCATTGCGCCTATGATGACCTTGTGGAAGTCGATTGCTTATACCTTATCTTTGCTTATGCATTTCCCTTCGTTCCGTTTATAGCTGATGTTCGCATTCAGGTTGATGCCTGTGTACATTGTTATCTTTGCATCCCTTCAAGAGCGAAGCATGCTCCTGTAGAGCAATTTACGTTATGTGTTAGCTGTATCCCTGAATTAATGAGTGTCCGATTTCTTGGAATTATCAGATCTACGAACTTTAGAGAAATAATAAATAAGTAGATGTAACTATATTCGAGACAATGCCAAGCATGCAGGTACAAGTCACCTCGGAACGCGCAATCGGGCTACTTGGCCTCATCGTTATCTTAACTCCACTTCTCCAACTCTTCCTCTTCATGAAGCAATTGATCTCACAATGAATGGCTTCCACTCAAAAGGCCTGGACGAAGATGCCTTCGGAGAGAAGTCTAATCTAGCAGGTCTAAAGACCTTTGACGCTTTCCGTGAGTAACAAACAACTCCATATCCAGAGCCACCTCTCTAGACTAACAAAAACACCAGCCAAAACAAAATCATCCTACACAACCCCAACGCGCAGCGGCGGCGTATGGACCGTCCTGATCCTAATAGTCTGTACGGTCTTCAGCATAACAGAACTAAAAATATGGTGGCGCGGCACCGAACACCAACAATTCAGCGTTGAAAAAGGCGTCTCGCACGACCTCCAACTAAACCTCGACATAGTCGTCGACATGCCCTGCGACGAACTCCGCGTCAACATCCAAGACGCAGCCGGCGACCGCATCCTAGCAGGCGAGCTCCTCAAACGCGACAACACAAACTGGGACCTGTGGATGGCGAAGCGGAATTACGAGACCTACGCCGGCGCCCATGAATATCAGACCCTTTCCCATGAGGAGAGCGATCGTCTCGAGGAGCAGGAGGCTGATTCCCATGTTCGTCATGTCCTCGGTGAAGTGCGCCATAATCCATGGCGGAAGTTCCCTAAGGGTCCGCGTATGCGCAGAGGTGATGTGCCCAATGCTTGTCGCATTTATGGGAGTCTTGAGGGGAATAAGGTCCAGGGTGATTTCCATATCACGGCGAGAGGGCATGGATATCGTGAGGCTGGGGCGCATCTTGATCATTCGTGTATGTTTACCCTTTCCTCCACTACCATCGCCACCACCACCCACTCAAGAACGTCAAGAACCAAGACTAACACTAACATATTTAACAGCCTTCAACTTCTCCCACATGATCACGGAACTCTCCTTCGGCCCCCACTACCCAACTCTCCACAACCCCCTCGACAAAACAATCGCTGAAAGCGACTCCCACTACTACAAATTCCAATACTTCCTATCCGTCGTACCAACCCTCTACAGCAGAGGCAAAGGCGCACTAGACGCCTACACGCGCTCGCCCATGTCAACCGCCGCCCGCGCAGGTCGCAACACAGTCTTCACGAACCAGTACGCGGCAACGAGCCAGAGCGGCGCGATCCCCGAGTCGCCGATGGTTGTTCCGGGAATCTTCTTCAAGTATAACATTGAGCCGATTCTGCTGCTTGTTAGTGAGGAGCGCACTGGGTTCCTTGCTTTGCTGATTCGGTTGATTAATACTGTTTCTGGGGTTCTTGTTACTGGTGGGTGGATTTATCAGATCTCTACTTGGGTTGGGGAGGTTTGGGGAAGACGGAGGGGACGGTCTATGGAGGGTTATCTGACTGGAAAGTCTGCTTCTGACTGATTTAATCTTGCGGAGTGGTGAGTGCATTGGACTCGGTGGAGCGTGTTGGATTGATGCTTTCTTGTTTAGTTTGATTTGATCTGGGTTTAGTTTGTTGCATTTGCTTTCTATATTGGTGTTCATGAGATATCCTACAACACAATCTATGCATTAGGAGTTCTGTTCTGCCCTGCTTTGATCTGTTCTTTGCATAATCATTCAATTGTTCGAGAGGACCAGCTACAGTAAAGTTGAGCCTAGCCCACGTGGTATATAATAGCAGATCGTACATCCCATTCAATTCCACCCCGCTCCGCTCGCCATGTCAAAGTAACTCAGGATGAAACAAGTCAAGTCACGTTCAAACCTCAAAAATCTCACCCATGCCCACGCCAGCACCTTCAGCACCAGCCCGGCTATCAACCAAATCCAGTCTCCAGCCATTCCAGTCACGCAGCTTGCTCTTGATATCACGCATCCATTCAACGCGTTTGCGAGCCTCCTCTTCAGCTTGTGCACGGGCAAATGCATCCTCGTCGAATTCATCATCCAAATTTTCCTCGGACACAAGCTCGAGACTGCCACGTGTTCCCGGGGGATGGGGTGGGTTAGATGATGAAGCGCGAGCACGGTTTCCACCACCTCCTGTGAAGGCAGCAAAGCCGCTCGAGAGCACTGTCGAGAAGGAAGAGTGTTGTTGCTGACCCATGCTGCGGCGGCGGGCATGGTCAGGTCGTCCGCCGACAAGGTCAACGTCGTCAAATGAATTGGCTGCATCGCCGGAGCCGGGGGTAGGTCCGTCTTCTGGGTAGTGCTCGGACAGTTCCTGGCGCTTCTCTTGCCAGACACCGCGACGCAGATCGAAGACTTCGCCTTCCAGCTCGCGGATGCGACGCTCGAGACGCTGGCGTTCCTCGTCTTCGAGTTCATCCAGAGCGTCGTCGTCAGCGCCTCCGCTTGTTTCGCGGGTACGTACGCGGTCACGCTCTTCGCGAAGTCTAAGGTTCTCGTTCTCGATGCTGGCGAGCTTTTTGCGCGTAACGGTAATTTCCTTGTCGGTCTTCTCACTCTCGCGTTGGCGGGTCTGGTGTCGGGCCTCTGTTTCTTTGTGGAGATTGGCCATTGCCTGGAGCTTCTTGTCCAGAGTTTCGATCTTCTTTTCAAACTCAATCTTTTCGGCCTTGTGCTCTTCGATCTCACGTTGGAGATTCCTGATCAGTGTGTCGGTGGAGGTCTTGTCGACACCTTCCTTGGCTGCTTTCTCGGTAGCTCGCGTCAACGCCTGCTTGGTGTGTTCCAATTCGCTTTGGGACTTCTCCAGCTCTGTCTGGGCTTTCGTGGCCTTCTCCTTTAGCGCAGAAACCTGGGATTCATGTTCGTCGTTGGAAGAAGTCTGGGAAGTGATCTGAGCGCGCAAATTGGAGATCTCCAATTCCATAGCTTCAATCGTAGCCGACTTAGATTCAAGCTGACGAACAAGATCAGCCGGTGGCGACTCGGAAGTAGCACTAGCATTGCGATGCTGCCGCGTCTGGAGTTGTGAGTTTTGTCGCTGAAGAGAAGCAATCTCCTCGTTCTATTTCACAATCAGCACATACTCCACTCCACGCATAGACCGTGAAAAAAAAATACTTAAAAAAAAACTTACCAAAGCATCAATGCCAGCAGCCTTCTCCTCAGCCTTCTTCAACTTCTCCCTCAACTCAGCACTATCAACACTAGCCTCACGCAGATCCTCCACCTGCTCCTCAGTCTTGCGCCAGCGCGAAGTCGCATCCGAGAGGTCCTTCTCCAATCGTTTATTTTCCTTCTCGAGCTCTTCGATCTTCGTAGACTGTTTGCGGAACACTTCGTGGACAGACTCCCCATCTCCGGTCAGGGGCGGTAATGAAGCCCCCGGAGACTTGAGTGTTGCAGACGGGGAGGGGGACGCGCTGCCTTGTGAAACAGACGTCTTGCGGAACGACGAAGATCGCATCTTAGACTGAATTGATAAGGAGGCTTGGCGGCCATGGTTGGCGCGCGGTGTATCGAGGCGGACTGGTAGCGGCTCCGCGTCTGAGCCGGGAGATGTAGGCGCTGGAGGCATTGGTTCAACAGGTGATTCAACAGGCGCATCTGTCTCCGGCTGTTCTTGTGACTGCTGTGATTCTTCTGGTTGTTCCGCGGCTGCGGGGGTAGATTCCGTGGCCGGTTCATCCTGCGACTCTGGCTTCTCCTCCGCGGGGGTGTCGGATTTGGATGATGTTTCTGTAGTGGCGGGGGCATCTTCTGAAGGTTCGGCTTTGCTGGAGGCCTCTCCTTCCTTGGGTGTTTCTAATCCGGCGGTAGATGTCTTGCTGGCCTTCTTCTTTTTCTTTTGCATCTGGGCCACCTGCAAACAATGGATTGATTAGATGCCGGCACAACTGTTCCTCATGCGGGGGGCTTACCTTCTTCTTGGCGGCAGCCAGCTTCTCAGCCTTGATGCGCTCCTCGTCGTCGGCCATGATGGGATGCTTAATTGTAGTGAAATCGGGGATTGTGGATGGAGCAGAAGGGAGAGAATGGACAGCTTTCCCCAATCGCCGCACGGGCCACCTGTCTAATCTATGGCACAGCGAAGTATAGAAGTGAACATGCAAACAATGGCTTTTTTAATGCTCATTGATATGAGATTTGTATACAGCTATCTTAGTGAGATCTTCTATCTTTAACCAGTCAAGGTGAATTCTACGATATTCGACGCCGGAATGACCAACCGCGGTCTCCCTAGATATACCGTGAAACCGCCCACAATTCCCCAGGTCGAAGGGTGGTCACTCGTCATACGCGACAACGTTAACGAGCACGTCCAGATCATTGTATATGGCATATGCGTTGTTTGGGTCGTCAGTGCCGATTTATATGAGATCTGTCCCTTTGCGCCGATGAAGTTGGAAGCTGTCTGTCGCTGTGGATTTGGAGATCAGGGTGTGGGATGTGATTGCCTTTGCCTCCTGTGACGGCTGGTAATGGATTTCTCCAGTAACCTAGACGAGACCCTGGCGAAGGATCGTTAGAGGACATTGCAGTTCCACGCTGAGGATGGGGGCTCCAGGCGTATTCACTTCTGGTTAGGTCTCATAATAAGTGAGAGAGAGAGGGGGAGGGGGGAAACATACACACGATCCTCATCCCTGACAGGCTCTGGACACCCTGGGCACCGGAAGAGAAGGCACACTGCAATTGCCGTCATGCGTGAAAAGAGTGGAGTCTGTCTTGTGATGTTTTGTTACTTGATTGGGGGAATGAGTCTGTGGGGTAGAACTGCAGGCTGAGGAGGTTTGTATTTTGGGATCTTCGGTTTCGTCATGATGCTACAGTAACTGCATTAGTAAAGTATTACTTTAGCCTAGAGTACAGTCCGTAAGTAAGGCGAAAAATCAAAGGCACAGCATTGTTGTTATCAAGAAAATACACCCCAATAATATTAAACGTGGATGATATTAGGTAGTATGGACACAATCCAAGTAAAGCGTCAAGGGGCCATCATGTCAATGTTTGTTCATATCAACACCCCCCATAAGAAAAACATGCAAGTTGATTGCGCCGAAACCCCATAAAAAAGATATCATCCCAACGCCACCAGCTCAAAACTCAATCCGATCAACGGCATGAAATAGAAGACAGGCAAGAAACGAAGACTAGCAGCAAAGACCAGCAGCGAAGCAAAACACAAAAACAATGTTAGACCTCCATAGAGTCCGCAATTTCCTCACTCATGGCGCGGACCCTGCCCCGACGGGTAGTTGGCACATGGTCATCATCATCACTCAGCACGTAATGGTCAAACTCGTCCATGGGTCTAGTTGGCTTGGTGCGATCCATCTCATCGTCACTGTCACTGGCAATGAGAGTTGATCTGGCACGGTCTCCAAACCAGAATCGGGCGCGCTTGCTGGAACTGAGATCCGGTGTGAGGTATCCATCGTCGTAGGTCCGCTTGCCAGATGGTGTAGTCACCATCTCGTCGGGTGTATGGCTGAGGATTGGAATCGCGCGTAGATACATGTAGCAGACGCGCTTGCGGAGCGGGTTGAAGAAGAAGAAATGTAGACTCCAGATTGCTCCATCATCGGCGTCGGAGGGGTCTTCCTCGGGGGAATAGGAGTAAATTGAGCATTCCTTCAATGACATGTGCTCGTCTATCGTCTTCCATACGCGGGGACCCCAGGCGGACGATGAACCTGCGGTGTATGAGCCGGAAAGGGTGGCGGGGGATGAAGGAGATAGATCGATGTTCTCGCGCGGTCGCAGGTTGAGGAGTGTTGAATCGACCGTGTTCATGACGCGCTTGAGATTCCGCTCGCGTCGGAAATCAGTCGGTCTGAGTACATGAGAGAAGTCGTAATCCGGATGGCTTGCGTTTAATGTCGCGATCAAATAGGCAAACGTGCGTCGACTCGAATGGTCGCTCAGGGGGCCGAACGGACTGGATCGGGATAGGTTGAGTGTCTCGGCGGCATCATGTGCATTCGGGGGCGACAATGAAGCGGAAAAACGCAGCACTGATTCGTATTGCGCCTCGAGCGATTGTTCGATGTGGTTGTAGAGTTTCCGATCGGAGCGTGCTGCCTTGGTTGTGTAGATGTCGCATCCACCGACGATGTGGCAGTCGGCGGTATCGAAATTGAGAGAGCTGGTGACATCCTCAAACTCAGGCAGTGGAAGGAACTAAAGCGAAATTATGTTAACAAGACATCACATGGACTGAGTCGACTGATCATGACACACCTTCATCTTGGACTGGGGTAGTGGAGAACCCGAGATAAGGCGATAAGCCAGAGATGACGTGTCTGAGAGTGAGAATCAGGGGGGTTCAAGCGATTCGGAGAATCAAATAATCAAGGCGAGCTGAAGAGATGAAAAAGCGCCGAGGTGAGGTGATAACACGATGGCGGTGGGCGTAGGGCGGGTGGAGATGATGTGATGTCGGAGATAACCGCAAACAGGACTGGGGTAAGGGGGGAATCTGAACTACACCAAGTAGGCCGTCCTCTTTAAATAGAGGTTCAACTGAATAGAACGCAAGAATGAAAGGAATCAGGAGGGGACTGCAACTTGGGGATAACTGGGAAGTCTGGGAGGGGGATTCCGGCCGTCACGTGGATGCTGGCCAGTGAGAATCCGCACTGACCTCACGGGCAGCGAAACCATGGATCACTTGAGCTTCAGAGACCAACGCGGTGTAAGTTCTGCGAGATTTCATCTGAATCCTGAACATTTGTATTGATTAGTATAAGCGCCTATGTACTGAGCAAGAACCTGCTTGGCTCTACATGATCTTGGTAACCACATCTTCCTCAACCTGGGGAAGGTTAGCCCGGCTGAAACATGGCCATGGCTGGGAGTAGCCACGATGTAGCGCTTTTGTCTTGAGATCAAAGAGGGCTGAAAAGACAATGTACTACACCGTAACAGGGGTGTAAGGAATAGGGACAGGTAAACTCACCTCCATGTCTTCCAGACTGTCTTGCTGGCTGATACAGCGAAGAACATTCTTCTTGCTGGTCTCTTGCATTTCCCCCGCTATCAATAATTCATCCAGAATGAAGTATGCCTTTTGGAAGTTGAAGATAATGTCCAGCTCGCAGACGTTGCCATAGTATTTGTCCATCTGCTCCACGTATCGGTGCACCACTTCCAGGGTGATCAGTTCGTTGTCGGTTGAGGCACAGCCCGCGATGAAGAATAGGGAGGCATAACGGCGGTAAACGACTTTTGAGTCTAGCGAAAGAGTCCCGGTCAGCGGGATAGGGAAAGGGGTTGCGCGTGCGGAGAAAGTTACCTTTGTATTCGAGGAAGTTGCACATCCGCGTCCGGCGGGATAACACAAGTTGAGTCACATCTTTGATGATCTTGGCCTTCTCCTTGGGAGAGAGAGTGGTGAACCACTTTGCGAGGCGCTGCGAGGTTGCGTCAGTTTTGGGCCAGGTGTTAGTTGGGTGGGCGACGAGAACGCACCACTTTGCCCTGTCGGGAGAGCAGAATTAGATAGCTGGCAGGAATTAGTCTCTGGAGGCAATTGCAGGACTGAAGGGATCTCACTGGACAGGCATGTTGATGGTGATGCGAAAAGAAGGGATGGGGAAAGGTGTCAAGGCGGCTAGAAATTCTTTGGGTGGAGCGGAGGGGAGATTTGCCCCGCTGAGCCCTAGCTCGAGACAATTCAACAAGTTCAATAGAGACGGACTTGAATGGGACGAGATAGCTATTGTGAATTTTGATTCTGTGTCCTTTGCGCACGGGGCTCGAATGACTCAACCCCTCGCCTCCATGACGGCACTCACACTACCTAATGGGGTAAGCTGTATCTATGACAATTTCCTGGTTAATCAAGCTACAGCTTGTTTCTATACAATAAATAGGCCAATCTTACGGTCGGCTTTGTCACTTTCTTTCTACCTTGAGGACTATTCCCATATACTGCCTCGAAATCGACAGTGAGGCTTAATTAGGGCTATTATGGCACAGTGTCCCTTTCCTGCATGGTATCGCTGGTCACTGTCTTGATGAGGTACAAGCCTCTTCAAATAAGCATCCATTCAAGAAAAATACATCATATTCCTTCTGGATGATTGAATACCTAAGTCCGGTTCTGGAAGTGTGTACACGAGCAACTAGCACTTCGCGCGATAGGAGCAAGATATCCAAGTGTAGCAAAAGTTCAATTAAGTATGTAGACGTATCAACCCATAAGACATGCAGATGCAGCATAACAGTCTGAAATATCTCCAAAGATCAACTTCTCAGTCAACGCCAGCGCGAACGCCCAAGGCGATTAACCAAAACACAAATATTATTAATGGAATAAGTAATAGCACATTAACTATCAAACCCCCCCCCAAGGAGAACAAATGAAGGAACATTTGATGTTTTGAATCGATCCAGCCATGAAACGCAAAAGACAGATGCTCGAACTCGTGGATCGTACAACCAACCCTTCATCAAAACCCGACACCACCTTCTCAACGCCATTTACCGCATCTGTTACCATTATCAGATGTCACATTTTACCAGATAGCATACAACAGTCAAGCGAGAGCACAAGCTGCCCTGGCTCAATGCAGCATATACCATCTGCTTTCCATCAACCAGCTTAGACCTGGGCCATGCTAGGTCCACCGCGACGGCTACCAGTACGGCTACGCAGGTTGACAGTAGCAGCACGAGACATGAAGATAGAGACAACGACCGAGGCCATGTAACCTGCCCAGCCGAACCAGAGGAAGGCAACGGAGGCCTGGGCCTCACGGCAGCGCTTGGTCATGTTGTTAGAGCCGTTGGTGATCTCGTTGCTCTTGAGGTAATCCTGGGAAGAGAGTTAGTCTGTATAGCTTCTCTTTCTGGGTACATATACTTACGGTGTTGGTGCAAGAATGGCACTCGAGCTTGGCAGCCAAAGCAATAGCCGCACAGAAGAAGAAGACGCAGTTAAGAGCGTCAAGGACGATCATGATGATCGGGTGACCAGCCCAGTCAATGTTGAACGAGGCTGGAATCAGGTAGAACAGGGAGAGCATAGAGAACACCGACACGAAAATCGAGTAGTTCACCGTGGCGGGGTTGCCTGAGAACGAATCGGCAATCATGTTACCGATCAGGGCCATGATGAGAAGAGACCATAGGAACTGGAGCTTGTCAGAGCTAGTTTCAGACGCGTTCAAGCTATAAAGCTTACCTCCCAGGCTCGCAAGCCCAGCTGCACACCCTTCAGCGCCATAGTGAGATGTCGAAGTAGTATAGTATAGGTATAGATTAGATCTGGGTGCAAGGTGGTAAAGCACAAGCAAGAAAGCCAGGGATAGCAAGTTATAAGTCGGAAGCTCCGGAAAACGGTGACGATATGCAAAACCGCAAAAGTTAAAAGCTAAACTCGGCTACGTCATGCATTCGGGTTGAAGCGGCTGCTTATTGGAAACTTGGAGGAACGTTGCAGTCTAGTCGATGACAAAATGATTTGAAGACTCTGCATTTTACGTGGATTCGTTGGAATGTGCCTTGATCCTCGCATGCCAAGGAATTCAAAGAGAAAGACTTTGCGCTGCTTCTAATAAGAATGTCCATAGGGCGGTCATAGGGCATTCAAAAATAGTGTGGTTCCCCTCATTACGGTTGATCGCCAGTTCCACTCATCTCTCTATAGAGGGATCAGGAACAGTGCAATTTAGTGCCACATTGAACCTCTAAAAATGTGATACGATTACTGTAGCACAGTCCCGATGGATATGACACACAGAAGAATAAAATTATAGCAAGCAAAAAGAAACAGTGATACTAAAAAGTATCAGCAATAAAAAAGAAATCGTGGTTCCAGAGGGGGTCGAACCCTCGACTTTGGCGTTATTAGCACCACACTCTAACCAACTGAGTTATGGAACCCTTTTGATGAAGAATCAATCACATTTCCGCCAAATAAATCAGAACGATACTCTCATCCTACCAATGTATTATCCGAGGTCCACCGGTTGGCAGCTGCTACCTAGCAAAAGTCTGTCAACATATCCCCGATCTACTGGCACTGGCTTGAAATGCCAAGTTTTAGGATTGAAAGTCTTGTATTCTCAACGGTTATATTGTAATGCACATTTGTTTCAATAGGTTGGGGTTGATAAATAGTTACGGTGCGATCTATCATTCTAGAAAAGATATCATATCCCTCTGACAGCTCCACGCTGGTTGGACTCAGCAGGGCCAGCGTTACGTCTCTCAGAACACTTGTCAGAGCAGCTTACCCTGGAGCAGGTACGTATTGCGTGGGCTTGAAATTCATTTGATCAACCTTCCTTGCTTTCTCGATCATCCAACCTGACCTTGAAACACCGTGGATCACAAGCCACGGCAATTGCGGTCGCCTCATGTCAAGGCCATCGGCAGAAATATTTTAAAGTATTGGGTCTTGACTGGAGGATAGCGAGATGCCGCATATTTGAATGAGCCCGAGAAGAAGAGCATGACGGAAATCTTGATCTATGTGTTCTGCGAGGCTCTGGAGCGTGTTGTGTGGGCTCTACCCTGTTAGGCCACGGTCAGTTCTTTGGTGTAGTAGCTATGAAGAAGTAGTGTAACCACCTGAAAGACAAATACAGATTTCCATTCTTTATCTTAAGTCAAGCAAGGTTTCTGAATATTCTGGTATTTGACTAGTATTGTAATGGCTATGCAGGAATCTTCCTTCGAAATGAACCACCAATGTGCCAATCGTCAAAGAGTCGAAAAATACAGTTCGACGAATGACCCAAAAAATTCACCAAATGCCCCAAATGCCGGCTAATATCTCCATGCAGATCAACCCACAGCACGGAAGCTATGATATCATCAATTCGCACAGAGAGAAGAGCACAGAAACCATCAATGCAGGATGATCGAATTTACAATCCAATTTGCACGATCAACACCTCAAGAAAGGCCCAAGACATGTTCCTGATGTGTCCAGGGTCAAAGTAAGGGGTACATAATGTAAATATGTATGTCATAACACCGTGGGGAAATGATTGGCCTATAAATCCCCCGCGTTAGAGATCTAAATGGCAAGGTTACACAGGATGTTCACGCTTAAAGCTTGTAGATCCGGTGCAAGGCAAGGATTGATGAGCATTGAAAGTTGACAGTTGATTCAATGCTTGATATGGAAGTAGATACAGATTGATGGAGATGAAAGAGGCGATGGAGCGCTATGAAACATAGGATATATGAGATGAAACAAGATAAGAAAAGACGAAAAGAAAACACTAAGCACACCGGGATATTTGATACATCTTTCGGAGTTCATTGCAACAGCCACACAATCAAAATGTCTGTCCATCTATCTGCCAGTGTCTCAACCATTAATACCGACCTTCACGAGCGCCATATGATCTACAACTTCAACGCACAAGACAGCGACGATAGTCCAGAGAAATAGCGGTGAGATGTATTTCGACAACGCCCACCGGATCAACTATGCGATTCACGGTGGGCCGGTGGCTGGAAAGAAGAACTTTCAAACAGCCGAGTACCAATGCATACAACCTGGCGAGCTGCGGCAATGCAAGTGGCTCGAGGCGACTAAGACAATTCTTTCATTGATATATGGGATCCTGAATAAGGGGATCACCACGTTGTTGGGCTTTTCCAAAGGGCATTGAGAGAATGCCGAGGATGTCCATGATGATAAGGCCAATCCAGAGTATATAGAGATAGCGTGGGTTGACGAGGGTAGGGATTCGGATGGAGAGGCATATGAACGGGCAGATATCCTCGGAGCGTGGGGATCTGAAGCCTGTTCATGTAGCTTTGCCGACACTTTGAGTGTTGGCTCATGGCGCTTCATTGGCGACGATGATTTGGAGGCCCCGTCGCGGAGGGAGTACCATGAAGATGCCTTCGATGGTGTAGAGGGTACAGATCATCAGGTCTGTTAGAGTCCCCATGCATGGATCAATAGGCAATCTGGCCTGATGATCCATGTCAATCAACTAGTATTGCCGGTCGCATACCTGTCCTGTAGGATTCGGAGTACCAAGATGTAGACAGCGTTTGGAAGATATGGTGAAATTCATTCCAACACGTGTACACAACCAAGAGCCAATGGAAGAAACCGAGTGGGTACCTGGAGGTTTAGGCGGCGCGGCGCCAATGCCGACCGAGACCAGAGAGGATAAAGGAAAAAGGAACCGAGGATAGTCAAAGACCATCCTTCCGAGGCCAACTAATCATGGCCGCTCTTGGATGATCCACTCGAAGGAGCCTGAAGACATACAAGCTCGACCATGATATCGTCTGGGCTGTCGGGCGGTGCACTATTATATGAAGGTCCGCGACTAATGATTCCAACAGCGACCTGGTTGGCCTGCTGGCGAGCGTTCATGCCATCAATATACCACACCTGCCAAGGGAAGGCCCCAGAGCCAGGTGGCATCAAGGTAACATTCTGATCGGGGACGCGTTCTTTGGCGAAATCTAGCGAGGTATTAGTACCACACAGGTGATGTAGTCACGAATCGAACATACCCTGCACAGGAATAGATGCCACATCAAGAACAGGCGGTGGACAAGAAGGAAGCGGCGGAGGCTTCATCAACATCTGATTGAGAGCAACCTCCAGTGGCTTCGAATAATAATCACCCGAAAGAGCAAGGTGATAAATAGCCCGCTGTAAAACGCTCTTCAACTCACTGGAGCAATCAGAGCCCCAGATTCCATCACAGCCATTATTCGTACCAGACGGAGTGCCCGTCAGATTCCCGATGCGCATCCCAATCTCCGAAGTCCGATTCGAATCAACAGCGTCCCTGTTGATATTATTCTGGTATCCCAACCAAAAGGCCGTCTTGGTCATTGGGCCTTCGCCCTTGCCAGAGACACTCGCGTCGAAACCATAATACAGCGTGACAGGATCCGGGAAAAGCGGTTCGAGATCGAAACGAATGGCCGTCTGAGCCAGCGAGTCGATGCAGCCATTATTCCAGAAAGAGCAGAACTGAGCCGAGACGGTTGGGAGTAGTCCGACGATCAGCAAGAGGGGCGATATCGCCCAGAGTCCGTGGGAAGTCATGTCGGAGATTCCTGAGATAAGTCACCAAAGAGAGCGACCGCGGAGGCCCTCAATGTAATGATGAGCGAGAACCAGCAGGTTGCAAGCTCATCGTCTGTTGAAGTGAAGTGGAATAGAAAAAGGCTCCGTAATTTGGTTGCCAGCACCAATGGAAGAAAGAGTAGGTTGAAGAGAGAGTCGAGAGAAAAGGGAAGACACTTCCGACGTTGTTTCTCCGAGCATTCCTTGAAACTGGGCTGGTACCTGGCTAGTACCTGATGCAGGGTACTGAAGACCGGCAGGGGGCAGGTTTCTCGGAAGTACCTGGGAATCCCCCTAGAGGCCCCCGCATAGCACCAAAAAGGGAAAGAATTGACGGAGATCTCAGGGTTGCGCCAAACAGGGTCCAGCGCTTTTCCCTTGTGTATAAAGTGTTCTGATCTTTGCTGTTTTTGTTGAAGTGCAAGTTGATCTCCCATCTACATGATTTACATGACCTCATTTATTCTCGACATAACTTAACATATAAACATAAACATCCAAAGACTGAATATCTGGTATGTAAAATAAAATACACTAATTTTCAGGGTACCCCCATACAATACCAATACAGTCCAATATCTTTGCACTTCCACTTCCAAGTACCAACCCAGTATTAGTCCACTCAGTACAGTAGCCTACAAGTACAGTCCACTTACCACTCACTGCCTGCATGGAATGATCTGACGTAAGTCGGTATTTTCCCGCAGACTCTTCCGTCACAGGGCCTAAGACATCCCAATTGGCCTGTTTCAACAGTGGGCCAAGGGTCCTTGGCTGATTCGGCTACGCCTCTAGCGTGCCAATGTGTGTATCGCGCCTCCACCCACTGAACCATGACCCTGACCAGTCTTGGCAGCAATTTAGATGATTAATGGGGACATGCCTCGGGCTTTGACAGAACTCATTTCTGTGGAATGCCACCCTGTGACACGAAAATGGGGCATGCCACTTTCCCTTTCCCTATTCTTCTGTCACTAGGACTCCTTCGAAGTGTATCCATTTACCCTCAACTAGCCGGTGACCCGCTAGTCGGTCGTTAGCCTGACTAGCGTTGTCCATATATTATACGCTTTCCTTTACCCTTGGACCATACACTAATCCTGTCTAGGGCGAGGGTTACATAGAACAGGTTGTACGGTTTGTGCCCGAACCGTTTTTAATTCCGTTTAGCCGGAATGCTGGAGATAATGCTGTGTTTCTCCAATCTTGGCCCAGATAAGAGAAAGTTACAATATGTTCAGCTGGGACGTGCGCTGAAATTCACAATAATCAGAACCACTGTGACTTAGGGTTACTTGTAACACTACGAGTTTCCCGTACCTGTATTTCGGTGTGTACTTCGTATTCCGTAGAGTTATACGAACACGCTAATTTCGCCCTATCAGCAACTTGGCATTACACGCACTTGTACTCTGTACATTCGCCTAGCCAAACGCAATCTCCCAATGGCGTAGCGTATCATGTCTCTTGGATGCTGCCTCTCCGGACTAGCCCCTTCCCACCCTTGTGCCTTGATACCCTCCGTAGCACTGGAAGATCCCATGCTCAGTTCCCACATTCAGGATGCCTGTATGGCCAAAGTCCGATACTTGCTGGCCATCTTCTGCTGTTCCGTCGTATATGTAGTAATCTTTCTAGAGGGTTTATCGCAAAACTGGTTTGCGAATGTATTGTCGTCTAAATCTACGACAAATTCGCCGTCTGGAGACATCCATTCGACCAAGAAGAAAGTCCACTCTGGCGGGGGATGGGGCCTGGGACTATCTGGTTCACTTCGATGCGGGAATCCGGCTGTCAATTCGGAATATGTAGCCATCTTCGCTGTGGAAATATGGTGCTACCATTATGGACATCCAGTGATCTATGCTCCCCCCCCCCAGGTTGACTGACTCTATATCCTTCACTTGCCTTGTACTCCTAAGAGAGCCTCAAATAGAGAAGTGGGTGGTCATTATCAAAGAATATCTAATCATTTGTTTGGCCGCGGTATACGTGCATATCCGAGCCGCCAAGCCTCTGGACTTACTGCACCATTGAACCGTGGTTTAAGCGTCCAAGGCCATATAGGAATCAAATAAAAGGATAACAATAGATACACCTATAGTCTCTGTATCACAATTGTCATATTCTATGTCTGTACCGCGAAGACGGCTGTCTACATCTAGACTGTTGTGAAGAGAAAGAGGTATGATCTGATCGTCTGTACAGCGACTTTCCGGTCCCCACTCTTTTAATTACTAGACGTTAAACGCTGTGATATACTAAGCTTAAGACAAAGATCGTAGCAGCTTAGAGTGAAAGATGTCTAAGAACACATACTTTACCCCGGCTGATGTAGTTCATCTTAGGTGAGATGCGACCATTCTCAGGCTCCTGTTCTTCGGGATGAGCCTATTGGCTTTCTTCTTCAAAGGATCTGCATGGCTAGTAGCAGCCTTTTGTCCGATTTCTATATCAGGATAGCCTAGCCTCTTCTGTTGTATTAGATGCAGCTTAGCCGTGTCGATATTGAGGTATCTTGTTGACTGTCAATCGATGGCATGGCCTACATTGCCTGGATAGACACTATCAACAGACCTAGAAGCACATTCAACAAACAATGGGAATCAGATGAAAAAAAGAAGAAAATAGTTAATAAGAGCTCCATAAGAGAAAGAAAATAACAAGAATGATGCATATAGTACAATGAATGTCATCCCCTACATATGCCCAAGCATACAAGCACACCTCAAGAAGCAAAGCTCCATGCAAAGATAGAAGATATACAGTATCTTCAAATATCAACAGTCAAGAAAGAGGGAGAGTGTCAATATCCCAGCGCCAACCCAAACTCCACGCTTGAAAACAAAATGCAATGAGATGGGCAATTGCAATAGCCCGTAGATAAAAGAACAAGATGGCAGATTGAAACCTATTTGCCGTCATTTTCGATGGAACGATCCTTGCCATTGCCTTGGAGCCAGACGCGCTTCCATGGACCTTCAGGTCCAAATGCGGCCTCACGATCCTGGCGCATGCCCTCCAGAACACCAACGACACCACCGCTGCGCAGACGCTCGAGGACGATGTTCATGCCCTCTTTGCTCTTGAGCACGGCCTCGCGGGTGCGGCTGACACCGATGAGTTCAATGGTGCGCTGGATGCCAGCAGTAGACAGGGAGGAGAAGAAACCCTTGCGAGGTGCCTCTTCCTCGACCTCGACGTGGTCGCCAGCTGTGTCTGGCTTCTTGCGTGCGAGGAGCTTGCCTTGACCGAGTCTAGAGCGGAAGGTGACGGTGGTCTTCACCGTGGTCTGCTCGGAGACCTTGTCAACAGCCAGGCCATCCAGGGCGAGACGGTCCTCAGAGGTCAATCGCTGGTAATTTTGCTTCTCAACCACGCTGAGGATACCAGTCCACTCCATATTGCGTGACTCGGTTTCCATCCAGCCCTCTTTGGGATCCACGATGGTCTTTTCGAGGATGTAGCTCTGGCCGGAATTGTCGGAGCCTCCCATGCCCTTTGGTAGTAGCTTGAGGATTCCAGATGGGACCTTTGATTTCTTCAAATGCAGGCGGATAGTGTGAAGGCGCTGGGTGTTTGGATCGACGTATCGGTCGATGACATCGGTTGTGAGGACATGGCGAGAGTAGGGGTTAGGGTAGCGAAGGAAGTAGGCGAGAGAGACGGCGGGAAAGGAGTAATCGTAGGTGAATTTGTTTTCAAAGAACTTCATGATGGCATTCGATTCATGGATTCATGAGGAAACAAGAAGGGTAGGGAGTCGTCTGATCCAGCACTTTTTGCTCTGGAAGGCGGAGGTAAAAGTGGATACGGGCTAATATTGATCCGGGAATCAGATGCTCCAGATCACGCGAAGATCACGTGATAGAGGGGATTGGCGAATCATCGCCCCGGAATAGCTAATGGTGATGTAAGCCTACCCGAGGTCTAACCGAAAGTCTTCGTCCACGGGTTTCTCATGTTTGGGATTGGTCGAACCCCGCCATTCTGCATGTTGATCTTAGGCAGACCTGCATATACACAGCTTCTTTCATGTGATATATATGCGACCCAGATGGGTTCTTTTGGAGTTAAATAAAGTGAAGTAGGGAAAGTGGGCTAGCCACATATTATCTATACTTCAAGAGAGCAATATAAATATGCTAAAATTAGATGTCTACTGAATTGGGATGCATCAATGTCAAGGCCAACGAGATTGTTTAAGTCTGGTCTTTCTCTTCATAAGTGAAAGACCCTATATAAATGCGAACTCTTCTCCTGAGCCATACTCTACTTGATAGGTCTAATGCTGATCACTAGATTCATGTCTGATGTGCTAGGCTTCTAGCCTGGATGCGCCATGAATCTCAACAAAATATGTTACCAAAGAGATAGATTCAATTAAACATAAAGAGTCCAATGGATAGACATCTCTGAACAGTTCCTCATAGGCAAGTCCTAATATGCCAACCTGCCACGTTCGCTCCCATAAAGCATCAATCATCGAAAGTCTTACCAGCAACATATCCAACCCAACCAATTACAAAGGGATTCTACGAACGCTTCTCTGCCAAAGCCTCGTCCGCCGTAGCGATGATGGGAGGAGGTTTTGGAATATTTTGGCGGAAGATGTAGCGCTTGATGAACCAAGGAAGCCACACGGTCGATTCGTGGTGGATGAATTTCTTGGTGGGAACTGAGAAGACCTCTATGGAAGATATCAGTATACAGCCATATATGCATTGATCGATTGGGTGAGGTCCACTTACGATCCAGTTCTTCTAGAGTGAGTTGCTTTGTTTCTCTGACGAAACAGAAAATCATGCCCCAAGCGATGAGGTTGAGTCCGGCGTAGAAACCGACTATGGTAGATTAGTTAACCTGAATTCATTGTAGTATGATTTGATACAGTCCACGTACAAGCACCAGTTGGTGTCATGACGGTTGTCATTCGAGGGAATGTCAAACCGAGGATACCGGCTGGGAAGATCGTTAGAGGGATTTGACCATAGTTTATCTTGAATGCTTACCGAAAGTGTTGTTGATGCAAACAGCCCAAGCCATTCCTTGTTCACGCTGGATAGTAGGGAAGACCTCGGCAGAGTACTGGAACGCGACTGGGCCTTCACCAAGGGAGTAGGCGATGGTGAATAGATAGACAAACCTATTCGAGGAGATTGGTCAGCTAGAGCACGATTCAAAAATCCAGGAGAGACGCTCACAGGACTACTGGTCCAATTCTGGCACCCTGACTGCCGTCGGTTTTCAGAAGGGAGAGACCGGCTGCGAGTAGGAAAATGCACATGAGGGGGAAAGTCTGTGAAAATAAAACATTAGTTCAATTCACAAATCCAAGAGTAGGCCGAGTCACTCACAATCAGAGTCAGAGTTCTTCGACCCTTCGTATCAATGAGGAACAACGTCGGGATCGTGAAGACAACCTGAATAGCACCATAACCAAGAGAGGCATATAAAGCCTGAGTGGCACTGTAACCAACTTTCTCGAAGATACTTGAACTGTAGAATGAGATAACTATAGCAAGTCAGCGCTGCCAGACGGCGAAAACAAGAATGATACTTACTGTTGATACCACACATCTGCTGGGCAATCATGACAGTTGAGGCACCGTAGTTCGCACGCCTAATTCTAGGCACGGCGAAGCAATCCCACATACGGGAGAAATATCCAGCGCCTCGAGCCTCCTTCAGTTCCTCCTCGTAGATAATATACGAGTAATAGTAATCCCTTGCAGCAATGATAGGATGAGCTCGCAAGCGGTTCATAGATTGGAAAGCTTCAGCATGTCTGCCGTGCTTCATGAGCCAACGGGGGGACTCGGGGCAGAAGAAGATGCCAATACCCAGAATGAACGATGGAATGAATGCCGAGCCGAGCTGGAGGCGCCAGGCGATATCCCCGGTGTCTTTGACGATGACGTTGGCAGCGAAACCCAAGAAAATACCTGCCGCAATCATTAGCAATGGGATATCGAGAAAACCAAGAGCTACCTACCGGCCACAACCCAAAGTTGCCAGAACATAACAAGAGCACCGCGAATTCGAGCTGGGGCCATCTCGGCAGAGTAGATAGGCACAGTAGCGTTCTTCGCACCAATACCGATACCCATAACAAATCGCGCAGCAAACAGCCCCTGCCATGACTGCGCAAAAGCAGAACCAATTGGGGTAGCAGTGAGACAGAGAGCAGTGACGAAAATCTCACCCCTTCGTCCCAAGTAGTGGTTAAGTGGGTCGACAATGAAGGCGCCACTATGCACAATGTCAGCCTCAGAACTCAAAATTAAGGGGCGGATGTCTATATACTCACACCAGACCGGCAGTCAAGAAAATAATCGAATTCACAATTCCCACAATCCATTCATCTCTGCCTTCACCAGCAATACCAAATTCCTGATGGAATGACAGATTGGCTCCATTGGCTCCAGTCTGATCCCATCCTTGGGTAGCGGCTCCAACAGCGCACAGAGCAATGGAATACCAAAGCATGTAAGGACCATGCCATTTGTGATCTCTTTCATATGCAAGCGCAGTGCGCTCCTGCTCGTCCAGCTCAGTTACCAGTTCGAAACCTTTAGGGTCTCGGGCGACCAAAGCGGCGCGGCCGAACAGATCGGCGTGCTCGGACATATTGTGCGATTCGGCGTAGGCGCGAGCATCGGCGAGGGCTTGTTCCTTGGAAATGCGCTACAGAAGCGAAGGTAATCAGTATCCATGTTCAAGAGGGGTTCGTTTATAGTTGAGCAAGGCGAGATATAGATAGTGCAAAACATACCACAAGAGGATTTTCAATGATATTCATAGCACCAGACTTCTTCCCACGGCCAGCCGGCTCGACGAGCTCCGGCGCCAAATCAGCCTTCTCATGAACGACCTCCGGCGCAAGAGCAGCATGATCCTTGGCAAGCTCAGGAGCTGAGATGGCTACATCCTCCTCGTGAGAGAGGACGCTTTTGTTATCCTTTGCATCCATGACGAGAGCGTGCAGGAAAGTGAGGGTAAGTAAAAGGTGGACGGGGAAGTAAAAGTTCTTTGTCCCCCGAAAGAATCACCTTAACGCAATTTTTCGTGGGGAGAGGAAAATTGGCACCTATCCCGCCTATAAAGACGATCTGCACCCCCGTGGGGTAGACCGAAACGCCGATACAACCGAAGGCAACCCTGTCGCGCTTTAGCACCCTTGGCTTTGTCTGTGAGGGCTGTTTAGGGTTAGGCTGGTAAGCACTAGCCGCCTCGGAAGAGGACATAGCACCTTTTCAGCCCCCGGGTTTATTCTGGAGGATTCCGGGGGTGAGTGTTACTGGTCTAGTTCTAATGAGAATAGTGTGCTTGAATTCGTGGTGATTTGTTTATTTATTTCTCTACACATATTGATATAAAGTTGACACACCGTAGGAGGACCAAGGTATGTGCGGGGGAAGAATTTCGTTAAGCCAAGGCTTGGACGCCCCGCCTGGGCCGTCAACGGGGAGGCCGATTTGGCTATTTGGCTTTGGCTATTTTGGCTTGACAACTTGCCCTTTTTGCCATATGGGCCCACATGGATCCACGTGGAGCAAACCCTATACGCTGCTCATTCAATAATATTGTCTGCTTCCCTATATGGGGTAACCCACGTTTTCTAGGCATCTGAGAAAGACTTGATTAAATAGCTGTTAGAATAAAAGGTAAACTCATAGAAGAGGTCTACGGTCCAAGCACCACAAAGCGCTCGCCACCGACGGAAGGCCTCAAATATAAACGATTCGGGGGCGCCACCTTACTAGTCACCAGCGGCTGACCCGACCGTGGCGTCAGCCCAGAATCCCGCAATTGAAGAGTCAGATGATGTTGCCGATCAGCCAGTATTGGCCGGTCTCTCAATGTGGCTGGTCAGAAAGCTACGCCATGGCAATTTGTCAGATTTGCCCGGTAAGCGCATGCCGACAAACGATTTAGATCTTGACGAGTGATTCGAAAGAGACGCGGTCAAAGATGCGGCATTTTTAAAGACTGGGGCCGTACCGCCTGTATTTCATCCATCGTCAGCTGTTGGGAAATGGGCCAAGTACGTAAGAAACTGACTTAGATTACAGGGGTATTGAGTCTGTTACATGAGGGGACTCATGATCTAAATCATACTTCTATACACGTCAGACAGGGGTGGTGACCGATGTAGAAAATGGCAACTTAGTTCCGAAGTATAGGGTTCGGGAAATAACTCGCGTGGTGATCTAAGCGCAAATGTAGCGCAATGTTCGTGTATTCGTACTACATAAGCACGAACAAGTCATGCTAAATACTTGACTACAAGCTACTATCTCTCATTATGACTACCTCATTAGTTGCCTAAATAAAACATACAACTGACGCTTACTTCTAGGTAATAGATCAATATTCCAGCTCACACCAGTGCATTGCACGGTTCGTGATAAGGACATTCACATCTGCAAGGGGGTTTCACGCGTGTCCTGTCTTGTCCCGAAGTGCATATCACGCATTGATGCCCTAGAATCTGGCAAACACGTGGGCAACCTTAAAAAGGCCCGAGCCAATGTTCAAGCAAGCAGCTATACATCGCGTATAGCTCACAGGCAGAACCACTAGGGTCCCTAGATTGCGCCTGGATAAATTACAAGGGATTGATTGCATCAACGCTATAGCAATGTGATGCCAATGCACTATATCACAAGTGACTCTTCACAAAAGATACTGACTCAAGCAGGATCTAAATGCAAGGGGTAAAACCTACCCATTAATGCTCATAGATAAGTTACTCGGAGGGTACTTGGTTTTGGAAGGGCACACCGCTGTATTCATTGATGTCATAGGGGAAGTATGTGAGCTCCTACTTAGTCTAAGGTTTATCTAGGGATATGCTAATAGTGCCGTAGAATTTTTAGTCAGCTCTCACTTCAGAACCAAACTCGACTTTCTAAGTGTTATTTGTGACATAGGTAGAAGGTGCCAATGTGTATGAAGCCGTGATGGTGCAATCCAAGTGGAGCCGATCTCGCCCCCTCCAATTCCGATCCTCTTCCCATCTACACAACTCTAATCCATCAGGTTAGGTCCACAGCTCTACATGGGACAACTCCAGCGCACTCCATGTTTCCAGTGTCGATTTCGTAAGGTAAGTTCAAACAAGCACCAGACCAGAACAGAGCTAAAGGAAACAGGTCCGCTGCGATCGCCGCCCAGGCAACTGTGAGAATTGTGCCCGACTGGAATTCGCATGCTCTTTCTCTAAAGAAAGTGGAGTGACCTCCAGGTACAATCCTACCAAAGATCACCCACCAGAGCGGCGGCGGGGAAATCAGGCTTGTACGGAATGTCGTCAGCAGAAGTCGCGGTGCTCTGGGGAGAGCCCTGAATGTGCGAATTGCATTCGAAGGCAACGTCGATGTCGATATCCACCAACAAAAAAGCCTGCCCAGTCAAAGCCTCAGCAGGCTAGGCTGTCATCAGAGGTGACTGCCACTCCTAGCCTACATCAGAATAAAGACTTGTAAGTCTTCCCGGCTGTATTATCCGCTTTACCCCTCTGACAAGTATAGGCTGGTTTCAATTGTCTCTCATAAGGAGCTTCTCCAGAGTGTTCATGACTATTTTGAGTGGATCTATCCGCTGCCTTCATACTCCTTTCTTCATGAGCCGACAATTCGAGAACAAAGCCATAATAATACCCTGGACCAATCTCTTGCTCTGGTCCTGGTCGCAATCACAAATTTATTATTATCTGAAAAAGGCCAACCGTTGAATGAGAGTCCGTCTCTCCTCAAAAAAGCAGAGACTATCATCTTGGACGATCTGGAAAGGCCAAGTACTATAAAACTCCAAGCCTTGATTTTGATAACCCATTATCATATCCAAACAGGCCGGTTCTCCAGAGCTTACATGCTGACAGGGCTGGCTGCAAGAGCAGCTACTGCATTGCGCCTCAATTATGAACGTCCCGAGTTGAGTTTCATCGCCCAAGAGTCTCGTCGGCGAGTTCTCTGGGCTCTAACAGCCATCGACGGTCAGTTTTCCGTGGGACTACCGGAATATGAAACAATACCCCACACAATAATTTATCAGCGCCTCCCATGTCGAGAAAATGTATTCTCTACAGGGGATTCAGGGCATGCAGAAGCCCCGATATTGGCTCATGTCCATCTGGAGAAGGACTCGACCTCACCCATCAGCTTACTGGGTGTATGTATTCGCCTTTCCAAAATTCAAAAGGACATCATGCGCTTGACTAGACAATTAGCTTTGTCAGAACAGCCTCTCGTACACCTGATTGGTCTAGTTCAAGAAATACAGAAAGACCTATGGCGAGTACAGGCGGATGTTGAGCTATCTTTCGGATATCAAATCACATCTTCAACCCACTTGATCGCTGCACAAGACGACCGTTGGTTCACGCGCTTCCTCCAAATCGCTGTCTCCTGGCACCAGTCTCACTGCGATCTATACCGACTCTTTCTCCCCGGCTACCCAGAAGCCGCCCCAAAAATCATCATTGGAGCGATGGACATCAGTATTCGGGAACATGCCGTGCGTCAATGCCATGAACATGTTGATCATATCAGTCGAATACTTTCTGGCTTGCAGAATCTCCCGTCTACCTTGATACTGCCGCACTCAATTGCCATTTGTGCATACCACGCAACACGATTGACGCTCTTCCTTTCATCGTCACCTGATGTGAATGTACCATTGGAAATGAGTGATGCAATCGCAAAAGCACATATAGCGGTAGCTGTCACTGAGACATACTTCTCGGCTTCGCCGAGTACGAAGCAGATTGTCTTGGATTTGCAAGGGCTGGCGCGCACTGTAGGTACAGAGCCGGAGTCTATATATAGGGAGTTGTGTAGTCCTTCTCCGCCTTTTGATCAGGGGTTCTATCGGCATGGTCATTTAGCGATCCATAGTTTGGTTCGACAGGCAGGTTTTGTGGATGATGGGTATGATTGACTCAGCCTGTTGGTAGATGTATGATATGATAGTCGAACTCGCAGAACATTTCCGTAGGATATGCTTTCATGATACTCTAAAATACTTCTCTAGTCGCTCAAATATCAAGCTCTTGAAGATGTGAAAATTCATACGATTGTGTATACTCTCACTTTGTCCAATGTCGTCGAAGACCGACTGCCGCCGACTGCCGTAGTGAAGTGGGGTCTGTGGAGGTTGTGTACTCTTGCGCCATTCTTTCTGCTCCAGAACCCTTTCAACGCATCTTCATTGGAAGAAAGCCATCATGGAACGAGGGTTTACAGAGTGGTCCTACAAGAGGGGCTTCAATGGATTATCCCCTCATATTAGAGGGCCAAGCTGAGGTATTAAAGTCCGCGATACCCCCCTGACGTATTCAAACTTCGATTCTCTTCGGCAATTGTACGGATTGGTTGGAAACAAGAGGAGATAGCCATCATTACCACAAGATCCCAACTTGTCAAAGACTCACATGAAGACATCATGGCTTCCCCAATCCGCCCAAACATCTTGTTCATCATGGCCGATGACCATGCCTCGAAATCAATTTCGTGTTATGGAGCAGGCATCAACAATACCCCCAACCTCGATCGTCTCTCCAACGAAGGAATGAGGTTCAACCACTGCTACGTAACCAACAGCATCTGCACTCCCTCCCGAGCCGCCATCCTGACAGGAACACACAACCACGTCAACGGAGTCATGACTCTCGATTCTAAGATCAACAAGCACAGCCCGAACGTAGCCAAATCCCTCCGAACAGGTGGCTATCAAACAGCCATGGTCGGTAAATGGCACCTAGGCGAAGGCAAAGAACACGAACCAACAGGATTCGACTACTGGAGCGTCGTCCCAGGCCAAGGCGAATACCACGATCCAGAATTCATCGGACCAGAAGGAACGGAGCGCGAGCGCGGATACGCAACCGACATTATTACAGAGAAGAGTCTGAACTGGATCAAAGAGCGTGATGCCAACAAGCCCTTCTTCATGATGTGCCACCACAAAGCACCGCACCGCAGCTGGGAATGCAACCCTAAGCACCGCGATCTATACAAAGACCCCATCCGGCTGCCAGATACATTCACAGATGACTACAAAAACCGCGCGCAAGCAGCCAAGGTCGCCAAGATTCGTGTCGCTGAAGACCTCACATACTTCGACCTAGGTCTCGTCCAACCAGATGGCGGACTCGACATCGGCGAGAAAATGATGGACAAATGGTGGTTCCAAGACCGCAAGATCCCCGCACCGGAAGATGTAACGAAAATGAAACTTATCGACAAAGAAGACGGCACAGTCTTTACCTTCGAGACGACCCAAGAACTCGCCGAATTCAAATTCCAGCGCTACATGCAACGCTACCTCCGCACAATCCAAAGTATCGACGACAACGTAGGCCGCATGCTGGACTTCCTAAATGAAGAAGATCTAATGGAGAACACGATCGTCATCTACACCTCCGACCAAGGCTTCTTCCTCGGCGAACATGGTTGGTTCGACAAACGATTCATGTACGAAGAGAGCTTCCAAATGCCCTTCCTAATCCGATACCCAGCGGAGATCACAGCCGGGTCAGTATGCGACGATATAGTCTGCAACGTTGACTTTGCGCCTACATTCCTTGATTTTGCCCGTCTGCGCCCGCCGACGTATATGCAGGGTGTCAGTTTCCGGTCTCTATTGAAGCAGCAGACGCCGGCTGATTGGCAGCAGGTTGCGTACCATCGGTATTGGATGCATCGGGATATTATCCACGAGGCTTATGCTCATTATGGTGTGCGTGATCAGCGGTATAAGTTGATTTATTGGTATAATGAGGACTTTGGCATTGAGGGAACGAGGCCGGGTGGTGAGGAGAAAGAGTGGGAGTTGTTTGATTGTGAGCTTGATCCGCTGGAACTGTTTAATTGTTACCATGAGGCGGGTTATGGGGAGGTTGTTAAGCGTATGACCAAGATGCTTGAGGATAAGATGGAGGAAATTGGTGATGAGCCTGTTCACCCGCGATGAAAGTGGGATTGTAAGTTAGCAGTTGCCTTCAACATGTGAATAAGAATGGGTCTCTTTTACTATATCATCCACAGCTACTTGCAAGGTTCAAATGTGTGTTGCAAAAGCAGACTAGATCTGACCGGTACTATTCTCTAGACCATGCTCATCCCCCGCACATGAAACCAATCCTTTCACACCTGGCCTTACACTCAACAATCAATCCTACTAACACAAAACCATACATCAATTGACATCAATCCGACAGAATCAGATAAACCGGATTACCCCGGTCCTCGGACTGAACCGCGCCCCCATGCAGTCCCCCATGTATCTAGACCCAACCTCACGGACCCTCTCATGCATGATGCAACTCGGAAACTCTCGGCTTCTGGGCGGCACAGGCTCCATGTGTTGAAGCAAGCGGTTACCGAGCATTTACATTCGTGTGATAAATACGGTGATAATCTTGAATGTTTAAGAGAAACGAATTCTAGACTATTGTTCCAGGAATTTAATGCTATCTCTACTCTGTAATGACCTTGCTTGAGAGATGATACTACTGTATACAGGGGGAGTCGGGATGTCACTCTGTGCCTCGTGCCGACCAGCTTCCGTTTCGGGATAGGGTTCGGGAACGGCTAGACTCGCTCTCGGCGAGATCCCGTGCACATGTAAATCTCATGAATAGCGTCATTTCTCTGGGCGAAGATCTATCGTAGCCGTGAACTTGAACACGTAATCTTTTGTGTTCCAGCCATGTCTGATGCTCAACAAGGATATCAATCACAATACATAGCGTGATGATACTCACCGGCCGAGCCATCTCGTCGCCAACATTTACCTCAGACCGTCCATTCTTCCAACCAGTCGGATTTCTTCTAATTGCCTCTGCCCCGAATTCCTCGGCTTAAATTTCATTCGCCGAGATAGCTCTAGACTAAGTATCTAGACTCAGGCTGGGCGTACATGTAAAAAAAAATGAGACACGGTTGCCCAGTCTCCCCAAGCCTCATTCTCAAAACCGGCATCTGATTATACCCGGGTAAGTTAAAGCGAAAGAAATAAGGGCGACACGATTGGTGGCAAGAACGCAGATAGATCAATTTGGGGGGTGCATAACGAGGAAACCATTTTCCCTCTCAGCCGAAACAAGGAACTTGAGTCGCCGATAAGCAGAAACCAAGAGAAACAACGGGAAAGGCGCGGCGAGGTGGACAAAAAAGGTAAGATCGGCTCTTTGTTAGCGCGAATCTTAAAGTTTGCGGGAATATCCCCAGATCCCCGCACTACAGCAGATCTGGGGATGTACCTACGTATGTGACAATGACAGATATATATATATATGTCCACACTTGCCCATTGGAGATGATTGACCTGTCTTCACTAGCAGAGTCAATTGAATCTGCGCAGAGCGGCCTCCTTTTCTATTTATTATATTACACTATATCGTGTTGATCTATACACTTCCATTCCATCATGTGGCCTCGCAACAAACCCCCTCAGGAAGACGACAAAAAGGATGATAACACTTTTGAAAACGTCGACGATGTCAAGGCGGATATGGAGAGCGCCCATATTGAGAAGATCGATGCTAGTGTGGACAATATTGCGACCAGCATCGACAACTTACCAGTCAGCTGGTTCGTATGGCTTGCAGCCCTGACCGCGTCAATGGCTGGTCTGCTCTTTGGATATGATACTGGTATTATTTCTGGTGTGCTGGTATACCTGGGTGACTCTCTCAACAACAGACCGGTGACGAGTAACGAGAAGGAGATGATTACTGCTCTTTGTTCAGGAGGGGCGTTTGTCGGTGCTATCTTTGCTGGAAATACTGCGGACAAGGTATGCATAGCACCCCTGTAATCTTCAGCCCTCTATGAAGTCGATACTAACTTAACGCCTATAGTTCGGCCGCAAAATGGCAATCTACCTTGGCTGTGTCCTTTTCATAGCCGGCGCCGTCATCCAGGGAGCAGCCTACACAGTCGCCCAAATGGCCGTCGGTCGCCTTGTCGTCGGCTTCGGCGTCGGCTGCGGCGCAATGGTGCTACCATTATATGTCGCCGAAATCGCACCCGCCAAAGCCCGTGGCAAACTCATCGGCTTGAACAATATGTCCATCACCGGCGGCCAAGTCGTCTCCTACGCAATCGGCGCTGCCTTTGCCAGCGTCCCCAACGGATGGCGATACATGGTTGGACTTGGTGCCGTACCTGCCATTGTCCTGGGGGTGCTTATGCCCTTCTGCCCTGAGTCACCTCGTCATCTGGCATACAACGGTCGCAATGCCGAGGCCAGACTTGTTCTTCGGAAAATCTACAGAAAGGCCACCGAGGATCAGATTGATGCAGTTCTTCTCTCTATTTGTTCGGCCTGTGACCAGGCCCGCGAGATGAACGAGAGTGGTTCGCGATTCTCGAAGATTAAACAGCTTCACACTGTTCCGAGTAACCTGCGCGCTTTGATTAGTGCTTGTGGGTTGATGGTTATCTCTCAGCTTTCGGGTTTCAATGCTCTCATGTACTATTCTTCTACGCTCTTTGCGCTGGTCGGATTCGATAACCCCACTGCTGTTGGTCTTGTTGTTGCCGGTACCAACTTTATCATGACTTTCGTTAATATGATGACGGTCGATACCATGGGTCGCAGAAAACTGCTTCTCTCGACTGTATGGGGCATGGCGGTGGGCATGATTGCCGTTGCTGTTGCTTTCATGTGGATTCCTGTGGACCTGGATACGATGGAAGTTACTGGGAAGGGAGTTTCCAACGCGGCCATTGTTGTTTTGGTATTTATTATTTGGTTCGTGGTCTTCTACGGCGTTTCAGTTGGAAACACTGCCTGGATGAGCACCGACTTCTTCCCTCTCGAAGTTCGCGCTATCGGAACTATGTGGTTGACATGCTCGAACTGGGGAGCCAATGTTATCATCTCCAGTACATTCTTGTCTATGATGAAGGCGTGGACCCCGTCTGGAGCCTTTGGATTCTTCGCTGCTATTTGTGGTCTCGGCTACATCTGGCTCTACTTCTTCTATCCCGAAGTTTCGGGACTTGTTCTGGAGGAGGTTAAGGAGGTCTTCGAGCATGGATTTGGTGTTAAGTATGCTCGCGAGCTGAGAAAGGAGAGAAAGGAGATTATTGAGGAGAGGATGAAAAGTATGGAGAAGCCGGTTGCTGCTGGACATTAACGGCTTCTCTAATTGGTTCTTGATCTCATGTACCATATCTAGAATGACCATCCTCGGAATGAGTTCAATGACAATATATGACACATTAACATTATGCATTCACTGTTTTGTATTTACCCTTGTGGATGTTTGCATACTTGGTGAGTTGAGAACATTCAAGCTGTGGCGTCAAGACCGACGTAGTCCCTACTAATGTCCCTCTATGATCAGCACATGGATGATCACCCAGATGCCAGGTTCGGGCAATATTCCCCCCTACGGAGCCATCCGCTCGAGCTAGTCAGCCCCGCAAACTTTACCGTCCCCTGCAACCGGACCAAGTGAAAAAGGAAGTATTCGCCGCTGTTTTCATAATCTCCTTGTAATTATCTCACACACCGTTGGTCAATATTTCGGCGACTAAATTCCTCATACGGGAATTTTTCCAAATGGACGGCCCTATCTCCAGACGTCGACGGGATATCCCCTGTCATCATTGTCGATATGTCATACACACTCAGACTTGACGTCGATAACTAACACGGACATACAGAGCGGCGTCTGAAGTGTAATATCTACGCATATAGCCATATCAAGAAGGTCTCTAGCGACCGAGAACAGGCGAATACGAGCCTGGAGCAAGCGGATGCCAACATTGTATCCGACACAAGAAGATCTGCAAACGACGCGCTGATAGAGGTCGTTTCAGCTTTATAGGGCGCGGTCAGAGCGAGCTTGCTTTTCCGAAAGATCAGATATGGCTGCGTACGAGATGTAAGCAGCGGTCTTTTACTGGAATCTTCGGTTCATGTCACGGCTACTGACTCTAGCTAATAGTAAACTTGACCCTCTTGACATAAGATGACGAGGCCAAATCTGATACACTTGGCGACGGCTATCGAGGTTCGGAAGATGATGGCTATTGCTCTCAGTCTGAAAGGCCGATAGAGCAGGCCGAGGCGGAGGTACCGCTGTCTCCTCGGTCGCCTGTGATTCCTAGGAATCATAATCTCTTCGAGGACATAGATACGGCAATTGAATTGGGACTGGTAGGGGAGGGGGGGAGACATCTGGAAACAGGGGAAAGAGGGCCGTGGGATCCTTTCTCTCTGACGATCCGCCGTTAAGCTCGCCGCCGACTTACCAATCCCCTTTCGATGTTGTCAGATTCTTCCACCAATCCGATTCTGGTTTTGATAGCCATACACCGAGCATTTTGCAGACATCTGAGCGTTCCCATGAGCTTCCTAGTCATATTGACACCCAATTTTTTTCGTGCCCTGTTTAAGCCTGCCCCGACAAAGCTAGTCAATAAGATTCGACTTCATGCAGTACTACTTGGATACTTTGGTGAGGAAGCTGCTAGGAAGCTTGATTTATGTGATCAAAAGCGTCACTTTGTAGCTGTGATCCACAGCGAGCAGTCATTTCCCCGCCACTCTTGGATGCAATTTACACTATATCTGCACGCACGGCGAGCATAGGTAGCTCGTTACTAATTATGAAGCGGGCGATGTTGTTTTCCATGATCCTTACATTATTCATGCTAGGGGGCGCAATGAGGATCCGCAGGGTCGCATTCGGTTGAGTACTGATTGAGGTTTTATACGAAAGATTCTAAGGAGCTTGATACTCGTTGGTGTAAGATTTGATATGTGATTGAGATATTTATAATGCATTTGGGGGTATGAGCTCATGAATACTCGCGTTGGAAATGAATTACGTTTCAGTAAATTGAGATTTCATGGATACATCACTTAAACTGTTACATGCTAGTATGAAACTTGATATCTATTTATTGATGGGATATCAGGCATGATGAATGGTTGATGTGTATGTGTTGTTGACCTCATGAATTACGTTTATATAGCCAAAGAGTGCAGTGTTCTACATCGAGCAGGCAAGATGGCCGAGTTGGTCTAAGGCGTCAGGTTAAGGTCCACCTTAACTCCCACTGTTTCGGCAGTTTCCTGATCTACGTTTGTAGGCGTGGGTTCGAATCCCACTCTTGTCATTTCCTTTTTGTTTTTTTGTGATTTCAGGTTTCACAGAAACTGAGAAGGTCTTTCTGTTTTATACAGAAGAACTAAATTGCGTCTGTGGTTTTGTCGCTTTGGTTCATTCTTTTTGTGCACCGTCTACTTCATTCATATCATCGGTCTTTTTCAACATTCCCGCATCAAAGACCAACAGCACTAAATGCCGACCCCTAAAAATAGAAATCATAGTACGTAGCATACCAAAGATAAATTTAATTCGTGTATAGTATGTGTTGACGCTGTTTCCTTGAGGAGGTCAGCTAGTCAAGACTACATTCCAATTTCATCGCCAGTTATCTCCGGTTTGACTTGTCAACCTCCGAAGAGGTTTCCATGTAATAGATGTGGGATGGCTTCGAGGCCCAAAACCATGGTAAGTCAAATTTAATCTTTAACTTGACAAAATTCACAGTTGGCCGATTACTTTATTTCAGTGATACTTGCCGGAGTATGCCATCATCACTTCGATCATTGTTCATACCTAATTATTGTTACTGACAAGAAATCATTTGAAGTGTAAAAGTTAATATCTGAACCCAATGTGTTTTGTTAGAGCCGCAGTAACGAATCTATAGGTGAGGACAGCATCCAGAAATGTTCGAGGTGTCAGAAGTCCGGGCGAGATTGCATCCGCCGTGAAGCGAAGCGCCAGTTCTATAATAGCTCGACAAGTGATACAGTAGCATCACCAGGAAAAGTTTATCTTTTGTATTGCCACAAAGATCTCCTGGACTGACATTGGATAGCAGCTGCCGCTTTTCAATATATTGATAAGACTCCCAAATTCACAGGAACTCACACCGAGAATCCATCTCAACCTGCTACTAAAGAAGCACAGGAAGGGGATCCTAGAGGGACCAATTCAAGTATTATCTCATCAAGCAGAGCGAATGAACACCCTCTCTGCATGTATTGCGATCACTATACGTGGAGATCGATTTTCTGAACCAACGGAGCAGAAGGCCTTCATGGATATTGTAGTTCATACTAGTCGAGATAAGAAATACTAGCCACCCACCAGTACCGGGGATGGAACTAGTTAATTCTATTCGAAATTTCTATCAATGTCTTGTAGTGTTCATGCAACAATGTCTGTATATACGTACTTCGGACACGAATAACTCTGTCGCCCAGGATGAGAAATTTCCATATCGACATCAACGCTCAAAGTGCTATCCTATCAGCATCCTCAATCCGCAATATATTTTGACTGAGTAACCAATGTGGAAATAAAGACAAAGGGATTCGCGGGGTTAATATACTGCATACCTCCGACCAATCAGAACCGCCAGTGATAGCGGAAATTCTGACTCATCCCGATATTGGAGAGGGGCAACAGAAGAAATTCATTTCTCCAACCACATAGAGTGAGTGTTGGCTGTCGCCTCTAGCAATTGCGTGAAAATTTGGATTACTGACTGAAAGATCTTCAGATTTCACTATAAACCGCACATCATGGCGAACGAAGCAGCCCCTCCGGCCATCAACGACTTGAGCCTCGCCGAAAAGGTTCCCGAGACCAAAGCTGTTGGCCAAATCGTGACTCCTTTCGATGTTTCCGGTGGTGTCGATGAGTCCGGGAAGCTCCTGCCCGTCGACTATGAGAAGCTCACTCGCGAGTTCGGCGCCACACCCATCAATGCTGCGTTATTGGAGCGCTTTGAGAAGGTTACCGGACACCGGCCACACCGTTTCATGCGTCGCGGTATTGTCTTCAGTCACCGTGACTTGGCCAAGATTCTGGATCGCCATGAGAAGGGGGAGCCTTTCTTCCTCTACACTGGCCGTGGACCCAGCAGTGACAGCATGCACGTGGGACACACTGTGCCATTCGAGTTCACCAAGTATGAATGCCTCCCCAATTGAGGGAAACTGATAGAGGCTAATTGTTTCAAATAGGTGGCTCCAGGATGTCTTCGACTGCCCTCTAGTGATCATGATGACCGACGACGAAAAGTACATGCACTCCCAGAAGATCGATATTGAGGACTCCAAGAGATACACAAAGGCGAACGCCAAGGACATCATTGCTGTTGGATTCGACATGAAGAAGACTTTCATTTTCAGCGACTTCGAGTTTATTGGCGGCGCTTTCTACGAGAACATGTGCAGGATGGCCAAGAGAATCACCATCAACCAGGTCAAGGGCACATTCGGCTTCAATGACAGCAACAACATTGGCGAGTTCCACTTCTGTGCGACTCAGTCTGCCTCAGCGTTCGCTACCAGCTTCCCTCACATCTTCGGCACCGATACCAAGAAGGTCGCTTCCATTCCGTGTTTGATTCCCTGCGCCATTGACCAGGATCCTTACTTCCGTCAATGCCGCGAACACGCCGAGAAGATGAAGTTCAAGAAGCCCTCTTTGATTCACTCAATTTTCCTTCCCGCACTCCAGGGTCCTGGATCTAAGATGTCTGCCAGTATCGACAGCTCTGCCATCTTCATGAGCGACACTCCGAACAAGATCAAGAACAAGATTAACAAGCACGCTTTCTCCGGTGGTCAGGATACTGCCGAGAAGCAGCGCGAGCTTGGTGGAAACAGCAAGGTCGACGTTCCCTTCCAGTACTTGACCTTCTTCCTCGAAGACGATGAGGCACTGGAGAAGATCCGCAGCGAATACGAGAGTGGCCAGATGATGACGGGTGAGATCAAGCAAAAGTGTATTGCCCAGCTTCAGGAGTACGTCCAAGGATTCCAGGACCGTCGGGCCCAGGTCACCGATGAGATCATGGCCGAGTACATGCGCCCTCGTCCTTTGGAGTGGAAGGGTAACCCTAGCCCAATCGTGGTTGAGAAGGCCAAGAAATAAACCTAAGTTGCATTGAGCGGAGCATTCGGACACGAAAAGATAAATGTGATTTCATAGCCTTTCATCAATTTACCGATACCTTTCAATACCGATAGTAGTCATGCACTCATAATTTGCGGCAAGGACCTGTTGTCCAGCTATGTCAACACCACTTGGCCTTGCATAAAACCCCTTACCCCATTGCTCAACCAACACAGCTCTCCATCCACAAGGTCGTCACGGCTGATAACTTGTTCCACACAGAATCCTTGCGACAGGGCATATCTCCGTGTTGTCCCTGCGTTACCGCCGCTGCTTAATGGAGGTGTGATCCACATGTGTTCCCGTTGGAAATACACCGTGGTGATGCTGCCCTCCATAACCTCGTTATTGGGGTTCACAAGTAGGACCTCGGATGTTTCTGCTGGTGATTTGATCCCGGCTCTGAGCCGGGCAGCTGTGTAGTCATCTCGCGCGGTGGTTTTGTGAGTTGTAAAGCCGGAAGGAATGATGAATTGTGTATCAACGTAGACCTTCCACACAGGCACTGCCGGGTCTGTGTGCAGAGTCGGAATGAGCAAACCCATTATATCGATTGCTGCTGTTGGATTCACTTCCACTGTGCAGTTCCCATTGTTGTTTACTACGATTCGAAGTCTCCAGGGTTTGCTTCGGTCTGGTATCGACGCGTCGAGGAACTGCTCAAAGCTTTCCAGGTCCCGCTGAAGCCAGTCTAGTGCCTTTTTCATCAGGAAATGACGCGCTGCTGCTATAAGGCGATCTTGGTGGTAGGCGAGGAGGTAATAGGGCGAGTGATGGGGTGTGGGATAGCATTGTGCAAAGCGACACGCAACGTCTGGTAGGTCTGTATCAAAGCGGACGGAGGAGAAGATCTCGAAGGGTTGAATCTTGCTTGAAGAAGAAGCGCTGGCCATGATTGCGACTCAACATTAGTTCAAAACACAAAAGTTTGAGTAGAAACGTACCCGGAGCAATGACGCCAGCCCGTTCGCTCCGGTTGTGGAGAAATCGGATGCGTGATTGGCCGGTGCGGGCTGATGGAACTCTTGACTTTTCGTCGAGCTTCATCACTCCTGTCTCTATCCTCCTTCAGGTCCAGTTAGTCCCCCCTACCTTTCATCTCGAACAATTAGCGCGTCAATCATTCAATACTGATCCGAGTTGTCTCCAGAAAGAACTAGCAGCGTCGGTCGCTTTGCCCGGTTCCATAACACATCATGTCGAGCGAGTCGCCATTACCCACGCCCGCCCAGAATGTGGTGCTTGATACATCGAAGCTCACTGAGTCTTCATCTGCATCGGTCTGGGATCGCATCACCAACTGGGTTTCCGAGAACAAGGCCGTTGTCTATACCATTGCCGGTGTTGCCGTCGTCGTGACCGGCGCGGGTGTCGTCTACTACTTGAACGACTCCAGCAAGCCCACTCCCTCCGTCCCGAAGAAGAGCAAGAACCAGCGTCGGAAAGAGAAGAAGAAGGCCGAGGATGAGAAGAAGGCCAAGTCTGCCTCTGATGGTAGGTGTATTTCGCTTCAAACACGGTGGTCGCATGACTGACGCAATTCCAGAGTCTGCCAAGAAGACTGAGGAGCCCGCCGAGGAGCTCCCAGAGGTTGACGAGGCTACCATTGGCCAGCTGTCTGAAGAGGTGAGTTTGACAAATCGCCTCAATTGATGGATTGTCATTGACATACTGTTTCAAGACCCGCAACGCCTACGCCGGCAAGCTGAAGGCCGCCGGTAACAAGGCTTACGGTGCTAAGGACTACCCCAACGCCATTGACCTCTACAGCAAGGCTATTCTCTGCAAGCCCGACCCCGTCTTCTACTCCAACCGTGCCGCCTGCTACAATGTCCAGTCGGACTGGGACAAGGTCGTCGAGGACACCAGTGCCGCTCTTGCCATGGACAGCGAATATGTCAAGGCCCTTAACCGGAGAGCAATTGCCTACGAGCACCTCGGCAAGTTCAGCGAGGCTCTGCTAGACTTCACTGCCAGCTGCATCATCGATGCCTTCTCCAACGATGTCAGCCGCAACTCCCTCGAGCGCCTGCTGAAGAAGGTTGCCGAGAAGAAGAGCCAGGCTATCCTGGAGGCCCGCACCAAGAAGCTGCCTAGCGCTACCTTCGTTTCCAACTATCTGCAGAGCTTCCGTCCCCAGGTCCTGCCTGAGGGTCTCGAGGAGTCTGTTGAGTTGAGCGAGGAGTCCGGCAAGGGTCAGCTGCGCAAGGGTCTCGTCGCTATGACGAAGAAGACTGCGGATGGGTACGAGGAGGCCGCCGCTGCCTTCGAGAAGGCCCTCGAGATCGGTGACCTCGGTGACTTCGAAGGCTTGGCCCTTAACATGAGGGCCACTTTCACCTACCTCGGCGGCAACGCCCCCGGTGCCCTCGTTGACCTGAACAAGAGTGTTGAGCTTTCACCTTCTCTGGTTCAGAGCTACATTAAGCGCGCCAGCTTGCACCTCGAGCTCGGTACGTGCCAAACGATATCTTGGTAATTCTCGAAGCTTTACTAATACCATTATAGGAAACAAGGATGCCGCCGCTGATGACTTCGAGCTTGCCATCACCCACAACAAGGACGACCCTGATATCTACTACCACCGTGCCCAGCTGCACTTCATCCTGACTGAGCTTGCCGAAGCCGCCAAGGACTACCAGAAGTCCATTGACCTCGACCGCTCCTTCATCTACTCCCACATCCAGCTCGGTGTGACACAATACAAGATGGGCTCCGTTGCCTCAGCGATGGCCACTTTCCGTCGCACAGTAAAGAACTTCGAGGAGGTCCCCGATGTGTACAACTACTACGGTGAGCTTCTGCTCGACCAGCAGAACTACTCTGAGGCCATCGAGAAGTTCGACAAGGCCGTCGAGATGGAAAAGCAGAGCAAGCCCATGGGTATCAACGTCTTGCCCCTGATTAACAAGGCTCTTGCCCTGTTCCAGTGGAAGCAGGACTTCCAGGAGGCCGAGAACCTCTGCCAGAAGGCTCTGATCAGTAAGTTTCCCACACACCGTGGTGTATACTTCCATGCTAACCCCTGACCAGTCGACCCTGAGTGCGATATCGCCGTCGGAACCATGGCCCAGCTGCTTCTCCAGCAGGGCAAGGTCTCCCAGGCCCTCAAGTACTTTGAGCGCGCCGCTGAGCTGGCTCGCACCGAGGCTGAGATCATCAACGCCATCTCCTACGCCGAGGCCACCCGCACCCAGCTGGAGGTCCAGGAAAAGTACCCCCAGCTGGCAGCCCGCCTGAACACCATGGGCGCCATGGGCGGCGGTGCCGGCATGTAAAAGCACTGACTTCACGTCAACCCTCCCCTCCCTCTTGGTTTCTTTTGATTCTTCACCTGAATCTGACCCCGAGGCCATATTTGCCTTTGATTACTCCCCGGTTTTTTCAGATTCCCGACCACCTTTTACTATGCGTGTATTTACTATCGGTTGACATATTCCCCGGCCGTCTGGTTTTTCTTTTTCTCTTTCTATTTTGGCACTGGGTATATGCGGACCGGGGGATCGGCTGGAAAAACCGAGGCTTTTGGGCCAGTGCATTGGGTGAACATGTAGTAATTTGTGTACCATAGAAGAGAATGAGAGCTTATTCAGTAGAAGTTCATTTTGGGTCTATATAGAACAGCTTTTCAGCCCTATATAGTATTGGAGACTTATACGAGGCCGTGTATGTGTAAGTTACCGTGCCCCACTCCTGGAGTATATTCTCTATCCGAAGAATGGTCTCGAAGCAAGGTAGCGTCTTGATTCCACTCTTGGTCTCATTCTCTCGTCTTTCGAGGTATAGAAGTGGGGTGCAAGGATGACTATGACGTCGGCCCCCACATCGGCCCAATCTTATCTTTTGCTCTTAACAAGCTTAAGATAAGATCATATAACATATTCTAGGCGGTAGGTATGTAGGAAAACCCGGCAGGTCAGGCTGTAATTGGAACGTCAGAGCTACTAGAGTTACTGCATACACCTCCAGGTGGCTGTCCTCCGGAATTCCTTTCCGAGGTTTCTTCGATAATTTTGACCAAGGAGAATGCTTTTCGACTATACCACACCTTGTTTTGAACATTGCGAAGATGAAAGAGTCTTATTCTTGCTCTCCCAAGCATGAAGATGGGTGCCTGGAGGGCCTACCTCCATCCGTCAAGAGGTACACATACCAAGGAAGGTTCCATTTCCGCCGTATGCTAGATCTTGAATGGGGCAGGTGCGATCGTTTACTTTTCCACATTAAACCAGTAGACTTGCAACATGACTTCCTCTCTACTACAGCTTTTTTCTCTCACGTTCGTCTGTCTTTTGATATCAATCATCAGTTAATGCTCGTGAAAATGCCGAGCCCTGAGCACGGAGCAGCAACGGGAGCACTAGCCAGATATATGGAATATGAACTGGTCAAAATGGGCTATTGGGCCACGGACGCAATAACATCCTATTCCGGCTCGGGCATTCGGATAAATGACAAGGGCAAAGACGCGGATTTTGGCTGGGGACGCTCAGATCGCCCTGACGAAGAGGGAGTCAGACTGACAGTAGCTGTGGAAGTTGGAATTTCAGAAGCTTCGACTGTTCTGAAAAGAGACATCGATTTTTGGCTCAACCCGAACTTTGCGAAAGGAAACCTCGTGATCGCGATCAAGGTACATGAAGACAGGGCTGAGATTGAGATTGATTCATGGGAGCTTGATCAATGGGACCACGTGCATCGCGTTGCTCATCTTCAGATCTCAAAGGGAAACAAGAAAGGTGCCATCAGCGTTTGCGGAGACCCTTTGATCATTTCGTTTGAAAATTTGGTTGGAAGACCGAGGATCACGCGATCTGAGAAAGATATCATCATCTCCAAAGCAGCTTTACAAGTCCTGGCTAAAAAGGTGTCGAAAGAGCAGAAACTCTAGGGTGGCTCTAGCCAACCCTTGGTCAGCGGTGAACCTACATCATCTACCCCTCACCACATTTCTTCAACTTCACCTCTTTTCTTCATCCTTTGTGCTTTATTCTTTGCTCTTTGCTCTTTGATATTTGATCTTGGTTTCTTATCTCGGTGATACGGGGCACATGTGACCCGGATCCCCACGGTAAGCTTTATCTCGACATCCCCACCTGATATCAGGCACCTCTTTCTTACCCTACACATCTACCTGACCCAGACCCTGCATCTCAGTCTAACCTTCTTACACAGTACACAATATCTCCAGTCTTACACCTTTCCACATTTTCAAAACCTGATACCTAACTCGTGATCCTCGCCCTTCAGTGCTTCGTCATGCCAGACCCACAGGGTATGTATACGAGCCCCGCTAGATCGAGTTCCCGCTCAGTTAACACTTTGCTTTATCTACAAGTCTCCGTGACGTTTGTCCCTCTCTGGGATGATACCCATCCTTCTCGTGCTCTCACTTTATTCGACGATGACGTACCTCTTCCTATCGGACGTGCCTCGAAACGTGAAGCCAGAAAGCGTTCCCCCGCCGAAGATAACGGATGGTTTGACTCTCGAGTGATGTCCCGCGATCATGCTCTTGTGAGCATATCGATCGAAAGTAAGGTATGCTTGGATCTTGGCATCTTTCATATCCTTCTCACTACACTCTGCTAATGCACTACACAGAACGTCTATATTCTCGACTGCGGCTCTACTCACGGCACATACCTCAACGACGATAAGCTTGTGGCCCATGTGGAAACTCCGCTAATGAGCGGGGATGTTCTCAGGTTTGGGGTCGATGTTGATCGTGGTCAAGGTAGGTGGTCGCGTTCATACGTCACGTTACTAAGGACTGACGCTTTCTAGAAGTTTTCGAGGCCCTCGAAGTTCGCTGCGAAGTTAAATGGTTACCCCAGGCTGTTGTGGTTGTTGAGACCTCTGACGCCATCACAATCCAGCCAGAAATCACCCATAATACCAACACTTTCTCCGTGCCCGAAGACTACAGTGATATTGAGCCCGAGGTTGCCACGCTTGATAGTGACGACTCCAAAGATTCTATTGCACGATATTGGGACACTGCCAATCGCCAAGCTGAGGAAATTTCTCCAGTCTCCTCAGTGAGTGAGCGCCCAATCGAGGTCACAGAGCCCATGAAATCCCACATTCCCGATGTTTCTTCAGGCCAGACCGATCAACCGACGAAGCCCCTTTCACTAGCTGACATGCCTCAACTCATTCCGGAAAACCTGCGGGACAGTGCTGCTGCCATGACCTACGGAGCTGAATGCTTGAGACAATCGACGAGTCTGCACCAACAGGTTCCTGCACCGGATGAGGAAATCCCCGACTTCCATAACACCAAAATGGAGACTTTCCCTCCATCCTGCTATCAAAAGCTCGGTGACAAAGATTTCAGCGATTGGACCATGATGAAGCCACTGTTCATGCGGCTGGCTGATATGGCTTGGGGGGTATCTGACAAGATTCCCGACGTGGACCATGTTAACAAGATTATCCACTCGGCGCGCCGCTGTTCCGTTGCCAAATCATCCTACATTGTTGATGATTCCCCCGACTTCCAGCCTTGGAATGGAACCGAGATTCCTTGGGAATTCAACGGAGACGATGAATCTGACACCACCTATCATCGCGTGCCTGGTCCCGCTCTCAGATATTGGTTCGTCGACAAGCGCAGATTCTGGATTCTCGATGGAGACGAAGAGAATGATCTTCGGATGAGCGACTGGTGGTGGATCGTTGAGAAGCCATGGGAACTTTTGAGTGAAGCAACCAAAGCCGAACTCCGTGCCGAGGGTGATGTGGACGATTGTCACAAATGCTGGATAGTGAGAGAATGGAAGCCACAGATGGTTCGTGGTCAGTACTACGAAGAAACACCTTACTGGGACTCAAACTTCTGCGAGGAACTGCCATCTGATGACGAATCTTTGGACTCGGATGAGGTGGAGGATGAAGGAGACTTCAATATCGGGGACTTTAATATCGGTGGCGAGGACGGAAATGAGTCTGGCTCTGATAGTTTCGATGCTTCTGATGCCTCGGGTGGCTCAAACGTCTCGCAAGAGGAACACATGATCGAATTCTCTGTTCCGTGGATGACGCCTTTCGGCCAGGAACTGGATGATGAAGACGATGAAGATGATTCAGAGTACGAATTCGGCGACTCAAATGACGAGAGTTCAAGCGAATACGGCGAAGATGAGGAAGATGAGTCCGAATCTGACAATGAGGTCCAGAACGACACTTGCCCCGAGGAGGCTTACATTAGGCGACTGACGAAATTTATGGATGTTGCATCTTCCATTCCCAACTTCTACCCAGATAACAACAATTCGGGATCGTCTCTGCCAACTCCTACCTCTCCGTGTCCAGTGCGACCAACTGCTACAACTGTCGATACCAAAGCTACCGAACAAGAATTGGACCACCCGTCTGGTCTCGGCAAGCTGCTTGAGCAATCCTGCGTGCCCGAGGATGCGTCCGCGATGGATACAATGATCACACCAACTTCACCCGCAATGATCAGCCCAGCCGCTCGATTCCCTACCTGTGCTGTCTCTAATGAGCTTCCAAGCTCCTGCCAGACCACTCTCTCTCAGGCGCAATTGAATGAGTTCATGCATCACTCCACACATGGATCCTCCGCGAAATCCTCCTACCCTCTCCTGGCTCCGTGGCACCCAGCTTCAAAGGAAGTGATGTCCTATGCTGATGGTCCATTCCGTTCTCCCCAGAAGAATTTGAAGCGGACCGCTGCACAGATGGAATCCAGCTCAGATGATTTTGATGGCTTTTCGCAAGATGCCCAGCACCCACAGCCTCTTGAGTCATACAGCCAAGATACCAGTCTCAACACAATTCCATCTACTGAGGTTCAAAGTGCTATTGCCTCCGCTCTCTTGGAGAATGAGCCTCCGGCAAAGCGAGTCAAGTCCACGCACCGAACACCCTCCAAGAGCCTGGCTAGCCATGCTGCTACCGCTGTCGTCGGTGCTCTTCTTGGTGGCCTGGGTACTATTGCCATGTTGGCTGCTCTCCCTCCTGACTATTTCCATTAAACACTACAACGTTGTTTTCCCTTTTCTTTTTCAGTTGCCCTATCGCTCTTCCGGTTTTATGATTTAATACTGAGGTCCCAAATCTCGGTATGGTTCCTACGATTTTACGAAGATTGCCCTCCTGGGGAGGCGTTCCTGCTTTACTGGGTGGATGGTTGTCCTTTTCTGCTTATTTTTCTTGCTATTGTTATCCCGGGATTCAGCACAACGAACAGCGGGATCTGATCACTGTCACGCTCACGGGAACCACGACAACTGGGCGTTCGCATAGGCTGGATCACTCCTCTCTTATTCTTTTCTCCCTTACTTTGATTTTTTTTTACCGTGGCTTTAGCACAACGAGCATGAACTAGGTCAGATGCGGTGATGCGGTGATTGCTGGAGCCGACGCTACGTAGCACCACGCTTTATCTTTTCTCTTTCAATGTGATAGCTATGCAGGCAGTAATGAACGAGAACGCAAATGCTTTGATTTTATTCTTCCCTGTGTAGTCAACCATATTCCCGCACATGCTCTACCGTGCCTCTCTGCCAGGTACCAATTTGGGTACTCATTTCAAAACCAACTGGTGATATCATTACGCCCGAGTTTATGTGCAGTGGCTTCATCTGGTCAAGTCTGTTTACTGCTGATCTTTTGCCGGCCGAAAGGATTTAAGTTAATGCCCAGTGCTTCTATCGCCTTACTTTCTCATCCCATTGACAACATTGCTTCCTGTCCAGTTGCAATAACGTCTGTTATGGTAATTCCGATCAGCCTCTAGGAACATTTCCAACTCCAAAATGACCAGTCTCATGCATCGACAATGGCAATCGGGCTGCAGGTATCCAACACGTTCATATCAGCTGACCTACAACATTTGGTGCCCTCGGTGTCCTTCGGGGTTTAGCGGTTCAGCGGTGACACTAGAAGATCGAAGTAAGTCCGGGAGAACCCACCTCGGAAGTATAAGCCTTCTCTTTCGACTTGCCGCAAACACCCTTGACCCCAGTCCGCATTCGAATCCCGAAGCGCGTGATTGAGGTGGCTGGCTGCAGACATACTACTCCCCTCCTTCTTTCGGCCCGACCGCGCGACACATGTTCGATACCCCGAGTATCTACAGTATAGCCCACCGGGCTGCTCTGATGCAGAGTACCGGGCTGATTTAGCTTCATTTTTAGCAACGCCTGTCATCCGTACAGTACCTTGTTGCGAATATCGGGAAGATGTCAGGATGCATGTCATTTCCACATTCCCTCTGAATGTGACCAACCCTGCAGATGGAGGAATAATTCGGCATGAAGCGCTTGTCAGATCATACAATGGAGTCGACGTTAGAAGGCTAGACGGCAGAAAGAACTCACCTGCTCCTGTTCTCTCTGTTAACGGGAATCGTCTTTGCTTTTTTGTTTTGTTTTGTTTTTTTGGCTCTCTCTGGACCCCCTGTCCATGTAGCTGCTCCCACCATGGATCCTTCGACGGTTACCTGCTTGAGGCTATGTTGCATCCACGGCGCTTCGGAGCTCAGATTCATTATTTCCCGTGTGTCATTGGCTAGGTTCCCAAATTTTGATTCTGAATTATGGGTTTGATTGGTGGATCTCACCTCTCACAGGGGGTTCTTTTCACCTCAGTTCATACTTGCAGCCCTTTTTCCTCCCTGTTCCTTTCAATCCTTGATATCGGCAACGCATGCAACGCTTGTCAGGTCCACGCATCCGCCCCCTCCGGTCTTGCTTATCGGGTTACTGTAGGTTACTTCGATAATTGATGTGATGTACGGGTTCGGCCGGTCAGTGCATTACCTCCATCGTATATCGTCAGCGTGCATCTTGTCCGTGTCGTTACTTTATGGCTTGCGGATCTGTGTGCTTGTGGCTTGTGGCTTGTGGAGAGAAATGGACGCCGGACTATTGACACCGACTCGACCTGATGTGATGTCTCTTAGCCAGTTGCAGTTGCGCAGATGACCATCTGACGGCTCAGGTTGGCTGTCAGCAAATATCCTGCATGATCCTTCGCCCTTCTTCGGTTGGAATGAGAAGCCAATCTCGCCTCAATGCTCCTACTCAAGAGACTTTCAGAGCCCACCGCGTGGATTCTCACGATTTCATCTGAACGCCACCCACGCCAACATGGCTGATATAATCTCTAGTATAAATTTTCGGAGATCAGAGCAGGGTCGCATGGCCTGATGCAGCCATCCGTGGTTGGAGTTTTCACATCCAAGACTCGCGGCTGAGAGCTCAGTGACGTTCCCCGAACCGAGTCATCTTAGCGAGACCTGGAAAGGGTGTATACTAAGTTTTCACGCGGTCAGAACCCACCAACCCCCGGCGGATACCTGTGAATTTGTGATACAAGGCTATGGGGGCAGCCATACTCTTGGGGCATCTTTTCCACCGTAGCGAGCACATGAGCGACGCTCTGCTCACCACTAGCCGATCATCCATTTGCCAAACCTGCTAGAACAATTCTACTTCGTTCCACAACATCAGCCACCTTCCTTCTTCCGGCAGAACATCCGTTCATCGAATCCACCAGGACACCGTTGCAACACAACGCAACCTAGCCCCTTTGCAAATGTACTCCGGGAACTTTGTAGACTCAGTCGTGTGGAAGTGGGAGTGAATAGTATTGATCCACGTCCTCGGTATATCGGTATACTGTACGAGAAAGAAAACAACAGTCCCCTCTCCTCCCCCCACCAGCTCTCGTTTCATACAACCCTGCATCTATGCAGCAAGCGTACCTTAGCGTCCCTTAGCTCGACAGACACACGTCTCTACAGCAAACGCCAGGCGGGGTTTGACAATGCAACTAAGCCGAGAACGTTTTCTGCGCCGCTCGCCCAATTCATATACCTATGCCAGATCTACTGCTGTGAGTATAGTTGGCCGTCCGTCTTCTGAAAATATGTAACTTGTCCGAAGGTGACCGAACCATGTCATTGGAATACAATTGGTCCGTCTCCATATGCAAATATGGGTTGGAAAATACAGTACTTAACTTGCCCTTTACTGGCTAGTGTGTTCATATGTACCTGGGCTTGATGGTGGAGACTCTTCATCCTATCACATATCTTCATTGCCAGGTGCGCGACACTTGTCCTGGTGATCATCCGTGACCTCGATCCTGATTACCGCAAGTCTTGCTGCATATGTAACAGTTGGAACCCTCGGGACACATCATGCCACTGCTCTTCCTTTTCTTTTTCTTTTCTTCGTACGGAGTATAAGGATTCCTGTTGTCGCTGCGACTGGTTCCGGGCGTTGCATTATACTCTGGCCTAGACGGGATTCTGCCCTTGTCTGATCGCCGATATTTTGACTGTGATATTATATTACCTTTTGCTTTTGGTATCTTGGCTCGTGATATGACATTTTGACCTCTGGCTCTCCGGCTTTCTCGGTGTTGATGACTCTTCCAGACAAAAGATCAAAGAGAGAGATTGAGAAGACAAAGCCTCTATCTCCAACCACACAACAAAGGCTTTGAATATCAATCCTTTTCACTCCGCAAATAAGTACTTCTTCTACGTTCTCACCACCTCCGCCTACATCAATATATAAACCACCCAAAATGGCCACCTCAACAAACTCCTTCCTAAACCTCGACCCGCAACACATCTCCTGCATCGGCGGGCGGACAGTGCTGACATGCAAGAGCTGCGCAGGAAATGCCCCAAGGTATGCATCTCAACCTATCCCGTCTCATACTATATCCATACATCAAACCAAAACAAGACTCAATGTAAATACTAACAAATAAAATAAGAAGCTCAATCTGCACTAGCTGCAACGGCCGCGGCTTCAACATCTTCATATGCGCCCAATGCAACCCAGCTGCATCGACAGGCCCAGCAACACCCGTTTCCTCCGCTCCATCCTCGCCTGGTTCGTTGAGTCGCAGCTTGTCGACTTCTTATCCTTCACATTCTGATCCGCGCGGGGGGAGGACTTGGGGTCGTGGTGGGACGAGTTGTGGGCATGTTGAAACGAATACGAATTCTAATATGCCGCGGAACCCGTGATTTGGATTGCACGATTTGGGATTAGTTGGATGTGATGACGATGAAGAAATATTCAGGTCGAGTCTTGTTTGGGTATTATGGTTATACGTCCCTGGACTGTCTCCTGGTTTTGGCGTTGTCTTTAGGTTTTTGCTCTACTTTTGCTTTCCCTCTTCTCTTCTCTTTTCTTTCCGGACTGGGCTTCTTTCTTTTGTGACTATGTTGTTCATTTCATGAGACTGCACTGAAATCTTGTTTGTACATTCTTTTTCTATATGTTGGAAGGCAAGGGAAGGATCGGATTGGGATGCTATGCACGAGACGCATCTGAAATTTCGGCTTTCGTCTATTCTCTATATCTCCTTTTTATCTCGCTATCTCATAGGTCTGAATTAGAGCTCATATGCTAAGTCCGCGTAGTCTCATACCAAGTTTTGAGAGTGATATCATAGGTTTCATAAGGAACCGGGAATACAGTGTAGATATATCAGGAAGAATTTAGGCCCGCAGGGTAAACCGTGGAGCCAAAACCAATCAAGTCATCATCATGACTCCTGCCACATATATTTACCCACAAAGGGAAAAGTTTGTGTATGTATCAGCCGTGTGAAGACCCTATAGAAAAAAACAACAACCGAAATATCTACTGAAGTGACCCACGATCTGGCTAGAGATGTCGTCGTGTTAGAAAAATGCACGTATATCCGCTTTGGGACGCATACAGTACCAGGAATAAGGCAATCGCCGGGTAAGCGCAAACGCCGAGCCTCAAAGTTCCGGCCAATAAGAGTGAAGTTCAGCCAAATTAGGGAAAGTAACACGCGAGGTGTGTTTGCTTTCGCTCTTGCTTGCAGAGGACTTGCAGTTACAACTCTTACGCTTCTCTGTTTGGCTGTGAGCCCACCCTGTTTTGAGAGGTTGATCGGGCTCAGACGTCTAGAGATGACCTCTCTTCGAGGTTACGCTGGCCAAAGCAGGGTTCTGATACCTGCAAGCGCGGAGAAGTGTGAGGAGGGGAAAGAGAGAGGTGAAAGGGAGGGACCTTGGGCTGTATTGAAACACTAATGAGAACTGATAGCCGTAGCAACGCCTCTCATTGATAAATAACATATACATGAGCGCCAGCCGACACTTCTGTGACAGTAGACTGGATTACCTCGAATGTCAACACTCGCAGGCGTGAAAGAGAAACTGGCAAAAATTGCTACCAGAAGACTCTGTATTCCATCTCGTTATTGCCGAAAATCCCGCTTCTGTGGTAATTGGAAGGATTTAATGGAGAGTAGACCAGAGATTAACCAAGAATGTAGTTATTTTTCTACAGGTAACTAACTGATCGGAGATATCGCAGATAGTGCACGTTGGCCTTCTAGTGCTGGTCTGAACAGAAAAATACATATAAAATCACCCCTCCCGATGATGGCTGCGCTACTAAAAATCTTGAAACCACCAATGCCCATAAATCATCAATGCCCATAAATCATCACGACAGACAGTGGAAACAAACAAAGCCTGACCCGACCTGATCTACCATGCATCCAATTACAGGTTCCAAAGTCCTAGTCATTGGCGGCTCGTTTGGCAAGAATACTAAGAGGCAGCTAGGTGCTGGATGCTGGATGCTGGATGACAATGAAGAGTTTTTTTAGAGAAGAGGAAGCCATGGCGGGGGTTTCAGGGGGCTTTAGCATACGTACATATGATCTGCACAAGTGGATATTCAGATGCATCAGGCTTTCATGACAGATTCAAGGATTCGGCTACATTCGTTTCCGGGATTACAGGGACTGGACTTGATTCTCACTCTCATAGAGAAACAAACCAAAAGAATATTAATTGTACTATCAAACATGAACACTTAGAAATACTTCTGCGTCCGGCGCCGAATCCAAGGACCAAAGATATACAACGGCAAAGCCAAAAACAGCACCGCCCATTCGATCCCCGCAAATTCATAAAGCATCTTGTCAATGCCCTGCATAGTCATCCAAGAATAAGCCCCCTTAGTAAGTCCAAACGCAACAACATTCTTCGAAGTATTGACCAAAACCAATGCCTCGCCACTTGTTCGTGGATACGAATCAACAACATAGGAAAGCATAACAGACGGTACGAGCGTGAGACCAGCAGCACAGATAGCCGATCCAACAGCGGGCCGGATATAATGCTGGTGACGCGCGACTGTGTATCCGAAGACAATCAACCCAATAGGACAGATGAGGAAAGGCAGAATTAGGGCGGGCAGCCGGTGTTCTGGCTTGTGAATTCCGTTGTTGCGGTTGCGCAGCCAACGAGAGAGGCAATCTGTTAAGGGTCCGGCGATTGGCCAGGCGACTACTATGCCGATAAAGCTGCTGAATGTGAAGAGACCTAGGTCGGCAGAGGAGAAGAGGTATGGTGGTGGGGAGAAGATATCTGGGGCGATTGTTGAAATAATGACGACCCTGGGGTTTGTCAGTTGGTTGTTTCTATTGGGATGGATGGGATAGCAACTTACGCTCCGAGGACGACGCCGTACATGACTGATGCGGCTAGGACTCCTGGGACAAAGACCATGGGGAAGGGAAGGAAGAAGAGGTAAGCGAGATGCTTGATTATGCCGCGCTCCTTTGCTTCCTTCGATAGGGTGAATGACCACAGGTCTTTCCAGTATGCGGAGTAATCCATCTTGACGCGGGTCTCGGTACGGGTCTCGGTGCGGGTGACTGCCTCGACATGGCTGCTGGCGTCTTTTTCGATGTCGTTGACGACCTCGGGTTCTTGCTCTACTTCGTAAAGAGTCTCTGGAAGCATGAAGACAGTTGTCACGAGATTGACGGCGGCGATGATGGCACAGAGGATGAAGAACCATCTCCACCCTTTGGATTCGATCAGGTAACCGGCAATGACTGGTCCAATCTGCGATCCACCGGAGAGGAAGGCAGCATAGACCGCCATGGCGCTGGCGTAGTTTCGTTCGTAGAATAGGTCTGTGGCGCGTTAGTCCACGATCGAACATCGTGAGATAGTATAGGGAAGCATACCTGCCAGAATGCTAGGCCCCAGAGACTCGATTGCGCCATATCCTATCACACGTTAGCCAAAGTCCATGAGCCAGAGACTGAACGGGTAGATACCAAAACTAGCGAAGATTCGTGAGGCCATTAAACTATTATAGTCCTTGGCAACAGCACTCCAAATAATCCCCCCCAAGAACATAGCCATGGAAATGATGACGATGGGCCGCTTGCCGAAAGTCAGAGCCAGGGGCATCCAAAACAGATTGGCCAACCCCATAGCCAGCACGGAATAGGCGATCAAATCCGCAAGCGTAGCAAAGGGCGTATGAAACTCGGCAGCTAGAGAGCCAAAACCGGTCGCAATGCCGGACTGAAGCCATGTCAGTATACCATACACTACATGTATACACATCGGCACATGAAGAAGGGGCACACTCACGGAATACATATTACCCATAAACACGAATACATTGACAGTCAGCAGGGCGCTATACGTCACCCGCTTGGGGAACAGCTGCAAAGCCGAAGTATTAGCCGCATTGTACGATCATGGTCTGACTGATGTCTGATAGCTGTCATGCCACCAGTGCATGAAGTGGACACATACCCTAGGATCAATGGACATCCTGACTAGAATGTAACCAACAAGGCCAAATGTAAATAAATAGAGACGTGGGGCCGAACTGGTTTGAAAAAGATACCAAAAAACACTAGGAGATCTGGAGGGCGAGATAGAGATACATATAGTAGACCTCAACCACACAAGCACAATCGGGAAGGGTGGGAGCTCTGAAAGAGCGAGTCATCTTGGATATTCCAGCACGGGGAAACTCACCGGGGAAATAAAGCTAAGGCGCCTCTTTCCCCGCAAATCCACGTATCTACGAAGCAGATAGGCTGGGGAAATGTGTACTTGGGTCTGGATGTGACTATCTCGGGTAGTCCGTGAAAAGTGGAGGGCCTTCGGATGCGATTCGGGTCCACATTCATTTGGCTCTTCTTACGCGATACCAAAGGCGAATAAAGGGGCGTCGATCGATTTTTGGATTTCAGACAACCGGCAGTTATAACCATCAGTAGTGGCGAATGCAATTGGAGGGGAATTCCTCCATGTTCTTGGGCTCTTGGTGGTTCATTTCTTTGGTGCTTCCATGGGGTGGCAACCACACTTTCCCTAACAACGAAGGGAACGAACAATGGACAAAACTCAATCGACCAAAGCGACGAATAAATCCGCAGTAGATTCGCAGACTGAAGTGCTCATCATTCTGGCAAGTCTCAACCCAAGTACGGAATAGTGCAAAAATGCAGTCCCCTTCCCCAGACGTCAAACTCGGGATCTGCCGATACCCCAGAAACCCAACAGTCAAAGCCAGGCCTCGCCTGGACAATCAATTGCTTAGTTTCAATCAGGAACGCCGAATTTCCAGCAAAAACCAAGAAAACCCCAGGAGAACCCGAGATCGGCTTTGAGCACCTCGGCTTTCCCGACCCCGAGTCGTGGTGGGGGAATGCGACCCCGGTGATTCCGGACATGGGGAAAGCTGAAGGGATAGAAATTGCCTGCATGTGGACCTTCCCCATGATTTACCTTCTTTAAAAGTAATTGAAATTGTTCACTTCACGAACAAGGTCCCTAGAATCCGCAAACATGGTCAGTCACCTCACCCCCCCACATAAACAATACCACCCGCTTATCCCCAACAGGTCCCCTCAGAAGCTCGCCTCAACATCATAATCGTAGGCGCAGGCCTGAGCGGCATAGCAACAGCCATCTCAGCCGCCCTATCAGGCCACTCAGTGACAGTAATCGAGCAAGCAAAAGAGCTAGCAGAAGTCGGAGCTGGCCTACAGATCACACCCAATGCATCCCTACTACTGAAGTACTGGAACCTGCCACAGTCGCTATGGGATGCAGCCGCCGAGCCGACAAAGCTTACCGTACACAAATATTCCGGCGAGCTCCTCGCGCATGAGGAAAACTTCGACAAGAATATCCGCGCAAAGTATAACAATGCCCCCTTCGTGGACCTCCACCGCGTCGATCTACAACAGGCATTATTCGCCCGCGCACAGGAGCTTGGTTGTACATTCCATATGAGTCAAAAGGTTGATCAGATCGACTTTGAGACCACGAGTGTGCACACCCTGGCCCGGGAAGTGTATACGGGTGATTTGATCATTGCCGCTGATGGGCTCTGGTCGCGGTGTCGGGAGGCATTTGTGGGGAAGAAAGATGAGCCACTTCCTACGGGCGATCTTGCCTATCGGATTGTGTTGAGTGCCGAGCAAATTTCTGATCCTGAGTTGAGGGCGATGGTTGAGAAGCCCGAGGTTCATTTCTGGGCTGGGCCGGGCGCGCATGCTGTTGCGTATTCGTTGCGTGGGGGGAAGATGTTCAATATCGTGCTTCTTGTGCCGGATAATCTTCCTCCAGGGGTTTCGAGGCAGGCTGGGTCTGCTGAGGAGATGAGGGAGTTGTTTGTTGGTTGGGATCCGATGTGAGTATTCTCAGATCTATCGGTGGGAGATGGGCTGAAAGTTGGATGCAGTTTGAACAGGTTCTTGGAGTATGTTACTACCGTTGACAAGTGGAAACTCATGCATCGTACGTGTATCAATTCCCTCAATCCCACCCATACTGAACACTGAGACTGACTATCCCAGATGGTGAAATGGAACGTTGGGTCAACGATACCTCCAACCTCGTCTTCATGCAAGTCACCTTCTCTCCCTATCATATATAAACCAAATGCGGAATACTAACACCATATTTAGTGGAGACGCCTGTCACCCCATGCTCCCATACCTAGCCCAAGGCGCAAACTCCTCCCTGGAAGACGGCGCAGTTCTAGGCCTGCTACTGGGCCACATGACAAACAGGGCTCAACTCCCGCGGATCTTGCGACTGTACGAGAGTATGCGCAAATCGCGAGGAGAATCGATTGTCAAGGAGACATTCAAACAAGTATGACAGGACACCCCCTTCTCGCTCACTTTGTATGAAGGGAAAACCACTGACCGTAAAAAGAGAAACGATTTCCACATGAAAAATGGCCCAGAACAAGAAAGGCGCGATGAAGTCTTCCTCTCGCAATTGGGCAAGGAGATCAAGGGTGCTTTCCCGAGTCGATGGTTGGTTAAACCCTCGTCCTTCCCTCTACCCGAATCAAGTCTGCCAAAGCATGATTACTGACACTGATATGGCATAGGACATGTCCCGAGGTTCAGCCATGGCTGTATGGCTACGATGCCATCAAGGAAGTTGAAACAGCCGTGTGGAAGAATCCCGATGTATTCGCTTCCACTTCCTCGCGCCGTTTGTCTTCTTGTTTAATTTTGTAGGGGGTTATTCTATTCTACTCCATTTTGATTTATTCTACGTCTATAACTAAATTGTTTCAGCCAAGTGTGAGTGTTTGATGACACATTACAAGTTATACATATATACAAAGAATAGCGATGACCATAGAATATAGCAATAGCAAAGGTCGCTGAATATTGAGATACATTACCCGTCTAACATTGGTAACCCTCCAATATCATCGAAAAGACGGGCAATACCCTCGAAAGAGTAATCCGGGAATCCGAAGCCGTACGCCCATTCCTATTTCAGTATTAGAAAGAAAGGTCAATTAAGAGGGAGGGTTGGTGAAGAACATACTGGAACTTCAAATCCTGCCCCGTGGCCTGTCTCCGCAGATACAGGGATTTGATCACCCTCTGCCGTCCCTGTCGTCGGTTGGGTGGCACCTGAAGCTTTGAAATCCCGGATATATTGCCTGATGATCTCTACTGATTTGCGAGCTACCACGGACTCGTCCATTGCTTCTAGAATTTCTACGCCCATTTCCACTGAACGGAGGAGGGGCATTGTTTCGTTGCTCATGCCTAGTTTGGACATTGGGAGGAGGAGGGTTGATGTGGCGAACATTACGTAGGTTGTGTTGTACCACCTTGACTAAAATCAGCCGGGAATCATTCATTTGGAGGGGATCATCATACCAGCATCGGAAGAAGGTGTGCACTCGGTAGATGTCATAGATAACCTGGATAGTCTTCATGGCTGCATCTAGACATTTCTCGATTGTCTGATCCAGTTCGTTTGGTGGGTGTCTTAGTTTGCGAGTGAAATGACTCAAGAAAGGTCTGAAGAGTAGCATCTTGACATTATAGTAGCCTAGAACAAGAGTTAAAATGGGACGAGAATGGTCAGGTTGGATGGAGGGCTCACGGATCCCCAATACAAGCCTTTGCCTCCGTGCCCACTTTGGATCACGTAGGGCACTGCGGGACATTCTGTGACCGGCAATATCTGGTTTGATCTTTTCTGGCAGTCGTGCGAGCCATCGGTCCATTTCCATCTCGATTTGAAGGGCAAGCTGTAATTTCTCTTGCAATGAGATACGGGAATGGTAGATCTGGACGGATACTCGCCGAATTATCTGTGCAAAGTCGATCATCCATGGGATGATGGCGAACTCGGAGTCATCTCGCTCTGGAATGGCGCGGTTGTGATATTCATCCATTCCAAGGGTATCGGGTCGTCCGACTGAGAAGCTCATTTCTCTGCTTTGTGTAAGTATTGATCAAGAGGAAACGGATCACTAGGGAATTACTGACATTTCTAGTGAGAAAAGACCCCTATAAACAGACGGATTCAGTAAACAATCAAAACAGCGATGTTGTCCAACTTACCACCAAGTCTTCGATATCCAACCGGCGCGTTGCACATTATCCCCTGGACACGGAACCTCTCGATTGAAACCAGCAGAAAGGCATGTGCGCACAGCCAGACCAAGATACATATAGGCGACTAACTTCTTAGAATTTTGACAATGGTGAGCGAGGTTGGTCACTCACGGTTAGGATTAAGCTCATTTTGGCAAACTTTGGCCTGGTTGGGTCAGCTCATGGTCTATTCCCAAAGGTTAAAACATACCATAATATAGAGACACTGGACCGTCTCAATATCATTCGAAAACTTCAAATGATTCAAGTAAACTTGCGCCTCAGCAAACAGCTTCCGGCTCCACTCGAAACGCCCCAGGCCAGCCAGGGTACCTTCATCCCAAACCCGTACCAGAGACCCGAACGAAAGAATACTCAAGTACAAGGCAATAAAGCTAGGCTCAGGGGCACGCGATCGATTAAACCAAAGGTCATTAGCGCGCAGAAGAAAATCCTCCTTATCAATAAGAGGATGAATGAAATGTATATTCTCAAAATACCCATTCATAAAGATATGAGCCTGATCGAAATAATAGTTCTGCTGTTCCATCGACAGCATCTGCCCCGGACCGGCGGTGCAAGAAGGCGAAAAGCTGGGATTGTGCAGCGTCGAGATGAGCGAGTAATCAGCTGCACGCAGATATGGTTCTTCCTGGCCTTTGGGCTCGCGCGCCTTTTTCAGATGGCCCAGAATCGCGGCGGAAGAGGTACTACCGTGGAACTCGACGCCGTTCGTGTGATGATTGAATTCATTTAGCTCATCGTCTGCACTCTCGGTGGACTCTTCACGTCCTTCGGGGATTTTGGCTATTTCCCGGGGCGTAGATCCAGTCCGGGACATGGAGCATGGTGTTGTTTCGGCGGCTGTTTGACTTTGATGGACTTTGGGTACGGCGGGTGATGTTCCCGATATATCGACTGTGCCACCCTCTACCGCACGAAGTCTTGATGTCAGTTCCTCGACCTTCTTCTCGAGGTCGACGACATAGCTGTGGCATTGTTAGAATAAATTGTTTTGTGCGAGGTGGGTTCTGTCTTCAGGGTCCAGTAGAAAGAAACATGATCTTGGTTGAATACTCACGTTGCTGAGCGATTGCTTTCGCGCTCGCGATAATTGCCCTGATACACGCAGACGAGATCGCTTTCTGTGAAACTTAGTCAAAGACCGTTGAGATTAGTTTGATCAGCAGGGAACCCACTTTTACAATGCAAGCAGGGATATTGCTCGTCGCACTTATACTTCTTCAGCCTGCATCGGTCGCACGCCTGCGCAGCGCGTGGCCGTTTGGCGCGCTTTGCAGAGTGCTTCTCAGCAGGTGGAAGCGGAGACTGTATATTTTGCATTATCGAGACATCAGTAAACAATGTGATGTATGTCGAGGTTACAGTGGAATAGAGGAGAACTGAAGATGACCGGAATTTCCGGGGAGCGTTTGGTGCACGTGACGCGCGGGGGGAAAATGCAGGCCGAAGTGAAATCCGGGGGCCAATCGGTTGATGCGGGGTGAAAAAGATTAATTCGGGGTTAATTGGTTGGTGACCGGCAAATAGTTCACACACATGAAGGTGAGAATGCGTGTTCTAGTGAGAAATTGTTGAGATTGGGGGCGTGGCAACTCTATATTCACTAACTTATATACATTCGACTAATATTCAAAGCTTGTCTCAGCTAAAATGTCACATTCAGACGAGCTGCAGCTGAATGCACGTCAGACTGTTCATATGCTGGTGCCTGATCGGGCAAGACTGCGCCCTCGAACGGCTTGCCAGCAGCGTGGATCAATGACTCGATACCATCGCCATCACTGAAAGAGTGGAACTTGACAAACTTGCTCTCAAAGACGAGCGAGAATGCCTGCCCAGCAGGAATGACAACGGTCTCACCCTCGCGGAAGACAGCATCATCAGCACCTTGTAGCTTAACCCGGAGCGCACCCTCCATAATCAGGAAGCAGTGGTCCACAGTGGGGAAAGTCATATGCCTGGAGAACACAGTCTCCCCATAATCCTTAGAAGACTCAATGCTGGAGATGGCACAAACTCCAGAGCTCTGTGTTGTAGTGACAAATGGACGAGACATCACACCTCCGAGCATCCACTTAGGACCGGTGTTAGCACGCAGGAAGTATCCTGCCGGGCCATCCGGTAACTTCTCATCTTCCTTCTTCCATTCAGAAACTGGCGGGGGCACATGGTGTGGCTGGAAAACGACATCGAACTGCCCCTTAGCGGCCATAACCTTGGGAATAAGAAGAGATTTCAAATCCCGATTATCATTTTCAGGAACGAGAACTCCCTCATAGGGCTCTGACACATGACGGAAAAAGTCGACCCAGTCACCGGGAGTAATCAAGCCTTGAAGCTCAGTATGGGGGCCGATCATATCGGGCATATGAATGATTTTCTAGCCCAGGAGTTAGTATGAATCTGAACTTTCTCAATGATTCACATACCGGAGGAACATAGGCAAAGTCGCCCGGGCCCATAATACGGCATTGGTCTCCATTATAGAGCTTCAAGAATCCTTTTGTGACCAAGAAAACATCGTGTGCGTGGTCGTGGTAGTGGAAGCCAGGAGCGTCGGAAAGAACAGCACCGCTTGTGAACACGGCCATCAATCCACCGGTTTGCTTTGCAGAAGTCAGGATGCGGAATACACCTTTGCTACCCGGGATTGTGATCCGCTCTCCCTCCAATTGAGGGATGGCATATGGCACCCGCGACGCGGGGGGCTGGTTTGTAAATTGTAGAGACATTATGAAATATGAGATGTGATGGATCAGGAAAGAGATCGCGGGGTCTGGAGATTTAAAGCAACGGCATGCGGGGGAGTATCCGAGGGCGGACAATCCGTGGCCGGAAGACCCGAGTCAAAGAAAGATTTATAGATGAAGCTATACGTTAGTGGACAGTTGGCGGTCACTTGGGCTTTGATGTGGCGGGGTAGAGTCACCAGATCAGATACTGTAGTAGAACGGGTTCGTATAATTCATAAATAGTCATTTCGCTAGAATTAGTTAATTATGCCGAGTTTTCATTCTTACACAGAAATCCTAGACTAACATGTACAAAACGGGAGTAGTCCTCCGACAACGGTACATGAAGCTTCACCTCCAGCCGACCCCCGCCTCCACATTAAGAACATGCATACAATGTCCCCCAGTTACTACAAGGCCAGAACCAACACTGCAGGCTCCTGATAAATGCCTTTCCGGAGCATCCGGATTGGCCAATTCACCAACTTGCCACCAAAACCGAACGGGTAAGAAATTTCCCACAATCCCCACGAGCGTGGGGAAGTCTTGCCGCCTCACAGCTGTGGGGTTGTCGCAAGCTATAATAGCTGTTGGAGGGGCTCTCTTGCTCTTCTTCAATTCAAATTTCCAGATTCGTGTGATCAACTCTGTATTATCTATCAACCATGGCGAACCAGGCGACATTGGAAAAGCCGACGGGCGAATACCGCCAGTACCTACCAGACCTCAGCCTGAAGCGGTTCGAGGTGATGTGCCAGCAAGATGCACACGAGTACGCCCATGATTTCAAAACTGGACACCAGCCGCCATGGCTGCATGCATTGTATATGCATTGGTTGGAGTTATTGCAGGAACCGTTCAAGGGTGTTACTACTGATGGTAAGTATTGCCGCAAAAATCCCAACCGAATGAACATTATATCATATCATACCACTCCACATAACATAACATAGTATACATTAGAACTAACAATAAACCAGGAGCTGTCCGCCCAGATCTATTCACTCTTCAAGACGAAGAAGTCCCAATCCAACAAATCGTCGACGCAACAAACGCAGTAACAGCCCAACTAACCTCCACCCAAAAAGAAGCCATAAACTATCATATCGACTCACCCCACTGGCGCACATGGTCAAACCCAGAATTCCTTCTCGCCCACAAAGGAATTCGCCTGGATGAAGTGACCCCTCAAATCCGCGATGCGGTAATGAACGTCCTAAAGACAACGCTTTCGCCTGAAGGTTACGACAAAGCCGTCAGCGCAATGCGCATCAACCACTTCCTTGGCGAACTAGTCAAATCACCCGCCGTAATGAATGAGTTCAGCTACAACTTTGTCCTCTTCGGCCGACCATCAACAACCAGACCATGGGGCTGGTCCTTCTACGGCCACCATCTGTGTCTGAATATCTTCCTGTACAAGGGACAGATCATTGCCTCGCCGTGGTTTACAGGCGCAGAGCCGAACGAGATTGACGCGGGCCCGCATGCTGGCACGCGGATTATGCAAATCGAAGAGAAGCTGGGCTTGCAGCTTATGCAATCTCTTTCGGCTGAACTGCAATCCTCAGCGCGAGTCTTCGCGCTCATGAAAGACCCCGCCATGCCGCCTGGCCGCTGGAACAAAGATGACCAGCGACACCTGTGCGGCGCGTACCGGGATAACCGGGAAGTTCCATACGAGGGTATTCTCGCGTCGACGTTGAACGATGAGCAGAAGGGGCTTATGTACGGGATCCTGGAACAGTATTTGCTCTACTTGCCGGCGAAATCGCGGGCGTTGAAGATCGAGCAGGTGCGCGCGCATGAGGAGGAGACGTATTTCTGTTGGATTGGTGGGTTCGGCGATCAGGATCCGTTTTATTATCGGATTCAGAGCCCTGTGATTCTTGTTGAGTTCGATCATCATTCGGGTGTTTTCTTGAATAATGAGGAGCCGAAGAAATTCCATATTCATACGCTTTTGAGGACACCTAATGGCGGTGATTATGGGCATGCGTTGCGGCCTTTGATTCCTGCTATTGAGGGGTTGAATGGGAAGGAGATTGTTTGGTAGGTCTTGCCTCGGATTGTCTGTGGATATTGGGAATGACGTGTACTTTTTGAGATGAATTGGTGCATTTCTTGTCATCTGCGCATTCTGTTGCGCGTGGGGTGTTGTTTTCTTCTGTTTCAGTTTCAGTTTTAGAGTAGTGTGCCTGGCTGATGGTGTATTGTTGTTCACAAAGGTCACCAAAACGATACACGAAGATGTGATTAATTGAATGGCCTGGAATGATCTCGAGTGATAGATACATCAGAGATGTTCACAGAAACAGAGATGTGATTTTGTCCGTCATTCAGTTAGTCGTAGTATATCCCGCGAGCATAAAACGATTTGTCCATCCCAAACGCCGAAAATCAAAGCTGAGCGAGAAAGAAAAGACCAGAATTATGAAATGTAGTAATTAAAGGAATGGAACATAGTCAAACCCCAAAGAAAAACATAAATGGCATAAGACAGCATAACAACCTGCCCTGTTCAGCATCCGTGTACGCATATACCTCCCCAAATATCAATATCCACCCCCCAAAGCAGCTTTTAAGAAACCCTCAGCTCATCATGATCAGGAATCAACTCATACCCACCTTCAGAAGGAAGGAACTTGGCAGCCACAATAACCGCGCCCGCGCAGAAAAGGCCAATACACCAACTAACAGTGCAAAATATCCAGGACTGGTCCAGTTTCCAGCCAACGAAGAAGCGATCCTCGTTGTCGTAGAGATATGCCTGCAACACAGAGAGTCAACTTAGTATCCGATCCCACCAGCAACAGTCCTGAAAACTGGAAACAAAACATACCACTATCGACATACTAGCCGCCTGTACAACAACAGACGTCAAAATCAGCAAACTTAGAACCCCCCAACCGTTCTCGCGCAGCCGTTTCCCGCCAGAGAGAATAACCAAGTATGCGACAACGCTCATACCCTCCAGCACGACGGCAAAGGACATCAGGAACCCGACAGATCGCCACATCGAGCAGAAGTATCTATCCTCGCCATGGCAGTCTTCGCGTTGGGGGAAGCTTTCGCAGGTATCTGTGAGGGAGGAGCATCGGCGGTGGAGACCGTAGGAGTAATGGTGGGCGGGCTGGTGGAGCGATTAGTGATAGCCTGGAACCTTGAATTTGGAGCTTGGACTCGGGCTTGAAGTATAAGCCTGTCGTTCGTGACGGGATAGAGATGTACCTTTTCACTGTGATAGCTAACCCATTTTGGAACGATGATCGAGGATAGTGTCAGGCCGAATGCTGGTCGCCGGGTTTGGTCAGCATCGTATCGAGGTACATCCAGCTTCTCTATCAGACAAGACACAGCTGGGCTGGACTGGTGTAGTGTAGTCACTCACAAGCAAGGAAAATAACTAGTGTTGCCGAGTAGACTATAGTCTTCGTAAAGAAGCCAGTGTAATTTCGATCCGTGCCTCTCGGCACTAGGTTGAAGTCCATCGCTGCCTGCGTGGTTTGGGAATGATCGCGTATGTGTCGAAAAGAAGTAGTTCGCGCGATAGCGACCTGCGCATCGGACGAACGTATGAATATAGTGAGGATAAGACCACGAATGCGAGTTGTTGAGAGGGAGAGGGAAACAAGGGGGGCTATGGTGGTACTGAGGGATGTCCGGGGCACAGATGCGGGCCGATAAGCTCACCGCTAGAGGTCACGAGTTATACGGATTCGGTGGAAGTACAAGTGTACACCCTGGAAGTATAGTCCAATAGTATATAGGTTATAAGTCACTTTGAATGAAGACATGTGGTCTACTTCCCCGCAGACCAAATCAAGGCAGATAGATGTCAATGCGCCATGACGATCTCTGCACGTGTAGGATCCAATCGGATGGCGGGTTTGTATGCAGTGGTGTACACTTTCAAGCTTTTTGTTCTACTGAAGAATTATAGGGTGATATTTTACTCTCTCTTACATGTAAACTTATCAGGAGACCAGAAACTACAGATGTTCACCGGTATCGTGCTATGGAATAAAGTATCACTCTGTGGGTGTCGGAGACAACCCTTCGGAAAAGACATCATCATTAGAACTAGAGCAAAATACAGTCATAATATACACGACGGCATGGTGCCACAAAAAAAAGAGGTCGTGGCATGGCGCAAAAGACCGACCCGAATGAGAACATGCGGATCTAGAGCGAAGCATCAAGATTACCAGAAACAATAAAACGCCAGCCAGATACATGCCGTATCGAGAGTGTAAGAATAAAACAATTGCGCCAGGAACTGTCATTGCACTTGCACTTCATTCCGAGCGGCTTCCTTGAAGCATAGCGCGGAAATCATCGTTGCTCTTTTTGGGCGTGCTGCCGCCGTCGGAGGTGGTGTCCATTTTGTCGGAACTCGCCGGCGCGGGGGTTGCTTCTCACTGGGAGCCGCGGTGTATCGTTTCTGTCCAAGACCACCTTTCCGGCCTCCGCGCGCGCCAGGCTGCTGGGGGCGTTTGATCGGACCGGTGGGCTGGAGGTTCGCCTTCTTCGTCGAGGCTTCGTGCTTGAGAGAGGTGACTTTGCTGGTTTTTTTCTCAGCGTGTTGTTGCTTCAGCTCGTAAACCCTGCCAACATGGAGCGGGCGTCCAGGGGCAATTTCCTTCCCTTCGAGTGCCAGCGAGGCTTTGCCGGCATCGTGGATATCGACAAACTCCACCACAGCCCCTTGATGGTCCGGCCGCAGAGATATTTTGACCAAGTGGCCGAATGGCTCAACAAGGGCGCGGATGCGATCTTCATTGACGGTATCGGGAACGTTCATCAAGGCAATTGTGCGCTGAGCATGCTCGCCGACTGGCACTTCCAGATCATCTGGGCCAGTGCCGTTGACCTGGGCATAGGGTGATCCCGCTTTGGCAACTTGGGAAACGATAGTATTGGTGGTCCGTTTGGCCGGGCCACCGGCCTGAGCAAGTTGGACGCGAAGAGGACGAGTCATGAACATTTTCTCATGCATTGCGAGGGCATCATTGGCTTCGTCCTTAGAAGAGAAGACAATGGAGCCGAAGCCTTTGCTGCCACCATCGGGCTTGCGTTCAATGTGGACCTTTTCAATGGTGCCATACTGAGCGAATGCCTCTTTGAGATCTTGGTCACTGGCCTTCCAGTCAATGTTAACAACGTAGAGCTCTCGTCCATCATATCTTGCACCACTGCGACCTGCTTTCTCCGCAGGGTTGGAGATTTTAACAACAAGCTTCCTGCCCTTTTCATTCGGCGTTCCATTGAGCTCCGTAGCGTGATGGGCTGCGGCTGAGGTGGCAAACTGCACATAGCAGAAGCGACGGCTGGTGTCGAATTTGAGGGAAGGCAATCTAACGTCAATAACTTCGCCGTACTACTCACAAGTCAGTAATAATATCGTTCAGCTAAAGAAAAAGGTACTCGCCTTAGAGAAGAGGTTGCGGATGTATTCCTCGTCCGCAGTCGAAGCAAAGTTGGTGACCCATAACGTAGTTTCCGCTCCAAGCTGTACGTCAATGACATTTTCAGTATCATTGAAGCGTTTCTGGTCACGGGTCACAGCAGTCAGGGCCGCGTCCTTAGTTTCAAACTCGATGATCGCGACCTCGGAGTTCTTGTCATCTCCCTTCAGCATTCGGACGCCGTTGGCGGTACCAATCTAATACTATGGTCAGAAATATCCAAAGACTGAGCTTGATAGGTAACTCACATGACGGAAGTATTGTCGAACCTGATGTTCGGTTGTGTCGCGAGGTAGGTTTTTCACAATCACTGTAGCGTGCTCTCGATCCCGTTGGGGGACGGCAGGTGTATCTTCTTTTGGCTCCTGCTTGACTTCTACCTCTTCATTGCGGGCTTTCTTGCTTCTTGGCATCTCCTCCACATCGTCACGTTTTCTCTTCTCGTGGGCAGGAGCTGCCTCCATGGCGGCCTCCCATTGCTGTTGCTGCTGCTGCTGAGCCAATGCCGCTTGCTCCTGTGCCTCACGTTCCCGGCGAGCAGTTACGGCTCTCATTGCTTTCCGGGTCTCGATCACAGCAATCTGCAGTTCGTCCGAGTCCTCATAGTCCTCGCAGTGGGTAATGTAAGTCTGGACGATCTTGTCCGGCCAATCAAGATCGGTTCGCTTGAGCGCTTTCTTCAACACGGCAGTAGCATAGCTGGGGTTGGGAGTTCGGCGCGCAGCATCCACAGTGGCCTCTCCTTGAACGAACTTGCTCCAGCAGATGAGTTCCCATCCGTAGTAGGCAAGCCAGAATTCATAGCTGCTACCACGGCGGGCCATAAGACCTTTGAATGTCTCACGCGCAGTGTCCCAGCTACCGCTTTCGCTAGAGAAACGAATATAGATCCGCTCCAGGCGGAAGAGAGGATCACCCTGATACGCCGGGCCGTACTTCTTCTCGCCAAGTTCCTGCACGCTCTCGATGGCCGAGCGAATACCGACTTCTGCAACATCCAGGTCCTCGTCTGTAGAGTCGGAAAAGAAGGCGCGTCGGCGAAGGTAACTACACCAAGTGACGTGGACCTTCAGAACTTCCTCCAGTCCACCGGCATCAAGGAGTCCAGTGCTGGTGGCCTTGTGCTTGATGTCGGCGATAATGTTGAACGGCTGGTTTTCTCTCTCTGAGCTCAATAGATACTGAGACCAGAGGTTTCCAGACCAGGGACAATGGCGGGTGGCACGATCAAGAGTGGAGATAGCCGTAGTGGAAGCACGACGGTTGAGCGATTCGCCGATGAGAAACATGACATAATCTTCCCAGAGAGACACATCTGTGGGGTAGTGGAGGACGGCGCGCTGGTAAATAGCATTAACGAGGTCGAAACTAAATTCTCCTCGCTTCCGTCGATCACGAGTCAATTCCCAGTCAATGTATTCAGAGTAGACAGTCCACTCGAGGGCACGGTCGCCAGATTCTTGCACCTTGGCCAAGCGAAGTTCAAACTCCTCTCGTGCGTTGTAAAGTGCCTTTGGCTCCGCAGCCCGAGCTACAGTCTCCGACATGATCTCCTCGTACTTGGAGTTGCAGTAGCTCGAAACAAAGCCTGAGAATTTCTGGAAGGTCTGGTCCCAGGTAGCATGCGGGGTCTGAAGACGGACGTCGTAAAGTCCTCGAAGGTGATTGATCTTTTCCTGCGAAGGCGCGCGAGCGATGTCCTGGGCATAAAGATCGAGCAGGCGGTCCCACACCAGGTGGCTGTCATTGATTTTCCATCTGGTAGCATCCGCACCTCTCTGCCACACTTGCAGGACTGACTGCCAGGTGAATACCTCGCGGCCAACCGCCCGATCTTCCTCAGTCCATTGGCTGGAGCTAGGTTCGCCATGGGCGGAGTGGTACAGATAGAGCACCCATTCGCCGTAGATGTTCCAGAGCTTTGTGCTGCCAAACTCCTCCTCCACTGATCGCTGACAGAGTTCCATGACAGCAATACGACCGTCCACATCATGAGCAAGCATGCTCTCATCCTGAATCCATTCAGCCCAGAGATCTTCTCCCATGGCGAAAAGCTTGTCCATCTCTTCGCGGGCAGTCTTCAAGTCGTTGAGCAAGTCGTAGCGTCGTGGGTCGCCGTGTACATCAGGGTTGTTTGGTGGATACACGTGGTTCACGAACCCTGCATGCAGCAGTCCGATAAATTGCACGTGCGCATCGTGTGTGTGGGGGTTCAAGGAAATTCGATGGAATAATTCGGTCGCCAAACGCTGCGCTTCCGGTTCGAGAGATGTCGCGGCATAGGTCCTTTGCGAAGGATCCCGTCCGTCTGACATGGCGATATCAAAGGAGATTCGGGAGGTAGGGGTGTTGTGGTTGACGGAGTTTACGTGGGGGTGAATGGTCGAGGGAGATAGCTGGTGCTCATAAGATTGAGTGCTGCGCAGCATACTAGCAGCGTTCGGGCGCTGCGGTTGGTGGTGCTGCATCGAAGCAAGGTCGGCCAAAGTGTCCATCCCGGGTGTGGAGGCTTGTCTCGATGGTGGGCCATCGGCCCCAGGTGATGTGCCATCTCCACCGCCTGCCTTGGCCCCAGTTGAAGAAGCGCCATCTGTAGGTGAAGACTCTGGGATCCCGCCAGGCGCGTAGACCTGTTGCGCGAGGGGCGACGAAGTCTTGCCCTTCCGTCTCGGACCAGACCGAGCTCTCTGGATAGCCTTGTGGGGAGAAGGTCCGGCAGTCGGGGCCGCGTTTGACGTGGGAGCGGGCACGGGCGTTGAATTTCCAGACTTGGAATTCGAGTCCGGCGAGAGGAGTGAATTGATATCCATGTTGGTGGGAGGATGGAGCTAGATCGCTCTAGTTGAGCGGTTAAGGACAAAAGTACCGGAAACGTTTGTCACCGTCGAATATCCACGGATAGTGCTGGAAGTAGCAGAGATCCAGATCATACGACAGTCTTGAAGTTCCTCAACAACACGTCCATTCCTGCATCGACCAGCGCAGGTTGTGTCCAGATCCCCCCTCGTTTTGCTGGGTGCAAATGACGTAGGATATTTACACGGCGCAGGTTGCGCGACGAAAGAAAGCTTTTCTTTCACAGTGCTGATCTGGGGATGGTAGGTCGGAAAATCGAAGGTCCAAAGGAATGGAGGTTATGAAAGGAACTGGGAGTGGCCGAGCCGAAGGTTGGGAGCGCAAAGCGATATCTGAGAACTTTGAAAGGATCTCAAATAGGAGAGAAGGATGGGAACCACAGGCTAGATGGCCTGGGAAGGGGAGAGGGATGAAGGGGAAAGACAGAAAAGAGAGAGAAGAACTGAGGATGAGGGCTAGTGGATACTGTGGAGATGGGTAGGAAGAGAAATAGTGACCATGCGCAAAAGAGAAGCGCAAGACTTCAACGTATAAATCAAAGCTATCAAGAAACTATCTCTCACAGTCTCTTGCCTATTTCCCCCAAGTCGCAAGTTGCCTCTTTGACGCTATTCTGATCGATCACACTGCGTGCCTCAGGCTCCGGAGTCCCGCACAGACCACAAGTGCAGGGAACTTCATCTTTTTTCCCGGACTCTCTGCATCAACAACCAACACAGCCATGGCACTCTATACTTCAGGGCTGGTCCGGACAGGTATGCTTGCTTTCAATTGACTTTTGCGTTTTGCTAACCTCTGCTTCTTTCTCTCCAACAGTAGCCCGGACCGGTGTCACCTTCGTGCCCCGACGAACGCTAGCCTCAACCCCCATTCGTTCCGCAGATTTCAATGCCGACAACTCATCCAGTGGATGGTGGTCCGGCTTGAAGAACATGGTCGGTGGTGGCCAGTCCAAAACCAAGGTCACTCAACGACCCTCGGCCCCTAAGAAGGATGAAGGTTCACTAGGCGCAAGCTCGATCTTCGGGTCCGACTTCCAACCATCCAAGGGCCAAATGCCCTCCAAGGCGCAACAAGGAGCCGGAGAAGCAGTCGACCGCGATACCAGCCGTGTGCACCGAGGACTCCTGCCCGATCCTAACGCCCAGCTGCGGTGGGAGAGAAAAATTGCCGTACGAGAGATCCGCAAGCGAGGCCGCCTACCAAAGCAAGTCCAGATCAAGCGCACCGAGCGCGAGCAGCTCTCGAAATCCCACTTTTTCAAGACCTCAGTGAAGAAGCTGGGTCCTCTGGCCCGACAGATCGCCGGTAAGAACATCGACGAGGCCATCCTGCAGATGCGTTTCAGCAAGAAGAAGGCAGCCCAGGATGTATTGGGACACCTTGAGCACGCCAAGAACCTCGCCATTGTCCGTTCCGGTATGGGTCTCGGCGCCGAAAAGGGTTCTAAGCCCCTCACCGTCATTCTCAAGAGCGGCGAGCGCAAGAAGATCGAAAAGCCCACCGATATCTACATTCAGCAGGCCTGGGTTAACCGTGGTCCCTACGGACATGAGATGGACCACCGTGCCCGTGGTCAGATCAACATGATGCGTCCCCCCACCACAGGCCTCTCTGTTCTGTTGAAGGAGGAGAAGACTCGCATCCGCGAGTGGGAGGACCGCGAGGCCAAGGCCCAGCGTGCTCGTCGCGACCAGCTCTGGACTCAACTGCCAGACCGCAAGATCCCCACACAGAACCAGTACTACAGCTGGTAAATCTGATACTTCTTTGGCGTTTGTATTATTTTTATATCTAGCTCTTCGGTTTACGCTGTTGGACCTTCTGGTTTCATTTATCTTGCCATTAGCCGATTCGGCGAGAATTTGCATTTGGGACAGAGAAAGTCGTCGACTTCGCGTCTCCCCGGAGCCGAGCGACCCATGTACAATACTGAATAAATTTCCTATCAATATTTCCAACCTCACCCCATCATCTGTCTCTATTTGCAATGTCTACTTCACTTTCCCTCACTAGGAAAAGCCTGCTTATTCACAATAGCCGTAAACTCCTCCATCTCCTCTCTCGTCGCCCGCCCCCCAGAGACAGCGCTCATCAACCTAGACAACCTCCCGTCCCCATCAGCCCTCTCAAGCAAAGCCATAAGCGTAGCCATAGAAGTCCTCATCATCTCAGGATCGCGCGCTGGCGTAGCCGCAGGTGTAAGTTGTGTCGTCTCCTTCTCAGCGACAACAACAACAGGAATAACACCCCCAGTAGCAAGTGGGAACCAGCGATGCCCAGCAACCTGCAGAATACTACTAATGGCACCAGAATGGGCAGTCATAGAAACAAAAACATTCTCATCAGTGTCGAAGACATCGTCCAGGAACCGGCGCAGTCGCGCGTCCCGATCTTGGTCTGATTCGCGGGTCTTTGCGTCCCATAGTTCATCTGCTTCTGTGAAACCTTGTTCAATGATGTATTCTGGGTATTCGCATTTGATGGCTGACGCAGTGGAGCGCTTGTCGCAGGTGTGTTCGCCCATTGTTTCGCGGAGGAGCTGGAGAGAGTTAGATATTGGTTTATTGTATACAGGGCACACCATCATAGACATGGATAAGGATATGGCCATGGTTAGAGTATACTATATTCCCTCTCTCGAAAGAGTTGGGCGATAGGGGTGAGATGCCTACCTCCTTAACAATGGGTTTGAACGGCTCCGTGCCAGACATAGGCAAGCCAGCAAAAGTAACCTGTGCCGTTGCCAGGCACCGATTCAAGGGACTGACATAGTAAGACTGCGGCGCCGGAACACCTTTCTCAATCTGTTCTTCCCAAGCAGCGTGGGCGGTCTTTGCTTGATCGATTCCCTTCTCGGTGAGGTGGGCATCGACCCAGCTTCCGTACTCGTCTCCATCGAGCAGAGACCAGTGTTCCTAGCGGGGTTGTTATTCGATTTTTTTAAAAAAAAAAAAATCTTTTAGAGGAGGGTGCTTACATCCCATGCTTTCGTGCCGTAGCGGGTCTCGGCGACGTTGTGGACGCCTTCGCCGTGTCGTCCTAGGAAGAGGACTTTGTATTTTTGGTGGGGGTTGGAGTTCAGGGTTTTGATGTGTTCGCTGAAACGTTGCCATTGAGTTGTTTGGAGAGTTTCTTTTTCAGTGTCATAAGATTTGGCGATTAGACCGAAGTCTGATTTGACCTGGTTGGCTAGATTAGATTGGGGATATTGGTGTTGAGTGTTTTGAGGACGTTAGGGCCTGGCTCCACTGGGCATTGCTATTTCTAAGGCCTCCGTCTCGGAATTACTTACATAGTCGAAAGTGGCTGGGTCTGTAGCCGGATCATCCTGCAGGAAATAACCTGGGACTATGCTGTAACTGTACTTTGATTCCGTCATGGTGGTTGAAAAGGGAAGATATGTTGGGACGGAAGCTTTAGGGCTCTCGCGACGTGGGGCTGAGCTTGGCGGGACAAGCCTAGGGGACATACTGCATACTGTGGGTGGATCGTTGAATATAAATTGGAGAATAATTCATAATTTAAATCATAAGGATAATTTTAATCCCGTTCAGCAAGTTTGCTCTAAGCGCCTTTACTATATCAAACAACGGTACTATGGCTCATAGCCCAACATTCTTCCCACCATCCCGCAAAGCTTCATCTGCATCCAACATTGAGCGCCATGCGCCCAAAGATCATGCGAACCAAGAGGACCGCATGCCGAGCAGATGTAAGCCTTTCTTAGCAGACATTATTTGTCTACCGGAGAAAGATAGGCACTTGCCAATCATGGTCTCAGAGGATGAGGCCAAGGTTTCCGGAAACTGCCAGACACCTGACAAATCTCGGAGACCAGAAAGCGCAAAAGCAATAGTGGAGGAAATACCACTAACAATTTCGCAAAGCGACTGAGCGAGGCCGTTTCCAAAGATTGTTGGGATAGCGTTACCGCCATTTTCAAAGATTGACGGAACACGAGAGAGACCATTACCAAATACATTGGTAGCTCCGCGCCGAGACGGCACGGGCAATCGATCCCTTGGTGCTGATCGCAACCCGCCAGGCACAGCTGCTGATGATCTGGCAAATGCCTCGAGAGCCTCGAGACCAGTATGCTGACCAGCATGCCCACGCACATCCATAACTCCGGAGATCCGAATCCCCAGTGGAGAGTGACGGAACCTTGTTGCTCCTGCAACAGCCGCTGAGATCGTTGTTTGAAGCGTACCAGGAACGCTTGTCGATGGGGCAGAGACATTTTCCACGGTACGAGATGCCCGAGTAGTCCTGGGCCGCACGTCCAGTACTGGATGACGGACTTGGCCAGGGGTAGGTTGGTTGGACGACATCTGTGGAAGTTCTCCAGTAGATGTGGAAAGAGAAGTGGACGCACCACCAATCGAGGCGAGCGTCGATACACGCCACCGCAAACTCGACTTGCCTGCAGGCTTTCGAAACACGGGGCTTGACTGTAGTGCCAGGGAAGAACTGGATTTTGTCCCCGAAAGAGCAATATCGTGTCTCGGTGATGTGCTCTGCTGAGCACTCCTTCCCGAGGTGAGAACAATGTCGTGTCCCGATGAGGTCCGGTAAACTTGTTTTCCAGATCCAAGAACCGTGTCGTGTCCAGGTGAAGTATTCTTCGCAACAGTCTTCCCCGTTTGGGGAACGATATCGTGACCCGATGAGGTCTTGAAAGCTGGCTTGCCAGATACAAGAACAGTATCGCGTCCCGGCGATGTACTCTTCGAGGGAGATGCTTGGGATTGATATGGCGATGGGTGTTGTCCCGGCAATGTACTCGTTGAAACCTTGGTCTTCTGGAGCAATCCTCTCGTGGATGGAGACACAACCGGCAGTCCCATTGACGGGTCGTGTCCCGCAGAACCGCTTGCAGGCTTCCTGATCGCCTTTACGGTCGGGAGTGCTTGAGGTGAACTGAGTAACGGATCGTGGCCCATGGTTGCCGAGCAGCGCGCCTCGGGAAGAACTGGCACATGAAGCATTGGTTGCCTCGGCCTTTCTTGGAATGCAGCGTTTGTCGGTACATCGGTAACTCCAGCACGGGCAGCGGCCTTCTCAAGGCAGTTGCACTACTCGCGTTAGCACATTGCTCAATGAAGTTGTAGAAGAGAAGGGTCAATGAATTGGTCAGGACTTACTCGCTTGTGTTGCTTCTTGTGCTTCTCACAAGCACCGTATTTCCTAGCCTTGATGTAGTTCTCTTTCTGTGCCTGAGAACGAGGCTTCTGCTTTTTCGGAACGTTGGCGGTGGCGTTCATGTTGAGGTCGAGGACCATCTCCATGGCTCCCGGAGGGGACGCCTCAGAGACGGATGTGTTTTCCCGGCTGGGCCGCGCGGGTTGAGGGGACGTGCTTTCGCGCATGTAGTCGGACCAACTTGGGGAGGAGAAGCTGGTGTTGGAATCCGAAGACATGTCTAGATCGAGAGCGGTAGCATCACATAGACGCTGGAGGTGTAATGCGATTGCTGCTTCGCGGCGCTTCTCCTTGATAGAAGCGACACGCGGGTCGGCAGCAGCCTGGGCCTCCACCAGACTTCTGAATGCCATTGTGCTGTCATACGGGTTGTAGCCCGCGAAAGAAGCATCGTCAAACAAAGGCGCAGCGGGGTCTGGCATGTACCCTCCATCCATCGAGTAGCCCATCACATCCTCCTGGGTCAGGTGGTAGTTGGTCATACCTGTCCAGTTGAACTGCGGGGTCTCAGAGGGAGAGGGAGTGACCATGTAGCTCCGATCATCTTCGTAGGGCAGAGCCAAATCCTGGGGAGAGATGGTGGTGTTCGAGGGCGACACCTCCTCGTACTCGGCAGGAAGGTCCAGAAATTGATCAAAATCAACCCACTCGGTGGGGGTTGCATCCATCTGAGGGAAGAACTGGTCTCCAACGAAAGCCATAACAAACAAATCACGAATAAAATGGGTATCACTGGGGGTATCTAAGAATTGAGAAATTTGTGCCAAAGAGAGAAAGAGAGGTAAGAGTAAGGGTCGGCAAGAGTTAGTCGTTAAAGCCGAGATACAAGTTTGAAGTCGTAAAGAAGAGAGGCCTGAGGATGTATAGGGGTATAATATGGCTTCCGGAGAAGGTGAAGAACGCCAGACCTGAGGCAACCGTTGATTCTATGTATGCGCTGGGCTGTCAGAGCGCCTTTCCTCTTCGGGGTCCCCGACTTCACGCTAAACCCTTTTGAGACCCCGACCCCCCGCTTGATCGCTCTAAGCCGCAATATGACTCAGTCCCCGGGGTACTTCCCCAATTATACTATTTACTATGATGAGCCAGGTACCTGTGAGATTTTGATATTCCTATGATGTATATCTTGCATCTGCAATGCTGCTTGATTATTATATGTAGGATCATATTATGATCTCTCATTTTTGGGTTCCAAGGTTAGAGGCTGTGCTCGTGCATAACCCACTTGGTTAGCACTAGGGCTGACTGAGGCGTATGCATGTAGAGTGGAACGGTACAGAGTAGAATTGCTTCAAGTGCCTGATGATAGAGCTCCAGGCACCTCGGAAAATGTATGAATCTGAGCAATCTCGATCAATTGACTTTCAGCCACATCCATCAGGGTCTTGACCCACTCGCCATGACACACAGTTGCATTCGGAGCCTCGGCAAGGAAAATTCTTTAACTAAAAAAAATTTCAAAGCTGTTAGATCTGGCTAGTGGATAACACAGACCAACAGTTGATCAGAAATAAGGTGTAGAGGTGCATTAGGGCTAATGATAAGATGTGGGTGTTGAAGTCCTGGCTGACATATATATCTCTGCGGAACGGTGGTAGTTGACAGACAACAATATCAATAGTTAGGATAATAATGGTGATTGCATTTGTAAACGACTAAATTAGAGAGCCTTTTACTATTGATCAATATAGTAACGGTAGTGAGTAAATTTTGGAAATGTACAATAAAAGTTGCGGCTATGTGTACGCACACGTGAGGAACATCGTGAGATTTTGAAGTGGAGAGGAGTAGCTTAGTAAGGGGAGGACTCCCCAGACTCCCAGACTAGGTCGTGGCTCCAGACCTCATTGAACAAGTTGCTTGTTTGTGATCGTCCTTCTCCCCTGTCGCCCTCTTCATCACCCACCCTCCACGCTCATCAACCCCTCCATCTCAAACCCCCGCTAGACATCCAGATCCACCCTCGGTTCTGCTGTGGAGAGAAGACAACTCAACTGATTGGCGCCGGGCAATGTTTTGAGGGCAAAAATAGAAAGCCAAAAAACCTGTACAGTCAGCAGCGGCCGAACCGGAAAATCAATCACGTCACGTTGTCATTACTCTACCATGGCCGCCGCTTTCGATGAGGAAGACCTCGCCATCCCCCTTGGCCCCTCCGACCGTGATCGTCGTCCAAGGGCACCTCCTAACCCCTCCGCCATGGCAATGCCCCCGCCATCGAGGCCGACCGGCAGGAATGAGGATCCGATACAGTCCCCCTCCACCACGCGGGACATGCAGCGCCTCGACCAGTATCAGACCGTGAAGATACTCGGAGAGGGGTCATTTGGTAAGGTGAAGCTCGCCATTCACCAGCCAAGTGGTCGGCAGGTGGCTCTCAAGATCATCTCACGACGCAAGCTGCTCTCCCGAGATATGGTTGGTCGGGTGGAGCGCGAGATTCAGTACTTGCAATTGCTCCGACACCCTCACATTATCAAATTGTACGAGTCCCCGCGATCCATGTGTGCCATTGTGGTTTCAGATGACTGACCCATAGCTTTCGAACAGGTATACCGTGATTGCCACTAAGACCGATATTGTGATGGTGCTGGAATATGCCGAGCGCGAGTTGTTCGATTACCTGGTGCGCAAGGGAAGGTGTGGTGATGACGAGGCCCGGAAGTTCTTTCAACAAATCATCTGCGCCGTGGAATACTGCCATCGACACAAGATTGTCCATCGTGATCTGAAGCCCGAGAACCTGCTGATCGACAGCCAGAAGAACGTGAAGATTGCGGATTTCGGGTTGAGTAATATTATGACGGACGGGAATTTCTTGAAGACCAGCTGTGGTAGTCCAAACTACGCGGCCCCAGAGGTTATCTCTGGCAAGCTTTACGCAGGGCCCGAGGTGGATGTGTGGAGTTGTGGTGTGATCCTCTACGTGTTGTTGGTGGGCCGATTGCCCTTTGATGATGACTATATCCCTGCCCTCTTCAAGAAGATCGCCGCGGGTACTTTCCACATTCCTGGATACATCTCATCTGGAGCAGCCCGCTTGATCCGGTCGATGCTCCAGGTTCACCCTGTTCACCGGATTACCATCCCCGAGATTCGACAGGACCCTTGGTTCCTCAAGGGCCTCCCTCCCTACTTGCAACCACCACCCGAGGAATTCATCGCGCCTGGTGTGGATCCGAAGAAGGTTGATAACGGCAAGCTTGACCCCGCCAAGCCGGCGCCGGTCCAGCATAAAATCCACCGGATTGCAGTTTCGAAGCTAGAACGAAGTATGGGTTACGGCCGAGAGGATATCGAAGAAGCACTGCGACACCCCGAGCCCAGTGCAATTAAGGACGCGTTTTCCATCGTCGTTGAGAATGAGATGATGCAGACCAATTGTGAGTTTTCCCACTGGCCTTTTCCCCACGACCACTGGCTAACAGAATTGTAAAAGCTCCCACGGAAGATAATTTGTTGGCTCAGAATGTCCCTCAGCAGAGAGGCGCTGCACCTTCGTCCGCAGATCGCGCACCTGCTCCTCGAACCCAGGCGACTCCTGCCACTGTCGTTAACAGAAACCAAAGTGTCTCTCGTCGGAAGCCGTCGGAGGATGCCCAACACACAGATACCGACGAGGAACCTCGCATCAGCCATGTTCGGATCCTCCCCACTAGCTTACCATATGTTCATGACCAGCTCATGGAACAACGTGACCGAGAGCAAAGAGCTCGTCACCAAATGCTTGAGCAACGGCGCCAAGAAGCCGCCCATCTTGACCAAGATGGTCAGGGTGCTGCGTACCGGGACATGTCAGCTGAAGAGCAGGCTGCCACAGCCCGGGCACTGAAGCCCCACTCGCGAAGTGTAGTTGATCTCGACAAACTACGCTTCGAGCCACCAATAGGCCAACCCCTCGAAAAACAACCAAAGAGAAGCCGCAAATGGCAATTTGGTATCCGGTCCCGAAACCAGCCTTACGAGGCCATGCTGTACTTGTACCGGGCAATCACCGCCCAGGGTGGACTCTGGGACATCCAGCCGGTCGAATCAGGCACGAACATTGGCCCTGATGCGACTCCTGACCCTGACAAGCCCAAACCTCTTCAAAGCAAATATCCCGACCTCCCCTCCAACTACTACATCCCGAAGGATCCTTGGTTCATCCGCGCACGCCTGCTTAAAGAAGGCATCAAGGCTCCAGGCGCCTCCACCAGCGTCTACAACAGCCGCAGCGACCTAGAAGAACTACGCCGCCGCTTCAACATCTCAGGCATTTCCGCCCCAACAGAAGACAAGAGCAAAGACTCCCACGTGTCCTCGGCACCAGACAGCGGCCTCGCATCAGGAGCCTCCTCAGCCAACCAACAAAGCGGACTCCCGAATATTACCTACGGCGTCTGGGTCTTCATCGACATACAGCTGTACCAACTCGAAGAAAACAACTACATGGTCGACTTCAAATGCGACGGCTACCAGAACGTCATCCGCGCCAACGGCGACACAGACTGGCACCCCATCAGCAAGCGTTTCATGAACAAGGAGAAGGAATTCACCAGCCCCTACCCATTCCTGGATGTAGCGTCTGATCTCGTGGCCCAGCTGGCTGTGGCGAGTTAGAAACAGACCCAGGCTTGACTATCTATCACTATCATTATCATGGAGGGGATGGGGATGGGAATCCAGCTCCGGCTCTCTTGTTCATACACAAAACGATCATGATATATATATTAATTTTCTCCCCTGTTAATACTGCCTTTTTTCTTGAGTGGCTGTGGTTGCGGTTGCATAGGTTTTTTTTTGGCTTCTGCTGCATTCGGATATTTTGTATTTTTTTTTTTTTTCAGCAAGCGTGGTCTAGGGCTATTTGATGCGGGTTGAGCTCATTGTATGGAGTATGTGTTGATTGTCGAGCATGAAAATATTCGTTTAACCTTTTTCTCGTATCGCAATAGAACACATGACTGTCGTACATTAATATACATGTAGCTCGAAGATATTTGCATGTCATGGTGCTCATCTGCTCGTTTCGAGAGAGGCGAATCTTCATAACATAGCATACCCAGCTACCTCTGCGCACTGAATACATTAAACAAGAAACAATAACTTAGTGAAGATCGGGATACATGTACCTCTAGAACAAAGCGAATATCGAAAAAAAAGCAGCATTGCCCACCCAAACAGAGACCCCTTCGTTCAACATAAAATCAGCCGCCCAGAGCACCACCAGCAGCAGTAATGACAATTAGTGGCTCATACCCCCCCCCCCTTACTCATTTGTCTTCACGGGCCAATTCTTCTTCTCCTCGTCTTTCCCTTCTCCGCTGCTCACTTGTCTCACTTGTTCCAATCGGTTACCGTTCCAACCCAGCCATTCTCCTTGAAGGCCAATATGCGGGCACTTCTTGTGCGTAATGGCGAAGAAAAAATCCGGCCCTTGTGCATCTCTGGCCTGTGTCCTCGAGACCCGATACCGACGTCTAGACAAACTAAGTCTTGCCTTGTTCTGGCGAACTTTTGAACCACAAACTTGCGGGGATCTTGCATGGAAAACCCGAAATGAAGGAAAAAAAAGAAAAACAAATCAAAACAGAAACACTTAATTGGGGTCGATACCTAAGCCGATGGCCGAGGCGAACACCTAACAGACCGGCCAGCATAGACGCCGCTGCAACATTTGCGGGATCCACCGAGCGTGTCAGGGGTGTCATTGTGAGGTAATTAGGAATCTCATGGATGAGGTTCAAGGATTGACGCGAAAAGTTGATCTTTGCGGCACGACGGTTCCTCACGACCGAATGCCGACGACCAGGCAAACCAAGAATGGTTGTGATTTTGTTCGAAAACACGAAATGATAGAGCCGAATTGTGTGCTCGAGATGGCAAAATAAATGGGGAGAAAAAAAGGAAAACAGAGGCAGAACAGAACATAACGAATGTCCAAGAGTTCCCGCCATCAGCTTCTTCCATTTGCTTCATGGCGGCAAGTGTAAAGTGTGTGAGATACCAGTCTTTGCAAATTGTTTGCCATGGACTCGAGAGTCAGAACCGACAGCCAGAGAAATCATTAGTTCGCCGCTTGCTTGCAAACCCGAACTTGTAAAGCATCTTTCTCCATAAGAGGGAGGAAAGAAGTTTCATCTGGCTCAAGCTATCAGTTCAATTGCTGGGAAAATCCCACCCTGCAGTGTATTCGACAACCACTGGAACCACCAAGCGTGTCATAAGTCAACAATGAGAAGGGTTCGAGAATGTGAATTTCGCTGCGGTTTCACACGAAGTTGAGAGACCCCATACAACGGCTAGATAAACCATTATTTCTCGAAACACGAACTTGAGGAGAGATATGAACAGGTACCCCGAGATAAACAAAGAAAAGAAAGGAAAAAGAAAAGAAAAGAGAAGAAAAAGAAAAGAAAAGCATCGCAAACCTCTTCCAATCTGAAGCCGATGCAGGGAGCAGGCTAGTCAAAAGCCATTTCGTAGGCTGTTTGTCATCTTAGCGCTTTCTCTCGCGAGGTTTCTTGATAGATCCCTGATTGGAGACCCTGTTTAGTGACTCGATGTAAACACGCTGACTGCGACGGCGCTGGCTATCCGAATTTCCGCTATTTGTGCCCGCTCTCCCTATTCGGGACTGTCCACGGTTCTCAGATAGCCGAACCTGCTCAGCAGCAGATGTAGCAGCTTCGGCCTCGACAGGAGCATTCGGGATGTGTTCTAGCACACAAGGACGCACAAGATGAGTGTTGGCAGGATCAGCAACACCAGGACCGACCAGAGGGTTCACTGTGTCGTGAGCATCGTTCAGCTCAACAACTTGTTCCTCGTCCGGAACCTCGTGGTCCTGACTCTCTTGTTTGATCACCTTCTTGCAAGCTGATCGCTGACGTAAAGCGGCTTCCACAACCCAAGGCTTGAACGTAGGAAGGATTTCCACGTCGGGAAAACGAACACGGCTCGCCTGCAGCCGCTGGTTGTTCCTAAATCCGGTCGACTTGGCGGGCCTCTTTCGTGACTTGCCTGCGGCATGTCGGGGACTAAGAGTGACGCTGGGGCTCATAGTCAGACTCATCTGCTCTTCTCGCTCTTCCTTGCGCAGGTCGCCCAGGTATGACCGCACATGTTCGATCGTTTCTCTGATATTTGTGAACGACTTCGATTTCCCCACCAGTCCGCGAAGCCATAGAGGAACAGGTGCATTGATTGCGGTAGGATGCTTACGGCTCCGCTGGGGAGCCGTCAGAGCGAGAGATGTACGTGGTTCTCTCCTCGATTTTGACGCATTTCTCCCTCCTGAAGCTTGAAGCTCGTCTCCGTGGACGGAGGGCTCATTTTCAACCCGGAGTTGCTCCCTGCGGCGCAGGATCAACTCAAAATTCTCTACCCCACCCCAGCTTTCCATGCGATTCAGTGACTCGAGGAGGAGGTCGCACTGGGTAAAGGGCCATTGATCGGCACGGTAACGAGCACGCTGATAGTGCTTGCGACAGTAGTGTACCCAGACGTACTGAGGAAACAGCTTTGTCGAGGCTTTGTTGCGGCCGAAGACATGGGAGACAACCTTTCTCCAATGCATTCCATCGGGCGAGGGCCTCATGCGACATGGAGCTGAGAACTCGCACGCCGGATCCTTAGATTCTTCAGATTCCCATTTCACAAGCTGCTTGCCTGAAACCGGTCCCTCTGAGCAAGGTGTTTGATAACTTCCAGTTGATTTGCCGGGATGCCATTGATTGGGCCACTCAACGGAGTCAGGCATGGGGAATTGGGGACGATGAGCGCCCGCAGTTGTGAGCTTAGTGTCAGGACTCCTGCTCCGCGCTCTCGTGGGCGGCTGATCGTCTCTCGAGCGATTGTTCCGGTTGTATGGATTCAGCCGGTCGTATTCCTCCCTCGAGGCAGCTCCAAGCGCTGGGTCATATCTCCTCCGAGTTGTGCGTGGATTAGCATATGAAGATCGATCAGAGTTTGACAAAGAATTGGTGAACTTAGGCATGTAACCAGGGTGCGCCGCATTAATGCCGCCCATGACTCCCGGGAGAGGCGGCAAGGCCGGACGAGGAAAGTATGGGGGGGAGGGGTGGCGTGTAGAGGGTCCATCAAAACCAAATAAACCAGGGAAAGATTGATTCAGACTGTAGAAGAGAACAGAGTCAGTTAAGTTCATTCAAACAGTGTAGTCCTGTCACAAGCCGAGTGAAGACTTGAAAAGTGAGCAGCAAGGGATATTGATGAAAAGAGAGCGTATGAAATAGAAGTAGGACTGTGAGATGGAGACAAGGAAGGCATCGAATTGTTTTGTATGCTTACAGATCGATTTGGCCGGGACCATGGAGAGTGCCAGTTAAATGGTAGTGAGAACTGCAGGGATCGATGAAATCTGATCAGTAGAGATCCTTTCAGACGATGAGTTAGTAGAAGAGAAATGAGAAAAGGCAGATGAAGACAAGAATCAAGAGAAATGCTCGGAGATAGAGCATGGAGCATGCAAATGAAGAGTAGTTGAGAGTGACAAGAATATCTCCTGAATCGACTCTTGTGAAGCTGACTGAACTTCAGGATCTCATTCTGAGAGAACCATGAAGCTGAAACATCTTCACGAGAGCATGCTCATGCAACATCTTGTATGCTTTTAATCCCTCCTCATTTGTATACCAACAGATGGATTACCATGCTCAAGAAGGAGAACAGTAAGAAAATGCAGATATACATACCGTGGATCGTTAACCGGGTCATCCGGGGTCCGCAAAGTGACATCAGAGTTCCTAGACGCAGTGAGTTAGTAGATGATTTTTAGATTGTGATATCGTTTCCAATGTAAGGACTTGGAAGGTGAAGTAGTTGCTCAAAAAGCAAATTTAAATACCATGTTTCGTCTAGGATTTCAGCTGTACCGGGTGCAGGTGCAGTGAGACCAGCATATCTTCAGAACGTTAGTAGATGGATTTCAGATTGTGATGGCAGAATTCCCAGTGCAAGGACATGGAAGGTAAACTAGATGTTTAAGAGACAAACATATATACCGAGTATGATCATAATTGACCTCATCGGAGTTGTGGTCAGAAAAATCAGGATTCCTAAGCGCAAACTTTTAGTAAAAATTTTCAGAGAGTGATGGTATCAGTTGTAGTGGATGACCAGTGGAAGTGAGGTAAACGCTGAAAGAGAAAAGCGCATGTACATACTCATTATGCTTGTCCTCGAAACAACCATGTGCAAGGTTGATAGAAGTGAAGCCCGGATGACTAAGCACTAAGTGTTAGTAGGTGATATCTAGATCATGGTAGGAAAGAATTCAGTGAAAGGATGAACTCAAGGCAAGGTATCTCAGGGAAGGGTCAAAGCGTGTGAAGTGAAAGATGTTCCGGTATGATGATGATGATGAAGATGGAAGAGGATGTCTTACGAGGCATCCAGTATCAGATGCCAGGTGAGATAGGACTGTTCGAATCTTGAAGAGGCATCACGTAAACAACAAGATGCTGTGTTCAGGTGGCAAGTTGGATGAGATATGTGACAAGAAGGAGATGGTAGATGTAAAAGTGTGATGAGATATACGACGATCTTGATGATGAAAGGGTAAAGGAAGGAAGTGAAAGTGTGATGAGATATATGAAGTCCTTGATGCTTTGTTAACGTACCTGGGTGCAGCTTGATCTTGGTGGCCCTGTGGACTGCCCGGACCAGAGTTGGTCTGACGAGTTGGATACATCTGTGATGGTTGCATAAGGTTAGGTATTGCTGTGAGGATACCTGATGATAGATGAGTCTCATACCGTGATGCAAGTCCCAAGCAGTGGAAGAGTGGTGATGAAGAGATGATCGGTGACGAGGAAGGGAGAGGAAGAAGAAGAAGAAGAAGAAGAAGAAGAAGAAGAAGAAGAATTGGATGATGTTTGCTTTCACTTTCTCAAGGCGCGTTTGCTCGATTTGCTCGAGACGAGGGATCTGGGAGGGAATTTGCCTACGAGCTACAAGGCTTAGACTTGAGTATTTGTGTGTGAGCTTAACAGAAGAACATTGAAGTTTGGAACGTCTTTCTACTTGACTTTGCTACCTGATTTGTGGTAATACCAGAGTGAGGCTATTTGTAGCTTACACTCCATAGGCCTGAATGGATGTTTGAGGATTTTACAGGATAGACAGTTTATGTAAACGGTACAGGAATATGATGTCAGACTGGAATGTCATACTCAGACGCGGAATGAATGAGATGCGTGCTCACGTCGTGCTCATGGACTTTGAGCATCAGAATATATGAATAAGGAAGGGCATAATTAGAGATACAAGCTCTCAAGCAAGAAGGGTAGCTCACGAGCTGCCATTGATGAGCTTATACAAGGATTCAAGGCTCACAGCCAGAGAACCAGAGCCTTGACGTAGACAAGACGGGTAATCAAGAGACTGACTAGTAAATAGTGTCATTAGATGAACATAACAACAATGACAAACCTCGAGAAGAGAAAGAAAGAAAGAAAGATTTCGCAACTCCGGTGGCAGCGACAGGTCACCCTGGCCTTTTACTGTACAATTCGGTAGCGTCTAATATCACATAATTTAGGGAGGGGATGTTGACAGGTCATGCTTGAAGTTGTTGATATAGAGCAGGAAGGCTCCACACTTCTGGTGGAACGTGCGGCCCCACCATAAAACATGTGTATTTTTGCATAATTTATGTTTGCATTGTTTGTGAACCCAATTGGGGCCCCAGACTGGGTTAACTAACATACTATAAAATCCGCTTCCTGCGCTAATTATCGATACCGTACCACAATAAGCGTAGTATCATGACAATGGACTAAGGATTGTAGGACTTTGGCTAGCCCTGGGTGATATCATCATTATCATCATCGAAAGGAGTGTAGGCCATACAAGGCAGAAATTCCACTGGAGAGCCTAGTAACTTCATTGTACGTTTGCTCTGATAACCAAGGAGTCACAAGGCGTTAAAAAAAAAACTGTGGCTGACAAGCTAAAAATGGAGCAGGTTCATGGGTATATTCTGCAAGCAAAGTATTGTAAGTAACTGGTTGCGCTGTCTGGTACGGAGTAAGCCCCTAAATTGTCATTTGGACACCGGAGTGAGAGAAAGGAATGGCACTATGTTGGAATCAGTGGTAACCGTAATAGCAAGTCATCCAATGAAAAATGGCAAAAAGGCCTGTTTACTACCCCTTCGTACACACAATTCATGGGGCAACATGACTAATAGCAATAGCAATGAACATACTCCCGAGTGGAACAATCTAGCTCTGGTCATTTATACCGACACTATGTACTTACAGTTCAAGTCAAATATTCTTGACTTCTAAGCTACAGGACCAGCGAATGGCTTCAAAATCACCGAAGCGTATCGTGACTAACTTTTCATAGAATAACCTATAGCACAAAGCTCAATGTACGTAAACGAAATCAAAGATTCATTTCCACAAGGTATCATCGGCTATTCCGTTATGTGTACATGACCAAAGTGTGTAAATCTCACAAAACCAAGTCCAAAGCCAAACGCCATCTTTGCCGGATATCGAGAAAAGAAACCAATGCAATCTGAGAAAGAGTCAAGGAAAACCAGAAGCGAGTATAACCCAGGATCCACGTCGCAGTACATAAGTACATAAGTCATAACATGCAATCAGGGCGAAAAACGAACAAAAGCAGAAACGGTTTTAACTGGCATAGCCCATAGACGCCGATGCCCGAGGTACATATTTGCGAATCGCTCCACGGCCAGGACTACAGCCCGCAGATCCAATGTCAATCGTGCTAAGCTCGCGACTCAATGCGTCCATGCGGCCATTGGGGTTACCGGACATCACAGGATAGCTGGGACTACCGTGGGTGATGGGCACCTTGGATGGAATCGGGGGACCGGTGTTGTAATCGTAGAGTGGAGAGCGAGCGCTAGGCGACGGAGAGACGGAGCCACGGGAGGAGCGGGGACGCTCGGTTGATGTCGGGGTGTTGTAGCTGCGACTGTCGGTGTAGCTGTCTGACCGTCCGTGTGTGTAGTCCATACGTGGTGGTGTGCGGACCATTGAGCCTGAGCTGGCGTGGACGTGGGTTGGTGTGTATTTCTTTGGGGAGCGGTCGTAGGTATTTTCGGTTCTGAAGCCTACACGCGGTGGGCCTGCGGCGCGGGAGGTTGTTGATTCGTTGCCTCGTGATGTTGGGCGGGGTGAGTGCTTGAATCGGATGATGACCTCCGGCTTGCGGTTCTTCCTTTCTGGCTCTGGGGCCCAGGTATCGGTTGGGAGATGGTCTGTTGGATCGATCTCGCGTCCGTCGTCTCCGATGATTGGTTGGTCCACGTCTCGTGGAGGCTGGCCCTTGGCGCGCACCAGAGAGTCTCTGGAGTGAGAGGGCGAGTCGTAGCCTGGCGAGGGGTCTCTGCTTGGGGGACGAGACGTGTGAGGGTTGAGGGTGCTGTAGGAGTCGGGGGAGAAAGGAATTGAGGAACCGCCACGGCTATCTGAAGATGTAGGGCGTGGACTGACGGACTTCCGGGTCACTGCGCGCATATCGGGGCTAACAGATCCAGATCCACCTCTACTGGAGGTCGGTCTCTCAGCAAGAGGACGAGGGGAAGTTCGTAGGGGGTGGATGGGAGGTTCGTAGAGAACCGGTGCGGTCACAGGAGGCGCCTCAGACAGCATCATCTCGTCATCCCAATGCGAGCTGCGTCTCCGAACCGACCTTTCAAAGGCTGCCCTCTCTGATGCATCTTCTGGCTCATAGCCGGCGACCAAGCTTACTGGCACGGCTGACGCATGTCCCATCAGATGAGATGGCGTAGACACGGAGGATGGCAAGTTGTTTGGTGGCCTTGAAGAAGGTTGCTTGGGCGTATAAGGCATGTAAGTGTGTGGGGAAATTCTGGAGGTGCGCATCTGAGTTTGCGGCTCTCGGGATCGGTGGAGTGGAGGTGGAGGTGGCATCATCCCATCCTCGTCTTCATCTTCAACTCGTGGTTGCATCGTGGCGTATTCGGGGTGATGTTCAGGACGACCCATCAGTTGAAGTGGCCGAACGACGTGGTGATGGTATCTAGGGTCATCCACAGGGCCCGAGAAGGAAGCCGACCTAGGGAAGTCTTGAGCTGGTAGCTCATATGCATGCGACGGAGGCCCATAAGATGCAGGATCTGGGTTGTAGCGAGGGTCCTCAACATGGTGATCTTGATGTCCAGGGTTGTACATTCTGCCCCGCATATCTGCCTCATACACCGGCTCTTGTCTGGCTAACCGGTAGTCTCCAGAGGGTGGTTGATCATAGTCAGACTGGCTCCGCGGTTGCAGAGGACGCGGGTCGTATGTGTTCTCAGAGACTTCCTGGGCAGGATATGCGATTTCATGAGTGTTTCTGCTGGAAAGAGGGGCCACCACGGCTTGCTCTACCCATTCTTGTTGCTGATAAGGATCAACAGCATCGTATCCACCTCGAGATGGAGGAGGCAGAGGGGACGGTGCACGATAGGTGAGTTCCTCGTATACAGGCTCTGCAGGTACGGGCCTCGGAGCGTATGCAAGAGGCTCTGGAGGAACAGGCATGGAGTGTGCGTGCTCAGGAATCGCCGGTCTGGACGGAACTGGGTGCTGAAGAGGTGGAGGCGCAGACTGAACGTGTTCAAGAGGCGCTGGTCGTGCCGGTGCTGGTGCTCCAGGTGGACCACTGGGCAAAGGCCGGCGCTTGACGTCCTTCAATTGCCGAGGGCCAGACAATCCAGTGTTGCTGGGTGCGCTGGGGATCTTGCCCTGAACTCTGTCTGCGGCTTCTTGTCTGCGTTCAAGCACTGCTTCATCTTGCTCTCGTGTGTCATAGTAGGTCATTTCAATGCGGATATCTCCTGCGTATTTTCCTCGGCACTGCAATGGGTGCCAGTGGTCGTTCTGGCTTCCACCAGGGATAATCAAGTTGTGCAAGTCAATCCAGGTCTCGCCGATCATGTCGGTCTTCTTGTCGTCGTTGAACACGGACACCTTCAGCTTGAAGTAATCTGGAGATTCGTGTACGGTGAATCGGAGTTCCGAGTCCCTAAACAATGATGTCAGCTCACATCCCCTCCACAGTTCGTGTCCTAGCTTACCATCGAGGGGTTTGTCCTCCGCGCAGGTCTGTTTGTGTTTTCTTTGCTTCCTTGCCCAATCGTGCAGCACAGTACGGGTTCTGCTTTCCCATGGTCTTGCGATTTGGCAGGTTCTTGGCGCGATCAATGATGGCAACCAGTGTACCGATGATAGGGCCATCAACGGAGATATCGGCGAAGATGCCGGCGGCATGGTTAACCTTGGTATGGGTGAGTTTGGTCGACATGGCGATTGAGTCCCAGGTGTTCAAAAGACTCAAGCCGGTGCCTCAAGTGCGAAAGAGAAAAAGAAAAGAAGAAGAAAACATATTGGAATGTCTACAGTATTGGGGGTGGCTGGGGTGTATCAGATCGGGTCATTCATTGGCTGCAACCCCTGGCGCCTGGCCTGGACTCGGGTATTTTACCATACGTGACAACATCAACAGATCAACAATGAACTCCTCCTTTAACTTACAACCTCAACCTCTATTGCTTCACTTCTATATACTCTATACTTGATCTACTCTTGAATATATTCACTACTACCATCACAGATAGCAACTCAATCCTGTACACCCAACCCCTGTCAGGCACTTATGTGGATCTCAGATCCCCAGCCACCTCCGATACTTGCATTCCCGAAGTGGGACAGCCAATACACTATTGGCGATCAGGTCCAGATCAGATCGTCATAGGCACACTACCGTACTTTGTGAATCCGGTTTCAGCTGTGAGGTTCTGTCAAGTTGTCGCGGCTCCCCCACCTTTAGGGTTGAGCTGCACCCCGATGGATCTGCTTCCCCCCACCGCATCGCCATAGCGACCAGTCATTGAACCAGAACATACAGGTGTACACGTCTTCTTGTTTATTGCATATCCACCCGATCTCATACATAGTCAGTTATTACTGAGACAGTATTGTTTTATGATCCTTATCCCCTGCTCCATCGTATGACTTAATGATGCTGCCTACCTCACTGCCCCATTCCCCTTTCATCATTCATTTAGCCCCCAAGGTTACTATAATTAACAGAGTGGAAACCACACGGATCTCGGCTGCGCGAGGCTGGAAAGTCAATGGAACATGTCCTTGCCGGGGAATTTTATACATTTTGGAATCAGCTGATCTCGGCGGGTCTTTCCTAGCACGTTGGGGACATGGGTATCCTAGGATTGACTCTGTCAGCTGTCAGTAATATCTCATAGAGGCATGCACGAGTGAATTAGTAAAACTTGACATGCTGTAAGAGGGTCCAGACTACTCGAAAGACTGAGAGGGCTGGAAAACTATGAATGATATATCACTTTTGTCCATCTAACAGCCCATGGGGTGAATGTGCTGGAGGTGGAATGCCTGGGATTGAGTATAGGGTTTCTTATCTCTTGTAATGCGGATTTGGATGGTCATCTTGGCCCGGGATTAGCCGTATCTTCATATGCTCGTGCTCGCTTATGTTTTCCATGTATACCTGCAAGGGTTGGTCTGGAATGAGGAGAACGGGGAGGATATGTTGGAACTTGCTGTCTTCCGTAACTTGCTCAGCCAATGAGGGCATTGAAATCTCTGTCATTTATTACTTGCTATTTCTTGCTATTTATGCTATGCTCATCCTTAGTAATCCGCTCATTCGGAGTTACTATAATTCCGGTTCTCAATCCGTATTCATGAATGCAGCACTGACACACCCCCTCAGCAAGCGCAGTGTCGCTGGCTTGCTGCCACTGGGAATAGCTTCATGAATCAGCAAGCTCTCCAATTGGCCCGTCAACCTCTCCCTGGCGTCTTTCCAGCATCCACCAAGTGGCTGATGTCCACCAAGTGAAGCATTTTCACAAAACGCTCGTGCTGCTGTCTTGGCAGCAATTTTGTGAGGCCGTCGGCTACCATTCTGGCAGTAGGCACCCATCGGATCGAAATCCGGCCTTTCTGCACTTCCTGTCTCAGCCATAGGTGGTGAATGTCTACATGACGAAGCTTGGTGTCGAAGCTAGCATCCTGAGACGTGAGCAAGTTGATCGCTCTCTCATTGTCGCATTCAATGCTAATAACGTGAGAAGGATCGAAACCAACATGCCGCAATAGTCGTCTCCACCATTGAAGGTGCTTGCCAGCTTCTGAGAGCCCAAGAAGCTCTGCTTCCGTTGTTGATGTAGTCACCGTCCGTTGTTTGGTGGCCTTCCAGTCCACAGGTCCTCCATAAACCTGGCAGATATATCCTGCAGAGCTCTTCCGGTCTGCATGATCTCCATACGACGCGTCACTTGCCAATTGGACGGATTCGATGTCTTCCTGTTGAGACCCATACTCGATTGCGTGGTACCGCGTTGAATAGAGGTAGCTGATCAGTCTATCAGCCGCCTTTTGGTGTTGAGGTCCAGGATTCGTCAAGAATTGAGCAAGCTTCGCATTCGCTTTTGCGGCATCCGGTCGGGTTATCGTGGTGGCATACCCGGCCGAGCCAACCTTTTGCTGGTATAGATGCACTGATTGAGCATCTGCCTTGCCGTGATACGGCTCTAATTCATCAAGCGACAGCGGTGTCGAAACCGGTGGCCTATCCGTTAGGTGATACCGGGCCGCGATACTTGATATATAGCTGTCTTGGCATAGCCACAGCTTCTTTAGACGCCGGTCTCTGATAATGCGGATATTCAGAAACCATTCCGCGTCTCCATGATCTGTAAGCTCCCAATGAGCTTCGAGATCTCTTTCCAGTTGATCAGCAAGCTTCCTGACGTTTTGATGACTTGCTATCAATATATCATCGACATAGAAAAAGACGATGATCCCATTTCCGATAAATACGCATGGGTCTTCTGGCACTTGACGGAGTCCTAATTTGGTGAGAACTCCGGCTGCTTCTTGCTGCCATAATCGAGGAGATATCCTCAACCCATAAAGCGCCTTTCGGAGCTTCCAGCACTTGCCAGGGGTTCCAAACCCTTCCGGCATTCTGGTATAGACGTCCTTGTCGAGCCTGCTATTCAAGAAAGCAGTGACAGCATCTCGCTGTCGAAGATCAAGATCAAACGCCGCAACAAGTGCGAATATCATCCTTGCTGTTCTTGCTGCTAGTGTAGCAGCCCGCTTTTCATCTGATGATATGGTCTCAAGATCACCTCGGACGCAAATTCTGGCTTTCAGTTTGATAAGGTATCCATCCTGATCAAATTTGTACGCGAAAACCCAGAGAAGTGGAAGTATTTGCTTCCCTCGATCCTTCGGACGATCGATGATATCGAATGTCGCTTTTCTAGTAAGCGATTCGATCTCTTTTCTCATAGCGGCGAGAAAGCCTTCCTGGAAGGGATGATTCATGACATCCTTCCAGTTCCTAGGAAGCTCAGGGAGATCATCTCTATGACGTCGAGTTGGCTTCTCGGCGTACAGACCAGCAGCAAATGCATGCAGATACGCTGGCGGTTCCATCGCGACGTACGAATAAGCATCATCTCGCTTAGGCTGACGTCTTCGAGAACCAGATATGATGTTTGTTTCATCGACATCTCCATTGATATCCCTTGGTGCGAGCCCAGCAAGCAATTGCATTTCGGCTTCTTCATCCGAGTCCACTTGCTGATCCTCTATAGCTTCCTGTACGACTTCTTGCGTATCATGAGCCTGGTCCCTTGCTAGATCTTGCGTGCCACGCGTTTCATCTAGCGTTTCCACCCCCTGACGAGACTCAGGATACTCGCTTGGCGGAGTAGGTGGAAGCGGGACTTCCTGGGGAAATGCGCCTGGGATGATGTCTATTTCATCCCGTCTTTCCCTTTCGGGTGTATTGTACACCCCCTGACCTCTGAATGTCTGGTCAGGCTTTTCCTGATTCCTGATTGGCTGAACGGTGTCTTTTGCAGAAGAACCGTCGCTGTCCAATAGAGGAATTGCTGCTTCTTTATGAGACGGTTTTTCGGCCGAAAAACGGTCTCTTTGTCCAATGTCTAGAGTCTCATGTTGAGCTTCATTGCTTCGGACATTAGCATTGCTATTAGCATTGCCATTAATGTTGACATCTTGATCATCGTCATTGAATGGTCTTGCTTCTAGCTCTGATTCAGGCATTGATCTAGTCGAGATCGATGCTTCGAAGGCTCTCGTCGCCTCTGTTTGGTCCAGTTCTTGCGGTTCTTTCAGTATTGGCAATGGCACTTGCTGGAAGTGCTGAAAGTCCGCTGTATATCGACGTGATTCATCGAAGATAGCATCCCGAACGAGCCGTATTTTGTTGGCTTGCGGAAACCATATTTTCCAAACGTTTGATGCTATATAGCCTACCAAGAAGCCAATCTCAGCACGAGGATTCATCTTGTCTGACTGAACCTGCTTCTCGATACGGCAATAAGCGAGACTGCCGTATAACCTGACGTTGGCCAAGTTGATTGGTGGCGCTTGCTCGCCGGCGAAGCTCTTCATGACTTCACCCCATGGGACTATCCAACGTTTCTGATCAGCCAGATACGTTGGGGTCCGATTCAGCAGCCAGACTGCTGCCATTGCTGCTTCAGGCCATAGCTCCTTTGGGAGCTTGCCTTCGAGTATCAGCATTCTCATGCGAAGAATGATGACACCTCCTGCTCTTTCGGCATACCCATTCATCTCGGGGTGCCTTGGTGGACTATGATAGACCACAATTCCATCGGATGTCAAGCTCTGCTCAGCTGGACGTCCTGCAGCTTTCTCATTATCATAATTGAAAGCTTTGATCGGAAGTTTCCACCAGTTCTTGGCCAATTGGACGAAATGATTGATTGCAAGCTGACATTCGGGCTTGTACTCATGCGTCATGACCCAGTGGAACCTTATTCCTTCAATATAGAAGTGGGAGATCCAGTTATGCTTATTGTAAGCACGTGGAAGCTGTATCAGATCAAAATGAACCCTACCAAGTGGCCCGAAAACCCTTCCAATTGGTCTTCTTGATACTTGGCGATCTGATCTTCCTAGGTGGCAAGTCTCACAAATTGCGTGATCCTCTGTCCTAGCGTCAATTGTGACGCCCTCGACTAGCTTTGCCACTTGCTGTACAGTCTTGTACTGCGGATGGCCTAGTCGACGATGCCATACTTCAGCTGATGCGGCTGACTGTTTTGGCGATGATGATGATCGGACGGCATTTGCTGTCCGTAACGGTGCTCTCCCGGGTTGATCGAAGACCCATAAGCCGGCTGACTTCCACAATTTCAGGCTGACAATTGGGATGGCATTGTGATCTTCGATATAGCCTGCTTCCTCAGACCAATGTCCGCCTTTCTCCTTCAAGCGAGCGTACGACACTAGGTTTACATGGAAACCTGGTGCGTAATAGACGTTGCTTAAGGTAATCACCTTCTCCTTTCTTGTGATTGGATCGATGCCATGAAGCCTTGCTGTCCCTTGCCCGATAACAGATGTCTTGCCGTCACCGGTCGATAGAGAGTGCTGGCAAGTGGAAAGGTCCACAAAGCGACTTCTATTATTACAGACATGTACGCTGGAACCGGAGTCCAAGATCCACCGGTCCTTGATGGATGACGCCGGTAGGTCTAGTAAGCTAGTGGAGAAGGCCATGTTTCCAGTGACTGCATTTGACAGCTTTGGCGATGCTTTCTCAATAGCTTCATTGACCCATTTCTTCCACGCTGGATCTGCAGCAAGCGTTTTCTCGGCCTGTCTCTGCCTCTCTTTTGATACCGTGAAACCGTCGGGTCTCATCGCGGCATTCAGAGTGTAGCAATTGGCGGGTTTGTGGAATTTGATTCCACACGGGCATGGTCTTGCCTCAAAAGGCGTGTCGTCCAATTTGCCTTTTGAGTCCTTTTTCGCATCACTTGGCGCATCAGTTTTCGCTTCCTGATATCCTTGCCAGGTGGAAAAAGACCCCTTCAGTGCTGCCGCCGGTGGCAACGCTATATTAGGTCCAATTTCACGATATGTCGATCGGAAGGACTCGATCAGACTTTGAGTCTCTATCGATGCTTTCTCCATCACGATCTCTTGGAATTTGGCTTGCCACCAGATTGGTAAGACCTCTTTCACGGCTTGCAGTAAGTCCTTATTTGCGTTGGCAGTTTCAATGATTTTGAGACTGACTGCTCGCTCATATAGCTCCACCCATGAGATCAGCCATTTTTCGACATCTCCGGTCGGCTTTTGGGTTGACAAAGCTCTCCATTGCATGCGTACTTCTTCAGTATACGCTTCAGATCTAGCGAATCTCTTGCTGAGATATACTAGACGGTCGTACGGTGTTTCGCACTTCAAAACTGCATCACGGAGTGATGCATCCAGAGAGTTGACGATAAGATCATCAATCTCATTTAGGCTTTTGCGCTGTCTATCCCAGCGGTTTGCCTTGATTTTATAGACTTCGAGGCGGTCTCTCCAGTCTCGCTTGTCTTCCTGAGACCCATCATCAGGGTAGTCAGCTGCAATAGGCTCTCTGAGAGCCTCTGGACGATGCAATTCGTCCGCATCGGGGTTGCAGAGATCCCAAATGTCTCTGCGTTGAGCGAATACCTTCACTCGCTGGTGCCACGACTGCCATTGTGACGAGTCCTTCAGTTTTTCGCTCTTCATAGCGGAGAGATAGGTGCTCGAGTCCATTATGTTCACTTGTTGATCGCAGCAAGTGAGTTCCTTGGACCTTTTCGGATGGATGAGGGTATTCGGAGGATTCAGGGGTTCAGGGGTAATCGGACGGCGACGAGAAAGCTCTGGCAAGTGAATTGTCACCTGTGAATAGCTTCAGAATAGTCTTGCTGTCCAATTATGGGCGTACCGGGCTCATAACTGTTGGAACTTGCTGTCTTCCGTAACTTGCTCAGCCAATGAGGGCATTGAAATCTCTGTCATTTATTACTTGCTATTTCTTGCTATTTATGCTATGCTCATCCTTAGTAATCCGCTCATTCGGAGTTACTATAATTCCGGTTCTCAATCCGTATTCATGAATGCAGCACTGACAGGATATTTCTGCCTTGTGGCCTGAGGCTACCAAGTCTACTTGGTAGCCTCAGGCCACAACAGCTACCGCCACCATTCCCGATTGGGCCAGACGAACTTTTTTGATCGGCAGAAAAAAGATGGTCTTCATGAATTTCACGATAACACGATATTCGTCGGGCGTCCAGCTCTACCAGTAATTGTTCCATTTTAATCAACTGCACTTTAACCTTCACCGTCCGACTGTCCTTTGATACCCACTGCCACTATGGCAGCCCCCGTCCTGCCTCTGCAGCAGGTCAAGCTCGCCTCGCTACCCTCGACGCAATTAACGCCGGAACAGCAATACTGGCGCACCTTCAAGAACCCACTTCTGATCCCCTCGCCAGCCAATGGCCCAGTCAACCTCATCACTCAGCCCGCTGTTCCCTCCTCCGCTGCGGCCTTCCCATCTCTTACACAACCGCCTGATGTCTTCACCGTGACAACAGGTGCCCGAGTCCAAATCTACTCTATTCGCACTCGCAAACTTCTACGGACAATCACCCGCTTCGATGATACTGTGCGCGGTACCGATGTCCGTCCCGATGGCCGTGTCTTGGTGACTGGTGACGACACTGGTTCCGTGCAAGTTTTCGATGTCAAATCGCGCGCCATCCTGAAGACATGGAAAGAACACAAGCAGCCCGTGTGGGTGAGTAAGTTCTCACCCAGCGATCCCACCTCTGTTCTCACAGCCAGTGATGACCGCACTGTCCGTCTGTGGGACTTGCCCTCGCAGAACAGTGCGCGCACCTTTGTCGGCCACAGCGATTACGTTCGTAGCGGTGCTTTCATGCCTGGCTCAATGGCTTCTTCTGGTCTTGTCGTGTCTGGTTCTTACGATCGTACTGTGCGCTTGTGGGATCCTCGCGTCGCAAGCCGTGCTGCTATGACTTTCAAGATGGGTGCGCCAATCGAGAGTGTCCTTCCCATGCCTACGGGCACTACTGTGCTTGCCGCGGCTGATAACAAGATCGCCGTGCTGGATATCGTGGCTGGTAAGCCATTGCACATGATTCAGAGCCACCAGAAGACTGTTACTGCTCTTGCACTGGCTTCTAATGGTGAACGTTTGCTCAGTGGTGCGCTTGATGGACACATGAAGGTCTTTGAGACCACAGGGTGGAACCCTGTTTCTGGTTCCAAGTACCCCTCGCCTATTCTCTCTCTGCGTGCCATCACTTCTGGAACCGAGTATGAGGACAAACACATCGCCGTGGGCATGCAGTCAGGTCTGCTATCTATCAAGACCCGTCTGTCTGGTCAACAAAAGGCCAAGGAGAAGGAGCGTCGGAAGGAGATGGCTGCCCTGTTGGAGGGTAAGCTGGAGGAGCACGACCGGGAGGTTGCAAAGAAGAACAAGAAGGCCCGCGGATCTGGATGGGAGAAGCGTCTGCGTGGACGCGACTTCGTCGGAGAAGGCGTGGAAATTGTCATTGAAGGCCAGGACAACAAAAAGCGCAAGAGAGAACAGCCATGGGATCACGACCTCCGCAAGGCACGTTATTCAACTGCGCTGGACACCGTTCTTGCCTCTGGCGACACCACCTCCATCCTCACATGTCTCACTGCTTTGCGCCACCGCTCCGCCCTGCGAGCTTCGCTAAAGGACCGCGACGAGGTCACCCTCCAGCCCGTTCTCCAGTGGGTGCACAAGAGCATCCGCGAGCCCCGTTATGTTAACCTTAGCGTCGAGGTCGCCATGAACCTCCTCGACATCTACTCTGGTAATCTCGGCCAGTCAACACAAGTCGACAAGATGGTGCAGCGTCTGCACACTAGGGTGCGCACCGAGGTTGAGATGGCACAGCAAGCATGGCAAACCAAGGGAATGCTCGACATGCTAAAGGCAACCTGATCTGTTCCGACTATCACAACTTGGAGTTCGGGGTGTCTGGGATTTACACACTCGGTGTACATGGCGGGCCATTCAAATTTTGTACAGGATTTGCATAGAATAAAAAAAGTCGACACTATTTACAAGCATTCAATGACCCTATATAAAACAATACCTAAATATTTTACCTCTCCAACTTCGAAAATCCCCCCGCAGGAGGCTGCAACCAGTTCCGCTCATCATACTCCCACCCCTCCGCCCCCTCGATAACATGGAAGGTATAAGCATACCGACTCCGCTCACTAGTATTCTTCTCACTCTTATGCAACACATTCCCATGAATAAGCACAAGCGACCCAGCCTTAATATCCAAAATCTCCAAATCCTCCTTAGAAGGCCCCGAACCAGCCTCCTCCTCCTCCATCCCCCTCGGCAAAGCAGGACCCTCATTCTCAATGAACTCCGTACCCCCATCTGCACCCCTCACAAACCGCCGCTTAATATGACCCCCCTTCGCACCCGTATGCGAACCCTTCCACATACCCAACGTGCCATTCTTAGGACTGGCATCTTGCAAAGCATACCACCACCCAACAGCCGACGGCGGATCGGTATAAAGGAACTCTGAATCGCGATGCGAGGGCACAGCACCGCCAATAGAAGGTTGTTTCAGAATAACCATAGACTGCAGAACGCGCGGATCGCTAAAACCAAGCGACTTCGCAACAGCCGCATTGCGCTTGTTCAGGGAGACGGCTTTGAAGGGCGGTGATAGGGTATGCAACGAATGGCCAATTTTATTAACGGCTAAGTTCTTGGGTTTGAGGAGAGCTGCCCGGCCTGTTAGCGGGTCTGGCTCTGTGCTCAGGGCATCTGGCTCGAAGAAGTAGCGGATTTTGTCGCCGGATGTTAGGAAATAGTCGTCGCCCACGTGGTTGGCGCTTTCGTCTGCTCCATCGCCTGTCGTGAATTGCGTTAGGGGGTGGGATTCTAGTGGGAAGGTGGCGAGGAGGTTGTTTGTTTCGTTAATTAAGTTGTTTGTTTCTTCTGTGCTTAGGTAGTCTGGGAGTACTAGGTACCCGTTCTTGCGGAAGGAGGCGACTTGGGATTCGGTGAGGCCGGACATGTTGGGGTTTCCAGGTGTGTTGTCCCTGGGGGTGAGAGAGGGAAGTTCTGGGAAGCAGTGAGGGGAGGAGCGGGGATGGATGATAAGCGATTTTGATATCGACTTGATTGGTTGGCGGTCCGTGCGTCCAGATCTATATAGCATGCTGAGCTTGGCCATGTCCATCCAGGGGTTTTTTTGATTCGTGCTTGACTCTGTGGCATTGCTTCAGTCCTGTAGGCTCCACAGACGGGGTCTCCGACCGTTCTCGCCTTCTCTGCACTCCAATCAAAGCTATCGCCATAAGAGGCAATGATGCAAGCGGCGAGTAGAGCTTGCCACAAAACAGCAACCTGGAATGATATAAATATATCGAAAGCAAAGGAGAAAAGGAAACTAAAGTCCAACATTTATATACTGTACATCTCGAAATATTCATGCAGCGCCGGCTCTGCACCTGCATAACGCAAAACACGACCCAAGAACTACAACTATACCAGCAGTACATAAACATACCCCCTAATACACCACCATCAACAGTTCCCATATCCACAACTCCCAGCGGAAGTGAAACAGATCAACTTCTTTATTTCGCACATCCCACCCAGCGCAGCAACCTACCAAGATGTCCGACTCTTTCACAAGTTCATCATACTACTACAGTTCCACAGCCAGCGGCAACGACGGCCAGGTCACAACCGGCCATCGCTATTCAACAACCTCGCATACCGAGTCCGACGGCACAACCATCGTCCGCACGGCACACCAGGACCTCGGTCAGCCAGCTATGATCGAGGAACGGCGATATGATAGTACCGGCCAGGAGCAGCTGTCCCTGCCGGAGCCCTTGAATGCGGGCTATACCTCTAGTTCTGGTTCTGGGGCCACGTCGGCTGGTGGTGTGCGGCGGATTGTGGAAATAGACGAGGAGGATGATACGCCGACCCCAACGTCGACGCCTGGTGTTGTTTCGCATTCTGGGCCTATCCTTGCTGGTGGGGCTGCGGCGCAGTTGCTTGATGGTGATGGGGATGATTTTGATATTGGTGTGCAACCTAGGGATAGTCGTGTTTATAACCCTATGACTGATGCTTATGATCAGCTTGGGGAGTTTGATGTTGATCATGTTACTGGGCAGCATCGGAGGATGATTGGCAGTGGAGCGAGCAGGGATGTTGGGTTCAGGCAATTTGAGGATCCTAGTACTGGAGCACGCGTGCCGAGACAGTCTGGGTTTGACGTCAACAATGTGATTTAAGGCTGGGTGGGGTGAGGAAAATGTGGATTGCTTCTTGTATACTTGAAAACAAAATATTATCATGTGTCAAGATTGAACATTTAGAAATATGTAACTAAAACCCCGAAATTGGATTCTTTCAATCACAATTTGTATCGCATGCAATGTACAGCTTGAGTGCAGCTTCAGTGATCTCTTCAAATACTCATAACGGAGAGAAGAGCTGAGTGCTGTAGGATATACACGAATCCTCCGCACAAAAGTGAATGCCGAAAGGATGCCTGCTCCGTAAGGCAGATGTGTAAGTGTGAATATATAAGTGCTAGAATGATGTTGGTTCATGGGGCGATCAGTCGCGCAGACGTAAGCGTCCCTCTGACCAACGGCTCCGTGCCCTCTCCCACCATCCAGGAAGTTCATATGCACAGTGACAAATGATGCCAGCAACAAAGCCGATAGCATCGTTCTTGAAACCGACCAACATTCCAACTGTGACCATCATGATAGTCCAGCGACGGCTTCGTTCCTCGTCTGTGAGAATGGGGCCTAGATGCTGTTCGGCACTGCCCAATAGACCATGTCCTGCTTGTTTGAGGTCCTGAGCACCGGTCGTGTTAAGACTCTCTCCAACACTAAGCAGCTCGACGCCAGCAGCGATGACCATGACGCCCAGGAACGCACCGGGGAATCGTTTCAGAAGATCAACCAACGTCTCGCCAAATAGCAAGCCAATAATGAGCTTTAGCCCTCCAAGGAATATGACACTCGCACCGGATCGGGCGCCAAACCGGTACTGCGCTGCAAGTCCACCAGAGCCGTGGCAGACGGGCATCGCACCGAACCAACAGCCCAGGAGGTTCATACCGGCAACACTCATCCCAATATGGGTAATGGATGGGGTGCGCACGTTTGGCAGCAGATCATGGGCAAGATGAACAACCGCAACGATAGAGTTCAACGTCGTCAATGGAATCTGACCGATACCAGCATCCAGAGAACCAGTAGCCCATTGCCTCGGTGTTGGGAGCATACCGGAAGGTTGCCAAATCTCGAAGCCGGGCAGATATCCCGCCTCCGCGGTGCGAATAATAGCAAACACCAGACCCAAAACAAACACAGCGAGCGCATAAGGCACGCGACGGAAGACATTTGTCATGACTAGCGCCACAAAAGCCGCGATCGCCCAGAGGCGGTTATCTGCCCAGGACGGACTGATCCACCCCAATGGTTGGAGCACGTTCCCACAAGCAGTGATGATCAGAGACAAACCCGCGCCAACCTGGATACCTTTTACAATAGGGATGGGAATAGCATTTGCGAACCAATGTAAGATGCCCGTTATGCTGAAGACGAAGATACAAGCGCCGACGAAGATACCGGCCGCAGCGATCGCGCCGTTCGGGAAACTGCGCGCGATCGCCACGGCCGCGATGGCTTTCATGGGCTGCACTGGTAGTGGGATCCCGAAGTATAGGCCGGTGAGAATGTTGAAGATGCCTGAGAAGACTAACGTGCTGGCGAGGGAGATGGTGCCGTTCGCCGCTAGGGCGATGGCAATGGGTAGAAATGTGCCCAGATCGCCGAGTGAGCCTGAGATCTCGGCGACATAATGGCTTTTGAAAGTGCGTAGGTTATATGAATTTATTTCTCGTAGGGATTGGACCGCCATGGCTGGGGAGGTGTAGTGGAATCGGAGGACGTTGGGAGCCAAGCCTGTATATCAAGATCGGAGGCTCCCGAGCCCCGCACGTACCACAAATCCGGTTTGGACTTGCCTCTTTCGAACTTGCCTTTATTGGTTTAGTATAAAGCCAAGGCGGTGTAAGATGGTTCAGTTTGAATGAGCTATCACTGGGCCATGCTTATGCGATCTGAAGCGTTGAACTTATCACGCAGGAACAATTTGCGTACTCATGCCTTATTTTGAGTCCACCAAACAAACACCGCCGGAAGCGAACAGTGGAGAATCTCTCCACCTGCCCCGGTAGGTTACTCAAAAATGGTCTTGAGTGGAGACGACCATATCTATTCGGGCATCTATTCCGTATCCTGTAACGGTTTTGATGAAGAGCCATAGGTTAGCATCGGAGATCCTATTCCTAGTCAGGCGGTTAGTCTGGATCCATGGGCCTAATTAGCTTTCAGACCACCATTGGCATGATAGCATGCTCATGAGGTTCTCGTCCAATGTCGATAGTGGCTGAGCCCACGGCACCGGACAACTGAAGCAATCCTGGTGGCACCATCCATATCCACTAATTGAATCCTGGTGGTATCCTCTCAATTGCCAGAATGAAGTAGGAGCATTAGGGAACCCTTATCAGCCTCTCCGTACAAACCCGGTAGACTCGAATTTCAGGGGGTTGACGAGTAGTTTTAGATAATGAAGTATGAGCAAAATAAGACACATAAGGGCGCTCGATCCTCTGTCCATCCAACCTTCAACCACTCTACTCTTCTCTAATCTTCTCTGATATCCCTTAAATTACCACTTCTGCTCAAACCTTACTCAACCTTATCCCATCTTCACTCTTCTACAATGAAGGCCTCTATTCTTTCCATCGCTTTCGCCCTCTGTGGTGCGGTTAGTGCTGTTCCCACCCAGACCGCTATCACGATTCCCACTAGCTCGCCCAGCCCCAGCGACGTGACCGTCTTGTTCGAGGGAGCCGAGGCTGCTTTGGGTAACGTTTCCACTGTGGTCTCTGACGCCAAGTCCGCACTCGAGTCTATCGACACCGTGGATCTGCCTGCCGATGCAGTCTCTGTGATCTCCAAGGCCGACACCCTTCTGGGCGACATTTATACTGCCACGTCAAATGCTGAGAGTGGCCTCGAGCATCTCGCTGAGCTTGCTGCTAAAACCAGCTCTGGGTCGTCCGTCACTGTATCCGACGTGGTCTCCGAGGTTGAGTTTGCTCTGAGTACTATGTCTGATGCAGCCTCTGATGCAGAGTCTTTCCTGGAGATTATTTCTTCTCTTTCTGGTCTTCCTTCGGAGGTGTCTACCGTGCTCTCTACGGCTGAAGTTGTTCTGCGTGTTGTTTCCACTATAACCTCTCTGGCTGAGTCCGCCCTTAAGGGTCTCGCTTCCCTTGCCGCTGAGTCTGGAGTCCCCGACTTCACCTTGCCTGCTCTTCCCACTCCAACTCCAGTCGCCTCGAAGTTCCGTCGCCGCTCTCACTAAAGCGACCTCTCTGTACCAGCCTCGCTTTCAGTTTCTTCCCTCCAATCTGAGCGCAAAGAGTTCGGTCTATTACTGGTTATAGTCTACCATTATAGATAGACTACCATGTGATCTTACTGGCTTGCGCTTCTTTCCATCCGACATTCAAGTCCCTATATGTTGAATGAGAACGGTTCAATATGATTGTTTATAATTTCTTGAGATTCAATTTGAAGTTGTCATTGAAAATGGTGTACCTTAGCCTGGCCATCCTGGAATGGTTTTTTATTAGTCCTTGTCGATGTTGAAATATTATAAAATAGTTCTTTCACACATTTATAGTAATGTTGGGAGACTACGCGGCTTGAAGTGAGCCCTAGCTATATATTTTCAAAGTGAGTACCTTACGGGTTCCAACGCCATGGAAAGGGAGCGGCTCATCAATTTCTCAACGCCGCCGCACTTGATTGCGTTTGCCTGTCTTTTTCTGGTCTACTGTAAACCCAGCTAGCTATTTTTCCTGATTAGCTTACGTTATGCTGAGTTAGGGAGCTATATTCACCCAGTGTTCCCAGGATCATGCTCAAGGCCTCCAGGAGCTAAATGTCCTCTAGGAAATATACTTATCACTCCTAGGAGCGAGACAGATCGGAGCAAGTGCTCCTGGGGGTTATAATTATACTTAGCAGGAGCTCCATAAGATACGTCTGGTAAAGCGCATATCCACACCGCTGGCGGGCTTGCTGTTCAGTTCCCGTAACTCATACTCCTCACAGCTCATTCTTGCGACCTCCGCAATGGCAGTATGCAGAAGCTTTTATTGAAATATATGAATGGAAACAATCTACAATGTAGAAGAATGTGGTTTCAACTCATTCAGATACCCTTAATTACTCAGACAATGAGCAATAGTAAGACTGCCGGTACATTTTGTCTACCTGATCGATTTGCTAGCTGCATATTCAGAAATCAATGCAGACTTTGCCGAAGTGCTGACCACTGGCAAGATAGTTCAATGCCTCAACCACCTGATCGCGATCGAACTTGAAAGTCTTCTCGACTGCGACAGAAAGATTGTGCGTACCGATGAACCGAGTCGCGTCCTCCATTTGCTGCTTCGAACCAACCATAATACCACGAACAACAGCTCCCTTGGCCAAGGCAAGGCCAGCAACATCAGGCATATCCTCTTGCTTCGCAGCGGAGAGGAATCCTATTACCGAAATCACACCACCAAAGGCAATAGCATCAAGGGACTGCTTGATAGTCCCTGAGCCACCATTTTCCAGAATGAAGTCGACGCCCTGTCCATCGGTAATCTTTTGAGCCTCGGCAGCCCAGTCGGGGGTCTTCTTGAACTCACCCTGGAACAGAACGGTTTGTCCCGGTTTCAAAGGATTGTTTCCATACAGCGAGTTCCAAGCTGTGGTGCCTGTGCAAACAACACTAGCCCACTGGGCATAGCTAAGCTTTGAGTCTGCGGGAATCTTCACAACAGCCTGGGCAGGAACTGAAATGTATTCCCTTAAAACACCGTCCACGGGACCACCCAAGCCGTTGCCCCAGTTCTTGATCGGGCCGTACAATGTAGTAGGATCAAAGGCAACAATGACCTGATCACCACGCTTAAAGCCAGAGACTCCCTCGCCTGTTTCAACAACGTCACCGGCAGCATCCGAACCAGGGACGACGTTGTCCTTGACTGGGAATGGATATTTACCAGTTGCGACGGCAATGTCGCGGAAGTTTAGTGACACACTTTTGACCGCAATGAGCACTTCATGCTTGCCAGCTGAAGGAATGGGCTCTTTGAAGTGGGCAAGGTTTTCCCAGGAGCCCTGGGAAGTGAGTCGGATGACGTTTTGGGTGGACATTTACGTGATATGCAATGTATTGTATAATTGAACTAATATTCAATGGAAGAATTTCGGGGGGTCAACGTCGCTTTTATATGGTACTAATTTCTACTCCGGATGGAATATTATGATCTATGTATTCATTGACACCAACTTTGCCTTGGAGCTGCCCAAGCTCCTGTGAGGGGTAGAAATTCGGAGGCTCAAAAGTCTCCGATATGTCGAATTTCTGCTCCAAATTTGTGACAAATCTATCCGAACAGTTTATTCCATACCATAATCAATTTGATTGTTTCAGTTACAAATATTGACATTGGCTAAGCTCTGCTTATTATTTTTACAGTTCATTATGCCGAGAATATTCATGTTTGACTTGTGAAACTGTTGGATTCATCCGTGTACGGGACAATAAAGGCTAACAGGAAACCTAGTACTAGGGCCACTGGGCTCATTGGGGGTGACTATCTACACATTTTATCCAAGAAGCATCGCGATTGGTACGTTGCTGCTTTTTTCACGACCCTTTCAAAGCGAGCATAGGGCAGGAGGTTATCTCTCCGTCGAGATCATTTTTGGGGACTTGGATGACATAAATATTCTGGAACTGAGAGTTAAAAGGCCTATATTGTCTTGAGTACGCTGTCTTCCCGTAATTTTCTTCGCCTCGATGCAGCGTTAGCATTTCCTCGGATTTTGCTAACTGCGACCATCTGCATTAGAGGTGTCTCGAAGAGAAATACACCTTGCTACATTCTGCATACCTCAGGTGCAAAGATCATGCGTGGGACATGAAAAGTCGACCTCAAACATGGGGCGAATACATTCCACGCCCGTACGATGATTGGAACGGGGTTTGAAGTCTTACGGAAGTTCCTTCGTCAAATAATACCCTGGGTCTGTTCTGCCAAATTGGGCTGCCCACTGCGACGTTGACCTGGCTATTCCGCAGCCCAAACAAGTCACGAAAAATCTTTGAGGATATGGAGAGAACGCTGGATGCTGAAGCTAAGCTTCTGGGCCTGTAGAAAGCCATTTCTAAGTTATCACAGAGTTTGTAATTGCTTGTCCAGAACATAGACGCATGGACAGCTACTATCTAGCTTGACAACAACCAGGATTACTTCTTTTCTCGACGCCTGGGTTTTTATTTTCTTTTTCTTATGCTTTCAACAAAGAAAGTCCTATGAAAAAAGAAATTGACGGCGCACAACGAAGTTACCGCAACACATTCGGTTATTCTGCCCAAACAAAAAGACCTTCTCAGTTTCTGTGAACCTGAAAGCACAAAAGGCAAAAAGGAAATGACAAGAGTGGGATTCGAACCCACGCCTACAAACGTAGATCAGGAAACTGCCGAAACAGTGGGAGTTAAGGTGGACCTTAACCTGACGCCTTAGACCAACTCGGCCATCTTGCCCGTTCGATGACTAATGCTTGGTGAAGAAATTCTATATCGCTAAAGTGCGTTCGGAATTATTTAAACCATTGACAAAATATATTAAGTTACTAATTGCTGAACTTGAAATTCATTGTAAAAACCAATTCTCGGGTTTCTCGGTTCAATCAATACTAGTTGCGATTGTTCACTTGACATGTACGGAATGATTGTATTCAACTATGAATTGGACGGAAATATATCATGACTATCACAGTCTGTTAACACGTTTATGATTAATATGGGAAGTGTTTTCGTTGTTACTGGTGCTTTCGACTTGACTACTAGCCAACAGATTTGTTGTTTCGTGCCAGCTCCCACATAGAACCTTCTATCTCAGATTTGGTGCGGCTGACTACTTAAGCTACTATCTACACACACTGGGGTAGAAACATATTAAGAAAACTGTAGGAAGTCTGAATAAAATGTACCTTCAAATACCTATACCAGATATCTTTATGGAACATACCTTAGAGGCAATTTTGAAAATTATTACATACTAGATAAAAGTGTCAAGAGAAATCGCAAGGGAAATATTACACTAGGCACCGCCCGAGCCTCAATATCCAAAACGACTGTGTCTGATGCGGCTCGCTTTGCCGAAGGTTGGAATACCTCAGCTAAACGGCTCAATTTACACGAGGCATTTGCGGTCCGCCGTCCCCCAAGAGCGGATAATGGGGAATTGGGGTATTTCCCACCGAGAATTTGGCTGGAGGCATGAGTCGCGTTGAGCTCAATGCCCAGTGAAGAGAGTATGAGGAGATTGCCTAGTCTCTTTCCAGAGATCAGTCATTGGGGATATTTATGCATCATATGCTTCGTGATATATAGAAGTAGTCAGTTCCGTGCTATTCTCTCGGCGCGAAAAAACCCATCCTAACTATTCCAAGCCACTGACGCGCTATAACATACCCAACGAGACAGTGATATTTCCAACAAAGCTCTCAGGCCCTACTCTTCTGATCAACAATGGACTGGTAGCTTTAGCTTGTACGGGCTCGAAAAAGGAGTTTCCGGTCTATGGGCCATCTATTGGAAAAGTACTTCAGAGCTGCGTGGATATGGCAAAGGAAGACTTCATCGAAGACATCGAAATTAATAATGCTGGCTTTGAAAGTTTCTCCACAAGTACAACTGCAAAGGCACGTGGGGAAATTTTGAGGAAGCGATATGAGCTGACCTTGCAGCACAAAGATGACCATACGTTGACCTTTTGCGGAAGAAATCTACTGCTAACTCTTTGAATTTTCTATAACAGTTGCAAAAAAAAATTATTTGGAGAACGGGAAAACCCTAGTGGAAGCTCAAGGTAAGGGTTTCTACGGTGTGTCCTTCATCTCCTGGTTTGCAGAGGAAGCAACTCGATCGTACGGCGATGACCCGCAGGAGAGTCTCAACATACTCCAGTCATTTAACTCCGATCCCAATGTATTCATTCTGTTGGCGCATGATTCCATCTTGTTTGACGTTTTGTCATTGTTCAACAACCACCCTGATCTTGGAATCAATGACTGGACACAGAAGGGCCATAAAAGCCAAAACTCACTGGGTATTTTTGAATGAGCTGCGTCGAAATAATTGCCCCGGTAGCAGACCACTCGAGAATGGGCTTCACCGCAATGGGAGATTAATTATGTATGGTGGCGATGGCGACTTTCATGAGCAATCCGCGAAAGTCGATAAGCCTCACTGCAAACACTTGGAGAGCCATATGGGGTACCGAGGGTCGGGCTTCGCTCGCGTGTATGAGGCAAATATTAGTCCCTTGATGTAAATATGGGGATTTTGCTTGAGCCTGTTGCTCATATACTGCCCCTTGTTGTATATCGTTTATGGTGAATCAATATTCATAGTATTATTCACAGTAATTATGGCTTCTATGATTTCTGCAGCATGATGGTAATCAAACATAGTTTTGAGTAAAGCTACTAGGTATTAGGAAGGCAAGGCGGGGGTAATACAGATTCTAGAATATCAGCAACCGTAGACAAGGAGGCCCCAATACGATGAACAATCGTGAAAACATGGGTAGCACTAGATATCTCCGCCCAAAGTCGAGCGGTTGAAGCTGCCAGACGGTTGATCCGAGTTGAAAGATCCTCCCGATATTCCAACGTCTCTTGAAGATGTGTCTCTTGAATTAGATTTGTTATCATAGCAAGCAATTTTTGCTCATCTCCTCGAAGCGCTGTCATTCCTCCAACACTGACGGCTTTAGCAAGCTCTTGTAACCATCTAGTCAAGAGGAACGCACATTCGAGGCTGCATATCGAGTGTTGGATGCTCCAGTGCAGAGTCTGGGTCCGTGCCAAGTATAGAATGCCGACACGGACCGGAATGCTGAGAGCATGGATAGACTGTAAGACAGCCCGGTCCAATGACGGGGAGCGAGAAAGACAGACCGTATCGGTTCTAGTGAAGATCTGCTGGATGCGAGCTGAATTACCAGAGATGAGGTCGCGGCAGGGCCCTAGATTGGCATTAAGTCGGATATATGCCAGTCGTAGCAATGCGGTTGCATTGAACCCAAGGGGGCCCTTAGGTGAGCAAGGATCAAGTGTTGATTCGTAGGTGGCTTCCCATGAAGATTGCCAAGATCGTAACGCCGTCTCCATTATCTTAAGTAATTGCGGGCGCATTGACGATCCATCTTCAGGAAGAAAAGTTGCGGTTTGGTGCTCAAGGTTGATTTTTTGGACGAGCCCGTGTATGAGGACATAATTCGAGAAAGCAGAGATGGCACCATAGTCGGATACACTAAGGCCCTGGAGTAGACGACCCAATATTACTGTGAAAGCATGTTCACGGTAAGAGTATCCTTGGCGGTACTGTTCCCAGCTTTCCTGTGATCTGACCTTCCACTCTGCCTCGCAGGACGGCAGAAAGAGGGCCACTTCATGGTTAGGAATTAGCGGTGGAACGTTGTAAGCGATGCTGTGAAGATTAAAGAGGTTATATGCGACGAGCAAGGTACGTCTCCGTTGCTGGTGCATGGCCCAGGATGTCCATGTCAAGCTCATATCCTTCGTATCATCTGAATGGCTGATCCCTATTTCTCGTACAAGTACCGCAAGCTGACTTCCCATCGCTAGACTGTCTTGAACAGGCGGCTGCTCCCCCCATGCGCTCATGGCCATAAGAATGATGAGTGCCTGGGCCCTTTGAAGACATGCTTGCGACTCTTGCTCATTGTAATTGCTGGAACCTCCAGCTGACTGGTGCGCATTCGAAGACTTTGACGGGGAATACGGATTTCCTCTTGAATACACAGACGCTGGGGAGTTAATTGTCATGCTTCCCATGGTACGGCGCCGGCGGTTGGAAAAGCTTCGGTCCACGAGACAACGGGCAGCATCATAAAGTTCATAGCCCTTGGCGTGTTCGAACCGATATAATGCCCCGCACGCGGTCAGTGCGAGAAACAGCTCAGGCTCGATATTTTGCGGGTCGAATGTTACCGGATGAAGGAAAGGTAAGTGATCATGGAACCCGCAAAAGTATCCTTCGAGGTAACGAATGAGAGTGAATTTGGACGGAAGTTTGAAGTCAGGTAAAATCGACTTATTTTGCGCCACCTTTTCCGAAATCTGCTTGTAGGCAGCAGATGACAGGATCCAAGGACATCCCACGGTGTCCGATTCTGCATCAAGATTGTTATTGTGCAACTGGTCATTGGTTGAAGGGAATCGTGGTGGAAGTGGAGGGTTCTGGGGGGCTGCCTCCTGAGGCAGTGTAAGTCCAACTAAATCCGTGGTAGGTCGAAAATCTGCCTGTGTTGTCGGCTGGTCTTGTGGGGGGAATTGCTGGAAAAGATCGCAGAGCGATATATCGCTGTCCAGGAAATGAGAAGGGACGACATTATTGAAGGAAAGGACATCAGTGTTCCAGGGATCCAACTCATCTGGCAATCCAAGACCAAAACCCATTTGGTAGTAGGAACCGTCAATATTAGAAGTACCGACAGGGCCATAGGTTGATAGCAGATTTGCGTTCTGAGACTCCACGTCTGGTCTATTGTAGATCGGACTGCTCTCGAAATTTGCATGTGGGTCTGATATCAAGCCCTCTGTGTCCTGTATTTGAATATTGGGGGTGTTATTGTTAAGTTGGGGGTGGTTTGCAGTATCATTGGCCGCAGTCGGGTCTTCAACATTAGCGGGTGAGTGGCAAAGTCGTTCGTGGCGACTTAGAAGGTCCCTATGAAGAGAACATTAACTATATGAGCCCAGATCGACAGGCTTAAGCTTACTGTCTAGAGAAAGCGCGGCTGCATTGACAAACAAATGACTTCTCCCGAGTATCTGTGGGTAGGTCAATATACGGAAGGAACATCAGTCAAGGGGTCCAGGCTACGGACGAATACGCTCATGTCTCTGCAGGTGCTCGAAACGCTTAAACTATTTCTTACAGAAGCGACAAGGGGCCACCTGCAATTTGGGTCTCCCTCTAGGCATGATCGATGAGGGGTGTTAATGGGGGGGGGGTATATGGAGGCGATAATGAGGCATTTTCTTCTCCAATAGATTACATAATACGTTGCCATTGGGGTTAACTTACTAACGTGGGAGATGAAGTGAACATCTTCACTTTTGGCAGATCAAATGTCAATAGAAGTGTTTAACGCTTCGGTACTCTTAAGCTCGAGGGAAGTTCGAATACGTTGACTGAGGTCGAAAAAGGCCAGGACTCCAAGTGATCAGGACCCCAGGGAGCATGTCAAACTAAAGCTTAATACATGGATTGGGTAATGATTTATTCTATGGGCTTTTAAATAACATCTAAAAAGATAAAAGCGGGTATGTAGATATTCCAAAGTTTTGTGGGTAGCATGCTGAAATTTATAGAAACAAACGCCGGAGAAGAATGAATACCGAGGCTGGATAAATCACAATGCCGATTGTGGGCACGATCCAGTGGACACTATCTCGAGCAGCCCAGCCAAAGAGAAATAGTCCAATCGGAGGGCTAAAGCAAGCGGTCAATGCAGGTTCGAGGACGTTTTCGCCCTTGACCATTTCACCATCACGGACTCGAGGTATAAACATGGAATAGACATAGGCGTTATAGATGACCAAGGATATGGCAGTCCCAACAAAGATAGCGAAAAAGACGCAGCCTATTTCTCCTAGATTATATCTGTATATACCCTGATCAGCGATTATAAATGCCTCAAAGAAAGAGTAGTATATTCTATCTATCAACGATATACATACGTTGGCGGAGCGAATTGCCGGTCAAGAAGGTGATTTTTATTGGGATCAGAAGTGATTCGGCGACAATAAAGAATGGTATTTGAGCTTGTTTCTGGTAGAAAAAGCATAATGAGATTCCGCTAGAATGAACTGAAATTGAGTTATAAAACACAAGTCACCAATTCAAGAAGTCCAGAAAACGGATGAAGTTGAAGTTTATATACCGGTGAGCACCAGTAGAAGGAAGGATCAAGCTAAGCTATCGCGCCTCCACTGCACAATTTAACCAAACACAGTATCTATTGAAATTTTTGCTGCTCAATAGAAAGGGTAGCTTGGATATTGAGACATGCCAATCCCATGTCAGAGTCATATAATTATCAAGTCTATCCCGTTAGCAAGAGGGTTAATCAAGTATGGTGACAAAATGGGTGTTTAACCCCCTCATACCTTCCCCAAAACGCCAAGACCTGGCCTGGCGTCTGTGGGTGAATCTCATTCCCCAATGTTTGTAAGCAATTCCCCAAACCCATAGTTAGATACCTCTAACACCCCATGGATATCTTTGGGGGTGCGGGGATTCATTTCTTCAGTATTGAATTGTTGTTCCTCGAAGCTTAGGGTCTTACAAAAATACCGACCAATTAAATGTGAATTGAGCAATATACTCACTATGCCCAAGGGACAAATCATGAGAGCAGCCGTCTTTCAAGGTGTCGGAAAGATCGGCGTGGAGGATCGACCAAGACCTCAAATCCAAGACGACAATGACGTGATTTTGAAAGTAAGGTTGGAAGTGTTCATGAGGTTGGCCGAGAAGTGAAGGGGTTCAAGCTTGGGGACGTGGCTGTGGTATGCTATACTGGTTTCATGGTCACAAATGCTGGAAACTTAGAACTAATCATAAATAGACTACCTTCTCAACACTGTGAGGTGACTGCTGCTATTGTCATAGACGTGAAAACAGCCGCTGCACGAAAAGCTTCTTGTTTGGTAAGATAAGCCTATCTCGGAGACTTTTGAACCGAGTTAACGTCAATTCCCTGGATAGGAAATAGCGCAGGAACCCACATAAATCGATGGCGGACAAGCCAAATATGTTCCCATATGTTCGCGTGCCTCAACCAGACTCATTATTGATCCACGCACCACCATCGAACCCACCCAATCTGCTTGTTCTCATGGTAGACATATTCGCCACTGGATATTTCTGTGCGTTCCGTTTTTTAAAGACATTGTCCACAAAGGAAGCCAAATCAAGCGTCATGGTTGTGGTTGGATGTGGCCCGTTGGGATCTGCGCTATTGCAACGGCGTTGACACGATGTGATATTGCCTTTGTCATTGAAATGGTCCCTGAATGCCTTGCAGAAGCAGAGCGCTTAGGTGCAAAGCCACTTCTGCTCAACGAAGATCCGGGGGCGGCTATCAAGGCTGCCACTGATAGATGCGGTGCCGATATTCTGCTCGAGGTGGTGGGAACGCTTGATGCCATGCGGCTCTGTGTGGACATTGTGCGTACGTTCGGTAGTATCAGCAGCGTCGGAGTTCAGACGGAGACAGTTGCTCTCGAGGGACCAGTTCTATATGGTAAAAACGTGACCATCGCATGGGGCCACTGTCCTGTTCGCGGTATCTTCGAAGAGGCTCTCGCGACACTGGATAAGGTGCAAGACAAAGTGTCTTTCTTGTGTGACCGCTCTATAAAGCTTGAAGAGGCCGAGGAGGCCTGTTGGCTGTTCAACGATCGGAAGGCTCACAAGGTCCTCTTAGTCCGTACTCAGTGAAGTGCCAAGAATTTTTATGAATCATCGCATCTTGCCAAGAAACTCCAATGCCCTGGGATGCGAACCGTTTCACATCAGGATTGCAATCTGAACCAGATTAATGGCAAGTACATGTTTTAGGCCCTCCATAATTGCCAAGCAAGGATTGTATAGGTGCAAGTCGCCGCTGACGACTGCATCCTTGCGCCAAGGCAGGCTGACTAAGATTTAATGTAGGTAAGCCGAAAGTGCAGAAATTATGAAAGGGTGCACGAAAGGGGGATACGGACTTAAAAAGAAGGCCTTTGATAAGGCGGAGTGGCATGTGATAGAGCCACTAGACTCAATAGCCAAAAGCTAGATTTTCCACATGGTTATGAAGTTTGAAAAGCCTTTCTATTTTGGTATATCGGACTAAACCGTCCGGGCGGGTTTAAGATGAACTCCGTGACGTGGGTGGGGCTGTTCCTAGCGGGAACTGAGAACCCGAGCCGAGAGACTTGGCCGGACCATATTCGACCGAACTTTCAACCGAGTGACAGTACATAATGATGAACAAAAAAAAATCGGACATCAGAAACAAACTAAAAGCCTGTGAATGTGTGAACCCCCATTAAATAAAAACAAAGACTGGAGTGACGGAATTAGAATTGTGACGCACGGGAGGATCCTCGCAAGCCCTCGCAAGCTATTGCGAGCTAAAGTCAAGCCGGGCGATCATGGCCCCGGCATTACAGATCTGGGGCTTATGCAGACATAAGTCTCGGAACCTTGGCATTTCGCCCGGTCGGGATCGGGAGCCGCTGAGTCAGCGGGTCGAATTGGCTCACGGGCCGAGACTTAATTTTTGCGTTGGACCGTTAAGAGATTTACCACATGTCGGGCCTTAACTAGGTCCGATACGAGAGGTGATGAATCATTGATCCACCATGTCAGGCTGAGTCCAATAATCGTTAATAGTTGATTTGCATCCGTTCTCCGGACCCACATATACAAAGGGGGAGCGGACATTCCGAAACGGCCAGACCAATATGCGAACAGACATTTAAATATTGTTTCTACCCCCCCTTAGATCGGGATTTAAATCTTTAGTTTCAAACTTGATCTCTCTTCACAACCCTCCTCTAGCTTATATCCCACTGCGCCATCATGGCGTCGGATACGAGCTCTTTCGAGCTGAAGGAAAAACATGAGGGATCTCCACCCAACACCGGCGATCACTCTATCGAGACAGAGGACAATCCTATGACCCTTATCGATGAAGTTGATGTAGAGACCCTCACGAAAATCGCCACACAACGATCTCGCCGCCAATCAACCTGGGGAGGCGACACATTAACCGCCCTTGCCCAAGAAGACTCTTCCCTCGATCCTCAATCCGGGAACTTTGATTTGCGGAAGTGGCTCAAGCTTGCTTTCAAGGATATCAGCCGCGATGGCCCACAGGGACACACCTCGGACGTCATTTTCAAGGACCTCAATGTATACGGATCTGGTGCTGCATTGCAATACCAAGACACAGTTTCATCAACATTGACTGCTCCACTGCGCTTGCCCCAGCTTTTCCGTGGCAACAAGTCACCCCAAAGGCGAATTTTGAAAGACTTCAATGGTCTGATGAAGAGTGGCGAGCTGTTGCTCGTCCTGGGCCGTCCTGGTGCTGGTTGCAGTACCCTCCTGAAGTCCCTTACCGGAGAGCTGCACGGTCTGCAGAAGGATTCCGAGAGCGTGATTCACTACAATGGAATTCCCCAGTCGCGCATGGTCCAGGAATTCAAGGGTGAACTGGTATACAACCAAGAGGTAACACATGCCCCACAGTTCCACTTTTTGGGAATATCAGCTAATGCAAGTCACTATAGGTTGACCGACACTTCCCCCATCTAACCGTTGGTCAAACGTTAGAATTCGCCGCCTCAACCAGAACTCCCGCTCATCGATTTGAGGGCATGTCCCGAGCTGAACACGCCCGTTATGTCGCCCAGATTACAATGGCAGTCTTCGGACTCTCCCACACCTACAACACACGTGTCGGAGACGATTTCATCCGTGGCGTCTCTGGTGGAGAGCGCAAGCGTGTTAGTATTGCAGAGATGGCTGTTGCCCATGCCCCAATTGCGGCTTGGGATAATTCCACCCGAGGATTGGACTCAGCCACCGCATTGAAGTTTGTCGAGGCTCTGCGCCTGTCTTCTGATATCACCGGCTCAACTCACGCAGTCGCTGCTTATCAAGCCAGTCAGAGCATCTACGATGTCTTTGATAAGGTGATTGTCCTATATGAAGGCCACCAGGTCTACTTCGGAACCGCTTCAGGTGCCAAGTCATACTTCGAGGAACAGGGTTGGGATTGCCCGACTCGTCAAACCACTGGAGACTTCCTCACCTCAGTGACGAACCCCCAAGAGCGCAAGGCCAAGCCTGGCATGGAAAACCGTGTACCCCGCACCCCTGAAGAGTTCGAGGCCGCATGGCTTAAGTCTCCTCAATACAAGCAACTGCAGGACCAGATCGCCGATTATGAGTCGGAGAATCCTGTGGCTCATGATGCGCCTGCCGCTACTCAACTCCAGGATCGCAAGCGTGGTGCTCAGGCCAACCACACTCGGCCTAAGTCTCCATACCTTATCAGTATTCCCATGCAGATCAAGCTCAACACCACTCGCGCGTATCAACGACTTTGGAACGATGCCGCCTCGACTGTCTCCGTCATTGTGACTAATATTATTATGGCTCTCATTATTGGTTCTGTCTTCTACGGGACAACAGATGCAACTGCTGGCTTCACGTCAAAGGGTGCAACCTTGTTCTTTGCCGTCCTTCTCAACGCCCTCACAGCCATGTCCGAAATCAACAGTCTTTACTCCCAACGCCCTATCGTCGAAAAGCACAATTCATTCGCCTTTTATCATCCCGCCACGGAAGCCATTGCCGGCGTTCTAAGTGACATTCCAGTCAAATTTGCTCTGGCTGTTGTGTTCAACATCATTCTATACTTCCTGGCTGGTCTGAAGCGCGATGCCGGCAACTTCTTCCTCTACTTCCTTATTACCTTCGTCATCACTTTTGTCATGAGTGCAGTCTTCCGTACACTGGCAGCTGTCACCAAAACGATTTCGCAGGCAATGGGTCTGGCAGGAGTCATGATTCTTGCTTTGGTTGTCTACACCGGTTTCGTACTCCCAGTTCCATCCATGCACCCATGGTTCGAGTGGATCCATTACCTCAACCCCATCTACTACGCCTTCGAGATCCTGATCGCAAACGAATTCCACGGTCGCGAGTTCCCTTGCTCGTCCTTCGTCCCCTCCTACGCCGACTTGTCGGGTAGCTCGTTCAGTTGCTCGGCTGCTGGCTCGGAGCCCGGCAGGTTGACCGTCAATGGTGATCGCTACATCCAGCTGAACTATGACTACAGCTACAGTCATGTCTGGCGAAACTTTGGTATCCTGATCGCGTTCCTAGTTGGCTTCATGCTTATCTATTTCGTTGCTTGCGAGTTGAACTCTGCCACCACAAGCACCGCCGAGGCTCTTGTCTTCCGCCGTGGCCACGAACCTCCCAGCTTGCAAAATCACGGATCTGATGTGGAAAACTCCAAGGAAGGAGTAGTTGCCGAGCGTACTACGACCTCTGATGACAAGGGCATGGGCGCCATTCAGCCCCAGACTGACGTCTTCACCTGGCGCGATGTGTCCTACGATATCGAGATCAAGGGTGAACCCCGCCGACTTTTGGATAATGTTTCTGGATGGGTCAAGCCCGGAACTCTGACTGCCCTTATGGGTGTCAGTGGTGCCGGTAAGACCACTTTGCTCGATGTCTTGGCTCACCGGACTTCCATGGGTGTCATTACTGGTGACATGTTCGTCAATGGTAACGGACTCGACGACAGTTTCCAGCGCAAGACTGGCTATGTCCAGCAGCAAGATCTTCACCTTGATACTGCTACTGTTCGTGAATCACTTCGTTTCAGTGCTATGCTGCGCCAGCCTGCTTCTGTCTCTATCCAGGAGAAGCATGACTACGTTGAGGACGTCATCCGCATGTTGAAGATGGAGGAGTTCGCCGAGGCCATTGTTGGTGTTCCCGGTGAGGGTTTGAACGTCGAGCAGCGCAAGCTGTTGACTATTGGTGTTGAATTGGCCGCGAAGCCCAAGCTGCTTCTCTTCTTGGATGAGCCTACCAGGTGAGTATTCTTATTTTACTTCCTCTCAATTTGCCAGTAACTAACGTTTTCTTCAGTGGTCTTGACTCTCAAAGCTCTTGGGCTATTTGTTCCTTCCTTCGCAAGCTTGCTGAGCACGGTCAGGCCGTTCTCTGTACCATCCATCAACCCAGTGCCATGCTATTCCAGCAATTCGATCAGCTCCTGTTCCTTGCCCGTGGTGGTAAGACTGTCTACTTCGGTCCCGTTGGCGAAAACTCCAGCACCATGCTTGACTACTTTGAGTCGAAGGGCGCACGCAAGTGTGCCGACGATGAGAACCCAGCTGAGTACATGCTGGGTATCGTGAACGCTGGCAAGAACCCCCAGGGCGAAGACTGGTTCGACGTGTGGAAGCAGAGCGACGAAAGCAAGGGAGTTCAAACCGAGCTTAACCGCATCCACGAGGAAAAGAAGGGCAAGACTGGTTCTTCCGAGGAGGACTCTGCCAACAGCCACTCTGAGTTTGCCATGCCTTTCTGGTTCCAGCTCTACCTCGTCACCTACCGCGTCTTCCAGCAATATTGGCGCATGCCCTCTTATGTCCTGGCCAAATGGGGTCTGGGTATCGCCTCCGGTCTCTTCATCGGATTCTCCTTCTACCAAGCGAAGACTTCCCTACAGGGAATGCAGACAATCATCTATTCACTCTTCATGATCTGTACCATCTTCTCATCCCTAGCCCAACAGATCATGCCAGTATTCGTGACACAGCGATCCCTCTACGAAGGCCGCGAACGCCCCAGCAAATCCTACTCCTGGAAAGCCTTCTTGGTCGCCAACATGGTAGTCGAAATCCCTTACATGATCGTGATGGGTGTGCTCACCTACGCCTGCTACTTCTACGCCGTCGTCGGAATCCCCGACTCAGCAACCCAAGGCACAGTCCTCCTCTTCTGCATCGTTTTCTTCATCTACGCCAGCACATTCACCCATATGGTCATCGCGGGTCTCCCCGACGAACAAACAGCCAGCGCAGTCGTCGTCCTCCTCTTCGCCATGTCCCTCACTTTCTGTGGTGTCATGCAGCCCCCCGATGCATTCCCCGGCTTCTGGATCTTCATGTACCGCGTCTCGCCCTTCACCTACTGGGTCGGCGGTATGGCCGGTGCCCAGCTCCACAATCGCCAGGTCGTCTGCTCAGCCGCTGAGACATCCACTTTCAGTCCGCCTTCTGGTCAGACTTGCATTCAGTATATGCAGAAGTATATCAACGTCGCTGGTGGACAATTGCTCAACCCTGATTCCACCAGTGAGTGCAATTACTGCTCGCTTACCGTTGCCGATCAGTACCTGTCTACCTCGGGTATTTACTACTCCCAGAGGTGGCGCAACTTCGGTATCATGTGGGCATTCATTGCTTTCAATGTTTTCATGGCTGTTGTCATGTACTACCTTGTTCGTGTCAAGCGCTGGAATTCGGCTGATATGAAGGCTTCCTTCTCGAAGCTCATTCCTGGCAAGAAGGCTAAAGGTAGTAGTAACTAAGGCTGGTACTCTCTTCTTCCATTTTTCTACATATCTTTGTTAATACCTTTTTTATTTATTTTTTTGGCTTCTTGGTGTTTGGGGTGTTTTCCTTGAAGCGATTTCATCGTCCTTTTTGTTTGCATTGTCATTCACATACTACTCTACATGCGTATATAGATACAATATTGGATAATTATAGACTACATATAACAGGTATTACCAGAGAGCCCTTCTTACTTTCCTATGTTAGAATCTATAATATAGCCATAGCCTATAGATCTTTTACATCTTGTCAGGATGTGTTTGCCTGAGAATTCAGGTAGTATTTGTTTGTTTGCCGCGGCCGTTTTCAGTACCTATTGAATCTGCGTTTTTCTCATCGCGATTCATCATCCCTTCGGATCCCGACAAACCTTTCTTTTCTCGCCACATTAAAAATATTAGCTTCTCAGATGCAAAATAGCAGTATGGCCCTAACCAAAACGTCGGGACATATGTCGAACATTTGGTTCAGAAAATAGTAAAAACATACCAATACTACTCGGAACGAACAAGATTCTTACAAGGATCTGAAACGATGAACAAAGTCTCAAGATCTACCATAAAAAAATTTCTGGAGAAGAAACCAGTCCAAAGACTAAAATTCTCATTATGATGTAGTGTAACTTTTAAGTTACTGGAAAAGAATATCCAGCGTCACCCATGGGGCAAAAATCGAGTAGTAACAGACCCATGAATTAAAGCAAAGGCACGCTATGTGGCCCACGAAAAAAGAATCCCAAAAATGCAGAAGAAGTATTTTCAAGGCCAGAGCAACTCATGGCCCTCAGCCTTGAAACGCGAGACCATGTATCCAGGCTTGCAATTCGCCTCCCAGTCCTCATCGAACCCGTTGTCCGGGTTGTGGGGGTTCAGCGAGCCCTTGCGCGGCGCAAGCATCGAGACACCGCGAGGAACTTCCTCTAGACCGGGTGAATCGGCTTTACTGGCGCCACAGGGGCATGTGGATGTTGTGTACGCTCCGGGTGTTGTGCAGGGGCAGGGACCCAGGGAGCGATTGCAGGGGACGCACTTGTAGTGTGCAGAGCTGTTGCGGCCTGAGCCTGTTGAGACGCGGACGCCGGGCAGTCCGCATTGTTCGCACTTCCAGGCGGAGGTGTGGTTGTTTGATGTGATGGTCATTCTGATGGAGGGTTGAGTCTGGGTCATTGACTATAAGATATTGTTAGAACAGATGTTTGATGGATACGACAGAGGGGTATCATCATCACTTACACTCTGGAATATGTAGAATGGAATTGGAACTGAAGGAACAAGGGTACCGGTGATAGATAGTAGAATAGGCTGAATGTATACTCGGTTCTTAAGTCCGGGGTAAGGCTCTTTATAAGAATTTGCGGGGGAAGGCCGTAGATCATTATGACGCTATGTGTACCATATTTTCACCATATTTTCATCCCTTCGAAATTGAATTTTTCATCCCTGGTTCCATTGTGAAAGGGGCAACCGGTAACCCCGGATCGGTGGCATCACGTAAAATCACGTAAAAGGTGGAGATCTAGAATCCCAACTTTGATCGTAAACGGAAGTCACGACTGAATCGGGTAAGGACTTCCCCGATGCAAACCGGGCTGTTAGGTAATATCGCGCAAGTCACTTGACCGACAGGGAATACTTTACGTTTCTGTTAGTTAATCCGTTGCTATTTTCAGCCATTTGCGGTGGAAGCAAACTCGAGTGCAGATGATGTGCTCCCGTGATGAGGCATTTGTCTGTGGGGTTCCCCCGCATTCTACTAGTCTCTCCAACTTTGAGTATACCTCATTCTACAGGAAGTAGTTACCGCTACTTCTAACTACTGTCTAGCTATATCAACTACTCTCACTATTGTCAAATTCGCCTCTTGAAGTAAAGATCTATTATTAGCGAACCCATGATCAGGAACACAGCATGTGGCAAAACGTACTAAATCAAAAAAAAAAAAAAGAAAAAAAAAAGCGAACAATCTAACAGCAAACCAAGAACCAACGACGATCAAATGATCAAGCACAAGTGCCTGAAACCACTCGGCATCCTCTCGGCGCGCAATTGCGTCGCTCGGCGCCACGATGAAAAGACTTCGCATCAATTGCATCATTTCAAGGTGGGTCTGTGTCTCCACACCTTCGCCTTCCATCCTATCCCAACGCTTTTCTCGAATGATGGGGTGATCCGGCTTAGTGAGAGGACAGGTCGATGACTACACTCGCAACCTCGACCGCCCACGTGGGTATCCTGTTTCTGGTCTAGAATTTTGGTCTGTGGTTGATCGTATGTATGTGCTGATTGGTTGCGAAGTCCGAACCTCCGTGATTGATCAGTTTATTGTTACTTCTTACTGTGCAGGGCTGAGAGGTATTTGCTCAGGTGATTCGTGATGAATTTTACTCGTGGCGTTGAATGACTCGGCTAACAACAGCGGCCATAGCTTTGTATTGTATAGTTTCAGTGCCACTGGTGGATTATTGGGTCTCGAAGCGAGTACTCCGTTTCATTCATTGACTTTGCTCTGACGTGGCCTCTATAATTTTATCACTTTTCGCTTATTTTGAGTGCCTCGGGTGAAATCAATCAAAGGGGTGAAATTATCATTTCAAGGTGGGCATGTGATAAAGACAGATAAAAAAAGGGGTTATCCGAGTCCGAAGATCTTGCAGGATCCTTGGTTCCAATGGTCCTTGTTTTTTGTTACAATCCCCCTATATCTATATACTCCATTCAAAAGGTATGGATTACAACTAACACATAGACCGCCTCGGCAGGTGACAGAACGCAGGAATAGCAAACAACAATCTCACGGCATAGATCACTGCCAATGAGTTAGGAATAGACGTATAGACCATTGATAGCACTGTGACCTTTTCGGGGAAATAATAAATCTCTGTGCGTAACGATTGGAGACAACCGCTTGAAATTTTCAAGGCCGGTAATTGAATGCAAACCGATTGTCCCGTAAAATATTATCTATTAACTGTGTTAAGTTAATTATCTGTCGTTGCGACAGTATGTTCAGCAGTAGGGGTGCACCTCTTTCCCATTTGACTCCACGGCAAGTTTTTCCAGAAGACTTTTCCTGAACATATTTCGTGCAAATGCCATCAAGGATGTTATACTAACCACCGTCCACAGTTGCTTGGCCAAGTAGCAAGTAGTAATAGCACCCTGTTTTTACCAGTGCTATTTTGGGACTAGTTAGCTATACATGCTTTATGAGTGATATTCTCCTAAGGTATTCCCTTGCCGAGGTATCAGATATCCAGAAAAGGCTGATCAAAAGGACAGCCAAACGTTATTAGAATGAAACAGCAGCCGCAAAACTAATATGTGGCAATTCTGGTTCGTGTAAGAAACCCGGTTGTATCGGAAGCAATTTACATGATGTTTAGTTGGCTTAAACTGGTGTGATTGAAGGTGACTTGCCCCAAAGGTAAAAAATTAGACGAGGAATTAAGTCAAATAGATTGCCCAGATTTCTTCATTTAGGCCATTGGGGATTGCATTACAAGGATGTCGTACTCTTGCGTCTGAAGAACTGGAGTGTAAATTTGCCATCTCCAAACTACCAAGTCTTCACCAAAGAAGGGAGGGTATTCGTGTACCCTAGATGATATGCCTACCAGATCTGAAGTTGGCTAGTCAAGGATACCGAATCTCTGGCTGATGTTTGAATTGACCTAGAAGGAAAAGAAAATGCCAAGAAAAGCCCGGAACTAACCGATATCAATGATCAAATCTAATCAATCTATGCCAACCAAGTCTGAATCGCAGCCTTGAAAGTCTCCTGCAACCACGCTTCCTCGAATCTCAACGGAGCATCAAGCCCATGCTCCCCCTCCTTAACAGTAAAAATAACCTTCTCATCCCCAAACACCTCGCGGGCACGCTTAACAAACTTCTCTACATCCCCGACAGGAACAACACTATCCTGTCGTCCATGAATAATAGTTATACCACCCCGCGGAATGGTTGTCCCCTCCTGCTCAATCTTAACACCAGGGAACCTAAACTCTCTTCCTAATTCCTCAACACCCCGCTCATAAAGCTGTCCCAGAGTCCCATAACTAATAGCGCCAAGCATAAAGCCCAGCCGTTCCTGCTCAGTAATAGATGACTCAACAGTGCCGGGAACAACAACATCCAACGTCTCCTTCACAACACTCTCCGGAACCATCATACCAAACGGCCCCTTAGCTCTCGGCTTGGTGAATGCCGCGGAACACGGATCAACCAACGGATACGCAGCCGTGCAAGAGCGAATCCCAGCCGGGTGCGCGAGTGCAAGATTCAAACTGATCAGCCCACCAGCTGACTCGCCGAAACTCAATACACGGGAGAGATCAGCGGAAGTCGGTGTCGAGTGCGCGGCGAGGATGTTTGTCAGAGACGGGCTCTGCACCCAGGTCCAGAAGTCTTCGATGTCGCTGCAGATTTCGCTGCTTGTTGAACCCGGTAGAAGGCGGTAATTTGGGCTGATTATTATGGCATTCTCTTGGAGGGCCAGATCTGAGAGCCACCAAGGCCAGAAGTCCATGTAGAGGGAGTCGCCCATTACCTGGATTTTGGTTTATTAGTACAGGGTACCGTATGGCTTTGGATCGGACGTTTGTGATGGGTTTCGTACCAAGCCGCCACCGTGGAAGCGGAGGATGACGGGTCTCTTGCCGTCCAATGGCTTTTTGGGGATGAGAATGTCTGTTCTGATTTCATGGTCTCCCACTTTCTTGAAGGTTGTTTGAATAAGGTCCAGGCCGACGAGCTTGGGGTGGGATTCGATTGACATTGTTGCTGTTGTGACACGGAGGGATATATTGGAAGAAGGTAATGGGTAAACTAAATGCTTTGGGCGTGTAGGTAAGGTGTAGATGCAGCTGCAGGGGTAGTGATACGATTAAGCTGGTGTGGGAGATAGACTTCGATCTTGGGTCTCGGATGCGGATGCGGATTTATGATCAGAACATAAGCAGTTCGGTAGTAGAGCCGGTATTACCAAGATGGAATGGTTTCTGTAGATAATGGGATTCCTATGGTATTTATGCCGGGCCTCGGTGCTCTCTTGATAACTTAATTCCGATTAATCCAGAGGTTTTCTCGGCTTCCGAGTAATATCGCCGTGGTAAATAGAGGATATTGCGAGCCACACTAGACTTCAAAAAGCTTGGCTCTTCATGCAGCTCTCACTTTGGGTCGGGCTCTGTCCAATCATCTTCCGAGATGTTAGGCGCAGGGCGTAAAGGCGCTGGACACAGATACTATCGCGCTAGCCTATTCGGGTATGTGAGATGCTCGACCAACCAACAATCCGATTATCAGCCACATCTCTTTTTCACTTTGTGACTTCTTTTGTAATAGATGCAGTTTAGTGAAAGTCTTCTGACAGACTTTGGTTCCGACGCACAGACAGGGTTCATGTGATCCATGGTCGCCGATAGGATGGACATACAATATCAAATGGGGATGGCTCGATAGCAGTCTGGTTGTGCAGACAGGTCGAAATCTTAGTAGAAGAAACACCACAACTCTCAAGACTGTGCTGTGGCACCGGCGGCTGTCTATCGCGTACTGAATCTGATATTACTTGATAATGGAAAAACTGATGGGCAAATCGAAAGATTCTGTATGATGATGACCTTGCAGACTATCTAGCGGCAGCAAAATGACTGTCTCAGGTTCCATTCGCTACAAGAATACCCACTACAATATTATATTTCAGCCATAAATTGAGGCGCCTCAGTATTGTGAGATCCGAAGCTATAATAACAAGCATTACTATAGAAAGACCGGACTGTATCTGGTCTGTGTAAGGTTCAACACATGCAAGTTACCTAGGTTATGATGCTGTACTCTGTGACTTTGGCGCCGGATGAGACATGCTGTAATGCGGGCATGGCATCAGCCAAGGCGAGGTTGGAAATCCCGTCCCGCTTGAAGCTAGGCTTGACTACAATTGTATGTGTAATATGCTGATGGCATCTCGAGAGTCAGAGTCTGTCGAATGTATCTAGCCTATCTGGCTGTCTACACGGTGCATAAGAACTGGATGTCGCCCAGGGGAGCTGCACCGTGCACGATGCGATGGCTGTAATAAGCAGCAGTGTCCCAAGTTAATTGTAGATTGACAGTAGCTACCATTCCAGAACGAGGAGAGGCCGAGATGAGCGTGCCGTATTCTCACCAGCGAGAGGGCCTCGAGATACTAAGCAGAGCACGAGGGCGTCATCAACTTACGTGAATTTTTGATCGGTGTTACATTAAACTGGATTGGGCCTGATGCTACAGTAGAAAGGCGGATGGTTTGGCAGTGAATGGGCATGCATCTGTCTCACACATGCAAGTGAGCTTTAGCCGGCGGAGGTCGATGAGAAGCTGAATACCCTCACCAAGGGCATTGTGGAACAATGCCGAGTTTCGCCTATTGAGGAACAAATGTTGCATGAGATAACAATGGCTCTGTTGAAGAACAATAGTAATCAATCGGCCAGTGAGGACTCGTCGTCCCTGTCATGTTTGCATCGTCCCGATTAGGAAATGACATTTGGTATAAAAGCAATCCTTCCACCCCAACTTCTCTTTCTCTTCCTTTCTCTTCCTTTCTCTTTACACCAAGCTCACCGCGGTCGAACATTTTCTTTCTTTCTTGAGGAGTCGACACCAGACTCACCTGGAACGATGAAGGGGGATGACAACTTGACAGGATCTTCGACACATCACCACGCAAGATCATCACACGTCAACAACAAACGTGGGCTCGTGGGCAATTTCAGTGGTCGGTCAGAGGTACTTCTGCACGGGCGACCGTTTGAGGAGGTTGGGAATGAAAGCTCTCCGGAGGGTGCTCGGCGGGGACACCGTGGGTTCAGTTCTTAAACTCCTTACCTGAACTTAAGCAACAAAAATTCGGATCGGGTGACTCTGGCAAGCTGACTCGGCACTCTGATGTGGGCGTGGGCTCGTTTTTATTTTCCTCCTTTCTCCTATGATGATTCAGTTTTAGATGATGTGCGAATGACCCTTCGGGTGATTCCTAGGTGATTCAGCACATCCATCGAACGCGCCGACACCCTTCAGGATGGCCTGGTCCGCTGGATTGAAGGATCGGGTTCGACCACTGTTCTGAGGTCCCCCGTCTTCATTGGCGGGGCTTTCAAAGGAGCTGGGGGACGAGGGGGATTTTTTTCAGTTTTCTTCTGTGATGATTCAGTTTTAGATGGTGCTTCCATCTAACATGCCCACTCCTTCGTGATTGCCTCCAAGCTTGATCGGAGATTTCGGTTGAAACACTGATCTGAGTTGAATCTCTTTTACCTTTCATCTTGCACTTTTTCTGTTCCGCATCCCTTGGCCAGGTTGATTTTCCCTTGTGTGTTGACATTGCAGACGTCAACAAAAGAACGTCGCATCCACGGATCCGCCACACAGATCCGGAAACCTTATCTCACCTCGCACGGACCATACCTCAACGGCACTGCAACACCACACTCAATTGACTTTGCCTCAAGGTATACCACGACATGGATCCAGACACTAGTATCCCGACCGAGCCCGCCCCCTCCGTATTCAGCTACGTGCTGTCCTTCCTCCTGGTCGGCGTCGCATGGGGCTTCACAACCCCCCTTTATCCGGCGCGCCGCGGCAGACTTCAACGCACGACAGGAGAAGCAAGCCAACAACTCCGACTCCTCAGAGCGCGGCAGATCACGCACACATGACTCGCCACAAACCGGTTTCACGGATGCAGGTGAGGAGCAGGAGCTGCTTTCTCGAGGAGAGTTGGACGGGGACAAAGATGGAGAGGAAGATGGAGTGCGGAGACGCAGTACGAGTCAGAACGACCAATCCCGCAAGCCGCAGGGAACTGTCGTAGGTCAGCAGGGTGATGAAGCTCAAAGCTCAAGCCGCGCTACTGGACTGAGAGAGGAGGCTGACGATGATGATCTACCCACACCCGCTTGGAGACGCGAATCCGGCCCAAGGCAGTCCTGGTTGCGCACGAAAGTTGTTTCGATTTTCTGGACTGTTGTCAACATGCTTCGCACTCCAGCGTACGCGATTCCGTTGATCATCAATCTGACTGGAAGCATTTGGTTCTTCCTTCTTGTTGGGAAGCATGGTATGTCGCTCCTTGCAAGCTGTCGCTGCTGTCTCCGAGACTTGGTTTGCTAAAGATATTGATTTATAACAGAGCTTTCTCTTACTGTCCCGCTTGCGAACTCGAGTGCCTTCTTGTTTACTGTGCTTGGAGAGTGGTATGTGGAGCGCAAGGTGATTGCGAAGGAGACTTGGTTGGGCATGGGCTTGGTGCTTGGGGGTATTGCATTGTGTGTTCATTCGAAGAACCAGGCTTCCTGATTCTGTACACTTTCATCCTGTGGTTGATCTTATTCGCCAAACTATGGATATCTATTATTGCGTTCGACATACATGTACTTGGCGAAACATATTTTGGTCCGATTTGAATCAAATTATCCATGGCCACCTCATCCTGCGTCCGGAGTACATCCCATAGAGGTTATCAACACATCTGGCTCTTGTATCCCAATCTTATTTAAAATGCTCACTTAGTTTCCCCTCTCAAGCTACTTAAACTACTTAAGTCTCTACTGCCTAGGACTAGAACATTCAGTTCATAGGGCATCTCATATTCATCTATCGCCAACAACAAAACTGGCAGAAAAATAACATATCTACAAGATAAAGTACACAAATTCCCATACCAAGAAAAAAAAAACAAACCACAAGAAACCAAACACATCGCGATAACATATCATTCCACTCGTTCCACATATCAAAACGGAACGAGAACAGTATATCGCGGGGAGGTCATCACATATTACATTTGTCCCATTTCCATCTCCATTTCCATTTGCATTTTCAGATCCATGTTACAGACCAGACCGGGCCAGCCGTGGTCATGGATTCCAAAATCCAAAATCCAAAATCCAACTTTCCAACTTTGATAAATGTAAATATGAATCAAACGCGGTGGATATATGAAAACATTGCAAAGTATTGTATTTGCTGTAAAGCGCAGGGAAGAGCAGAAAACAATCGTTATGTTGAAGATCGCTCAATCAAACACCACGGAACTGGAGGAGAAGTTAGCACTTGAAACGGTAATGGTCGAGAAAAAGAAAGGAGAAAGGGGAAAGACTCACCATCCGAACAACCAGATACCACATCGCACCGATAAACTTGAACATCGATAGTCCAGCAACACTCCACAAGACAACCTCCATGTAAATCATGGAACGCTCACTCTGGGTGGCATCTTCGCTGTCACTAGAGCTCGTTGAGTCATCAAAGGTTTCCAGACCGGCCGCACTCAAGACAACGGCGCCAAGGGCAAAGTTGCAGAACACCCAGGCAAGGACAACAGCACTACGGAAACCCTTGTAGTAATCGGCCTGCTTCTCTTCTTCGGAGATAACCTGAACCTCTTTGGGCGGCTTCATGGCGAACTTGGCGACTTCAGCTTCGTATTGTGCGTTCAAGTCACCGTCGTCCTGGGGGATGTTGACGTCGACCTTGCCGCCGGGCTTGAGGTGGGCTGAGGGCAATTTCTCGGCCTTGTCGTCTCCCTTTGTACCCCAGGTGATGTCGTGGGTGTTACAGAAGGCGTAGATGTTGAGAACGTTGATGTAGGTCGGGGTGAGTAGGATATATTGGATGAACTGAGAGAGATTAGCGATGTGGTCAAGGATGAAATGGGAATTGACTAGAGACTTACACTGGTGAACATGTGCCACGGGTCCAGGAAAATGAAGGACGCGATGAACCACATCACATAGGTTGACCCAAGTGAAACGATAATCGAAAAGAACGTCTTGTTCGTAAACAGCTCTGAAACAGTGAAGCTATTCGACGCAACCTCTGTCTGAATAGATTTCACAGTAACGAAGACGGCAGCAAATGCAAGATAAATCATAATAACGATCCAGAAGTAAACCATGGTCATATAGAACTTATTTGATCCACCAGGTCGATTACCGAGAGCCAGAACGAAACACGTCACGAGAGTTGCCAAGTAAAGCCATTCGAAAACGATACCAAGAACCTTACCAGCAGTACCTAGTAGATCATCGGATCCGAGGTATGTTGTCAAGATGTGGAAGACCAAGAAGAAGTTACCAATACCGAACCAAGCAAAGATCATCGCAATAGTTTGGTAGATGAACTCAATCATCAACATGAACTTTCGCATGAAACTGTGGTCACTGCGGAAAATTTGGTAGAAGTGGGCAATAGCGTAGACGGCAGCGAAGAAACTACCATTTAGCCAACGACGACGTTGCAAGATGAACTCGGCCATACGATCAGGGACATCAGTCTCTCCGGTTGAGGACTTGACGTACTGGAGGAGCCATCTGCACTTACGCTTGGAGACGATTTCGAAGCAAAGAATACGATCCTCGGCGAGGTACATATTGGCTGTGAAGATACCGGCATTGGCACCGTGCATCTTCTCGCCCAGGAAATAACGCTCCAGAGGACCTTGACCGTTTTTGTCGTTCTGCAAAGCGACAAAGCGGTAAGCAGAGAACGCACCGGGCAACACAGTAATGAAACCGAAGGAAGACTCCAGCGGCTTATCAAGAATGTTGCTCAGCTTGTATTCGAAGTTTTGACCGGCGACCAGAGGGTTTAGCAATTTCTTGCCATGGGACAACATGACCTTGATTTCACCACAAGCACCACCGCACATGGGCTCGACATCAAAGGCCTTCCACAGGTGGTAGATGGAGTCTCTGCCGGGCTTGGTACCCGCATCGAGAAGGACACAAATGTTGGGATCCAAGACGCGACCAAAGGCTTGGAAGAACCATCTGTGAGAGTTAATCTTTTTCTGATTCTTTTCCTTCAAACAGAAGATCATCTGCACAGGAGGTCCCGATCTAGGCTTGAGATGCACCTGGGTGCCCTTGACTTCCAACCCGACTTGGGTGGTGTATTCGTAAATATGGGCTGTGACATCCTTGCCATTGACCTGCTGCTTGGCAATTCCATCCTGATACACACCCAGACCCGCTAGAACAGCGCGTGTTCGTGGGTTAATCTTAGCACGACCGTCACTGATAACACAGACCACGATTTTCTTCCAGGCGTCCTTGCCCCAGGTTTTGCTACTTGTGCGCGAGCACATGTGATCAATGTTCTTGAAAACACCGGACATGGTTCGCGCAAACAGGAAATCGTCTTCGTTGTACATGGTCACAACAATAAACAACTCAGTATGACGAGGCTTTGCGAAAAGCTTCTGGCGCAATGTAAACCGTTCCTCGAAGAAATCAGCAGGGTCGCAAGTGGCAGCCGAGTATCGCATATGCGTGAACTCGTCACGGCCAGGAGGCTCTGCGTGCGGAACTTGACTGAGCAATTTCGGAGCAATAGGGCAATCAAGCACGAGGTTGCCGTTGAACAGCTGGACTTCCTTCACAGTCTTCCAGCGGCGGATGGGTTGAGGGCTCGGTGTTGGTTGGATCTCCTCGTTGAACTCATCAGTGTACGGGTCCGGCCCAAATGGATTGTCGTTCGGGTGAAGCATGGGCTCTTGTGTATCATCGAATGGGGTGTGGCCTCCCTCTGGATACTGGCCAAGGTCATAATCGTCATGGGGAGTCTGCGTAGGCTCATAAGGTTGGGTATAGTAAGCATCGTGGTGGGCTTCGGGATTCACTGAGTACTCATGACCGGGGTAAGGACGGTGTGCATCGTAGGCATCGTGGTGGCCATAAGAGTTGTAAACGTTCTCGACTGAATACTGTTCGGGGAAGACGACTGTCAGTTCCAGCCAGGCACCAATCATTGCGCGAGACTCACAGTCGGTTGTTCAGCTAAACGATCACTGGAGGGCATAGGCAGGTGTGCCGGGGGGACATATGGGTTGTCTGATAGCTGGTAGCCATCCAGCGGTCGCGCCGGCGAGGGAGTGCGATTAGTGTAGCTAGTGACGTGGGAAGGATTTAGCATGGGCGAGCGGTGCTCATCCCCAAACGGATCTGGGTGCGACATTTGTCAGTTCTGAGGCTGTAAAAGCTCAACAGGGGATTGAATCGCAAGAGCTTGATTGCGCGACTTCAACATGTAATCAATGACCAGCACTAATTTGAGACGAGTGTCGGGTGGACAAAGCATGCGCAAGCAGTACGGGGAGAAAGAGGATCCAACAGAGCCCTAAGACAAGCACTAACCTTCTCCGACACGATTGTAGGCCATGGTGGGCTAGCGAGCCTCGGGATTGAGTGCAGTGAAATTATGCTACCCCGACGTTCTTTGCAGGGGCTTTGGAGATTGCGCCAGGAGCGCCAAGTGGAATCTTGAGCGTCTCAGCAAGAGATATGACTAGTCCGACTTGACGGACGTGAACTCTCGGCGCTGTTTCAGGTAGGGCCTTGGAGGGAAATTTGACTAGGAGGAAAGAGTATAGGTTGCGAAAATGAGAAGCAGGAATAAACCTGGGTCCCGTCTGTTTGGTGTTTACGACGCCCCAGTCGATCCCAGCGATGACGGTGGAGATAGGACGAATCACAGTGTCTGTGCTGGGCTCCGCACTGCCCTGTGGATGTTTTCACACGATTATCTGTGCTCCTCAATGTAGGCGAAAAGTCCAGTGCATATGAAGGTAGGAATCTGGAACAAAAGCCCCAATGAGAATGCAGTTCATCAAACCAAAAGACACCTGAAACATGCGAGCCACGGGTGACAGAGAAATCCCCGCTGACGAATGTCGGGTGTGTTTTGTTACTGGGCCAACGTGACTTGAGCCACAGTCTTGGCAGTGGCTGTACCCACATCCCCTGCTTAGTCATGACCTTTCCATGGGTGGCGCTGCAAATTCTTATTCTTTTTTTAGAGATACGAAGTGTAGACACGAGTTATAGGGCTATGAATTGCAGAGATAAAGATAAAGTAGCTGCCTGTTCTTAGAATAGCTCACCTTACTAGTCTAGCTTGCCAAGGGCTGCATGCCATACTGTTCCTGTACCTTAACGACGTAATGCATCTGTGGGGTCTTAGGGCCTATCGATAAGTCTCCAATTTTGCAAGCTGTAATATATTCAATTGCTGCCTATACCCTAGAGATCCCTGGCCATCACACTACCCCACATAATGACTGCCAATTCCAATGCACGCCCGGCAAACGTCCTATTTGTCTGCCTGGGCAATATCTGTACGTGCACCGTCGGCCTTCCCCCGCGATGACGACATCCTAATCCCATGCAGGTCGTTCCCCGATGGCAGAGGGTGTCTTCCGCAACCTCGCCGCATCCCATGCCTTAATTGGAGAGATCGACTCGGCCGGTACTGCCGCCTATCACAGCCTTGAGCCCCCTGACTCTCGCACCATGTCCACTCTGCGCCGCCACAAGATTATCAACTACGACCATGCCGCGCGGAAGGTGACCCGCGAGGACTTCCTCACCTTCGACTACCTCCTTGCTATGGACAAGTCTAACTTGCGCGAGCTTTTGCATGAGCGAGAGCAGGTCGTTTCGGCTTTGCAGCGCAAGTCTTCCGCTAAGTCGGGTGCCAAGGGTACTCGTTCGCATGTCGACGCTGCCATTGGTGAATACCCGGAAGATGCAAAGGTTGCCGAGGTGCGCATGTTTGGTGATTTCGGTAAGGCTGGCAAGCTGAATGACCGTGTTGGTGGTGGTGAGGTCGTGCAGGACCCTTACTATGGTGGTGCCAATGGTTTCGAGGAGGTTTACCAACAGGTCGTACGGTTCTCTCAGAACTTCGTTGACTACCTGGAGAAGAACGGTGCCAGCTCTGAGTAAGGGTCTGGTTGGACCAACGGGGCTGCACAAGCCAAGCACATATATAGAGAAGACGGCGCTATTTTGTTGATACCCTGCTTCATTAGCAAGCAGTTTTGATAGATAACATCAAGTGGACAGTGAATGTCCAAATAAAAGATATGACTACATGATTTCCATGGCTTCCATGGTCGAAAAATAGCTGATATTGTACATTGAGTGCTAAACGCGAACAAGCTATATAAATAGAAAGGTGACGACTGACTCGCCAACTGAACATTCTCATCGAATATCAAATCTTCTCGCTGATCTTGATAGCAGCCCTGCAGCCAAAGCGAATAACATCCACAAGAGGATCATAAGGCTTGGCTTCCTTGGAGTCATTCGCAACAGCATGGTCAAGATGTTCCAGCTCCTCGTCGCGAATCCTCCGGAATGTGGTCAGCATAGCCTTCAGCTCCTCATCAAGCTCCTCACCCCGTCTTTCAGCATCCGCCTCCCAAGATAGAATCTCCCTCACTTGGTCATTGTAGTGCGATCCAATCTCAGTCTCAACGGCCTCGGTGCATGCCATCGCAGCTTCGCGACCTAGCGCCGCAGTGGACCACCCTAGGAATGTGGCTGCTACCTCCCACGCGGGATACATGGCGGTTGGTCGGACTTGGTGCTTTGCCACGAGCCCATTGAACGTTTTGAGGTGCCCGGCTTCTTGATCGTACATGTGTTTCATCAAAGGCCGGAGGTGCGGGTATGAACGGACGATCTGGGGCGTCTGAGCTGTGTAGATCAGGGTCGCGGCAAGCTCGCCGGCTTGGTTGACTCGGAGCGCACTGTCCATGAATTCGCGTTGCTCTTTGCTGAGGACATAGCGAGGCTTTGGCTCACCGGTGGTGCCGGCGGTCATTGAGGCGTGCCGACATTGGCTGTATTTGACCGCTGACGGGGCGAGGAAGTCGAGAAAAACTGGTGACGTTGTACGGATGGGCCGATAGCACCGTCTCAGGGTGCACTTGCGCAGCATTGGTAAGGACGCCATTGAAATTTGCGTTGAACAATAATCATGAGGCTATCTCGAGAAACGAAGCTCCGAGGCCGCGTTGACCGCCTTCGCTAGCGCGCGCTAGCGAGATTGGCGCGGAACGTCATGAATTCATGCCAACTTGCGACGAACACTCAAGCACTTGCCTGACAACCTGCACTACCTTCGCTTTATCTAGTGCAGAGTGCGTTTGCCAATTTTGGATCGCTGACCACCCAGTGCGAAGTGTTTGGACCTCCTTTGGACGGTCTTTACTGCCACTTCTTCGTCACCTAGGTGTCGACTCTCTTCAGGAGGGATAGATCAATAGGAGAATACTCCTTTTGTTCTAGAGTTTTATTCCTTGCTTAAATAAAGGACTTTTGGAATTTTACGATTAACTGAGATTAGTCTATTGGAAGACTATTCAAAATGGCGGACGACCTGGACGCTGAGTTGCTCGCTTTGGCGGGTGACTCTGAGGAGGAAACTTCACCACCGCCCAAATCGCCAGCGCACTCTACTTCGTCACCTGCCGACAGAGGTCATTCACCAGAAGCCATGGGGCGCAAAGGAACCGCTAAGCCGATCCCCCGCCGGGCCCGCAAGCCTGTGAGGGATGAATCGGAAGGTGAAGTGTGAGATATACCCCTCCGCCTGCTTGATGATATTCGTCGCTAATCCCGTGGACTTGCTATGCAGTTCCGACACTGGCTCCCGCCACTCTCTTCAGTCTGCCCCCATGTCAGAGTCGGAGTCGGAGTCCGACAAATCCGACCAAGATGATGAGGATCGCCCTATTTTCCCGTACGAAAAGCTGTACTACTCTGCCCAGGATAAGAAAGATATTATGGCTATGCCAGAAATTCAGCGCGAGGAAACCTTGTCCGAGCGTGCCCAGCAGGTTGATCGCCACAACCAGGATCTTGCCCTCCGACGACTGCTAGCATCCCGCTCCCGCGAGGAAGCCCGGGCTGCTAAGAAAGCCAAGCGAAAGGCTGGTTCCGCCGGCTTGGACGAATCTCAGCGCAAGAGCTCTCGCCAGAAGACCACTCTTGGCGGCCGCAAGGTTGGAGAAACCTCTGGAGCCATTGAAGCTTACAAGCGTCAGCGTGAGCAGAAGGGCAAGCGGGATGAGCTCCGCCGCCGTGATCCAACTCAGTCTCGCCGTCGCTCCCGTTCTGTGGGCTCTGAGGTCTCTGACGAAGATGTGGATGCCGAGAGTGATCTTGAATTGGATGACCGTGTTGGTCGTTCCCCTTCTTTGCCCAAGGACGACCCGCCTGCTGAGCTTCGTGATATTCAACGTGCTCGTGTTGGTCGTAGTAACTTTGCTCAAGTTTGCTTCTACCCTGGATTTGAAAATGCCATGCATGGCTGCTATGCCCGCGTCAACATTGGCCCGAATGCAGAGACTGGCCAGAACGAATATCGCATGTGCCTTATTACCGGTAAGATATCTAGATTTTTTGTTGAGTCTTTAAACTAATTGCGTTTCTAGGCTTTGCCCCGGGTAAACCGTATGCTATCGAAGGATCCAACGGTCGTCCATTTGTCACCGATCAGTATGTCAAGCTGGCGCATGGCAAAGCGATAAAGGAGTTCCCTTTCATTGCCTGCTCGGATTCTTCTTTCACCGAGGTATGTTAAATTCTTCCTTAATATTAAGTTGCACTAACAAAGCCCTAGAACGAGTACAACCGTTACCGCAAGACCTTGGCTGTCGAAGACATCAAGTTGGCTACACAAGGCAAAATTGCCTCCAAGGTGACCGACATAAACCGCCTGATCAACCACCAATTCACCAAAGACGAGTTGAACCAAAAGTTGCAACGCCAGGGTGCATTCGACTCGAAGTGGAACATTCTCAAGCGTGCTGATATTGAACGCGATTTGAAGTTCGCCAAAGCTAATGGAAATACCGAAGATGCTGAGCGGCTCGAGAAAGAACTGGATCAGATTTTGAACCCTACTCTTTCCTGGGGAACCACTCTCACCAAGAAAGAGGTCGACACGAAGCCGATGGAAGCCGAGCGTGTCCACCAGATCAACATCCGCAACCAAAAGCTCAACTACGAGAACGTGCGCCGTGCTCAAATCGAGGAACGCAAGGCCGCTCGCAGGTCTGCAGCAGCTGTCGCTCGTGGTGAAGCCGCCGCCGATCCGTTCATGCGTGTACGAACAGTGGCCAAGACCCATCACGATGTCAGCGGGCCCAGCCAGACTACTCCTTCTACCGATGCTACTCCCAAAGATGAACCCAAGGATACTCTTAAGCTAAGTAACGGCAGTTCTGCAGTGGGTACACCTTCCGGTATTACTCCCAAGAAGCCCAAGACTGGTTTCATGATCAGTCACCGCAACAACGATGATGAGAACATTGCGGCGCTCGACATGGAAATCGACATCGAGATCTGATTTCGCCACTCCTAGCATTCCACTGTTCTTGCATCTTCATTTCTGTGCCCTAAACCGGCTCGCTAGGGTTTGTTTTCCAGATTATCTGATCCCTTTCGAATTCACTGTACACTCCTGGAAGGATCGCTGGTGGTCATTGGCGCATAGCCAAGACTGCATTGTGACATTATTATTTTTTAGCTTATCCCCCTACCTTTTTCTTTCGCAATATTTGAGGAGTCGGTGGATGATTTTACGGCGTCATTTCAAAAAATAGCATTCTTTTTTGTATTATGACACTTCTGGGAATGCATCATGAGCAATACAATCATCATCTTTAAGGTTGGTAAGAGCGTGGATTCGCCGGTACCTGTCGAGGGTGTTAGGGTATTTTTAAGGGAGTATTCACAAACGAAATATCCACGTTTACACTTAACAAACGATCTCAGTCTGTATTCTCTGTAGTGAAAAATCACGATAAGAGATAACAATCACGTGTGGGGCCTAGCAACGCGAGGCACGCGCTTCGCGTCCGGACTATGCGCCCTTGAACCTCCACTGCACATTGATCTGGACCTTGGATTGCCACTCCCTTCCAATTGATCCCATCATGAGAACATCCTCCCCATAATCATACTAAAATACGAGAACAATTACGACAAAATGACCTCGCCGTCCACACCACGCTCGACGCGTTCCGCGTCCCCGGGCGGTTCGCCGAACATTATTACTCCCGGCCAGAAGATCAAAGCCATGATGGCTGAATTTGACAGCGACTCAGATGACGACACCTCAAATGCCAAATCCACATCTGCTGTCACAAAACTCAATTTAGGGCGAGATTTCACATCAATAACTCAGACACACAATCACGGTCAAGCACACGACTCGGAAGATTCAAGTAGTGAAGATGAAGTCGCCCGCCCTAAGGGCCGTATGGCTGCTCGTATGCAGGGCAATACCACGAAATCAACCGCTGTCCACGAAACAGAATCCGCATTCGCTCGCGTGTCAAAAGCCCTCCGGTCCGAGAGAGAACAGGCCCAGAAGCCGCGGCAGACAGAGTCCACACCCGATAACGAATCCAGTGAAGACGATCTCCCTGCGGCTGGTCCAAGGAGAAAGAACAATGCCAGATCTGAATCGCCCGAATCCGATAACGAGCCTACGCAAACTCCTCCCCGTCTAAGATCCGACTCTCCCTTATTTGTGTCTTCTCCCGCTGAACCGCATTATGACCCCACCCACAGCGACGATAATGATACAGGCGCTGAGTTTAAGCCCAAGGGCAATTCCCGCTTCCTTTCCCTTGTTGCGCAGAAACGCAAGGAGCGTGAGGAGCGGGAGAAAGCCGAGGCCGAGAAGAAGGCTGCTGCTCGGAAGGCACAGATGGAACACTTCACCTCAGAGGTCCTTTCTGGCGAGGAAAGCGGCGCTGATGACCCTGCTTCTGCTCACAAATTATCTCAGAAGGCTCGTCAACCCCGCAAGGCGAGCAAGAAAGCTTTGGATGAAATGAGACAGGAGACGCAGCGCATGAGCCGTAATATGCAACTGGCTCATCAGGCTAAGACCAAGAAGAAGATTACGAAGGAGAGTCTCTTTGCACGATTCAACTTCATGCAACCTGAACCCTCGGCCACCGAACAACCTGCCGCAAACTCGTCGTCCACTGCCGGCTCGCAGAACTCATCTGATGGAGAATTACGCAAGCTCAAAAACACCCCGCAAACTTCTCCAGTTTTTGGCGGAGCTGACGAGATCAAGACGACTGCTCCTGGCTCCGACGCTCAGACACAAGCCACCGATGTCGACATGGATGAGGGCCAGGATCTACCCACTGTCGATGAATTGGTAGCTGGGAAGTCTGACGCCGCACAACCTCAAGAACCTGAAGTCAAACAGGTTTCTCTTTCTGTGCCCGAAGCCACCCAAGAAAAGAAAGTCTCTCGTCCACTCACTCAACCGCCTATTCGCGTACTGCTTTCCCGACAAGCAGTTGCTGCGAATACCAACGGTGACGATGATTCTGATAGCGACCTCGAGGTGGTTACTTCTCCTGGCAAGTGTCGTCGTATTGCAGCATTTGAAAACCTTCCCACCCGTCAGATGCAAGAAGACCCTGGTACTACCAGGCTCAAGGCATTGGCACACTTGACCTCTCCCTCGCGCAAGCGGGCCACAATGAACAATGCAGAGCTTTCTGCCAGCCTATTGCTCAAAGCGCGACAGCAAGCGGCCAAGGAGCGCCGTGAGCGAATCGACGAACTCCGGGCTAAGGGTGTCGTCATTGAAACCGCCGAGGAGCGCGCCGCCATGGAGGATGATATGGAGAACCTTGTTGAGAAAGCTCGCAAAGAGGCAGATGAGATTGCTCGTCTCGAGCGGGCTGCTAAGAACAAGAATGGACAGAATAACGACGATGACGAGGATGAAGATGATGACTATCAGCTTTCCGGGTCAGATGAAGAGGCCTATGGCGAAGGCGATGATGAAGATGAAGAGGAGGAAACTGGCAGCTTAAATGGGAAGGCCGGGCTTGTCGAGCAGGAGGCAGACGAAGACGACGAGTCTGCCGATGATGAGAGTGAAGATCTACCCTCAGACACTGAAAAAGAGCATCCCGCTTCTGCCAGACGCAAGCGCCGAACACGAGTTATCAGTGATGACGAAGATGAAGAAGATCAGCCCCAGGTGCCATCAACGCCCGTGAGAGCCCCGAGCCATGTCTCGCAGTCTGCTGAACGTCCTAAATTCCCTGGTCTGGGAACACCTGGTGATATGTCTCTCGGTCTTACTCAGGCCTTTGCCTCTACGCTAGACGGCAGTGGCGCCGAAAGTCAACCGGGATCTGCCACCATCCCCTTCTTCTTGCCTGACCCGGGTCGTCCTACGCCCCAGCTGCAGAAGGAAGAATCAGAGGTTCTTGTACCCGACAGCCAGGAACAGCCACAAAACAAAGACTTCATGGAAGGTTACTCGCAGAGCATCACCCGGGTATCAGAGTCACCCGCTCCACACAATTTCCAGGAGTACTCTCAACTGCCTGACCCAACCCAAGACGAAGGATTTGTCTTCTCGCCATTTGATCCTGCAAAAAGATGGAGAGATACTCCTCCTGCGTCAACCATCGATACAGTTCTCGTTAATCAGAGCCAGTCGCCTATTGTGGAGCGAAAGCGCAAGATGTTGCGCCGAGGCCGCGCCACTGAACTCTCTCAGGTCGAGGAAGCTGAGCCTGAGGGTGACTTTGAGATCAATGCCAATGCATTTGATGTCATGAAGAAGGATAAGGCTACGAAGAAGCAGCCTGCGCCTGAATATAACAAGAAGAGCAGCAAGGCGAAGGATATCGTGGATGAGGCTGCCGAGGAATCCGAGGATGAATATGCTGGCCTCGGAGGTCACAGTGATGACAGTGATGGCGAAGAAGATGCTATTGATCGCCAGATGATCAACGACAACAGTGGCGAGGTGGTTGACGAGAAGCAGCTCGCCGCACTCAACGCGTATGTTTATTCCATTTGTGTGTATTGGTTTATTGCAGTGCTAACAAGCTCACAGTGTGCATGATCGTAACCGTGACGAGAAGGACGTTGCAAAGCTCATGAGAGACATCACCACTGGAGCCCTACGTCGCCGCAAGAATGCCAATGATGACTTCGATCTTGACGATTCGGACGATGAGCACTTGGCACGCCGCCGTGAAAAGCAACGCGAATTCGCCAAGATGCGTCGTGCTCTTCTTGCAGATGAGAAGATTGGCGAGATTGCCGAAAACCCCAAGAAAGCGGCATTTTTCAAGGCTGTTGAGGATCGCGAGATCGATGATGATTTCAATATTGACTTCCTCGAGGAAGAAGAGGGCGGTTCTCAAGTAGAAGCATCCCAAGATACTGCATCAGAGGAACAGTTAAAAGATGCATCAGCTGAGGCCAAGAAGCGCAAGCGCCCTCTTGAGCCATCCGACGAAGATTCCACCAACCGACCCCCACCAAATCTCCGCCGCACTCCTGCTAGCGCAATGTCCAAGAAACCAGCTACCCTCGCGGAGATCCGTGAGACCTTATCCTTCCTCACAGAAACGCCCGAGTACGACTCCTTCCACGAGGATGCCTCCCTCGACGAGGACGGTGCCGACCACGAGGAAGAAAGCGAAAACACATCCGGCGCCGAAGAAGGCCACTCAGAAGACCAACAATCAGACACAACCTTCGCCAAACCCAGCCACCCACGCCGAACACGCGGAGTGGTCGTGGACCGCCTCGCACTCCTCCGCCAAGCATCCTCCAACTCCGCAACAAACACCTCCGGATCTGGAAATGGCAAGATGGCATTTTCAACGGGGAACAGCGAAGGTCCGATTGGATTCCGTCCTCCCCAGCTCTTGCGCCGTGTAACGACCGGCTCTTCCTCTTCCAGCAACTCAAGCACTACCTCCAACCGCGTTCCCAAGGCCGCAGCTTCAGGACCGAAGAAGGGCGGTGCTGTCAATTCATACACAGCCGCGCGTGAGCGTGAGCGTGAGAAGGAGCTGCGTATCAAGCAGCGGAATGGTGGGTCCAATATTGCGAAGTTATTGAATAAGCATACTGGCGGCGGACTCGGTGCTTTGGGCAAGGGTCAATGGGATTAGGTGATTTTATCATACAATGTGTAATGAGGTGTCTTGCTTATACATTGATTTTGCGATTTTCTTTTCGATTTCTTAGCATCATGGGAAGGAGTTCATTTTCCTGGCGTTGAGACCGTACATATTCATGGAATATCAGGCGGTTTGTTTACCCTAGTGTTCGTAATATATGAACTTGATTGAATATATCCAAGCGTGCTTACAGTCGGGCACAGCGCTTCCACTTGCCTTCCAACTCTGCCAGGGCGACGCTAATTAGCCCCTCAAAGTCTATAGATTGAAAGGAAAATACAATCAAACCGCCTCAAAGCCCATGCATGATAGCGACCAACAGTGAAATGGCAGCGACCGTTCAACCGCGAGTCCGACCAGTCTCCACGCCTGTCTACAGAAGCGATTCCTCTCCCATCCCCGGTGAAGCATCAAGTCCTCGTGAAGATCTCGCATGTCGCGCAGAACCCAACCGTCATGGATCCAGGCAAGGTCCCGCTTCTGCGCTTCTGGCTTGACCATGATTGATTTAGTGTTGCCCTTGAGCACGGGACGTAACAATCGACACGAATAGTTGATTTGACATTCCGAGAGGAAGATCACAGAGTGCTGGCCGGTCGTAGCATTAGGACCGTACAGAACGAAGAAACTAGGGAAGTCTGATAAGATAATTCCCTTGTATGCCTCGGCCCCTCCTGCTGCATCCCATCTATTGTGAAGGTTTGAAGGGCCCTAGCCAGAGGCCTCACCATCCGCTTCGAGTCCGCTTTGGACTTGACGATTGCTTGTGCTTATGCCATTTCCACTATCTGGGGAGACAGCGCGGAGTAGCATCGCACAAAGTGTTTTTCTCTGATACCTGAGCAATTTAAGGCATGCTGATGTACAGGCCAGAAAGTAGAATTGGCGACATGGCATCCAAGTTTGGAAATGGCAAGCGCAAGCGCTGTGATTAGATAGGCAACCTGACATCAACCCACTCACTTGGGCAAGACATTCGATGTACACTTACTTGAAAGGGAGTGATACCAACCAGCCTGCAGCACAAGTTGAATAGAGCTCATGCAGGCTCAAATGCTGCACATACATGGACCTATTGGGCTTGAGTATGTGGATCCCGTGTTGAGGCATTCTTGGTTGATTCAGGGTCGATGCAAGGTGTCGCTCATCCCCAGAATTGGGGGAACACTAGAATGTACAGGTGGTATTGAGGATGAGGCAGATCCATTGAGCTGTACGGAAGTGCAAAATAGGCAAATAGGCATGGTCTTTAGTACCCGAGGAGACAACTCAATTCCATACGTGTTTCGTATGTTTTTAGGCTGTTTGGTGTTTGTCGTAAAATATATCGCTTCATGGACCTGTCCACCAAGGGAATCTGTATTTCCCTACATACCTGAACCTTGAGGTGCTCTCTTGTTCATTCCTTTGAGGAGGTTTGTTTTGCAAAGCAAGCTCGAAGCGCCAAGCTTTCCCCCCAAAAGCGCTGAGTGACATGTAAGCTACGCCGTAAATAGAGTGATGCCATGTATGTGGAATGTAGATCCCACATCTTGTTGTCGGCGCATACAAGAGGCTGACCGAATGGCATCGGCTCTCAATCTCCCATATACTCTTCAGTCTTACCTAGCACAGCCAGACTTAACCCCCACGAACTTATCCTCTTCAGCTTCTCGCCATTGGAATTGAACATTTTCAGTTCTCATATAATTTCAACCATGTATCCAACAGTCGTGAAGCTTCTTATGATTCTCGGTGTGACAGGGTTCTGTGTTGCCAGCTCAGGTCTGGAGCACGCCACCAAAGGAGGTATCTGATCCGCCTCATTGCGCCTAGAGTTACCCCCGAAAAGATGGCAACAGGATGAACTGAGCCGCCATTATTATTATAGTCAGCATGAAACCGAGCCCCGATGTTGTGAGACTGGAACACTCGTCTCCCCTGGGGAAACGCGGCAATGAAAGTAAGACTCAACCTGGTGGCTGCTCGGTCCTGATTCCTCGTACCTTATTCAATCTCTGACTTACTGGATACTCCTAGCTTGTCAACAATGTCCCTATCCATGCAACTATACCTACTGCTGTGACGGTCGCGCAGGTTGCGCCAATAACGAGAACGGAGATTGCGGGTGTCTTGAAAATTAGATCAGAGGATCATATCCGCTACACTGTGACAGTGGTCTATTTTTGTATGCTCCTGGATAACAAAGAAATGAACAAGCTTCTTCTGTTTCTTCACAGAAAGCAATAACAACAGATTTGGAAGGGAAGTAATGACAACCTTACGCCGCAGTATCCCCGGTATCAGGTAGGTCCGAAATAATCACAAATGATAGCACTTTGCTTGCAAAATTTCAAGTCGGCCTCTCCAATTGATCGACCAGCTCTGCCAAAGAGTCTAGTGAAGTTTCTGCGTTTGGATTCTTCTGAGACGCGTCTCGAGGAAGAAGGTAGCTTTCCCAGCCTGCATCTCTAGCAGCACAATAATCCTTCACGTAGTCGTCGCCCACATGTACGCAAAGTATGTCGGCGTCGCTATTCGAAGGGGTCGCAAGCAACTGAGCCTGTCGTTTCGCAACATCAAAAATCAACCGATCAGGCTTCTCTGCACCGGCTTCATAGCTCGTAATTACAAGGTCAACATCCAATGTGTGTTGCCCATCTGCTGTGGCCTGCGCGCCTTGGAGGTCCTCAAAGCCTGGAAGTTCCATACTGCAACGATCTTGGTCGGCGCGCATATTGCCTACTTGGAGGCCCAACGACTTTAACACAGCAGGAACGCGATCATCCGAGTTTGAAATAACACCAATAATTATATGTTCAAACGGACTCTTTCCACTTGTCTTCAGTTCGCGCATGCGACGGAAGAAAGGTGCCACATCATTGTAAAATGCATAACCCTTGGACCCAGCAAATTGATCCAGTAGAGAATCAATTAGGCCGGGGGGAAGAATGATATGCTCGCCCGTCTGGCCTGTTTGCGTCGATCGTGCCTCCTCATTGTTCCCAAGTATCGCGCGCGCGAAGCTCCCCTGAATCACCTCCTCCCACCATTGTCGAGGCCCGCCATACTGACCCAGCAGAACATCTGAACGACCATAATTGGGATATTTACGCGCTTGTGCTTTGAAAACCTCCTTGAATGCGGCTTTGAGCCGGTCCGGGGTTATGACTGCACGGGGCAATCCGAAGGCACGCGCAACCGCCGCGTACTGGTTCGGGACAGGGTGGCACGGGTGAAAAAGGGTGCCGAAGGCGTCAAGCGTTAAGAGGAGGGTGCGTGAATGTCGAGTTAGGTGTGCTGGGCTCATGGCGAGGTTATAGTCGGAGGTTGGTGTTTTTGTTTGGGTTTCGTCATTGCAACGATCTCTCTGCCTCCGGGTCCACTGTTGATCCCCCACTGTGCATAATTCTTACCTTCATTGCGATTGATATCGCGAGGCAGGACTACAATTTTTGCGCACCAAAAGAAACTGTTGATCATGCACAGCTTAAAATTTCGTATGGCACGGCTTCATATTACGGTATCCCGTCAGCCCATTGGCGGCGCGTTCGTGTATCAGCTTCGCTGCCGCGGTCTAGATGGGCTAAGGACAGATACCTTGGGGCAAGACGGAGAATGGTCGGACATTTCATCGACAGACAGCGCTTGAACTGGAGTTACTGATGCAGAGCGCGTGAAATACTCAAATCTCTACTCCGTAGTCAAGTTGTTGCAGATCTTGGACACGCCAAGAACGCCTCCCACTGTATTGACGACATTGAAGATTTCAGGGTGTGTTTCAGGAGACCACAACACCATGGGTGGAGCTATCCCCGATACAAAGCTGACAGCCTCATGTCTCACGGACTCACGCCGGCGGTCCTGAACGTTAAACAAGCGAAGGTAGCCGGGAGCACCTTGGCCGTCGCGACAGTTTGCGGAAAGCCTCAACCTTTGGTCATTCTACCTTGCTTGCAATCCAATTGCCATCATAGCTCCAATCGTTTATTACATGTATGGGGCGCTACCAGTGGTCTGTGAGATATAGAGCAGCACGCTTGCTTCCGAATAGATCTCACAAGTCGAAGTCTAAGTCATCCTCGATCGCTGTTCATGCATTTTCCAGGACCCCAATCTATTGGCGTCATGTCTTTGTCTGAAAGTAAGACTTAGTTTGGATGCTCTATGGGAGGCACTTCTACTTCGATTTGTTCTAAGGGTTATCGTCCACACCGTTGCTGAAACAAGACATGTTTGCCCCTGTGGCCCGAGAGCTCTACCGAGAGACTGAATGTTCTAGGATGTTTGCGGATGAATTTCCAAAATGAATTGACAGCGCCGCTCAAATTCGCCGAACTCCACTATGAGGTTTATCGTGCCTAACAAAGAGCGAAGTTTCGCCGACATCCCAAAAGAGAATCGGAGAGGTGGGTACTGTGTATGAAATGCATGTACTGTACTCCGTACGTGGAAATATAGTAAATAATGGCTACCAAAGAGTCTACCCGAGTGTCGCGTGAGGGAGCTGATTATGAATTATTGCCTAATGTGGACCGATGCCGGGCTGCTTATTCTATGCTTGGTAAGGGTCGAATATCTTTCTTGGCTGTTTCAAAGTTGCGAGGTTTTCACGCCCTGACAACGAGGTGGGACAGTGGCTTGGCTAGACAGATACTCTAATTGATTTTTCGACGCCACATCCATGAAATAGATGAATCGAAGTTCTGGAACATTCAGCCGAAGTTGACCCCTGCGTCAGAGCCAGAAAGGGATTGGCAAAACGCTTTGCCGGAAATAAAGTGAGGTATGAAACACGTTAGGGGCTTGCAACGTCTGTGGCGCACTGATTCCGCACTTGGCATTAATGGTTCAAGTGGAGTCAAAACAGGGACTTTTCTGAGAAAGCCAATTTGACAATTTCGCATTCCGAAGCAGTACTGAATGCCCTCAGCAATGGAAGAACAGAAGTCTATAGATAAAAATCTGGCTTAATACTCACACGAAGTGGTACGGAAACTGAAGTGTCGTCTCGAGAAAGGCGGGAAATGGGCGGCTCAGCGGCGAGTTAACGTTCTTATCTGATCGCGCTAGTTCCGATTGGTGATTATAGACGAAATTACTTTTGTTGAGCCATGAGTAGCCCGCGTGGATTCTGAGACAATTGGCTGGAATGGGACCTGGATCTGGGCGTAACGGTATTGATGCTGTAAGACTTTTAAAAGGGCCCTTTCCCCTGCAGATTCAGATCTCGGCATTTTACACAGATCTCATTTTTTGTACTTCAATATGAGAATCTTCCAGGCAGGCCCTTTGGCCGCTGCACTCTCCATTCTCTCCGGACTGGCTTCCGCTTCCGTTTTTCAGAACCAGACATATGACTACATTGTCGTCGGCGGTGGCCCAGCCGGTATCATCAGCGCTGAAAAGTTCGCTCAGGCTGGCAAGAAGGTCCTCCTCCTTGAGCGTGGTGTCGGCCCTACTGTGGCTACCGGCGCAAACGAAACTCTCCCATGGAACAACTCCTTGACCCCCATCGACCTGCCGGGTCTTTCGGCAGACATTGGTGCTCTTGACCTTTGGGAACAGTACATGTGCACCGACACTGAAGGCAATGCTGCCTGTGTTCTCGGTGGCGGTGTAACCGTTAACTACATGGTCTTCGTCCACCCTCCTGCCCGCGATTTCGATGACAAGTGGCCTAAGGGCTGGAAGTGGAACGACGTCAAGCCCGCTTCCGAGCGTCTCTACAAGCGCAACCCCGGCACCCTCCTCCCCTCCGCCGATGGCAAGCGTTACGATCAGGTTCTATATAATGTCCTGTCCAAGTTCCTTGGTGGCCTTGGCTGGAAGTCCGTCGACATGAGTGCTCAGCCAGATGAGAAGTACGAGGTATACAGCTACCCCGCCTGGAACTTGAAGAACCAGATGCGTGCTGGTCCTGTCCGCACTTATCTCCCCGAGGCTGAGAAGCTCAAGAACTTCCAACTCGCCCTCCAGACCAAGGTTATTCGCTTGGTCCGCTCCGGTGGACATGTCACCGGCGTCGAAGTTCAGACTGCCTCAGGCGATTCCGAGATCATCTCCGTTGCTCCCCATGGTCGCGTGGTGCTGGCTGCCGGTGCTCTGTCTACTCCCCGTGTGCTTTGGAACTCTGGCATTGGTCATGCTGCCCAGATTGAGACTGCTAGGAGAAACGGCATTGTCGTTCCTCCTAAGAAGCAGTGGATTGACCTCCCCGTTGGTGTTGGCCTCAAGGACCACCCCATCTTCCCGATTGCCTTCAGCGCCAATGCCTCCTTCGGTCTGGTCGACTACGACGGTGTTCTGAATGGCTCTGCTATTCGTGACATCTCCCTCTACAACAAACACAGCGGTGTCCTGACCCAAGGTAAGCACCGCATGATCTTCTTCACTTCCGAGGAGATCGACGGACACACCCAGTACTTCCAGGGCTCATGCGCCCCCACTGATGAGGGTGTCGTCACCATCACCTCTTACCTGACTCACGGTCTCACCTCATCTGGTATTCTGGGACTTGATGCCAGCGGGAACACTGTCATTGAGAAGTCGCCCTATCTCCAGACCTCTTCTGACAAGAAGGCTGCCCACATGTTTGTCTCCAAGATGGTCCGCGAAATCACCAACCCTTCCACTGGCTTCGAGCTTGTCACCAACACCAATGTTTCTGCTATCCTCAACGCCCTGAGCCCTGGTAACCACTACACCACCACTGCTAAGCTGGGTAACGATGATGGCCGCAAGGGTGGTTCCTCAGTTGTGGATCTCAACACTAAGGTGTATGGAACTGACAACCTGGTATGTTACAAGAACTCCTATCTCGAAATTTCTGCTAATCAAATTTTTCCTTTAGTTCGTCGTTGATGGCAGTATCCACCCCGACCTCCCCACTGGTAACATTCAGACTACCATCATGGTTGTTGCTGAGGCTGCCGCTGCCAGAATTCTGGCTTGCTAGATTATCGCTCGCCGATAAATGAGTCTCTCGGTCCAATTACCACTCTTGGGAAGGCTGCAACTGATTGGCTATCAAAATTATGATTATTTGACAGGTTGCCAATGTCTTATATACCCCTACTCTGTTCGCTGTATATCCTGATATGTTTTGTATAGAATTGTACAAAAAATTTTACTTCATGTGAATATTTAACTTCCAAGCTGTTCAAATACATTGCGTAGAGAAAAAGAAAGACATGTAAAATTTCAGCTTCCACCATACTACCTACACCTGAGTGCCATGCTGTACAGATCATGATCAATGCCTCGGGTCTGCGGTTTTTATTAGGCAATTGACTTCAAAAATAGTGGACATTGAAGGTTTCAAATTAAGTTAGCACCCATTCACACTGAATGCAACGTTGTAAGTCGGGTAAGTCAATCATTTCCATTTTCAAGAATTGTTGTGGCAGGTTTTCCTTAATTCAGAGGAAATTCACTCAAGTTAGCTCACTAGTGAAGATCTAATTTTCGCTTTACTAGATTAGCCAGACAGAAAAAAATAGCCCGTTGCAAGTGACTGTTCAGTACAAGCAACGCCACAAATGCCACTGGGGTTGTGGCGTACAAGTATAAATTACCCCTGAATATCCCCCAGACCCATCCAAAGTCTTTTCCGAACCTTCACTCCTCAACGTTCGAGTTCAGGCTTCATATCTCACTAGCTCTCAATGACTCCTCGAATTCTTGACCCCTTTTTAGCATCAATGCGTTGTTTACAGGATTTAATGACGTCGGCCCCGAGATATCCCCTGTCGCCCCTGAACGCCCTATCCGCCGGTGCATGGAAGACAGCGAGACCCGTGATATCATAAACGCTCGGTTCTCTTCTAATTAACGACAAAACGCCGTTAGGCTGAATCCAACAAAGAACACACTGGTCCAAAAAAGGAAGTTAGAGAAGGCTTGACGACCCACCCGCGACGCTATTTGCCGAAACCTGCCAAAGGTGGAGAACTAAGATTGCAATCAGCATCAACGGCGCCTGTTCGGTGGACTTAACGTTCTTCCCAGTATTCTTTGGGCGGATGGACTGCAGATCAGTGCAACCTTTGGGCCAGGGGCTTGATTACTATTGGACACTTGAAAGGGCAAAGTTTGTGACAGCCCTGGCGATCTCGGCTTCTGTTTGCTGCCTGCAACGTTGTCAGGATCGCGTTATCGTACTTTTGCTCAGGACCCTGCGTCCTATCCGGATAATGAGCATGCTAAAATCATTTGGCGCACACATCAGCAGGCTTGTTACCCTTTGAGATCTCTCTCAAACGGGGTTTGATCAAACGATAGTCTACAGCCACTGGTCACGACTCTATCCTGTTTCCATTGACATCGTGGGTAGACCAAATCCTGAATTAGCAAGCAAGGCAACAGAGGGGCTTCCCGCGGTGTCAGAAATACTAGCGTTATGGGGAATGGTGGTGAGAGAGCAATCCTGTGGCATCAACAGATATCAGCTTCACGCTGAGTGGTTGGTGAGAGCGCCACATGGGTTGGGTCGTGTAGTGCAATCATAAGCTTCGTGGGACGCTCGTCTTCATTGGATACCCTGCAGATCATTCCTTTTGCTCACGACAAAGCCGGGGAACAATTTCCACCAGGATTTGGCCAAGGCTGAAGGACTCCCCTGAGAATGGCCCTGGTATATAACGTGGGACTGCTCCGCATGATATTCGAATTCCCCAAGAACTCTTTCTCTTGTCATTCCTTACAAGTCATTCCTTATACTCGGTTTCTACCGTCCACTCCTTTTTACTAAGTCTTTGAACTTCAATCATTCCTTAATAAATCGTCAAGATGAAGACTTTCGCCTTCTCCGCTGCCCTTCTGGCATCGACTGCCGTCGCCCTCCCGACTAGAGTCCTGTCCGCTATCCCCTCGGGTATTCCATCTTGCCTGCCCTCCGGAGTCATTCCCTCGGGAATTCCTCTCCCTGTTTTGTCCATGGTCCCTACTTGCTCTGGTGTTACCCCCACCGCTACTCCGGCCCCCAGCAGCGCTGTCTCCAGCATGGCTAGCAGCGGCTCCTCCGGCGCCGGCCAAATCTTGAGCGTCCTCAACCAGGCCGGTACCTCCCAGGTCGAGATGATGGCCGAGAACGAGCTCAAGAGTCTCTTGAGCAAGATTCCCCTCAGCGAGCTCCAGCAGCCCGTGGGCCAGATCCTTGAGACTGCCGAGAGCGTCGGACAGCTGAACGGCGGCAACGGTGCTGGTCTCGGCCAGATCACCGCCGTCCTCGAAAACGGAAACGTTGCTCTTATCCAGCTCACCCAGAAGCTCGTTGACCTCCTTGACAGCCTTGGTCTTGGTCAGGTCGGCAGCCTTCTCGGCTCCATTGTTGGCGGTCTTGAGTCTGTCACTGGCAACGTCAAGCGTGATCCCATCTCCGATGCTCTCTCTATCACTGACTTGAACGGTCTTGTTGGTGGTAAGAACCTCCTCGTTCAGGTTGAGCCTACCGTCCTTGGTCTCCTCGGTGGTCTTGACCTCACCTCTCTCCAAGATGGTCCCATCGGCAACGTTGTTGCTACTGCTACCTCTCTCTCCGGTCTCAAGGACCAGGTTCCCCAGATCCCCGGCGCTAGCTTCATTGCTGTCCACGCCCAGGACTTTGCTTCCGTCCTCCTTGTCCAGGTCGACTCTGCCGTTGAGGGTCTTCTCTCCACGCTCGGTCTCGGTGGCCTTAGCACAATTGTCGGCTCCGTTGTCCCCGCTGTCTAAGAGCTTAGCCTCGTATATGACTTACCCTTGACGGGTACTGGCCGTTTCATTCTACTATCCACCTGTTACTTTTCATCATGACCCCTGTTTGCTTCAACTAGCGCGTGCAACAGTTACGGACACGAGGGTCCCCTTTTTACATACTCTTTTAGAGCATGACTGTGCTCAACTGTATATTCTATATACCCTGGATAAGTGTTTGATATATCTTAAAGTCCTACCAACTATGTCCAAACAAAATGCCTCGCCAAGCAGTATTATTTACCAAGTACATGGAAGATATTAATTAATCAAAATTTGGTGGGTACGGCCATCTACTACAGCACCGCCTTACTATGAAACCTATTTTACCTCCGTATTTGCATTTCAAAAAATATGCCTCTGATTTTAATTGTTATTCTGAGGCCGTATTAATCACTAGAGCCTATGGATCTTGGTTTTACATTGATATGCCTCGGTTTATTATTGTTGAATTGAGCATTGAATTGAGCATCAAGCACAGCATAAGAATATTAGTGAAAATTGCAGTGAAACATGGTGGTCTGACATATAGGTCGAGTTTAATTAAAGCAAATACATTCAGCATGCATTAAAATAAAAAGCACGTAGTATAGAAGTTGGAAGTGGTGGTAGCATTTGTTATAGATACGCGGCACATGGCTTGTGAGCTGATGGTGGTAGTAGACCGGCGTAGGTGGGCGAGTTGAAACTCGACTCAGTGACGCATTCTGCCCCAATAACTTTCTCCATCTTGGTCATAAGGTTTCGAAGCATCCTTGCAGCTAGGGCTTTCATAGTCCTTCAATGTGCCCATAGGCCAAATGGGAACAACACAAAGTTCATCCGCTGCGCATCCACGGCACTCTTTCCAAGTCGTCCAATCAAGGTAATCAACAAGATCCCGAAGAATCTGCACTGCAGATTCCAAGTCCGTTTCTTTACCAGCCTCCAGCAGCTTGGAGCAGATACTGTTTGCAACGCTGTACACGGCATGTGCTGCAAGACACTCCGAGTCCAATGAATGAGGTGGCAGGAATTGGGTAGCACATCGTTGAGTTTCGACAACGTCATTCCGATTACTGTAGTCAATATATGGAGACATGACTCGTTCCATCTCAGCTTGCAGGGTCTCAAGTGAGTTGATCTTGCCCGAGACAAGGTACGAGAGATCTTTGCCATACCGAGTAACGACCATATCGGCAATAACCTGCCAGTCCTGGGACTTCTCGGTTGCGTCGTTGTTTATGATCAGTGTCGTAATATCACCCCGGATGGCATCCAGCTCTGAGCGAGAGAGGTGGCCCAGGCGAGGAAGATGCGAGTCATCTTGGAACAGATTAACATCGTAAGAGAACACTGTCACGAAGTGATCATAGTTCAACGTCACTCTGTTCCCACCGATGCCGTGATATCGCGCGGTAACAGCACGCATCCAATTCGACGAGTCAGGTCCATGACCAGGCCCGCCGCGGGGAGGACCACCTGGTCCACGTCTCTTCCCATTATCATTGTCATCCTGCTTGCGTCCCTCACGACCTCCTTGTTTGTGGCCACCTTGAGAAACAAAGTCATCCTTACCCCGAGGTTTGACCTGCGTAATACGCAAAGGAGTAAGATCGCGCTCAAAAGCACAGAGAATAATCTCAAATCCAGCCTCCATGCGAAGCAGACCATCAATCCGACCACCCCATTCCTTCTCAGCCATCTCACAAGCCAGACGAGCACGCTCATTCTCACCAGGAGGGCCACCAACAGGCGTATCACCCACAAGCCGATCACCCACAGACCTATTAAATAGCAAGATATCCTGCGAATCGAGTGTACCCTTCGAAGTTTTGGCAGCAGACATACCATCAACATACAAAAGCCTCAAATTCTTAGCAGCAGCATAAGTATGCAGATATCCTGCATCATTCTCGCCGAAGTTATCAGCCCACGCATCCGGATGTTTTCCATTAGGCCCATGAGGCTGCCTCTTGCGCAGCTCTCCATGCCGGCCTTCGGGTCTCTCGGGATCGTCCTGATCGTCGCCCGGCGGCGGTCCACCGGGTGGAGGACCACGTCTTGGCCTGGCGAAGACCATGGCATGTTCCGGCTCAAATGCTAGCCATTCTGTTCCATTTACAGGGCTTGACTTGGAGGTTCCGTGGTAGAGTTGTGTGCCGGCCGGTACTCTTGCTAGGAAGAAGGATACGCCGTTGTGGTGGAGGGATGAACCCCACTGACGCATTGAGTCTTGGATTGCGTTGAAAATGCGATTCGCATTTCTGAGGGGTGGGTTCTTGTCATTGGTTGTGAAGCCGCTTGATAGGCTTAGGAGGCTGTACAACAGGAGGAGTGATAGTGGGGGCCGCATGGTTTCAGGTAGGGAGTGATCACCCTCTGCGAAGAGAAATGGTAGGCCAAATCAGCTGGAGTAAGAAAACTGTAGGCTTTATCTGATCAACCAAGAAAACTGAGAATTTTCTGTTATCAGATCTTCGGAGGACAAACCGGAGTTCATATGCGCTTAGGGCTCGGAACGTGGGCGCTGACGCGTCATCGCGCTCTATACTCCGCGCCAGGCAATTTATGGTATTTTCCGCCGACACTAGGAGATAAGCTATGTTTAGTGCCTTCATGTTCGTCGTATGGCTTGCTAAATTTTCAAATTGCTGCTGTTCTCCTGATTATCGGCTGCGGTCTCGCGAACTTGGTAGCCGGGTAGAGCATTGATTGCGACTGCGATATGGGCGCAGAGTTTCATGGTAGGATCTATCAGTCGCGGCAGTACTACATGCGTGTCATTGGCATCGATGATGAGCAAAGAGGAATGACCCTCACCTGTATGCAGTGGACGTCGAGGTCATCATGGGTCATGTTGTGAGGCTCTTGTGCGAAGCCTTTGTAGCTTCATGCATAATGCTCATTCTTATAAGTTCACAATTCTTCTCTTTCGGGGATTGTGTGCATTGATAGCGAGCGATGCCAGGGGCACTCACCGGGTCGTTATCAGTGTTGTCGTTCCTGATGATTGCGCGGGAGTTGGGATCAACATTCCTCTCAATGTCAAGAGTGTTGATCGTGGATGGAGATATAGGTCAAAGGTTTCGATATATCGATGATATCTTGCATCGTCTCGAGCTAGAGGGGGTCTCTTCCGATTGTGCGATTTCTAAGCTGCATCAGGATCTCGAGATCCTTATCGCACAAGGATGGTGTCGGATGGTTCTTATCCATGACTGTTTGTTGTCAGTAATCATGTTCCTTGCACAATATCTGGTGGTTCAAGGAGTACATACTCGTATTTAGTACTCATGGTTCAAGATTTATAGAACAAAGATCGGGTGAAGTGGAGGACCACCAGACACGGAAATCATTCACATTTTTGGTCAATATATTTACAGGGAATGCAACTCAGCTGTAGACCAGCTTGGTGGATAGTTTCATAGGCTCCAGTCAGACCTTTCTCTTCTATATGCTGAGCTTTATAAAGACCAAGAAGTAAAACAAAATCAGCGATAAAGCCACCTCCTCCCTATATATAGACCAGGTCAAGCTGTATAGTGAATAGTGATAGCGTATCTAGAAATTGCATTTTCTTATTACGTGAGAAAGTCTCCAAGCCATACTATGGAATTATTCCGAAAGATGCCGCCAGAACTTCGTCTTCTCAAGGGTCGAAATGAGGTTACCCTAAAGAACCGCTGATATCTCTGTCAAAATTCTGATGGCCTCTCCTAAATATGCTCGGCTTCCCATAATGGCAAGTGCTTGCTACTCTTTCCATTTCCTCCCTAAAAACCATTAATTCTTTGCTCTGGCATTGGTCGTTTCGGGTCCATTCGTTACTGTAAGGCGGAGAGTCGCTACCACAACGCTGTGGTAGCTGTGGCAGCAGTACATCCTTTGATTTGCAAAAGCAAACATGCCAGTCAAAATGGCTGTGCCTATGACCGCAAAGGAGGAGACTTGCTCAGTGAGAGATCCGGTGATGAGAAGCCTTGACGCCATCGTGTAATCCTGCCAAAGAGACCCTTGAGTATGCCCATGCGCGCCGACGAACCTATCACAAATATATCAATGGTAATAGCAGCTACCGCGGCTTGGGTGTATATGTTTGATGATGACCGTGATATCGCGTGGTAGTTACACATTACCCTAGCAGTCCTACTATAAGATTTCTCTCTTATTGTGCTATCACAAGCTTAGGCAATTACAGCACATCCAATGTTTTTATACTCATGCGTTGATACTGGCGGAAAGGGCCGGTCCGTCCTGAACTCCCCTATTGATTTACCTGCGTGAACGACTTAAGCACGGCATATCACCAATGAACCAAAAAGCTGCGCACGAGCTGCCATATCCTGTGTGTAATTGGAATTAACCGCCCACTTGCGCCCATCTGTATTTGATTGGCACCTATTTTTTTTCAGTGGACTTTTCTGTCTATACAACGGATGAAGAATGGCTGCTTCTTGAGATAAAGAATCGCCATTTATCACTCTTTATCACTATACTTCTTGAAGTAATCTATGGACGCGGAGTAGATCATTTTGTCACTCACTTGTCTTTTGCCCTATTGCTCATTATCAAGTTCAACCCCCAGGGCGCCCGTTCTGACTGAAGCTTGCGATCTCATATATCAGCCCAGTCTACAGCTAGTTTGGATTCACTATATATATAGAGGGGGGACCGTGTGGTTCATTATGTGAACGCGTTTCATTTCTGGTGGTCCTCTGACCTTTTTACGCACACAACTTTGCATTACTCGTTCCTCTATCTCTCAAAGTTCCCATCAACCATTTTCTAAAGGTAGGCACCTCAGTCATGATCTCCTGGTCAACAAATCCACTCATCCTCCTTGATGTAGAAGACACAATCCGTCCATCTTCAAACTTCGAATTGTAACGAGAAGCACAAACGGCGAGCTCGCACTCCCCTTTTGGAGTCACCAGAAATTGGGAAACATGTCTGACAACAAACATTCATGATTAACAGCCACCCAATCCCATTACTCAGCGACGATGACCTCAAGATCCTGACCCAAATCCGCGATCGCGACATTCAGGACGGTGCCATCAGAGCGGGCCAGCCTCTCCCGCCGAAATCAACTGACGAAGATAACGACATTGGAACTGTCAGTATCTGAATAAACTTCTGATGGCATAATTAGAAAAAGTCCTGATCTTCATGGGTGTTCTTGCAGCAACCCATTGCTCGTGTGATTCTTCTGTGAAGTACTCACAGCCTCCTAAGTGCATCTCTTTATTCCTACGATGTGCAGAAAGGTGGCAGCTGCGCATTATTGCGGGGAGCACAACATGTGCAAGAGGCGACAACTCGAAAGTCACTACAAGCAGGGGCTCATATTCAAAGAATTTATGAGCCAGATGACAAGACCATGTATAAATCAAATCCGACCCCGTTGTCGCTGGCGGCAGAGAATGGACATGAGATTGTGGTCAAGCTACTGCTCGCCACAGAAAGGGTTGATCCATATTACGAGAACAACCCCCATGAGACGGCGTGGTCAGTAGCGCAGCGGAAGGGACACACCGTGGTACTCACAGCTTCAGGCACACGCTTCGCTTATGTCATTCTACACGTTATCAAAGGTTGGCGGCAGTTAGACTTCGCCAGGCTGGCTCGGCTTGACCGGGAGGCAAATCCGGAGTTAGAAAGTGTGGGGAAGATGGTGGCAGGGAGTCGCTATAGAATGGAGATGGGTAATAGAATATGAACACAGAGTTGATAGTCAATAGCCCAGTTCGGGTTCAAGTATATCGGCAAATGTTAGGGCAAGCGACAGGGTCTCCAAATCCCGCGACGCTGATTGGCTACAAGGATGTGCATCAACACTTAGCTGTTCAATTTTTTTCTCCTTATCACCGAGGCCGAATTTGCAAGCGGATAAAGTCCAAGCAGAATATGACGGGATTTGTCTGAGCGCGCGGCTCGAAGTGACTCTCCAGGCTTTTGTGGGGAGAATGTGGGTGAAGCGGCAAAGATTTACTCCGCCAACGTTGAGAGGACCAACATCAGGCGAAAGATGGTCGGCAGTATAGCTCGGCCATTGCTAAGATTCATTTAAGTCCATTGCTTTGTCCGTCTCTGTCTCGTTCTCTTTATCTTTGACATATTCTTAGACCCCCTTTGCTCCAGTTCATACCTATACCCCTTCTCGTATATTCTCCGGACACCTTCGATACCATGACGAAAGAACCTCAAGATTTGCAGATCGCCATCCTGGGGGCAGGCATGGGCGGCTTGACTTCTGCTCTGGCGCTAGCCCAGCAGGGATTTAAGAATATTCATGTCTATGAGAATGCCAGCGACCTCGGCTTTGTCGGGGCTGGTATTCAACTGGCGCCAAACATGGCCCGTGTTTTGGACGGACTTGGTGTCTGGAAGGGTATTGAGGCGGAAGCTGTGAATATTGAAGATACATCAGTCAGAGGTATGTTGAGTATCTACCTATTAAATAGTATCCAGTGATCTAATGCAGACTAAAGAGGGCGCCACGGATAAGGAACATGCCTATGTGGATCTGCGCTATATTGAAAAAACCTACGGATATAAGCACATGGTTGGACACCGTGCATCACTTGCCAATGGCTTGTACGAGGGCTGCAAGAAGCACTCCTCCATCAAGTTCCACTTTGGAATCAATGCGGACAACGTGGACTCCTTCGGCCCTCGCCCATCATTCACGGCTAACCCCCGTGCCGAGGGTGCCGCTCCTTTCAAGGTGGAATGCGATGTACTTCTCGCCGCCGATGGTATCAAGAGTGTAACCCGCGTTGAGATGCTGAAACGGTTGGGCGTCGATGTCGGTGTCAAGGACACCCAGCAAGCAGCCTACCGTATCATGATCCACAAGGACCAGATCAAGGACGACCCGGAGCTGCTAGCTCTTATCAACAGCAATCGTGTAACCCGCTGGATTGGTGCAAAGCGTCACATCATCGCCTACGCCGTCTCCAACAACACCATCTACAACCTCTCCACCACCCAGCCCGATACCAACTTCGCTGCCGCCACTAACGCCACTTACACGACCAAGGGTTCCAAGCCCGCGATGATGGGCGTCTTCTCCGACTTCTGCCCTATGGTCCAGCGTATGCTGAACTACGTTCCCGAGGGCGAGGTCTGTGAATGGAAGCTGCGCGTTCACGACCCTCTCCCCACCTGGGTTCATGACTCTGTCGCCCTCGTTGGTGACGCCTGCCATCCTACCCTCCCTCATCTGGCCCAGGGTGCTGCCCAGGCTATTGAGGACGGTGCCGTTCTCGGTGTTGTTCTCTCTAAGCTCCCTGATACCACCCCCGAGTCCATTAACAAAGCTTTGCGCGTATACGAGAAGGTCCGCAAGAGCCGTGCTGAGGCTCTGGTTGAGATGGCTACTGCCTCTGGTCGCGCTCTCCATTTGGGTGAGGGGGCCGCCAAGGAGGAGCGTGATAAGCAGTTTGCTGCTCTCCGTGCTGGCAAGGGCCCCGTACCAGATAAGTGGGCTGATGCTGATGTCCAGCGTGAGATCTATGGCTTTGACTGCACGAAGGTCGCGGCTGATAACTTCAACGAATACTTCTCGCAGATGTAAGCGTCTCGTGTTCTGTTTTTTTTTTATCCGGCGCATTCTTCTTTTGCATTTTGGTGTCTACTTTCGTGTATATTTATGACCTTCTGGCTGTTGGCTAGAAGAATTGAAACTATCATGACCTTTTTGACATCTTCATCTGTTAATACTGTGATGCTAAATGTTTTCTTCTATACAGGGACAGTGGCCCTCGACATGCTAAGCTTGCATAGAAGTTGAATGGGTTTGCGTCTATGCGCATCCTTTACGTCCATAATGAGTCTCAGTAAATATTTCGCTACTCGTAGCACTTCAGACAATATACTCGTATAAGAGATTTCCCCTATTGTGTCCAAAATAAAATAGAGAAGTAATGGCTTTGAATCAGAGGACTTGAGAGGACTGGAATTAAGGCACACTGTGGTAGTCGGCTTCAGTTCTCTAGAGATATTGGATTTTTGAGATTTAACGTAGCCGTAATTTCATAATAAATATGGTCAACTCATTGAATTTCGTACTGCCTCATTCAATGTTCTCTTATCTGTTTTCATGTGTTTACTGTCGACGAAGCTGTCTGTCTTCATAGTTTGAATGTACGTGATGACCGGTTTCGTCCCACGCCCAAACTCTAACTCCGCCGCGAACTCCAACTCCAATTTACAGCGCCATGCGGCTCTTCGCGGTTTCAAAGCGCAAATAAATGCCTTTGCCAGCAGTATGTCTCTACTACAATTCCCCAATTCTTCAAGCTAATCTATCGAGCTCCAGACTCCATCGCCATTCCGCCTCTCCCGCCGCAACCCATCCACGCGCCGCATTGCCGGTCCCCAATTCGCCCCTACACCGCGGTTCGTGCTATCTCAGCCTACAACCCAAGAGAATGTTGATGATCTCGACGTGATAGATGATGAAGAGGGGCCATCATCAACGCCAAATGCTACACGCCAACCGCCTGCGTCCCAAAGCGCTTTGCGCTCGCGTCAACTGCGCGACGTGATCGAGGACTCGGATGATACTAAGTTCATATCAAGCCAAGGTCTCAGAGGCACGGCTGTGAATGAGCTTCCAGACGACGCTATTGATAGTAGTCCGCCTGAGGAATCGGAGCCCCCGGGCGTTCTCGATGCCGAATTTGACGCGCTCTTTGCGCCGACTCATGAAAATAAACGGCGCCGCGTGGAGGGGCATACGCCCGTACCATCGATGAGGCAGGCGGGTTTCGATCCAACCCCTTTCTCTCCAACAACAGAAAACGAGGCTGCTGAAACTGTCACCAATGATACTGAGCCGAACTTCGTCGCATTGGAAAATGACGTGCAGAGAACGCCGGCACCAAGTGCTCGCCTAGTCGCACCAGTCATATCAACGCCGGCAAGTACACAAACACCTTTTCGTGGTCGTCCCCGGTTCATGCTTTCGTCAACTGCGAAGCCGCCTATTAGTCAGTCTGCACCAAGGTTTTCAACAAGCACACAAGAGACATCGCCGCCTGGGAGACGAAAACCAACGTTCGTTCTACCTCGCTCGCCATCTCCAAATCAAGAAGCAGAGGATATACCTGCGCCATTCTCCCCTTCATCTCGCACCCTCCGTCGACGTGGTCGAAAGCGGGGCGGTGCATTGAATTACGCAGTTGGTGGGATGGCTGCTGAAGTACGGAGCTGGATTTTAGAAATGGGCATGACGCGTGATTCGTTGCCGAAACCTCAAATTATCAAGACTCCCTCTACTCACGACATCAATTATGCTACGGTGTTAGAAAAGTACCTCGTCGCTGTGCGGGTCAGCCATGCTAGGCACTCTGCGCTTAGCAGCTGCGGCCCATTCGCTTTTCTGCAAGCGGCATTGCTTGGTGGTTATTCTGTGCAAGAAGAAGCTCAGGATGAATCTACCAAAATCATGATCATGGGACCTCCACGATCCAAACCGCCTCAATTTGATATTTCCCGAGCACTCCATCTACAAGAAGGGGATCTTGTCGGTATTTACAGCGGGCTGACTTGGGATCTCGAGCTGGGTGCCTACTTGCGCGATGCAAAACTTTCAGACGGCCCTTCTCCTGCCTCGCAGGGCGAGCCACCGGGAAGTAATGGTGGTAACAATGCGAAGGAGCGCTGGCTCGTGGCTATGGAATGGGAACTCATCCAGATATCTGAATGATTATTCCTTTTCCTTGTGCTCATAAGAACTGATATTCCTATTCATGTATATAAAGATCTTGTTTTATGCTTAGTGATCAAAAGTCGAGGATATGAAAATTGGGTATATTGAATCTACATGCAATTGCACAGAGTATATATGGGTTTTAGTCCGATACAGCCTTGAGAGCATCAACAGCCACATCGCAGCCCCATCGAACCAGCTTCATCTCTTCATCAGAAACAATATCAGTCTTAGCGACAACCTTCCGAATGAAGAAGATAAGACCCTTGCCAATATGGGGTGTCTCCTTGACGCGCAAGAAAATCTGCATCAAGGCCTTCTCGTCCTGAGGCGCTTCCTCCGTCTTGGAACTCTTGGATTTCTTCTTCTTGGACTTTTGTGACTGCTGAATAAGACCAATGATCAAAATCTCCACGAAGGTCTTGGTCTTCGGCTGCAAGTATGCGAAGTTGAGAGTCTTCAGGATTCCCAACGTCAAGCTGCCGTCCGCAATGAGGCTGCTGTACATCTTGGCCAGGTTGACCACAGCCTTCATGGGAACACCGTTTTCCTCGTCATCGGGATCGAAGCTATCGACTTCATCTTCGTCCATATCGCCACGCTCGCCCATTCGCTTGAAAATGTTCCACAGTGCGAACATGAAGGACATCTTGAGGCGTCGGCCCATATCACCACAGATACGGCGGGCAATGAGGGTATAGTATGGGTTGTGTGCCTGTTCTTCCATGGCACAGTGCAGCAGGACACGGGGGATTTCGAACTCCTGAGCACGTTTGAGGCGGAGCTTCATTAACCGCACATGTGCGTCTTGGAAGTCTGTGGCGGACATGATGGCAATGAAGATTGAGCGGCGAATCTCGGTGTTCATGCGGTGTGCTCTGGCGAGGTTGCCGTAGTCGGGTTCGCCTTCGCTTTCATCGTCTTGGACGTGGCTGTGGTTCATTGGTAGACCGGCGATTTCTTGCTGGGCCGTTACGAGGGGATCCTCCTTCCAGCTTGCGCCGACTAACCACCATTTTCCTTTCTTGGCTGAGTTGTGGATGTCGTCGCGGGAGATGTTGATGGGCTCTGATGCACGAATCACCCGGGAGTTGTTTAGGGAACCTAGGATCTTGCGCATTTTCGTGATGTGCTCTGTGGTGATGCTTGCGCCGGCTGCCGCTGAAGATTTGACGCGGTTATTCTTCAGATCTGTGATGGTGTCGATCATGAACTTTGTTCGGACGGACAGCTTATCCTCGCCGGCCTTTGCTACTGCGGGCTGGATGAGTAGAACAATATCCTTGAGTGAGGAAGGGTCGTCTTGTCGGAGCTGCGGGCCGGAATCTAAGAGGATGTTAGTGTTTTGTATATACTTTGGGTGTTGGATCACGTACTCCGGATAACCTTGAGCAAGAGCTCGGTATTGTATTCCGTGATTTCCTGCACATAAATGCGAATATAATCAAACATCAATGCGGAGCCAATGACGTGGAAGTTGTAGAGCTGCGAGAGAAGAGAGACCAAGTTGGCAGTCTCCTTTCCTTGGAATGTTCCTCGCTCATCACCATTGGCATCGAGGGTTTCGACGACTTTCTGGATAATCTCTGCACCGAAGTCCATACCCAGGAGCTTGTATAAAGCTGCAATGAAACCGGCGTGCAGGATAAGGAAAGTATCCGAAAGAGCAGCTCTTTCACAGATCAACCCCATCAGCAAATCAATCAACGTAGAAGTGACGTGCTGACGTGGGTGGTCACGGTAAAGCTTTTCGAACTCAGAGACAATTGAAATCATGTTTGCCTCAGACAACTTGTTCAGCTGTCCCTGTGCTTGGCGCTTCAGTCGAGTAAGAGATTCACTCTCTGGACCGGCGCGCGCTCGCAATGAAGGAGGAATGTATTTCTGTGCCGAAGCTTCTGGTTTTGGAACCGGAGCAACATAAGGATTTTCTTTCTTCTTGGGCTCCGTCTTCTCGTCATCGAATCCGTCAAAGTCACTGCCTTCAGCAGCCTCTTCGTCGTCTTCACTTCCAAAAATCTCCTCGTCCAGGTCGACATCCTCTTCACTGTCCTCCTCACTGTCCTTCGCCTCGGCTTGTGCTTGCAAGGCCTTGGCCTTTTGTCTCTTGCTCTGCAGCCAGTCGTCGGCCTCCCGTTTGCGTTTGCGATTCTCGTCCTCTGAGTCGTCGCCGACGCCACCACCCAGATCACCAAGTAGATCGTCTAGTCCGTCTTCTTCGAATGCCTTGGAAGTCTTGCCCTTCTTAAGACCAAGCTTCTTCTCCAATGCAGCGATTTCGGCATCATCTTGCGCAAGCTTGGACTTGACGCCTGCAGGCACATGAGCCCCAGACAACTTATCTTCCTCAGACTCGGCTTCGGAGGCATCTTCGCTTTCATCGTCTTCGTCTTCGTCGTCCTCCTCCTCATCATCATCCTCATCTAGGTCGATTTCCAACTCGGATTCGGATTCGGATCCCTCTAGCGCCGGTGTCTTCTTCATAATCGACTTGGGCTTTTGGGCTGCTTCCTTGGACTTCGGCTTCGTCTGTGGCGCACTGCGTTCATCGAGATCCATGTCGTCCGAGTTTAGGTCGAGATCCTCGTCGTCTTTACCTCCATTCCGAGCCGGTTGTTCGTGCCGTTGGAAGGTCTTCTTGTTCTGTGGTGCTGCATGCCGTCCTTTCTTCTGTGTCCGCTCATTCTGGCGACGTTCCTTCCGTGAAGCCGGGCCGTTAAGGCGACGCTTCTTTTCACCATAGGTATCGCGGATTCCCAGCTCAGACCGTAGATGCCGAGGCAAGGAGGTCGTATTATGCCTAGCGCGCGGCATTTTAGGGAATTGTTATGACTGAAGTGCTCAGAGAAGAGAGTAAACGGTGGACCCCGATATCAGGTACAGCCAGGCGGTCGACAACTTTTTTCACTTTTCTGCCGCACCAAAGCCAAGGCGGAGAAGCGGCGCCCACAGCGGAGTTTCTCCCCCACTGCGAGGTTGTTCTCAGCTGTCAATTGCATATCAATCAACTGCTCCAGCTTCTAGATCGGCGAATTTCCGTGCGCATCGAATACCGATATCCCAAAATGGCGCCGCATACTTCCCACGATGAGGTAATTATTCTTCCTCGTGTCCTTCTCGACTATCACGCTTCCCGCACATGCGATCAACATCACCAAACTCCCTAGCTATATATCACTAACACTGGTCACCGCTAGTTCTTCTCATCCCTCACCGACCTCCTCTCCAAGACTACCTCCCAGGCCCATGGCTCTGTATACCTCTCTCAAAAACCCCTGATCGATGTCCCTGGTGCGACTACCACAAACTCCCAACCATCTATCCTCATCCGAGCCACGGATGGAAATACCAATGCGCCAAACCCCAAGAAAGAAAGCAAAGATGGCAAGATTACAAAGAGCGCATCAAAGGCTACGAAGATCAAGCTCTCCACAGTCGTCACCCCAGATGATCTGGAGGCATTCTACGCCCGATATGCCGAGGTCTGCAAGGCAGGCATGACCGGCTTGAAGAAGCGTGATCGCAGAGCTAAGAAGGCAAAGACCAAGGGCGGTGCTGCCAAGGCTACCAAGGCATAGACTTGCTGTTCAGTCTGCGGTTTGTTCGAATGACATCGTCCGTGTACTCGGCTCGGACCTGGCACGCGATGTGTTGATGGCTTCGTTTTCTCATGCATTTGCTGGCGTTCGATGGTGGTTCTGGCCTATTCTTGTTCTCCATTTTTTCCCTTTCGATGCGGGCTTTATTCTCAAGTGTACATATTCCCCTGCACTTGTGTTACACGAGCGCTGTCTTTGTCTATATAAGTCCTACGGGACAGAGAAAGAAATGACTAGCTCCTGGCATCAAAATAGTTTCAATATACGTTTAGTTTATACGCCTAAACAGGGTCTGGCATAGCTACAGATGCTTGCTAGATCACCTTTTTGGTGAATCCCACAGAAAATGCTCTCAAAAACAGACGATAAATGTGTTAATTAATGTCTTCGTAACATGACCCGCGATTCCTCCAGTGCATGCAACGCTAGAATACAAAAGGTTAGATAGAATACAATCCATGCCAGTTATGTCCACCCATGAGTCGTCCGAGTTAGTATCAAATATTCATAAGAAAAGCATTAGAATCAAGTGTGTGGGTGTGTCAAAGGGAAGAATACAAAAGGGTAAGCATTAAAAATAAGCATAGGGGAAATGGTAATGATATCAAGAAGGGTGTATGGTGATCCGAAATGAGATGAAGAAAGAAGACGTTGGACAAACCGGCTAGTCCAAATCCCAAGGGTCCAGTTTCCGGGTGATCTCAGCAATCTCGGACTCCGAGGATACTTGAGGCTCCAACGGGAAACTGAAATCATCCACTGGAGGTGACTCGTTGCCAGTTTGCCGAATATTAGTTATGGGTTCACGCGGAGTGGTGTTGGTATTGGGATTGATGACAATGCGCGCGGCAATGTGAATAAGGATAATAAAAAGGTGAACAGGCGGGACCAAGACTAGAGTGAGAGCCTTAGAAAGGAATGATGTGGCATCGTCACCGTGTGATGGTCGGTATAAGGCCGAGGAGGGAGGCATAGGCGAGACATCGCGTTCTCTTGTGGCCATGGCCCGACGGCGGAACTCGACACTCATGTGATCGAAATTGGTATTAGGAGCAGGGTTCTGAGCGGCACGAGTGGCAGGCCGCGAGCGGAAGGTGTCTGACATCTCGGTGTCTGAAAATGCAACGGGAAAGCGCTTTGGGGAATTGGTTTTGATTGGGTGGTCGAGTGAACACTGTGCAGATAGTGCGTTGTCATTCGGTCCATCATTTGGCAAGCTTTTGCTCACTAGAGACTGTGATTTCTTGGATGGACTCGAGTCCGCAAATTCTAGGTTGGAGACTGAATCCTTCGCACTTGGCCAATCAAACATATCGCTTGGCTCTGAGGGGTCATGACCTCCCGCGGATGTAGGACGGGTGGAGACTGAATCTGGCGAAGCAGGCTCCACTGAATGGAATGACTCAGGGCTGGAGGCTAATGAAGCATCGCCATCCACATCCTGGGTGTCTTCAGCGGCCGTTTGGATTTCGACTGCCATTGTTGGTTTCACTGCCATAACAGCTTCAGGCTCGACTGTGGATTCAACATGCAAGACACTTTCAGGCTTAAGATCTTCAGGGTGGGTGGGGATTTCCGCGACGCTGGATTCATGCCCAGCCTCCGGTTCCGCCGCAAGTGAAGGGTTTGCTTCTAGAACAGACGCTGATTCAGGCCCGGCCTCAGCTTCCCGTGCGACTTGAGATTCAGGTTCAACCTTGGCTGACAAGAACTCTGGTTCAATACCAAATTGCGGAATAAATTCAACACTGGGCAGATGTTCGGCCTTTTGCTCAGACTCGGAGTTGAGTTCATCCTCTGAAGCCGATGTAGCCTCGAATTTTGCAAGTAAGCTGGTGAAAGTCTGCGGAGTTTCAGTCACGGGGCGTCTAGAAGGCTCAAGTGCTCTGGGAGGCTCCAGTGTATCAATAGGGGATGATCCATGATCATCGGGAATGGTCTCCAAAATTGTGCTACTGGCCTTGTGCGAATTGAATCCACTGTCATCTGTAAGGTTACCATCGGTGTCGTCTCCAGTGCTCGCCGAATCAATCCATTCCGATCGGATCGAGGAAGGTGACGGCGTTTCTTGCGAAGACTCGAAGATAGTGGGTACACTATCTTTGTGGTGTTTGGGCTGGTCCTTTGGCCGCCAAGCCCTCTTGCGCCGAGGTGCCATCACATCGTTGGGAAGTTCAACAGTAAACGCGCGTTTGAAAGGACATGGTGTAACCTCATATCGAAGCACTGTTGGCAGCGCGACTTTCAAATCTGCGACCAAACTCTGATCGTCCTCTGTTTCGTATGGTATTTCGATGCGATAATATGTGAGAGGGCGAATGCGCAAAACAAACTTCGAGACCCCGTCCACACACCAACATTGGGAGTTCTTCAGGATTGCATGAACGACATTTCCGCATTTGAGGAACGCTGTCAGGCCATGGACCTTCTCTAATCTCAGTGGCGCTGTTGCGACCGTTCGCTCTGTAGCGGAGCGCCAGGGGAGTGTTTCAATAGTGTCAACAGGGTAGTCGAAGTCAGATGGCGATGAGCTAGAGGGAATAGGGGCGAGCGCCCTGGGGGCAAAGTGCACAATTTTCGCAGACGGATGATAAAAGATTACATTCTCGGGGGTGTTCGGGACGCTCGACCGTCGTTGCGCGTGAGGGTTTAACTTGGTGGGAAGGGTGAGAGAGCGACGAAGGGAGTGTATCTGGCCTAAGGGCTCTAGGGACTCAGGCATGGTTCATGGATGCGATCAGAAGGAGTGAATATATGGAGATATTAAAGGGACATGTTTGTACAAAGGAGCCAGGGTATATGCAGATGGACTTATCTGAGGCTGTGTCGCGCCTGCGGGGAGGTGAACGGAGGCCTCAGGCAAAAGGTATCAGGTGACCATGACGCAGCTTCAAATGGATGCCTGGCCTTCACACTGTTGTTTTCCGTTTCACTTCAAGAATGCTCCTTGCTTGTTGATTTTCTTTGCAGTGGAATTTGAAGGGTCCTTCTAGGGTCTCGAAAGACTACGATGTCGAATTTCGAGCCTAATGCCGTGATCCGCGGCTTCCAGCTCACTGTGGTAGGAAGTATGTTTTCCTGTTATGTGTTCTAAGCAGCTCAGATCCCTTTCAGCCTCGAGTTTGGCCCTTGGACATAGTAGGCTCCATGCCATGTGTGTATAGCTTCGGCAGTTGCTGCCAAGAACCGCAACAAGGAGCTTGCAATGGAGCTATCCAGCCACCTCTCATCACTTTGCTTGGAATGATCATGGAAATGATCCACAGTTGTTCATTTTTCATTTGCTAACAAGAGCCTCTAGCTGTTCGTGCACTGAGCAACCCAGAGCTTTTCAAATACGATCACTTCCGCCAAGCAGCCCTTGCTGTCGGCGTTGGCATTATTATCCAATTGATCATTCAGATTCCGGTATGTTCCCCCATTCAAGTCTTGATGAGAGGTGTCTAATTTCATCTCAAGATCATAAGTGTCAAATTCTCGATCTACCTGTTGTCATGGGTCGTCAATCTTGAGGACGTTGTCTGGGATGACAAGCTTCTCAATGGCTTGGATTTCATGAACAAGTCTGTCCTTCAGGTGCCATTCTTGCTCATGACTCTGATGCGATATGTGACACCCACGCTGGACGAAATGTGAGTCTTTTGCGCCGCAAAAAATATTGACTTTGGGGTTTAATCGTTTGAACAGTTTCATGCAGTCCATTCAATGGGTCGACACCACATATATCCAAAAACATAAATCGGAGAATCCCGATACATTGCGTGCTATGTATTATCCCAATCTGGTGCAGTACACCTCCAAAGGAGGCTCGAGCTCTTCTCAACCGCTCTCTCAAGCCCTCATGGCATTCTTCAACCGCTATGCAAAGAAGATCGGTATTGGTCTTGGGCTTTACCTGCTATCCATGGTCATTATCATCGGTCGCTTTGTTATGCCCGCAGCAAGTTTCTACAGTTTGCGCAGCCACATCGGCACTCAACCTGCCGCCGTGATCTTTGCTGCCGGCTTGTTCCTTCCTAAGCAGTACATCATCATGTTCCTTCACACATACTTTGCTTCACGCAGTTTGATGCGAGAACTTGTAAGTCCAGTTATGTTCTTCAATATATGAGCATATTCTAACTGTATCCAGCTCGAACCATACTTCTGCCGCATCAAGTTTACACCCGAGCAAAAACGTCGGTGGTTCCGGGACCGAGAAGGTGTCCTGTTCGGCTTCGCTTTCGCATTTACGGTCGTCTTGCGTATCCCATTCATCGGTGTGCTGATTTATGGTATTGCCGAGGCCTCCACAGCATACCTTGTCACCAAGATCACAGACCCGCCTCCATCTCCTGCTGAAAATCAGGACTTTGCCGAGAGCCAAGTCACCTGGAAGAACAAGCATGACTTCCTGCGCTTGTCCCTTGACAACCTTGACAAGCTTAATGTAGAACTGGAAAAGCGTCAGGATGCCAATGCGCCTGCAAAGAAGTTGTCTTAAGGCATCGGAGTACAAAAGTCACGGTGTACCTCAGGATTTAGCATGGTCTCGGGTTGTTTCATAGATCTTGTGTATTTCGGAGCGACATAGCATTCCAAGGAGCGAGGTCTAGTAACTTCATCCTAGCAGTCACAAAAAATGCATCAAATTTGAACCTATTCACATGTCCCACTATGTAGGAAATGGCTTATCAGTTTCCGAAGATATGCGAGATAAAGCGATGATAAGCTCTACACTAAGTGCTGCACTCCGTATTATTCATACATTCGCAGTATACAGATCCGCCTGCGGGGTAATGCGTTATCATGAGGGGATTCTGGATATAATTGGCCGTGCCCTCTGAAATGGAAATGGACAAACATAGTCGACTACAACCACTTCATAACATACTACAACCTTCCACTAACTACCAAGATGGGCATCAAAGGAATTCGTACTGCTCTCAAGGTCGATCTCGACAAGCCTGCAAGTGAGCAGCCCGGTTTGCACGTATGCCTCTCAATTCAGAACCTCGTGTTAAAGAAACTTTGCTAAATCACCAATAGAACAGATGGCACCCTGACGGTATGCAAATGTTCTTCACAAATTCGCTGTTCGCTGTATCCAGCATATATCTTAACACAAATATTTGGAAACAGTCCCAGCCTGCAGCAAGATTGCAAACAACGAAGTCGTCAAGATCGAATGTCTCGATTGGACAGGAGGACAAATCGGGAACAACGACTCCGCTGATGACATCAAGAACGTTGACCTCAGCCATATTCATTATTTATCGGGACCATTCGACATCGAAACCGCCGAGCCTGGCGATGTCTTGCTCGTTGAGATTCAAGATGTACAGCCATTCGAAGAGCAGCCGTGGGGGTTTACGGGTGTCTTTCATAAGCAGAATGGAGGAGGATTCTTGGATGAGCTTTATCCAGAGGCGTCAGTATTTTTTCATGTTCTCCTATGTGATTCTGTCTAATTTGGTTCATAGAGCAAAGGCAATTTGGGACTTTGAAGGCATCTTCTGCTCGTCTCGGCACATTCCCCACGTTCGATTTGCAGGATTAATTCATCCTGGAATCATGGGTTGTGCTCCTTCGGCCGAGGTTCTGGCTGAATGGAACCATCGTGAGGGCGAGCTCATCGCTGCCAACACGATCGCGGATCGCATTGTTGCCCAGCCACCCCTGGTTACGAATACCCATGCCGGAAGTGCTTCGGAGGATATCAAGGCTAAGATTGCCAAGGAGGGAGCTCGCACTATTCCAGTACGTATTCACCATGACTCCAGTCAGCCCAATTTATAGACTTATTTATATAGGGCCGTCCCGAACACGGCGGAAACTGTGATATCAAGAACCTGTCCCGCGGATCAAAGGTATACCTACCCGTCCACGTCCCAGGCGCCAAGTTCTCTGTCGGAGATCTTCACTTCTCGCAAGGAGATGGCGAGATCTCATTCTGCGGAGCCATCGAGATGGCTGGTATCGTCACACTCAAGTTCTCCGTCATCAAAAACGGCATGGCGAAACTGGATATGAAGTCCCCCATTTTCAATGCCGGACCTGTGGAGCCGCAGTTCGGTCCTGGAAGATATCTCACCTTTGAAGGATTTTCAGTTGACGAGAATGGCAAGCAGCACTACTTAGATGCGACTATCGCTTATAGACAGACTTGCCTGCGGGTCATTGAGTATCTTCGACGCTATGGCTATAGCGATTATCAGATCTACTTGCTACTCAGTTGCGCACCTGTGCAAGGACATATTGCTGGCATTGTGGATATTCCTAATGCTTGTACTACACTCTCTGTTCCGATGGATATCTTTGACTTTGATATTCGGCCTGAAGCGGATGTCGTCAAAAAGGATATGGGGGCTTGCGCCTTTGTGAGCAAGTAAAAGAATACCACGGAGGCCCTGTTTGTTCATGGCTTGTCATTAAACCACAGAATGTTATTCCTTTATAGTTGACCTCTAACTCCCCCTTCCAATATGTGTCCACTGATCATTCTTCACATCCTGGAAATCCATCAACTTATCAGGTCCACCGAAACGATTTTGAGTAGACTTCCAATCACGATCAATAGCAATCTCCGGTCTCCATCGGACGACATCTTTCAACTCGTTTTGCAATTTCCCTTCCAACGCATCTGCAATGAAGCCACCAATAGTAGGCATCTGCATAGCACCATTGCCAGACCCACCAACAGCAACCACAAGCGAAGCATACTCAGGATGCCTGTCAATCAAAAACGCTCGATCAACGGTATCTGCATCCCAGCAGATACGAGCGAAAGAAAAAGGCCGATCAGCAAGATGCGGCATAGTATCATGCAAGAAATCCCGAGCTCTTGCTTCGGCTTCAAGTGGGATCTGCTCCTTTGCAAACGGGATACTCCTCTTCTCGCCTTGGTGGTCAGGATCAGCCACAAAGTTGCAGTATCCTGGGTGCTCATCGCAGATTTTGAGTTCGTGCTTCTCTTCATCAGGCTCCATGAAGAACCCCTTCGCAATATTAAACAGAACAGGCAGGTTCCGGTAGTTCTTCACTTCCTCGGGCGTCATCTGTATATGACTCAAAGTCCAAGCCGTTGGACGCAACTGCTTTTTGAAGTCGAGCAGCCGATCACTACTGGCACCAGCTGCGAGGATAGTATAATTTGCGGAGTGCTTCTGTCCGTCTGCTGTCTGAACACCGACCACATCTCCGTTTCCGTAGATCAAGCTTTGAGCCTTGCCCTGCGGTGACCCAGTTACAAAGTTCACGCCTAGACTCTGCGCCTCGTTGTATGCAGATACCATAGCCTTCCGAGCATGGATCCATCCTGCGCCAACTCGGCTGATCCAGCCTTTCCAGCCTGGAAAGCTCCCAGTCAGAACACCTGGTGGCATGGTTTGACGGAAATCCTCGGCTGTTTCTAGGGCCACCCAGTCGCCTTCAGATTGGTCGACTTCTTCGGTCTTGATGTGCTCTATTAGAGCGGATGTATGTCCAGAGACGATGAACCCACTTTCGTGGAAGTAGGGTTGGAAAATTGGGTCGGTTTTCCAGCCATTCAGTGCTGCCCTGGTGCATGTTGCGAAGGCTATGCTTTGAGCATCGGGGTTTGGGGCTGGGAAATGTTAGGCAAATTCTTTCTCTGGGGAGTATCGTATCCATTGAAGGGGTTGTTACATTTGACTTCCTTGTGCTCCATGATCTTATTGATGTCGTTCCCCGCGGCAATCGGCGACGGCACCGGGTGAGGGTCCAGTACTTTCACATTTTTGTATCCCCGACGTGCTAGATGAAGTGCGGTTGAGCATCCCCATGTCCCAGCGCCAATGACTAAAATTGAGGAATTTGGGCTTAGATCTGGAGTCATTTTGGTGCTCTGGTAAAAGGCTGTGGATGTGGAAGAGGGTGTGAGAGACGAAAATTTCAGCACGAAGACTAGAAGCAAAGCATATCAATCATATGATGGGTATCAAACTCGAGGCGACATGGAAATACTCGGATAAGTCAAGGCTCGTATGCCTGTTACCTTGCAAGGTTAGCGTCTCGTTTGGACCTTCCCACCACTTAAGCCCAGGGTAAGCTTCTCCGCACGGCTACATCTACATCTTTCACTCGACCTCGGCCTTATCAACATTGTCGCAATTGGGTATTTTCACACCAATAAGTTTCCTTTCAGTATCGATGATCACTGTCAATGCTATCACTTGGACCTTCCAATATTTTTTCCCCTCATCAAGTGGCTTATCTCAAATCTTGAATGGATGGTAAACAGGGTCGGTTTGTGCCGACAGTCGATGATCCCAGGTACATATGGAAACATATCTCGTGTAGCAATGTGATATGAAATAGGTATATAAAGGCGATTGTGCTCGGCTAGTTTTGGGAATTCACATATCAAATTGCAAATATGGCTCGATCGGATGATATACTTACAGATGTCCCTGGTACCGTTTACCTGGTTGATAGTAAGTACCAATATACCCAATTAACAAACCATCTGTGAGATTTAGGGCAATAATACTAATACATAGCACTCAGCATCTCATAATCTACGAGATGCTGCTCACGCTGGTCAACAGGACATCCTTCTAATCCCACAACCTTCGAAATCGCCAGCAGACCCTCTGGTACCTATCGAAGCCCTATCATCACCGAATCAAAGAAAACAGTTCATACTAATCATACCAATAGAACTGGAGCCGTTTCAAGAAATGCTGGTCCCTATTCCTAATTTCCTTCTATGCCTGCGTATTCTCATTCGGCGAGAACAACTGGGGAGCAAGCTGGACAGTAATATCATCCGAGACAGGCGTCAGCCTGAACAACATGAACGGCGGCTCTGCGCTTAACTACCTACTCCTCGGATTCTTCAATATCATCTGGATCCCCTCAGCAATGAAGTTCGGTCGAAAGATCGTCTACATTCTGAGTTTACTAATCCTTCTCGGTGGTAGTGTTTGGGGCGGCTTTTATACTGGCACTGCGCAATATTATATTATGCTTGCTATCCAGGGTATTGGCACTGCTGCGTATCAGGCGCTTATTCAACTGACTGTGGGTACTCGTGTTTGGTACGGATTTGATAATGTTTCTGACGTTTTCCAGATATTCGACATGTTCTTCGCGCATGAACGTGGTCGAATGGTCTCCATTTATATTTTCTTCCAACAGCTCGGCTCGATTCTCGGCTTGATCTTAGGAGGATATATCTCCGATGGAATCGGTTGGCGATGGAGTTCGCCCATAGTCGCGATTGCATGCGTATGCTAAACACGACTCTTGAACAAAACCTTCAACTAACGCTTCACGACAGGCCGTCTTGATCCTTCTGTTCATCTTCACATTCGATGATACAATGTTTCCACGCTACCGATTCAACAATACCTTGCACATTGGGCTATCAATGTCAGAGACACTCAAAGAAGCCCAAGGCAAGTCCGAAAAACACCCACGGTCCGAATCACCTGTCTCTACCACAGAAAGTGAAGAACAGATCCCAATCCGGAGCTACAGGCAAAGAATGGCACTAGTGCACTACTTCCCAGATGACAAAACCACCTGGCTCCAATACTTCCGACGACCATTTTATCTCTTCGCCTTCCCTAACATTGTTCTCGCCGGTATTCAATTTGCATTCGGATGTACAGCCGGCATAGTATCCTTCAATACCATCTCCGAGATTATGACCGAAGCGCCGTATAACTGGAGTGCCGGGTCGACGGGCCTGATATTCCTTGCTGCGCTAGTTGGAAATTTCCTCGGGTGAGCCCTCAGTGCCTATCTTACCTGGCCAATATCAAGTGATGTATACTAATCAACAAAAACAATCAGAATGGGCGTCGGCTCCCTTTCCGACTGGATAGTCCTCCTCCTAGCACGTCGAAACAAGGGCTACAAAGAACCCGAGATGCGCCTGTGGGCTTATATATTCCCCTTTATCTTCGATGCTGTGGGATACTTTACCTACGGGTGGGCTGCTACCTATGGCGAGCATTGGATGGCTATTGCTGTGGGGTTGTGCTGCTTGATTGCTCAGCAGGTTTCTGTGACGAGTTTGGCGACCACCTATGCTATGGAATGTTTTGATGGGGTAAGTTATATCTTTCCTTTGGCGTGCTCGAGCGGGCTTGCTAACCATATCACTTTGCTTTATAGATCTCTGGTGAACTCGTCGTGGTATTGGCTATCTGCTCTTCGTTGATTAACTTCGCTATTTCGTTCTCCGTGCAGCCGTTTATTGAGGCGACTAATTATGGATGGACGTTTACCTGCTTCGGCATAATGGTTGTCCTGTCTGTGGCATTGGGTGTTCCTATGATTATTTGGGGAAAGACATGGCGTCGGAAATGTAAGGGGCGTTATGAGAAGTTTTTGGCGGAGACTGAGCGTGATGTTCATCCCGCATTTTGATATGCTGGGGATAGATAGCCCTACAATATTTCCTTATGAGGTACTTTACATATTGAGATATTTGGCAATAAATATGTCTTTGTTGGCATGTAAACCGAGCTAAACAAACAACCGCCATGGTACAGAGCACATATAGGATAGTGCAGAAGACCTAGCCAAAGGTGTTCATCAACAAGGTATATTGCCAAAGGATTTGATGTTATGTCATACATCTGGGGTCATTGGGGACACATGGAGACCACGTCGTGAATCATGATAGAACAGAAGGAAAGGAAGTTGAGCCATTAGCCAGAATCTTAAGAAAAGAACTTCTTGGCAGCAGCCTTGTCCTTGGCCTCGCGGTCCTTGACGGTCTTCTTGACCTTGGCGATCTCGTTAATGATACCAGCGTCAGTAGGAGCGAGCTTCTCGGCCTCCAGAAGATCCTTAAGCGCGGCATCCTCTTCCTTCAGACCTTCGTGGGCAACAGCACGACGGAAGTAGGCCTTGGCCTTGTCGGCGTCCTTGGCCTGGGCAGCATCGCTGACCTGGAGAGCATAAGAAGCCCAGTTTTGAGCTTGACTGAACTTCTGGAGCTTGTTTGCGAGCAGGGACGAGTTGGAGTGCAGGGTGAATCGCAGAGCCTTCATCTGCACGTTCAGCTCCTTGGGATCGTTCTCACCGGGCTCGGGGAACTCGTTGAGATAGCGCAGTCCCTTCTGGTACTTGTCGAGACCCAGGTTAAGATCTCCGCTCTTGAATGCGGTGTTCCCGAATCCCTTTAGGTCGGAAGCGATCTTGAAGCAGAGCGGGGCAGTCAGCTCCTCGCCTTGGTGGTCCTCGGTGAAGTCTTCGTATGGGTCGCCTGTAGCATCCTGGACACGCTCGGTCGCATTTTCGTACTCCTCTCCGGAGAGCTCACCACAGTCCTCCACGGTCACGTCGGTCATGGGCTTGTCGGACTGGGTCTTCATGTTCTCGATCTTGCGAATAAGGCTCTTTCCATTAATCACCTCACCGAATACGACGTGCTTGCCATCAAGGTGAGGGGTAGGGACGGTGGTAACGAAGAACTGACTGCCGTTGGTGCCGGGGCCGGAGTTGGCCATGGAGAGGAGGAAAGGACGGTCATGCTTGAGATCGAAGTTCTCGTCGGGGAACTTTTCGCCGTAGATGGACTCGCCGCCGGTGCCGTTGAATGCGGTGAAATCACCACCCTGAATCATGAACTGCTTGATCACACGGTGGAAAATCGAGCCTGTGTCGGAGTTGCGCGGTTAGCCAATGCTGAATGGCGGGGTATCGGAGACATGCCTTTGTAGGTCAATTCCTTGCCCTGGGTGCCAATGCCCTTCTCGCCAGTGCACAGTGCTCGGAAATTGTCCGCAGTCTTGGGTACGACTGTTTTATTTGTTAGTTTTCACATTGTCGAGCGCGAAAAGCGCGAAAATCATGTCGTACCATCGTTGAACTGTGCGACGCCCTATGTTAGCTGCAAGCTCAACTCGACGAGAAACCTGGGAAACTTACAAGCTCAAATGTCACTCGCCCAAGCTTGTTGTCGCCGACTTTAATGTCAAAGAAGACACGGGAACCTAGCTCTCTGTTAGTACTCTCATCCCGGTAGATCGGTGGACCCAGACGTACGCTGAGATGCCATAGCGGTGGAGTTGAAGAAATCAAAAGTGGAGAAGAATATGGAGGAAAGTAAGTTGAGGAAAGTTGGCGGAGGAGAAAGATGTGAGGCGCGTTGTGGGGGAGATGGTTTTGTGGTTCAGGAAGCTTCCATAGCCGCTCTCGAGTCATGTATGTATTGGGGGTATCAACTACATTATTGTACACTTCTATGTCTATTTTTCACTCCAATTACTCCAGCAATTCTGCTGGAATTTGGAATTCGAATGTCTTCTTGATCTCCTCCTCCTCCTCTGGCTTATTATTGTCTTTCGGTTCCTTGGGTTCCTTCTTGGGGAGGTTGGTGTTGATCTCGATGGTGACCTGCATGATATTCTTGTCAGTATGTATTCCACAGCGGCGAGGATAGGAGCCAGGAAGGCAAAATGTACCGCCGCATCTTCACTGCGGTAGTCTACACCCACCGGCCCGTCATTCTTCAGCTCAACCTCCATCATGGCCTGAAAGACACCGTTTTTTACCCGGTCTGGGATGTAGGATTCGCGCATCTTATCGTAGAAGTAATCATAGACCCTGCGCGCCGTTTCGGGTTTGGCTGCATCGTGGAAATCAGGCTTGTTGCCTTTCTTCATCTTGGCATATAGGGTGAATTGCGAAACTAAATTCGACAAGACATCAACGTTGGTAGGGTTCATGCAGTGGAAATTTGGTCACATACCACAGAGTACTTCTCCCTCAATGTCTTGAACATTGCGCTTCCACTGCGACAGGGTCAATTTGCCACTCATGCAATGTATAGTTCCGGTGCCGTACTTGTGATCCATTCTCATCCGGCCAGAATTTGGCTTTTAATACCTTATTCACCAGGTTCTCTGCATCCTTCTCTGTGTCTTCCTGGCCAATGCCAGCAAATACTAGCAGGCCCTTGCCAATAGAGGAAATCAGTTCTGAATCAACACTAACAGACGCCGATTTGACTCTTTGTATCACGACTAGGCGGGGGTTAGCGTTTTTCTGTATGTCGAGCCGGAGGATCCTGACCTTTCATTGTGAGAAAGAAGGATAGGGAGGTGAAAGGGACTATAGATATATTCAACGTCAGTCTGGAGTACAGCAGGTATAGAGCTGGGAATCCGGGTATGTACCTAGAGATAACGTGAGGGCACAGTCCTGTACCTAGCTAGGAAGGTAAAGAGACTCAAGCATATGGCTCGCAGCGTATGATACAAATCAGAAAGAGAAGCAGATACACACTGAAGTTGCGTTGAAGGAGTCTCGGAATTCCTCCCTCGCCTCTCCCCTCCGCTCCTCACCGCCTACCCGATCCAGCAACCACGAAGCTTTCCACTCCAGCGCGGAGAGGCATTCTGCGATCGAGTATTAGCCCTTCATTGTCTGCGACTGCGACTTTGACCCCATTTCCAATCTCAATTACTCCGATTGCAATCTCACAACTGTGGGGAGTGCAAACAACTCATCCGCCCGCTTTTACCGCATCAAAATCCCGCCTGTGGACGGAGTCCGCTCCCACCGAATCCATAATGGCGTCACGTAAGACGCAACAAGAAATCGACAAGACCTTCAAAAAGGTGTCGGAAGGCATCCAGACGTTTGAGGGGATCTACGAGAAGATCCGCCAAGCCACGAATCCCACGCAACGGGATAAGCTCGAAGACAACCTGAAGCGCGAGATCAAGAAGCTCCAAAGGTTCCGCGATCAGATCAAGTCATGGGCAGCCGGCAATGAAGTCAAGGACAAAGCCCCGCTCATTGAGCAGCGGAAGGCTATTGAGGTGGTGAGTGTCGTGTTGACGTTCAATGCGGACCCTCCTTGGGTCGGTATAGCTAACCACTTCACAGTGCATGGAACAATTTAAAGCAGTCGAAAAGGAGATGAAGACGAAAGCCTACTCGAAGGAAGGTCTATCAGCAGCATCGCGACTCGACCCCAAGGAGAAGGAAAGAGTCGAGTGTTCCGAGTTCCTCTCCGGGATGGTCGACGAACTCCAGCTCAAAATCGAAGCCCTGGAAGCCGAAGAAGAAACCCTCCACGCACAAATGAAGAAGGGCAAGAAGGACACGAAAAAGGCAGATCGAATGGCCGATGTTGCGCACGTTACAGAACGACATAAGTGGCACGTGAACAAGCTCGAGTTCCTCAATCGTTCGTTACAAAATGGCAACCTTGAAGTAGGAGCCGTGCAAGACCTCAAGGAGAGTATCAAGTACTATGTCGAAGAAGGAGGCAGTCTCGATTACTCTGGTGAAGACGAGACCCTCTATGATGATCTGAATATCGAGGATGTTGAGGCACAATTCGGCATGGGTGGAGATGGTGATCGCGTGTCATCACAGGATGCTCAATCCATTAACGACGATGAACCTGAGCCAAAACCCAAACCCAAGCCTGAAGCCCCAGCACCGCGACGACCATCAACACAAATGAAGTCGCCCTTGCCTGTCCTTGCTACTCTTCACCCCTCCGCTTCATCAAGTGCCACCCCGAGCATGAAGCCCGCTCCGCTCCCCACCCGTCCCCCGGGTGAGACCCTCAAGTACGCCTCCGCCGCGGCTGCTGCAGCTGCCAGCGATAAAAGTGGCGTTGGCATCTTGCCTCTTCCCCCACCGCCGGGACTCAGCCCAGCCCTGTCCGTGGCAATGCCTATCTCCAAGCCCTCTTCCACTGCTTCGCCCATCGTGGCGCCAGTACAGCCTATTGTCAAGCCAATAATGACCCCAAGTGCCGCTGCGGAAGAGCTCAGTGGGGTTCGGTCTAAGACACCGGCCGCTGCAGTAGCCTCAATTGCTTCATCGCCCATTTCCGCAGACAAGACCGCAACTACAAATGGAAAGACTGAAACAGAAAGCACAGAAACCGAAGAGTCGGTATATCATCTGCCTCCAGGTCTTCAAGATCTGGTCCAGTCATTTGATGTAACCAAGGCGCGTGCGACGGCGAACCCATCGCCATCGGTGCAACGTCTACTGGCGGCATCATTGACCACATGCCCGGAAGCAGGAGATGCTGAAAAGCCTCGCCATTACAAGCCCCAGAACCCCTACAGCACACCCCTTTACTACCCACAGGAACCCCTCTCCATATTCGATGATCCACGGCTGTACGACACAGGCAGGATTGACACAGACACGCTTTTCTACCTCTTCTACTACCGTCAAGGCACCTACCAGCAATACCTCGCTGCCAAGGCCCTCCGCAACCAAAGTTGGCGCTTCCACAAACAGTACCAAACGTGGTTCCAACGTCACGAGGAGCCCAAGAACATTACCGAGGAATTTGAACAAGGCACCTACCGGTTCTTTGATTATGAGAGCACATGGTTAGTTTCGACATTCCGACCATCCCAGCTTCAATTACAGGAACTCACCACTTACGAAAACTGAACAGGATGAATCGGCGCAAGGCTGACTTCAAATTCGTCTACAAATACCTCGAGGACGAGTTATAACGCGATCTTTTTACATGAGCCCCGGGACGTTCCCCGGATGAGACCTGGATTTGAACAGCGTCGCCCGACGCTATGATTAGACTGGGCCGGATCGAGTTGAATGGTTTACTCTTTATGTTCTGCTAGTACTATTATGTTTTGGGGGGACCGGGCAATGAGTGCAATGAATGGGCCTCGAGGGAGTTAATTGTTTCTCACTGGAGCATATGTAATACGAGAGAGTAGATTGTACAACAATAAACAGGTTATGCAGTCTGCCTTGTACTCGGAACCGGGAGTCCGGGAGTCCGTATCCCGTGATCAGATGCATCGAAGCCACTAAGAACAAAAGAAAAGCACCAAGAGGGTCCGGGAGTACTATAATGCTGGAGTAGTGTACTGTAGTGTGTGTGGGTGTGTGTTGTACATAGCCCGGGAACATCCCCGGCGCCGCACATGTGACGAATCGCTTCATTTTTCCCCAGAACAACAACACCATACACCAGATACCAGTTACAGACAGCCAAGACGCTAAAAAAGTGCGGGATTTTCCAGAAGAGCCAGGGGCTGTGCGACCGTATTATATCATCGACGTCGATCTGCGACCCCGGATTGGAGAGATCTTGTTCGCAAGGCTGCGTGGATCCCACTCGGCACAGCAGTCCCGAGTGGGATGCGTCAATGAGCAAAACACGAGCCTGAACATAGGCAACCCCCCCGAGTGCATGAACTCGACTCGGACACGTTGGACATGGACTCGACCTCGACCTCGACCTCGAACCACCTCGTATCCGTCTGCCTGGACTCGACCATTCCCCAACATGAAACAGCAAACATGCTGCTAATGTCTGATGACGCCAGTAGGGGCTAAGCACCCCTATGCCGTCAGACCGTGAAAAGACGCTAGAACGACGCTAGAAAATGAACAGAAGTCCATCCACAAATCAGATCTCGCCCTGCCAGCGATGAGGGGGCAGATGCAGGTCTGTATGCACAGGCTGACCGCTTCCCTGATCGTACAGCTTATCGCGAGGTGGTATTGGCTGAGACATGAGACTGTCCTCCTCTTGGCCCCCAATCATCGTCCAAACAAACCGGCTTAAGGGGGCCGCTAGAAGCACCGTAGAATGTCTTCCCGTTAGACTGAAATTCCCGCAGCGAATGGGCGGGGAGGCTGTGTGCTCTCGTCCACTCTGCTTCGAGAAGTCTTCTAGAAGCCATCCCCGCGGCCATTCACAGAGGGCCAAGCACACACTTGTCCCGTGTTGGCGTCTTGGGCTAAAAGGCCTGATATTTAGGTCACGTAGAAACATAAAAGGATGGGCACGGTACTCTTTGAGAAACATTTTTCCTTCTACTTGCTGTATACCACATATTCCGCCCCCAAACAGCCACTTTAAGATTTCCAGAAATCAAAAGGATTACCACCGGCGTCTCATAATGGTAGGTGAAGCTTAACGTGCATAGAATTCTAGATCGCTGACCTTCCTTCTTCTTTAAAAGACTGGCATCCCAATTCCTTCCAACCACAGATCTCTCTCGGATTTCTCAGATCCGTCTCTCGACATGCAATCCCCCTACTACCCAGACTCTTACTCCTCCAGCTCCTCCTCCCCAGGCGGCATGGACTTTTTCTTCTACGGCTCACAGCCCGTCTACGATTCCCTCTGCGATCTCGACCCTATGAGTCCCTTCTCAATGCAAGAGGTCGCCGCTCCAGATGTATACAACATCACCAGCTCACCCTATTACCCAACCACCCACGAATTCCCCGTCTTTGAGCGCCAAATCATGCCCCAAAGCGCACCGAGCTGCGCTAGCAGCTGTGCAAGCAGCAGCTTCAACTTCCCGGGCGAAGAAATCGCCCTACCCAGCTACCCAGTCAGCGTCAGCAGCTTCGAGTATGAATCGGGCTCCGACTCACCAGCGCATGCCTCTGCCTCCAAGTAAGTCTATCCGTTCCCATCACTCCATGACATAACAATGGCGAGATTAACATGCTCTTTCTTTGTAGACCTGCCAAGCCATTCGGATGCGACGACTGCGGCAAAGCCTTCACTCGCTTCGCAGACTTGAAGCGCCACCAGTCGAGCGTTCACTACCCTATCTTCCGCAACTGCCCTGTCGATCACTGCTCCCGTAAGGGCAGCAATGGCTTCCCGCGTCAGGATCACCTCGTCGAGCACCTCCGCTCGTATCACCACATGAATGTCCCCAAGCGGGGTGGCTGCAAGCGCGCTGCGAAGGAGATCTCATGATCGCCTGTGGTGTGCTGCGCCCGTCCGCTTTATGACCTTACGACTTTGCCTCTATATTATTTTTTGTTTCTTCTGGTTTGATTCATCGATAAGTCAACTTCTACTGTATCGCATTCCGGCTATGCATCGGGTTCTGTATAGAAGACTTGCGCCTTCTTTTACTGGTTGTTTATTTGTTTTTTATTCCTGTTTTGATTGATTTGATGCTTTTTGTGAGCTGTCGGCTCCTTTGTTATGACTTTTTTAGACGGGTACAGGGTTAGATGAGATATTGCTTTATTGAGCTCCATTGAATGAATAACAACGATGACGATTATCCTCCATACAATGCTAGTGCTACTAGTACTCCATATTCTCCTGCAATTTCAACCTTTCACTCGGATTACGTTTCACCTTCTCAATTCGTTCATTGGGCCACTTTTTTGCCTTTGCGCCAGTTCGATTTTTCCGTTCCCCTTTTCGGGGCCTTTGATCTGCAAGGACTTCCTTAGTGCTTTCCTAGCTGAGGTACCTGCAGCAGTAGATGTTATCGGTCACACGCTAGCGAAACTGCTTGCAGGAGTGCATTACAGCTTGAGTTCTAGAGCACACGAGTCCGCGAATGTAACGTCTCTGTCGATCAAAGCGTGTTTTTGCTAGTTCGGATCCTGGGTCTCGAAAGGATCTATAACCACAACAAAAGAAAGTCAGAATATAAGGTGAAAATCGATAAATGCAGATCACAAGTCTCGTTTCAATCCTTGATGCGTATCCTGCAACCTGCACTACTCCCTAACAAAACTTCATCCTTGAAACACCGACGCGATCACCGTAGATCATCGCACCTTGCAATCCTGAACCCAATTCAATTCCTACAGTATGAACCAATTTAATCTTTTTATCCCATATCAATTACCTATATTCCGTACCTGTATCTGAAATGCAACCCTACCCCCAATCTCAAATCCTAGATAGCAGCCCCATTCTCCCAGACCGAATCACGATCGTCATACCGATCCCAAGCAGCACAATTCTCCCCAATAGATCGCGCGTAGTCCCTCTAATTCAGATCCAGATCCGAATCCTTAGTCTCATACCTAGTTTCAGACCCAGACCCATCCCCATCCAACCCTTGACTCCCAATTCCACTCCCATTCCCAGCCCCATAACCATGAAACGACCCCCAAACCTCAACCCACCTCTCAACAAACTGCAACGCAAACCCCTGCTCAAGATGCCACCCAGTATGACAATGCACGAACCGAGCCCCAGGATTATCCGACCGAAACGCCAGCACGAGACGTCCAAGCGCGGGTAGGAGCGCATTATTGCGTTTTGGGAGCGTTCCTGCAGCGCGATACAATGTAATCCCATTCCTAATCCTACTCGCTGATCCCTCCACCTCTGTTTGAGGCCATCCCCCCCCCCCCACCCGATGCACAACAGTCAAAAGATCATGCCGTGTAAATGAATTGGATGTGGTGCCGCCATGCTCGTTTCGATTATGACGATCACCCATCATTCTGGCTGGGTGATTGCAAAGGTGAATGCTTGGCCGTCATTTGTGTTCCATTTATCTCTTTCGCTGGGGCTTGTGTTGGGTAACACTGATCACAATCGTATTGTACGGCGTAATAAGAAAAGAAATCTGCAGCAATGACCGTAAGCGCATGGTGGTCAATACTGAATTTAAGAAGAGTATTGCAAGCCGTATTCGCCACACGAATACGACAAGTCTTCTCAGGTGAGAACGTAGTATTGAAGCGATATCCCGTCTGATTTGGGTCGTCTGTTTGGGGCTAGTGTTGCTTGGTCTATCTCGAAGCAGAATTCTTGTGTGATGCCGGTGTCGGGGGTTGCTGTTTTATAGTCTATGTAGATGTCGTGCTCACACCATTATTATCTAGTTGTTGGTGTATTTGCTGTACAGGCTTTTGGTGCTTGATTTACCTGGTTGGATATTTGTTGAATTTGACGTTTTGGCAAAGGTATTACGCTTGATGACATTTTTGAGAGAGGTAATAGGTCAGCGTTGGTGCTTGTAGCTGCCAATGCAAGACAACACAGCTTGTATAACAATGTCCACTTCATCCTAGCAAATGTCACTATGAATTATATATAAAAGGGCATCACCATTATTTCATCCAGGGAGATACCACCTTTAAGCCACACCTGGGAAGCTTGAGTAACTGGGTTATACGACATAACATTGGATCTCCCCAGAAACACATCGTGGCTGGTTGAGACTCGAAGATCCACGGGGAACCTGATCCGAGAACTCGAACCTGGTAATTAAACCTATAGGTCATAGTATGGAATGATGCAAGCAGCTATGCGACAGTCATGCTTGTACCCCGGGAGAGTACATAAAAATCATGGGGAGAACTACGAAGAGTGTAGCTGTCGATATCCATCGGAAATTACCTGTTGGCAGGGCGTCAAGGAGTTTGGAACTCATCTGAGTGGGTGTATGTAATAAAGTGCTCTTTTGATCGTGCTATTTACTCGCTTAAACCGAGACAATGGTCTGGTTGTCAATGCTATGACGGTATTCGACTCAGCCTTTCAAGTTAGGGACTACCGCAGCTATTTTTCTTCGATCTAAGAGGTAGCATAGACACAATTCATATTGAGTCGTCACCAGTAGAAACTTTGAAGAAAAGGCCTCAATACCGTACATAAACAAGATAATGACTATCTCAATGCCAATAAATTAAACCACAAACACTCAAATTCTTATAAAAACAACATAATGTAACATAGAAGCAACAAATCACTTCCCAAGATCAACAAACCCATCAAAACAAACCCCAACGACCTTCCCATCAACAAACTCCACCCCCTCCTCCTTCAACCTAATCATCTTTTCCTCGGAAAAAGACCCAGAAGCCTTGTGCCCATCAACCTTCCACTCCCCTTTATATCCACCCAACCGCCTATCAGCAGCCAAAACGCGGTGGCAGGGGACCTCCGGTGCAAAGGGGTTAGTCCGCATTGCATTTCCCACGGCTCGCGCGCTGGAGCCTAGGTAATTTGCCATGGCCGAGTAGGTTGTCCAGCGGCCTGGTGGGACGGAGAGGAGGGTGCGGTAGACGCGGCGGCGGAAGGGGGTAAGAGTTGGGTGTAGGGATATTCTGTGGAGGTATTTTTTTGTGAGGGGGGTTATTTTGGGGGTTTCTTGGGGTTGGATGTTGGTTTCTTTTTGGGTTTTTGTTTGGGCTGGGGATGATGATGATACAGGGGTGGTCTGTGATGCTGGGGGGGCTGCCATGTTTTCTGTTCTTTGATAGAATGTTTTTTTGTTGGAAATTCAGCTTTTATTTCTAGCTGTAGGGACTTGTATTCGTGTCCCTGTTGGCTTGGTGTTTGAGGTTGGCTAGATTTGTAATTAGCTGGGAATGATATGACGCGGTGTAGGACGCGTCGGGGTGAACACTTACCACGCCGATAGATGTGCTTTATATTAAGTCTCTTGGACGAAGATGACTGGTGGATAATACGTATTGAACAAGAAAGAGGAAAAGAGACGAGCATTTGAAGTGTTATAAAGTTTAGTGACGGGTGTGCTGGAAGTGACCAATCAGACCACTGATACAGAAATATACGTGAATCATCTAACCATCTCCGATGGCTTCATGTCTACCGTCTCTCGTCAATAATCTAAAGAACATAAATACACACCATGTGTCAATCACAAACCCAAAACCTTAAGCGCGATCTACATGCTCAGCCGCGGTGGTGCTATCCTCCATCTTGGCAGCAGCAGCGCTAATAGAAAGATGCTTTCCAGTCTCTGGATCCACGACACTGCCCTTGCGACTGAACGCCTGGACCATACCCGGATTCTCGGCTTTGAGGCGCGCAAAGGTAGCCTCTGCATCCCAAGTCCAGGGTGTCTTGGCTGCGAAGAGGAGATCCATGTCTTCGAGTGTGCGCTGGTTGCTTTCTGGGTAGAGAGCCCAAACCATGGGGATGGTGATAACATTGCTGGCAGCGAAGACGTAGAGGGTCTTTTCGCCAATAGCGCTGAACATGACCGGGCAGAGGAGAGTCTAGAATACACCATATTAGTTTGTGTGCTTCGAGGGGTAGGGGTATGCTGGGTTAGAGGTGTTCTTACCAGCCATCCATTTCCAATACTCCATCCCACGACACCAAAGGCGTTTCCTCGGGCGCGGACGGCCAGAGGGAAGATCTCTGCTGGGTAAACCCATGGCACGGTCAACCACGTAGCACCGAAAGTGGAGGTGAAGATGAAGATCATCGAGGCTGCAGCTGCACCATATGAGGAGGCTTTGTCCATTTCACCAGCGGCCTTAGCGTCGATTGCAAGTCTGGAAAATCCTCCTGCGAGGAACATGGCAATTCCCTGGACAACCGATCCCCAATACAAAGTCCATCGGCGACCAATGCGGTCTAGGGTGAAGACACAGACCAGAGTAGCAAACTGTAAGCCCGTGTTAGTGCCGATCAATCTTCTCCCAGTAGTGGAGGCCTACCATGTAGAAGATGTTGTTTAGTCCACTGATCCACTGACTCTTCGTCGAATCGAAACCAGCAATACTAAAGATCGTGGGGGCATAAACGGTGACACCAGCAATTCCAACCCATTCCTGCATGATCTGCAACCATACGACCAGCTGCACGCGACGGCCGATGTGGAGGTCACCGGACTTGTAGCCAAATAGCATAGATAGATAGGAGTTGCCGTGGACGACGGTCTTTTCCATTTCGGCGATGCTAAGGATATCCTGGAATTCGGCCTCGGCGCGGAGGAGGTCTTCACCGCTAGATCCACGCAGACGTTGGAGAATGTAGCGGGCCTCATCCTCTCGGCCGACCTTGACGAGCCATCGAGGAGACTCGGGGAAGAACCAGACGACAGCGAAGAGGACCAGCAGGAAGACGATTTGGAAAGCAATGGGGAATCTCCAGCGGAATGCTGATTCTCCGTTATCGATGAAAGAAAGACCACTGTTTCATGTTAGAAAAGCTCTTTTAAAAAGGAAGACGAAGAGGAAGAGGAGAACGTACAACTCTAGCCAGTAGGCCAAAACAACACCAAAGATGTTGAGGGTAAATTCAATGGCAATGAATTGACCACGAGAAGTGTGCTCGGCTGTCTCAGTAGCCCAGACAGGGACAATAGCATTCAGGACACCAGTTCCGATTCCATTAATCAACCGAGCTGCAAATATCAGTATCTAGTATCCGCTATCAGCACTTATAGATCGTACCGCAAATCATCCAAACGTGATTCTGGGCTGAGCACTGCAGAGCCGCACCCAGGCAAGCCCAAGCAGCTCCAACGGCAATCGACTTGATACGACCCATGCGGTCGCCAATCCAACCACCAAATAAGGCACCGACCAGAGTTCCAAGATAGTAAACCGAGACGATTCCACCCTGTAGCAAGGAATTTGTGACCACTGGTGTCACTTCACCATCCACCACCTCCGTATAACCGAAGCCCATCAGGTCGATATAGTCTTTGGCATTGTTTACGCCGGACATCATACCCTGATCATAACCGAAGAACAGAATAGACAGCGCAGCGACACAGTTAATGCCGATGAGAAGCTGGCGCTTCTCCAGCCTGTGGACGACATTCCATGAAGGGATTTTGTCCATCTTGTGTATAGTTCGAGAGTCAATGATTGTTGTAGGCTTGGCGCATCACTCAGCGCGGCTAATAGTAAGGCGGTTAATAGCGGATAATATTAGGCAAGAAAAGAACACCCAGTCTTTCGCAGTCTATAGCAAAGACAATTGTATGGAAAGGCCCAGACTCGCGATCTATAACCGAACAGCACGAGAAACAGGAATTCCCAAATCAAGGCGACCCGCAGTATTTAAATCTGATCGCAGAGTCGGCGCGAGTCCGAGTCACAGACGACGGTAACTTGCCCACGGGGATCGGCCCACAGAAACCCCAGAAAAGTAGGGAACAACACTTCCGAAATGGTAACATTCCTGTGGGATACAGCTAGACTATGGTCTCCCCACCCGAATAACCGGCGAATACGGCGAGTAGGCCGGGTTCAGGGCGAGAAAACGTGTCACGGTGGGGTCAAGTATCAAGGCTTTTTCCTGGTCTGCGCTGGAATCGGCAATCCGAAATCACACGATAGCGGCACATTTTTGCTGAAAGGGGCTTAAGCCCAATGGTAGGCCCGGGTTGTATTGGCAGACAAACTCGGTTCCACTCCGGGGACGACTTTCTGCGGGGATTTCGGCGTTCAAGCGACCTTGCGGCTTGACCTCCTTAGGCCGGTTAGGCTAAACGGGTGATGGTTCTCGCGGTTGTGGGGGATTCCCCAGACTCCGGGTTTGTGACATCAGACCCCCAGATGTTCAATAAGATCATTTTGTTCAACTCCAGTTGTCAAGAGCTAAGTAGCGTTATGCCGAATATAAATGACCCAAGTGGGAGATCCTAGTGAACACCGCCTTATCACGATAGAAACCCTTGATTCATGACAAAATGGTCCTAAATGCCTGATGTTCATTCATGTGAAAAGTTCACTGCAAAATTATCTCAATTAAAAGATAATCTACGGTTCATCACTTTCTGGGCCGCGAAAATGTTCCATAATTCGACTTTTCGACCCCAATCCTTTTCAACCCAAAATCTACGCGAGAAATACAAACAAAATAGAGAAACCCTACAAAATCCTTTCCAATAGCATTTCCAATATCAAAATATATTCACAAATGATTGTCTTCCGGGTCTTGAAAGGGCTGCGGCATGGATCATTTGTCTATCTGTTCCTGCAGATCTGATTTTATACGAGCCTATTCGTTCCACCTTATGTGGCCTGTCTCACTAATGTATAAACACAGCTCCAGCGAAAGCATCACTTGACTTGATTCAACCGGAAGGATTTCTCTGGGTATGTCTGACAACTACCAAGCATTGTAACACCCTTCTAAGTTCCTTCTGTACTTACCGAAAACCAAGCTTTCAAAGGCAACATCAAAGCCAGAAAGCCAACCCCCAAAATGAGGCTCAAGCAACTGCCTAATCAGACAAATTCCTATACCGGGATGCGATGCGCTCATCCAACTCTAATCCCATCCCGGTCCCGGAACCAGAAGCCTTAAACGGTCGGGCTATTTCAATCCTCGCGCATTTCCTGGATCATTCGACATGGTCAAATCCCCGACCTGTCGCTGACTCAATATGGAGAGAGCGAACATGTCAAAAACCGTTGGCGATGAGAACGCTGCCGACAATCAGGAAGCTGCTAGCCAGCCGAATGCACATCTCGAAGCTTACTCGCAGTTCACGGTGGGCCAGAAGCGAGGCATTGTTGCGATGGGCTCTTTGGCTAGCTTTTTCTCCCCTTTGTCGTCAAGCATTTACTTGCCCGCACTGACCACTATTGCGCATGCATTACACATCTCCACTTCTCAGGTAAACTTGACTGTTACTACATATCTGGCAAGTAGAATTGGAGCTTCTTTGGGAATGGATTGGCTGACATTCTCGTCTGAAGATTATGCAGGGTGTGGCACCCATGCTCATCGCTGGCTTCTCTGATACAGCTGGCCGTCGTCCTGCCTACATTATCTGCTTCACCGTCTACCTCGCCGCGAACCTCGGTCTGGCTCTCCAGAATAGCTATGCTGCCCTTCTTGTTCTTCGATGCCTGCAAAGTGCTGGCAGCAGTGGAACTGTGGCAATGGCAAACGGTTTGGTAGGAGACATGATCACATCCTCTGAGCGTGGTTCATATATCGCCTTTGCTTCAATCGGAAGTATGCTGGGACCATCGCTTTCCCCAATCATCGGTGGTCTTCTCAGTCAATACACAGATTGGCATTGGATTTTCTGGTTTCTCCTTATCTTCGGTGGAGTCTTCTTCCTTCTATTCGGTCTCTTTCTACCTGAGACCTGTCGGAAGGTCGTTGGAGATGGCTCCATTCCACCGCCTCCATTGAACAACTCCCTCTCAGATGTGATTCGGCATCGAAAGCGTAAGGAGAATGGTCTCGTGCCTGACCCGGACAAAGAAGCCGAGGTGCGGAGGAATTACTCTCTTCGATTCCCGTCTCCCCTTCCAACTATGAAGGTTGTCCTGGATATCGAAACTTCGGTGATTCTTCTCACGACAGGGCTGTTGTTTGCCGGTTTCTACGCCGTCATGACCGGAGCCTCAACCTCATTCCACCAAATCTATCACTTCAGCGACATTAAGGCATCATTGATGTACCTTCCCATCGGCGGAGGTGGTATCTTATCGGCATTCACAACTGGAAAGATAGTCGACTGGAACTACCGACGACATGCAAAGAAAGCAGGTCTCTCCGTTGTGAAGAATGTCCGTGCAGACATCAGCAACTTCAACATCGAAAGAGCAAGACTGGAAGTCGCTTTGCCGCTATATTACATCAGTAACCTGGGAATACTGGCATACGGTTGGGTGCTTGATCATAAAGTCAACCTGGCAGGCCCCGTCATTCTCCTTTTCATCATAGGATGGGCAATAATCGGCACGAGTCAAGTGCTGAATGCACTGATGATTGATCTTTGGCCTGGGAAGTCTGCAACTGCAACTGCGGCCAACAATCTGTTCCGTTGTGAGCTCGGTGCGGCAGCTTCGGCTGCGATCAGCCCTATGGTTTCTGCGATGGGAAATGGCTGGACATACACCACTCTAGCGCTCATTTCTATCGCCATTTCTCCTTGCTTGTGGTTTACTGTGCATTACGGAATCAAGTGGCGGCAGAAGAGAACGCGAAAGAAGGAAAAGAAGCTGTCTCGTGACCAGGGCTAGATGACAATGTTGAATCTAGGGGATACATCTGGCTATTTCTTTTCTGATGTACTTATCTGCTATATATTTAGGGAATATGCTGACTCAGTGGGAGTCTTTCTTCCTTGATGAGATTTGGTTTCCCTTGCGGCTACTCTTTGCTACTGCTTGCACTTTCAACTTGCTTGGCAGATCTCGAATTGTGTGACATATTTCTGCGGATATAAGGATATATGAGATACCGTGCTATGTCCATATCATCGTCAAATTACAGTATCAAAGATACTACAGGTAACAACTGCACGTGGTCGATGTAGCGCATATCGGCGATTTCCCCTCGTAGGTCCCTGCTATTGGGGGCCAAGACTTTTCCCCCAACCGTATCGGCACTTGGCTGTTGTCTATATTCTGCAACATCACTCACTTATTATTGTATACACTTGCTTGTGAAGCTCATTTACAATAGTAGTCATCGATTTCGTTTGATTTGAGTATATGTAGATTGGTGAAAACTAAGATCTCAGGAGATCTCTTCCCAAGCCTACTCTATATATGGTCTTGTACTTGCCGGGATACATCCCGAATCTTCACTACTTAACCAACCACTGTTCTCGTGCATCGGCTTGCAATATTCAGACAGAAGCAAATAGAGGGAGGCAATTGATTAGAAATTATGATGACAAGTCACCCTGTCCAGTTGGTGTTTGCCACTGAACAGTAGCCCGCTTGTAAGCGGACCAAGAAGAATCTACGGATCCCCGCGGAATAGACTGGGGTAGAACTGCTGTGGAGAATGGCATTCATAGTAAGATAGTAAGTAAATCATATACTCCCGTAAATCGTCCTGGGTTTGCCCCGGAATACATTAGGCGCGGGAAAGATCTGTTGGGTTCCCGCCGCTTTTGGCGTTGACGGGGTATAGGCTTTGTGAGATCCCACAAACATAACTCTACTCTGTATTTGTTTTGTCTGTTGGAATCACTCCAGATCACATCTCCAAGTAAGTACTTCAACCCAAAAGGACTGCAGCGTCATGCCGGTAAAGCCAACCGAGTCAACCCGACCGGCTTACATAAGAGAGTACGGCGAAACCTCAAAATACCGCAAAGCTCAGTCCTTTCTTTCCCGTACCTCGAAATCACCTCCCCACGCATCTCAACACCTCCAATTCGTTGGTCTGGAGGATTAATTGTCTGTGTAGCTCGTTACGTCCGTTGATTTCTCTTTCGTCATGTTCCGCGCCGTCCTCCCCCGGGCTTCGCCACGGGCTGCCCTCCGCAACGCCGGCCCGAAGGCTGTTCCTTCTTCTTTCATTGCCACCCCTATGCTCCTCGTCCGTGGCTCAAAGCGCGGTTATGCATCTGAAGCTGGTGAGTTATTGCTCGGGCTGCTATCACGGCGTCCTCGGAGAGATCTTCTGCGCTTCCCGGATGCGATTTGCTGATTACCGGGTTGCCGGACAATAGGTGACCACGACCTCGTCATCATCGGCGGTGGTGTCGCTGGCTACGTCGCTGCTATCAAGGCCGGTCAAGAGGGTCTGAAGGTGCGCAAAACAATGCCCCTGAGCTTATTAGCTCTCGCTTGGCTCGATCCAATCATCACGATCGACTTACTAACTGAACACCCTGGCAGACTGCTTGTATCGAGAAGCGCGGAACCCTCGGTGGTACCTGCTTGAACGTCGGCTGTATCCCCTCCAAGTCCCTGCTCAACAACTCCCACCTCTACCACCAGATTCTCCACGACACGAAAAAGCGCGGTATTGAGGTTGGCGATGTCAAGCTCAACCTCACCCAGATGCTCAAGGCCAAGGACGAGTCCGTCAACGGCCTGACCAAGGGTGTCGAATTCCTGTTGAAGAAGAACGGTGTCGACTACATCAAGGGTGCCGGTTCTTTCGCCGATGCCAACACCATCAAGGTCGCCCTCAACGACGGTGGTGAGCAGACCATCCGCGGCAAGAACATCCTCATTGCCACTGGTTCCGAGTCCACTCCTTTCCCCGGCCTCAACATCGATGAGAAGCGCATCATCACCAGCACCGGTGCTCTCGCCCTCACTGAGGTCCCCAAGAAGATGGTCGTCATTGGTGGTGGTATTATCGGTCTCGAGATGGTATGTTTCCACCGCCATATTTGCTTCAATTTGAGCACAAATTGACTTTTTTTTTTTTTCTAATAGGCTTCCGTCTGGTCCCGTCTCGGTGCTGAGGTCACCGTTGTCGAGTTCCTCGGCCAGATCGGTGGTCCCGGTATGGATGCCGAGATTGCCAAGCAGGCCCAGAAGATCCTGGGCAAGCAGGGCATCAAGTTCAAGACCGGCACTAAGGTCATCAAGGGTGATGACAGCGGTGCTACCGTCTCCCTGCAGGTTGAGTCCGCCAAGGGCGGCAAGGAGGAGACCCTCGACGCTGACGTTGTCCTCGTCGCCATTGGTCGCCGCCCCTACACCGAGGGCCTGAACCTCGAGAACGTCGGCATTGAGAAGGATGACCGTGGCCGTCTCGTCATTGACCAGGAGTACCGCACCAAGGTTCCCCACGTCCGTGTCGTCGGTGACTGCACCTTCGGCCCCATGCTCGCCCACAAGGCCGAGGAGGAGGCCGTCGCTGCCGTTGAGTACATCAAGAAGGGCTACGGCCACGTCAACTACGCTGCCATCCCCAGCGTTATGTACACCCACCCCGAGGTCGCCTGGGTTGGCCAGAACGAGGCCGAGATTAAGGCTTCCGGCGTCAAGTACAGCGTCGGTACCTTCCCCTTCAGCGCCAACTCCCGTGCCAAGACCAACCTCGACACTGAGGGTGTCGTCAAGTTCATCGCCGATGCCGAGACCGACCGCATTCTCGGTGTCCACATCATCGGGCCCGGTGCCGGTGAGATGATCGCCGAGGCTACCCTTGCCATTGAGTACGGTGCCTCCAGCGAGGACATTGCCCGCACATGTCACGCTCACCCTACCCTCTCCGAGGCCTTCAAGGAGGCTGCCATGGCCACCTACTCCAAGCCCATCCACTTCTAGACTTGATCTCCCTTGATTCCGATATCCTCTTACCCCCTACCATGTACTACTTTTTTTTTTGATTTAGACTAGCCCAGCTAGCAAACTACATGTAGCTTTTCATGTAATCAATTTCTTTTGTGTTCGTGAAAGTTATTAATTGCTATTGTAATGTGTAGTTCCAATCATTATGGAGTAGCCCCTTTCACTTTCCCTTGTGCGTACATTTTGGATTTAGGATAAAATATCAACCGATTCATACCTGTCTTTCAAGTCCCTCGATGTGACCTAAAGAAAAGAAAATAAAAGCTCTATCCAGGCATATCTGCAGCTACAGCGGAATACGATTCCCTGTTCTCAACGAAAGCACACATTGACTGTAAAACAAAAACAATGCCCGTTTTCGAGATGTCTGTTAAGTACTGTACTTCTCGACATGTAAGCCTCAAGTTTCACTCAAAAGACGATACCCTGTCCATATATCTATGGTATCTATGGGCACGTTTATTATACTACCCCTATTCTTGATCATGAATTCATGTAGGACAAAAAGATTGATAAAGCACTGTGTCAACCCCTATTCAACATGACCAGGTCTTATGTCTTGCCAAAAAAAAAAAGGGAAAAAAAAGAAACCCTGTTCACCCACACATGCAGATACACCAAAGCATAGCATACTCTGCCCCACGCGCGGAAGAAAACGAAAAGCAAAAAGGAAACTCCGATAGGGGGAATCGAACCCCCGGCTGTCGTGTGAGAGACGACGATGTTAGCCACTACACCATATCGGATATTGGATGGAAATCAAAGCAAAGTTTGCCATTATAGATCCACAGGATCCACTGCTCTTGTATGCATTGTGGGTCTTTGTGGCTCACCGTACGTAACGACTAACACCCAAGACTAATCGGGCGGCTTACTACAAAGTTTTTGCTGCAAAAAAGTGAGTAACGGAAATGTGAATCGATATTTCATATACAGATGTAGGAAGATTGGCTGTGGTAGGAAAAAATTTGTATATTTAGAGATGATTTGAACAGGAAGCAAAAACACAAAAAGAGATGCTCTCATACGGGGATTCGAACCCCGGTCTGCACGGATCAATAGTCAAACTATTTGAAAACGAGCGATGCTAAACCCCTACACCATATGAGACGATTTGATTGGACGATTGTGGCAAGAAAGAATCATATCAGCAAAAAGGCCGCTCGGGCAAACAGGCGGAAAGCACACTCGTGAAGAAATTCGCCGGAATCCCTTGTTTGAGGTCCAAAAAAGAAAGAAAATAAGAACAGGACCCTGCGGGCGACAGAGTGGGAGCAAAATTGGGTAAGGGACAGGATATCTCCAAAAAGCAAAAAGAATGCTCTCATGCGGGGATTCGAACCCCGGTCTGCACGGATCAATGATCAAGATCATTTGAAAACGAGCGATGCTAAACCCCTACACCACATGAGAAGGTTTGATGAAGGATAATCAAGTTTTTTGCACTACAAACGGCAAACTCGTGGGTATTTTCAGTCATCACTCGTCGCGCAATAATACTTTTCTGACTTAGCCTCGCGTTGTACTTCAAAAAAAAAAAAATTCCCTGTAAGCAGAGGAGGGAACCTGGAATCCACGGATCATATGATGTTCGAGGAATATTCCACAAAGACAAAAAGAAATGCTCTCATGCGGGGATTCGAACCCCGGTCTGCACGGATCAATAGTAACCTATTTGAAAACGAGCGATGCTAAACCCCTACACCACATGAGAAGAGCTTATAAATATTGGGCAGCATTGAGGTTATAGCTGGAAATAAAAATTACACTAAACATCATTTTGAACCACTTCCATGTCGGCATCATCACTTTTAACAATTGGTGGATTATTATGCGATATACTATATATCTCATAAATAGAAGCCCTCCACTTGTATTGAATTTCAACGGTATTCGAATACTAACATGCCGAGTGTCTCCCCCCACTGCAGATATATATTAATGAGCTTGGAGCATTGATAGACACATGTTTTCAAGATATCATGCTGAAGACCAAACACTGCATTAAGCAGAAGAGGGCAAATAATCTACAATACTGACCTTGATTCCCATATGCCGTTTGCCATTTGTCAGAGTTGGATTTGCAGGCAATGCGCCCCAATCCATCCGGGGAAAGATTCATCATATGATTGACCGGGTGAAGAGCCATCAGATTTGCTTTTACCAAGCTTGTCAGCCACAAAAAAAACTTGAATGATTCGTTATGGCTGGATATAAGTTCATTATGGAACATTTTAGCTCACGATAAAATCAGTTTCTTTGGATTTTTAAGGGGGGTGCAGGTCCTCTGTCGCATAATCAATCATACAAGGCTCCTTGTCAATGGCTATCAATATAAGTGTTCTAGAGCGTGGCATGAATATCAGAAGTGGAACGTGTCCAACGATAACTAGGAAGAATCTGGTGAGCAACTCAGGGGCCTTCGCTCTTGAAAGGATCCTGTGATTTATTCTGTCAATGACCGAATGCGATCGTTTTCGTCGGTCTCTTCGATCTTGTCGACCCAGTACCCTGGGCGATCAGGCACTCTCTACTAGCCGTGGATATTCCGGGTCGGATCATTTGTCACGCAGTGTCAATTAACGCACGACAGTAGGGATTGCGACCGACCTTGATAAAGCAACAGAGATGATTCTTGTGCTCTAGATCCAATCACGATTGCTAGGTGAGTGATCATTGAGCACAGAGCCTTGTACGGACAAAAAGTAATCCAACATCATCAAGCGCCTCTCCATTCCACACTATTCAAACACGATCTAGATTCTGATCTCCGTCGCGTTCTGTATGGTCGGCGATATTATGCCCCCCTCTCGATGCACTAACAACTAGTATGCGAGTACCCAGATAACCAAAGATAGGGAGCGCCCTTCACCCTCGTATATGGATCGCTTCAGCTATCATCAGAAGTATAATTAGAACAGTAATATTGGCACCTGCGGTAATATTACCCCGGGACCCGATACGCACGACATGTACCAGAGTCGGTACGGATGTTGTAAATTCGGCCACCTTCAGCTGGGCAGATGCATAGGCAACGAGCATGTCGTCGATATACGAGACCATCGCATTCTCAACGTCTTTCAAGATAATTTGTGAATCTGACATTCCATTTGTAGTTGCGTTGTTTTTGATGGATTCAAGATAGTCACTGATACTAGCATTGAAGGCATCAGCAATAGTTGAGCGATTAAAGCTGGTCTGAGCATTTGAGATGAGCTTCAGTAGACGCATCAACACGTGCGTCATGTTTCTGTTGGAGTGAATCCTGGTAAGTAATTTATGGACAGTGATGTTGCGGTCCGTTACGTCAACAGAGATGTTGAATCAAGAGGCGCTCGCCACCATAGAATCGTTGCTTTGTTTGTTTCTAGTTTTCGTACTTCTCGCCTTCATACTTCTGGTTTTCATCTGCTGTTGCTGATCGGGCAAAGAGATTTTCATCTTCGACGAGCATGGTCAGGAAAAAGCTGACCAACGATGATAGGGAAGCTGAATACGCCACTGAGACCAGTAGGACAAGACACAAGACTAGCTTGGGACCCACAATTTCTAGCCTAAGCCTAGGGGAGCCTAAAAACTCCTACTATTGCGCAAAAGCCCTACCAGAAATTGGAGCACAGCTAGTGTAAGAATATCACGAGGGATGATTGCGTTTTTTAGGGGCATAAAGCACTAATCTATACCCTGATTTGTGCAAGCGCTGCGCTTTCTACCACTATGGCCCGCGTACAGATGCCAAGAGGTTTGTTGTTTCAGGTGGCCCCGGACATGCAATAATGCCCAGTACTAACTGATGGGGCTTGCTTAAGGCCTACCAGGGTGCGCTAGGTAATGCACGTACCAGCGGGCAGAGTCTCCGCAGATCAAGGTCTTGTTGCTATACAATAGAATTACACCCCATAGTCTATATGCGAGAGATATTTCCAACATTGTATCGATAATGATATCAAAGCTGTCAACTGAACAAGGCTTTTATATAGAAAATGCCGCCAAATTTAATGTTGTTTGACATGTATAGGCGAGGTACCACGCCTAAAACCTAGCAATTCGTCTAAGAACACACTCCTCATGGAATGATCGATGGAAAAATCTGGGCATCTTTCCCATTACACTGATCATTTCTGTTTCTTGGATGAATTCAGTGATTCTAAAGCTCGAGTTGCTGGACCAATCGGCCAAGCAAGATCGTTTGTGGGATCATCCCGAACTTGACCAGCCGTGACTAGGTCCACAATTGCGACTGCGACGTAGCCACCGATGGCAGTGAAGATGTGCCACCTATTTCTCGTAGTTAGCGATATAGGTCTGCCAAGTATATGATGAAGGTTAAAGAACGTACCAGCCATGCAGTTCAGTGAAGAATGCCAGGGGCATCCCAACCAAGTGTCGGGTTTCAGTCAAAATTCCACACGCCCAATCGTCAATTAGCCACACAATGTAACCAAATCCGAAGGAGACTAAATCGTCAGTGACTCTTGCATCAAAGCGAATGGGGATATCTAGAAGGAGGAACATACAAGAGCCAAAGAATGCAATGTTGCGGATCTTCTTCCTAATCACGAGATCTGGAACTTGCTGAGGAATGATCTTCAAGCTTTCGGTCGCAATCAGGTATACTGCGATCCCGAAACTCACAGCGTGAAGGATGAATTCATCCATGACGATATGAATCACCATCACCAAAGTGAAAAGGGCCAGAAGGATGATCCCGACTAGCCTGGTCCGCTGGGGACTAGCCTTGAAAGTAAGAATGCGATACAAAAGAGGTGTGGTGAGAAGGTGCATTGACAATTCATCCGCTGAGCCTTAGAGTTAGGGAGTGCCATTGGTGAATGAAGATAACAGGAATAGTGGAACACTTACACATCTGTGTGTGATACTTAAGAGTCATATGGTAGCCTCCTGAGCAGACGCCTACTCCAATCAAGCCATAGTATGAAATTGATCGAAGGCCACCAGACTGCTGCCTCCGGGCAAGCTGCCTGAGACCGTAGATGCCATAAATTACTAGACAAATTGTTAATAAGGCCTAGAATATTGGAATTTAGCGTACTCACTAAAGACCAAGCTGCTGAGAGTGTTTATAAATTCCGCGATGAATCGTGTCACTACATAATCCTTTTAGGCAAATTAGTGGACCTTTCTAGAACGATGACGTGTGACAGGGATGTACCTCTTCGCAGAAACTAGAGAAAATTAGTATTGTAGAACTTGAAAAAGGGACACAACATACTTCAGGTAGGAGGTCTGGGGTCCCCAGAAGGGAGCAACCACGTAGCGATCCATCGTGTAAGAAGTAAGAATGTTTTCAACCTGGAATCAATGTCAGGAACCGGATTTCCGGTGACGGTCGGCAAAAAAAAGACGCGGTAAACAAAGGATAAGCTTTGCCGGATGTACCCGCGTTTCCCTTTCCCGGCCACAATGCCTTGGTTCGATTTATTGCCTCACCGCTCGATTTGTATACTTCCACTGGCGTGCTGCAAATATTTTTATCGTTGGAAAAGATCAGATTTTGGAATGAACAATGACAGTGTTCGATGTCTGGCTTCGCCGCGTTGTTAGTAACTTAATTTTGTGTGCTGCACATGTTCAAAAGAGGGTGCAGCTAGACTGAGTTTATGCATAGCGTTTTCTGAGCGAATGAAAATTGCACATGGCCACTGCCCCAGAACAACGAGCTAAAATTGCCTTTTTTAGATACGTGTCATGAATCATTGCCCAATTGACATGAGTATATTCGCCATTTTGAACAACAATGACCCGAGGCACTCATATAATAAACCACACAACTGGTATTTGTGACTGTATCCTATGGCACGGGGATCAAACAATAATTAAGACCACCAAGACGATTATTGTGGATGCAAGGAAATTGGCGAAAGCTTTGATCATATTGAAAGAGTTACGACATGTTACAATCCGGATCACTCCACAAGCTAGCTGACTATCACTCAATCCTCAATTTGGCCCCACCATTATCTTTCATTTCTCTTGTGAAAGTAGAACAGTGCTTCCGGGAACGATGAGAGGCCTGTTTGTCTTTCTAGAGCGCAGCCGCGATGGCATTATACGCATCTTTCGGCTCGTAGTTGCTATCAAATAGCAGAGGAGTTGAGTCGGCACGCCAAGAGTCCTAGATGAAATGAGCATTGGTGTAGACTAACCCCAGGTATAATTTCAGGGTCACTTACAGGATCCGCAACGCCCCAAACTGTGATTCCAACACACTTGGCTTGATTCAAACAAGCAGTGACGGCCTGCAGAAATCTTTAGTTAGCACATCTCTAATCAACCTCCTGTAAAACTCACATTGACATAGTCGGTTGAGCTAGCACCACCGATATCAAGCTCGGTGATAGCAACTTCATCAGTTCCTGCGCCGGCCAAAACATCAAGGGCTGTTTGGGGTTGTAAGCTAGAAGTTCGAATTCAGAAAAACAAAGGGCTACTTATCCAGAAACCCCAGCGCCACCACCAGCACTCAAGTGAGTCTGAGATCCTTTAAATAAAGTCAGCAGACACATACGATAGAACAGAATAACGATGTACACACCAATTCCATCGATCGGGATCCCGGCAGCTATCCAACTCTTGACATGGCTCGCCATCCCAGTCGTCTTGGCATAAGATGCAGTGTCGAGACTAGTTTTTGTCAGAATATCTTGTTACCAAGACACCAGAGATTATCCAAGCCACTCACTTATAATCGTTGATATATAGTTTGGCATTTGGGTCAGCGGCACGGGCCGTTTCGAAGGCGATCCGCACGTAGTCCTCGCCGATGACGTTGTAGAAAACGCTTTGTCGCAAGGTTCCATCCTCGTTGAAAATCTCATTGAGAACGTCCTGATATTAGTTAGCAGGATAGCAAGTCAAGTCAGGAGTTTCACCCCAAACTCACCCACGCGTAAATTTTCCCCTTGTACCGAGTCATCAGGGTTGTGATGTGATTCTTCATCACGTCGATGAGAGTGGCCTTATCAGTGATGGAAGAGACCCAAGTGGGTAGTTGGGAGTGCCACACTTGAAACAAAAACGTCGGTCAGCATTTTTAGAACTTGGTAAAAGTTCGAGCAACATACCAAGCGTGTGACCTCGGATCAATTTGTCATTTGACGAGGCAAAGTCAACCTAAAGGTTGTGAGATTCTAAACAAAAAGTACCATGTGTGATGAAGGGGCTGTAGTACCAGATAATCCGCCCCTGTAAATGAGAATTGTCCCTGAGAGGCTGAATCCAAAGTGAGTCTTTGTTGCTTTAGTTCCGCGGGGAGCCCACTTACGCTCAGTAGCATCCCACTTCATGCTATTTTCAGGAGTCAATTGACCAAAATCGGCCTTGATGATGGCTGGGTTCTTGTCGTTTTTGGTCAAGGTTCCTTGATCACCAATGTTGCCCAAGTATTTCTTCCCGTGAGCCTTGAATTTGTCATTGATGCTGACAGAGGCTTGACGAGACCCAATAGCCCCAGCAGATGCATGACTAGCTAGAATGATGCCGACGGCAAAGGCCTTGAGATGAACCATCCTTGCAGAGTAGGTATTTTCAGTTGCTTCCGTGATTTATGAATAGAGATGGGAAGGTTGGAACAATAGTCAAGCTTGGAAAGAGCTAATCAATGACCAAGAGGGAAAACTCGATCTATTTTATAACGAAGCCAAGCAACTCGCTGTTTCTAAAATATGCCGTAATTTGCAATCAGAGAATGCCGTTCACTTGTTTCCCGCGCAGAAAGTGCCGGGTTATCCCAAACCCTGGTATCTTGGCACCAGCCGCTGTAATTTGTACATCATGGATATTCTCGAACCTCATCGCCCCTAAAGTCGCGCTGGTACTGGTATTAGCCTAGATTGTGCTTGGCGTCTCGAACGTAAGTGGCTTTCAGGCAAATCCAACCTCCATTCTCCGTCGCATTGTAACATTGATGCCAGAATCTTGGCGTGCATGGGGTACCTTGTTTTGGCTTGTCTCACCAGGTCAGGAGAGGCCATGGACTCGACTACACTTCGGTAACCCCTGTCAATGCAGCGATGCGGGGAACCCTTCACCCCCACTTTGGTGGCTTGGTGGAGTTTATAGCTCTGCATGATATTATTTCCGCAAGGAAAAGCCGAATTCCAGTTTCTAATTCGTCGAGGGACTATCCTTCGGAAAACTTCCTGTTCCAGGCTGAAACGACCCCCACCGACAAAGTAACGTATATAGTAGATGCATCGACAAAGAGCTGTACATGAATTTAGGCAATTATTGGGTTTCAAAGTTTGGCTACAACACTAGTCTTTTGTCACGGCCCGCGGGACTCTTCAGGCCCTGAACATTGTACATACAGTATGCTATCAAACAATTCGATGCATAATATGTCCTTTCAGGTCTAAATATCAGCCAATTCAGTCAAGGTTTTGCAGATCTCCGCATGGAATCTTGGCTCTGGATATTTACACTTACTGAAGGAACGTCATAAGCTTGAAACCATACCGGAGAATTGTTAATCTCCACCAGATCAGCCGGTCCGAAAAACTTTCGGCTCCTCTCTCGGGAGGATCTGCGAATGAATTACTCAAAATAATGCGGAGGAGTTCCGAGATCAAGCCTAGATATGTGTCACGTAAAGGAGCACAATAGCCTGAAGCACGTCGACCATTATTGCTAAGACATTCTGGCTGGCCCGCGCCGAAACGTCACCCGTTTCAGGCTAATTTTGATGTTTTGACAATTTCCCGGCTAAACGTGACACATCATCCTATATACTTGATCGAGACTTCATACCTTTCTTTGACATTAGGCAAGACACTGTCTCCGGACGAGAGGGATTGGTTTCTGACTTTGTCTTTCACGCCGCGCCGAAAGAAGGAACGGCGCTGACTATATGGACTCGACATTTATTTAAATACTCCTCGAAGTCCTTTCTTAAATCGCATTCAATCCAGCACAGAGCCATCAAAATAAAGCATTGCACTAATTGACATTCAAATCACCAGAATGATTTTTAATCTTGTCGCGCTCTCCCTCTTTGTCAGCAGCAGTCTCGCTGTTCCACTCGAAGTTGAAATTGAGAAACGCCAAAGCTGCCCTGGTGTCCACGTTTTCGGTGCTCGTGAGACCTCCGTGTCTCCTGGCTATGGTTCCTCTAGCACTGTTGTAAATGGTATTCTGAGTGCCTATTCAGGCTCCACCTCCGAGGCAATCAGCTATCCTGCATGTGGTGGACAATCCTCATGCGGATATGTGAGCTATTCCAGCTCAGTCGCTCAAGGCATTCAAGCTGTCGCCTCGGCTGTGAATTCCTACAACTCGCAATGTCCCCAGACAAAGCTTGTCCTAGTTGGGTACTCCCAGGTACGTGATGATGAATAATCAATACAACTATCATTGGAATTCTCTGACATGGCTATAGGGTGGTGAAATTATGGACGCGGCTTTGTGCGGCGGGGGTGTCCCTAATCAGGGCTACACTAACACGGCGATTCCACTGACGTCCTCCGCTGTTAATATGATCAAGGCAGCTATTTTCATGGGTGACCCCCTATTCAAAGCTGGCTTGTCATACGATGTTGGGACATGTGCCGCAGGAGGTGTAAGTATTACGTCCCTGCATACACTCTCTTGATGTGAACCTAATGATAAATTATAGTTCGACGCACGCCCTGCTGGTTTTTCATGCCCTTCGGCTAGTAAAATCAAGTCGTACTGCGATGCTGCCGATCCGTACTGCTGCAACGGTAGCAACGCCGCAACTCACCAGGGCTATGGAGCCGAATATGGATCACAGGCAATAGCCTTTGTTAAATCGAAGTTGGCCTAGGATTTTTCATAGCACCATCAGATATTTCATCCTCGAACCTGGCTCATAACGCTTTGTGTCACAAATGGGGTACTCATTCAAACTGTTAAGCATGATATTGACCGGTATCTTCCTCCGTAACGAGTAAAAGACGACAATAAGCGTCTTGCCGAATGCCCCCGTCCTCAATCACATAAAGTCAGGTGGACTCGGAAAAATGCACTGAATGACTCTACCCCTCAAAGCTATGTGTACTATCAAAGTAGACTTCTTTGGGCTTAGTTTATATTCAAATCCCCTCTTCTCCAATTTTTCGATCGCAGCTCACAAAACCACATACAGTACTTTATCTCTAGGAACTTGTGACAGTGAAAATAATGGCACGCCTGCTGGATCTACCGACTGAGATTGTTCTAGCCATCCTTCCACATACTCTTGCAATTATGCGTGGTATACTCCAGATAGTGATTGCCGCAGTCATTGGCACAGGAGCTGTATCTGCTTCGAACTCGATTATAAAATGCGCAAAGGGGCTGAATATGTTCATTTCCCGTGGAACCGGTGAGCCTATGGGTTTCGGTGGGACGAAAGGTCTTCGTGCCACGGACCCTCTGATTTAAGCTACCGCCAATCAAAACCATGGATCTGATATCGAGGCAATACCCATGTTGCTAGTTGGGATGATCCTGTTTACGCCTCATGCTATATTGAAAATTATGCGTATGAGGTGAGCAAATTCGTTGTTGGAAATTATCTAAATGATAGCACGACAGCTAGTAAAACAAGCACAGCTGTCTCGCCATCTGGTACGCCAACTCTCATTAATGGGGCGTTTGGATCTCGCTCGGTGCCAGTGCTCCCATTAGCAGGCTTCTTGCTGTTTTACTTTTCATTTTAATCAGTGACTGGACTACAACAGAATGCATGTGTTAATTTGATTTCCTTGAATATGGCAATAGTTAGGGAACTTTATGTTGAGTTTCCGAGCTCTGATGGATAGGAGAACCGAGAAACTTATACCTGCATTACTTGAATTACCTCGCTGAATTTAAAATTAAGACATGGCGTAGCTTATAATCTGCGATAAAACCCCCGAGTTCCTGATAGCTTATTTGATAATTGATTACTCCAGGGCTATATATGTACATATAGCTCGTCCTGATCATAGATTTCGAAGAAATTCCTATATTGCATTCTAGACATACTATCTCTCAATCACAATTAAACGATAACCTCATTGTCCTTATCAACAGCTTCAAGAAGATCCTGGATTTTGCGGAAGCAAATCCCTTGGAAAAATCTCTCTCTCTGTTCATAGACCTTAGCATCATCGAAGCAAGCTGCTCCGGTGACAGAAAAAAGTTGATATTCGGCGAAAAGAGCCTCATCTCCTCCTGCCATTGCCTCCTGCTCGAGTTTTGCCACATCTTTATGGGTCACAGAAAGAGAAGGATACTTCTTGGCGAAGGTGCGGGCAATATCCGCCCAGCATGTCTTCTCCCCGGTGATGTAGGTGTATTCATCCCATATCGCGCTGTTCAGCAGAGCAACGAGGCTCTTTGCCACGTCCCGGGCACATGTAACGTTGAACAGCTCGAATCCAGTACCCGGAATGAGCATTGTTTGGTTGGCAACATCAATTGGGAATGCAGGCCCAATATCCTTGAGATACCGATTCTTTGCCGGGACAACGTAATCGACTAACCAGCCCACAGAAATCAGAGTCCATTCCAATTCGGTTTGCTCACGAAGCACCTTGCGCACAGGCTCACGGGTACTGAAATAGAACTCCGGCTGATGGGGGTGCGTTTCAATGTTGCCACCAAACTCGGAAGGAATGAACCGCTTACAGAGGCGGCTCTGTTTGCACGCCTCGATTAGGGCGAGATGGACATGTATGAACCCCTCTGAATAGTCGAGAATAGTCGAGATCATGGCTTCGCAGTCCGAGATTGCACTGACAATTGATTCAACCACCGAGTAATCAACAACCACTTGGGTCACCTTTGGCAGATCATTGAATCGAGGTTTCAAGCTGCGAGTGAGCACCACCACATCATGGCCCTTTGCGGTGAACTCTTCGACGAGGTAGCTTGCCAAGTCACCCGATCCAGCAATTGCGACACGCATGTTGAGGATTGACTTCAAATTGAAAATGGAAGGATAAGGGTTGAAAATAGGTGCAAACACTGGGTACTGACGGACCAAGCGAAGAAAACAAAAGATAGCGGGGAGGCAGAGGAAAGACACAAGATAAAAGTATTTCTTAGCAAGTTGAGAGAAGAAGAATGTGCTTATTAGAAAAGAACACCACATTGAGTGAGGGCTCAGTAGGTCTTTATAGTAATCGATGGAATATACTCAGGTCGGCCTTAGCCGAAATAGGCAATCCATTGTGGTTGTTCCGCATGATGGTCGTATCTCCAACTTCACTGCAGAAATGTAATCCAAAGTCTGATTAGCAAGCTCGTATACCATTACAAATCTTTCTACGCTCGTATTATGAAGCAAATCCTCAACTTGAAGGAATTGTCTTAGACAGCGAGGAGTGGTTGGTCATCTCACGGGGTCCGCGGACCCCGGCGGCGCAATGCCAAGAACGGGCACCTACCAACATTGGACAAGTGATTCTCAATTTACGGCAGTGCGGATTTCCCATCTGTTTATAATTTGTCATCGATTGGTTCGTTTAGCTGGAGTGCACAAGTAGCTTCATCAAAAGTAACGTTAATATATATCAGCAGGGTAACATTTGAAGATGTTTAGGAAACCGGTAGCATTTTTAGATCAAATATATCATACAATCCATAACTAAAGCAAAAAGTTGGTAAAAAAAGGTTCAAGTCTCAATATACATATGGATCAGCAGCACGAACTCGCAAGTTTATTAGTGAATATGGATGCAGCTCATCCTCTCAGCCTAGGTCGGGCATTCATGTTGAATATATGTGCCACCGATAGTCAGGGTTTCTTAGATGCGAGACCCACTGTATTCCATGTAGTCGGCGCCCTTGACCTTCAGATGATCGAGAACATTGTACTCCCTGATCCATCTCATACGTTCTATCAGGGCGTCAGGGTTGAACTTGTCGCTCAAGTGGTCTAAATCGTCTGAGCTTACAAGATTTCCAGCTTCGAAGCTGGTGTTTGTCACCCGATCAGTGCGGGGCTTACCTAGATCCTGATAGGATTGGAAGGCAGCCTGTAGGTCATCATCTTTCCTGTGCGAAACAATAGTGGCCAGCGCAATGCGGGATTCAATTGCCATGCAGACAGCCTGGCCTATTATTAAGTGTCAGTAAAGGTGCTACTCCGAAGTAAAGATTCTGGGATATTGGAAACATACCCCTACCAAATTGGTGAGCCGGATCTTAGAATTGGATGTTCTTCACGCCGGTGCAGAGGGTGGCATTCATAAATGCCAGGCCGTCGAGACCACCGCTGATGACAACGTCTCACTTGTCTTGGAAGCCTATTTTGTTGGAAAGTAATTAAAAAATTGGTAAGAATGGAAGTATTGAAGCGTGATAGCTTGAGATTGTGACTGTGTCTTTGTTGGATGTTGATCTGTGGTGAATGGAATGAAGCATATCGGCGTGGATTAGCAGGCTATTTGTATGCAATTATGAGGCAACCTTCCTCCGGTACAGGGATGCGTATCCGATTCATCATGAAGCTTGACACGGACTTCGAGATTTGGTGAGACTCATGGTAATATACATCGGGTCTCCGAGTAGTTGCACCGGATAACGGGATCGCCTACCGGATCATCTGTCACCACGTGGAATAACATCTTGGCAGGGCTGACATGGGATTTCCTTCGCCGAAAGCTTGACTAGAGCTGAATATTCTGCATTAAGAAACTTTTGCGTTGGGGCTGTCGGAGGCCCCACTTCGTAAGCATCTGAAAGCTCACTAGGCATTGGGTGTTGCGCTCTTCGACAAGCACAGGCCGCTCATAACCTTCGGATGCCCTGTTATCCAGGCTTTGCATGAATAACTGCGTGGTCAGTGATCTTTCTTTGGACCTCACCCCATGTAACCCCATGAAAAACCAGTTCTGTGGCTCTTTGTAGTTCTTTTTTCTACATAATTTGTGGGAGAATGGCTTTTCAAGGAGCGCATTGTGGGCCAAATGACCCATTCTCGGAACATGTCGCAATGAGGGGACGGATCAGCCCGCAAGATCCACTATATATAGACTTCCAGAAACAGGAGACACTACGGAGCACAGGAAGATCCTTTACTGACCCGCTGTGGGTGTAAAGCTTAGCCTTCTGGGCCCTCTCGACAGAGCGTCCTTGATATTCAGATAGGGTGCCTCGTTTTGCGTCATTGCATACGAGGCCCCTGGCATATCCTTACTTATATATGCTAAGGAATTCCGAATCTTGGACAAATAACGCAAACCGCTTCCGCGAGTCAGCACTAATAGCTAAACATCGGATCTGGCCCTTTCACGCCTTTCAGTCCGTTTTTTTTCTGGCCACTCTTCTTCCCTTCTTCTGCTCGGTTCTTCAACTCACTTCATCCATATCGGAAGCTGTGCTCCTACTATTTGATTTTTCTTTGGTTGCGTCACACGCAAAATGAACCTTAGGTATGCGTGCCTGTTCAGTTCCCAGTCCCAGTGACATCACGGAGCGGGTACAACTCCCGGGTCGGCCCGCTCGATGCCCACAATGACAACCTCCATCCACGCGACTTGTCAATATGCTGACCAGTGACGTCTATTACCATGCGGTTGATTTTGATCCTAGAGGCCTGATCATTAGACTGTCTGTGGCAATCGTAGCATCTTTGCCTAGTAATATCAAGTGAAGGGCAGAACAATTTGTTGAAAGTTGCGGAGCCATCCACGCTGTTCGACTCGCCATACGCACAAAGCAAAATCTTATCCATGGTGAATTATTTCTCGAAGCACCAGTGCTTGTTAACAGGATTTTGCAGAAGTACATTGGATATGGGGCGAGGCTCGATGTCTAGCGGTCTTTCGCAAGGTCCGTGAAAACTGGCAATCAAGTCCATCTTTGACCCATTCGGAGGGGTACCCGTATTTATCCCCTAAACGAGCCAGCATTTCGATATACTAAAAAGCCTGTGATGTTAGTGACGCTCTCACGAAGACTAAGTAAAACCTTTCATCACGCGCATTTCGCAGGCAATGAAGGTGAAGACTATGCCAAAAAACTTCCGCGGTATATTGCGAAATCGAACAAGTCGTCTTCCTTGATAAGTCATTTGAGTTAATTCATTACCTTGGTACTTGAAACTCGAAACTTGAGTTGGAGAGGCTGATGTGTGCTGTTAATGGCTGGCTGCATGTGCCTTTCAGAGGGCGCTTATGCATCATGGCCTATAAGTTCATTATGCACTCTGAAAACAAGGAGAATGTCAATGGTACCCTTGTCTAGAATCCCTATCGCATTTCTTGCGTGCATGACCCTCTGACCATTATAAGCGACAGCAATGAATCCTTTCCCACCTGACTTTTGTCTCATTGGAATACATAACTTCGAATCTACCAATTTTTCCAGAGCTGCTCAGAAAATCTGCCTCATCATGCAATCCCGGAAAACCCTGCATAGGCGGAAATTCCGAGCGCCATCGTCGCTCTACCCTGCCGAGTTTGCATGATACAATAAAATACTCCCCGCCGGATAGACAAGGATTTTACCCCTCTCATCTCGGTTCCTATTATAGTGTGGGTCAATCAAATAACTAGAAAACTTTTCTTTCTCATGATGATTCACGGGGCCTCGCTAAAATATCGCATGCGGGGAAGCGGAGATTCATCGGCTTATCGAGTCACAGATTATTCAAGGAAATGAGGAAGACCTAACACCGATTCTTCTTAGTCTTTCCCCATGGCTGATCTTTAGCGGGAAATTGTCGGCTTTGTCACAATGTCATCGTGGTTCCGCATGGAACATATGAATACCAAGAGAGGCGCCAAGATATTCCCAGAGTCAGCCTGGCGGCCATTCCGCAACGGGGATTGGGCTAAGGACCATGATGTTGATGGCTGCTAGTTCTGCTCGGTCTATGAAATGAATTATTAACCGAGCACAAGTTGCATCAAGATATGCATCAAATTTCTATAAAAGGGGACGGATTTTCGCGTTGAGCAGGTCATGAGCAGTCTCTAAATTACCCAACAAAGCACATCCAGGCATCATGAAGACAACAAGTGTTCTGGCACTGGCAGGCCTGCTAACATCAGTCAATGCTCACGGCTACCTGACTATTCCCTCAAGTCGTACACGCTTGGGATTTGAGGTATGATCCGGAAGTATATGTTGATGACATAAGTTGCTAACTTGATATTACCAGGCTGGCATTGATACCTGTCCTGAATGCTCTATCCTTGAGCCCGTCACTGCTTGGCCAGATGTGGAAGCAGCACAGGTGGGCCGCAGTGGACCATGTGGATACAATTCCCGAGTTAGCGTGGATTACAACCAGCCAGGCGATTATTGGGGCAATTCCGTGGTGGCCACGTATACTGCCAACGATATTGTCGAAGTGCAATGGTGTGTCGACAATAATGGCGATCACGGTGGCATGTTCACCTACGGTGTCTGCCAGAACCAAACTTTAGTCGACTTGTTTTTGACCCCTGGATATCTCCCAACCACAGCGGAAAAACAAGCGGCTGAAGATTGTTTCTTGGACGGTGAACTGAAGTGTACTGATGTTGACGGACAAGCTTGTGGCTATAACCCTGACTGCACGTCCGATCAAGCATGCTACCGCAATGATTGGTTCACTTGCAACGCTTTCAGTGCCGATTCCAACCGCGGGTGCCAAGGTGTGGATGGCGCTGCTTTGAACTCCTGCAAGACAACTATCGCCGGCGGTTACACCGTCACAAAGCAGATCAAGATCCCGAACTATAGCTCGGATCACACACTGCTTCGTTTCCGATGGAACTCGTTCCAGACGGCTCAGGTGTATCTCCACTGTGCCGATATTGCTATCACTGGATCCGGTTTAGCATCAACCTCCACTACTACTTCCACCAAGTCGACCACAACAACCTCTGCCACTAAGACTAGCACCACCGCTTCTTCGATAACATGTACCGGTGCCACGTCTCTTGCAGTGACCTTTAACGAGCTTGTTACTACTACATATGGTGAAAATGTCTATGTTATTGGCTCAATTAGCCAGTTGGGCTCGTGGTCTACCTCGTCTGCGATCTCTCTTTCTGCAAGCTCGTATACATCGTCTAACCCATTGTGGACTGCCACAATTTCTCTCCCCGTCGGTACCACGTTTGAGTACAAGTTCATTAAGAAGGACTCGGACGGCAGCATCGTCTGGGAGAGCGACCCGAACCGAAGCTATACTGTACCAACTGGCTGCTCGGGCACCACCGCTACCGCAAGTGCAATTTGGAGGTAGAGCGTTCGCTTGTAGCCCAAATTTAGCGACGAGAGAAAGTGGGTGGTGTTTGTTAATTGTGTTACTTGATTAGTGTATTACAATGTGACTTGCTGTAGAAATATCTAGCGGGGGCAATAAAGCCAAACAACTTTCGTAAACAAAGTTACTGAGACCAGCTCGGAGGGACCAGGTGAGCAAATCACTGAAAGAAATGAAGTTTTCACCCTGTATACAGAATTTGATTCCACTTGAGATAAAATTCTTAATGTCCCGATCTGAGACTCGCCTCGTATCTCCTTGAATATGTCTCGGGAAGTGGTGGACCCCACACCTCCCTGGAACAGTGTCTTGATTCTCTCAAAATCCTCGATGGAGGCGGGCGAGCATGTTGCTGAGATGCATGGCACAAATGATCTGCATAAGATGAAGATCCAAATGTGGAGTATAGAGAGCTGACAGTCCTGGAAGTCTCCTCGTCGCTGAATCTGACACACTTGATCTTAATCCCACCTCCATTTGTACGCGACGTATGTACTGTAGTACGAGGAAAGGTGCCTGAGACTGGCGAGGTAATGTGAAGGTGAGTGTATTTGGACGTGTCACCTGAGTAATTTTGGTCGTAGTGCTCCATCTTGGGAGGGTGAATAGCACATTCGTTACGGACTTTTGTTTGGGAAGTATACGACTCATAGCCCTCGTATTCGCTCGAGTCCGGCAATTGAGGCCGAGGCCGAGCATGGATACATGGGTGCTCGTGCCGATGTCGGGGGCAGCTGTCATGATGTCGAGTGCAGGCTGGAGCTTTTGATCTGGTGTTATATCTAAAGAGAGTGGTTAGTGACAACTAAGCATCTTCATGCAAGTATCACATTAAATCACGACCCAAGTTCGTACCCTCGAAACACTCCTCGGCCGTGCCGAGGGCAATCAAGCGTATGGGCTGTATCTCTGGCTATTGAGGCCTCATGCCGTTGATTTTGAGGGAAATCGTTGCTACTGGAATGTGGCATAGTTTGATGAATGTGAAACGAGTGAGTGGGACGAATGCAGTCATTCTGCTGACGAACTGAGTCTTCATGGTGTGAATGACAACCATGTTGCCCAGCTTGGGCTTGGCGCACACAGTCTCGGCACATGTTGACTTTGAGGTTGCAAGAGAATTCTGCGGGACGAGGTATTATTGATATATCCTCAGTCTAGGACTTATGGAGAGGGGCTCCCAAAGTAGATGTTCCTCCTAACCGTGATGCTCGGTCTACCTCGTACAAGCATTGGCTGATCTGGGACAAACAAGCCATGCAGTACTTTTGATTGCAACTGGACGGACACCCGCTTCTTCTCGTAATCCTCGTACGTGCCCGTTTGATACCTCTGAAACAGGAAACATATCACTTGCGAAACATCGTCCCCTTTCTGTAAGCTTTTGCAGCTTCTCCAATCCTATCCCAGCAGCCCAGAATGGAGATCCTTGAATGCTCCGAAGACTTTGGAGGTCCGATGGCAGGCTTAACCTTTCAAAGGACCACTGTAGTCTACAGCGTCAATGGCGCAATCTACCGGGCATATTCACGAAAGCGATATGCCGAGGCACAGAATATCCAAATCGGCGATCTGTATGGCACCAACAGGATCCAAAGCGCACTCGTCTTCCCCGAATTCCAGGACTCTTTCACTAAGGTAGAAGAGCCAGGGCCGCACCATTCGAGATGGTTTCTGAAGAAGCCAAGTCTATCGCCATACACTCCTAGATATCCAACCCTCATCAAAGAGACCTGGATTGAGGAAGTGAAGGCCTGCGAGATTTTGAAGGAAACTCCACACCCGAACGTCGCGCAGTACCACGGCTGCGCAGTTCTGGAAGATGGCACAATCAGAGGCATCTATTTTACAAGCTACGATGAGACACTCATGGAACGCGTAAACCCCCTCAGACGCAACAAATTGGACTCTGCATACGAGAGGCGTGGGGCCGATCAAGGCCAGGTCGAAAGTTGGGTGGAGAAGATTGAACGGGGTATCCGCCATCTTCACGGCTTGGGAATTGTGCATAACGATCTCAATCCATCCAATATCATGTTTCATGGCGATAACCCGGTCATTATCGACTTTGATTCTTCCCGCCCCATGGGCCATGATCTGAGCTTGGTCAAACGTACAGACGAGTGGCATGATGGTAAGGTTACAGAGGCGTTGCCAAGCAATGATCTGGATGCCTTGGAAGAAATCAAGTCATGGCTCTTGGGGGATGTTCATCGGTTCCGGTTCTGAAGCCAATTACATGACGAAACGCAGTTTGATAGCTTGAGTCATGCTCTCGCTTGGCTGCATCCTGGACTGTGAGTCACTGGCATCAAACAACATGCCATGAATTTTGCGGTATCGCTGATCATGTTTGCTCTAGCACTTCAAATTCAAGGCCGGAGAAGAGATGAAATTTGAGACTGGTATTTAATAATCAAATAAGATGGTTATTTCATAGTGGACATGATATTTCAGAACATATAATCGTTCTTTGCATATTTCATCTCACTATCGCCTCTCACTCTACAGTGAGGACATGGCCAGATGATGTGGGGAGTTGCTTGCTGGATGACATCGAAGGCGTGAAACGTTCAACCCATTCTTCTCGAATGGCAAGGAACGTATCGCAAACTACCTTTACGGCAGCTTCGCGAGAATCTCCACAGCTTTCAATGTAGACTGTTTCAGATAAAGTTATTAGTCAAGGAATTCTTTGTATAAAAAGGGAGGAAACATACACTTGACCTTTGGCTCTGTGCCCGAGCCTCGGAATGTGAAGCGAACACCGCCCTCGAGCCACAGAGTCAGCATCTGGCTGGTTGGATCTTCAGGCAAGTCTGGCTTGTTATCAGGGGTGCCAGAGTCGTAGCCTTCCGTCAGATCTCTCCATCGCAAGATCCTGAAACGGCCAAACTTCATGTTTGCAAGACAAGAGCTCCCTCGAATTCCTTGGAATAATGTTGAAGTGAGCTTCGGGTCAGGAGATCGGAAATAGTTGTTCAACGTCTCATGGTGGCCAAACTCTGCAAAGAGTTGCTGAAGCTTGGCATACACAGTCAATCCCTGTGATCTCCATTTTGCCTCTGCGGCAAGGAATACTGTGGCTGCTGTAATTCCATCCTTGTCATAGCAGACAGATGGGAACATATATCCCAGTGCTTCCTCGTACGCAAATGAAACGGTTTTTCCTTCCTTCTCAAGATCCCGGGCTACATTTGCCATCCATTTGAAGCCTGTTAGGGTCTCTTTGAAGTGAACACCTTTTGCGGCTGCCATCTTGGCCAGCATCCCGCTCGAAACTGTTGTAGTCAAGACAGATATATGAGACCAGTCTTTGTCGGCATCATAGGAATCCAGGATATGAGATGCGAATAGGACGCCAACATGATTTCCGGTCAATAATTGCCATTTCCCACTGCGATGGATATTAGCGATGGATAATCGACGGCTGAAGGGAGAAGAACTCACTCTACTTTTTCCGCTACAGCAAATCGGTCTGCGTCCGGATCATTTGCAATGATCAAGGTCTTTCCTTGTTTATCAGCAGTCTCAATAGAAAGGTCCAAGGCACCACTCTCCTCGGGATTGGGGAACTTCACAGTGGGAAAATCTGGATCTGGCTTCTCTTGGGCTTCAACAGGCACGAGGTTGTCGATCCCGAGCGAGTAGCACAACTCCGGAAGGACCAGACCTCCAACTCCGTGAAGGGGTGTATAAACAAATGGCTTTGGGGGTTCCCAGTTTACCACCGTGGATCTCTAAGGCATCGTCAGAGTTGTCACCCGAATTGATGTTCAAGAACGTACCATAAACTTCCCAACCTGCTCTTTGTAGTGGGGAAGGAGCTTTTGGTAGGAATCCGCGCGCAAGTATTCGCCGGGTTGCAAGGGCACCCATGCTGTTGGCCAGGGTTCCAGATTATCCTTAATTGACTTTGCAATCTCTCCATCTTCAGGTCGATTGATCTGCGCACCATTGCTCGAGTACCTATGAAGCAATGCCATTAGCTACTGTATGACAATCATCATGATTTGTCTTACACTTTGTAACCTTTAGAGATATTAGCATATATTATGGTTTATATAATGTGAGAAGCTTACCATTGTCTTGAGCTGGGTTCTTAAACACGCTCTTGGGTCAGTAGATGTACATAGTGGGTGTTCGGGTCAACATACGTGGCTTGCCGTCACCATGATACCCGCAGCGGCATGGAAATGGTTCACACCAAACGGCACCAGTGGTGTTGGTGCTTCCTGATCAAACAGAAAGACGGGAATCTTCTGCGCAATGAAAGCGTTGGCAGCGAGTGTGGCAAACTTCTTAGAGTTGTGACGCGCATCATGGCCAATGACTACACCATGCGAGGCGATATCAGAACGTTGATCACGGATAAACCTGGCTAGGCCTTGCGAGGCTTGTATGACTATCAAAGAGTTCATGCAGGAGAACCCTGCTGCCATGCGGCCTCGCAGACCCGCTGTGCCGAATTCGATGCCTATACTCGGATTAGACATGCACTAAAACCTCAAATGAAGACAATAGTGACACGTACGATCCCGCAATCGCTTTTTCAGTTCTTCAGTGGCATTAGAGTCCCGTAGCTGCTCTATTTCCGCACGGGTTGTAGGGTCCTATATCCGAGTCAGTTACATCAGGCCACCTGGAAACGGAAATACGGACCTGGTCCCATTGGAGCCATGTTTGGGTGAGTGTCGAGAGTGTATCCTATCAGAATTAATACAAAATCCAGAGCTGTTTAAGAAATGCTCACCATCATGCCATATGTGAGGTGTACAGTAATGAATGAAGTGACAAGCACGGGCTGACCGCCGATCGGTCCCCGCTGCGCTCCTCCGCTATGTTTCTGCCTTGTTTCCTATTAATATCTCCCTTGGCTGCTCCTTGCTCTTTTATCTTTGCACCTCGTCACTCATTTCACTATTTGGGCTTAGAACAATGTCTTTGTAAGGACGTCACTGTTGTTGACCTTGTACATCCACACCGCCGTGCCACACCATGGAGAAACCCCAGTCGTCCCGGAAGGACACCGTCTTGACTCGGCGGTATGTCGAAGGCCTCATTGCAGAAGGAAAACATGTTATTATCTTCGAGGGCCGTGTCTTGAAGGTAGACGCCTGGATCAAGTTCCATCCCGGAGGAGACAAGTCCATCAAGCATATGGTGGGCAGGGATGCGACGGATGAGATCAACGCGTACGTCCCTGCATAAGCCATAGACCAATACATAACTAACTTGGTTTTCTTTCGTCCAGACTTCATTCCCAAGAAGCCCGCGACCGCATGCCCTCATACCAGATCGGTCGAATTGAAGGAATATGGATCAACTTCCTACCCCCGATCCAGGGCGGCAAGTACCGTCCCTATACGGAGGAATCATGCTCGACGGAGGAGGATTCAACAAGTCAAGAGAGTTCCTATGGCTCTAGCCACGATGGATCTGTTCCTCCCTCGCCAGTCTTCGATGCGGTCGATTCAAAAGCCTCAGTCCGTCAGAGGAAGTCGAACACAGCCACCGACACTGTTTTTTCGACCCCGAACGCACCGCCCCAGCCGAAGTTCTTGGATGCCAGAACCAGAGAAGAGATTGCATTCGACATTGCCAAATATCCTTCGTTGGACACCGCTAATCAGGAGGAGATCAAGCGCAAATACCGTGAGCTGAATGAGCGGCTGAAGGCCGAGGGTCTTTTCAACTGCAACTACTTCGCATACTTCATTGAATGCTGTCGATACAGCTTGTTCGCAGGTCTGTCATACATGTTTCTACGCATGGAATGGTGGGCAGCCTCAGCATTTTTCCTAGGCTGCGTCTGGCACCAACTTGTGTTTACTGCCCATGATGCCGGCCATATGGGAATCACACACAATTTCCATGTAGACAGTGTTATTGGAATTATCATCGCAGATTACATCGGCGGCCTGAGTCTTGGTTGGTGGAAACGAAGCCATAATGTGCATCATATCGTGACCAATGAACCCGAACATGATCCCGACATTGAGCATATTCCATTCTTTGCCATCTCGCATCGTTTCTTTGACAGTCTTCGGAGCACATACTATGACCGAGTCATGGCTTTTGATGTTCCTGCTCAATTCCTGCTCAAGTTCCAGAACTACCTTTACTACCCTATCATGTCTCTCGCGCGTTTCAATCTAACTGCCCTGAGCTGGGAGTATTTACTGAAGCGCCAGGCTCCTCGAAATGGTCCCGCCTGGTGGCATTTCTATTTCGAGCTTGTGGGGCAGGTTTTTTTCTGGACCTGGTATGGCTACGGGATTCTGTACAAAACACTTCCCGATACCAGCAGTCGCCTGACCTTCCTTCTCATCTCGAATATCGTTCCCTCCCCCCTGCATGTTCAGATCACCCTATCTCACTTCGCCATGTCAACTGCCGACCTAGGAGTTGGCGAGTCTTTTCCACAGAAGATGCTCCGCACCACTATGGACGTCGACTGCCCAACGTGGCTCGATTTCTTCCATGGTGGCCTGCAGTTCCAGGCCATCCACCATCTGTACCCACGCATGCCGCGACACAATTTGCGTCGTGCCCAACAGCACGTCCTTGAATTCTGCCGTGATACTGGTATCCCATATGCAATATTCACTTTCTACGATGGAAATAAGGAGGTTATTAGCCGTCTCGGCGATGTCGCGAAGCAGCTCCGCCTCATGGAGGAGTGCCGCAAATCGATGTCCGAGAATGGTGTCTTCTCGGACCATCACCATTGATTCAATGGTGAGTAAAGTATTGTTCCCTGCGGGTCATGTGAACGAGGCTCTTGTCAATACATTGTCGCGACGACTGATGCCACAATTAGATGTGTTCTGATATATTAATGATCAATGAATGTTTTTCGCTTCAATGCTTCGTAGCTACTTTTGTAATGGTTTCAGAATGCTTAGATTACATGCATGATCATCCATGTGTGTGATGATCGTCAAGGCTTACATCACCCCACGACAAACTTCCACATGGATCATATCGATGTTTGCTTTTTTAACCAGGCATTCCACCCCCACGAGCCATCTTCTTCGCATGCTGCTGCCGACGGTTATGGTTTGCCCGACTTCCTTTATTGGCCTCTTTCCTCTGCCGCGAAGCAGCAGAATCTGGCTGGGCCTGATCCCCAGACGGAGCAGGCCCACCACCACGTCCACCACGCCCACGACCTCCACCTCCACGCCCCCTTCCACCTCTTCCTCCGCCATCACGACCACGCGAACCAGGCTGACCAGGAGACTCACCACCATCAGAGCCATCCTCGCCATCCTCACGAGGCTGCGGCCTCCGATAAGAAGTAGAACGCAACTCAGGCTGATTCAGAGCACCGCCACCGCCAGATCCACTAGCATCCATAGCCAGCCGATCCTCGAGCTTAGCAAGTCGCCTAGGATCACGCGTGAGCATAACAGCCCAGCCTTCAATAGCTTCATCAGTCATTTCAGTCTCGCGTTTCAGCGATGCACGAGGCTGCGAGCGGCGGGTAGCCGAGTCTCGGGCGAACAGGCCGGGGTTGGACTTGTATGTTCGGAAGAGAGTCATATCGAGGTCTGCTGCACGGCGAGTTTGGGCAGCGGCGTCGGCTTCAGCGTCTGTGCCGGCGGTCACGCCGTCCACGGTGCCGCCTACATCGGCTGCATCGTAGGTGTCGTCACGTTCGTCGTCGTCTGAGTCAAATGTTGCTAATGCGGAAAGGATAGCTGCTTTGTTTGCAGCGTGGCGGCTTCGATCTGCTAGGACTGTGTCGGCTGTTTCGTCTGGGTCTACGCGACCGAAGTGTAGTTTGCCTTTGCTTGCTGCTTCGTCTAAGCGGCTCAATTCGGCGATGTCGACGTCTTTGTCGAAGATGTTCTTGCGAATTGGGAGGGGTTCTGGTTGGGGTGAGGGCATTGCAGGTGGTGTTGGTTGTGGTGAGAGATGTTTATGGTGTGGTTCTGCTGTTGGGGCTAGTTGCTCTGATCGATCTAGGGATTGGAGTTCTAGAGGGAGCGAGTCGTCGAGGAGGTGGGCAACGATTGTTTCAGGGTTGTCGTTATAAAAATCCAATAGCCGTACAACAAATGCAGAGCCAAGATCGGGGAAGAGGTCTTGTACTTGGGTGACAAGCGACATTTTGTGTGCGTGAAGCTCCTCTGGGATGAGCACTCCTGAAGATGCATTTTTGCCTTTGTCCAGCTTTTTCTTTCTTTGGTATCGATGGTGAAGGGATTTAGATTCCACTTGGTAGGCGCGCAAGCTGGAGAGAAGATCTTCTCCCCGTTTCTGGGGGTGATTGGTAAGATACTTCTCTAGTCGAAGAAGCAAGTCCGAGCTGCATACAAGGTCTGATAGCAGTGTCGCCTCCTTTTTCATCTTCGGTGTTCCCACTCGGGCAGCGGCTTTGAGACCGAACAGCTGATCTAATAGCAATGACATGTTGGCAGATTGTTCCTTTAAAAAGGAGCACAATCCAACGTAGACGTTCGCAACTAGAATCTTTCGAAATTCTTCCCTGGCACTCTTCGCCTGGTAAGCTTCTGAAACTGTATCCAGGAAATCAGAGCCCGCCATGAGCACCTGACCAGAAGCTGGGAGCACGGAGGTAAGGATAGTTAGGCGGCGAATGTCTGAGATGACTTCAGGGTTTAAGAACGAGTTTGGGGAGGAAATGTTCTTGATAACAATTGCCTTTGCCTTCTCAATGCTGGAAGTGATCTTGTCATGATGCAGAACCCAGGCATTTGATAGTGACGTCTTGAGAACAGTGCTGGAAGGGTAGCAGCAACATAGATCACTGAGGAGTCTCCAATCCAGTAGTCCATCCGGTGGATTTGATAGACCAAGTAGGTACCGCCTTGTTGCTAAAAAGCAAAGCTTCCGAAGCTGTCGAGCTTTAGGTCCACTCTGTAGACTAATGTCCCCCGCTGCGACGGACTGATAGTAAGATCCCAGGAATGGGGGCGCAGATTCATCTTGGGCGGCCAAATCTCGGAATTTCTGGTCAGAGGCATTGAGGCGTATGCCCAGCAAGGTCATCCATGCATCTAGACAAGCTTCCCAGTCGTTCGAGGGGATTGTCCTCCGCACTGCGGGGGAGGGCACTGGGGCCAGCGGCGGAAATTCCGCCATTGGGACAAGCTGCGCTGGTTCAACTGAGAGTAGGTAAGAGACTACAAAAAAGAAACGATCAAGCAAATCAAGAAACGAAAACTACCGTCAACTCTGATTATATCTCCAATGCCTCAAACTTGGCAGTTGTCCCAAAAGAGCGATGACTCATCCCTGACTCAGCAACAAGGTCCAGCGCACCCAAAGAGGATTAGCGTGCGATAACCGAAGCGCCAAGACTTTCGCACTGAACTTTTCGGTATCGAATTCTCGCTCCACACTGTTTCTGCCAGCCATCATCACCTTACCGAGCCTAGAAGTTCAGGTCTTGACGGCATTCGCCCTTTTAAATTGTACGTGATCTCTTACTCGAACCTCTCGACTTCACCCGCTAATCCACCCCCAGCACCAATCATTCAAGATGTCTTTCCAGAAGCCCGAGAAGGATTTCGGCGAGGGCCCTGTACGTTGTCGCCAACCCTTATTGTCCCAATTGCACGCTGTCGTCGTTGTGCGCAAACTGTGAAAGGACCTCACAACCCTTGAACAAGTACTAATCGCCTCTCTCGCCTGCTATACAGAAGGTCCACAAGATCCGTATCACCCTGACCTCCCGCAAGGTTGCCTCCCTCGAGAAGGTCTGCCAGGAGCTCATCGACCGTGCCCGCTCCAAGTCCCTCCAGGTCAAGGGCCCCGTCCGTCTCCCTACCAAGACCCTCCAGATCTCCACCCGCAAGACCCCCAACGGTGAGGGTTCCAAGACCTGGGACAAGTACGAGATGCGCATCCACAAGCGTCTGATCGAGTGAGTTTTACCCCGCTGTCTCTGTCTGGAAGGCAGATTTTTTGTATGGAGATGCAGTCACTAACATTGATTGTTTACAGCCTCCTCGCCCCCACTGAGACCGTCAAGCAGATCATCATCAACATCGAGGCCGGTGTTGAGGTTGAGGTTACCATTGCCGCTTAAATGATCTAGCCCTGGGCTTGCTTTAGGGAGGGATCATGTGCTGGTGAATTTGTAGTGTGAAAGCGCTACGTTGGACCCGGTGCGAGCCTGCAGACTTTATCTGTGCTATGGGTGATCCCGTTTAACCTAATATACTAAAATCAAAAAATGGAAACATCTTGAAAAAAAAAGCCCTTTTGAAGTTCTGTAATCTGGTAGTCGTATTTGGATTCATAGGAATCGTCTACTTATACAAGAAAAAAATACCTCCCGAACGCCGTCTGCCATGTTTGCGCATACTGGACATGCCGTCCTTTGTTATGCCAAATGAAACCCCATGCACAAAGAACAAAAACAAATAAAATAATGCAAATCGCATTTCATAAATCACAAATTGCAATGTTGATATCAAAAATCGAAGCTAATCCACTCTCTCTTAGGGGCAACGGATGGGATGCTATCCTTGAAGTACCCGTTGTTGAGGAAGAAATCATATGCCGCAGCCACTTCTGGAGTGTATTCCTCTGGCTTGGCTTGAGAATCACGTAGACTGGCTGAATCAGGCGGTCCATTGGGGAAATTGACGCGGACCAACGTGCTGTTGTCTTGCGGGTGCAAGTAGCAAGGGTGGTCATTGACGTACTTCACTGGACGGCCCTTCCACATAGTCAGACGTTTCGATGATGGATCATGCCTTGTCTCGCCCTGCAGTTCTGGAAGTGGGTTGAGTTGGCTCGGGTCGTCAAGCTTGAGGAATGCTCGAGGGCCAGCATCAGCATGCTGCACTGGCACGCCTTGAGGTACGGCGGGCTGGTTGAATGGGCTTGCTGCTGGTTGAGATGGGGTCCCAAATGGATTAGATGCTGCTGGTTGTGAGGGCACTCCAAATGGGTTAGATGCGGCGGGTTGAGATGGTGGGAATCCAGACGTTGGTTGTGGCTGTCCAAATCCGCCAGAGGCAGGAGCTGCAGGTTGCTGTGAAGCTGTTTGCGCGAATGGTGAGGGAGCGTTTGTAGGAGCAGGTTGCCCGAAGCCCCCGGGGGCTGCTTGATTGTTAGAGATTTGGCTGAAGGGCGAGGAAGAGGTAGCTGGAGCGCCAAAAGGGTTTGATGCCGGGGCTGCCGGGGCTGCGGGCTGTCCGAAGCCTGGTTTGCCAAACCCGGATTGTCCTCCCAAAGTCGATGGCTGACCAAAGCCGGAGCCACCCAAATTCGATGGCTGGCCAAACCCAGAAGACTGGCCTAAGGTCGAGGACTGTCCGAAGCCGGTTGATTGTCCCAGAGTCGAGGGTTGGCCGAAGCCGGATGACTGGCCTAGAGCTGAGGGCTGTCCGAAACCAGACGATTGGCCAAGGGCCGAGGGTTGTCCAAAGCCGGAAGATTGACCTAGGGTCGAGGATTGGCCAAAGCCGGACGATTGTCCCAGAGTTGATGGTTGGCCGAAGCCAGACGACTGGCCCAAAGTTGAAGGCTGCCCGAAACCTGAGGACTGACCGAGGGTTGAAGGTTGACCGAAGCCAGATGACTGACCTACAATCGATGGTTGCCCGAAGGCTGAGGGAGCATTGCCTAGGGCCCCAGGAGCTAGGTTAGCATTGGGGCCTGTCTTGCCCTCAACGATATCGAGTCTGTTAGGGTGCTCGTTCTTGCCATCGATGATGAACTTGACAGCGCCATTCAGATCACCCAGGGCAACGTCCATCTGCTTCATAGACTCTGCCCACATGGCCTGGGATTCCTGTACCGCCTGGTCGATGTTACCCGCCGCTGCCAATTCATAATGGCGCGCACGTAACTCTTCCGGACTTTGCTCGCGCCCAGGACCACCGAACAGCTGGCGTGGAACATGCTGCTGTGGTGAATAGGAGGAAAAGATCCATAATGGACGGTTCTTGCCGGCAGTCAGGTCAAGCTTGATATCACTTGCGTTCACGCCAAAGCTGTATCCCATTTAGTTCCAGGTTCCATCAAGATTGCCAGGAGGTTGACCTACTCATCTGCATATTTCTTGCTCTGGGATTGGTTTGGGGAAGATGTTCCGCCTGTCGTAGGATTTTGGTTAGAAAAGGAAACAGTAACGCATCGAGGCGGCTATAGGCTAAGTGAAAAGGGCATGGTCTGAACAGTGGTGTTGATACAAATGCAATGGTTAGGGAGCAACGGAAGAATAACAGGGACACAGGCAAGGATCGAACATGTAGACTGGAACGTAAAAAAGTATCGCATGCACAATTTGGGGCGAAATGGCTGGCATAAGAATATCGGTCATACTCACTAAACCCAGAGAGAGCCCCGAATCTATTGCCCGAAGGACCAGCTGTGGCTCTGCCAGGATGCTCGAATTTGCACTTATCTGCAATCGTAATGTTAGCAACTTCTTTCAACATTGCTCGAATAATAATTACCTCCGAACCGGCAGCGCCCCTGCTGGAAGAAGGTGCAGACGGTCATCGTTGGTCTCGATTGCCGGGTTAGCTCCCTGGGATAAAAGGCAGAGCCAGGAGACGAAAGAGGACGGTATTGTCACGCAGTAAGCTGGAGAGAAAATTCCCTCTGATTAGGAAGAAGTGAAGAGGGGTCTGAAGACAAAAGATGAATAGAATAGGTTGGGGCAGCGCGTTAGCAAGGAAAACCCGCGTGGTTTGCACTTTTTCGCGGTATCCGGTATCTTATCGCTATGTCACCACGCACGCTGGACGAAGTATGTCTTTCTAGTGATTCTTCTGATATAACTGATCTAAGAGTCAAATATAATTGAATCAATTTTGATTTGTTCTTTGGGGGAATCTGAGAATCTACTTACGGATGACAATGAGAAACCGGTTCTTGCTATATATATCATGCAAAAGTCTACACACCATGTAAAGTAAATGTGCCTTTGACTTACCTCAACCAAATCAATTACAATAATTACAATTTAAAATATCAATTGTCATAACCGTCAACTCCTTTTGATATTTCAATTCTAGCCAAACATTTAACCCAGTATCGCTGCACTGGTTGGGTATATCATCTACACGTGTCTTATGCTACCTCGAAGGTTATCCCAGTTCAAACCATCCACCTTCTTGCCACTCAAAGATTCAAGCTCGGGGGAAACATCGGAAAGTTGCCCGGTTGCGAGACGTCGCATCATGACGGTATCCTTGGCCCCGGGAAGTGTGCTGGCATTGCCGTGCAGCAGTACTGATTCGAACCATGCTTCCTCATCCTCATCCAGCGGCAGCCCGACCAGTTCCATAGCGCGCCGGCTTCTGGTCTGGCCAGGACTAGCCTTATGAACAAATTCCACCAGCTGCTCAAAGAAGCTCTGACGGTGGGCATCATCGTACTTGCGTGTGAAGTAGAACGCCTCAGTGAGATTGGATCGGCTAAGAGTTTCGAAGAAAGCTTTGCGAACCTTTTCGCTGGCCAGAGGAGGAGCTACAGTGAGGTAGTATGCGATTGCGAGGCTATCGTCGTGTCGCGGAAGCTTGGTGAGAGCCAGGGCGTAGAGAATTTCATCCGGGAAGGTCGGAATGAGTGATGGCTCAGTGAGGTACTCGAGTGCTCGCTAATAGAGTCAGTAGCTGCCAGAAAGCAGTAGATTTGAAGATCCGTGTGAACTCACCCGGAAATCAAGTCGATCAAGGTGCCAAAGGCCCTCAATGAAGAGACGGTATTTCTCTGGTAGATGGCATTGTTGCGCATACTGAATTGGAGCTTCTGGAGCAGCGCGACAATCTTTGAGGACGTAGTAGACTAGAGATTGTTTGTGTTCGATATCCAGTTCCGAGGAAACGATATGATTGAAAAGTTCTCGAAGATCCGCATTGCTCTTGGGAGGATAGACCTTTGTCACTGGAAGGGAGTCAGTCGTCCACCTACATATTGAACCTGGGGCTTCAAGTCATACCTCCTTGGATACCAAGCAGTTTTAGCAGTCGGTCGGCGAAGAGCTGGTTCTCGAAGGCACGCCGATTGGCAAGGATCTGTTCAAAAACCTTGGACTCATAGGTGTACTTCTTGTTGAAGGAGAACACCTGGTCAAAGATCTCCCAGGGCGCCATGATGATGCTGAGAGAAAGAAGTAAACGTCACAAAGGTCAAGTTGAAGCTCCGCGGAGAGGTAATTACCGTACGGTAACTTACAGCGGGATGGGGCGGTGAGGGGCTTGTTATGGCAGAACGACGGCCGCTTTTCCTCTTTGGGCGCGAGGTAAACAACCCACTTTCGTCGGACAAAACACTCCCACCTCCATGCAATCATTGATCCATCATGGCTGCAGTCGTTAAGGGCAGGTCAACGCGCCGGTCTGCTCCCCGTCGGAGCTACGTTGTCGAAGATACCTCTGAATCCGAAGACCCCGGAAATGTCACACCCACACCCGATACGCATGATGACGAAGAAGCTGAGGAGGAGGATTACACCCCCGTTCCTAAGAAGGCAAAGAGAACCTCCAAGAGCCGGATGACTCTAGAACCGAAGACACCTACCACCGTACGCCCTGCCAGTAAAACCCAAGAAGCGACAGATGATTCCGATGCGTCGCAAATGGACACCGAAGAGGACGAAACGAATGATGAAAATGATGAGAACGACGAGAACGACGAGAACGACGAGAACGACGAGAACGATGAGGGTGTTAGTATCGCATCGATTGAAGCCGACCCTGAATCCCCGTCTAGGAACGCGGCCTTGAAAAGAAAAAGTATGCCCCGCAAGAGTCGCGGCTCAATCACACCCAAGCCGGCCAAGGGCTCACTCCCTACTCCAGAGCCGTCAGAATCGCCAGAGCCTCAAGCGCGCGCACGCGCAAGTGTGCCGCCTCTCTCCGACATCACCGAATCCGCCGTGAATCAATCGCCCGCAAAAGAATCGGAAGAACCCAAGTCCCAGATTTCCATCATCAACCCGAACTCGACAGTCTTGGAGAAGCCTATGGATATCGTGGCCAAGTCAAGGACCCAGATTCCCACGGACCCTGAGGAATCTGCGGCACCTAAGCCCCGAATGATAATTGAAAATCTTATTCTGACAAACTTCAAGAGTTACGCGGGAAAGCAAATCGTCGGACCATTCCACGCCTCCTTCTCGTCCGTCGTCGGACCCAACGGCTCCGGAAAGTCTAACGTTATTGACTCGCTACTCTTTGTGTTTGGTTTCCGTGCCAGCAAGATGCGACAGGGCAAAATTTCCGCTTTGATTCATAACTCAGCTCAATATCCAGACCTCGCCTACTGCGAAGTTGAGGTTCATTTCGCACAAGTTCTCGATTTGTCCGAAGGTGGATCTGAACTAGTCCCAGATTCCCAACTGATCGTTTCTCGACGCGCCTTCAAGAACAACACCAGCAAATACTACATGAACAAGAAGGAGACCAACTTCGCAACTGTTGGAGCCTTCCTCCGCGACCGTGGAATCGACCTTGACCACAAGCGATTCTTGATTCTGCAGGGTGAAGTCGAGTCCATTGCTCAAATGAAGCCTAAAGCAGCCAATGAACACGACGAAGGCTTGCTGGAATACCTAGAGGACATTATCGGAACCTCGAAGTATAAGACACCCATCGACGAAGCTGCGACCGAGCTCGAAACCCTGAACGATGTCTGCGTGGAGAAAAACAACCGTGTCCAGCACGTGGAGAAAGAGAAGACCGCCTTGGTGGACAAGAAGGACAAGGCTCTGGCATACATTCGCGAGGAAAACGAATTGGCTCAGAAGCAATCCGCTCTTTACCAGATCTACATTGATGAGTGCGCTGACAATGTCCGCGTTACGGAAGAGGCCATCCTCCAGATGCAGGAGCTGCTGAATATGGAACTCGAGAAGCACGAGGGGAATGAAACCGGCATCAAAGAGACCGAAAAAGCCTACAAGAAAGGTGTTCGCCTTTATGAATCCATGGAGAAAGACACCCAAGCCTTGCTCAAAGAGATGGCAAAATACGACAAGGAATCGGTCAAGTTTGAGGAGAAGAAGAAGTTCTTGCTCGGCAAACAAAAGAAGCTTGAAAAGGCAATGCAAACCAGCCGACTTGCTGCTTCCGAATGCCAGAGTTTGGTCGAGAAGTTCACCGACGACATCGAGAAGAAGACTGCCGAGACTACCCAGCTTGAGCAGGAAATGTCGACTGAGGAGAAAGAACTCAACACAATCCGTGAGGGTCTCAAAGGCAAAACCCAGGGCCTCTCTGATCAAATTGCCACCAAGCAGAAGTCTCTTGAGCCGTGGAACGAAAAGATCAATCAAAAGCAATCCGCAGTTGCTGTAGCTCAGAGTGAACTTGATATCTTGCGTGAGCGTAGCAACGCTGGGACCGTCCTTCTTGAGGAAGCACAGGCCAAGATCGGGACGATCGAGGACAGCTTGCAGTCCAAACAAAACGACCTCGAAGAGCGACATGCCCAGAAAGAGACCTTGGAATATGAAGTGGAAAAGTTCAAGCACGATCTCAAGAAATACGCTGGCCGTGAACCCGAAGTTCGCTCACATGTCTCAAGTGCCCGTCAAAAGGCGGAAGATGCCCGCGCCAGCCTGGCAAGTACCCAGAACAGTGGGAGTGTCTTGACTGGTTTGATGCGACTTAAAGAGTCTGGTCGTATCGATGGATTCCATGGCAGACTGGGCAACCTGGGTACTATTGACGAGAAGTACGATGTCGCAATTTCCACCGCTTGTCCTGCTCTCAACAACATGGTGGTGGAAACTGTCGAGGTCGGCCAGCAGTGTATCGACTACCTGCGAAAGAACAACCTCGGCCGAGCCAACTTCATCCTTCTTGACCGTCTCCCCCGTCGTGATATGTCTACGATTTACACGCCTGAAAGTGTTCCTCGTCTCTTTGATCTTGTCAAGCCCAAGGATGAAATGTTTGCACCCGCTTTCTACAGTGTGATGCAAAATACCCTGGTTGCAAAGGACCTTGAACAAGCCAACCGTATTGCCTATGGTGCTCGCCGATGGCGAGTGGTGACTCTTGACGGTCAGTTAATTGATGTGTCAGGAACAATGAGTGGTGGCGGAACACGTGTCTCCAAGGGTGGTATGTCTTCCAAACAGGTTGCCGATGTCACAAAGGATCAAATGTCTCGTCTCGAGACAGACCTCGAGGATCTCGAGAGGAAGTTCCAGGCCTTCCAAGAGAAGCAGCGAAATGTCGAAGCTCAGATGCGAGAAAGACTGGAGGAAATCCCGCGAGTGGAGACTAAGATTCAAAAGATCATGATCGAGATTGAGAGTACCAAGCGTAGTCTCGCCGATGCCCAACGACGCGTCAAGGAGCTGGGCGCACAGCACCAGCCATCGGACTCTGATGAAGGCCAAATCGCTGCTCTCGAGAAACAGATTGCCAAGACCGAGAAGGAGATCGAGAAGCTCAACGAGGAGAAGAGTGGTATCGAAGAGGAGATTTCCACCCTTCAGAGCAAGATCATGGAAGTTGGTGGTGTCCGACTTCGTGGCCAAAAGGCCAAGGTTGATGGCCTCAAGGAGCAAATCGGCTTGCTCGCTGAAGAGATCTCTAATGCCGAGGTGCAACAATCCAAGAACGAGAAACTTATCAAGAAGCACACGAAATCTCGCGACGACTCGGAGAGGGAGATTGGACAAATCACCGAAGACCTAGAGAAGCTGGAAGAGGATGTCTCTAACAAAGACAACGACGCCTCCGAGTGGAGACAGAAGGCCGAGGAGGCCCAGGAGGTAAGATGACCAGTATTCAGAAAATCTTGAGCTTTAAACTGATCACAACCAGGCATTGGAAACCAAGAAGGGCGAGCTTCAGACCATGAAGGAAGAACTCGACGCGAAGGTTGCTGAGCTTAATGAGACACGAGCCACCGAGATTGAGATGCGCAACAAGCTGGACGAGAACCAGAAGGCCTTGGCTGAGAACCAAAAGCGCAGTCGCTACTGGGAAGAAAAGCTTTCGAAGCTGACCGTCCAGAACATTAGCGATATTGGCGAGGAGCAGGAACCCACAGAGCTCCAGATATACACCAAGGATGAGCTAGAGGCCATGAACAAGGAGTCTTTGAAGGCGGTCATTGCTGCTCTTGAGGAGAAAGTTCAGAATGCTTCTGTCGATTTATCTGTTATCGAAGAATACCGTCGCCGTGCTGCTGAGCATGAATCGCGCTCAGCGGATCTGAACACAGCATTGGCATCTCGCGACGGTGCAAAGGCTCGCCTGGACGGGCTTCGATCTTCCCGTCTGAATGGATTTATGGAAGGATTCGGTATCATCTCTTTGCGCCTCAAGGAGATGTACCAAATGATCACTATGGGTGGTAACGCCGAGTTGGAGCTGGTGGATTCCTTAGACCCCTTCTCGGAAGGTATTCTGTTCTCAGTCATGCCCCCCAAGAAGAGTTGGAAGAACATTGGCAACTTGTCTGGTGGAGAAAAGACCCTGTCCAGTTTGGCGCTGGTCTTCGCTCTTCATCACTACAAGCCTACTCCGCTCTATGTCATGGACGAGATTGATGCCGCCCTGGATTTCCGAAATGTGAGTCACTACGCTAGTTGTTTTCAAGCTGTATACTAACTGCCTCGTAGGTTTCTATTGTCGCCTCGTACATCAAGGAACGGACGAAGAACGCACAGTTTATTGTCATTTCATTGCGAAATAACATGGTACGTTGCACTCTTTCTTCATTAAAAGGAACTATACTGACTATTCTCTTTAGTTCGAACTTGCTGCCCGACTTGTCGGTGTTTATAAGGTCAACCACATGACTAAGAGCGTAACAATTGAGAATCGCGATTATATCACGGGTCGGTAATGACTTAAGATGATATGCATTATTGTCGTTCTTGATTTTCACCACTTGTCTGGATGCACAGGGTTGTCTGCTGTTTTTGATGATATCATGGGACCGGAGTATAGGGATTTTTGGATATTGTTTCTTCTTACAGTTATGCTCGTGCACTTAAAAACGTGTTCCGAATAGCATAGATCTTCCTTCAATTGTATAGCCGACAGCACTGCACGGAGGGTTTAGCCTAAAGCAAGCAGTCTTGTCTTCTCCGCATTGATCGCCAACCAAACTTCCATTTAGTTATATAGTATGACCCTCAGGTCTTCAATCTCCGAACAAGCTCTAATAGATCTAAAACAACCGGTGCTAGGTTCTAGTCAAACCCCTCTCATTGGTTGATGGGGTAGTCGATTACAGGAACTATAAACTGAGGCACTTGGAATTGAGCAGAAGAGAGTTCAAGAACGAGGCGAAGAAAGAAACGACAAAAGAGATGAAAAAGAAAGACTAACGCCAGAAGAGCAATACATCGAGGTGTACACTCACTACAACATTTCTTCATTCAGTCTTTCATTAGTGGCACAATGTAAATTGTCAAGTACAGGATCTAAAGTAAATGTCATCGTTTTCTTGATTCTAGTTCTCAGCATTTCTCCACAACAGGATCTTAATCGTCCGTTACACTTCCCCGCATCCAATCCACTGTACAAGACTTTCTCTGTGACATGCATACATGTACAGTAGCTCAAACACTGCAGCGCTAGGTAGTGCAGCAAGTGGATTCGTCCAGTCCAGGGTTCACATAATTCCAAGTATTCCCAGTACTTCACAGCCGAGGCTTAACCAGACTCCGGATAGCCCATGCAACAACACAATTACAAAAATCTGACCAGTAAGCCGCCCCAACGGCCAATGAACAACCCTGCTCAATCACACAAGAAGATTTCAAGTTTGAAAAAGCGTAGATCGCGCCTTTTCTGTGTGCCAAGACCGACGTCCGGTTGACGTCAGAAGCGGGAGAGGAGGTTGGGGTCGGAATAGATTGCGTGTTGACTTAAGTCTATAAGATGTGAGGCTCGGGGACTTTATCTCGCCCCTCCTTCCCTCTTCTCTTTTTCTCATTGTGCGGGTGATTTGTTGCAATCGCTTTATACACACACTGAAACCCACGTTTGGTGTGGCGAGCTCCAGTTCGCTGCAGACCCACCTCCTGCATAGCATTGCCAGCCACCAGGCCAGGAACAGATTGGAAATCCCCGAGATCCGATCGAGATCGGATCAAAGTGTACTGTACAACACAGTAGACTGCAGCCATGGTAAGTCTAAGTTAAGCATCACCATCCATCGATGTATACATCTCCAACCCATCCATGGCACCTGCGCCCGGCCCGAACAAGAACCACGGATCAAACCTCGAATTGTGCACTAGCTTACCTACGTTTAACTATAGGCTCCCATCAATTCCATCCTGCCGAGACAATCAAGCGGCGACAACTGCCCGAGTACTATATCCGGCGGCGCAATCGCAGGCATTGTGATCGGCTCGATCGCAGGCACACTTCTCATCCTCTGGTTGTGGCGTGTCTTCAGCCTACCAGGAGCGTGGAGCGGTGGCGACCAGCCGGATGTCGGATACCGACCGCCCATTACTCGCAGTAGTACGAGTAGTCGCGGTCGGAGAAAGCGTCGGCGTCCTTCCGGGACTTATGTCGACTATGTTGAGAAGCCGACTAGTACACGGCGGTATCGAGATCGGGATGATTTGCGTCGGCCTGCCAAGGTTTATTTGACTGATCCTTGAATACAATTGATTGTTGAATCAGTGGATGGGGCTGTGGAGGATGATTCTTGTTATTTCTCCCCCTCCCCCTTCTTTCTTTTCTTTTTCTGGCCCTGGGTTGGGATTGGGTGGATGAGCCTTGGCTTTTCGACTGATCTATTGGCGCAGTCGGTTTTGCTATTTTTATTGCTTTTGAACTCGGCGATATGGATATGATTACTCCATATGGGTATTGGGTGGAGGGCCGTGGATGGACCGAATTCAGGCTTGGGGCCTGAGTTATGAGACATGATATGAGTGACGCTTTGTGAATGCTTTGTGATATGAAGCTTGATGACTGATGATTATGAAGATTGGGATGACTTCCAAGATTGCCGATCGATGCTTTAATTCTTTATATGTGCGGTCGTGATTCGGGCGATATTTCCCCTGTTGTGATTCGAATACATGGTTAGAAATCGTTATATTATTTCGCATTGAAGCACGTTGGATACATGTGGTTGCCTACAGAAGTTATAAGTAGGATGGGGGAAATTAGCGGGCCTGCCCAGGTATATAGTGCACTTGGCATGCTCAAGCTAGACCAAACCGTGTGACCACCGAAAACCGTGGCGTTCGATCGATCACCAAGTTGACCCCTGATTCTATTCGAGTACATCCAACGGCCGTGGAAAAAACGCCGCAGCCGTCACCGCACTGTTATCGGCGAATAAGGGGTCATGACCCTGACTAGTAATTGGGGTTAGCCTCGTGTGATGATGGTCCCACTCGACGAAGTCAGCAAAAAACCTGGGTTAGACAACTCCACTGGGGGGACAGGGCTTGGCTTATAGATGGGGATTCTATTGGTTCTGGCGAGCGGATACTCATCAAAGTCAGTTCAAGAACAGGTCTGACGAACCGAACCGAAATAGATTGACAGAATCCTTGAGTTTTCAAGGGGCATGTGCATGAATAAGTCAGTCAAAAGGGATCTTCATTGCAGATGATTTCCCCCAACTGGTCTAGACCGGAATTATCCGCTAGCTGATCCTGGTATATTCTACTTCCTTCAGTGATAGTACATCCTTCTAAGCAAGTTAAACGCCTCGGATAATGTACTAGAAGTACGAATCATGTATGAACTCGACCGTTCGGAGTATACAAACACCCTGTGCAGCTTTGATTACCTCTGCGGGTCCTTATCGCTCTGACTTGCCCAACCAATCAGGGTCGCTATCACCTCAAAGGGGACTTAGTCTCAAGCACGGGGCCCTGGTAATTGCCAGATACAGTTAGCGTTCTGCGCCAAACTGGACACCTCTAACCCTATGCAGCTAGCTCTGACCTGCCCATAATCTCTGCAGCGTAAGGGGAAACACAAAAATAATATAACGCCTAAAACACCGCTAGCCTATAAGCCCACTTAGTCTTCCCCTTTCCCTTCTTTCATGTACTGACTGCTGCTCCTCTCGTGCAATCGGGCACAATCCACTCTTTACTATCGAGCTTCGTTCTCGAGTCCATTCTTTTATACAGTCATTCCTTTAGATCTGCAGATCTGATTACACTCATTAGATATGTGGTACTCTCTTGCTCTGCTGGCCCTGGCCAGCTATGCCACCGCACAAACGTCAACAGACTGCAACCCGTTGAACGTAACATGTCCCGCAGACCCAGCTCTAGGAACAGAACACACATGGCACTTCAACAGCACGTTGGACGAAACCATTTGGAACATGACCACCGGAACCTACGAGTATGGCGACGACGGAGCCGAATTCACCCTCGCGACAGAGGGCTCCTCCACCCTCCTGCAATCTAACTTCTATATCTTCTTCGGTGTCGTGGAATCCCACGTCAAGATGGCCAAGGGCGGCGGTCTGATTAGCAGTGTGGTCCTGGAATCCGATGACCTGGACGAGATCGATTGGGAGTGGGTGGGATATAACACTAGCCAGGTGCAGTCTAATTTCTTCGGAAAGGGCAACGATAGCACATTCGACCGCGGCGGCTACCACGACGTCACAAACGCAGACACCGAGTTCCACAACTACACTACCTACTGGGATCAGGATAAGCTTCAGTGGTGGATCGACGGCACTATGGTCCGTCAGCTCAACTACGATGATAAGGGTACCCTTGGTGGAAAGAACTACCCGCAGACACCCTGCCGCGTGAAGTTCAGTCTCTGGCCTGCCGGTACGAAGAGTGCTGCACAGGGTACAATCGAGTGGGCTGGTGGTCTGGTCCAATGGGACGATGCTCCTTTCACCATGACCCTTGGAAAGCTCCGCGTGAAGGATTTCCACACCGGAAAGGAGTACACTTACTCGGACCACTCAGGTTCCTACGACAGTATCGACGTGGCCAGGTGAGTTACGTAATGATAGAACGCCTTGGATCATAGCTAACCTAACCTCCAGCGGAAACTCTACCACAGTTACAGAGCTGAACAAACCCCCGCCCAAGTCCCTAGCCGAGAAGTGGGATGACCTGGGTGAAGGAGCTCACATCGGAATCTACTGCGGCGCAGCCGGAGCCGGAGTCCTCGCCATCGCAGCCTTCCTCATCTTCTGTCTGCGCCAGCGCCGCAAGGGTCGTCTCGAACACGCCCTCGACGACAGCCGCTATGCCGAGAACCGTACCGAGATGCAGAACTTCCAGAATGACTGGAAGCAGAGCGAGTGGAAGCACGGTGGCTACCAGCAGGTCAGCAACTAGCCTTGAAAAATTGTATTCCACGAACCTGCAACCCTTCTTTCCCTATAATGAACTGTTCTGTTGGTTTCCACTCCGTTGCACAGTATGCCCGGTCATTCAAATATCGCCATGCCAGTCACAAAGGTCCAAGGCCTTTGTGATGACCAACGGAGTCGGAATAATGACCATCTTCTCTCATCTCAGGCTTCCTATCGCTTGCCTCATCTCTCTATATCTCCCACACTGTCTTCGCATTGCACCGCAGAGCCCGTTCGTTTCGCCTGCGCCCTCTTTCTGTTGATATCCCACTTTTTGGCCTCGGTCGAATATTTCCTTCGTTGGCGTTGTTTAGACCGCCTGATGCTGTGCCGTCTGCAAGCTCATATCCATGTATATACTTTATCATAAAACGGGTTTTATTTCAATTGTCGGGTTCAATGTAATTGTGATTGTATCCCTTGCGGGCCGTCGGATCGGGGCGATGAGTATCCGCTACTCTGTCTCAACGGCCAAAGAATCACCGCCCACCGACCCCTTTGACACAGCCACCGTGTTGCGATTTGTTCGAAAGGTGACGGTTGCCTATCCCTATGCAGCTTGTGCTCAGATTAGCGTATCACATCTGCCAGGGCTATTTTTTTCGGAGGTTAATCATGCAGTATGACCTCATCTGGAGAATTTGACATGAGTCCGTCCTTGTGTATGGACGACATGATCGGCGTCAGCTTGATTCGTGTACAGCTCCGTGGATGATCGGGAACCCCTGATCTTTTTAGCAATGGAGTTGTGAGTGTTGTGTTCATTGTCTGTGCTGGAACTCCGATCATAACTTATGTTCGGGATTCACGTCAAATCCGACCGACACTTTACACTTCACTTAATCTGCCAAGTTTACCTCTCGGCACGATTAATATAGATCAACACTGATTGGCATTCGGACAGGCCCAACCCGTAGTGGAACCCTTTCCAGAACAACCTGAAACACGGGATTTAGTTGACGTCGACTGGAAATGTGAGGCCGAGGTTTGGTGCTAATAGCTTTATTTTTTCCAAATGTTTATAAAAGGACATTGTCCCTCCTTGATCTACTCGATCTATTTCTATCTATAATTGCCTTCACGCTTCATTTCACTTTCACCTCCAACATCGAAAACGTCAACGCCACCTCCGGATTTGGTCGCACGGGATCCCCCAACCCCGCCATCTGATCCACCGACTTTCACTTCTGCCTTGAACTCCCTTCGAGGTCGTCTTTCACATACCATGAGCTCCGTGAAAGAGGTCCCAATCCCGGGACCAAGGGGCGTCCCGATCTTGGGCAATATCTACGACATCGAACCCGAGGTTCCAGCCAACAGCTTCGAGTTACTAGCCGAAAACTACGGTATGCCGATCAACATAAAACAAGATACTCCATATACTAATCTGTTCAATTGCTGTTCCTAGGCCACATCTTCCGGCTGACTACGTTCGGCAAACCCAGAGTATTCATCAGCTCACATGAGCTAGTCGACGAAGTATGCGACGAGGAACGATTCACAAAGATTGTTTCGGCCGGCTTACATGAGATCCGAAATGGTGTACATGATGGTCTTTTCACGGCCAACTATCCCGGCGAGGAGAACTGGGCTGTTGCTCACCGTGTCCTTGTTCCTGCATTTGGTCCGTTAATGATTCGGGGGATGTTCGATGGTGAGTACTCTCGCATTTCATGTGGAAAGTTCCAAAGGGAGCTATAATGGCTCACATTGGAATAGAAATGTACGACATTGCCACCCAGCTCGTCATGAAATGGGCCCGCCAGGGTCCTAGCGCGCCCATCGAGGTAACAGACGACTTCACCCGCCTTACACTGGACTCGATTGCCCTCTGCGCAATGGGTACCCGCTTCAATTCATTCTACCATGATGAAATGCACCCGTTCGTTGAGGCCATGGTTGGCCTGCTGGCTGGGTCTGGAACTCGCGCTCGTCGACCTGGTTTGATCAACAGCTTGCCGACAACTGAGAACAGCAAGTACTGGACCGACATTGAGTATCTACGGAATCTTGCACAGGAGCTTGTTGATAACCGGAAAGAGAACCCTGTTGAGAAAAAGGATCTCCTTAACGCTCTTATTTTGGGACGGGATCCACAGACCGGCCAGGGCTTGACTGATGACTCGATTGTGAATAATATGATCACTTTCTTGATTGCTGGTCATGAGACGACATCCGGCATGCTGTCTTTCCTTTTCTACCACCTTCTCAAGAACCCTAGTGCCTATAAGAAGGCACAAGAGGAGGTCGACACCGTCATCGGCAAACGCAAGATTGTTGTCGAGGATATGTCGAAACTCCCATACATCACAGCTGTTATGCGTGAAACCCTCCGTCTGAACCCAACTGCCCCAATGATCGCAGTCCACCCCCACCCGACCAAAAACAAGGAGGCACCGGTTACATTGGGAGGCGGTAAATACGTCCTGCACCCAGACGAGCCCATCGCCCTCATGCTGGGTAAGATGCAACGTGACCCAAAGGTCTACGGCCCCGACGCCGATTCCTTCAAGCCAGAGAGAATGCTCGACGAGCATTTCGACAAGCTACCAAAGAACGCCTGGAAACCATTTGGCAATGGAATGCGAGGCTGTATCGGACGGCCATTTGCTTGGCAAGAGGTCCTCCTGATCGTGGCCATGCTCCTGCAGAACTTCAACTTTGAGCTGGATAACCCTAGCTACGACCTCCGCATCAAGCAGACACTTACTATCAAGCCCAAGGACTTCCAGATGAAGGCAACTCTCCGACATGATCTTGACCCCACCCAGCTCAGTATTGCTCTTGGTGGTGCGCCTACCGAGACTGCTGCTGGCAGTCGGGATCGCAAGCCTAAGGCTGCTGCGCCTGTAGATGGCAAGTTGAAGCCTATGCACATCTTGTATGGTAGCAACACCGGTACTTGTGAAGTCTTTGCTCGCAGACTGGCTGATGATGCCACGGCCTACGGATACGCTGCTAAGGTCAGCTCTCTCGACTCCGCCAAGGAAAACATTCCCAAGAAAGACCCGGTTGTTTTCATCTCTGCTTCATATGAAGGCCAGCCTCCAGACAACGCAGCTCATTTCTTCCAGTGGTTGAGTGAGTTGAAGGGATCTGACCTAGATGGTGTCAACTATGCGACCTTTGGCTGTGGTCACCATGACTGGTCCTCCACTTTCTACCGCATCCCCAAGGCCATTGACCAGCTGGCCAAGGACAATGGTGCCAACAGACTGTGCGAGATTGGTCTGGCTGATGCAGCCAACTCGGATATGTTCACTGCTTTCGACAGCTGGGGCGAGACTTCATTCTGGCCCGCTGTCACAGCCAAGTTCGGCGGTGCTAACCCCGAGAAGTCCTCCAAGCCCAAGTCCTCATTACAGGTCGAGGTCAGCTCAGGCATGCGGGCATCAACTCTGGGCCTGCAGCTTGAGGAGGGCTTCGTTGTCGAGAATCAGATTCTGACGCACCCCGACGCCCCAACAAAGCGTATGGTGCGCTTCAAACTTCCCTCAGAGATGACCTATCAATGCGGTGATTACCTCGCGGTCCTCCCAGTAAACCCAAGCCAGGTCGTCCGCCGCGCAATCAGCCGATTCGATCTCCCATGGGATGCCGTGCTCCGCGTCAAGAAGCCCTCGCAGAGCTCAAGCCCACCCCCTCCATCCCCATCGACGTCCCAATCTCAGCATCCGAGCTACTATCCACATACGTTGAGCTCTCCCAGCCCGCCTCAAAGCGTGACCTAAACATGCTAGCAGACGCAACCCTCGACGCAGAAACCCAAGCCGAACTCCGCTATCTAGCCTCAAGCCCGAGCCGCTTTACCGACGAAATCGTCAAAAAGCGCGTCAGCCCGCTGGACCTCCTCATGCGACACCCAGCCATCAAGCTGCCCATTGGCGACTTCCTTGCCATGCTCCCGCCAATGCGTGTGCGCCAATACTCAATTTCCTCCTCACCCCTCGCCAACCCATCCGAATGCTCAATCACATTCTCAGTCCTGAACGCGCCAGCGTTGGCTTCCACAACTGAAGGAGCCCAACTCGAGCAATATCTCGGCGTGGCATCAAACTATCTCTCTGAACTTCAGGTCGGCGAACGCGCTCACATAACCGTGCGCCCTTCACACTCGGGCTTCAAGCCGCCTATCGAACTCCAAACTCCAATGATCATGGCCTGTGCTGGTAGCGGGCTCGCCCCGTTCCGTGGCTTTATCATGGATCGTGCAGAGAAGATCCGTGGCCGTCGCAGCTCGCCCAATTCAGATGAATTACACGACGGCCAGCCCGCCAAGGCGATTCTATACGTCGGCTGCCGGACGAAGGGACAAGATGATATCCATGCCTCTGAATTGGCAGAGTGGGCGAAGCTGGGTGCTGTCGATGTCCGGTGGGCGTATAGCCGTCCCACCGATGGAAGGAAGGGGAAGCATGTGCAGGATCTCATGCTCGAAGACCGGGTTGAATTGGTTGAATTGTTCGAGGCGGGTGCTCGGATTTACGTCTGTGGTAGTACTGGTGTTGGCGGTGCTGTGCGGGATGCTTGTAGGGAGATGTATCTCCAGAAGCGGACTGTCAAAATTGCTGAGCTGAAGGAGAAGGGTGAGGAACTGCCTGTTGATGCTGAGCTTGGGGACGAGGAAGCTGCTGACAAGTTCTTTGATCGATTGAGGACTTCGGAGAGGTATGCTACTGATGTTTTTACTTAGTTCTTTTTCCTAGCCTCTAAATTGTGTCATCTCTGCATTTGACCGTCAGTCTGTAATTGTTCATTACTGTCAGTAGATATAAACATGGTCCAACCAATCAGAATACAGTTCCTGACCCTCGCCTCATACAGTCCACGTGACCGTAAAACTCCAACGCAATCAACCAATCAAATGCACGGAACAAATACCGAACCACCCCAGACGGGCTATGAATAAATTTCGATACAAGGCGATGCCGGCACTTACAATCTAGCGCCAGAGAGCAATTGAGCATTGAATTGCATATAGAACGTGAGTTGATATATAAATACCCAAGATCGCCGAGTACATGTAAACCCAAAATGTTATCAATCCCCGATTTTGCTCAAAAACAGGCGCGATGGCGTGACAGAGTCTAACATCACCTCAGATATTGATCCTCGGCCGAGAGACGTTAGTCTCAAGATCAGCGCGTTGGAACTTAGCCTTCAACTGATCTTGCGCTTGACCTATACATTCAAAACACCATGGCAATCAAAAGCGTCGCCATAATCGGCGCAGGCCCAGCAGGCGCCATCGCCGTGGACGCCCTAGCCCAAGAAAAAGCATTCGACGTGATTCGCGTCTTTGACAGACAAGAAAAAGCCGGCGGATGCTGGTATGTCCACCTGACCAACTTTACAAAACCTCGAAAGGCAGTCAATTAATGCATGAATTAGGGTCTCAAGAGACGATAAACCACCGCAGCACTTCGACTTGGACAGTCTATCCGCACGAACAGCAGATAAACCCTTGTCCATCCCAGCAAAGTTGCCATGCCGCACGCCAGTAGTCTCTCAAGACCGGTTCACAGATTCACCCGTGTACCCAACACTAGAGACCAACGTGGACGCAGGCGCCATGTCATTTTCGCAGGAGGATATCCCTGCCGTGCGTTCTAAATGGTCTATCCAGCGGCATGGGGTTGATACGCCTTTCCGTCATCATTCTATTATCAGGAAGTATGTTGAGGATCTCTTCTTGGAGAAGGGGTATGGGGGGGCTTGTGCATTTTGATACTACAGTTGAACGGGCTGTCAAGGATGCGGATGGGACGTGGGTTCTGACATTGAGAAAGACAGAGGTGGAGGCGGATGGGGAAGGGGACAAGTCGGATTATTGGTGGGAGGAGGTTTTTGATGCTGTTGTTGTTGCTTCTGGGCATTATGCTGTTCCTTATATTCCTGCTATTCCTGGGTTGAAGGAGTTTGCTAGAAGGTATCCTGGGAGCGTGGAACATACGAAGCATTATCGGGGGCCTGAGAAGTATATTGGCAAGGTGAGTTGGAGATTTGGGTCTTTTGGGGTTCGAGTTTGCTGATGATTTACAGAAAGTTATTACGATTGGAGCTTCTGTCTCAGCTGCTGATACTGCCGTGAGTCTGGTTGACAGCGCGCAGAGTCCAGTGATTGCTGTTGTGCGTGGTCGGTATAACATGTATTTCGGTGATGAGGCATTCCAGCACCCCAAAATTCAACGGAGGCCGCCTATCTCGCATATCACGAGTGAGAAGGGCGACAAAACTGTGCATTTCGAAGGTGGCACTTCGGAGACTGGAGTTGACCATCTCATTTTTGGAACGGGCTTCAGCTGGACTCTGCCTTTCCTGCCGCAAGTTGCTACGCGGAATAACCGTGTACCGGATCTATATCAGCATGTCTTCTATAGACACGACCCGACACTGGTCTTTGTGGGGGCTGTAAGTTTCAGATTTTCAGAACCCCTGGAATGACAATTTTAACAATTTTTCCTTAGGTCGGTGCTGGTTTGACCTTCAAGGTCTTTGAATGGCAAGCTGTTGCTGCCGCCCGAGTTTTGGCCGGAAAGGCCACTCTGCCGCCAGTAACAGAACAGGAAGTATGGGAGACCGACCGCATTGCTTTGAAGAGCGATGGACCCGGATTCACCGTGCTCAACCCCGAGTTCGAAGCCTACTTTGAGGATCTCCGACTCCTTGCGGGAGAACCGCATGTTGGCACGCCAGGGCGACGCCTACCTCGGTTCGACCGAAAATGGGTGGACGATTTCAACGCCGGCCACGATCGCAGAAAGAAGATGTGGCGCAAGGCCAATCAAGCGGCACGACTGTAGATGAGAAATATTTGGAAGCATTTGGCCTGTTACAGTAGTAGCAGTAACTTGAGTTCGAACATAAACAGCCCATACATAGATCACACACTAAAGCAAGGAGAAACAAACTATAAGCTTGGTCGAACCCTTCCCGTCTCAGTCTGACACCAATGACCTCAAACTAAGCCACGAATGCGCCCACACGAGAACCTAGCGAATCAATAAGACCAGCTTGCCCCTTCAACTAGAGAATCGGACTAACCAGTCCCCACTAGAATCAATATCCCTAACATAGCGTCTTGGCACGACGCTTGACCCTTTTAAAAAGGGTTCGGTCGCGTTTGGCGATCGCGAATATCAATCTTGATCCCTTCCTCACTTGCATTTTCTCTTTCCTCCTCAGATCGTCTCAATACTCACCCCTGTTCATTCCACAAAACCAAACGACACCCAAACAAACATCGATCGTATCGTATCGCAGCCCGGATCACCCAGCTCGGACAATAAAACCAAACCACCCTCAATTCCCCGAAACACACGGCAATATGACCAATTCAAACGGCACAACCTTCATCCAACCGAAAGAATGTTACAACGCACGCGACACCATGCCCACCCTCCCGAACAACTTAAACTACTACAACCAAGTCCCACTATACCAAGAACGCAACCCAAGCACAGACATGCAAGAAGTACTGCAATCGTGCTGTTCGCATCGTGTCTGGATTTTCGAGGATCCGGATCCCTGCACGGCTGTTTGTCCTTCTTTTTCGGATGCCGAGACGCAGCGGGTCATGTATTGTCTTAATGCGCATCAGGTTGTGCATGGGAGTCGGGCCGTGAAATCTGGTGCTGGGCGGGTACAGGTTTCTTGGGGGTCTTTTGTTGTTGGGGGGCTGCTTTTGCTGGCTGCTTTTGTGTAAATTGGGGATTAGATTTGGATTTGTTTTTGAGATACCCTTTGCATTGTTTTGGTGTTATTTTACCGAGGAGATGTGTGATTTAGTTGCGGCGGATTTTGGGGATTTTCAATATCTTGTTCCTTGGATGGAAGCTTCTTTCTGATGCGTATCTTGGACCCTACATTTTTTAGTCTTCGCTTGTTCTGCGATGCTTTAAGCAGTGATTCTTTGGGATAGAACGAACTTCACACATGAGTTGTATGCGAGAACTATGCAAATCACCCGGTTCTTTATCCATTGACCTAAAGTAGTTGTATATCATTCATATCCAAGTCTTCGTATCAGCTAGGATTCACATTAGCTGATATGCATGCGTGCATTTCTGTTACCAAATTTCTACATCCTCTCATTAAGCTTCTATACTTTGGGGTTAAGCATACACTAACTTACACCCCGGAGCACAATGCCGAGCCTGCATAAATCGGGCAATGTAACCCCGAGTGTGGAGTAATATCACCATTCCGCGGGGTACAGGAAACTCGGAGAAATACATTGAGCCTATAAAAGCACATTCCAACCTCCCGTCACTCCATAAGACAAACACGGAGCAGCTCCGACCCCACGCAGCCCACCTGTCATTATTCATAGTTGTAACATTAGACCCCTTGACCCCAATAGAGAATTCCCTCCGGTCAACTCCTCTCTCCTGTTCGCCAGACTATCTCTTCTACACACCAATTCGTCAAACCCCCCCAGGAACCCCAAAATGGACTCCGTCAAAGACAAAGTCTACGCCGTAACTGGTCTCGGCGGCATCGGCCTAGCAGTCGCACGCCAACTACACGCCCAAGGCGCCCACCTATCCCTAGCAGACCTAAGCCCCAAAGTCCTCGAAACAGCGCTCCAAATCCTGCACGCAGATCCCAGCACCGGGGAAATCACCACAAAAGCGTTAGACATCAGCAATGCGGCCGCGGTAAAAGAATGGATCGCATCGACAGTGGCGCATTTCGGTCGATTAGACGGCGCGGCCAATATGGCGGGGATGATTGGAAAAGTGCACGGCACGGGCAAATTCATTGACCAGGACGATGATGAGTGGGATATGTTAATGCGGGTTAATCTTACGGGGTTGATGTATTGTCTGCGGGCGGAATTAAGGGCTATTATGGAGTCTGCGCCTGGTGGGCGCGGAAGTATTGTTAATGCTAGTAGTATCCAGGGTCTTAGGGGGTTTGCTTTGCATGCTGCTTATTCGACTACTAAGCATGGGGTTGTTGGGTTGACGAAGTCTGTTGCTAAGGAGGTTGGGCCTGGGATTCGGGTTAATGCTGTTGCCCCGTGAGTTTCCTTTCCTTTCCTTTCCTTTCTTTCTTGCGGTGTTGAGCTTTGCTTATTTGCGGTATTATTGGATTTGACTGATCGATTTTCATTAGTGGCTCCATTCAGACGCCCTTGCTTGATATGGCCAAGGAGATCCAGGGTAGCATTGCTCCCCCGCCGACTGCTATCCCGCGCATTGGAACTGCCGACGAGGTTGCGCAGACGGTTGTTTTCTTGCTTAGTGATGCGGCTTCTTACACTACTGGTCAGGTTGTTAGTGTGGATGGTGGGTGGGATGTATGAAGGGGAGAGAGAAAGTCTACGTATCACTGCAATAGAAAGTTAACCAAAAGCTGATTTCGGAATCGCACCCGTAAGGTGCATGCATTGATAAAAGAAGGTACTCGCTGTATGACATGTTATGATGCTCACAGGCCCAATCCAAACGCCGTCGCTATGATCTATCAGTGTAATCACTCAAGAATATGAACAATATCTATATACAGCGCAGAGGAAATCCACCACTATAGCCACATATACAACCACAAAGCTAGAGAAAAAAAAACGTATGAGCAAAGGACATATAGTCCAAGCGATGCACTACTTACCCATACTCACGGAGAGATGGCCCCAACCATAAATCCCATGAACGGACCTAGCACTGGATTTGGCAGCCTCTTTGCTAGCCACCTCATCCTGGCCCTCGATAGGGACTGGCCAACCATCCTCATATTTCAAGTAATTCCATCCAAGACGAGCTTGCTATAAAAGAGTCAGTCGGGTCCAACGGAAACCAAGAATCAAAGAATAAAACATACTCCATCCTTGAACCCCATCCTAGTATCCAAATAGTGATAGTAAAGAATATCCGGCACAGACTCATTGCTCGCAGGAAGTACACCAAGGCCACCAGGAGCATAAACAACCCCATTGTTAGAGCCATAAACAACCTCACCACCACCCTCGGTCAAAAGCTTCCCACCCCGATCCACAAACGGACCACGAACATTCTTGGACCTCCCAACCCGAATACTATACTCATCGCCACGACCAGGAAATTTGCCATCGAAATGGCAACACTTCCCACGACTAAACCAAGTATAGTACCAGCCGCCACGGTAGCTCATCCAAGACCCCTCCTCAGGCCTATCATTCGTATGCGGAACAAAAGTCAACTGCACAGCATCGGGCTTATGGGCATGCTTAACAGAAAGGAGATCCTCCGACAACGGCACTTGCCAGATATTATGCCAGAAACTGCCGTAGTTAAGATACGCCTGGCCAGAATCCTGATCGATAATGAACGACGCATCAATTGCATTCGTGATCGTATACGGATACACATCTGACCCGGGGCCTTTGCCCGTGTTAATCAAGACACCGTGATCGGTCCACGCACTCCCGTCCAGCTTTGTCGTCGTTGCAACGCCGATAGCACTATTCCGGGACCCTCTGAAGCTGAGCGTATAGAAGCAGTAGAATTTGCCGTCTTTCTCGATTGTTGTTGGGGCCCAGGGACGGGAACGGTTGCCTTTGTGGATTATGCTGTCGCCGTCTAGAACTGTGCCGATCTTTTCCCAGGGTCCAGACATGTTGGCTGATTTGAAGATTGGGATGTTGATGCCGCCCTTGAAGAGGTAGTAGTGGTCATCGTGCTGGATGATGTTTGGGTCGTGGACTGGGAGGTTGCCTTCATTTGGGAGGGGGAGCTTGTCTGTTGTGTCATATACTTGGGACAGTGATAGTTGGCCCTGGTGCTCTGTTGCTGGGGCGGCCCATGCTAGTGGGGTTGCGATCGCAAGAAATAGTGATAGTAAGAGGTGGAGGTGATGCATGGTCAAGGGGATTTCATGTACAATAGAAACAGTTGATTCCGGGCGCAATGCGGTTTATTGTTTCGAGGTCAATTGACCTTTGCCGGGAAATTGATGGTAGTTATTGGTTTGACTTGCACATGCCTGTGCTACTGTTTGATAGGTTGATGCGGAGAATAAGGGAAGTCAGAAGTATAGCAGAAGAATGGAGAATACTTAACCTGAAGCGAGGGATTAGCACATGGTTTATATGCAGTCTGCTAGGGAAAATGAGAATAAAGATTGAAAATGAAAATGGATGAAAAACACATGGCCCCCAGATGTGCAGGGTCGGGAATCTAAAATCGAAGCCAAGTGTTTTAGGGGCTTTAGGCTGCTATATTTGTTTGCTCATGGTACCCAGATGTACTTGTTCACAGCGCTGTTAACTGCCAGTGGCAATGTACCCTCAGGTACTATGACCCACCCCAAGGTCTAGCACAGCCTGTCGCAAAGACACGCTCCACTACCCACAGTCGCTGATTGGCGATGTAAACGCCTGTAAATTGTTCATCTTTGCTCTCTTATCTGACATTTTCATGTGCGGGGAGGCAAATTGTACTGCATACTACAGAGCACAACAGCCGATACAAACAAGTCATCTCTAACCGACCCTCCTTGGCCCAAAACAGCCGTTCAAGTGGCCCCAGGGTCTTTCTCCGATTGACATCCAGGACTCCCACGCTAACAGTGCAAGGTCGCTAAAAATATTCCAAAGCTAGCTGTTCTGTCGAGAAATAGCCCCCACAAGGCCTCAACGATCGCCCCCAATTGAGAGCCCCAAGGATCGCCCCCGATGAAAGGTCTTGTTTTCAGCGCTAAAAGTGCAAGGTCGCTAAAAATACTGTCAAGCTAGAGGAAATAGTCCCAACAAGACTCGGCTCTTGTACCTAAGGCTCTCTGATAAGCCCCCCTCCCGTCTTTCCCGCTCTGTTCCCGTTGCGATGTATATCACGGCCGGACCCTTGCATTTGCCAACCTTGATCTTCTCGATCATCATCCTGATGTGGGTCCGACACGGTCTCTCGACAAATAATATTAAGAAACGCAATGGCGACAACAGGGCACCTGCGCAAATATTTGGGATTGCGTCACTGGTAAGTGTCAGGTTTTGAATAGACAGGAGTTTTGCTGCTTTTGATTATGGATTTCACAATATCAACATAACATCGCTGATATAGGGTGGTATTAATGTACATGGCTTTTGCAGAATAAGACTCTCCAGCCGGCTTGTCGTTATACTTGATCAACAGGGGAGCATCATGCCTGTGAGATCCTCCCAATCAAACACATCCAAGAAAGGATCAAAATCTCCGGGTGGCTGAGAGGAATACGAGTTAGTATCAAACGTGCTGCGACTAGGGAGCCTGATACCTACCGTCACACCCAGATGGGGTGGAGGGAGCATTCCCTCAAAGTCTGTTGGCATGACGGGTACCATGCCTGGGGTGGCAGTGAATGCGGCCACCTGCGATAGCGTCAGCTGGAGTTAGGCTCATATAGCGATGCTGACATACCTGGTTGGTCTTGAAATTGCCCATTCCAGGTGCTCCTAAGTGTTCGCAACCCGCGTGTCGGGTGAATAAAGTCTGCGTGAATGAGAGGATACGTTCTACTACTTGCTGTTTATACATGATTGCCTGAGCGGGCCACAGTCGGGCTTTGACGAGCGCGACGATTGTCGAAAAGAAGAAGTAGTCCTTGGCCCCCTTTGTCACTAACAAGGATCGTGCCTCGAGCGAGACTAGGGCAGTTTCGACTAGGGTAAGAAGTGATTCGGGAAGGCCGGGGAGGGATTGAAGGAGAGATGTTGAGGATGTGGGAGAGAAGGGAGCACCTGGTGGAGTTAGTCGCGATTCATAAGTTGAATGTTTCTAAAGAAACTAACTGTTGTCAGACTCTGTCGAATGCAACAGTTGGCAGACAGAAATATAGGCGTGGAGGGTCCATTCACCAAACATGCATAGCGAAAGCGGTCGTGATGTCTCGTGCAGACGCCGCTGTGTTACCAAGATCCTGGTCGCAGCATCCATACGAGACCGTGCCGAAGGCGCAAAAAGCGCTTCCCGGTTGGCCTCAATGGCGAAAGGTGTGTGCACTGACAGTAGTGCCTGGGATAGCTTGGTCTCAATCAAAGCCTTCCACAGAGTAACTTTGTGCTGAGTAACGAGATCGTTCGGTTCGGTTGAACTCCATGTGGGAATACGTGAAAGATGTCGATTGAGTTCCCAGTCTAGGCGCTGGATGTCCTCATATCGACAGCTGATCCGCGGAGAGTGCATAAGGTAGCAGGCTTGTAGGCGAAGAGAAAGTGATCGACTCAGAATAGATTGGAACGACATGTCAGTGGGCTCGCCCAGCGGACGGCTCTCTGGCGCCTTGGTCGTGCTTTCCTGGAGCTCATCATCATGGATATTCAAGCCTGGAGACGCATCGTAATCAAAGCTCTGTACCGTAGGTGGCATACCACGATCAAGAGCAATTTGCAGATCAAGTTCTACAATTGTAGTCCAGATTCGACGTCTCATCTCTTTGTTAAAGACTGAGATTCTTGTATATCGACTTGGGTCGCGATGATATCCTGCCATCATTGCTTGTTTCACCAAAGTGCCAACGGCAAGCCAGGATTGACTGCGCTTCATTCCGTGGATGTTTTGTGCCAATATCAGCAAGATGGTCAGGCGCATCGAGATGATATCTGGGCGCTTGATGTGAAGGTTCTCAATCCATTTTTCGGCATGTAGAACCCAATTGATAGCGGTGTAGCATTTGAGTTCAGCCACGTTCTTTGATTGCAGACTACTGGAGTCTGCAAGGTTCCATGCGCAGGCAAGAACCAGCAGAAGCTGGACTGCGAACGCAGGGGAAGGGGCGCCCGGGGTGTCTAGCAACGCCCAGAACCCGTCCAACTCTCGTAAGAAGGATGGGACGTGAAGAACGCGGTGGGTAGACTCGATATAAGTAAGATACAAACCAATTAGCTCATCTACCACACCGCGCGAGGGCAGCATGCCGATCAGTGACTCTGTAGTGGGGTCCGGGAATCCCGTGTTCAGTGGCACGCGCTTCCATAACCCTCGCTTGACTCTCTCCAAGTCTGGTCGAAGTTGGGAGAGAATTGGATTAGATAGCTTGATCTCCTCTGCAAAGGCTCTGATATCCGGGAACTACAAGGAAGGTCAGCACCAAATATGACAAAGTAATGTATCTGACAGCTGAATGAACCCAAAGTAGCTTACCTGCGCAACAAGATTGGCAAAGATGCCCGACCCGCTAAAGCGAGTCCTCGTTTCGCGACCTCTCATCATGATCCGAGGAGAAAAATCAAGTTGATGCGATGGGGTCAACGCGTCTTCTTCCTCATAAATGTGATCATCATCGACCCGCGACGACTGCATATCAGGCTCAGGAGCGGATCGCTTCGGACGCTGCAACAAACCCGTATTGACATACGGCTCCTGATTTACAGCAGCTTTAGGCGCACCAAGAACGGTTTCCAAAAAGCCACGCTCCTTGCGATCCTTGCCATGCGGTTTTCCTCTCAAATGAGGCGCCAAAACATGCGACGGATGATCATGGTGGTGTGGATGATCCGGATGATGATGATTCTGCTGCAAGTGGTACGATACAGCGTCAGCGCCAGCGCCAGGGTCATTGGCCTGTGGTGGCTCCGTCCGAGCCGACTCCGTCGCTATCCCCGAGTCTGGAGTATCGAGAGGGGTGTGGTCAGCTCGGGGCATTGTGGTGGGCCCTCGGTCGGAAGCAAATGAGGTCGTTCCCACGGTGGTCGGCTGCTGCCAGAGGAAGCCATCTTCGTACGTGCACTTGTTCGGAGTCCTGCTCTTCAAGCACCGGCTACAGGTGGGATACTCGCGATCGCAGCGTAATTTGCGAGTGCGACATTGCGTGCACGCCATTGTGCGACGGCGACGCTTGCGCACTCGCTCTGGGACATTCACATCTTGAATATCCATTTCGTATTCAATTCAATATGGTGAGGATATACAACTTATGCCCGAGAGAGGTTGTCCGAGGTCAACGCGTGCCCCGGCCCCGCTCTTCCAAATGCGGAAAGTACGCCCGGTACCTTTTTTTTTTTGTGTTTCACCCAAGTTCAGCTTTTATAGTGATGTCTCTCGTTATATCGAGAGAGATGAATGCATTGGTATTAATTTAAAAACTGTCGGGACTGTTGCAGTCTCACTCATTCATGGCCACATACCACCGTCTCGCGCGTAGGATATCTACTTTGTTCACGTACATTTCAGGGGTTAAGCATCACTAGGGTCCATTTTATTGCTTGGCACGATTCACCAAGAAACCTATTGCAGAGATTTCTTGGTCTTGATTGATAAAATACTTTCTTTGCCCTGGGAGAGTCAAGATGTAATGATCGCCACGCAAGCCTACTAGTATAGTATAGGCGATCAGCTGCCCCGAAGTCGGACTCGAAATCTTAAATCTTATCAGATCAAATATTTCTAGGTATGAGATCAGTCTCTTTACGATGGCGTCTATCCCTGAAACTGTCCAGGTGGGCATCAAATTGCATTAGTAATGGGCTGCAGCGGAATATATATTCCTTCCAAAGATGAGGTGCAGGACGTCGGGGAATTTCGAAGAGAACAGTGTCATTTAACAAGTTTCAAGCAAGTCCACGCCCTTTGAGACAAACTAATATCCCATCTCAAGTTACCAAAATATCTGAAGTCTTCTTCATGTGAGCTGCTTTTACGGATGCACAGGAACGATATCATCTAGACAAAGCTGACGAGCTGAGCAGCACAGGAGTAACAGGATACATCGGCGGTGATGTCTTATCTCAGCTCCTCCCCTTATATCCCACTTTGACATACCGAATTCTCGTCCGCACCGAGGAGAAAGGAAAACAAATCCGAGCCCAATACCCCGAAGTCCAAATACTAGACGGCGGTTTAAGCAACTCCGCCATTTTAGAGCAAGAGAGCACCAACACAGATGCCACAGTCCGTCAGGCAATCACCTTCATCATGATCCTAGATATAGACCCGACTAACAAACCAAAGACTCCGCCGACGCAGCAGACAACCTCCCAATTCGGAAATCCATCGTCACAGGCATACTCCAAGGCCATACCCCAGAGCGACCCGCCTACTGGCTCCACACCAGCGGAGCAGGAATCTTCAGCTACATCGACGAAGACGAGAAAATATACGAGATAAAAAGGGCAAAGATCTTCAACGACTGGGATGGCATTAAAGAGATAGTCTCCAACCCCGATCATGCATTCCACCGGGATGTGGATTAGATCGTGCTCGAGGCCGCGGGCGCTCATGCTGATGTACTGCGTGCGGCTATAATCTCACCCGTTCCGGTTTACGGTGTAAGAGGAAGCCTCAGTGGAATGGTCACGGATTGGCGTAGTCATAAATCTCAAAAACCGAGCTGTTTCCACATCGATATTTGCGCCAACTAAGCATGGCGCTTGTATTCACGCTATATCTCATTAGGATTAGGAAGCGCCTATCAACACTTCGAGATAGCCTTTCAGGATGATTGGCCGAAGAGTCCTAACAGAAGTATAGAGCGCTTCTATAATGGGTGCATATGAAACGTTCTTAAAAGGGCAAATCCTGTCTTCTGGGAATTTTGTCTTTCGATCGTTTTCCTATTTAGAAAATTGAGAAGGCCTAGGATGGCGACCGACGGGAATGCCTTTCTTCAAGAGTCGGACCCTGAAGTCCAAGCTGGCTTTGAAAAACCAACGAAAGATAAAATACGGGCAATTCGCGATTCCTTTGGAAGGTTGAAAGGTTTCCCTCTTACTAGACTGCGGCATATGATGACCCCTGACTATGTCGCTGATGTTGGACAGGGCGATGTAGGTGCATAAGCTCGTGCTTTGAAGGGTTAGGTTAGGCGCTATTCTACTGCGGTTATTGTTGGTTGATTCAATAATTGCGTTTGAGCGTAAGACAGTCGGGAAAGTTCTTCTATCTCACGGCTTTCTATTCGAGTCACCCACTACGCCAATTTCGCGCGAAACAAACCGTACTCTCACTCCTCTTCAACCCAGTATTTCAGTGTGAGTATGCCCGCCCCACTGTTTACTACACGACGGGACATGAGCTAATACTAACGTAATAGATAGATGTTCATCCTCAATCTTCCTGTTGAAATTCTTCTTTGCATAGCAGACAGCCTGGATCAAGCCAGAGACTTGCTTGCGCTGGCTTGCCTTAATCGAGTAGCGAATTTTTTTTTCCTTGACAATCTGTACAATTTCAACATCCGACGCTAACGCAGCTCTGCCTTGTTTTGGGGGAGTTTACCGAGGCAAATATTGAAATCGGAAATAATTGAGATAGTCTATCATAACCTGCCAGAACGATGAGACGTCATTCAAAACCTGCAGACAGAAGTCCCCACTTTGAAGATACCATATTTAAGAAATAACTCCAACCTGCAGTCAGCCCTGATTGCAGCAACCCCCGTGGGATAAAGGGAAATTGACGTCTCTGTGCTCGAGCTCTTCCTTTAAAGTACATGCGGTGTTGGCTCCAATATATCTGAAGACAAATGCTTCCAACATACAAAATTGTTCAGAATACACCTTCAGTAATCCTTATTCTATACGTTAGCCATGGACGCAACTAGGCCTTCTCGTTCGGACTGTTTTGTTCCTTAGTCTTCTTCACACTCTTCCATTCAAACCCCAACGAGGCCACGAAGACCAAGCATGCGAGTGCCATACCCAGGTACCAAACTGAGGTGAGAGAGTCGCTATATATTTTCAACACGAAGTCAAGCTTATCCTGTGGCACTTGATGCCGCAGCGATGTGGCTCCTCCTTTCGCAATAGTGCTAGCATCTAGCCCTACTTTACCATCTAGCCCTTCGACCAATTTAGACTCGAGCAGAGTTTGGGAGACAGTGACAAATACAGTTCCACCGAGGAATTGTAGAAAAGTAAGTATCGAAAGTCCGATAGGAGCGTCGCTCTTAGGAAGAACAGCCTGCGCCGCAATGTTGGGCTGCTGAAGTGTGAGCCCAAACCCAACTCCGGCAACGATCTGGCAACGTCGTTAGTACCTTTGCTCGCGCTCTGAAGGTCATGCACTCACCTGATATCCGATCCATTTTCCCGATCCAGTGTGGACATCCCATGTTGTGATCAGTACGGATCCCACAATGGATATTGCACCACCAGCAATCAGCAACGGGGTATAGTATCCGAAGATACTCGTTACTGCGCCACTGACAATGACGAAGATCACTTGGGGGAGGAGAAGAGGCAGAAGCGACAATCCAGCGCTTTGTGGAGACTTCCCCTTGATAGCCTGGAACCAGATGGGAAGATAGAAGGAGTAAACGACTAAAATCGACCCGATTCCGACGGATGCAACACTTGCGGCAATCATGGTTCTCTGCGAAATGATTCTCGACGGAATCGTTCTCTGATTCCCTTGCCAGGTCTGTGACACGATAAAAGCAAAACAGAGAGTACCAGCGACAATGAAGAGCGAAATGATACGGCCATCGCTCCAGGGGTATCTCTGACCACCCCATTGAAGTGCAAATAATAGACAAACAATGGCAGGTGCCACGAGGGCAAAACCAATGGGGTCTAATTGTTTCATCTTCCCAAACAAAGTTGGGGCTGGGACGGCGGGAGGTGTTTGATTAGGACACAAGAGGATAAGCACGATAACTGCTACGCCACCGATGGGGACGTTGATCCAGAAACACCATCGCCAACTGACTGCGGTGAGATATCCTCCCGCGAGGGGCCCAATCACCGACGCCAGACCGAACATTGCGCCAATTCCGCCTGGTCCAGTTAGTATTCGAAAGATTCCGGCTTGATAAGTGTTGAAATACCAGAATACTTGGGTCGTGAACTCAGCGGAACGAGAAGATTGATCAAGATGAGGGCCCCCGAGCTGATACCCGCACCACCGATACCAGTGATAACTCGACCGACGATCAAAGCTTTGGAATTGGGTGCCGTTGCGCAGACAATAGACCCAATTTCGAATATCAGGACGAGAGTAATGAGTACTGGTCGTAAGGTAAGTCGTTATCTAGTCATTCGAACGAGGTGACAACTCACTCCATTTTGCAGAGTAGAAGGTCTGTAGCACAAATAAGCACTACGATGTGTTTTCAGCTGGAATGAACGTACGTAAACGAGGCCGAATGATAATTGAAGCATGCAGAGCGGAAGCAAGAAGCCCGACTCGTACCATGAGATATCCCCGAAGCTATTGAATTCATCTGTAATGCTTGGCACAGCCGTGCCTAGGATGGTCCGATCCTGTAGATTTGCGTCAGCTGTCATTTTGAGACTCAAAGAGCAATTGAAATGGACAAGTACAAGTGCAATGAGAAAAACTGCCAGGTAAAGAGCGGCCATCGCAGGGAGAACCAGTTTTCGCGGAGGATAATTCTGGTCGGCTTGACTCTCAGACGACTGTTCAACTTCCATGTTGTTATCCAGAAAAAGTTGGTCTGCGAAAGCTGTGAATGAAATCAAGAATTTAACGAGATCCTTCTGATTTATAAAATCTTTTAGGATGCCGAATTCCCTGGATTAGCCACTTAATGACGACGCAATCTTTCGGGGCTCGGGATTCAGGGTCCCGAGATGTTGCTTGTGCTATAGTTCGGGTTCGGTCCCGCGCCCGAACGGTCCTCATCGCCACTCCTGCCCCTCTCCTCCGATCCGTTCTCATTCAGATTCTGAAGAAACGCAACATATAAACAGAACGTGGTTGATAAAAAAGCATGACACGGACTGTTGCTTGTATGTCGTGCGCCAAACGCAAGGTGCGCTGCGATCGACAAGAGCCGTGCTCTCACTGCAAGCGACGGAAGAAAGAGGACTGCACCTACCCCGGTACCTCGCCGGCAGTCCGAGTTAGGCACCTGGAAGCGCTCGTTCGAAGGCTCGGTCATAGCCCCGATGGTGAAGAGGTCGCTTCCAATGATGTGCCGGCCGAGGCCAGCTCTACACAAACCCGGCACCGAACTCGGTCATCCCCAACTCAAGATAATCGGTGTCCTCGTCGAAACTCTCCTTTCATTGGGACTGTCCCAAACAATGACCCGGCGGTTGTGGAAGAGGATGGGGAAAGAGTTTATCTCGAAGCGTATGTTACAGGTCCCGGTAAAATCCACCATGTTCTTTGCTGACATTCACAGATCAACATGGCACAGCTGGGACCAGAGACCCCGGCGAACAATATATTCGCAGGCATCACAGCAAAAAACCTCGATGAGGGCGTGCATACCTACTCAGCCTAGTCTCAGTGCTCTGCAGAACATCATTCAGCCTAACTATACCATCGAATTTGCGAGGCGACACCCTGCCTCTGATATAGCCACTGTGTTATGGAGAGCCTACAATCGCAATGTGAACCCTCTAGTGAAGATCGCATTCCAGTGGGAGCTTGACCAGATGCGTACAACAAGTCTATCCAATAATTCATCCAAAGAATTCCTTCCCCAGGAGCACGCCCTCTTCTTTTCGATCTATCTGAACAGCGTTGCCAGTCTTTCTGAAAAGGAGTGCTTGGAGTCAATTGGCCAGCAGAAACAATATTTGTTGTCTGAATATCGAATGCTACTCGAGAATGCACTTGCACGAGCGGACTTCCTTGGACGATCTGAGTTGATACTTGTCCAAGCTTCGATTTTCTACATCGTAAGTTACTTCAGCTGGTGGAGGGTTGGGTTCACTGAGCTTACCTCTTACTAGTCGGCATCGTTGGATGATATCAGTACGCGGAGCCTCTGGTCCTTCATGGGAATAGTGGTTCGCCACGCTGAAAGATTAGGTCTTCACCGTGATGGCACAATCCTGAATATGACACCCACGGAGACCGAAAAACGGCGGCGCATCTGGTGGCAGCTGCAGCACTTGGACATAGCCCTAGCAGTTAGGTCGGGCTCTATTTCACTCGTCTTGATGGCCGATTGGGATGTCAAAATGCCCTTAAACATTGAAGACGAGGACATTAGCCCAACAGCAATCGACTTTCCCCCAGAGCGCAAAGGACTCACAAGCATGTCATATTGTTTGTGGACGTACTACGTGCTAGAGAAACAACGCTCTTTCAGAAGACCGGACGGCAGTCGTGTGGGAGGATCTTGGCAGGCTGACCGGACTTTGCCTCGTCGACAGAGAAAATTATTCATCGATGAACTTGAAGATGGCATTAATGACACATTCGTTCGATTCTGCGACCCGATAAAACCACTCGACCTTTTGATTCTCATCGTTACAAGGTCCTTCACATGGGGAATGCGCCGTCTGATTCTGCACTCGGATGAATTGACAAGTGATGCGTCTGATTACAACGACAGTTACGAAAAAGATCTTCTGGCCGCTTGCTCTCGCTGTCTTGAATACGACATTTATTTGCATTCTCAGCGGATAATCGAAAGATTCTACTGGCGTACGACGAGTTTTTTCCCATGGCATGCTTGTAAGTTTTCTTTTACAGCATTTGTCATTACCTGGCGACATTTCCATTCTCATTTTCCCGTTGCTAATTTTAAGTTCATAGTTGTTTACGTGATAAGCGAAGCGTCACGATATTGCGAAGGGACTGAAGAAACCTGGGACCTATTAAGCAGACTTTACTCTGCTAATTCGCATCTGCGTAGCTTCAAAGATGACAAAAGGAAGCCCCGGGCTGCAGAATTGATTCTCACGGCATGGCAAGCATATGAGAGTTCCTACGCAGAACACCGACAAAAAAAGCCCCAGCGACCGATCTTTCTTTCCGAGTTGGAAACGCTGCTAATTGCTGATCAAGCTCACGTTTCAGACGCCAATGTCACGCTTTCCTCTAGTCCGAGAGGCACCACGGCGAATGCACTTCGCCAAGAAGATTCGCGTTTTGCAGAAAAACCGGAGACTAGGTACCCCGATGCCGAGAAAATCCCTGCGGCAGATTCTGCCTTAAATTTTATGTTTGATCTGGACTCGAATGAGATCGACTGGTCCTTTTGGAGAAATTGGGAGTGAAATTTTGCGTTCTCGTCCGTAGCGACTCGCTTAAAATTGGGAGGTCGTCACCAAATCTTCGCTTGGAGAGCACGCCCGAAATCTACTCTGAATAGTCAGTATGATAGCGCCTCCAAAAATTTTAGTTTCTTAGTCCCATGGGAAATGTCAAGGTCTAAGCACGCCCTCAAATGGGTAACCTGACCCCAGAAGTATTTACGGCCATCCTCGGAGACTCAAGAACCGTTCCAATCTCGACATTTTCTTCCGGCTACGCCATCAAGATGGATGTGTTTCCGCCCCTTATGGGAAATACTGTCAATCTTCAGGTCATCTAGTTCTAGGTCGGCTGGCGTCCGTTTGGTGGAAGTCGAATCATCGCCGAATCATTGCAGGTGATGCCAGCCACGACTAACGACCCGATACCCCCACCGTCTTGCTTCTAGGTGGCCTAGCGCCTCATTCTTGGGCCAAGTTTATATTATGCTAGAGGACCAGGTCGTGTGCGAAGCCTGGAGATCGGCCGGGTGCACGGGGATTTTAGATTCTCTGGAACCCGCGCACACGAAGATGTTGTCGCGAAATCGCAATGGTTCTTGGGGCCCCAATGGGTTGTCAAACCAGACAGACTAGGTGGGTCCTTGTCATTGTATATTTTGTGCAGTTTTGCTCTGTTTCTCGGGGTATGAAAATTATAGATAGATGAATTTTTCGATAATCTATATTTTGAACGTACGTGAAGTAACTTCTCTACGCTATAGCACTAAATTTTTGAGGCATTATTCAAGTGGCGGTCAAAGATAGCTTTTATGTGGGGGTTACCACTGGCTCACACCTATCTATCTCAGGAGCCAATAAATAGCATACTGGTGGAGATCACTGACTAACCAAACTGTGGAAGTAGAGCCCCATGCAATCTCAGGATTCACTTGATTGATATCTATCGGTAAAGATTGGATGTTGTCTCTCTGAGCCAATGTTAGTCTGGATATCGGGATAATTCGATCCCAGCGACTGACATCGAGATACGATTGAAACTGGATAAGAGTTCTGCAACGCCCTTGATCTTCTGTGAGGAGGCATTTTGATCTTTGCTAGCCAGGCCACGAAGACTGTTTCTCCCTTTCGGTACTTAAATGGAGATTTGAAGGTCTCAAGTCTTTGCGGCCTTGGCTTCTAGGGTTGTGATACTTGCTCCCCTTCAGTTGGTATGTATGACCTTTTATCAGGTTACAGAAGGCTCGATGGTGTTTTGAAAACGTGTCCAATGCCTTCCTGATTCATCGGCCTTGCCTAGCTTCGATATTCCTGGCTAAGCGGGCCGTGATACAGACGCATTCGAAATCAGAGACAACAATAGATTACGCTTGGTTTGCGCAACTTTATCCTCTATTACCTTATACCATTTGTTCCTGAGGATCAAGAGCTAGTAGGAACTTAGTATCAACGCTACACCCTGCTCCGTATCCTGTGAAGTGGACAGGTTATTCACTTTGGCTTTCCACTCGATAGTATAACGGAAAGCTTTTGCGGGAAGCTCGTCATCTGGCCCATTTGCTTCTCACGCGAGGAGCTGAAGCAGCTTAAATATTTCTGGTGGATTTGAGATTGAGGGCTTGCAACCATCTTGGGGACAACGGTTCGGCGAAGGGCTGAATCCATATTCCGAGGATGGCGTGTCTTAGTAGTATCCTGGAGTTGAAGCGTATTGCTTGACCTTTTTACGTAGTTTCGACAAAGAATTATGAATGTTCATTTTTTTTGATCGGCCAATATATATGCTAACAATTATACAAAACTTGTAGTCTAGATCACCAACTCGGACGCTAGTAGAATACAACGTTACTTGAACCATGCTATATGACCTGCTCTTAAGACACCGAGGGCCCGAGGACAGTTATTAGTATCCGAAATTTGGAACCGAGAGAGGCGACTTGTCAGCCCCACGGAACTTGATGCTACACAAGTTCGGCTCCTCATTGCACGCTGCCGTGTGACTATTGTGGAAACCCGGTTCTGTATTGTTTGGGACCAAGTTCGTCTTTGGATTTTAGGCTTCGATCTAAGTGGTCATGCCGACGTCTCGGATCAGCAAGTCGTGCGACCAATGCCGGAATCGCAAGGTCCGGTGTCTCGGTATGTTCATCTACCCTCAATCCAAAACAGAAATGGCTGTTACAGAATGCGTATTGGAATACAGTTCCAACTACTTCTCCAGGAGAGCCTGTAGCGTACACTCATTGCATTGTAAGTCCTGTGGATTGAAAAATCTTCAACTAGCGACTAACTCCTCCCTTTCTAGAAACCAAATGAGTCCTGCACATTCGGAAAAGTGAGAGAATTAACTTGGTCCAAGCATCTTGTCATTGTCAGACTAATATCAAGACAACAGGATTGAGGTTTACATATGTACATAAAGCTTTCGTATTTGTTGATAATAGAAACCCCCCTCACCATTGATCTATCAGAATCATCTGATCATGATCAAATGGACAGTCCCAGGCCAAGTCCGGACGGTGTACCGGAGATGGGTGTGTACATTTCACCATCAAAACCGATCCATTTGCCAGAATAGAGCTTAGTTCTGGCCCTTGCAAGCGGCGTTGTCAGCGGCACACTGAGCCTGGTTGGCGTCTGGGCCACTGCGGCAGGTATCGAAAGCGTCGGAACAGCATTGAGCGTGGTTAGCGGAGCACTGAGCTTGGTTGGCATCCGCGCCGACACGGCAGGAGTTGAAATCCTTCTGGCACTGAGAGTTGGTGGTGGCCAGAGAAACGGTGGCGAGAGCCAGGGTGAAGAGGGCAGAGAGGCGGACCATTGTGAGATTTGTAGGAGTGTATTCGGAAGTGGCTCGGAGAAAAGTGGGATAGATGTTTGGAGCTTCTTCCTAGAGATGATTTGAGCTTCCTTTTAAATCCTCAATCCCAATGCTGACGATGAGAGTAATATTGTAGCGGTGAGTCCAGGGATGACCTAAGTGGGGAGAAGCTCGTCTGAAACATTGTCTCTCAATTCTTCAAAACTAACTCGCTGGAGGTTGGATCGCATATAGCGTGGCTTTTCCATATCGCTGGCGGGAGAGATCGGCTGAAAAACTGTCGTTTGAAGAATAGTCCCGAGGACTAATAAAAACGGCGCATACATGCACATATGCCAGGTGGGTCTGCCGTAGATGAAGATCTGCTCACCTAAAAGCAGAATGGGTAGTCGTACTTGTCCAACTTAACTGTCTTCATTAGACGGAAAAAGAGATTCTCTCTTGTACCCCGGATTTACGCCGTTACGCTACGATGATTACCATTCCGTTATAATGGTGGGATCCCGAAAGCTTCACCACAAGCGGAAATAGGACTAGACGAATCTCCACTTAATCAATAAATCCACTATTGAAGATCGTCATCCCTGGAATTCAAGACATTTTTGAAGACGCGCAATAGTCCGGACTAGTTACTATAGCTTCACGGTTGTAGCACACCAGAATGTACGTCACATGTATACTCCTGCGGATGCAATTTACCAAAATGCGATCTTGGCCTTCTTTAACTCGGCTTCAGCCTTACTCAGTGACTGGATCACACACCGCAATTCGCGAAGTATTATTCTTCTTGTTGGAAGCCAGGTAACAATATGCTTCCTTCTGTCCGAGTCCCCCCTTTCTTGCTTCTCTTCTCTATTTACATAGCATCAATCAGGCAAATATGGGCGGCTTTTCCTGATCTGCTTGCCTCGTAGATCCACACTCCTTGTAATCATACAAAATGGTAGTCACATAGGCAGCAGCTAGCCGGGGGATGGACCGCACTAATAAGAGCCTATGGATTATCAGCGTGGTCTGGTTAAATTTTTTTGGTTATCTTCTGTCATAGGTTCACTGCCGGACACAGGATCATTTTGGGATTTTTGACGAGCAACCTAGTCCGTCCCGTTTGCCCTAATTTGTCAGTCCGAGACCGATCTGCCAGATGCCCGTTTGCCAGCTCTCTGTCAGTCTAGTTTAAAAGTCCTGTTTTAGAAGCCAGTCCCATATAAACTGAGCTTTCCCTTAGATAAATAGATCATCCAATTTTTCCACGCGTTCGATTCGTCTTGGACGAGGAGTTGTCTCGTTTTTTAGCTATGACCCGTAGCTGAAAAATCATTTTCTACAGCCTCTTCTTCTCTCGTTGTCGAGGACATACTATTCAGAACTTTTCAAACTACTGTACTGGCAGATATCGGGTTGTAAAGTCCGTTTTGACAATTCTGTATCTTTGGAGTGCTATATTCAGTCCTAATTATGGCCATGGCTGCCTGAGCATATTCGTCAACCTCCAGTGGTTAGATGGCTCTCCAATATGTTGAAGTTGACACCGAATCTTTGGCCTTGCCGGTCAGGGGCCATTGGCTGCAGTTTGGTTTGATCAGTTAACAGAGAACGCTCAACTTGGAAAATTCATGTTCAAATAAATCAGTACTGTCAGGTGGTAGCAGCACTTCCTCCATCTTTTGACCAGTGACTTTGGCGAAATTTCCCAGAAAAAAGTTCGTTGGTCAATTGCCTTGCAAATCACGAGACACGTCCTGGTCGATAGGAAATTGGGCCCGTGATCATCGCATGACTTGGTAAGCAAGAAACTGACAGTCTCAGCGGCTTTCACCGCTTCTTTGAAAGTGGAACTTCTTCGCTTCCAGATAGATCTAGAAATCTGAAGGGCCGCCCGAATCTCTTGTTCCCGCTGTTGTTTTTTTACGCGATACAGCCTGGAACATAGGATCATGGTAGCAGTGAAGAACTGATGACTCATGATGAAAGTCACTCGGAATCTCATGGTATGGAGATGTCTGCCGGGACATGTTTCCTCATCCACCATATATTAGATATTCAGCATGCCCAACGAAGCAACCAAGAAAGCCTTCCACAAGGAGGTCATTACATCCTCATCTGGATTGATCGAGCTTGTGTATAAGAACCAGTGATGAAGCACAATCTGCCCTTTGTATACCGTATTGAAGCGCTTTCCGATTTGCGAACTACCTTGCTCGTGAGCGACTCTACCATTTTTGCCCCAGAAGATAGAGATTGCGGTGCTGGAGGAAGAAGATGATGAATACCGAGACTGCTCAAGCCCCCTCTTCCGAGATATATATAAATCTTCTTAACTAAGATAATATTTTCACTGCCTTCCTAATAAAGTAATGATATCAATAGAAATGCTAGATATAGCTATATATAGTTATCTTATATTATACTCTATACAGAAAAGTGAGATATTAGGTGTATTAGCCAATACCGACGTATAATTTGTAAGCATTTTATACTAGTTTTTAAGCCGAAATTGGGTCGAGTTGGGTCCAAGTTGGGGTTTACTGGGGCCCCAGTACGGGGCCGGGTTGGGTTTTGCGGTTTTTGGCGCACTCTACTTTTAGGTATTGGTCGTGGACCCTGTTCGCAGCGTAGTAAAACGGGTCTATGAGATGGCGCGGACGACGCCTAAACGGGGCAAGGCTCCTATTATCGGGACGGGTGAGTCTATGGGTACTAATGTTCATATTCATGATTTGACGGATCTGTTTTCCTTGTTTGTCAAGGGCGCGCTGGAGGGCAATGAGCTCCTGCGGGGGCCTGAATCATAATCATATGTACTTGCTGAGAATGGAGAGCATTGCTGGAGTGATCTGGCGAGGTCAATTGCGCAGATTGCAGTTCAAGAAAGGTATATACCGAGCGCCGATGAGGAAACACTGGATATTCAGCAGGCGAGAGATCAGGCTGGGTTTGAGGCTGCCAGTTGGGGGCTGAATGTTCGGTGTCGGGCTATTTGAGCGCGTAAGCTGTTGGGCTGGACGCTGGCCCGGCCGAGTCTGGAGGCTGAAATGTGGGATATCGTTAGAGGAGAGTGGAACCTGACGCATTAAAGTAGTTTATGGAGCATCAACTTGCAAATCCTGTCAAGCCGAGTGGTTGAAAGAAAGAATTCCCCGAGCCCGGACGGAGATCGGTGTTTTCGCTTCCCGACTCGGCCTGTCAGGTCTCGGAGATAGCGAGGCTGGAGTATATCAGGCAACTACCTCCGTTACTTTTCTGAGTTTCATTCTAGTCTTGTAACAGCAGAATCTTCACAAGATGTTGCGTTCATGGTTTTCTCTCGGTCGCGCAAATAAGTACATCTTTCCGACTGTGAGCCCCGACGCGGATGGACCAGAATGCCTAAAAGACTGCGCCGACTGCACAGTCCAATTCCCGTCAAAAGTCAAGGTCGACAACTTAAGGCCATTGTATGGCCATATTAAGTCCTTCCACTCACACGTTCTCGTGGCAACGGGACGATCAGACTGGAAAGAGAAGGTCGAGCAGGAAAAAGGCACTTTGATGGAGGCATTCGACGAGACCAAATCGGAGCACGGTGTGAGTTTTTCGTTTGAAATAAACAATGTTAATTGTTTGGCTGATCCCAAACGCAGCGCATAATGGTCTCGGCATCAAATCTTAATGCGCCAGATCACGAAACAGCAGAGGGAGCCGACAACGCCACCTCAGTGCTCATTCTACCATCGTTCACATTCGTGGACAACATCACTCAAGCCGATGTACCAGAAGTCATGAGTCGGTTCATCGATCATCCCGTCACGCAACTCAATGAAAAAGGCACCGTCGCCGGTGCGGTCGCCCCTATATCTGGAATCAGCTCCCGACCCTGCGATCTAGATTACGTGGTACTACTATGCTCGCACAAAAGACGAGACGCCCGATGCGGAATTACAGCACCATTGATCAAGCGCGAGTTGGAGCGACATCTACGTCCACTGGGCTTAGACCGTGACGCCGATGATTCACGACCTGGAGGTGCGGGTATCTTCTTCGTGTCCCATGTTGGTGGACATAAGTTCTCGGCAAATGTCCTTGTTTACCGGAAGAAAGACCAGCAGATGATCTGGTTGGCAAGAGTACGACCGGAGCATTGTGAGGGGATCGTCAGGTACACTTTACTCGAGGGAAAAGTTGTACACCCTGACACGCAGCTCCGAGGAGGGTTCGATCGGGTGCATGGATTGACGAGTTGGTAATTTCTGAGAGAAGTCACTTGTTACATTGCTTGCCCATTTTGAGATCTTAAATCGATACAGCGAACATGATATCCCAAATGCATTTTTAGAGATGGAGAATGAGTACAAATATCCAATTGGCAATTTACTCTTCACAGAGCCCAAACCAGATCTTGTTCCCTTTGAGGTCAGACTCTAAAAGAAGACCAACCTTTGTAGCTACCCCAGAAACATCGATGGAGATCTCCACCGAGAAAGATAGCATCGATTGATGGGCTTGGTTGTGGATGGTACCAACAAAAGATTCCTCATTTACGTGAACAAGGGAAATTTCACAAGGGATGACTGATCGCGTGGGTCCATAGTGAGCGAGTCAGGAAACCGTCTCAATGTGATACTGGAACAGGAAGGGTGCTTGTATGAACCAGTGTACTTTGGCGAAGGCAAAGCATGCGCAATCGGCGGGTCTGGCAAGGATTCAATCAATCGTCGTTTAGCATCGCCTAAACTCTCCTTCTCAAGAATTGCACTCCACTCTTCGGACTGATATAACTGCTGAACAGGTTATACTTTGCTAAAAAAAGCCTAGCTAATGTAGCATCGGAAAATGCCTGGAAATCTGGAGAGCAGTCACGCTGATGATAGATGGATAGAACTCTCCCAAAGTCTATGTACTCTACCCTAAGTTTATTGCACCACCATGAAATGTCCCTCTTCGTATGACCGGATGAATCTTCCATGGAATATCAAGTGACTATCGCAGCACACCATTTCAAAGGCATGTCTCGGAAATTACGGAACATGAGCAGAGTTGATATGATCGCTGAGTACTTCCATCAATCATAATTGACAGACATTTGGTCACACAGAAGCCCTCCACCAGACCCAAATCCAACTCGGCTGAAAGGCTACAGCCGCGGATACGATGGATGAATCATTTCAAGCATATCATTTCGGTCCTGATCCAGGCGAGCTTGAGTAGTCTGGAAGATTCTTGGGACACCAGACTCAGCAAATGAGACTCCATCCGAGATCATCGCTGCCACACCTTTCCCAGAAAGCCATGCTTGCGGCATTCCATGGCCGGTAAAACCGGCACTGATGAACTGACCTGGCTTTCCGGGGACATGGCCAACATGCGGCAATGAGTCCGAAGAATACCCCATGACTAAAATAAATATCACGTCAGCTTCTTGTACTTCTATCAACAGAGTGCTAAGGTTGACTTACTCCCAGTCCAAATCTTGTCCACATATGCACCGCTCTCTTCCCAGCCGTGAAAGTTCCGTTGCATGTAGTCATCGAAGTACTCCTTGACAGATTCGATCATCTCATTATCATTTGCATTGTTGTACCATTTCCCTGTGTCATGGCTGTATATTCTCCAGCCACCACCAACGACGATACTCCCGTCATCTCGGGGAATGAGATAGTCTGCCTCATCATCGTTCCACCGTAGGGTATATGTCTCTGTAAGCCTCTTCACTGGATGAGTAGGTACTATTCGGCAACAGACTCCGCGCACTGGGATAAATTTGCTCAAATATATGGGAAGAATTGCCGAAGTGTATGCGTTGCAGGCTAAGACCACCTGTTTTGCTTTGACTGTGCCCCTTGGTGTATTGATCGTCCATAAACCCGCATTGTCTTTTTCTGGTGAGATGGATTGAGCCGGAGTATGTGTGTAGAGTGTTGCACCTTGGTCAATGCAGCGACTAAGAATGTGGAGGATCAATTTATAGGGCCAGATATGACCCGTTTCATAACTGAAACAGCCTTTTGCTCCTTTGACACGCGATGTCTAGAGCAAATCAGTGTGCTTTTTAGTTGTGAACCAAACCACGAAGGACATACCTCTTCCGCCTCCTTTTCGTCAGAGAAGCTTACTCGTTTGACCGACTTCAGTCCCAAATTTGATAAATGATCAAAAGCAGCCTTGGCTTTCTTGCTTTCTCTAGGCATCAGTTAAACATCAATCGCCTGAGTCATGACCAAGTCGCAGTCAATTTTCTCGGTTTCTACGAGTCTTCGAATGACGTCCACATGGGCTTGCTCGAATTCAGCCACCTCTGCGGCTGCTTCGGGGCCATACTCTGCGGCATAATGGCCGATAGAGCTGTACGGGTCTGGTTTGAGATGACCTCCTGGCATTACTGTGAGATACATATACTGAAGAAAGAATGCTAATAAACCGACTGACCATTCCGACCCGTTGCCCCGGAGCATGCTTGTCGTGCTTCAAGTATGGTAATGTTTGGTTGGTTGGCTCCTTTATGTTGCTGGAGAAGATGGTATGCAACTGATGCACCAGATATTCCGGATCCAATGATCACAACGTCTGCTTCCTTCGGCACAGACTCGGACGATATGTGGCTGTCTAGTTGGTGCAGCTCAGTCCTCCACCATGAACTCAGGCCAGATCGCGTGGGAATATTAACCATGATTGGAGCTTCCTCGTTCAACTGATTGACACGATGAAGTCAGATAGAATCAATAGATGTTGAGGCTTTATATATTGCGAGATATGAGTTGCGAAATAAAGACAACTTCGTATCTCTACTCTTAGTGGAGCTTTTCAATGCGCGGCTTCTGACTGGTGCGGTTTTATAGAGCTAGTGTAGAGCCAACGACAAGCTTTACCATATAAATTGTCTTTTGGGTTCAATTCTCTGACTCTAGGCTGGAGATTGAAAAGCGGCCTTGATACTAACTTGGAAACCGCTCGAAAATTGAGGGCAAGTTGAGTTGTAACGGAATATAACGTTATATCCAGCAAATCAATAGAAAAATTTGAATGCGCAAAAGTTCAATTGCCAGCCACTTTACGAAGGAAAGTTCACATGAAAGAAATCATTGTTTCAAATAACTAAAATCTTTTTCAAAAAACAAAAAAAAACAAAAATCTTATCTGCACTTGTAAAGAACAAGGGCCGTGGCAGGTTGAGGGAAAATGTATATGCGAACGTCGAAAAAGCCTGCATTTTCACGCAATCCGGACATTTATATCACGTCTTAACACAACAATCATATCATAAGTTACTCAACTGTCACTAAGTATAGACATCTGACCTTGAAAGTGGATCATGTGACGCGAAACGTCACCGCGTTAAGTGTTTCGCGTCGCGTCTATTACTTCTCCAAACTTTGAACCAAATCATAATCTCAGCATGCGATAATGGCAGACAGCGCTCTCAATTCAAGTACAGAGGTCGCTGCCCAAGCTGTCCATGTTCGCGCAAACTTAAAAACATGGGAGAAAGCCTTCGCGTCAGCAAATGGGGGCAAGAAAGCCGGACGCGACGATATCAAACAGAATCCGGATATTGGTAATTTGACCCTTTCGCGCGCCAAGCAAGAACCGTAATGGAACCGATAACTAATATTCAGTTCTTTTAGCTGCGAAATACAAGGAATACAGTCGGCTCAAAGCCCTCGAGGCCTCCTTAACTCGACGCGAAAACCGCCGACAGGAAACAGAAAGTCACTCTAAAAAGCGGAAACACGCATCACCCCCCGGTTCAGAAGGCACATATACTCAAACCACCCCGCGCAAATCCTCCAAAGGCCTATTTGCGACTCCGTCCAATAATCGCACCAAAATCCACCCTGCGCAACTCGATCCGTATGATTCACCTTCAACCCTTCGCAGACTGTTCAGTCCCAGCACACATCAGACGGCTGCGTCGCCATTGAAGGCTGCAATTGGTCCGACTCCTCAGCGCGATGGGAAAACATTGGGTCTCTTCGACATGCTATCCGAGTCGGGAGGCAGTGGCGGAACACCCTCCGTTAAGCGACAGACGAGTAACTTAGCTGCAGGATTCAGAACTCCGTCTAAACGAAGACCGGTTGCGACAATCCCCGAGGATCCAGAGGAAGAGCCACAACAGGAAACACCAAGACTGGCGCGCACCCCTGCCTCTGAGACTAAGCAGTTCTATCTTGCCAACCTGTTTGCGACACCGACGACAATGCGCTATGCTGCTCTGGTTGAAGCAGAAGATAATGCAGAGGCACAGAGTGGAACATTACACCCTGCTCAGATATCACCACAGCCTGCTCACTCTGGGACCCCCTCCTTCCTTCGTCGTTCGAATTCTGGTCGATATCCTCCACCCGGTGCAAGCAATGGTGGACAGGGCCTCAGTCCTATTGTTTCACGCAAGCCACAACAATTCGCCAGTAAAGGATTGTCGCATCTGGTTCAGGGACTGCGGGATATGGAAGAAGACCGCATGGAAGATGACTGGGAAGTGATGCGTGAGATGGAGGAAGAGGCTGAAGCAGAAGAAATGGCCAAGAACCAGGAGGAGGACAGTCAGGATCCGGATGTCAACCGAAAGTACAAGAAGAAGGGCCAGAAGCGAACTACTCGAAGAGTGGTTATGCGGCCTGTTATTAATCAGCCGAAGCCTAAGCAAACGCCTGCTCCTACCGAAGAGGATGAATTCTCGGACAGTGACGACGAGTTGGCAGCAGTTCCAGAGACTCAATTTGCACCTGGTGTCAATGATGCCAATGATGGCTGGGATGATGTCCCCAGTGACATTGAGCGTGCGGAAGAAGGTGCTGCAGCTCCAAATATGTCAGAGCCTGAACAGGACACCGACGCAGAGTTTGATCCAGACTCGGATGACGACCCTGGATTCGGAGGGAGGCCCAAACCTGTCGCTAGGACGAAGAGTTTCTCGGAGAGGATCAAGGAGGCTGTATCATCTTCTGCAGCGGCAAAACCGAAGGAGCCAGCATCTCTGGATAAACCCCCAAAGACCGCTGCGCCTGAAGGAAAGAAGCCTTATGCTCGAAAGGTCAACCCTCAGGCTCATGCAAACTATCGATCATTGAAGATTGGAAACAGAGGAGGTTCTCGGGGTAGAGGGGGGCGCTTCCGTCGGAGATAGGCGCCAAACAGCCTTGGTTTGGCTTTCATGATGTAACGAATGCATTCATATTCAGCATAGGTCGCTATCATTTATTCAGAGTCATTCATAGCATTCATATATGGCTCTTATTTTGGACCGAGCGCTGTCCATTTGATTATATCCAAGCACTTAGGTATCAAGGTCATGACATTCATATTGGTCAAACTCGCCGACGAATCTTATTGCATTTTATAATTTGTACATTTTCATTTACCATACCTAGGTGGCCGATCCATCAAAAAAGTGAGATGAAATCGAAGATACACTGAGACAAGTCCAAGGCAGAGACGGTTCCCACACCCAAGGTCATTTTATAGCCAGATTGACCGACCGTCAATATGGATGATATCGTTGCTGAGCATGCTGCAGTCGCCTGGACCGATCAAGCGCCTCTTGAGACCGTGATCTATATGGCCGTCGACGAAAAGATTGAGCTCTGCCTCGATTGCTAACAGAACGCGAACTGTGATCCAACTGATGGGATTCCCCTCGTCTTCTGTCAGAAGTAGCTCGCGCAGAATTTGGATACTGCACATGGCGGTCCCAGTCTTCCAGGGATGTATAGGGACTTCTCAGCCACGCCTGTAGTTCATGGATGAACAAACGAGCATTCTCACGTCCGATGAAATCGCGCAACAGCTCCTCGGCTTGTCCAGCACTACCTTTAAGATCAACTGTGCGTAGGATGGCGATGACATATTCAAGGAGAAACTCGGCATTGTTCGCTCTGCGACTCTCCAGTCGTTGGTGCCCGGGGCGCGACACTTGCTGAGGCGCCCGCTCTTCCTCTTCCGTTTCGGGGTTCAAGAAGCTGAAAACTTTAAGTTCACGGCGAATCCATTTCCGAGCCCGTGAAGCGAGCTCTTCGTCACGGTTGAAGAGCTCTGGTGTCATTTCTCGGTATTGCGATAGGCGATTGGTCCCGACTCGCATGGAGTATGTTTGGTTGCGATACACATTGCGCCGGCGTTCGAGAGGGTCATCTAGCTGTGGACGTGGCGGCTGTAGAAAGGTGTGCCCTCCTCGCGGGCCACGACGAGGCCCTGGGCGTGACCGAGGCGCTGCTTCGGCGGGGGGCTTCGCATTTCGTGGCGGGACCTTGTATAGCTTTGGGCCTTGCGGGGCTTGGAGTTCGTATTTCACGGCTATCAGCTCGCTTTTACCTGTTGCACAGTCCGTCAGCTCTAATCAGAAGATAAGCATAGTGTGTACTCACATAGGGGACAAGTAGGCTGTTGCTCCAGCCAACTGACGAGGCACAAGAAGTCGAAGTTCGCATGATGACACGGCTGTGCCACGCAGGGTTCGGTGATTTTGTCTAGACAAATGACACAGGGATTGGCGACATCAGACTCCTCATCCACCTCCTGCAGAGTTCGCTGAAGTATTTGCTGTCGCACCTCATCGTCCATAAGGTTGGTGGAGTCACGTTCGGGCGGCAAAACCTCCTCGGCGGTTTTCTTCCGCGAACACAGCTCTTTCTTTGCGTCGTCACTTTCTCGTTGCGTCACTCCTTCACAACTCAAGTCTTTCTCCGAAATGCGCTAAACCTTTTTCCGACTCTACAAGGCCATAGCATGCGGTCTGCCAAAGTCGTCGTTTCTGAGAAACTTGCGCGCCTTGGAGCTTCCAACATGTCCCACAGTACCGCCAACGGAATGCACGCCAACAACAGGCCGCACACTATTACCTCTCTGCGTCGGTGGTCTATTGTGAACAAGGAACTCCCAGGTAAAAACATTAGCCTGATCAATCTACCATATGACATACTGACAATCGCGATTATCGCTACAGCCATGCGCAAGATTCGCGCAATTCACGTTTACGACTTCGACAACACCCGTGAGAGCCCTTGGGCCTGATTTTAATTCGTGGTGAACCAGTCGCTAATATCAACACCTACCAGTGTTCATAAGTCCGTTGCCAAACCCACAAATCTGGCATGGATCATCCATCGGATTCCTACAATCTGTCGACCACTTCGCCAATGGAGGATGGTGGCATGACCCAAACATCCTCGGTGCGACAGGAAAGGGCATGGAGATCGAAGAGCCTCGCGCATGGGAAGGATGGTGGAACGAGCAAATTGTGTGACTTCCAATATACCCTGCACTCCAGGAACAGGTCAACTAACCTTCAAAAGCTTCGTCTGGTACGCATGAGTATGGAACAAAAAGATGCCCTCACAGTACTGTTGACCGGCCGCAGTGAGGCTGGCTTTGCCGGCATTATCAAGCGGATGGTTGCAAGTCAGAAGCTCGAATTTGATCTCATCGGTCTCAAGCCGGAGGTTGGTCCGCATGGACAGCGGTTTTCGTCTACCATGGAGTTCAAGCAGGCATTTCTTGAAGATCTTGTCCTCACTTACGAGCAGGCTGAAGAGATTCGCGTCTATGAAGACCGTGTCAAGCAGTGGGTTAAAACAGAGTACTTCGAGTGTCTTTAGGTGCTAACATGCTGCTAGTGTGAAATCCTTCCGAGACTACTTCGAGGAGATGAACAAAAAGCTCCAAATCGGGGCTCTTTCCACCACCACACGTGTTCCTGTCCTTGCTGAAGTCATCCAGGTGACTGAAGGCTGCACATACCTCGATCCCGTAATCGAAACAGCTGAGGTGCAGCGCATGATTAACTCTCATAACCTTGCCTTGCGTGATCCATCTCTATCCACGAAAAACATCCGCAATGGGCGTCTAAGTATCAAACGGGTTGTCTTCTACACTGGCTATCTTCTTTCCCAAGAAGACTCAAACAGCATGACAGAGAACTTGCTGGTTTCGGCGTTACCCCCCGGGCTTGCTGACTCAAATGACCTCAAGTACATGGCTAACAGCATTCTTATCACCCCACGCCCAGCTCCTCGCTCCATCCTGGACAAGGTTGGAGGCATGGGCAAGAAGATCAAGTGGAAGGTTACCGGTACTGGCACCTTCGAAAACAAGATCTGGGCTGCCCGCGTGGCGCCTGTGTCCGCGACAGAGCCGTGGTATTCTGATAACCCACTGCCACTTGTAGTCCTGGCTGTGCGCAAAGGTTCTCGCCTCGTTGACGCAGGAAGAATTCAGAATTGGCACCCTGCTCCGGCCGATAAGGCCATTACATTTGACACTGTTGTCGGAGAAAAGGTTGTCTTGAAAATCGAGGCCCAAGATCAATACAGAATGAATAGAAGCCACAAGCGACGCTTCCAAGATCACGATGACACTTCCGTGGCTCACACATCTCATCATGCTAGCTACGACGGGGCATCATCTTATGCCCGTGGTGGTCACAGCTCCCACCAGCGTGGCGGAGGCCATCACTTTGACGAAAGTGCTCGACGTGGGGCCTCTCGCAGCCGTGCCCGAGGTAACGCACGTGGACGTGCTAACAGAGGTAACCGTGGACGAGGTCGTGGCCGAGGTGACCATGCAGCATACCACTACAGGTCGCTGGATGATTATGGCGGTGCCTCCCATGGCGACGGAGGTCATGGTGGTGGTGACGGACGAGGAGGATATGCCATGGACTACTGATATGCCGTGTCATCCGCGGTTTCGCCACCACTTTGAAAAGCCCATCCTAGGCTATCAGACATCGATTTTTGTATCTTTCCGGGGTTTCCTTGCATCGGGGTTTGGCGTGCATCAGCAATGGGTTGGCGCAGGGTGCCTCGTACTTCTTATCCATATTTTATGATCACAATTCAGCACTAAGGTGCTTGTTTGTTCAGTAGAAGGGTTCTCATCTTGTACGCATATCTTATGAATATCTTTTACCTTGTGTGGGTATTGAAGCCCACAATAAGAAAAAAGGACGGTTGTATCCCTATGAAGGTAGAAGTTTTTTCTCTTGAATCCAATCCAAGGGAGTATTCGCTTCTGTGGCACAACGTCCGTCGCAGTTTTGGTCAGTTTCTATTTTGTGCCTTGTGAAATACAACATCCATTGGAATTGTCCTTGCCAGGCTGGCACCTTAGACTTGGACAGTATCTGGAATGTTATATACAAGTTTATCTCCACTGATTTTGCCCTCTCTAAGGATACCAAGATCTTCCAAGACAACCTTCAGGCCACCATGACTGACCCTAGGAGGGTGTACCATGATTTTTCCAGTCGCCACCAAGTCCTCAAAATGACCACACAAAACGCCCGATCATGTGGCCGAGCCGGGATCTCATTTGGCCTGAACTTGAAGTTGTCACCAAACGCCGTATAGGCCATGGTAGCCCGGTCTCTGTCATTCTCAAGCTCAATATTGATTGGCAAAAGCGAACTATAGTCCCCTTTCTTTGGTGAGAGAGTGCAATCATAGTACTTGGCATTGCTTTCCGTGGAAATTGTATCAAATGCCAACGTGAGACCATTCTTCGTTCGCTCTCTAATTGCGACGGCAGTGTTTGGATCATTATAATCAAACATGATGTCGGCTCCAAGCTCCTGCACCTGATCGAAGTTGCGAGGTGAGCAAGTAGTGAGAACCTCATAACCAGACAGCTTCATCAATTGGATTGCCAGTGTTCCGGTGGATGTCGAGCCTCTATAAATCAAGATGGATGGCCGCTCTGAGATTGGAATTGGAGATGTAGGTAAAGCAAGCCGCCTTTGACGACGATATATTCGGTAAAGGTTTCATACTCAGGCTGTGTGGCGTCTGATTCCTGTGCAAAGCCACAGATACAATCTCCCTTTTTGAACGGCTTTTTCATTGCCTTGCCGACTTCTGCCGCAATGCCGGCGTAGTCGTAGCCCACGAGTACTCCCGATGGTGCCAAGTATTCGATGTGTTTTCAGACTGTAGGATTCAATGCCACGCTGTCATTCTTGACTAGAATGCAATCGTCATGGAGTTTGGGGATAGGTCGATTGGAAACCAGTTCCGCATGCTTTGGCGAGGAGACAATGATGGCTGGCTCTTTGCAAGGACATTTTGTGCTGGCTTTGTCGGAAGGTTCAATTGAAAAGGTTGCTAGGTCTGGTAATTTAGGGAATATCCATGGGCTTATGAATCAGATATTCGAGGCAGATATAGTATACGGAGAGGCATAGTTTGGCCAATGACCGTTTAGTTGTAAGCAGCCCGCATTGGCGCGCAGAGTGGATCCAAGGACCCTGAAGGGTTTGCACTTTATTTCCGGAAGTAGTCCTCGTAGTCCGCCAGTAAATGATAGTCCGGTATAGGAAGCACTATATTATGCGAACATTCCCCATTTGATTGAGGAACACACTTAGATGGCAATCACAAATATTCTGACCTGTACCTTAATGGAAGAGCAAGTAAACGATCAAAAACACGAAGGGACTTGGAGGATGTGCTTGCGTTCACAAGCTCAAGGATAGAATCAACCGCATGAGGGCCGCGATGATCAACGTCACAAGCTGCACCATAGCCTTCATAGCTTTCGTTTTAAACTCATGCATGAGCTTATGGACTTTTAGAGGTGCGAAAGTGCATAGGGAGTGGTAAGTCGCATGCGGTGATCGTGAGTTTTGTCGATGTTGCGCCATGGCCCGAGCTAGTGCTAGTGCGTATGTTGCTTTTCTCCTCGGCATCATTGATTGCGGTTTGAGCCGATCTTTCAACTTCTTCTGCTTCCTAACGCAAACCTATCGTCCAGAGCATTAGTGACAAAGTGTATGGCCTGAATTACAGGATTTCTAACTTACGACATGCGCTTTGATTGAAACGATTCTGGAGTCTCCGCCGCGTAGCCGAATTGGAAACATCAATGGTAGAAAGAGGTTCTGATTGCGCTGCGGCTTGGGTGGCGCGTGTGGGGCCTGAGACATCCCTAGTGATAGGTTCTCGCTGGTGTGAGATCTCAAAAGTCGCAGGAAATACGTTGAAGACCGAAAACTTACAAGGCGTGGATATCAGCGAGGTGCATGATGCTTACAGATCAAGCGATATTGTTCAGAGGTATAGCGGTCCCGGGCTAAAAGGTGCGGCGATTCGCCCCATACTCACTTAAGTTGCTTACGCCCCATTCAACCCTCTTTAATCCATCCAATGGGGCCACTCGTTATCCCGCGCAATCCATAGTTTTACACGGAGTATCAGAGTCTAATGTCCGTAGACACTGTGGTCTACTAACACATTTCCGCATACCGGGAGGCCATTTTCAAGAAAGACGGTATCTTTGCTGCTCCATGGGCTGTTCAGTTTGAGTTGGACTCCATTTACAACCGGCAACGTCCCTATTCTTGCCCACGACAAGTATCGTGAATATGACATCGTGTGCTATACCGATACTCAACTATCTTAGATTGAACAGCAGTGTTGATTGAGCAAAATATCTCAATAGGATGGGTTGTTTCATTTCGTTTGTCCTGGAGTACCAAAAAGCAATGAATAGTCTACAGGGCTTGGGTACGATGACATTTGTGGAAAAGGTTGACATTGAGGGCTTGGTTTGTGAATTTGGCGATTTGTCAAAGAACTAACTAGGGGTTTGCAGGGCAAGAACAAGAAAGCGACAGCGCAGGAATAGAGAACAGAAGCTGTTTTATACATCAGGTAAATTGAACGCCGAGTGCTCAACATGAAACCAAAAATCCACATAACAAAACACCAAACACCGGCAGGTAAAAAAAAAAAAAGTACAAAAGCGTAAGTCAATGGCATTGTATTCTATGTCAGAAAAAGTATTCCGACAAATCGACAGAGAAGCCAGAGGTGATGACTCAAGATTGACAGGTAGTCTTGTGTCAAATCATAAGCAGAGAAATCATGCGAGGCCATAAATCCTCAAATATGTTCGTGAAAATTTTCAAGTTGTCCAAAATCCATATTTCGCATTGGGAATCCAAATATTCCAAGTATCGTGTTCCATTTCCATCCATTCCGTGAATTGTTGTGTTGAGCTTCGTCGTAAGCTCATCGATATTATTCATTTCCCATTTGTGTCGTCCTGCTATAAAAAGGGTATGGTGCAGGTAAAGTAGAGGTAGGTGCAAGTCGTAAAAAGCAAAATCAAAAAGCAAGTCGTGTTGCTTGGGAGTTCGAGTTGATCATTCATCATCGGTCAACTTTCGGATCAGGCTGATGCTCAATATCATGACCAGGAGTCCGACCGTCACAATCACTAGTAAGACGAAGCCGAACCACCCTAATACCATGGCAGAGGATCCGACGCCACTTTTGACACTGCCGTTGCCCATATCTTGTGCGATGGTACTTGCTGCAACAGAGGCCGTGTGCTGCCATAGTACAGAGACAAGAACAAATACAGATGAGACGAAGATCAGTGCGAGCGCAGCCTGAGACACGGGTCGCGAGGGAAAGGGCTTGACTTCGCGCTCCGATCCAGAGTCATCAACCTCCTCGTGCCAGCCGGGGAAGGTAGCGAGAAGGATGAAGCAGAAGAACGCAAGAATGACGGCGACAATGCTGTTTTATGATTAGCAAATGTCAAACATTAGGATTTCAGTCAACTCACAGGAGGTACGGGAACACAACGGCATCCTTAAATGTCGACGCAACCCAGATCAAGTTGAGTGGGTCTTGGTCCACAGTGACAATCTCAGCCAAAGCTGTCGCATTGGCATTGCAGATGAATGAGCCTCTATCGGGCTGAACACAGATACCAAAGTATCCCACCCGAACTTCCAATTCTGCACCACCGACAATGTTCGAGATGGCGGTGGCAACGTCTGGCTGCACTTGTGCGAGATCCCGAATAGGGTTGTACTTTTCATAGTATAGCGAGATTAGGAAGATGTTGGGGATCTGTGGAGATGATGAAGAGCATCCGGCCAACAAGAGTGCTAGATGATGTTAGTGTCATTCCAGCGAAGCTTAGGAAGGAATGCTTGGCAGAAGCACTCACATAATAGGATAATTGCAACTGCAATAATGATCATGAGAACGTGGTGGTACCCGATCATAGGAATGAAGCCTGTCTCATAGTTAGCGTCAATGTCTTGTTGCACTACCTTAAACAAAGCAATGTCACTTACGGGCCCATTTTTGGGCGAAGGGGGTTGCCATTGTGCCGAACGATGAGCAACACTAGGTTGACCTTTCACTTGTCTTGACTCACTTCTCGGATCCCCGAGAAGGAGTGTCTGGAGTCAAATACGATCTCAGAACCCGGATTTCCTCTTAATAGACCGCTGGTTGAGTGTTGCGATTGGTGTTGATGACAATTCCTTCGGTTATCAAGATCGCTGGAATGGAGAGGAAGAATGCGGAGGATAGAATAGATGTCGGATAGTCCAGGCTGAGTTCAATGTAAGAACACAGGAGATCGTGAAGCGTGTTGACCCTCTGTGGTATCCAGTTCGCACCTAGGGATTATTGAGATGGGTCAGAGATTTGTCTAGACGCCTGAACAGTATACCACGGAACAGGTGAAAAGGGTGTGAAAGAGAGGAATGTGTAGAAGGAATGGAAGGGATGGGAAAAGAAGGGAACGTAGCTGGCACAAAATTCCACGTCACGCTATTCTGATTCTCTCGAGAATTTGGAGGCTGGGGATGAGGCAAGTGTATAGGAATATGGGAGGCTGGGCCAACCACCTTTGTTTACTCACCCGCTTCCCCAGCAACCAGGGCTGACCGCTTTCTCAGTCAGGCAATTCTGCCCCACATACAGGAGAGAGGGTCCTTGCTAGACCCGATCTTGACTAGCGCAGATCCCGATAAAGTTGGGCCCACCTGAAGGCGCCACGCGATTCACCCAACCTCGTAGATATTCAATGTTGGGCTTATAATCTGATTACTCTCGTTTCAGGCTTTCCAATATGCTGATATTCCAAAACACTACCCAATGCTGTGACATAAACCTAACAATATCAACACAGTTGCGCCAAAAAAGAGCCAAAGAGAAAAAATACCAGTGGCCCAATGCACCCGGCTCCTAAGATGTTTCCTATCCCAATGCTACCTTAACAATTGTGTAGATGCAGATGCCTAATTTGCTGTAAAAGAAAAGCGCTTGAGATCCAAAGGAGCGGTAGAGAGTCCAATATTGGGCTCTTCCTCCTCATCGTCACTGTCGGGAACGATCTGGTCCTCGCTGCCTTGGGAACCGATGGTTTCCGTAAAAGAGGACTCTTTAGAGGCTGGAGAAAGTTGTGCGGCCCAAGATTCCAGAGAGGCAGCATCCCGATGCTTGGTAGGGAGGTTGATAGAATTAGAACGAGCAAGAGCCGCATGTCCCATGCGCTGGAGAGGCGTCAGGCGCCGCTGAGCCGTATGTCCGCGAGAAATGCTGCCGGGTGTCTTCGGCGTCGACAGTAGTGCGGGTCGGTGAGACGTAGCCACGGGGATCTTAGTCATGGGAGAGCGAGGTTTCGCAGCCTCCAACGTTGGTTCAGACTTAAAGGTGAACTTGGACAGGAAAGCAGAGTTCTCACGGTCAATATGATACTCAAGAGCCTCATTGAAACTGAGGGAGTTAGTGGGGTCACCTCCCGGCGAATTGTGGGGTTTCTCCATATCTGTGCTTGTCGATGCCCCACTGTCTGTAGATTGGGAGGTAGGGTTGTCGACTTCACTCTGTTTGACAGTTGTTTCGGTATTGCTCTCAGGTTGGGAATCACCCAGCCTGGGTGTGGCACTCGGGTCAGGAATGCTGGACATGATGTCTTCAGCGACATCGTCAGAGAACACATCCATCACGGATTTCCGAGGCTTTTTAGGTCTAAATAGTTTTTGTCCACTAGGGCTGGTTTGTTCAGTGCTGGAGGCAAAGAACCGGCTGCGCGCAGTTGGACATGCGGGCAAGGAATCCCCCTCGGTTTCGGAGCATAGTCTTTGTCGCTTTGTCGGTTGCAAAGTTGATGACCTTGCACTTTGCGCCAGGAAAGAAGACCGCTCAACACTTCGGACCATAGGGCTAAGACTTTGATCGGAGAATGCCCGCAAAGGAGTGGATCGAACAGAGTTCGAATGTGAGGGCGCAGGGCTGGCATGCCAAGAGTTGTTGGAATTGCGGTCCAACAGTCGCTGCTGGCTGGGGGATGGAGTCAAACTGTTGGGGTCCAGTTCGGCCAAAGGGGTCCGTTTCGGGGTAAAGAACGAATTGATAGGCTTTCTTGCCTTTAACTCAGAGGAAGTCCCCAATGTCTGACGACGATTGATGCCAAGAGACCATTTATTAGCAGATAATGGCTTTATGCAAATGGGTTCTTTGGTAGTCGGATCCAAGTCACCCCGAGAGACACCAACAGCAATTTCAGGTTCCATATCACCACCAATGTATGGCAGCTCATCCAAATTTGTACCTTCCTCTGGCAATGTCAAAGTCACCAACTTTTCAGCTTTGTGGCAGAAGACCCGCTGATAAAGGAAGGTCAGCTCAGCCTGGTTGAAGTTGGCCTGGTAGTCGGCTGGGACCCGGAATTGACCCTCAAATTGGAGCATGCGCAAAGCTTTCTCAACAGTCTTGTGCTTGCGAATGACTCTGTATGCAGTCTTCAGTCCCATCTTTGGAATATTTGCCAAATAATCACAACCACTCAAAATGCACATCCGTCTGAAATCTGCATCACTCCAGCCAACTAGGCTGACCTCACGACAAGCAGTGAAGTCAGCGCGGTTAATCTCGATGCATTCTCCATGCTGGTCTAATTTGGAAAGCAATCGCCTCGCTCCAAAGACAAGCAAATCGGAGTCCTCTGATATTATGCCGTGGATAACGCCCTGCTGCTCGAGATACACCAACTGTGCATCTGCCTCATACGGTGCCACCACATATTCCACGTTCATTTGCTTCAGTTCTTCAATCAATTGACGGGCCATGTAGGGCGTCACATCGACGGCTTTTTGAAATTCTTGGTATGCCTCGGGCATCCTCCCCTTCCGTTGTAATTCGAGTCCCAGAGCCTTGCTTTCCTGACGCCGTCGGTGCCGGTCCTGTTCAGTACCTGACTTGCTGGGCAGGTTGTCACCATCGAAAACAAGGTAGGGTTTTACTCCAAAAAAGAGAAGCATGCGTACTCGGTTGAGGACGAAATCGAGATGCCTGTTATAACATGAGCATATTGATCATCAGTGTTTTGTGGATATATCAGCAGCCATACTTCCTAGTTGGATTGTCCAGGACCAGATCCACGGAACAAGCAACGGTACCACGGTGCAGCCATCCATATGCATCGACTCCAAGGGTTTGCCCACTGAACTTCTTGATGTGACATGGCTTCTGAATGGACTTGAGAAGCCCGTGAAGTCCTGGTCTCCATGTAAGTATTGTCCAGGTGCCCTTAATAAATCCCTGGCAACGTACCTTTGATGCCCATGGTGGACACCGTTCGAGGCGCAGGCGGGTCCTCGTATTCAAGCAATAAATGGTAACATAGACTTCCAATTTCACAAGCAGCCAAAATGTAACCAAATTAATGTCGGACCAAGTTGAAGATGAGTTAAACAGACGAGGGAGCAAATACCTCCCAAGGAATGTTCGTTCCCATCTCGACGCGCAGGACGCGCTTTTGGCCAGTGGGGAAGGCGGTGATTTTGGGTCACCGCCCAATTCTGCAGGCGCATCCCAAGAAAATTATCATCGCGGATTACGGAGGGATTTTCTCATCAGAACCGCCATCATGCCTGTCGCTCTTTCAAAAGTGCATAAGCAGATCTCTAAGAAGCGTGGGGTTGTCAATGCGCTCCATGAAAATAGCCGCGATGCCCACCGACTCCGCAAGGCTGGTGCTCGAGACGATCGACTGTCCCGCCATGGCGCCACGGTGATGAGAGCCCGCCAGCCATACAGTGAGACAGATTCACACATAACCTATGGATCACTTAACTAAATTGACTAGTGGATCGAATTGATTATATCTATGAGGCAGTGCAAGAGATGTCCGATGCCCTATCGGACGAAGAACTTGCTGAATTTGTCAAGACGTATGTGCTCCCCACAATTCACACATTGTACTTGAAACTTACGCCTTTTAGTTACATCAACCGTGATACCCCCGAGATTGAGCTACTTCAATCCGAGCGACGGAAAGGACGTCCTGCAAGCAAGCGGGAAGAGGCCTTGAAAGAGCGTGTGCAGACCGAAGATAGGGAATTCACCACCGGTCTCTGGATGCCCGACCTCAGTGATTCATATGTGATGACCACCCTGAAGGCCTGGAACAGAGACTGGTCAGGCCTCAGTGCCATGAAGTTTATCCGATTCAAGAAGAGCGGAGAGAAGCTGGCATCTAGCTTCCCTCCCAATCGCATGTCATGATCACGATTGCTTTGATTTTTTCTTACATTGTTTGGTGTCCAAAATGAACTGGGATGGCGCATGTTGGGTACATTGATTCTTTTAGATTCTGTACAGCCGAATATCTTGAATATACCTCAATTCAACTTCATTAAGATTTGTTCGAATCCATGTAGAGTGCCGAAACGGTGAAGTCTTGGCACTGGCAACATCATCGGGTTAGCTCCGCTCCTCTATCTTTTCCCAAGCTCTCTTCTTTCTTCAACCCCCAATAATTTCATCTACATTCACAATGTTGTCTCTTCGCACTATCTCCCGTTCGGTCCCTCGCACCTTTTCGCGCTCCGTTGCCTCTTCAGCTCTGCGCCCATCAACATTCTTTAAGCCCGCTCTGCGCCAGCCCTTCAAGCAGGCTGTCAAGCCCGCCTATGCTGCTTTCTCGACCTCTTCTGTCTTCAAGGCCCCTGCATCCGAAGGTAAGATTGATTCTTTGGCATTGGATAGAGTCCGTGACATTCCGGTGTTGCCCGATCGCAGACTCAACGTTTGGCCTGAGGCTAACTTTTGGGGCTGCTTTTTTTTTCAGGCGATGTCGAGCTTCTTGCCAAGCTTGAGGATGAGCTGAAGCACGAGAAGGCTTCCGATGTCCCCGAGTTCGAGGAGCAGCAGGAGACCATCGACGCCATTGTCAAGAGTGGCGAGTGGGCCGTTAAGGACATTGAGGGTGAGCAGGAGGTTATTCTGTCCAAAAAGTTTGGCAACGAGAAGTATGATCTCTACCACACCTAGTCTATTGTTATTTGATCTCTCTGGTGTCGACAAGAGTGCTAATATCAATAATCCTTCAGCATCCGCGTCAGCTTCACCGTCGCCGACATCCAGAACATCAGCGAGCAAGACGAGTTCGACGATGCCGCCCTCAGCGATGAGCTCGACTTCCAGAACCAGAACCAGGGTGCCGAGGACCTCGAGCAGCCCGAGCCCAGCTTCCCCGCCCGCGTTAACGTCACCATCGAGAAGGCCAGCCACGGTGCTCTCTTGATCCAGACCGTCGTCCAGGACGGTGTCTTCCAGATTGAGGAGGTTTCCCACTTCGCCAAGGCCGAGCTCGCCCAGGCCCAGACCGCTGAGAAGGATTGGGCTCGCCAGAGCCTCTACGCCGGCCCTCCCTTCGAGAACCTCGACGAGGACCTCCAGGGTCTTTGGGAGCGCTACCTCGAGGACCGTGGCCTCAACGCCGAGTTCGCTAACATGATCCCCGACTATATCTCCGTTAAGGAGCAGAAGGAGTACCTTCGCTGGTTGGACGGTATGGCCTTTTTCCTATGTTGTATCTTTGGGGCCTGCTTGCTAACGGGATCTCTCCCTTTCAGCTGTCAAGAACTTCATCGGCGCATAAATCATTTGTTCCTCTTAACCTCTCGACTCCCCTCATAATCCTTCTGGAAGAGACTTTTGATCAAGGTGAACCAGTTTGTCTTGACGCTCTCTTTCGATCTCCATATCCTGGGTCTGCTCTAGTACTTCTACTTTTGCGACTTGATTTGTACCAATACCTCCCAATATACAACCACTTCAATTGGATTATGACTTGTTTGGTCTCTTTCGTGTTATATAAAGTAAACACGGCCATGACAGACCTCACAGCTTCATTTTACGTAGCAATGTCAGTTTTGGTACGATATACGTATTCTGAGAGCTTTAGCAAGACCCAACTGATGAAACCATGTCAGGGTCCACGAGTTGTGGGTGAATCATTTCACATGCCATTTTATGCAGGATTGATCAATTTGTTTCGTTATTTGGACAAGTTTTGCGATGGATTCTATATAAAGTTCAGCAAAGATGGCTAGCTTACAAGGCATACTGAGAATTAGCCACTGAATTGAAAGAAACGCCCGACTCCCACCGAGAACATAGAATGATCATTAAGGTCCATGATCGGATGATTTAAGAAAATTAACAAGCATAACGTCATAAGCCTAGGAGATTCCACCATGTTTAAAACCACATGGACATGTCTATATCCACTAGAATTCCATGGGATCCGCCTTAATACCGGGTCCACTCTCATCGCGCTCGCGCTTTCCTGCCCGCTCTTCCTTCACAAGCCCTGCAATGAATGAACGGAAAAACTCGATATATGGCTTGAGACTGGTCTTCTCGTAGTCTTGCAGCTTGCGACTGCCTTTCGTATCAGAGCCGTTCATCGCGCTGCCTTCAACCTCTGCAACATCAGCTTCCGCTGTTCCAGCAGGGTGCTTCGCATCATATTCATCAATCTCCGCGAGTAGGTTCATTACTGTCGGAACGGACAACGGGTCAAATTCTTCGGCCTTGTGAGGGTCGATGGGTACACAAATACGACCAGTACCGGGGTGAATGACGAATGGACTCTTCAGCAAGTGTATCATTTTCTTACTGACTTCAGCATCCAGACGTGGGTAGGTATATTCCAAGACAATATCTTGCTTGGCGTCTCGAAGGGTAGCTGGATTGAGCGTGCTGCTCTTACCAGTTTTGGCGAGTGAATCGATATCAGCCCACTTGCTGGTACTGGCACGACCTGGTGATGAGTCCCATTTCTTCCGCAGTGATTCGTTCAAGTTCTTATCGGGCAACAAGGCCAAAAGACGCTCTGCCTGCTCGGCGCTCTCAAATGTGTCTTGGTCGCCAAGTGTGGTTCGAGCAAAGTCATGCTTGAGCAATTCGAGACTGCGGACAATATGGGGGTGTAACGGTCGCTTGACGTTCACCTTCTTGCCGCTTTGAGAACCACCACGAAGGATTTCAAGGTAACCAGCAATGGCCCGTCGTCGGTCATCTGGTAAGTTGCGCGCACGCGGGTCGCAAACCCAGGCGTGGGCACCACGGCGACCTGAGTATACCCAGAGAATGTGCTCAAATCCGAAGTCCTCCCGCAGAGCGGTATCAATGACCTTGATTGCCATTGTTACAAATGACCAGCACTTGGCACAAATATTTGCCTTCACACAGCAAGTACGGATGTCGTCGTAATCAGTCAAATCAATATCGAAAACCAATTCCTTTGAGACGGGCTTCATTTGGCCGCCTCGTAGCGTTTTGCGATCGCGGGGGTTGGTGCTGTAGACAGGTCCGATTTCGAAACGAGAGGGGTTCATCCGCAGGATGTCCTTGCGGAACCTGATCAAAATAATGTCAGTTGTGATACCAACATGGTGATCACGAGAGTTGCATTTGAGCCTTACAGGTCTGCAGTAGGGTATGATTGGTATCGGAGATAGGCATCATTTTGGAGGGTGAGCGCAAACTCGCGATTTCCAAAATCTTTCGTTGGTACAATTCCATGGTTGAGCCACTGGAAGAGGTATCGGAATGGGAACAGTCGTTGGTAGAAAGCAAGCATGATATCCTGGTCCACGCCAGAGGGCGCAGGAGCCGGCCTGTCGCGAGGGGTCGATAAGTCATACTGTCTTTTCTGTGCAGAGAGTTACTTACTCCTCCTTCATGTTGACGTCTGGAGCACTGGAAGCAGGAAACTCGTCATCGTCATCGTCGTCGAACATGTCAGCCAACTTGACACCGCTGTTCCCGGTTGAAGTCTCAGCTGGAGGGGCGTCCGGCATCTCATCATCAGTTTGCGCCGCGCCGGTAGGTGATACAGAATGAGGCATTGTGAGGGAGTTGGCGATGGCAGATAAACTGAGTTGCCAATTAAACACCCCAAACGGGAAAGAGCGACGCGCGACGCGTGAGAAACCCGTGCACGCGTCTGCCCTATGCCCTAGGTCACGTGCTGGCCTAAAAGGGTAAATTATATCTCTGGCTGCATTCGGACGACATCTCTCTTACCTTAGGCAGTTCCACGCCGAAGTGACTTACGAAGCAAACAGTCGCGAGAATTTTGGACTACAATGTGTCACCCATATCCGCTTGCGGATAACAACCTCGCTGTACCTATCGTCCGTCAGAAGGAACCTTGGATGACATCTAGACTTCCCCGGTATCCCGATGGTTAAAGAGTGTACATCAATGGTACGACACAGGTCAGCAACTGAGATTGGTCAGGGGAAACCTGAAATTCAGTCCCAGGAAGAACTCCATTATCTTTATCCGGCGACAGGTCCATCAAAATGTTCTCAGTGAAGCCGTGATCACATCTGGTGCAAGAGCGAGAGCGTCATCTCCTCGTCATTGATGGCAGCCAACGACGCCACGGTTGGTGACCTTCGATGAACTGCTTCCATCTGAGACCCATTGTGAATTTTTCGGGATCGCCTTGCTCGGGCCATGCCCGAGCTCCGTACATTCCTTCAATATGGCACCCACCAATAGGACGATTCTGCACCCAGTCGGATGCCATTCTCACATTCCAATGTACCCCAGGCGACGATCTCATTCGCAAATGGCCCTCTGCTGTTCTTGATCGACGGTCTTGGACTTTCGGCTGCATGGACTTCTGGTGCCAGTAGCCTTTACCCCCAATCAGAGGGTCCCCTTACCTGTCAATTATGGTCCCATTGCAATGTTATGGCCGTGCCACACCAATCTCCAGTACTAGACTATTGACGGCCTCCGTGTCCGGATTAGGTATCCTTGGCACTCATAATTCCATGGCCAGGGCTCCACTCCTGGCAGTTGTTGATTGATTATTGAGTCAACACACTCGAATCGGATGTTTCTTCAACTGACATTGAGGCGATTTGCAATATAAATGAATGAACATCCAATCAACTGACCATTCTATTCACAGATTTTGCAGATCCGGAACGGCTGCTGTCGATCTTCAAGCTCTTCTGCTTTATGTTTCCGCATTTGGTTACTTTATGGAGTTCTTCTGCGCTACTTACCGAAATGATACTACAGGCTGTTACGTTTGCATCTAACTCCGCCATATCGAGGTATCATTGCTAAAATTTTCATCCAATGACCTTGCATTCGTGCCTCTGCTATCCACTGTTGAGTTGTCACTGTTCCTGCATTCAGCCTTAGACGGTGACATTGTGGATCAGGTCTACCTTTTTTCTCCTGGACACGACCGTGGCACCCATGCCCATCATGGCCGAGCGCAAAGGACATATAAACTCGCATCTCTCCTGTCAAACTTTCTTTCTCTTCAACCATTCCATCTTCACTCGTTACCAAGTCCGTAGGCAAGACCTCAATTTCTCGAAATGATCAATTCCGTTGCTCTCTTGGCCCTTGTTGCCAGCCCGGCCTTTGCCGGTGTCATGCAGGCTCGTGGCGAGGAGTTTATCCGTCCCGCCGCTCAGAGCTCTGCCGTCGCTCCTCAGGCTGAGGGTTGGGGTGAGAGCTGGTCCAAGCCCGCCCACGAGACCTTTACTCGTCCCACCGACAAGCATGAGTCGTGGACCACCCCGTGCACCACCTCCACCACCCCGGTGCACACCCACACCACTCCCGTGGAGACCAAGCCCACCACTCCTTGCACCACTTCCACCAAGCCGGTGCACACCTCCACCACCCCCGTGCCCACCACCAGCACCAAGCCTCACACTCCTGTGAACCCGGGCACCACCAAGACCCTCACCGTTGTGACCACTACCTGCCCTGGTAAGCTCTACTCAACCACCTTGACTTATGATTCAGCATGCTAACATTGACCCAGTCACCACTGAGACCCACACCTCGGGCTCCAAGACCTACACTGTCCCTGTCACTGGAACAAGCACCATCACCATTACCAAGACCACCGTCTGTACCATGTGTGATGAAAAGCCCATGACCTTCCACAACGCTACTCAGCCCGCCACTGCTGGCCCTACTGCCCCCGCCCTGGTCACCAGCGTTGTTCCTTCCCAGAAGCCTGCTCCTACTCCTCAGCCCGCTTCTTCCATCCCCGTCGTGCCTGTTGTGCCTGTCCCCAGCCAGCCCGCTGAGACCCAGCCCGCTGTCCCCGCCGCTAGCCAGCCCGCCGCTTCCGTTCCCGCTGTTCCCGCTGTCCCCGTTGCCAGCCAGCCCGCTGCTTCCGTCCCCGCTGTCCCAGCTGTCCCCGCTGCCAGCCAGCCTGCTGTCCCCGCTGAGTCCCAGCCTGCTGTCCCCGCTGTCCCCGCTGCCAGCCAGCCCGCTGTCCCGGCTGAGTCCCAGCCCGCTGTTCCCGCTGTCCCCGCTGCCAGCCAGCCCGCTGTCCCGGCTGAGTCCCAGCCCGCTGTCCCCGCTGTCCCCGCTGCCAGCCAGCCCGCTGTCCCGGCTGAGTCCCAGCCCGCTGTCCCCGCTGTCCCCGCTGCCAGCCAGCCCGCTGTCCCGGCTGAGTCCCAGCCCGCTGTCCCCGCTGTCCAGCCTTCTACCACCCCTGAGCAGCCCTCCAACCCGGTGACTCCTGAGACTCCTTCTGTCCCCGTGCAGCCCGGCGCCTCTTCCACCCCCAGCACCTTCACTGGTGCTGCCTCCAACGTCAAGCCCGCTGCCGGTCTTCTTGCCGGTATCGTCGGTATGATGGCTCTCCTGTAAATCAGTTGAGTATCTCTTGACGGTCGATCCACGCTTCTGGTGTGATCTGGCTGGGGTTGAGAAACTCCCCCTTCTTCTCGGTTCCTGATCTTTTCTGGTCTTCGTGGTGCGGATCAGAGAGACCCCACGGAACCTTGAGTACTTGTGTGTCTGCCTTTTTTGTATGCTCCGCTTGCTCTTCTCTTCTCCTGTTCTTGACAGGGCCGGGAGTTGAGAAACAAGAGTTGCTTGATCATTTGAAGATTTTTGTCTTTTCTTAATCTGTTGGGCTTCTAAAAATACGCTAATAGTAATATATAGAGTCTGATGCTTTTATTCTTTCTCTTTCATTAACACTAGTATTCATTTAAAGTATTTGCATTCAAATGATATTTCTTGACTCAATTTTCTATCAAAATTTCCCCCAACTTCGGTGCTTTACCATAAAAAACCCCCCATTGACGCTAAAGCTACCAAACTATTGGTAGTGAAATATTACCATTTGCCTCTACCTTGATCTACTACCTCCGACAAGAATCAGAATCCAATCCTGTTAGCCAATATCTATTTTGGTCCAGATACCACGTTAACACCGCAAACAGTCCAATAACCCTAACTTTGTACTGAAAACTACCCAAAGAACCAGACTAGCTACAATTGTCTTCAGGGTAAATGCTTGGACACCAAAAGCGTGTGCTGCTACAATATTTCATTGTGGCAATGGCCTGTTTCATGGATGTATCATAACGGTTAACATGTGTAAACCGGATTTTGGGCCGCGCGTTTCCCTTTCCGCTTGAGGACGCATCTAAGTCTTACTTAAACCATGAACTCACTCTCTAGAGTCACGTAATTTCCTAACGAGTGGCCATCCTCTATGTAAATATTCAAATGCATCTATCTCAACCAAAACGCTATTAAATCCAATAAGCTGAAAACGAGTCTTACTAGGAAATATAGTGAATTATGACCCTCAATTCCGTAAACGCTACACTTCGGTAAAGCTCTCGTGCGTGGCTATGATTATGCCGGCCCCGATCCTACCTCGCGGGGAATCAGTGCTCATACTACTTGCTCTAGCTACGCTATTACTAAAGAGGCGTCTGAAACTGAGAGACCTTCGGAAGAGATTTGCCTTGTAGATCAAGTCTTTTTTTTGTCACTGCGTGGCGTTGTGTTCACACGCGTACAAATGTGCGTACTTCTTAGTATGTGTATCAGTCCCCAGGTATGTCAGCCTGATATTGGTTCGGCGTAGTTGGTAGACGTGTATTGACCTGGGTGCGATAGTTTATCCCTATAGATACCAACGGCCTTACTGCACCCCCTCTCTTGTTCATATGAGATCATCTATTTTTGGTGAATGTAACGGACAACCTTCATCACAAGCTCGTCTCAATGCTGATCCGTCAACCAAACGTCGATGATTGTAGTCAGCATGGCCAGACCCATCCTTGCTGTCATCATGGGGAGATCTGCGGCCGTCGCTGCCCAATTTGAGGCAGCACTGGATATCTGATCACGGTGCAGAAAAGAGAAACGTGATCAACAGCTCCAAAAGCTACTGCTACACGAGGAAACGGGCAAGTTACGGAGAAAAGGCGCACCTCAAGCTTCTTTCAAGACGAATGAGACGGTCTTGAATACAGTGTAGCAAATTCGTATAAACTGATTTCGGATTCCACGGTATCGAAGGTATGGCAGTTCGGGGGTTTCGGGCTTGACATGACGCCGGGGACGAACCCGAAACGGCTCTGCATTTGCATTGTTATTCAATCACATGGCGGATACCATGCAGTTTCTGGTGCCTACTCTGTCCGCGGCTGCTATCCTTGGCTGATTTACCTTCACAGCACAACATCAATTCTTTCAACCTTGGTTAATCTTAATTTAGGGTTCGGCAGTGCCACCCTAATGCCCGTTCGGTATGTTGATAAAGCTACATCGGCTTGGGCTGGGACAATACCTATCACATAATGAACCGATACTGGACCTCTGACCCCATTGTCATGCAGTAAAGAAGTTGGGCCCAGAGCAGCCTCGAGAAGTACTGGTTAATGGAGGTGATGAATAGAATGCCGAAGTAATTGACGTGGTTTATGAAAAGATATCAATGATCTATGGAATTCTCCCCAGGAACCTGAAACCCAATGATGACTTCGGGATCCGACGATGGAGGGTCGAAGGATGTTGTAGTAACACGATGACTAAATTGAACGCTCTGCATTGCTTACTCGTTCATACCAATCACAAGCTAGCCCTTCATATAAGCTTTGTTCTCAGTGGTCTCGGTGCTCTGTCCAATCTAAGTTCACGAGGAGTTGGCATTATCTCCATGGCCAGGAAGCAGCCGATTTGCTGTGGAGGCCATCTGATCATACTTTGAGCTCTATGTAGAAAGCGGAGACCAGTTTCCTTTTTTTTTTTAAAAAAAAAAAAAAAAAAAAGAAAAAACAAGAGACAAAAGGACGAAAAATTGCCGTGATCTGTTCCTATCGGCCCAAATCGTTGTAAAGTGAGCATTTACACCATATAAGCCCCACCGGAAACTTGGAATGTTTGGCCTGTTAGCCATTGTGAATCGGCACTGGCCAACAAAGCAACCACTCCGGAGATATCTTCTGGAATCCCAGGTCTACCCAGCGGTGACCATTTGGAGACACTGTCATCAATCTCAGCTTCCGTCATATCTTCACCACCGGGAAAATATTTGGCTGCAGCCTCCTTGTACATATCAGTCTTTACACCTCCAGGTGCGATGGCATTAACAGTGATGTTGCGAGACCCGAAGTCAAAAGCAAGACATCTGACCATGCCTTGGATTGCAGCCTTTGAGGCCGCGTAAATCGCATGTCCCGGAAAACCCTATCAAGAAACCTCATTAGCCCGGTGATTCCTTTCGTCATGGTCTTGTCTGTTTTCACCTTCTGGGCGGAAACCGAGGACATCAAAATCAACCGACCGTGATCAGCCATATGCTTGTGGGATTGCTGAGCAACAAAGAATTGTGCTTTGACATTGACCGCAAAGACGTGGTCAATTTCTTCCCCAGCCACGGCAGGAAGAGCACCAAAGTGCTCTATACCTGAATTGCTGAACACAACATCTATACGTCCAAGCTCATCGACGACCGTCTGGAAAAGGAGTTTGATATCTGCCTCCTGGGACACATCCGCCTTGACGAGAATCGCTTTGACGCCACATGATCGAATGTGCTCTGCAACATCCTCTGCAGCCTGAGCAGAGGTGAAATAGTTCACAGCAACACTGGCGCCGCGCTGAGCTAGTCGCAGAGCGGTTGCAGCTCCGATTCCTCGACTCGATCCTGTCACTGAAATCGATAGACTCGTCAGTTGCCTTGGTTCATGATATTCGGCGATTGAGACATTTTACCGAGAGCGACTTTCCCAGTCAGGTCTTGGAATGCTGAAGATACCATGAGGGATAGGTTGAGGAGGGAAGTGATGGCAGTTATGAGTCATTGCAATATAGTGTTTCATGGATGGCTGTCTCATTTAACTAACCTCTGGCTTCGGGGGAATCGGCGCATTCAAAAAAGCGAATATACTTGTAAGTCGGTCTCGGGGTTCGCTCTATCACCGAATCATTAGAAAAGCGGAGTAGTCCACCTCGCGAGCAACCGTCGGCTCTATCCAACGCCGATGATTATCAAATTTCAAATCAGTTAGGATGATCCTAACTGTTGTGTAATCGCAAAGTCCCTGTTCTTTATATACATAATACAAACTATGTTCTGGAGCTCCCCAGAGAAATAGCGAGGTGGCCAATGCAACCTTCCGGTGCCTGATCTGCTAGACTAAATGACGCAGTTCAGGTTATATGCGGCGGTAAAGAGACAAAGAGCGAGAAAGAGACTTTGAACCGCCGAGTTTTGCGGGCTTTGAACCCCGATCAAATGCATTAAAGGTCCCCATTCGCCATGAGGATATAAGAAAATTCAAAACAGGTTTACCTTTAGATTCATGAACGATTTCCCAAAAGTTGTACTGAACTGTGCTAGCCTTAAGCCAAGTCGAAAGTAATGGCTCCCTTTGGAAATAAGCCATTATCTTCCCCAGAACTATTGTGATCTCTGCCTATTCTTGGTTTTCAGTCGAGTGGAATAACTTAGAAATATTCAAACATTATGCAACTCCACCAAGGCAGCAATATCACAAACGGAATGAGATATAGAAATAAAATGGCAACTCAAATGCCCTATAGTTGCTATCTGCACGAACGAATGCATTTTCATTGAAAAGCATAAAGTAGTTGGGATGTACAATACCTGATCGGACCCAACACAAAGTTTACCGTGGCTTGGGTACAGTAGAAATTCAAAACAAAGTGAGTTGGTCAGAGAGCGTCTCCATGAGTTAATCGCTAACATATTTCAGAAACTCTATGGTGTCGGCCGGTGTCTTATTGTTGAGCCTCCTGCACCCCAGTCTGCGATCTTGAATAATGTGAATTATGCTATTCCAGCAGATAGTCAACTACTGCACTTGAGACACTTAGATGTTCCACGTGGCTTATTCGAAGTGAACATTCGATTGTTGGGCGTATTGTCGATCATAGGCCCTTTTTTGAACATTCGAAAGAATAGCAAGAGAAAAAAATGGTTGCAAAAAGAATGCGGACTGCAAAGGGAAATTGTTGCTTCTCCGCCACAGGATGACAAGGGGACGTTTTTAAGGAGATCCTAGAATCTGAGGATGCTCAATTCAGTTGAAGCACAAGACCGGCTATCCTCTCCGTAAGAAGTCAAGTGAGTTGGCCTAGATTCTGAGGTGATATATAGCCATATCAGGGATCTCTTTTAATTAGCCGACTGTCTTTGCCAATATTCACAGCTCACAGGGTGGGCAAAACAGCTTCTTTATCAGCCTCTGACACAGAATCCTTAATGTATACGAAGAATCAAATCAGAGAAAGACAAGGATTTTGTAATCATTTGTTCCTACCAAGCGAAAGAAACGGGCCCGTTGGCGAAGAGAAGTGTTACGAGAAGTCGACAAGATATTTGTTTACCGCTAGTATTCAAGAACAAAAGACACCACCCTGTCCGCCATAGTATATGTACTGTATATCTCTATTTCACCCAAGCATCAACAGCAAACTTGAATGTATCCTTCAACCAATCCTCATTATACCTAACATCGAGATCAAACCCATGCTCCCCATCCCTAAGAGCAAGCACCACTCCCTCATTCCCAGCCTTGCCAGCAGTAATCTCCTGCACCCTTCCCATAAACTTCTCAACCCCACCAGCCGGGACAACACTATCTTGCTGGCCCTGAATAACCGCAATACCACCGACCGGAATCTCCACCCCCGGCTCCTCCAACTTAACCATCGGGTACAACACACTCCTCGGAACTCCCTCCGCGCCCTTCTCATAAAGATCATTAAGCGTCCCATGCTCCAAAGCAGCAAGCATATAAACCAATCTTGACTGTGCCAGGATTGACGACTCAGCAGTCCCAATCTTAGCGGCATTTTCTTCAGCTTTGATAACCGATTCAGGAACATGGGTTCCAAAACACGGCTTCTCGCGCGGAAGTTTATAGTCATCTGAGCCAATATCAACAGGCGGATACGCTGCCGTCGCGGCACGGATCTCTGCTGGATGCGACAGTGCCAGCTGAATACTTAACAAGCCGCCTGCGGACTCGCCCGCTGTAAGAATACGGTCGAGATCAATTTCTGTCGGGGCCGAGTGGGAGGCTAGGAGTTTCTTCAAGGAAGGGGAGTGCAGCCAGGACCAGATATCACCTAGGTCTTCGTAGATCTGGGCGCTGGTTCCTTCAGGCATGAGGCGGTAGTTTGGACTAATGATTATAGCGTTGTGGACCAGTGCTAGGTCTGAAAGCCAGTGGGGCCAGAAGTCCATGAATAGGGAGTCTCCGTAGACCTGGTCTTGGGTTAGGATTTGCGGGTACTGCGTCTAGCGGGTAGTTCGTGTAGCTTACTAGGCCACCGCTGTGGAAGCGAAGGATTACTGGGCGTTTGCCCGAGTGAGGCTTTTGGGGGATGACGAGGTCAGCTCGGATGGGATGATCTCCGGCATGTTTGAAGTTTGTCTGCAGGATGTCGAAGCCGTCGAGCTTGGGGCTTGAGGGGATTGTCATTTTATGTGTGTGCGTGATGGAGAAATTGGATCAATGGATGTGTTTGAGAAATGAGATCCGGATATGGGCGCGACCCGCTTTAGCTATACCATGTCACCTGGCGTCGAAGGCTGCATGGCTTATTGATAATATCGGCACCTCAAGCGCCGAACACCGAACCTCCGTGTGATCTAGATGTATAGAGGAACCTGTTACAGAAACGCTTAGCAAGCACATCCCATATACTATATCATGATTGGAAATAGAACATGGACATTTTTCATCGCGATCCACTCTCCGAAGGTCAAACTCCCGAGGTTCTACATAGCTGCACTGACTGCATCTGCAAACGAGAAGGACGGGAAGCAAAATGATTGGTCGAAGCTCAACGGGATCTCTTGGCTCGAAACTATGCTGAAAACTGGACTCCGGGAATATTTAGCATTGTCCCTACGTGGGATCACGCGCCTGTGGGCTCTGTTATGTCAGCTACGAGGTGTTTATTCAATGAAATTTTCATACGATATTCATTTTCATTTATGTAGGCATTTTCTTAGTAAGTAAATCACAAATATTCATTCCACCTGACACCTTGCTGCAGCAATCCGGCCTTGAATAGGATCTTTAGCCAGGTATAAACCGGGCTGGTTAAAGTATCCTGTTGCTTCATGTTAGCTGACGGGAATGTATCGACTTGATCCGGATGTAATATTCCACTGTTTCAATTTGAACATTTCACGAGGAAGGCCAATTACATCTTAACAAGCTTGCTCTCATCAAGGTACGCAAGCTTTGTAAATGCGTCGACTAGACGTTCGGGCTCATTGGCACCTGCCTTAACCATAGCATCTTGAATCCGTCCCCGGCTTGAAATCAGCTCCTTGGCAACCTGATTCCACTCCATACTTTGCTTCGGGATGGTCACGTCTGTCATGAGTGGATCGATTTTCACAGGTTGCAACTTTCCATCACGCTTCCTGATGTGACCGTCCACAATGACAGTATCAATGTCACGAACCGAGGAGTGAAGAACGATAGCCGCGACTGGGTCTTCGTCGGATGCGCAGATCATCCCAGGGCTGTTACCATCAAAGATTACGAGGTCTGCAAGCTTCCCAACTTCAATCGATCCCAGTTTATCTTCCATGTGGATGGCTCGTGCCCCTTGAATAGTGCCAAGACGGAAAACATCTTGAACGAAAAGGTTCAGCGACACGGGAGTTTTGTCCTGGGCGATGACTTTCTCATTACGACCAGACCGCTCATGTTGCAGAGCAAGCCGCATCTGTGAGACCATATCGCCGGAGTTGTTGCTGTGGCAATCAATCCCCAAGGCACTCATGTTAGTGCAACCCTCACGGAAACAAACAATGTTACCGTGACCCATTTGCAATTCAGTATCAGGTGTCGTGGAGATCCACGCTTTCGCTTGGGCGAGCTTTGAAATGTCGGTCTCTGTCAGATTGGTGGCATGCGAAAAAAGAATATCCGGCCCCAGGAGATGATACGATTCAAGGGTGTCGACAAGTGAGTTGTCGCCTGTCACCTCATTAGCTTTAATCAGATCAATGATATCGTGTCAACTCGCCAAAATATCCCTTCACATAATGAGTTGTGATTATCTTCACTCCGAGCTTTCGTGCTTCTGCGTAAAGAGAGACAACCTGATCTTTCGGTAGCATGAATCCATCAAAAGCCAACCCCAGCTGAACCCGCTCGTCCCCAAAAGGAGCAGTAGCGCCCAGGTGCTTCATATGATCCATTACCCAGTCATCCAATAGACCACCGTCAATAGTAAGATCAGGCTTGAAGGTTTTGACACGCATAGTGGGTGCGTAGCAGAAGATAGATCTGATCCCAGAGGACGCCGTCGCCTCGATTGCATTTGAAGCTGTGCCGGATTTTAGTAACAAATAACAAATCATACAAAACAACAGGGTACGTACTATGAGCCGGGGATACATTCATGTGGGCATGATCTACAACCGTTGTGGTACCTGCATCCAACGCTTCGAGGCAGCCTCCAAGCTCACCCCAGAACACGTCCTCGGGAGCATAATTAGCGTGTTGTAAGTTTCCTGTCAACAATTAGCTCTAAGAAGGAAATTTCATCCAATCGGAAAAGGGAATTAGAACAGACCACTTGGCATATATTCCAACAGGGTCTGGTTGGCATGTCGCCCTTTCAATTGTGTTTGCCACAGATGGTGATGCGTATCGATGAAGCCGGGAGAGATAATTTTGTCTGTGCAATCAATGATTTTCGCACCGGCCGGGGGAATGAGATCTCGTTCAATTTGCGAAATCGTGTTGTCCGTAATCAACAATGAATGGCTCCGCAGGGGCATCACATAATCATTCGGTTCACGAGATGGAACTAGGATGGTTGCGTTCTGGAGCAAGATGTGAGATGGCATTTTGCTTTAAGAAGACTGTTTTCAACTCAGGCGCGAGTTAAGAACATCGGCTCTTGAGATCCTGTACTCAATTTATATCCGCGTCTGAATCTCTGAATCCCAGGCGTCAATCTCGGGGTTAAAGTAAAAGCGAACGGGGTTTCGGAAGGACCGAAAGGGCGAGGAGATCAATTGAGGGCGGGCACCCGAAACGTGGTTCATAGAAATGTACGTATTGGAACTACTTTTCATTGAAAACCCCCCGATGCCCTCCCCCAATCCGGCAGTTGAACTGGATGGCGCCTCTCTAGCTTCTGGAATGTCGGCGGTGGGAGCTCCGCGTCGCCGAGTGCCAAGCATTCTTGCCGCGCTTTGGAGCTTGGGGCGGCTAACTCCGGTCATTGAAGCAAAATATAACATCATTAGTGTTTAAGCCCTTCATAGCTATGAATAAGGAAGCCGAGATGGAGCTCGGTCCTATCATGGAGTCTGATGCCTCCGACTTGAAATAGGGCGCTTTGTAAAGACCTGATATATGTTAACGTTGACGTTAACAGGGCATTTTTGGGATTATGACTAAGCACCACGACCCGAAGGCCGTCGTGGGTATTTCAGAATCAATAACAATCTTTAGCAGCAAGTACGCACAAGTACCGTCTCGCGCGACGGATCGGTTATTTCCGCTAGTTTTGCAACTATTACAAAAACTACTAAAGACTGAGTGGGCCGGATGTCTAGGCACATTCATTGACATATAGACCATGAAAAAACGAAGGCCAAGACCAGAAATAAACATTCAAGAACAACGAAGACATGGAGGAGATATATGCCTTAATTAAATCAACAATGGATATTTCTAGGAGGGTAGTATACTAATTCGGTACTTATGCACTGCACATATACACACGGTTCGGTCTAGGTCAAGTCCAAAATAAGAACAAATGAAAACGAAAACTTAACGGAGTCCCTGAAGCTCCTGCTCAACCTCAGCCTTGACAATCTCTTTCACACCCTGCCAACCAGCCTCACGGCCAACATCGGTGACACGGCTCGGGCGCTGCTCAATGCCAATGAACTCCTGAGGCAAGATCTCAGTGAAGTCATAACCATTCTCAGAGCGCAAGGCAAGGTCAACAGCGCTAGCGAACTTGGCCGGGTGGGCAGTCGACAGAGAGATGTGAGCCGCACCGGGGTGACGGGCGACAGAGCGGCGAGAAGCAGCAACACCGACGGCGGAGTGGGGATCCAAGATGTAACCACCGGTCACGGAGCTCTTAGCGCTGCCGGCAGTGAGACCCTTGGGGAAGGAGGTGGAGTAGATATCACGGATGGTAGCGATAGTCTCGTCGTTGCTGACGCGCTCGCTCTCGAAGTCGACCTTGGCGCCTTCGAGGACGGCGCTGGGGACCTGGAAGCCGCCCTTGGACTTGAGGTCGTTGAGCCAGCCACGGACGCTGTCACAGGCGTGCTTGCGGCGCTCTTCGGCTGAGCTGCCGGGGGCGGACTGGTAAGAGAGGAACCAGAGGAGACGCTCGAAGTTGCTGCTGACCAGGATGTCCATGGCGGGGCTGTGAGTTTCCTTGACGCCATGGTCTGTTGGGGAGTCGAGGGCCTTCTTTGTGTAGTGGCCGCCGCTGCGGAAGAAGCGGTCGAGAATGTCGTTCTCGTTGGTGGCGATGACGAGCTTGTCGGCGGGGAGACCCATCTGCTTGGCGAACCAGCCGGCCAGGATGTCACCGAAGTTGCCGGAGGGGACGACTACGCGGACCTTGGAGTCCTTGTTGTAAGCGGGTGACTTGATCAGGGAGAAGTAGGAGTGGAAGTAGTAGGTCATCTGGGCGAGGATTCGGCACCAGTTGATGCTGTTGACGGCGGCGATGTTGTGGGTGGTGTTGAAATCCTTGTCGGCGAAGAGAGCCTTGACGATATCCTGGCAGTCGTCGAAGGAGCCTTCCACGCGGAGGTTGTGCACGTTGGGGTCGAGGACGGAGGTCATCTGGGCCTCTTGAATCTTGGAGACCTTGCCGTTGGGATACAAGATCGTCACGGAGATATCCTTCTTGCCGCGGAGACCGTAGATAGCGGCGGAGCCAGTGTCACCGGAGGTAGCACTTCGTGGAATCAGCCATATGCTCTAGTAATATAATAGAGAGAAACAGTAGTACTCACCCGACAACGGTCAGATGGTGCCTGTCCTTGCCAGTCTTGCCGGCGTTCATGCGGGTCAGGAAGTATTCAAAGGTGTTTCCAAGGAGCTGAAGGGCGACATCTAAATGGTATTAGAGCATTTCAACTAGCGAGAGAAGAGTACGAACCCTTGAAGGCAAAGGTAGGACCATGGAAGAGTTCAAGCAGGTGTAGGTCCTTCTCCAACTCAACCAAAGGAGTACGCTCAGCGTGACGGAAAGTAGAATAAGACTTTTGAATGATATCTTTAAGGTCATCGGCAGGAATCTCATCGCGAGAGACGTAAAGCGACATAATCTCGAACGCCAGCTCCTCGAATGTCAAGTCGCGCCACTCGGTTTCCCATGAGGCGGGAAGGGCAGGAATCTCCTCGGGAATGAAAAGGCCACCATCCTCAGACAGGCCCTTGAGAACGACGTCCTCGAAAGACAACTAGAAACCAAATTAGTATGTTAGCAGCCGTTGCGACAGACGGCCTTTATTTTTTCGTATCGGGATCAACTCACGCCGTACTCCGCACCCCGGGTGCTCAAGTATTTTTGTGCAAGTGTCGGGGACATGATGGGCCAGAAACAAAGTCAATTGACAGCAAAGTAAACGATTCACAGAGAGAGAGAGGCGCAAAGAAGAGGAATGATTCATCCCACCGCGGGGGCACTATATCCCAACGTGGACTAGCGCCTCCGAGAGCGGCGCCGCTCACGTGTGCGGCCTGATTGGCGAAGAAAGACGGCGAAGAGAAGATGAGGCAAATGTTAAGAGATGGCGGGAAGTTACGGACGAAGCTTTGAAGGGCGACGGAATGGCATTGTATAGCAACCTTGGAAGATATCTGGCGGCTACCACCATTTGTATACTCAAACACCGTCTATTCATGGTCTCATCTTCTCATCTCTATATCTATCATGATCTATACTTTTACTGGTCATTGACAAGCACGTAGCGGTAGCGCGCCTTTCCATCCTCCATATCAACAATAGTCTTGTTGGCATCCTTCATAGGGATCTCCTCAATCCAAGGGCGAATACCCTTCTCAGCAACAAGCTGGAACATCTCACGGATCTCGTTAGGGCTACCAACGAGCGAGCTCTCAAGCTTGATACGGCGCATCAAGTTGCGAACAGGGGCAAAAAGACCACCATCTTCAGGAAGGCCAACCTGAACAAAAGTGCCACCGGTCTTCAACAGACCCAGGTACTCGACCATAGGCATCTATATCTAGCATTAGCTCAACGCTCATATATCTCACTAGAATTCAATACAGAGAAAAAGAAACTCACCTTAGTAGAAGAAACAGTAGAAACAATCAAATCCAAAGACCGAGAATTGGCAGTAGCCCACTCAGGCTCATCATCAGTAGCAATGTACTGATCAGCACCCATATTCAACGAATCCTCCTTCTTGTTCAACTTGCGCGAAATAGCAACAACCTTATCAGCCCCCATGGCCTTAGCGAAAAGAACACCGAAGTGTCCAAGGCCGCCAACACCAATGATACCAACACGCTTGCCGGGACCACAGTTGTTGTGCTTGAGAGGGCTGTAGAGGGTCACTCCACCGCACAGCATAGGAGCAGCATCAGCGGATGTGATAGCATCCGGAATCTTGATAGCAAAGTGTCCAGGCACACGGTTGTACAGCGCATAGCCACCGTAGGACTTGTCTCCGTTGTAGAAGTTGCTGTTGTAAGTGCCGATGACCTTTTTGCTGCAGTACTGCTCAAGTCCCATGGCGCATTCTTCGCAGTCACCCTGGCGGCCGAGGCAGGACTCGCTCTGCGCGCCTACACCGACGCGATCGCCGAGCTTGATGTCGGAAACTTGGCTTCCTACGCGAACTGCTGTGCCCACGATTTCATGTCCTACGCAACACGGATAATCGGAGGCTCTCTGGTTGAAAGGTTAGTATGAAAGTCTCAATGCGGCAATTGCGCATGTATTGGGGCCAGAACTCGGGCAGATAGACTCACCCAGCCGCTGCGCAGAGTGTGCAGGTCAGAACCGCAGACACCGCAGTGCGAGATCTTGATATCGATATCGGTCTCTTCCCACTTTTTGGGGGTAAATTCCTGCCAGACCATGTTGCCCTCAGCGGCAGTGGAATCAAGGCCCATCCAGCCTTCGAACTTGTAGTCTGTCGCCATTTTGGAGGTTGTGTATGTAGAATTGACGGTGAAAATGCTAAGCCCTGTCTCCGGGGCCTCTGCCCCATTTATATCCGCGGCAGTGGGACTGAGCCAGAGTCCACATTTTTCGGAGCTGGAAACTTCGGTGCCTCTTGGTAAGCAGTTTCTACCCCGACGGGATATCGTGAAGTTGGAGTCGGATGGAGATTCGGAAAGCTCTCGGGACTGAGACTCTGTGTCTGATAAGGGCATAAATTAGTCATTTGGACAAGAACCGCAATTGCTATTTATTTCCTACTGTCCATTGGTGTAACTATTGGTCGTTTTTAGCTTCTCTATCTCTTTTTTTACATTTTCCTAATTTTCCCTGGGTTTTACCCTTGTTTTTTGCCCCTCGGTGGAGCCACGGGTATAGGTGAAAAATTGCAACTGTACTCCGGTCACCTTATCACCGCTATTTATTGTTGTTTTTTTCCCCCTATATGTGAGTACATGTAAAGATGTTGTTGATACGCCATATGCAGGGACTATAGGACTTAGCCAAGCTTTACGCTTATCATGCAGCCAGAAATCAATATTTGAAAGGGCAAAGAAATGTACATGCGAACCTTTTGAATTCCGTTAGAAAGATGCAATCAAAATTAAACACATAAAGACACCAATCTATTTGTTCTGGCCAGATCCTCGCTTGCGAAACACCTGGATATAACACAACCTAGACCGTAGGGTGGACTAGACCTAACTATACCACTCTAGAAGAGTGACAAAATATCCTCGTTAGACTTCTTGGTCTGGTTGTTTTCCGAGGGAGGCGCAGGTGAGCTGTTCCCGGAGAGATCCAGACCACCAAATCCGTTCATCAGATCAGCGCTGACGCCGCCGTTACCGCCGCTCGATGAGGGCTGGGAGGGGCTTGACTCGCCAAACACGCCCAGTAGGTCATCCAGGTTGTTGCTGGATTGCGGTGCGGGAGCACCAACTGCAGGGGACTCGACACGCATGGGGGTGCCGCCCAGACCCTCAAGGCCGGACATGCCAGAAGAAGGCTGATCTTGCGCTGAGGCAGGGGCACCGCCGTCGAAATCGATGTCCAGCAGGTTCTCGACGTTGTTTTGTGCCTGCGCAGGTGCGGAAGAGCCAGAGACGGCTGCAGCGGCTGCCGCTGCAGCCAATGGGTTCTCGCGCGCGTTCTGGATTTGTTCCCTATGTATTGGTTAGCGAAATGTTAAGCAACAGGAAAATAATTGGTACGTACTCGATAGCAGCGCGCTGGACAGCATCGGCACCGAACCGGCCAGCACCGACGAATTGTTCTGGGGGCTTGTGGTAGACGGAAGACAGAGTTGACAGCTCGGTGAGGAGTTGATCGAGGAGTGTTGGTGGCAATGAGTGAATGGTGGTGATAATAGGAGGCTTCTCCGAGAGCACAATGTTCTTGGTAGCATTTGAATCGCTGGTGTTGGACAGAAGACGCCAGTAGATGTAGGCGCGGTCACGAACGTCAGGGTTGTCATTCTCGGCAGTGGCTGCCTGAAGGACACGCTGCACCAGACCTTGAGCCTTCTCAGGCCGCTTGAGGAAGAGCTTGACAACCGCGGTAAGAATCTGCAATTGGGTTGAAGAGAATTCTTCATTAAATCCGTCAACAAAGCCTCCCAGGATATCACCTGCATTGCTGATCTTCTCGGCGTATTCTCCAACAATCCAGATAAGGGCGGCTCTGGCATTAGGCTCATCCAGCTCATCAATGCACTGGCAGAGAGTGGGGATGATTCCTTCGTATCCGGGGTACTTCCGGAAAATGTCCTTGATGACAACGATCGCTTCTTGAACGACGTAGTTCACCTTGGTGTTGATAAGGTCCAGCAATGTGTTAACACAACGTTCACTGGCGCTCTCAATCTTGATGGCGACCTGTCCAATGGCCCGGACTGCTCGGCGGACAAAGTCCATATCAACTTCGAGAGCATATTCCTTCAATTCAGCCAGAAGCTGGTCCACATTGCGGTCATTTGCGATGCGCACCATAATCTCAAGCTTCTGGAACTTGACATATGGCGGGTCATTGTACTTGCAGAAGAATACACGGAGCTCCTTCTGGAGAATATCGGGCTGCTTCTGCAGCAAAAGATCAATGTTTCTCAATGCCACATATTGCACTTCAGGAGCCGAAGAAACCAGGGTGACCAATGGTGGGGCCATCTTCTTAAGGTAGTTCTTCGACAATTCAGGGTTAACGTTCTTCATATGTAAGAACACAGCCTTGACTGCCGCAAGAACCACACCGGAGTTAACGTGCTGGAACTGAGGCGCGACTCGTTCGCAAATGTGCTCCGACTCCTTAACATCAGCGGTCTTGTATTCGGCCAAGGTGGAGAGAATAGTGACGCGCCCCCATTCCGTGCACTCGTTCAATGCCATCAGCATCTTCCGTAGAGTGTTATTAGTAATTTGTAGGGCCTGCGTCTCAGGTGCCGTATGGGAAATCTCAGACAACGCAGTCACCGAGTTCGCCACAACCATTGGGTTGGGGTCACCGATCATCTCTTGGAGCATTTCCAAGAATCCGTTCTCGAGAGCCATTGCCGGGTTGAGGTCGAAAAGCTTGGCCACGCAAATCGCAGCGGTCTTGCGAACATAAGGCGACTCGTCTCGGAGGGTCTTGCGGAGAGGTTCTTCCATGTAGTCCACCATCTTTTCCACTCGAATACATCCCATTGTTCGGATTGCCAGCGCACGAATCAACGGGTTGGGATCTTCCGAGTCTTGTACGAAAGTGTTCACGGCGAGAATACATAGGTCAGGGTGGGATTTGGCGTAGTTCCTGCGAGTCGAATTCCACCGATCAGCAAACGTAGCCACGTTGAGGCGCGCCATGAAACCTACATGAGATAAAGGTAGACCAATTTCTTCTGCTCAAGATCGCCTGTGGCAATGTTTTTGAGCACATCTGGGAAAAGAGCTGAGACATCCTTGCCCAGGGTCATGGCCATAATCGTCTTTTGAATGGATTCCTTCCTGTTGTGCTGTCAGCCACCCATCCTCGCCCTACATCCCAGAGGTGCATCAAGGCTATCGAATGCTTTGCGGTTGGACATACCGTTCATAGGCATACTGGGAGCTGTGACATTGGTCAGTATCCTTGTTATTTCACCATGCCAAAGTGGCCAGCGCATTGTAGAGGGGGACCGCATACACAAGGCCAGCTCGCAATTCAAAGGTTTCTCCCTTGCGGGGCACCGCAAAGGCGCCGCGGATCTTGTTCATCGCCATGACGAAGTTGTAACAGCTTCAGCCACGACTAGGTCGTGCCTCCGCTCGGGGGTTGGAAGTCGGGCGTTGGGCGACTGCGGGGGGAATAGAGCTTCGCGGTCGCGCGGGTACGAGGAATATGGAAGTTATTGAAATATTCCTCTGAGCATTCGAATAAAAGAATGGTGGGGGGAGAGAAAGGAGAGATGGAGAGGGAGAGAAAGGATGATCGAAAGATGTCCACAAATGGCTTCTGGACCTCCCGCTCTTCTCCTTTTTGGAACCTCCGACTTCTACCCCAGATCTTGTCTACGTCTCAATGGTTAGCTCAACGCACACTGGCTACTGTGCCAAGACTGACATGTATGCAGGCTAATCTCCCTAACTTGCGTCGTCTCTTTGTTGAGGCCAGAACAGAGGCCGAGGAGAACGAATACTCGCGAACAGCTGTATGTGACCCTTGGAACAGGCCCACGACATATACTGATACTCTCTACTAGTTCTATAACCTTGTCCTTTTCATCTCTTCTGTCGCCGTCTTCAGTCTAGTGGCGCAGCGCATGAGCGGACCAAAGGCCGGGCGTTGATGGAATGTTATTATCCATATGTTTCGATTATGAAGTGTAAGTGAGATGGAACCAAAATTCAAGTCTCGACATTCAAACAGCCCAGCTGCTGAACACCCGAAGCCCGCTCATTACAAGCTGTGTGATAATATCAGCCGGACTCCTCGCCATCGCCCTCCAAGAACGCAAGCGCCTGCCGTCCCCGAGCGAGCCTGCGTCGGGGCTTCGCATCGCCATCCCCTTCCTCTTCGTCGCTCTTCGCACCCCATTGCATCGCACCCTGCTGAATCTGCTCCAAATCCGCTTTCAATTCCCGCGCTTCGCGAATCTGGTTGGCTTTTTCCTGAGATGGTCGGCCCTTCATCCCGGCATCGTCCAGCATCTCCTTAAGATGCTTGATCTTCGCCTTCGAAGTGTCATATGGAGCTAGCTCTTTCCCCCATAATTTGCGGATGCCACATTTGATTAGCCATCCCTGTAGCCGCTTGATTTCGGCCTGGTCTGGATCGAGATCCGCGTCTTTTGCTTTGGCCGCCTTGGGCGCTTTCTTCGCTTTGGTGGCAGCTCCATCTGCACTCTTTCGTTTGCGCGCGGGTTGAGGTTGAGGCTCATTGTCAAGGACCACCGACATCTCGCTTTCGGAGTCATCTTTCGCAGCTGGGGGCGGCTTAGGAGCATCGGATTCATTCTCAGACATATCTGAAACGTCAGACGCGACCATTTTGGGTTTTGGTACAGCTTTCTTGGCTGGTGCTTTGATTCGCTTCTTGGGCTTTGCGACTTCTTCGCTATCGTCGGATGCGACAGATGCGTCGTCCTGGTCGTCTTCCTCTGGCTCTGGTGTCTTCGTCTTCTGGCGCTTCCTGGGCTTGGGCGCACTCTCGGCCTTCGCTCGCTTATGAAGTGGGGTCTGTTTGGGCTTTGGGGAAGGAGATGGTGAGGCTTCGGCAGGTTGTGATCCAGCGTTATTCGCGGCGTTGTCTTGTCTTTCCTGTATGAGATTGAGATTAGCGTCGGTCCTAACATCAAAGCTTTACTCGCAATTGCGGCAATTTCTCACCACTTCGTCTCGGATGATCTCTTCACTCCGCGCTTTCCAGTCACTCGTAGATTTAAAGTATCCCTCTGTAAGCCCTAGCTGCTTCTCAACTGCAAGGCGCACGCGCTTCACGGTCAATTCCTCCATGTTGCCAGACTTGTATACTCCAGTAACACCGTCACGGAGACCCTTCGCAAGAGTCTGGTCAGAAGGAGCTGTAGGCGCAACATCCTCTTCCTCTGAGTCGGACATGGTATATTTTGGGGCCATGTTTATATCGTCTGATGGCAGTTGGAGGGGATCCTAGCGGGGTTGCGAGGACAGATTTATGTGACCTGGTGCCTTAGTTGAATTGTCAAGCGATATATGAAAGGAGTTCAGATGTGAGCTCAACTGAATCCAAACCGTCAGTAACTCCAATGCGCGTCGGGGAGCGCGCAAAGGATGACAAAGCGGGATCGAGATTGATCGGCATGACATTTCACCTGCGATCATTTACAACTGCTCCAAGGCTTGCCATTCTTTATTTCTGTGCTTGTTTACTGCAACATTCTCCTCCAGCGACTCTTACTGTTTTCTAATCCCTTGCCTGCCAACTCTCGCGCCGAAGTTCCGGCACTATTGCCTCTTTTTGCCTCCGCCCTTCTCCGCATACTCACACCACCAATCCCCATTTTTACGAGGAGATAAAGCATATAAGGAACCAGTCATGGCCGAAGTACCAAATGAGCTGCCCAATGCTCAATACAAAAGCGCTAGGAATATCTTCGCCCAACAATTCCCAGCAGCCGCAAGCTCATCGAAACAAGCTAGGGACGATGACTCGAAAGCCCCATTGCCCAAGGGCGTTGTCCTAGACAAAGACGGCAAGCCGTACGTATAGACTCAAGGACAGCATCAACTAACTATTCAACTATACCAAAACTAACCTCACCTCCAGCTGCCGCACCTGCACATCCGTCGCATCCTGGAAAGCCCTAACAAGACAAGCCAAAGCCGAAACTCCAGGCAACACAACAAAAACAACAACCTCAACGCCAGCCCTAGCAACATCATCATCGAACGAAACGTCCGCAGAATGCCCGCCGGACGTAGAACAACTAGGCCGTTCAACCTGGACACTCCTGCACTCGATGGCAGCAACATACCCCGAAAAGGCCAACACAGAACACCAAGACAACATGCGCGGATTTTTAAAGTTTTTCTCGAAGCTTTACCCGTGCTGGGTGTGCGCCGAAGATTTCCAGACTTGGATGGCGCATCCTAGTGGAAAGAATCAGCCACGGTTGGAGAGTCGGAAAGAGTTTGGGTGGTGGATGTGTGAGGCTCATAATGAGGTTAATCGGAAGCTGGGCAAGAAGGAGTTTGATTGTCGATTTTGGGAGGAGAGGTGGAGGACTGGGTGGAAGGATGGGAGGTGTGATTAGTTGGTATGGTGTAGAGATTGAGGGTGGTCTGTATGCCTGATGCTGTATGCTTATGGTGATTATGGTTTGTGCTGGTTTGAGATTCTCTCTACTTATCTTTTGGGATAACTTGTACATTAGATATACATGTTTTAGCAACTCGATATAAATTGTACATTTATACCTCCTATACATCTCACTATAGATCGTGCTACTTAGAGATCCACCGCTATGCATACTAGTTTCGTGGCCGTACAAGTCAGAACATAAAGGATGTAGGACTAAACATGTTCGCATACAAACTAGATCGCTAAGAAATTATAATCTTGGATACAAAAAGACATCTAGACAGGGGACTGTGCAGGAAGTTTTGTCTTTCTCCCAGCCAAAAAAAAAGCGCCGCCAAACACAACGTCTCCTCGTGCAGATGAAAAAGGAACCCGTTTTGTAACTTCATATCAAGAAGAAGAGAGGGGAAAAGGTAGAAAACCGTGAAGCTTCGTCATGCTGCAATTAAAATTGACTGGGGACGAACAGGCGCAGACCGCTGGCCGGCGCACCGATCTCCGTGACATCCGATACCCGGCAGACGCTGCCCTTGTACTGGGGGTGGTACTTGGCGCCGGTGAAGGGATCCGACACGCTGGGAGAGCCGCTGTAGATCGGGGTGTAGGAGGCGGCACAGATGTCAAACTCGGCGAAGGAGTCGAAGTCAATATCGATCTGGTCTTGCGGGTTGCGTTCGCATTGGGCTTTGATCTTCTTGGCCTGTTTTACTTAGTTAGAGTTGATATCAGGATAGTTGAGTTAAGAGTCTTACCTGATCCAAAAGCTTAGCGGAGCCGCCATTGGCCAGCATCCGGTTGGCAAAGCTCAAGGCGGAGGAGTAGTTGCGGTTGGCGAAGGCGAGCTTCATGGCAGCCATCAATGCCAGCTGGCGGTGAGCGACCTCAAGCTTGGGGATGGTGAAGTAGGCAGACAACTCGAGGCTGCGCTTGAGGTTCTCGGGGGTGTCGGTGGAAAGAGTACGACGCTCGAGCTCAATGGACATGGCGAGGATGTATTCCCGGGCAGTGGCAATGATCTTCTTTGCCTCCTCCACTTCAGCTTCGGATGAGACAGTGTTAATCAGGACAGAGTGAAGGACGTTCTTGAAAATAGTTACACCATCCTCAAGCTTGTTGGAGCGCATGGCGGCGTAACCCTCCTGCAAGTCTACATTGGCAATGGTCTCAAGGTCCCGAGGAATGATTGGGAGCATCTTGCGGGCATCAGTTTCCTCGACAGTTCTGCGAACGTAGTTGACGAGAGGGGGCAGGCCAGGAGTCGCGGGAAGATAGGTCTTGGATGCTTTGTAGATATCAAGGAATCGGCTCTTGAGAGGGGCGAATTGGACAGCACCGACTTGACGGTTCAGGAGTTGCATCGCAGTCTCGAAGGAGCCGGCAGCAACGTGATCAGCAGCGAGCGGGGAGTTACGAGCCCATAGGTCGGCCTCGGAGCTGCCTGCGCCAGCTTCGGCGCTTTCCACGTTGACAAAGTCGACATCCTCCTCAACATTGACATCATCTCCCATATCCCAGCCCGAAGCGTCTTCCTCATCATCCAGAGTTTCCCGAGCAAGAATGGCCTCTTGCTCCGCCTCCTCCTCAGCCTCGAAACCGTCTGCGCCAGCCTCGTCGTCTGCAGCACCAACCTCCCCAAGGAGTGCCTTTTCGAAGGAGGAGTGGCCAGCAGCCTTAACAGGCCAGTTGGACTTAAAGGTAGGCACAATGGGGTGTGCAACCTTCAGAGGTTGTTCGAGGGTAGGCAGACCGATTTGATCTTCGGTCAGACCACATGCCTCCAAAATTGACTCAGCTTCTTCGGTCAAACCGTGGGACTTGGCAGTGAGGTAGGCAAGAGGATACAAGTCCACTTCCTTGAACATCTGGATTCGGTCCTCAACGTCTCCCCGGTAGATGGCGTTTTGGAAGCGGGAAGTAAAGTCGCCACGGTGTTCCGCGATCTTGGCCATACGAGAGAGCTTCTCCTGGTCACCTGTGGCCAGGTAAAGGAAGGAGAGCTTGTCGAAGTTACGCTGCTTTTGGTAAGTCATTTCTACGGTCTGGTGGTTACCGTGAGCCAAGGCCTCGGCTCCCAATCTGTTCCAGAAGTTGGGGCGGTCCAACTCGCGAGCCATCTCGGTGGCAACTTCGAGGTTACCACACTCGACTGCAAGGTCGAAACGGGTCTGAGGGTCCTGGACGAACTGCAGAGCGATCTCGGGGTAGCCCTTCTTCTGCAGGTAAGAGATGATGCTCTGACCAACCAGACTGGAGGTCTTGATAATCTGAAGCATCTCATCGTAATTCCGCTTGACCAAGGAGAGTTTGAATCGGTATTCAGTCGGGTCAATCACTAGGACGCGGGGAGTGGCGTTACGGTCCAGGGCGTAGACATTGCGACCCTTCACGCGTACGAGGTAGACGGTCTGGTCGAGGGTGCGGATGATACCGTTGTCACCGTTGAGGAGCGAGTACTTGATGTGGTTGAGGGTAGAGTAGAGCAGTACACCGGCATCGTCCCAAGTGGCGCTCTTGATGCGAATGGTCTCATGCAAGGTGCTCACCTGCTCAAGAGTCTTGGTAACGATGGTCACATTATGCTTGCTGAGCAAAGCGCAGTACAGTCCATCGTTAGACCAAACCACATACTTCACACCGCTAACAGCAAGCTCTGCAAGCTGCTTCTTTTGTTGGATATCGAAGAGAGAGACATGCGTAGGGGTAATGAAGAGGAGGCATCCAGTGCCACCAAAGTAGATGTCAGTCGTGCCAGCGGGTGCCTTAATTGTCTTGGTTGTGGAGTTGCTGAGATCCTTGATATCGACCTGCTGGGTAGAGGGGTTGAAGACGGCAAACCGGTTACGGGCAACAAAGACTGCCGATGTAGCCTGTCCACGCTTCACGTCTGTGGGCTCGATCGCACCGGTAGCGTCCCGGGGCAGGTGAATCAACTCATATGTTCCATTGTCGGCGGGCGAGGTGACCAGAATGGCACGCTCAGCGGGGTTGTAAGAAACGGTACGGGGAGGGACCCAAGGGGAGCCCAGCTTGCGTAGTGAGAGCATTGGCGGCGACTCAACGTTCTTGGCGAAATCGTATGACTTGACGTGCTTCTCCTTTGTGATGTAGAAGAGCTGGTTCTGGTAAATGGCGGACGCAGGGCGCTCCCGCTCGAGCTTGAAGACCATAACACCAGTGTCGTGGCCTGCAGCGAACAAGTTCATCTCAGGGTGGGCAGCGATAACCCAGAATCGGTCAAGGTCGCGCTTGAAAGACTGGACGGAAGTACGCTTGTTAAGATCCCACACACGGATAGTCTTGTCTTCGCCAACGGAGAGGATGAGGTCCTGGTGGGGGTGGAACAGAGCAGCAGAGGCATTCTGGAAGTGACCGCGGCAAGTATCAACCTCCCAGGCCTTGGTATCGCTCATCCGCCAGAGCTTGATCAATCGGTCGTCGCCAGCCGATACAATCAGAGGAAGTGTGGGGTGGAACGACACCCAGTTCACACCACGGTCGTGACCCTCCAACACAAACTTAACAACTGCGTCGGTATTCCCAAACATATCGGCTTGGTTAGGGTTGGCTCGTGCCATCTGGTCTTCGAACGAAATCGAGGTCGGTGCTGAGTGCTTCTTCCGCAGGCCGGAGATGTCCCAAATGCGAACGGACTGGTCCAATGAGGCGGAGGCGATGAGATCCTCGGTGGGATGGAACTGAGCGCACATAACATAGTGGTTGTGACCGGTCATCGTACAGACTAGAGAAAACAAGAGCGTTAGTCAATGTCCGCGCAGCGGATTCTGGGGGCTCGTACTGAGTGACCGATTTTGCCAGTTCCAGATTCTAATTGTCTGATCATCGGAGGCAGACAAGATCCAAGGGAGCTCGGGGTGGAAGAACACTGTGCGCACATAATCCAAGTGGCCGTTCAATGTGAACAAGCACCTCCGAGTCTGGTAGTTCCAGACCTTAATCTTGTAATCGTCACCGCCAGACACAAACAGGGGCTGGGTCGGGTGGAAATCAATGCCTCGCACGGGGCCATCGTGTTCTTCGAATCGGTCAATGAGAGTCCCCATACGGTAGTCCCATAGCTGGATGGTGGAAGAGTGGAGAGAAACGAGAATCCATGGCCTGTTTCGAGGTCAGTTCGGATGCTTCGACGTGTAGGTGTCCCTCCGCGGAATCACTGACCGTTTGGGATGGAATGCGATTCCCTTGGCTCTGGAGGATTTGGACTCAAACTGGAAGGGAAATTATGGTTAGCATCTCCAATTGACCGTGCAAACATCTGCTGATGGCGCGACGATGGCTCCGAGGCCATTGGGAGGGGCGTACCTTTGTGAGCATGTTTGGAGAGGACTGCATCTTGACGACTTGGCCGGAGCCGCACTTTGAAGTAGCAAGCTCCGCACACTAGATAATAAGTAAGAGCAGGGGTGACCACCGCATCCACTGCCTAAAAAAAGAAGGTAGAGCAAAGGTAAACACGTTGGACGGTTGGTGAAGCAGTAAACTAAACGTGGACTCTACTCAAGCGAATGCCACGGCCAATCATGCTTCCGGGCGGTGAGCGGTCAGGGGAAGCTCGACTACGACTTGGTTCACTTTATTTAGATCTTAAGATCAGGGTCTATTATATGTTTAGTTAAATCATTTAGTTAAACAGAAGTGAATCACTTGGTCTATTTAACCCAACTTTGTGGAGTTGCTCCCCATGTCCTCCCCATGCTCTCCCCGCGGAAGCATCTGGAAGACCCTGATGTTATGGAACCACAGCTTTCTTAGATGTTCCATCTGTTGCTTTCGACGCTATGTTTGTCGAGACTTGAAGTTTATTTGGCTTGACTCTATCCTTTTCCCTATTTAGAAATCTCACTATGTTTGCAACATCTCCTGTCCACACCTATATTTAGCCATCTTGGTCGAGACCCCGATCTACAATGGAGGGTCTTTGTATGACCGATCCCACCATCGGTGTTTCCAAACATGATCACAACACACCCTTTGAGGAAACCCCAAAGTTGAGTCCTTTTGATCCCACAGGACTCGTAACAGATGAGAGTGGCCACAGTGTCACCGACTCGGAGCCCTCGACACCTACAAACGACATCGACTCGTTCGAAAAGAATGGAAACCATGACAGCCATGACAGCCAAGTCATTAGGCCATATGCCATCGAGGAGCCGGATGACGAACCGGATGCCACATTGCCGAGGCACGATCTACCATGTCTACCAGACCGTTTCGAACGCTGGCAGCGAGACTTGAGAGATTACATGACCGGCTTGAACGTTCGGCCTGAAAACAGCAATGGAACCAAGTATCCTGTCATGCGAAAGAGAGGACAGAAGAGAAAGTCCGCATCTATTGCGAGCTCTATACATTCCCACTCTGGTTCTCATTCCTTCAGGCGACGAACTACATCGGCAGAGCCCCATCAACAAGCGAATGATTATAGCCATAAAAGACATCGAGGATGCAGCGAAGAGCCTCAGCACCACTATGACACTGATTCGTTCCACACTTTCAGGGAGCCCAAAACGAATGAAAGTTCAAGTTCCGAAGCCCCAACGCCCGATCTTAGCAGTGCCGAGACCATGAACGATTCTGCAGCTGATGAGATGGACATTGACTGATCTACAATGTCTCATTGTTTCTGCATCATCAAGTCGGCATGACGCGTGACGATTTCAAACGAAGTATAAATGACGTCATATACATCTCATGATGGAACTGGTTGAGTTGCACGTTGACTCCTCAACTTCGTTCTTCTTCATCCATTTTCGTTAAGTCCATCAATATTGTGACTTTTATCAGATACCATGGCTACACGAACATCATCGCGACGTGCGGCTCAGAAGGCCAAGGAAGCCATTGCGACCTCTGCCGAGCCGTCTAAAGCGGCTTCCCAAGGCACCAAGCGGAAGGCTGTAACCGAGAAAGCTCCAAAGCTCAAGAAAGAGAGGACCGAAGATGTGAAACCAGAAGACATCAAATCAGAACAAAAGCTGGAAGAAGTAGCACCGAGCGCAATGGAAATTGCCCCCCCAACGCCAGAGTCAGTCAAAGCACCAAATGAAACGGACAAGATATCTGGAACCCAGCCCGATGAAAAGCCGTTCAAGCAAACGGAAAGCATTGATGCGGGCATCCGTAAGTCCGAGGCAAGAGAAGACGTGGTACCCTCCATCATCCTCGAGAAGGGTTTCATATACTTCTTCTTTCGACCACGCGTCAACATAGAAGAGCCCCACGGCATTGAAGACATTGCCCGAAACTTCTTCGTGCTGCGTCCAACCCCATTAGGCGCAAAATTCGATCACGGCCAAGGCCCCGTGGCTAAAGACGCCCAGTGTCGCTTGATGATACTTCCGAAGAAGAAATTCCCAACATCTGGCAGGGAGAGATATATGGGCTTTGTCGAGAAGTCTGGCCAATCTATGCAAGCACTACATGAAAAATTCATTGCTGGAAAGACATACCAGACCAAGACTATGGGTGAACGTCACACCGAGGAAGCCACACCTTACGCGGAAGGTGTCTACGCGATTACCTCCACACCGCGAGCCTCCCATCTTGCGTATATCCTGACCATCCCTGCTGAATTGGGAGCTGTTCAAGAAGAGTTTGGTCTTTATGAACGCGGAAGTTGGCTTGTTCAGTCTAAGAATCCTAAGTATCCTGGTCCACCGATTGGGCAGTTACCAAAGGACCCAGAGTATCCCCAGTCGTAAGCACGGCCTTATTTCGCGAAGAGAAGATCTTTTTGTTAACCCATTCTTATTAGGGTACTTGAAAAGTTCGGAGATCTCCGATGGGTGCCTCTGAAACCAGAATTCTTGGACTATTCAAACGCCCAATTTCTTATGATCGGCGCGGCGCAGAATACTCTTGGTAAAGCCGCTACTTCACAGGGTGAGAAATCGCCTCACGAAGAGGAGCCCGGTGAGGAGTTAGAGAAATTGGAAGGTGAAAATGAAGAACGAATCCATGCTCTACAGGGTATGTTCCTGCGTCGATCATCAACTGACTCTGCTCAATGCTGACATACATGTAGGAGACGCAACTGTCTACCAAGACCTGGGATATGACGCGAAAAGTTACCCGAAAATGCCGACAACTTGGAACACTTGAGGGTAAACACCTCCAAAGTGGGTATGAATTAATTCGAGATCTAGTATATCCCCATGATGTAATCAAATATCAATTTAATAAGTGGAATACCTTTTTCGAGAGAACATGAGCACATATCATAGCCAAACGTGGCACCGGAGCCTCCGTACACCAGGCTCAGATAGCGCGTTAGGCATTGCCTACCAACCAGGGCAATGATTGGCATAGATCAAGATCAAAGCTGACTCGAACAATATTCCAGTGTGTAATGATCCCTGCAGGTCCGATCAGCGAATGACGCACGGCATGACCTGCACGTTGTGTGGTGTTTAGTTCGTTGCACTAACAAGGAATAGTTGCCAATGCGATGTCGGAGGACGATCTACAACGTATGATGCAACATAAATATGAAGGAACTCGCACCTCGTAATCGACACAGATCGATTTAAATCATCATCAACATGAAGTGGACATTCCTGTTTTCACTTCTGTCTGCGACAGCCCAGGCAGCTGAACATGTCGTCAACCAGACGACTTGCGCCGGAACGACATACAAATATACCGGTCTTGCGGGCTATGGATACATTCCTTCGAATGCTACAGACAAATATGGTGATACGATCGGAGGAATTGGCAGTTCAATTGCTATTGACCAATCATCCTGGCACAAGACTGGACTGGACAAGTACTCAGGAATAGTCTATACACTCCCAGATCGAGGCTGGTAAGCCAGGATATACTAACAACAACCCGAATCCAAAACAAAGCCCCCAATCTAACAAAACCCAGGAACACAAACGGCACGCTAAATTTCCAATCACGCATCCACAAATTCACCATAACCCTAAAACTAGCAGCAAACGCAAGCGCCAACAACCCATCGCCCCCAAACATAAATCTAAAATACCTCGACACAATCCTCCTAACAGACCCAACCGGTGCAGCAACAACAGGTCTAGATGCCGACATAACAGGAGCCGCCAATTTCCCCGGCTTCCCCCCACTCCCAGTATCAACCTACAAAGGAAACGGCTACGGCGGAGCCGGACTAGGCGGGAAGCGAGTATCCCTCGACACAGAAGGTCTAGCACTGGACACACAAGATGGTGGGTTCTGGATCTCCGATGAATATGGACCATATATATACAAGTTCAACGCACATGGACGCATGCAACACGCCATCCAGCCACCGCAGGCATATCTCCCGCGCCGGAATGGAACGATCAGCTTTAATGCCGATTCAGCGCCTCTTTATGATCCCAGCTTGGTGCCTGTGCCTGTGGATACTGATTCTGGACGGGATAATAACCAGGGACTGGAGGGGTTGACGCTTTCGCGTGATGGAAGGACTTTGTATGCTCTTATGCAGAGTGCGCTTGATCAGGAGGGCGGGCCTGGGAAGACGACAAGGAGGCCAGCTCGGTTGCTTGTTTATAATGCTGGGCGACGGGGTGAGCCTCTGCTTGTGGGTGAGCATGTTGTTAACCTGCCTACTTATCTTGATTATTCGAAGAAGGATGCTGCCAAAGCTGTTCGTGTTGCTGGGCAGTCTGAGATTCATCAGTTGGATACTGGGGATTTCTTGATTTTGGCTAGGGATTCGGGCTTTGGGAGGGGGCAGGATGAGAGTCGGTCTGTTTATCGGCATGCAGATGTCTTTTCGGTGAAGGGGAGTACTGGTGTTACTGATTTGAAGGGGAAGAAGAATTATGATGATGCTACTGGGGCGATTGCTTCGTCTGAGGGTGTTTTGTTCGAGGGGATTGTTCCGGCTGAGTATTGCTCGTTTGTGGATTATAACGTGAATTCGGAGCTGGGGAAGTTCCGTCTTCATAATGGTGGTCCTGTTGATGAGTTCTTACTTAATGAGAAGTGGGAGAGTCTGGCGGTTGTGCCGGTGAATCCTTCGTGTTCATCTGGGGCTGGGGAGAAGGAGTACTTCTTGTTCAGTTTCAGTGACAACGATTTCATCACTCAGGATGGTGTGTATTTCAACTGTTGCGATCAAGTAGGTCGATGGCTAACAGTTTACTAGGACACATGAACTTTGGAAAGTTCGATTACAAGGACGAGTCAGGCTACCACCTTGACACTCAAGTTCTGGCATTCAAGTTGAAGTTCTAGAGGTAACTTTGGCCTCAGTTTCACTATTGAGGAGAACAGAAGGGATTTCTACTGTCACACTGTAAGAACAGACATCCCTCTTCATTGTTATCTTAGATTCCAGTCAATAGTTACAAATACATCACAGAGCCTAGCGTGGACGGAAGCCATCATCAGTATCCACCGAAATAGATCGCAAATATTCATAGATGAATACTACCCCTAAAATAAAAGTGAGTGGAAATTGGTGTTTGAAGTGAAATGAGGACCCGTAGGATGTCGTGAAAGAGTGCGGAGATCGAAGGCTTGGCCCCAATAGGAAAATAAGATTTGATAGAGCTTTCGAAGAAGTGCGACATTTAAATCGTTTCATCTCGTGAGATTATCATTTGATGAGGTTGATGGCGTGCAAGATGTCCTCGAGAGACCATCCCGGCCCGCCAGGAACAATCTCTGCCCAGACCTCTTCCGGGACTGCGTCATTGGGATCAAGTAGGCTCCAATTAGGACTCGGTTCAGGCTTAATCCATTTGAAATCTTCAACCTGGCTCCAGCGGTCTTCATGATCAGGGCGGTCATGGTTCAATGCCTATAATGTCGAGTTAGTATGGCTGGTAGGAAAGGGAGAGCCTCAAAAGGAACACTGACATAAGCCTTGGGAATCCGACCAAATCGAATATCAGAGCAGTCTTCGATAATGGGATTACTGGAGCAGCTGAGGTAGACATCCACGTTTTTGCAGTTGTGCATCCGGAATTGACGGCATGAAACAACCATGACAGTATTCTGAACATCTGTTATGTGGGCAGGACCGTTCACTTGACCGCAGACCAGCAAGCTTTCCTTGATACCCTTGGCGGTAAGACTGGCATACGGCTTGCCATTGGCAGTGGGAATGGACATGTCAACAATGCAGTGTTCCAGTGAGGTGATAGAAGCGGGGACTGTGGAGGTCGATCCGGAGGATGGGAGCATGATATGCAGGCCATAATGGTCGTCGACAGATACAGAGGAAACGCCTATGGCGGCAAAAGGACCGGCTTTGTCCGAGTGAGGCTTTGTTGCGAAATTATCAACAGCACTGGGCGGGAATGAGGTGGGTGCGCATTCCGGTCGTTCCTGTTGATTTTGCTGCCTATCCGGTTCGTTGAGCGGAGTGGAAGGATAGTTAGGTGTCTGGTTTGCAGACGAACTGACGGACGAGGCGCCGGGAGAACGATATCCAGGGATGCTGAGCCGACCCGCAGCTGCCATTGTGGCGGCGTCAGACAGAGAAATGGCAGAGGCGTTCTTCTTGGTCTTGAAGCTGAACTTCGAACGGGGCTCGAAGGCGGCACGTGTCTCACTCAGTCGGTCCTGCAAAGCTTTGATTGCCTATAAAGGGATCAGCTGTATACACATGGAAAAATGCCTTCAATGTTGCATACCTCTGCATATACCCTCTGGTCGTAAGTGGGGATATAGCTTGCTGCATCTTTGACTTCGTTTGATAAACGCACGATACCTGCCAGACAGTGGTCTGTTGCGTCTACGCGTTCACCACCTACAAGCGATGTGTCGGCGAGGTTGTCCATCTTTTGTTGTAGGTCTAAATCCCATATCACATTAGTCAGAGGCTGCTTTGTCTTGAGTCGTGGACATAATGGAGCACAGCGGATCATACCTGTAATCTCATGCTGGAAGTAGCGGAAGAAGCGCTCCTTGAGAGATATGTCGGATTTGGAGACGGTCTGGTTGTCCGCCGACAACCGACGGTTGTATTGTAACTCAGCTTCGGCCATGATGGATGAAGAGGAAGTGCAGGTTAAGAAAGAAGTTCGGAGGTCAAGAGTTGTATTACGTGAAATATAGCAATGACGTCGAATCAGCGAATCATACCACCCCGCAGGGATATGAGTTCCTTGTCAGTATGGGGGAATGAAACAGGTCCGTTAATATCCCCGCATTACACTTCAACACTTCAAGCCACAAACGCAAACCCCAAAGTACAACGTATGCTTTTCTGGAGTAGGGCTGAATTGAAATATATCCACTTGGGCAGTTCTCTGCAGGACTGATTGGTCTCGGGTTGACGCGTGAATCATCTCCATTCGTGACGTCGATCATCCCGCATTTCTTCGGAGCCTCGATGATCCGGTCAGGCAGTAAGGCATGAATTTCGTTGCCTGTTTTTGAATCTTTGCCTCAATCCTCCGTAAGTTATTTTCTTCTGGAGACAGTATGATGTGAGGCTCTACTATAGTGCGCTGTGGACTTGCTGCTTATTCTGAACATAAGACAAGCTTTTACCAAATTATATAGGGTCAGTCCCTTGGGATATATATTTTGAATATCCCTGTTATACTCATCCTGCTTGGACATTTTTTTCTCTCAATTTTCTGCCTCCTTTTTACACGTCTGTCTGTCTGTCTGTCTGTCTGTTTTGCTTGCTGTTGTCTATGTCAATACAACACTCAAATAACTCTAGCAAATGAAGCTAGGCATGATAAGTGATCCATTGATAAGAAGTTTAGGCCGACAAGAGGAGGTGTATAGATACAAGGATCAGGAGGCGGAGGGAGTAGAAGCCTTCTTACCAGATAGATTGGGACAGATGATGGATGAACATGACAGATTTCTTCATGTCTCCCTGTATCTACCTTCAGAGCCTCTACCAGACGTTTCGTGCTCCCCTGGCTTTCATGAAATAAATATAGACGATGGTCCACTGTAACAGTCGCGGTACATACCTTTTTCTCAGTAGTACAGTATACCGAGTGATCCTCAGTTTCAGAAGAAAATAGCCCTTCCCAGCAAGTGACCCACGGATCACTACATGAAGATCATCTCAGCCTATTAAACAAATGACATGGGACCCTGTGCTTAATACCAAGCTTTGAGGTAATACGACGGAGAAAGGACCAATCCAGATCTTGTTATGTTTGGTCAACGTCAGTTTAAGGTTGCTGTTAGGATAAGATTGTATGTTTGGGATCGAACAGTCTACCAAGAGTGTGTGCGTAATCTCAGCGTGAAACAGCGCTACGTTTATCAAGTAAGTTTGGATGATCTTTCCCCGCAAGCGTTTTCCCGCGAATGTTCACCTATGGCTAAGGCTTGTATTAGAAAGGATCTTCTACGCCGACTATATAGGGAATGCGATGCGGGTGACCATAGAACGAGACACAACGTTGTATTGCTGCACTCAACCTGCTTGGCATTTTCCCGTGTTAGGTTGTGGTCTCTTGGTTGAACTCTAAGAAAGTAGGTAGTGAGATCTGCCGTATGTTGATACACCCTATAAAGCCAGCATACTTGGTCCAAAGAAATAGCACGGCATCTCAAATCTTAAGTTCATCTCACCTGAGTAAGCATTCTATAAAAGATGAAGCCTTGTTCTATAGCTTTCTATATGTTGAATCTCGCACTATGCTGCTTCTCGCTTACAAAAGCTCCTTTTTCAAGCTATGAACGAGTTGAACAACTGGAGAATGTACCGGAGGGCTGGTCGAAGGGTAGCAGGCCTTCAGCTTCAACGTCAATGACATTCACCCTGGCAATCACGCAAAGAAACGCTGAGGAATTTGAAAAAAAGGTGATTGATCTTTCAACTCCGGGACATGCAACCTACGGCCAGCATATGAAAAGGGAAGAAGTGAATGAGTTCCTGCGCCCACAGCTATTCGTCTTAGATCGAGTTTACGCATGGCTGAAATCAGAGAATGCGCCTGCCTGCTCGATCGAAGAAGCAGGCAACTGGATAACATTCACAGTCCCACTTGCCCAGGCCGAGAAAATGATGAAGACACAATTTTTCTACTTCCATCAACATGCTCAGACAAATACCGCCATTCGAACTCTGGGTTATTCGGTACCTCGTGATATACATCCTTATGTCCAGTTGATTCAACCAACAACTCGATTCAGCAACCTAGGGTCCCTGAAAATGTCACTCGTCCAACCAAAAATGGCAAGCTCCGAAGACTTGGCCGCTGGATGCCACAGTATCATCACACCAGCCTGCATTCGAGACCTGTACGGCATGGGAAACACGACCACCAGACCGAATCGGCACAACATCCTTGGGATATCTGGTTACCTAGAACAATACGCTCGATACAGGGATTTCGACCATTTCATGGCTCAATACGCTGCGAACAATACGAGCAACTTCACCGTGGTCTCAATTCATGATGGACAGAACGATCAGAACTCTTCATCTGACAGCACTGAAGGAAGCTTAGATGTGCAGTACGCCATCTCCATTGCAGATGAAGTGAGAGCAACTTTCTATACCACCGCTGGACGAGCTCCTATGATCCCAGAGATTGGCCGGCTAGGTGGCGCCGGGTCCACAAATGAGCCCTACCTCGAACAGCTTCATTATCTGCTCAGTCTCTCGGATCACGAGCTCCCAGCCGTGCTGACAAATTCATACGGAGAAGATGAGCAGAGTATTCCAGAGTCATATGCAAACGCAACTTGCAGTCTGTTTGCCCAACTCGGCGCCCGCGGTGTCACAGTGCTGTTCAGCAGTGGGGATTCGGGTCCTGGAGATTCGTGCCTGAGTAATGACGGGCAGAACACAACCAAGTTCCTACCTGAATTCCCAACCTCTTGTCCATTCGTCACGTCAGTTGGAGGAACGCACGGCATCGGTCCCGAAACTGCAATTTCCTTTTCGGGGGGAGGATTCTCGGACCTTTTCCCACGGCCAACGTACCAGGACACTGCCGTGACTGGCTACCTCACTAAACTTGGGGATCAATGGAGCGGGTTATACAATCCCCAAGGAAGAGGAATTCCTGATGTAGCAACACAGTCGAGTAACTTCGTGGTTCGAGACCATGGAAATTGGGTATTGGTCAGTGGTACAAGGTTTGTGTTTCCCGACACTCAAGAGAAGAGTTATACTAAATATTGTTAGTGCATCGGCGCCAGTATTCGCAGCTGTAGTTTCTCAGCTAAATGCTGCTCGTCTTGCAGCGAATTTGCCTCGCATGGGCTTTTTGAATCCATGGATTTATAGTGTTGGGCAACCTGGGTTCGCGGACATTGTTCGAGGTGGCTCCACTGGCTGTGCTGGGAAGATTAGTGGTGGCATCAAAACACCTCTGGTGTCAGGTGCAAGCTGGAATGCCACCGACGGGTGGGACCCTGTGACAGGACTGGGGACGCCTCTGTTCCAGAGACTTGTCCAGATAGCATTGTCTTGAACTGCCGCTAAAAATAATCTCAATGAGCACATTTTGCACCTGCCACGCAGTAGCGCAAATTTGAACGCTTAATGCCATCAATTAGTCAAGTAAAAAATGGAATAATCTCGAGGAAGTAGAAGTACACGAGCGGTGGATATCTCCGATTATAAACACGGTCACGTGCCAACACAGCTGACCGCCCACCACAGCTCCGTCATGAGTGCCGGATTGTCACCAACAATCATCCACCTATCCTCAAGCTCTCTATCTCTTTCGTTACGGTCGTTGCCAGTGCTAGATTGCGTTTCGGCTTCGCTAAAGTTTTTCAGCATTACCCTGAATCCAACCCACACACCATGTCCGATCTACAGTCCCTTGTCTCAGAGCTCCACGGTGCTCTCGAGCGCAAGCAGCTGGATACCACCAACGATCTCCTCAGCCGCGCCAAGCGTGCTCTTCTTATGCAAAACGCATTGATCCCAACCTCATCAACACCTCCTCAGCTTGTTGTCCTCGCCCGTCAAGTCCTCGAGCTCGGAGCCCTCGCCTCAATTCGCCAGACCGACGCGCAGCTATTCACAAGATACTACCAGCAACTCCAGCCATTCTACGATCTTGAGCGACACGCCGGTCTTCCAGGCCAGAACTCATCAAATGTAGATTTCAGCACTAGCCAGCGGAGCAAGATCACAGGACTGTACCTGCTTCTTCTTTTGAGCATGGGTGACAGTGCCAACTTCCACACAGTGCTAGAGGGACTCGTTGAAGAGGCAAGCTTGCAGGGTGGTCGTGTTGAAGATGATGCATACATCAAATATGCCGTTGAGCTGGAGCGCAATTTGATGGAGGGAAGCTACGACAAGGTGTGGAGGGAGACAAAGTCCGAGCGTGTCCCATCTGAAGACTTCGGTCTGTTCTCGAATGTGAGTTGCTCTTAACTCAATCACGTCTCGCATATAAATACTAACTATGATATCTCCAGGTTCTCATTGGCACCATCCGCAGTGAAATCGCAGACTGCTCGGAAAAGGCCTATCCCTCCCTCCCCATCTCCAACGCCAAGAACCTCTTATTCCTCGAGTCTGAAGGTGCCGTTATCGAGTTTGCTCAGCAGCGTGGCTGGATCCTCCGCGACGGCCGGATACACTTCCCCGTTGAGCCCGAGGCGGCTGCCAGGTCCGAGAAGGACATTCTGGTGGCTAGCGGTACCGTTATTGAGAACGCTTTGGGCTACGCCCGGGAACTTGAAACCATTGTTTAATAACTCTTTCAATGGGAATGATGTGCTGTATTCGGGTATGAATGATTTATTTAGGCGCGGATGTACTTGTATACCTGTCGCTTCTGCATTGTGATTTGTCTAGCGTGTTCATGATAACAATCATGTTAGAATTATCCCGCTTCTTTATTTCTAGTAGTGCAATAGGCGGCATAGCTAGCCTTCCGCGGCAGACGATTTCGTCTATGATTCGACTACACATCTACAGTCCATATACACAGCCTCTTGTCATAGAAACTGCTCGAGACACAAAGGAGTTCTCCGGAGACAGACTCCCCGAGTCCAACCTTCGTCCCCTGCCAGACACCACTAGCATAATTCATACTCTCATGCTCCGTGAACTTCGCCAGCACTTCAATGCCCCATTCCGAAGTACCATCTTGCTGCGAGCAAGTAACCCGAACAAGCCTAGTACCAGCATGCATACAGCTTGCCAGCACCAAGAAGCTCCATGTTGTAACATGCGACGGATCTGCAGACTCAGGCACCTGCGTCGTGCTCAGCAACTGCAATCGCCAAACTCCACCGTCAAGCCCCTGCTCAGCAAGCACCTCGCCTCTGCGCGTAGCATGGTAGACCCGTAAACCCTCATCATAACTTCCAGTCAGGAGAACAGGAGCATCACCAACCAATGGAACCTCAAGCGGTAGAATAGCAGTAACACCAGCTGTATGATGACGTGCCCGATCATCATGTTCAACGAGCATAGGCGAGATATGCTCATTTGGATCATCTAACTCGGCAATATTATCAAAGCGACGGGTATGTAATGAGCCAAAGTCATTGCCGGTGAACATGAAGGGAATTTTGGATGCGTTTTGGTTGTCGGCTGTGGTGGAAGGTGTGGATAAGGCGACGAACCAGACTTCGATCATTTGCTTCGCTTCGAAGGTTCCCCATTCAACTAGACCACCTTCTTCGCGGATATCACCCTCCGTTCCGAAGACAGCTGTCCGACTATCAGAGAATGTGACTGCAAATCCATCTGCTGAAGTGTTGGGGAACCAGTGTTCCGGTGCCCAGGCCAGGAAGAGGGCTGGGATGGATGGATCTTCGTGGACTTGCTGGGTCCATAGTTGGGTGACGCTAGGAGACGCATCATCTCCCGCTGATGAATTGGCAGAGACTTCGAATAGAGAAACTGTGCCTACACTGCTAGCGATTGCGAATAGATTCTTGTGTTTTGGGTGGAAGTGGAGGTCAAAGACTGCATATGGGACTGCGATTCTTTGGATTTGAGATCTATGTAATGTTAGTTCATTGCCCTGACGGTCGATAACATGTGTTTGCAGGCTAATGCATAGCTTACAGTGCGTTGCTGACGGGATCTAGCTTCCATAGCTGGATACTTCCAATTTTGGTTTGCTCTATCTCTCCATCTTCCGTCTTGTTTTCTGATAGGAGGTAGGTGCCCACTATGAAATGGTCTGGTGCCTCCGGGCAGAATTCCAAACAGCTTGGTGGCTGGTCTAGGAAGACTGTCGTTGCAGAGCTGGGGTGCTGGATAGTTGCAGCCATTGTGGTTTTGTCTGATTTCAACCGTGTCGCTGGGTGCATGAAATGTGGGGTTACGGCTGCAGAAAAAATGCACTCAGATCCAGCCCTGCACGTCTCTTTTACAGCGACGCTATGTGAGCGGAAGATATTACAGAGATCTTCTCCTGCTTGGCCTTGTTCTCGGGAAGTTGAGATTTGAACCAAAACCTCATAGTGGGGCGGTGAGTATCCCCCCCAAGGCAAAAGAGTATACAACATACCAGCAAGTGAGAATGCAGAAATAACAGACCTCATACGCAAAGCAGTCGCTATGATATGCCTATTCTTTATGGTGTTTAAATTCGACAGCTTACGCGTGCTGCAAATTCGGCAGTATCTGCCTTATGGATATCAATATCACATGTGGATGAGACATATCATTCTGAGCGAGAGATAAAGTTTTTCGAAGAGTTCACATCCAAGTCAGATAATATAGGGTATCTTAAATAGCTAGATCTAACCCCCACTCGAGAGAATTAAATTGCTTTCTCAAGCATACCCACCATGCGGTATACGTTCACCGTAAGCGCACACGTTCGGGTTCCACTATGGCCCCGAAAGCCGTAAGCCAACTTGATGATCCATAAGCTCGAAACTTGACCATAGTCTGACTTGAAGAATAGCTGGTTCTGCTATGCGGATGGGCAACCAAAGCACCAATCAGTGAATAACTTCGTCCGCTTGGGATCCCTCGTTCTCTTATTTGCCATTCCAAGTGTTAGCCCTTGGTTTCATCAATGAATTGCTAGGTATAAAAAGCAAATTTTGCCACAAAATCATTCAATGCGAGGACCATTGCGTGGTTGAGGCTGATCCCGACATTGCAGGCGTCGGGGTTATTTGTTCCTACCTATTTATTCTGCACAGCGTATAGCAGTTGCTTTCAAGGACGAAATGTCTTAAAATTTATAGATGCGTGTCTGCCTGCACTCAGACCATATGCAGCCTCATTATTCTAGGGTTTTGCTCGAACCCCTACAGGACAGGCTACATATGCAGCACGCTCGTCATGACATCCTTAGCCCGTTATCATTACAAAACCTCCTTGGCTGCCTGTCGCTCCGGTAATTAGAGATGGTGCCATTGTATAAAAAAATGAGACTGGGTTGATTGGTGGTGAGAAGAATGAACCACCAGCAATTGGCTTTTATAGCGGTGGTATGAAACATCAAGCTTGAAAAACTTCAATAGGTTGTAGAATGCAGTGAGATAATTACATGTGCTTTGGGCCCATCTCAACCCCGAGCTGAATCAGAGCGGGTTCTATGGTTTTAAGGTTATGTGTTTCGATGCACATGCATAGTTGCTTTTCCCCAATGTCACTGATATGCCCTATCGACATTGTTGGATTTAAGTGACTTAGTATAAAGAATAAAAAAAGTTCATGTACATCTGTTATGACGTGGTGAAATGTATTCTGTAGAATGCCGAAGAATGTGGGAAGAGATCCTCGGGGTTAATATAGAGCCCGAAGCTCCACTTTTCGTTCAACCTTAATAATTGAGGTATATCGGGCCCCGACCAACAGCGAGATCAACAATATTGATTTCAAACATTGAATCCTGCTGGTATGATTACAGAAGCATTTTATTGCAGATCTTCGGCGAGGAAGATCGCCGAGCCCCCGAACTTGCCACAGTATAAAGATCGAGCAAGTCCCCTGTCCAGGCCAAATCATCAATCATCAAATCTATCAGTCCAACTTTAAACTACTTTGAATCTTCAACCATGTCGAAGCTCATCACAGTCTTTGGTGCTACCGGACAGCAGGGTGGCTCTGTCATTCGCACCATCTTGCAAGATGCCAGCCTGTCCAAGGAATTCAAGATTCGTGGTATCACTCGCGATATCTCGAAACCCGCAGCTCAAGCCCTCGTCCAACAAGGAGTCGAGATCAAGAATGTAAGTCATCATTTTCGTCAAGGATAAGTCCCAATACTGACAGATGTTTCCGAGGCCGACATGAACTCCAAGGACTCGTTGACTCAGGCATTGAAAGGCAGTCACTCGGTTTTCCTTGTCACTACACCCGACTGGGGTAATGCTGGTTCTGATGCTGAGCTAGTCCACGGCAAGAACGTCGCCGATGTAGCAAAGGAGACTGGTGTCCAGCACCTTATCTTCTCTTCTCTCCTCAATGTGACCGAGACATCGGGTGGTAAACTCACACATGTCCCTCACTTTGATCACAAGGCCGAGGTCGAGAAGTACATCCGGTCGACTGGAGTGCCCGCTACATTCGTGCTCCCCGGGTATTTCATGTCCAACTATTCCGTTTTTGGAATGCTGCGTAAGGGTGAAGACGACGTCTATAACCTGGCTTACCCCGTCGGCAAAGATGCTCCATTCCCGCTCATTGACATTGCCACCGACCTCGGTATGTTGTATTCATGCCTTACGTATGAAACTAGAAAAGCTAACAAAATGGTCTTTAGGCAAGTATGTCGCCGCAGCCCTGAAGGGTCGGTCAGATGTTCTGGGATCCCAAATCCTGGCTGCAGCCGACTATTACTCTCCTTCGCGCATTCTTGTCGAGTTCGAGGAAGTTACTGGAAAGAAGACCAACTTCGTCCAAGTGGATTCTGAGACTTACAAGAGCTTCATGCCCGGCCCTATGGGAGAGGAGATGCTGGAGAATCACCTGTTTATTGAGAGCCCCGGTTACTACAATGGAAAGAGCCTGAAGGAGAGCAACGATCTGCTCAAGAAGCATGGCTACGAAGCTACCAGCTGGAAACAATTTTTGGAGAAGAACAAGGATTCGCTCTGAGGATCCAAGAGCTTCGCAATTCCCGACAACTATTGCAAATCTATATAGAAATAGCATCCAAACTGAAAGATTGTTGATGAGGATTCATGGAAAGGCACATCTACCAATTGTAGTTGTCAAATGGAAGAGTAGAGTTCAAAAGCCCCAGTATTAAACTCAGTAGTACTAATAGTTTACCGATTGGATGCGACAGTATGCAGTGAGATTGCTTCGACGATCAACCATGAAACAGGATTTTGGCAACGGTCGCTTGGACATCGTGGTTGCTAATGCCCGTACCTGCAAAACCTGCCCCAATCTTGAATATGACGGGGAAAGCTTTGCACGGGATAACTGAGTGAACTACAAGGATATCATGTGGACTGCACAGGCTGCGGGTAAAATCTTGAAGACACAGGGCTAGGGTAATTTAATTATCACTGCTTCTGGGAGTGCTATCCTCGTCAACATTCCTCAGGCTTAGGTCGCTTATAATACATCCAAGGCTTCTGCGGTGCACCTGCCAAAGAGTTTGGCTATGGAATGGACAGACTTTGCCCGGGTGAACTGCATTTCTCCGCATTTCATAATGACAGATAGTAAGATCCCTCACGTGTCTACAAGATGAGGTTCTGAGAAAAGGCTAACACTGACAATGCTATAGTGCGCACTAAACAACCAAAGGAGTTGTTCAAGGAATGGATGGCCATAAATCCTGGACGCCGAATCTGTGACCCAGCTGAGCTTAAGAGTTTATGTACCTCATTCCGCGCTGGATTATTTCTACAATGCAACTAACCATTTCCTCAGGCTTGTGTTTTCCTTGCCAGCGACGCATGCTGCTACATGACAGGCTCAGACCTTGTTATCGATGGTGGTTACACTTTGCCTTGGCTATCAAAACACTTATACAAATGAAAATAATGAGGTGATCTAGATCCGAAAATCGTTTTCTTTGCGCTTCATCAAAATTACCTTTCAATAGAATGAACAGTTTACCCTGTCAGTATCGTATATAACTTGTTGTATTGTAATATTGAGTCATTGTAATTTACCGATCTCGGAGTGGGGGAGATCTGACGATCTGGCTTAATCCACACCCAACTTAGTATACAGCGACTAATTTTCTACAAAGTGCTTTTTCATTATATCGCAAGGAACTGACTCCCTGGTGTATTAGTACTTGTCATTCGGACGCAGCTTTCAATCGTAAAGAAAGAGACAAAATAGCACGAAAAATTAGAGGCGAGATATAACAAACGAACAGCATGGTTTCATGAATCGAACCCTGACGTCCCAAACACCACCTTTGTCACATTCCCGAAAACAGTTTCATCTCTGCAATGGAAAAAATCCTTGACCGCATTGGGCGTGAAACTGAAATGGATATGTGCACCATACCCTTGGTTGCTGGTACAGCTATCCTCCCATAAGCGCTTGAGCTCCACATCACCGCTCCTCTTGCCAGACAGGAAACAATAAGAGGAGCAATAGGCACCACCAGCTTCTTCGCAGGCTTTTTTTGCCACGTCAACTTCCGCTCCCCAAGATGGGGATTCACCAAATTGGTCCCACTTATCAGGGTATGAGCAATCCGCCATATAGTCCAGTGGAATGTCTGGCCTATTCGGGTCGCACACCAAGGTGCCCCAATCATCATATTTCTGTGTGACGGACCATCGACCATCCCAGCATTTCCTGTCGCACTGTTCGTAGTTGCCACAAGGTGTTCCGGCCGTGTATTTCGCTGCTAGAGTAGCGACTGCAAAGAAGAGGACCAAAGCGCTGCGTAACTTAATACTGAATGTTATAGTCATTGAAGCGTTATTAGTTCTGGGGTTGGCAAAGTAGACGGCTCATCGAGGCTTACCTGGGCGTGGAGTCTAGCGGATGCTGATTGCTCAGAAGGACATAGACAGACACTTGGAGGTGACGACAGCTCAACCTGTTATAGAGTATATTCTGATTGCGAGCGGTACAGCTAGCCAGATTATTCTCAGGATATTCACAATCACTGGGCGGAGGCAGCAAACAAAGAATGTTGCTTTGATATCCAGAAAATCTGAGCGTATTGAAATTTCTCGTAAGATACTGGACAAAGTATTACAGCAACTAAGCTAAGTATAGATTACGTAGACCAAGGTACTAGGAATTAATTCGCGAGTGTACGGAGGAGACCCTGTTTTGAATATTGCCGTACATGGATCTCAGTGGCCGACAGACATGATATTAGATATAGCTCGATACAGAAATACAACAGCAGTCGTAATTCTGTTCACGGTGCTAAACGGCAGCCCTACATGCCCTTCGATGGGGTTTCCTGCACGAAAGTCTGGAAATGTTCCATGGATGAGAAGTTTAGGCTACGAGAAATAGTCAATTGGAATCACTCTGGCTGTGCACCTATATATCACTGATGAAATCCGACGTGAAATAACGACTCTAGATAACTCTAGATACTTGAATCATATTAGAAATTGATGGTCTATGTATAAATCATGATTGCCAACAAGTGAGTGTACTCTTGAAGGCACGACCAATCAGTTGTCTGAGTATGCCGGGTCTGCCCTTTTGGCTGTCCTTTTTGTGTCTCAAACCTAGAACTTTAACTATACAAAGTGTGGAGAAGCAGTCATTAGCTCGGGCATCTGGAACAGCGTCAAACTAGCAAGCCTTCAACTTTCCGCTGGAAATTTAGCTTGTTTTGGATGAATGTCGAGATAGAGGCTTTGATAGGCAAGTGGAACGGCCAGCATGCTATAATTAACGTACAGAGTCTAGAAACTTGGAAATTGCGGGTGCTTGAAACTGGTACTTTATTGCAACGCCAATAGTCGCTGAGGAACAATTCGCTATCTCATCTTGTGGGTCACGGGCGGGTTGGATACTGAGCAAGCTGGTTTGTTTTGACCAAAGCCATCTGAGAGGCTGTGAATGATGAGGGACATTTAACTTCTAGAAGTTAAATAACCAAGAGTATCAAATGCTGTGGACTATGGATGCGTTTTCGGGGAAAATAGAAAAGGAGGTTGTTTTGAGAGGTAGAAAACTTAAGAAAAATCTCAAATGGTAAGGCTGATCATGTGCCGAGAGGAGGCAGAATGCTTTATACCGACTAAGAACAACAACAAAACCTTCGAAAATGATACCAAGAGATCCCTCAGGAAAAGAGAAATTGGATGATCGTTTGACAAAGTTAAGCCCGATTTGCAGGGGAATTCATAACAGGGACGTCGACGTCCGATCAGCCGATCATGCGCACAGTCGTATTATTTTATTCAAGTATATCTGCTCTTCTAAGAGAAAAATACAACTCTGGATTATATCTATCTTGTGCTATATATCCTGCTAGGTCATCTTGGGCTAAATAGTCATTGGTAACGATTCTAGAGAAAGTGAGGCTAAAAGAAATACCCAGGCAAAAATGACCTGTATGATCTGAGAGGTGATCGCGCAATCTCACTGCATTGCTACATAACTATACGTTTGTTTGTCGATACGAATGCATCGTCAATGCACTTGAACATCCGTGCGTGTCATGCCTTTCCTATCGCGCGAATAGTAATGGCTCGAGCTTTTGTCCACGGGTTTCACTGCATTGCATTGCATGAGACCACATCATATCTTCATTCTGTTCGAGTCAACCCATGCAAACACAATGCTTACTGAAACCCATTGACCTAGATACATTATATTTCTACGTCGCTTCAGAGTCTGAAAGTCATACTGGATGCTCCGACGGTGGCCGGCGGGTGGTCTATATGTAGCTCTGGGCAAAGGAAGGTACAGTATCATCTCCTTGCAGATTCCTACGTTGGCACTTTACTATGTAACATCAACACACGTCCAGAGGGCCAAATTTGGGGGCTTGCGAACACCCCGCATATTGCTTTTCCTCCGGGCCACCCCTACGGCCCGACAGTCTACTGGAGCGTGCGAACTGCAGCGAAGGGCGCGAACTTTAACTATGACACATCCTAGGTAGCAGACCCCGTGCAAGTACGAGTGCATAGAAGATGTATGGACATGCATGGATGCATCAATCACAACGCCAGCTCTGAGTCCACTAGACGCGAGGGCGATCCCGATTGACGAAAACGCTGTGAAGGGCGCTAGAATCAGGGCTAAGCGTGCAGATTAAAGTCAGACAAGATAAAAATGAAACTAATTGTCATCTCAGACATACTTACCCAACTTGCATCTGTAAATATTGGGGTGGCACCGCCCAAAAAAAAATCCTTATTTCTTCCCTGCCCCCACTCCTCTTGTTCCTAAACCTGTCCGTACCCATCGCCATGTTGGATAAAAAGCCTTTGGGATACCGATGGAGGTCTTCGAGACTTCTGGTTGTATCCTCAATCACTGTCGCATTGTTCGCAGGTGCGTGTGGCTGGTGTCTCACATTTCATGATTGTTTTGAGTCATTCTGACATTTCAGCAGAAACATTTCTTTATGGGTTCCTCACGCCGATTCTAAGCTATATGCTTGAGGAACGTTTACAAATTGATCCATCTCTCACTCAAAGCTATACCACCGCATTGCTCACGTCCCATGGATTCTTCGGTCTTATTTCTGCGCCGGTAGTCGCGCATCTCGCCGAGAAGACGCCGAGTCAAAAGACTCCGCTACTGATTGCTCTGGCAGGATGTTTTGTGGGGACTCTGATGATTGCGCTCACGACTTCAGGTATTTCAATGTCGAACCTATTTGAAATTTTGACCTGGGCTGATCATATTGAACAGTGTGGGCTCTCTTCCTTGGTCGCATCTTGCAAAGTATAGCTGGGGCTGGTACTTGGGTGGTTGGATTTTCCCTCCTAGCTAATAATGTGGACAAGAAACATCTCGGCAAGTCGATGGGGCTCGCAATGGCATTTGTCACTGCTGGAATGGTCGGAGGACCAACCGTGAGTGGTACCCTGCTTCAGTTGTTTGGATACTGGACCGCCTGGTCACTGCCTATGGTGGTGCTTGCTCTAGATATCATTGCGCGACTGGTGATGATTGAACCTCACCCTACGTCTTCATCCGATGCTTCGGGCAAATCGACTAGTTCCACGTTCGCACAGAACACCGAGACATCAGACGAAACAACAGCTTTGCTTTCTGAAACGACCGATATCGTCAAACCAACTCATTGCGAATTAGAAGCCAAGCAAACGTCAAAGCAAGACTATTACAAGATCATGCTCACAGACGCACGAGTTCTGACTGCATTATCCAATGTCGTTGTCGTCTCCTCTCTCATCGCCGGAATCAACAATACACTTCCCGTCCACTTAAAAGAAGCATTCGGCTGGAAGAGCCTGCTTATAAGCATGATGTTCTTCTGTTTGCAAGTTCCCAATATTGCCCTCAGCGGACCAGCGGGATGGCTCCGGGACCGAGGCGGTTTACGGGGCCCTACCACCCTGGGGTGGAGTGCCATGGTCCCTTTGATATTGCTTCTGGGAGTCCCTGGAGATCCACATTTCCCCTGGGCTACCGGCAACACAGCCGGTCAATCCATATTTACTGGATCAGTGATTGCCCTGGGTACAGTCCTGCCTCTGGTGCGTGGTGTGGGAGCTGTGCAATTAGCATGTGAGTCATCTCCAATAAGCCCGTCTTGAAAACCTGGTTCGTGCGCTAAGAACATGTTCTTCTTAGATGTTGTCAAGGATATGGAAGCCAAGGATCCGCATATGTTTGAGGCTAACAGAAGCAATTTGCGCGTTTTTTCCATGACGGAAGTTGGATATAGCATCGGAATGATGATTGGGCCCTTATTAAGCGGCTCACTGGTTGAAGGAGTTGGATTTTTCTTCATGACTGTGGCACTAGGTGAGCACACTGACTGATCTGAGACTTTCGTTCATATCCTGACCCTTTTTAGCTGCTATTTGCCTCGTTCAAGCTTGGGCTTCGTGGCGCTGGCTCGACGCTAAGTCTCCGACTCATGTTTCTGAAGCTTCTGCATAGACTATTCTAGAAATCTGGTCCACAATCGTAAATGGACCTGCTTTGTAAAATAAATTTAGGTTGCTTGTGACTCAGAGTAGTCTGAACAGCGGGAGAAAGATATGTATCAAGCATATCCGAATTGAATGTACCGAATTTCGCGAAGAATGAATGGAATGATCCATTAGCCTGCAATTCATTCCTGATATCACTATATACCTTAATCTCACAAGCCGTGCATGCCCAATTGGTGAGTGATAAGGGCGGGGACTTACCCCGCGAGGTAGCAGTACCTCATTTATAGATCCCTGCAACATTTCAGCCAACCGACTTCCCCCAAATCCAAATCAAATCAACATGACCGAGAAACAGGGCGAAAGCTCACAGCTTGCTAACTGTGATCATATCCCTATTATCGATCTTTCCACTCTAGACAGTCCACATCTTGAAGAAAGGCAGCAGCTGGCTCAATCGATCTATGACGTGTGCACACAAGTTGGGTTCTTTTATATCATAGTAGGTACCTTCTCTTGCTGCCTACTATCTAGCAGCAGCTAACACTATCGTACCAGAACCATGGTATTCCAGATGAGATGGTCAAAGAAATTCACAATGCCGCAGAACGCTTCTTCGGTCTGCCCGAGGAACAGAAAATGACATTTTATATCGGAAACTCACCGGTATGTCTGGATATTAGACTTAAAATAAAGACCCTCTTACTGAGCTCGCCTAGAAATTCCGCGGGTACAGCCCTCTAGGATCCGAGAAATCCACAGGAACAGACGATGATCCTATCGCGCCAGAAGATGCAGTTAGCGCTCTCTCCGAAGCGTTTGATATTGGATATGAGACTGCAATGGATAACCAAAAGTCGAAGACTGACCCTCTTCCTCGTGATCCCTATCAATTGTACGGAGACAATCAATGGCCTGACCAGGATACGCTGCCAGGATTCTCACGGACCTACATTGAGTATTGCTCCTTGGTCCTCGGACTCTGTCGAAAGATGATGAGAATATTTGCTCTTGCTCTCGATTTGCCTGAGGGGCACTTCGACTCGATGGTTCAAGATCCAGGTGTGACGTCCAGGATGATGCATTATCCGCCTCAACCCGTGAAAGAAGAAGTTCGTGAGGGACTTGGAGCTCACACAGTAAACTTAAGCGATACTGGAATTCAAGAACTACACTCTGACATTTTAACAGGACTATGAATGCTTCACTATCCTTTCTCAGGGTAGCGTGCCCGGTCTACAGGTACTCAACCACAGCGGGGAATGGATACTTGCGCCTCCATTGCCGGGCACATTGGTTGTTAACATAGCGGATTGCTTATCAATATGGTAAAGGCAGTATCTATACTTTGTTTGTTTTTGCGCTAATCCCTCCAGGACAAACAAAAAGTTCAAATCAACTATACACCGGGTTACAAACTTGACGGGACAGGAGCGGTATTCGATTCCGTTCTTCTTTGGCGTCGATTATGATGCAACAATCTCCGTTTTACCAAATCATATCACGAATGAGAGACCTGCATGTACAGAGCCTTTCAAAGCAGGCGAGGTCAGTGATTACGGCAATTTACGCAACTATGTGGACTGACAAAGGTATAGTGGGTTCGCGAAAAACTATCAAAGGCATATGTGGGCTATGAGGGCTAATCACTTCCCCCAAGCAAGTAAAATGGAAGTCTCGTCGTGACTACTGTTTGTTCAGGGTGTCTGATTGCTTGTTTACCATATCTTCGTACTATTCATGTCTATATATCTGCACCAGGCCCTGACTGATGCCCCATGTAGGAAAACATGGGTAGGAATCCATCTTTGCGGTCGATTCATAAACCACAAAGGTTATCCAAATTCTCGACATATCATCCCACATCCAATAAGAAATCCTCGGAGTTTGTAAGCATGAAGCCGGTCGCGTCCATACGAACCCCGCACCCGATGACGCGCGATTGTTGCCTAAGCTCAGTATAAAAAGCGCAATCTCCCCGAGAAATACCATATCAAGCACCTTCAAATCGCAATGTCGTTGCCCTTCAGCAGTCCGCCATCCACGGCAAAGACCCCCCTCACGCCATTCAAAGTCGCCGTTCCGCAAGTAAAGCTGACCGAGCTCGAAACGCTCTTAAAGCTAGCCAAGTTCGCCCCGCATACATACGAGAACTCCCAAACAAACCGTCGCTATGGCGTTGGTACTGATTGGCTGGTGACCATGCGGGATCTGTGGCTGCGGTCTTATAGCTGGTACTGTACCCCAGAGTTACTAGTTGCTCCACATCTTCATGCATGTACTAACCTGTGCGAATAGGAGAGCTACTGAGGATCGGATGAATAGCTTTCCTCATTTTACTACTGATGTGGATGGGGTCAATATTCATTTTGTAGGTCTTTTTTCGCAGAAGGCGGATGCCGTTCCTGTTCTGTTGATTCATGGGTGGCCTGGTACGGTTTGTTCTTAGTCTAAATGTGAGATATCCTAGCTTAACTTGTTTACAGGAAGCTTCTTGGAGTTTTTGCCTATTTTGCAGAAGTTCAAGGAGGAATATACCCCAGAAACCCTCCCTTTTCACTTGATTGTACCATCGTTGCCTGGCTACGCCTTTTCTTCTGGTCCCCCATTGGAGAGGGACTTTGGCACGGGTGATGTTGCTGCTATCTTAGATCAATTGATGAAAGATCTTGGATTTGGGAGCGGCTATGTAGCCCAGGGTGGTGATATTGGCAGTCGCATTGCCAGGCATCTGGGTGTGGACCATGAAAGCTGCAAAGGTATGAAGTCCTGTCTATCCATTCTTTGCCAGGGCTCAGTTTGATCTGACATGATTGGGTACAGCTGTACATGGTGAGTATTTTCTCTACCCAACAATTTTGATGATCAAGTACCAATGGATATTCAGTCAACGTGGTTTTCATGAGACGCCCAGACAATATGACAGACGACAATCTCAATGCCTTTGAAATACAAGGCATAGAGCATTTTCAGAAATTCGGAGCGTTTGGCAGTGGGTATGCGATGGAACATGGTACTCGGCCCAGCACCATTGGCCATGTTGTATCCTCGAGCCCCATCGCCCTTCTTGCATGGTGAGTGCGATTAGATTCAAGGTAATCCTAAGGAGCGCAAATTACTAATATTGGCAGGGTTGGCGAGAAATTCCTGGAATGGGTCGATGATCCGCTCGCCTCGGACGACATCTTGGAGTCCGTCACGCTGTATTGGCTGACAGAGACGTTCCCTCGGGCTATTTATACCTATCGCCAGGTGAGTTGTCTTTGAAATATTGACATCCTAAGTGGGAGTCTCTAATCAGCATTGATATAGAACTATCCGCCTCCACCTATTCCGGCGTCTAATGACCCCCGCTGGTATATCCATAAACCGTTTGGGTATTCTTCTTTCCCCATGGAGATTGCTCGGCTACCACGCTCTTGGATCGAGACAACCGGTGATTTGGTTTTCTATGAACAGCACCAAAAGGTATGTGGCTTGGAAGAATGGCACTATATGTTATATACTGACGTTGGTGTCAAGGGTGGCCACTTCGCGGCGCTAGAGAGACCAGAAGAGCTCAAGACAGATATATCCAAGTTCATTGAGCAGGTATGGCCAGGCATTGTTGGTGCCAAATGAGTATGATCTTCTGCAGTGTGGCAATGGAGGATAGTAAAGACTAGATCTTGTTCTTCAAAGATGGATCGCACGAAATTACACTAGCAAGTGACTTTGACGGTATCTATTTTCAATATCAAATATAACTTAGAAAGGTTCGAAAACTCAACCTGGAGGTAAGATAGTGCAAAGAAAAAGGCGAGGGGCAGGAATCATGTATATCGGTACCAGAATTGATGCATGAAAACACAGTCATCTTTCAAGTGATAGCACAAAGGTCCATTTTTCTAACCGAGCTCGTAAGCAAATCAAAAAGTAGCGTACATGTATACGAAAGCTGCATGTAAGAAAGAGGACGTGGCAGAAACCAAACAGGGGATTTGCACGCTCACGTCTTCACTCTCCACATCACTCAACATGTCACCAGATACAGAGATGGCATCCCACGAGGAGATATTCTCCGATGAATCAAGCTTCTACGGTAAGTTCTCGCCATATTATCCACCCACAAACGCTTCGACTAAACTCCCACAGGCGACGAAGATACAAAAAATGAACTGGAAAAAGCATGCGCATCTTTCGACCCAGAACCATTCTGGGCACAAATCCATCAACACCTGCCAGCAACACAACAGCATAACGCACGCGCATCAACACGACCTGCCAAGGCATCCTCATCAGATGTCAGCATGAAAGATGCATCACCACCAGCATCATCAACCACACTCCCCGCAGACCGTCGCGGCAAAACAGAGCCAGTAGACTCCTTCCTATCCCGTCTCCCACCATCAAAATTGACTGTTCAGGACACAGAATGGATCTGGACGTGGAACTCAGCTGGCTCACGTAAAAACGGCGGCGATGTCGCTTCTTTCACTAGGAAAGGGCATGAGCTTCTGAATACCTACGAAGAAGAAAGCACCCGACTCCGACAAGCGCACGATGCATCAGGTGCGAAAACTACATCTGGCCTGACCCGCAAATTGAACCCTCTGCGCCAGGAACTGGAGAAAGCGATTCTCGCGCTGGCGCGGGAGACGGATGTTACGACGGGGAAGTGGATGCTCTTCCCGTCAGTTGAGCACGTCGATGAAGTCTGGCGTGCGGTGGTTAGTGCTACAGAGAAGGGGCAGCTAGGTGATGCGGCTAAGGTTGCTACGGATGATGGGTCTGGGTCTGGGCAGGCGCGTCTGATTTGTGTTTATACTGCTGATTTTGCGGAGAAGGAGGATCTTAAGCGGGTGCTGTGTAAGTTGGTTGATATGGATCTTGTTGGGAAGGGGAATCGGGCGATTTACTACAAGGCTGATGCTTATACTCATCTTAATATCAATTCGAAGAATGGGTATGGGTTGAAGGCGAGTATGTACTCCAGTCGGGACGTTCTTGCTTGGAAATGAAGTGAATAAAAAGATCAGAAACTGTGTATGAGATGTGAGAATATGTTTTATGATTGGTGTTTCGAATGCAGTGGGTATCATTGAATAATGCGTCTCTATATAACGCTTGATGGGTTGGTGGTCTCTGCCACCGGGATGTAGGCTATTCGCCAAAGCGATCCCGAGGCCGGGCAGTAGCCAGTACTGTAAATACAAGCCTCGGAGCGAGTATCCTTTGGCCAGGCCATCAGAAAATGAGCCGAGTCATTCGGTAAGCTCCAAGCCTACCTCGCCAGGAGTGGGAGGAGCGTCAGCCGCTTGAATGGTGTTTATGAAAGGCACAGAGAGGCTTCAATCGTCATTGCCATCCTGGCTCATGACCTTTTCGCATGATTCCCGGATCTCAGCAATGCCCTTCACCTCACCCCAAGCGTTAAGCAAGTGCTGGATCTCCTTCCAGTCTTTCTCCGCATCCTCCCACTTATCCTCCGCCACCAATTTCTCCAGTCTTTGAGGTGCAGCGAGCACCCACCGGACAGTATCCTTTTCTTTCTTCAACCCAGAAGCTCCATCTTCAGCCTTGGCCTCTTTCATTCGCCGCCGCTGCTCCTCTCTTTCCTGAATGAGTCCGCCAGCAGTCTCCGCAACGAATGCAATTGCAGGACCCAGGGTCTTCGTCATAGTCAACGGAGCACCGCGCTCATCCATGCTGCGTCGCATCTTCCCAATGGTCTCCACAGCACGAATCAACTTCGAGTAGTTATCGTAGACCAGCGCCTTCCGCTCTCCGTCGAGAGTCCGGATATCGCCAACAAGCGTATTCTCGGCTTTCAGCACCGTAGATAGAGTTGATGAAGAAAGAAGATGCTCAACATAACGATGCGGGTCAAAGTCCGCACTGTCAAGCTCAGTCCCTGAAGCTAAAGCGGACGGGTTGGAGATATCGCCGGCATCGGTAGTCCGGGGAACACTGCGCGAGCGAGAGGCATCCCTGGACGCAGATTGATCCGCACCAGGCGGTTTGAGGTTATAGTAATCACGGAGGGCGCTGCGATTCCGTCGGGGGTTGAAGGAGGGGGAGAGAGCTCGCGCGGTGGACGGGGTAGAGGCGGCACTGAGCCCGCCGCTGACGTTGGTATTCAAGACATCAAGAGACGGGCGGGACGAGGGCGGTCCTGGAGAATGGGCTCGCGAGGAGGCAATCGATGGCCGTGGGGAGGATAAAGTCGACATGGTGTGTGAGAGGAAAGTGAGCAGGCGACGGGCCACCTCGACGGCTATAAGCGGTGGTCTGTGCTGTAGTCGCGTTGAGCTTCCCCGAACTTTTGTCTCTTGAGTGTCTTGCCTCAAGTGCGCATTTATGCTCATGGAGACTTCCACTGTGTAATGGCTAGTTCCGATCAAATCGCAGCTCAGATCTTGAGCTCCAAGTCGCTCTCCGTGTCTCCGACTTGGCTCAATGCCTTCCTATCCTCCGGCACGGCACCACGCAATGTCCCCGCCTCGGCCCTTGCGAAGACAGCTACTTTCCGTCTTCTAGCTTCCGATATCAGAGAATCTCTTTCTAAGCACCGGTCTTGTGTCCTACCTACCCATATCGCCAATCCAACTGTCCAAGAACTACGCCTCCAAGGCCCTATCCCAGTCCAAGTCCTAGACATTGAAGACATCGGCACAAGTCTATGGAGCCAAATCGAAGCTATTGAGCGCATCGAGCGAGGAGAAGCCATTCGTGGCCGTGAAATTGTACGCACTATCGCTGTTGGCGAGGACCCCGAGGTGTCGGAGAACAATGGCTCGAATAACCACAATGCCACTGCATCGGGCAATAGTGGTTCTGGACCACATCGATTGATGATTCAAGATGCAGCTGGGACCGTGGCTATTGGGATTGAGATGCAGCGGATTGAGGGGGTCGCTCTAGAAAAGCTTGCTATTGGAGCGAAGCTTTTGCTTCAGAATCCTACTGTTGCTCGCGGTATGGTGCTGCTTACTCCGGGTTCTGTTACTGTGCTTGGGGGTAAGATTGAGTCTATGGATAAGAGCTGGAAGGAAGGGAGGAAGGCGAGGTTATTGGAAAGGACTTCTTCTCTGCAAGCGTGAGAATTTACGAATGGTGCATCAGACGCAAAGCGGTGATACCCTCATTGATTTAATAATAGCTATCTGTTGATTTTTCTTTGTTTTCTTTTTTTTTATGCTTTGTGATCATAGGATTCATCCATTTTCTCTTCCCATGGCATAATCGTCACATTGAGGATGACACCTGGAACCTGACTAGGCAGCCAAGGTAGATACACCGTGGTTCAACTCCTCCCATCCACTGGACTTCCAGGGTGCAATCATGGTCGCACGGAGAGCGTCGCCGGTCTTACCAGTCTGCGCATAGGCATCGCTGAGATCAGCAGCTTCGAGGTTGCTGTGAGGCGGTACGTTCTTTAGCGCACGGTCGAGAGCCATATCTGCTGGGTAGGCGGATTGCGATGCTGAAGACAGCTCCATCCATCCTGCAGGTTGGCTCGGGGATAGCATAACTGCAGCAGTGGCCTCTCCAACGCGTCTGGTGTCTTCCGGAAGTGCGGCCTTCTCCGTGAATCCCATGGCTGAGATTGCGGCGAGCAGCTTGATCAGTTTGGCCCGGTCATGAATATCAACGCCGTCGCGAGTGATCATGCTTTGGAGGTCTGACTCCACGGCCTCAATTGCGTCCCGGTCTGCATCTAAAAGAGCAACTGCACCAAGAAGGCTGACTGCTCCAATGTGATCGGGGTGCTTCTCAACACAATCGAATAATTGCTCTCGGGCGACAGCTCGGTCTTCTTCTCCACCCTTAGCCCACAGGACCTGGGCCAGAAGGCATACCACATCGGGGGCATTGTCTGCCTCCTCAAGAGCGTCGCGGAACATGTCAATAGCACGGTCCATGGAGCTGGTGAAGTAAAATGCGAGACCAGCGGACAGATGGGCAGATAGACGGAGTTTCTTGCAGGCCTCAGGGTCAAATTTCTCCGCGTCTTCCTCTCCAGATAGAGTAATGGCAAGCTCGGCCTTCTCAGCAGCTTCCTCATATGAGTGGTTTGCGAGCAAAACACGCGCCAGGTCCGCATTTGCCTGGGCAAACTTTGAGAGAGAGGCTGGAGACTCGGTCTCTTCAAACTCCGTCTCCATGCCTGAACATACCGCCTGCAGACTGATCTCGGCATCTGTGACCTCGCCCATTCTCTCTGCAAGTAGAGCAGAGAGGTGAACGAATGGCAGGTCAGTTGGGTTTTGAATGCAAAGCTGGTGTAAAGCAAAGAAGGGCTGAATAAGGTGAGACACCTCGTTGGATGCAGAGGGGTCAAGAAGAAGGTGGTCGAAAAGGTTCAAGGTGTATTGGCGCTTGGGGATAGTAGCCGATGAGTTTGAAATGTCGAAAGCATGCTCGAAAAGACCTCTAGCCTCCTTAACTTCACCAACGAGCATTGCAAGCAAGCCTTGGCCAACCCAAGCCTGTGCATAGTCTGGGTCGGTGGACTGTGCCCGGGTAAAGACCTCATTGGCAAGTTGGACATCATTTTGTAGCATATAGAGCGCTCCCAGGTTGGTCCAGACTTGAGCGTTGCGATCGTTCAAATGCAAGCTCCTGACAAACGCATGCTGCGCTACCTTTGGGCTCATGTTTGTGGTAACCACACCCAGGGCATTCCAGAAATCAGCGTTTCCAGCCTCGAGTTCAATCGCCCTCTTGAAGCAGCGCATAGCTGCTTTGAGGAACTTGCGTGGCTTCTTGCCCTTCTTGTCAGAGTCTGACTGCGCGCTGCGGTATGCAAGATACTCGGCCCAGCCAAGGTTGTACCACCCGACTGCCTGAGCATGCAAATTATTCACAGAAACGTGGAGTGCACGCTTATAAGCAAGGATAGACATATTAATGTAGAAATCAAATGTGATTGGGTTTTCGCTCCCACTGGACCCAAGCCAATCATTGCCGAGGCCATCAATGTCGGTCATGTAGTCAAGAGCCATGGAGTCAAGATTGAGTGCCAATAAGGCCTTGCAGTCAGAAGGTGACAATTTATGGAGCTTGGACTTCATGTAGGAAAAGTTGGAGCACGCATCACCGACAGCCTTCCAAAGGTTGAAGATATCACTCTGAATTGGTGCAAGCGAGATAGCTACTTGGATGGCTTTTGATGAAAGCTCTGCGGCGTCATTGAACATACCCAAGCCTAGACTTTTCAGTGAACTCTCTGAAAGGGTCTGAAGCAACGCGATGGTTACACCGACATCACCAGCCCTGGAGGTCAAGACTTCTTCGTAGCTATAAATAGCATCATCGAACAGGCCGAGCTCCCGTTTGACATTTGCGAGCATGTATCGCGCAAACCAGACGTGTTCCTTGTCTGTTTCTGAAAGATCTTCCTCCAATGTCTTGGCATGCTCGAATGCTTTGGTGGCCGCAACGTACCGACCAGAATGGTGGTAGCTCTCTGCGAGTCCAACCCAGCAGTGATAGTCATTTGGTGACAGACGAAGCGCTGCCTGGAATGAGGGAATACTTTTGGCATACTGCTGTTTGTTGATCTGCACTGATCCCAGAGCCGCGTATGGCCAGCTGTATCCCCGTCGCTTGGATCCAGGAGCAGGCTTGGCCTTGCCGGAGTCATCCACGCGTTGTGCGACGGCTTCGACAAGATCCCACTCTTTCGAGTCAGCAAAGCCCTTGGCAAGTCGCTCGGCGGCTTCGATCTCGGATGTGGACAGTTCAAACGCCTTATGGAAGCACCGACGCGCTCGGTTCTTGTCCTTCTTGTAGTCGGCATAGTAGAAACCAAGCAGGGTGTAGGCAGGTGCAAAGTTCATGTTTGCTTGGATAGAGGCAAAGAGACTGGCGTAGGCACCTGTACGGTCCTTCCGTGCAGCTGGAGATGGATCGAGTTCCCACTGACAATATCCAATGCGGTATAATAGATCAGATGCAAACTCTCTGTTCTCGGGCTGGGCTTCTTTCAAATCTTCAAGAGTAGCAGACAGACTCTCCAGTCCAGATTGGAGGTCACCGTTCAAAGCAACACACCAGGCAAGCTCTCCCCGAATCTTAATGTTGGAGGGGTCGCGTGCAAGCGCACGCTGCAAGAATTCAACGGCCGCTTCATAGTCCTGGTCTTCTTTAAGAATCAGACCAATACCAAGTAGGCAGACGGAAGAGGTTGGTTTTCTTTGCAATATTTCCTCGAAAATTGCTTTTGCCTCAGGGTGGTGTCGGGGTGATTGATAGTGGATCAAGGAATTTGCAAGTGCAATGTTCAAGAAATCAGTTATGTTGGGAATTTTGATCCCACTGTATCTGATCAAGTCGTTGACATTCAACAAGCCCTTGCGAGTAACATCAACAACACTCTCATATTCCTCCAGGGTGAGGTACAAATTGGCCAGGATACGATGAGCAAGAATCGAAGATCGAGCAGATTCCAACCCACCGGCCATAAGAATGAGAGGATCTTTTTCTCTGGAGATAGCTTCACCATCTTCGCCATCCAGCGAGGAGATCGCCTTCTCTTCGGTCTCAGCATCCGCCTCGGGATCTTTGGGAAAGGGAGAAAGTTCACTCGACAAGAATCCCTTTAAAACCTTGGCAAGTCCAGATTCGGGGAAGAACTCTACGAATTCGCGTAGGTGCCCAACATCATACTGGCAGAACTCAATGTCCTGCCACTCCAGAAAGACTTTCCATGCGGGTTCGAATGGATGTTTGATGATCACCATGTCGTGTGCCGCCTTGAAGATTGCCTTTCGTTTGGCAGCTTTCGCCTTCACAGGAAGGAAATCAAGTTCATCGCACGCACGCATGAAGAGCTTCTCTTCATATTCACGTCGAACGGCGTCATCATTGGTCCAGTCAATTAAGCCCTGGTAAAGTTGTTCCAACCCGCTCTTTTTGTATGCCTCCCGCTTCACTTCTTGAGTCACCTCGTCAACCCGAGCTCCAAGACGTGTTCTCCGTTCTCCGATCTCGCGGTTGATAAATTCCTTCTCATCACTCTCAGTTACTTCGATTAAGCGCTTATAGGTGTGTGATGGGTGCGGTAATCGGCCTTCAAGGAAGTCGTACAACGGTGAGCTTGGCAATTGCATCTCCAATGCATCTCTGACTTGCGATTTCGAGCCCTGGTTCTTGGCTACTCTCAAATATTTGTTGACCAGGTCCTGGCAACGCTCCTTCTCGTCACTGGGATTTATCAACGACATGTTTTTCGTACCACGTTTACCAATGAGACCACAAGCATACCTTTCTGCGAAGATTTTTCCCAGTCGAATGACCACATCGCGAAATGAGTCGAGTTGGCTGGCGCCCAGTCTCCCATATAGAGAGACTAATCCCTGCCAGGCAGTTCGGTCGTCACTTTTGAGGCGAGCTGCGGCATAATATGCACCTTCTGATTCCTCGATTTTGTTCAATTTGTCATTTGCGAGTCCGAGGAAGATAAATCTGTGGAGGAAAACACGGCGAGTCAGTCAAGTTCCGTGCAAGATGTGGGGGATCATACGCGTGGTAATTCTTTGGGTCTTTCTTGACAAGGTCATTAGCCTTGTCTGCAGCATCTTGGAAGTCCTTTGTATCCAAAGCTGTTCGCACAGCCTTCAACGCGGCTTTGAACGACATGGCTGTATGTGCAGCGGGGAGAAACTGGTGTGGTGGAGAAAGGCGGTAGATCGGTTAGCTTCGATACGTCACTTATCGTTATCGCTCTCACCTCTTCTCCCAAGACACAACTGCTCTGGTTCTTGGAGACTCGAGTTTTGTTATTCTTTGGGCAGGTTGCTCATTGGAAACACTTACTGCTCTGCGTATCTATCCTGGGCAGCTGATTAAGCGGCGTGGTCGTGGCAGAGAGCTATTGCGCTGTTATCAGGCTTCCGGGGAAAGCTAAGCTGTCGGAGGATATCAAGGGCATCGAGTCAAAGTTTGTGTAAGAATTTCGGAGTGTTGACGCCAAAGCTGTTTTTGGAAGGTCCACCCCTTCATCGTTTGTCTAGACTCGTCGAGAGATATCAACACCGCTGCCTAATACTCTCCTCGAAACCAACATGGCACCCCTACGTCTCCGTGTCGTTGGCCAAACTTTCCGCGACCCCCAGAACCGCGAAATCACGCTGAGAGGAATAAATGCTGCCGCTGATGCCAAGTATCCTAAAACACCCGACATTCCTACATTCATCTCCGACAAATTCTTTGACGGGGATGATGTCTCATTTGTCGGACGTCCATTCCCACTGGAAGATGCCCATGTTCACTTCAAGCGGCTGCGGAAATGGGGCTACAATACTATCAGATATATCTTCACCTGGGAGGCCATTGAGCATGCCGGCCCGGGAATTTACGATCAAGAGTGGATTGCTTTCACTATTGAGGTGCTGCGCATAGCCAAAAAATATGAGTTTTTTGTCTTTATGGACCCTCACCAGGATGTGGTAAGCTTCGATGATTGAAATATCACACCTTTTTGCTAAAATAGCTTAGTGGTCTCGTTTCTCGGGAGGTTCTGGAGCGCCGATGTGGACGCTCTATGCGGCAGGCCTAAACCCTAAGGCCTTCAAAGTCACACAAGCGGCGTTGGTTCAGAACACCTACGATGTACCCGCGGAGTTTCCAAAGATGATTTGGAGCACAAATTACACACGATTGGTTTGCCAGACCATATTCACCTTGTTTTGGGCAGGCCGAGACTTTGCGCCAAAGGCCATTATTGACGGTGAGAATATTCAAGATTATCTACAAAACCATTTCATTGGTGCATGCGCGTACTTGGCTCAAATGATTCATGAAGCGGGTGATCTTGAGGGGGAGGTGATCATTGGATGGGAAAGCATAAATGAACCGCATCGTGGTATGATTGGCGTGCAGGACATTTCAATCATTCCAGCCGAGCAGCAACTTCAGCTAGGAACATCACCAACAGCATTCCAGGCAATGCTCACTGGCTCAGGCCGTGCATGTGAACAGGCAGTATGGGCCTTTGGAAGCTTCGGTCCTTACAAGACAGGCACAGAACTTGTGGATCCGGCAGGTGAGATGGTCTGGCTCCCAGCTGACCACGATGATAGCAAATATGGCTGGCGACGTGACCCGGGGTGGAAACTCGGCGAATGTATCTGGGCTCAACATGGAGTTTGGGACCCATCCACCGACACACTCTTGCAAAAGGACTATTTCTCAAAGAACCCTCAGACTGGTGAACACCTTGATTATGAGAAGTTTACGAACTCATACTTCCTGGATCATTACCGAAACTACAAGAATACACTTCGAGATATCTGGTCTGATGCGATCATGTTTTGCCAACCGCCTGTCATGGAAGTGCCACCTGATGTCAAGGGCACCGATGACGATGATCCTAACATGGTTCACGCCGTCCATTACTATGATGGACTGACTCTTCTAACAAAACATTGGTGAGAGCTAGCTAAATGATTTAACGGCATGTCAATTTTACTGACTGTAGCAGGAACCGTCTTTACAATGTGGATGTCATTGGTGTACTTCGGGGCAAGTATTATACCCCGGCCTTTGCAGTCAAGATTGGCGAGACAGCCATTCGAAATTGTCTACGTGATCAGCTGAAATTCCTCCGCGACGAGAGTCTGAATTACATGGGTAGCCACCCATTGGTATTTACGGAGATCGGAATTCCTTATGACATGGACGACAAGTATGCATACAAGACTGGCGACTACAGTAGCCAGACCAGCGCCATGGATGCGAATCATTTTGCGCTGGAGGGAAGCGCCTCTAACGGCTTTGCCTTGTGGGTATACGTCACACAGGTAAGGATCTCAATCGTGATAGAGTATAGAGGCATGGCGCTCACACAAAATAGAATGACCATGAATGGGGTGACCAATGGAACGGAGAAGATCTCTCTATCTTTTCCCACGACGACTTGGAATTGCCAGCAGGAACCGCTTCTCGGTCTCCCGATCCTCATTCCCCGGCCTACTCTGAAAGTCATAGCAATGGAGAAAACCAGCAAGTTGGGCCTCGGAATTTGAAAGGCGCTCTGGCAACACCTTCAATCACCAGCGACGTGTCTCAGCCTTCCTTGCGGGAAGCTAAAGGTTATCGAGCGGCAGAGGCTTACCTCCGTCCTAGTCCAACTTACGTGAGTGGGAGATTGAAGGATCATGTCTTTGATCTCAAGAACTGCACGTTCACTATGGCACTCACAGCCAAGGGGCCTACAACTGCTCATGCCCCCACAGAGATTTATCTCCCCGAGTTCCATTTCCCAAAGAGCAATCTTGGGGTCACTGTGAGCGGTGGCAAGTGGGATATTGACGTGCAAGATATTCAATCTGTCAAATTACAGCGCCTTCGCTGGTGGCATGCAGACGGGGAGCAAGATATCAAGGTTGAAGGTATCAAGCGGAAGCCCGGAGAGTTCGCTAGCCCGGGTGAAGATGTCACCTATCTGGAGCAATGCCAGAAGGGAGACTGCGCATTGATGTGATATTGCTATTTGGGATTCTGAGCTCCTCTGATACTTAACTTTGCCCCTTTGCGCCTTATTGAAATTGATTGCTAAGTTGTGAGCTCTCGGGTATATAGTTCCATTTCCGTATAGTAGATAAGATAACCAACGTAATGAGGGGCAAAACATATAAACAACGAATAATTGTAAATAAGGCTCATCTAAAATTCATTTATTTCTTACTTCAAGGCTTATCAGACCGCGAAGATCCGCGAAAGGAAAGACAACGCGTGGAGCATAGGTGAGCGGTGTGACATTGTTGACCAGGGAAAATTCTCAGCCAAGTCCCGGTTGTTTCCTCTGTTTAGCCTCCACCAACCCCGTGCATTACGCCGTGCATAAGTACCAATCCATACACGATCCGAAAATCCCCAACTCTCAATCTTGTCCCTTCCCGGAAAGAGCGAGTGGCGTGTTTAGATGGCCGTTGCGGTGTCCGACTGCTAACAGAGGGACGGCCATCCATTGTGACCCTAATATGATTGTTGGACTGTGACACCAGATTGAAACCGATTCACACCTTCTTCTTCACCAAACCCTTCAGCGCGTCGACATGGCTGCGGAGGAGTTGTCGGAGGGCGGCATGGCCGACATCATCCGTGCCCTGCAGCTCATTCACAACCCCACGTCGTCAAACGAACTTCGAAAAGAGGCCTCGCAATTTGTCGAAGCACTGAAGCAGACCGATGCCGCCGCGCGAAATGGCTTCCTGCTGGCCTCCCGCACCGAACACGAGCCGGTCGTCCGGTACTTCGGCCTCACCCTTCTGGACCATGTGCTTCGCCATATGTCCTTCACCAACTCCGACGAGGCTACGAACGTGCGATCGATGATCCTACAACTCGCCGAACACGTCCGACCTGAGGACCCTGCCTACTTCCGCAACAAGATCCCCCAGCTATGGGCAGAGGCTGCTAAGAAGAGCTGGGGACTAGATTGGATGGACATGGATGCTGCCCTGGTTCAGTTCTGGGATGCTTCTCTCGTGCACAAGGAGCTGGTTCTCTCTGTCCTGGAGACCCTGTCTGAGGACGTCTTCTTCCGTGAGGATATTGTGTCGTCGCTGCGAGGTGGTGAGCTCAACCGGGCACTTGTTGAGATCTTTACCCCTTCAGGCATCGTCGATCAAATTACATCAGACAAAGTTCCTCCTACAGTTCAACGCTGTGGAGAGGAAGGCTGGTTAGTCCGGATTTGCGGTTTCCTCGACAATTGCGTTCAAAATGTCTCGAGCTCGCCACAGGCCCGGGATGCGGCTGTGAAGGCGCTGGCAACCTTGAGATCTGCGTTATCTTGGTCTGTCTACAAAGCTGTTATTTCGTCTGGGGCTGTGTCTAGTATTTTCAGAGCTTTGCCTTGTCAAGATGACCAGGTGCTTTTGGGGGCTGTTGAAGCTCTCCATGCGCTCTATGGACGGAACAATATCGGCTGCGAGGAATCTCAGGGCTTGGTCTATCTCATCTTTGAAACTGATTATCTTGTTGTTTTACAGAGACTGTATGAGTGGTCCGTCGTGGGTCCAGACGATGTCGATGAGCCTAAATATCTTATCTCCAAGAAGCTCTCCGAGATGGTTTCTTACGTTGCTGGGTGCTTAGAAGACCAAAGATTCCTCAGAGATACCATGAACCGATTGAATCTTCCCCCATTCTTGCAATTCATGACCAACATCATGCAGCATCAAAGCTTGACAGTGTCCATCCCTTGTCTCCATTTATGGTCTAAGCTTTTGACCATCTCAAAGATTAGCAACATGGAGTTTGTGCTGGAGCAGACACCTCAGTTCCTTAACATCTGCACTTCAAGACTGATCCGCTGGGAGTCTCTTCCTATTGATGCAGAGGACCCCACGGTGCAATTCCTGGTTGAGGACATTGATACGACCCCCGAGAGACATGCATTTGTTGGAAATTACCGACGTTACTGTTCCTCGATCATTGAGACGATTACCTTGAAGAGACCCCAAGAGGCAGTGCGCGAAATTTTGGGCCGTGTGGATGGTAATTTGGATAACTTGTACAGTGGTGTCCAGCCATTTAGTAGTAAGTTTTTGCCAATGCCAAGGATAATGTGTCAAAGTCTGACATATCTTGCAGTGGAATCTTTCAGCAAATCGTCCATTCCTCTCATGCGAGCCGATGCCCAATTCGCAGTTGTCGAGGCCGTTATCAAGGGCTACAACAAGTGGGTTTCGGCCCACGGAAAGGCGCCCCAACAAGATGTAAGACAATTTGACTATGCCTTCTATACAAATCTACTAATACTGTCAACAGGAGTCCCAGCGCATTGAATTGGAACACGCCGTGGAAAACTGGGCATCAAGCATGATGCAGAGATCTTACGAGGTATGTTACTTGGCAGTACAAGCAATCGCATCATATACTTACGTTTGTGGTTTAGGATCCGGTAATGAAACAGAGGGTGATCAAATTGGTTGTTGACATCTCCTCAAAAGCTTTGGATAGCCATCCAGGCTTTGCCCTCAAGGTCTTGGAGCACATTCTTATGACGCGTCTGCCAGACCGACCAGAGTACCCATTATACTCCGAAGCAATCAAGGAGCTTCATGGGCTTGCAAGCCATGAACTTCGCCGCTTGGCTATGCGTTATTCTGACTATTTCGCCGTAAGCCTTGATTCAAACTCTCAATTACGCATGATCTCCTCTAACAGTGCTCCTCACAGTCGTTCTATGATTTGCTTGAGCCAAAGATCAAAGAAATTACATTGGCCAACCGCGTAGATGACAAGTTGCAGATGGAACTTACGTCCATTTTGCTCATCATCATGTAAGGGCTTTCCCGCTGCGCTGAGATGCTTCATGCTGACTGACTCCTTCAGGCAACGTGCAAATAATGTCGATGGTTTCTTGCGTCAGAGCCGGCTTGCATCTTTCCTGCAACCTATCAGGGAGGCATGGCAAGACGAGCAATTCCGACAAACCAGCTCATCATTCCCAGGGTTTTGTAACATGCTGGGTCTGGAGAATGTTGGCCCATACATGCAGTCCAAACAGGCACAAAAATTGGAAGATTGGTCCTTGGTCGAATTGGACAATGAGGGAAAGCTCGTCCAAGAAGAGATGACCCGAAAGTTCCAGGTATGAGACGGTTCACTTTCGATGTTAGATCTGACTGACTCACGATATCTTAGCTACTGCCATTACGTGGCACCAAGACTATGCTTGCTGTTTCTACCGACCGACTAAAGAAAACTGCCCAAGCTTATGGGGTTGCTTGTGAGATGTGGCATGAACTGATTCCTCTGATCCTTCCGACTTTGCTTCAGCTCGTGAGGTAATTATAGGTGCAATTAAAGTGTTGTTTCTAAGCTAACTTTATACATCTAGCCATGCCCACGCTTTTCACAATCCCGTCAACTGGAACATGGTCGAAGGCATGCAACCAGTCGTGGAGCGAATCCTGACTGACCGCTTCTGGCAAGCTGGTATCTCTACTGGTAGTCGTGATGAGTTCTATGCCAGAATCACCTCATCCAAGTCCACATTGGAAGGATTTGCATCATCGGTTCGAGGCAAAGTTAGAGCTGTCCGCGAAGCGTGCTACTCCATGCTGTTCAGCATGAGCAGGATGCGAGAGCACTTCTACGGATTTGCAGAACTCCCTGGTCCCCTAGCTGAAGCCTTGTTTATTGACTCACCCCATCTATCCTCTCATCAGTTTTCTGTTCTTTTGAACATCTCACGCTGTCTCATCGATGATTGTCCCGTGAGATTCCGCGCTCAATTCTTGCCTCCAATGCTTTCTACTCTATTCACCAACATTGACCGGAAAGTCACCACCGAATGGGAAATTATTGAACAGCGCAGGGACGGACTTTCAGATGGAGATCTCACTACCGAGATGAAGTCAGAAAGCGTCTTGCGCCAGCTAACGTACTCTGCTGTGATCATGGTAGCCAGTCTATTCGATCCGCAAAGAGGCGGTATGAAACCCCACCATTTTCAAGGCTCGCAGTCGTCCGTACGCCCGAAACTGACCGAATATGAATCCTCAGACCCTGATGGGACTGAAGCAGACCCTAGTGCACCTCAGCCAACTCCCGAGCTCTCTGACTCCATTCGCCATTTTGTACTCTCTTCTCCTGAGATTTTTGAGCCCGTCATGCTCTTCTGTACCCACGCTCTTCGCATGCGCGATACTCGTTGCTGCAGTATCATTACCCGTGTCATCCGATCCATTCTTCAAGACTTCGCGCCCCCCAACAACACCCCCACCACCGCAACCATTCGTGAGTTCATTTGTACCGAGGTTCTTCAAGCTTGTATCACATCTGTACATGAATCCTACTTTGTCGACATGCAAAAAGACCTCGCTCAGCTTATTGCATCCATCTGGGTCCTCTATGGCTTTTGCAGCGAGACTCCCCGTGCCGTTTTCTTGAGCTTGCCCGGTATCACCGAAGAGAAGGTCGCCTCGACCGAAGCTACGCTCCATCGGTGCACCTCTCCACGCCAACAGCGTGCATTGATCCTTGAGCTTCTCGAGCCATTGCGCGGTATCAGTGTCGCCGAACAAGGCAAGATTTTGGGCTCCCGCGAGGAGCGTCGCAAGGCTCGTTCTGCCTTACAGGAAAGATACATGACCAACGAGATGGAGAGTCAGCAGCAGAATCACCGTGTCGACATCAATGATGGCCCCGATCTTGGTGGTGTTGCTGACCTCTTCGGGTAATCTTGACACTACTTGCTTTATAATACGACTTCCACAATATCCAGTTCCAATAGACACCATTGCAGCCGGTTTACAGTTCCAATGCCTAGCGGCTCTTTCTTTTTCTCTCACTTGCTTGTTATCTGTTCATTTGCGTTGCTGCTTATCGAATATCCCCGCCATGAGCGAGCGGTAGCGCTTTGAGAAAGTAATATTATAGAAAAAAGAAATCCAACCATGCTTCAACTATTGTCCTTTTTGCTATTGCCAACATCCTCATCGTTTTGACTTGATGTGATGAATCTACAAAACGGCGTCAAAGAGGATAGGGCTTGGGAGGGTCACAGTCGTAGCGTACCTACGTAGAGGTTGGAGAACTGTAAGCACGCTACGAGAATAGTGTACATTACAGCTTGAAATACGGCCTAGAATACGGGATGGATGGGTTTACACTATGATTTAGAATTGAACGAGTAAGAACAGCATATTGCAAAAGACTGAACTAAACTCTTCATTGGGCAAGTAATATCTACAATGTTTTCCTCGAAAGTTCTTCGAGGCGGTTCACCCTCACTACCACAAATCTTGTCTATGACGACTAAAGAAGGCCTAGTTCAGTATGTATACCATGAAAGGCAAAGGGTCACCCAATCAAGCATCTCAAAAACACCAGCATCATACAGAGTCAAAAGAGAAAGGAAGTTAGAGATCACTAAAAACCAATGACGTTGTCAACAGTTTATTGAGTGACGCTGGCGGGGGTATAGGCGAAAGTAGGGCGGACAAAGCTGTAAAAAAGTAAAAAGATTAGCACAGATTCTAGCAGCAACAAAGCACACCAATGGGCGGGCTCAACATACCGGTCAGAGTTGTAGACCTTGGCATCGGAGCCGAGGAGCTCGTTGGCGCGAGCCTGGTCGGCGAAGTGACGACGGACCTGGTCGCGGTCCTCCTCGGCCTGGAGGAGAGGAGTGATGTGCAGACGGGACCACATCTTCTCACGAGCGAGCTCGCTACAATTCGAAAACAAATTAGTCATTTATTCCAGTGTGATTGTGTCTCTATCCTTTTCAGATAGAGAGAAACTCCAATTGCGATTTCTCGGCACAATCGGAGCAAGGGCAGGGCTGCTCAGGCTGAAACGTACTGCTGCTCCCGGACACCGTGGAAGTACTTGTAGAAGCCGTAGGCCATAATCATATGCATGCCAATCATGTAGTAAACGGGCTTGAAGCCGCGGGCAGGGAGGTTCCGCTATAGAGAAGATGCCGTTAGTTCTGGTTTGCTTGTGGGCGCGCGAGGCCATTGAGACCCTGGGAGCAGGTTTGAATCGCATACCTTGTACTGAACTTGGGCGTAGCCCCCCGTTGGGGGCATATCCTGAGGCATGGTGGCGGTATTGGGCGGGTGGAGGGCTTGGAGGGTGTCCGTTGAAGCCGCCGTGACAATTGAGGTTGGATTGGCAGTGTCACGTGAGGGGAACAGTAATGAGGGCTGTGGCGCACGTCATTGGCTGGCGGGTTCTGGGGCTTTTTTCGCGATCTACTGACAGCCCACCTTGAGAGTTTGATATATTTGCAGTTTACACTCCCTGCTCGGCATGGAGGATCAGGAGCGTCCTCGTAAATTACCAAAGCTCGGCCACGAGGACGATTCAACCCAGGCACTCGGTCCTGCCATGACTGGAGCTGCAGAGGTGGCCGGCAAAGAGCCGGAGCCGGCGATTGAGAACGAGCCCCACGATCTATCCGAGTTTATTGTTGAGAAACACGCCAATACCGATGAAACTGCGTCCATAGAGGGCGCCGACGGGGCTCCGGCTAAAATGTCAAAGAACCAACTGAAGAAGCTCCGTCGACACGAAAGTTATTTGGCAAAGCGCGACATGCGCAAAGACCAACGGAAAGAGAAGATTGCACAAAAGAAAGAACGTCGCCAAGCTCTATTCAATGAGGCACGCGCGACAGGTGGCGAAGAAGCTGTCGAAAAGCTCCGCGAGACATTCCGATCTACAAAAGCCAAGCACTCCAAATCCACCCTGATACCCTTGACATTCGTGATGGACTGCGGCTACGACGATCTAATGCTACAAAAGGAGCGCATCTCTCTTGCATCGCAACTCACACGATCCTACTCCGATAACAGCCGCGCACAATACCACGCACACCTGATGTGCTCATCATTTGACAAGCTACTCAAGGAACGATTCGACACCGTGCTATGGGCACACAAGAACTGGAAACGCATTCGGTTTATGCCTGAGGACTTTACACATGCTGCCGAGCTGGCCAAGGCACAGATGGCAGGTCCACGGGGAGGCAGCCTTGCCGGCCCGTTCGCTGAACAACCCGATGCGAAGCCTGAAGACGGCGAGGTCATCTATCTTAGCAGTGATAGTGATAATACTTTGACTGAGCTGAAGCCGTACAGCACTTATATTATTGGCGCTTTGGTGGACAAGAACCGACACAAGGCCGTCTGCTACAAGCAGGCTGTTGCGAAGGGCATCAAAACCGCCAAGTTGCCTATTGGCGAATACATTGAAATGTCTCACCGCTCTGTATTGGCCACCAACCATGTTGTTGAAATTATGCTTAGGTGGTTGGAGTGTCGAGACTGGGGTGAGGCGTTCATGAAGGTCATCCCTCAACGCAAGGGTGGAACATTGAAGGGCAGGAATGGTCAAAAGGTGACTGAGGCCGAGGCCGAGGCTGAGGATGATGCTGAGAATGCGAATGAAGAAGCAGAATCTGCAGAACAGATGAAGCAGATTGAGGTTATGGAGGAAGCCAGTGAGGATGAAGACGAGGAGAAGAAGTAGATAGGAGTGCATGAACTGACGTAAAATATACAATATGACCTCTGGAAAGGTCTGTACATTTTCCAATCCACATTCAATGACAATAATTTCACCCGAGACAATGAGTAGCAAACTCTTTCAGCTTGTCTCAATGCTATCTATATATTGCCTATTATAGACTAGCTTTAGTGCCTCGGCGCCTGAGTTACATAAGCCAGTAACCGCCACAGTCTATGACGGAGGCGAAATTCATTGTGATCTCAGGAACTTGTATTTGCTCTTGTATCACTCACTAAAGGCAGAAGAGCATCTTGTCTTGGGATCTCTTTCTTTCCTTTTTGCGTTCATTCTCTTTCACCTCCCTCACCTCCCACTTGCCTCTTACATATTTCGGTTGTTTGGCAGCTGCCCCTCGCAACCATGTTTATGCTCCGCAACGGTAAGCAACGCGCTTTTCATGCCCCTCCAAACCCTCTACATATGCACATTTATTGTGACGAGACCATTTGATTAGCCAGCTAATCTCATATTATTTGTGATTCAATAGTGAGCAAGTTTTTGTTCGGTGACGCTTCGAAAGAATCCATCATTGAAATCCCTCAGGGCGAGCTGTACCTGGTCCGCCCGCAGTCGCCGAAGGGTTACTCGGAGCTTATCTTCAAAGACGCCGTTGCAACAATTCGACGTACCGGTCAGGACTTTCAATACCAACTCGTGGTTCAGAGAGCCTACGAAGAAGGCGAGGAAGAACTTGCAGATGACGACGGTGAACAAGGTGGCGGCGACAGTCTAGACAAGGACGAGAAGGTTTTCCTCCTCGACCAGAGCCTTCACTTCCGCTCTGAGCTTCGTGACGGCGGAGAGAAAATACTGGCTTGGGATGATCTGAGCGGTGACCCTGGTGACCTTTTTGAGTTCATCTGCGATCCTTCCGTCCCATCTGACAAGGTTGCCACCTTCGAGCTCGCTGCCTTCCAGTGCCAGTACGAACGTAAATTCCGCCGCAGTGCCCAGAAAGCCACCGAGGACGAGCTCCAGGAATTCTCATATAGCGAAGAGAAGCCCATTCCTTCTGCAAGCCCGGTTTCTTCCCCAGCAACGAAGCCACACGCACCTCTTCCGTCGTCCGAGGATTCTGCTGCAGCCATGGCCAAAGATGTTGAATATGCCCAATCCAAAGGACAAATGAAGGCCCCTACTTTTGAGGAAGAGGCGACCACTGCCCCTCCTTCTGCAGCCCATCCTGAGGCTAAGGAGATCCTTTGCAAGGAAACCGCCGAGCTACATCTTTTCGACTTCTCTACCGGTACATTTATTCAGCAGGAGTCTGAGGTGGTTGCTTCTGTCGCAGAAGTTGGCACTTGGCAATACTGGCTTCAGATCACTGGCAAGGACAAAGAATGGCTCGGACAAGCTGTTGTGGCCGACATCAATCCAGTCTTCAACTTTGAATACCTATCCTTTATCTTCAATCACTATGGCGAAGATGGCTCGGCTTACTCATGGCTGTTGCGTTTCAAGAACCAGCCTTCGGAGGAACGATTCCAAGAAGGCTTGATGCAGGCGCTGTGGGAACAGCTGAATGAAATGAAGTGGACCAAAGTTAAGGAGAATGACCGAGACTACGTGCTCGATGCTTTCCAGGATCTCACCATGGAGGATGCTGATGCTGTCCCCGAGGAGGTCGAAGAGAACGAAGAAGACGCCGATGAAGAGGAGGACAACGATAAGGATGATGCTCAGCGCAGTGAGCATTATGACAGCGATGAAGAGGAGGAGGATGTGGTGACTCGCGATGTGGATGGAAACGTGAACTCCCAATTGGCTGTCGGATACAAGCACGATCGTTCGTTTGTTGTTCGCGGTTCCAAGATCGGTGTCTTCAAGCACACCACTCACAACAATCTTGAGTTCTCTACAACCATTTCGAAGGTGGAGACCCCCAAGGGGGGTCTGTTCAGCCCCAAGAAGGTCATGCTCCATGCTGAGGACCAAAACATGATTCTCCAGAATGGAGATGATCCAAACTCCCTGTACAAGATGGACTTGGAGTATGGCAAGATCGTCGACGAATGGAAGGTTCATGATGATATTGCCGTGGAGACATTTGCCCCTGAGAACGTAAGTTTGGCCATCCCACATTATCCCTAAATGTGTATGCTGACAATCGCCTAGAAATTCGCCCAAATGACTGCTGCTCAGCCCTTCGTCGGTGTTTCCAAGAACGCGCTCTACCGGATTGACCCTCGTCTTTCCGGCAACAAGCTTGTTGATGCTGACTTGAAGCAATACGCCAGCAAGAACGACTTCTCAGCCATGGCCACTACCGAGAAGGGTTATCTCGCTGTTGCATCCAACAAGGGTGACATTCGGATGTTTGACCGTCTGGGAATCAACGCTAAGACTCACATTCCTGCTCTTGGCGAGCCGATAATTGGTCTTGATGTGTCAGCCGATGGACGCTGGGTGTTGGCAACTTGCCGCACCTACCTGCTTCTGATTGACTCCCTGCAGAAGGAAGGTAAGAACGAAGGAAAGCTCGGATTTGAGCGTGCTTTCGCCAAGGATTCAAAGCCTCAGCCTCGCCGTCTCGGTCTGCAGCCAGAACACGTCGCACAATTCCAACATGAAACCAAGCAGCCTCTCTCATTCACCCCAGCCCGATTTAATACCGGTGTTGACTCAACTGAAACCTCCATCATCACTGCCACTGGTCCATTCATCATCACTTGGAACATGAAGAAGGTGGTTGCAGGCCGCAAGGACCCATACACCATCAAGCGCTACGGCGAAAATGTCATGGCCGACAATTTCAGATTCGGTTCCGACAAGAACGTCATTGTCGCCCTGCCGAATGAGGTCAACATGGTCGCCAAGCGTACCTTCCAGAGGCCCACTCGTGAGTCTATTGCAGGCCCAGCTACGCCCAAGCGCGGACGCGGCTGGGGCAGTCACCTTGGCAGAGATAATATTGTCAACTCTCCCTATTAATCTTCCACTCTCTATCTCACGGGCCACTGAATTTCTTTCTATTGTTGTACCACTACCCATACCCCCTGATGTTTCATGTTTTTCCTTTTCTTTGTGATCTTTTTCTTCTCCGTCTACGGAATGAACCCCATTGCTCTTCTACTCTATATCCCGCATGATCTGGCCCTCTTAAGTTTACCAAGTATGAATTGAGAATTGATAACCAGGTCAGACTGGGATTTGATTTCATTTAGATAAGTAGGTAGTTCAGGCAATTTACTTAACATTATGTATAAGAACAAGAAACAATCAATCCAATAGCTCCCCGCAGAACTAATACTTCTGACATCTTCATCGTCATCCCCTTCTTCGTCGGTCCACTCATCCTCATTCTCAAACTCCCCACCAAAGAACCCACCGTGCTCCTCACTCATATGCTTGTAGATCACATCATCGCCGAAGTCCTTTCCGCAGAAGTAGCACCAGTCAACACCGCACCCTTCAACCAAACACTTCATATGTCCACACCCTGATATCCGCATCGTCATAGTCTCACACTTAGGACAAGGCTTAATAGTATCAAGCATCCTCGCCTCAATCTCTGCCCGAGCCCTTTCATCTCTTGTCTCAGCCAACCTCCTTCGATCCCATTCAGCATGACACTCCTCGCAAGTCCAGTCCTTCACCTCAGGTGGCGCACCACGGGCACAGCTTCGCTCCATGAACTCTTTGGCTGTATGACATTCCTGACACCATGCATAGATCAACGAGCCCTTGTTTTGAACGGCAAGTGCCAAATCCTTAATTGCCTGGATACCCATTCCGTGCTTTGCTAGTCTCTTGGAAGCAGGGTGTCGTCGACAGAAGGGGCATGCCAGTGTCGCCGTGTTGATTATACATCCGGCGGAATTGAGACCATACCAGCCATCGAGACAGCATGTGCAGATTTTCTGGTGGCAGCCGTTTCGTCCGCAGGCTCGGTTCAGGGTTCCTGCTTTGAAGGAGGAGAAGCAGAGGGAACATTCTGTTTTGGTTGTCTTGCGCTTTGCCACGAGGGTTTGGAGAGTTTTTGTGAGGCCGAGGGAGTTGTGGATTAGTTTGCCGTTGTAGACTAGGCTGAGGTCCGCGTCCGGGATTGGGAAGAGAGTTATCCTGGACATGAAGCCTTCGGCGCCCATTGTCGATATGACTTGGAAGACGGAGATGTTTGGAAAGGCCCTTTCATTTGGCTTTTCTGTGTCCTGTGCGAGCCAGGAAAGGGTGTTCTGGGCTTCCAGTTGGTTTGCGGTTACTTCGACTTCGGTGGTTGGTTCGTTGCCAGCCGTGCAATGGGGACAGATGAACTCTGACTCGTCGAAGGAGGATGGTCTGTATTCTGTTGGGTATATCATGCTGTTCAAGCAACGACTGCATTTGACAGTTGGGGCAGCATTCGAAGTCTGGTTTCGACAGTAGTAGCATTTCGGAGGCACATTCAATGCGTTGACAGCGTACACGATGTACTGGGCCTTGCAGGACACTGCTCTACATTCAACCCAGGTTGCATTGGAAGTGGAAGTGACTTCGTGTGAGACTCCTACTTCTATGCGGGCCTTCATATTTTCAGCTTGCACACCAATGCATTGGCCACATGTGCTATCTTCTCCCATTATGGTGACAGAACGGGGGAACTTGCACAGTCGACATGTCACCAGCGGCCCAATGGGTCCACTCGATTTGTCTGGGGTCCAGGGCGTTTGGGCGTTGAGTGTAGTGTTGAGGTTCAATTCGAGAAGTTTGAAGGCAACAAGACGCTCAAAGAATACTTTGTCATTGGGGCTCAAAAGCCTGTAGTTATTCATCGCCTCTCCAGCATGATCGAGAGCTTCGGATTGATTTCTGTGGTATGCTTCATCGGCATCGATGAGAAGCGTCAAGCATCCGATATTCCAGTTCTCGGGAGTTGAGATGTCGTTCCACTTGGTTTTAAAGCCAAGAACCTCCCGCGCTGCTACTTCTGTGAGTGGCTTCATTCCCATGCGGAGACTGAGAGCAGCGACAAGAGCAGCAGGACGAGCAGAAAGCTTCGTGCCGGGAACAATGAGATGAAACAGATATTTCCAGAACAGACTTCGGTATTTCTGTGTTGCCATCGCCAGTGGGATTTTCACAACTTGTTCACTTCCGGCGCTGGCAATGTGTTCCGGCAAATCTTTTGCTGATTCCACAACGGTCATCTGGGTAAGAATAGTTCCCACTCGGCGTAGAATATGGGGATTGCATGATCGACCAATTTCCAAAAGATCGGCACGGGTCAGAGTTGAGTTAGAATTGGTGCTATCTCCAGAGCCAGTAGTTGCACGGCTGAAGCACAGAGTTGGATCGAGAAACACGCAAGGATACTTGTCATCGTCAGACACACTGTTGATATTCGATGTGATCTCTTGGGCGAAGTCGTAAGAGTCTTCCAGCCATTGCTTCATATTCTCCCGTTGGCTCGTGTCTGTAATCTTTTCCAGACTGCGGCTAAACGCAACCAGGAGCTCTTCACGATGTCCATGGTCCCTATCATTACATACCGCTCTCCACAGAGTTCCGAAAACAGGGTTGAGTGCCATTGCCTGGACATTCTCGTTGATTATTTGCGTTAAACACTTGACAACAAGATCTTTGTATTGTGGATCTGTGTTCCAGCGTTTTGCGAAATCCAGGACAGGAGTTGTCCTCTTCGGGATTAGCCTTTTGAGGATGTGGGTAGTCAAGCAGGTGGCTCTGATGTTGTTTCTGCGGGTATCGTTCTGGGTCTGCGAGAAGTAAGACAATGATTTCACATCTTTCTCGCTGAGAACCTCTTCGATGTCGTCAGCGGACCGATATTGCAAGAGATTTCCTGTCGTATATTCCTCTCCAGATGAGCTGGGCGAGGGTGCCTTTTCTACCCCCATCCACGCCAAAAGCAGATCAACTGTCAGCTGTGAGGGATCTTCTTCCCATTTCAGAGAAGTACAAGCACCACCGGTAATGTGACATAGATAGGTATACCAGCCTGCATCCTCTCCTCTCATGTGACTGTCGAGGATAGTGAATACCTGAGACGACTTTGGTCCATCTCAAAGGAGTCTGCTCGCAGACACCCAATCTCGAAAAAAGCTCCCACAGTTCGAAAAAGACGTTAGGCTCAATGCGGCTTGTTCAAGAGGTGTATTGCGAAGGCGAGTTGTTTGATCCACGTTAGGATGAGGAGGTGCATCGGTGTAAAGGAAGATGAGGGTTTCCGCATCTGGACGCATGAGCTCATAGGCCCTAGCAAGAGCAGTCTTGTGGGCTTCATCAGTGTCACTATTTCCGAGTGGCTTGAGCTGCTTGACGAAATCAATTAGGTCGGGCTGAGATTCTTGCGAGGCTTCGTCTGAGTTTTGATGCAGCCACCCTGGCCAGTCGAGTAGCTTATCCCCCGTGTAGTCGTAGTCACGGAAGGCGAGGACTCCGATGCGTGAGAAGCATCCTGTCAGAGCAGAAATAGAAATGATCTGTGGAAGGGAGTTGTTGAGGGAGCGAAGGTACTCCATCATGGACCCCGTTGCGTCCACGAGAATCAAAAGGTCGTGTTTCTCCATGACGAAAGACTTGGAGAGAGAAGGATAAAAAGCTGGGGAAATCCATTGTTTATGTAGCAAAAGGTAGGTGCCCTGTGCGACGTGTTGTCGGCGTGTGAGTCAACTTGCCAACCTGAGAAAGATGAAAGGATAAATGCCGGCTACATGAAAGCACCAAGTTCAAATGAGTCATTAAGTTGCCTGTGAAAAAATGAATGTGAGTACAAGTGCTCGGGTGGAGGTGAGGCTCGGGGTGTGTTTCGGGTTAGCGCTAGATCTCACGAGGCTCAACCGTTCATAGATAATCCTGAGTCACCTCAGACTGAACAAAACTCGTAAATGACCACGTACAAATATGAATTGCCGCTCTCTTTTGCTGCTCTCATGTGTAAAAAGCAGATAGGGGACCGTCCAGTGGGGGTCAAGCGTAGAGAAACATGCATCTATGAAATGTTGGTATGACCTTGGAAGTATAGCAAATAATCCGAAGCATGCTAAGTTGGGATGAAGATTCCAATTGAAAGCTCAACTATGAGTTCAGGTCTAGATTGGAAGATCATTGCCATTATAGCGCATAAAATTTATCGAATTTGCTTCCATGGAACGAAGCTGGCCTTTGCATATTATGCTGCTACAGCGACGTGATCTCCAGTCCTCATATATCCCTTGGCTGCTCACCCCACAAAGTCCGCAGCCCGCGTCTTAAAATTTGAATTGTGGATCAATTGCTTGTTCAGTCGATATCTATATCTGTCTCCGGGTTCAGCTTTAGTCTTGTGAAGGAAGTTCTTTCTGTACAATTCATCTATGGCTCAGCGCCCTGGGCACCACCGACGCACACTTATCTGACAAGAGGAAAAGGACCGTAGATCTTATCAATTAATCAACTTTCTAACAAGAATTAAGGATAAAGCCTTCCATGATGTAACCCCCCTCATACTAGCATCCCCCAAGCGGCCTTCCCGCTGCGCAATGATAGCTTTTCTCCGCGCCCATTTCCTTGAGACGATGATGAAGACCTAGAGCTCCAAGCAGGAACAGCAGCACGTAATTGACGCCTCCATGTCGAGGTAGCTTCATCATCCTGCTGTCTCTTGGCCGCCAATTTCTTTGATTTTTTCCGTGGTGGTCCCTTAAATTGTTGTCCTGGAAACAGTCGCCTGAATATGGGCTCTATCCATTCTGGAAGACAGTCATGCCTTCCTCCTGAATTCTCCTCGGTCGGCTGAAGCTCCTCGGCTACTATCAAAATCTCCTGGCCACGCGAATTGGCACTCACTTGCCTTACGTGCCATGCTGTGGTAAATGTGTCCACTATCCAGGCTATGTCATGGTCGTAATTTGAGCCACTCGTTGATATTGTGACATCTTTCAACTGAACCGATTCAAGGGGCTTCGCATCAGAAATGACTTGGAAAATTGCGCACGCAAGCTTTCGATCGATGATAGAGTCAACGATAATCCTTTCCACATGACCATTTTGAAGCTGATGCTCTTTGTAACGGGCGCTTCCGCAAGGCTGACTCTGAAATTCGTCAAAAGATGTATCGTTGAGCGGCATGTTCGCACGAGACAACATGTTCTCGCTTGATAGAGTCATTGCCTCTCGCGAGATCTCATGCATTCGAGGTGGTAGGATTTCATAGTCAAGATGCAGGGTGCTGAGATTTTTCAATGACCCCAAGGCCATGTATGAGATAAATTGCTTGGATTGATCTTGACTGCGGTTGAGAGGAACTCCCAATTCTTCTAGCGACGGGCATCTTCCATCGATTAGCCGGATCTCCTCTTCATTCACGAACTGCCATGCTGCCGGATTCAAGAGCTTGAGCTTGCGCAAGCGGGGCCCATGATAGCCGACGAGGGACTCTATACCAATAAGGGAGTGCCATCCTTCCAAGTCAAGCTCAGTCAAAGGAGGCACAGAGTGGAGAAAGCTGTTCGCAGAGTTGTAGAACTCCGCTGATCGCAAAAAATCGGAACCAATGTTCAGGCTAAGAGCTCTCACAGATGGAAATGAGAGTTTCGTCCGACCCCATATACCGAATACGTCGTTATCCAATCGGCCATGAATTTTCAGAGTCTGCAAGGTTGAAAAGTCTGTATAGTGACTCCACCGGTACAGCGTATCCCCATCAAAGTCCAATCTGCTCTCGAAATGGAGGGCTTCCAATGAAAGTTTATCAGACGGACATTCGCTTTCTGATGGTATGTCAGGGGTCCTTTCGTTTCTCCTGAAGCGAAGCTCTTTGAGATTCGACGCGCTAGTTACAGCTCGCAACAAAGACTCTCGTCGCTGAAGACCTTGGTAGGGAGGTTCGCAGTCAATACCAATGCTGATTGAGTGAAGCGAAGGCGCCCCAGGCCACATGACATCCAGATTTTCTGTACGTATAACAGGGCTGTTGAAGTAGTAGTCCAAATGGAGACGGCATTGCGGTTGATCTCGGTGTAAAGTATCAAGGATGCATGGTGGCATGCCATTAGTCCAGGTCCAAATGAGATCTTTTAAGTTGGGAAGGATTTTGATTAACCTCACAACGGGTTTGTAAAGATCGTCCGAGAAATCCCGGTCAGGTTCCCAATAGTGGCGTGGATGCCGACTTAAAGGAGATTCCTGCCATTGTCCATACTGTGTCGTATGGTTAGTTGCCTGAGTAGAAGATAACAGCGTGGACAGGCAGGGCGGTTTCCATTCATCCTCTTCGTCATAGGCTCTAAAATGCGACTTAAGGAGTTTGGGGTGTGCGACGAAAACCCGACGGACACAGCCAAAACCGTCAGCTGCTTTGAGTCGTTTAATAAGGCGATTCACAATTCCTTTGAGCTCTGCCTCTCGCCTGGGCCTAGGAACCGCTATTTTGATGTCGTGGAATTTTATGGACTTGACAGCTGGTTGGATAGCTGGTTGACAGTAGGCGTAGTAGGTTTTGCTGGTCTTTGCAAGACTGAACACCGCTGCAGGGTCTTCAGCCACAAGATAACCTGTGATTATATGTACAACTTCTGGCGGAAGATGGATGCTCGCGGCCTCCTTGCGAGGCATCGTGGTTCTGGGGACGATTAATACTTTTTCCGTTTCATTCTTGCAAAAAAAGGATACTGGTAGGATGTACTTAAATGGTATTACTTTTGGCCCCCGGGGCCACACCTGAGAGCAGACCATGCTACTCGTGGACTAGATTTTGGTATTTGTGACTCATTTCGACTAAAATAGGACCCTTGGACTGCACAGTAATAAAAGGCCCCTACTTCGGCCAAGCAACCTGGTTCGCCCGCTTCCACCCGGAGAAGCTCCTATCCGCTACAGAATGGTATGTCAACAAGACCTTTCGAGTGATCGGTGTCCTGGAAGAGTGCTTGAAAAGGATCGGCACGGAATGGCGAGTCGGCGATAAATGCACGTTTGCAGATTTGTCTTTTGTTACTTGGGCTGTTGTCGGTGAAGGTCTGCTACACGAGTTGAACCGAGCAGATCAATTGGTGAAATATCCTCGATATAATGTTTGGTTGAAGTCCTTGAAGGAGAGAGAGAGGGCGGGGGGTTGCTAAGTGTTTGGGTATTATTGCTGAAGGGCGGGCAGCGCATGGGTTGAGATAGAGATGAATACCGACCCAGGTAGAGTTGAAATTGATTTGAGCTTAGATCGCAATTGCATGCTGTTGTCTGGTATATATTAAAAAAAAATGGAATCAGTAGATTAGGGTTAAATGATTGACGAGGAACAACAATGCGGAAGATCCAGCATCACATCGTCGTCCGGGTATTTGAAGTGCTGCTGAAGGAACCAAATTTGAGAAATTTCTTCAACGTTCGGACTCATTTCCTTTGCAGGATATTCTAATCCAAAGAATGCCATGGACGATGAATCAAGACTCTTGTATGATGCACCGCCCGAGTATCGGGTCCGCCAATGGATGCGTGGGTCATTTATACATATGCCAAGCTGCATAAATTCGCTTGTTTACGAGCCGACGTACCACACTTCAACACCGAGAATATCAAACTTAACACCCTCGTCAGAGAGAGGCTCGTTGCCAAAGGTCTGGCAGGAAGCGCTGACGCCTTTTTCGAGGCTTTGGTCAACCCACAATCCGTAGTGACCGTCACTATCCCGATGTTAATAACAATGCCAATGAATCCACAAGTGAAGGAACTTACCCTCCTCCCAGACTGAGAAATCCAGTTTCACAGAACATCATATAGTCATTAACGCCACTGTAGGGGAATGCCTTGAAGCGAATGCGCTCAGGGGTGCTAGCACCACTGCGCGAAGGAATAGAAGAAGGCGATGGAGGCGCAAGGACACCCCCACTAGCAGCAGCGAGATTGGTTTTAAGATTGACATTAAGATTGTGAGAAGGCGATTCCGAACGAGCATTCTTCAATTTCGCCTGGGGGTCATTACGCAGCGTACTCCAGCGGCCAGCATTAGTAGTATCCGCAGAAGGCGGAGGCGGAAGACCAACACGCTCAAGCGCCTCCTCGGATTGGGGGCCTTCGCCCGGTAGAGCGAGAGGGAAGCTCGCCGGGGGCGGGAGCACGCTTGAGCGCCAGAGGAAGCACTCTCCCGTGCCGAAGAATTGCGAGTTTGGGTGTGGCGCGTCGGTCATGTAGGCGCCGAAGACGGAGCTTGAAGGAGAGGAGTCGCGAATTACGAGGACGTAGCCCGCCCGCGGGCTGCGGTGCGAGAACTCGGCACAGTTCTCGTAGAGGGTAGAGAGGGAGGCGCCGTCGCGGTCGAGGCTGTAGGCCAGACGCCAGGTCTCGGCTAGTTGGAGACGTGGGGGGACGAGGAGGCGGATTTCTTCCGCGAGCGCGCGGGTTAGAAGCTGTTGCTGAAGGAGGTCGTCACCTTTTGGGATGCTCAGGGTGAGGGGTGTGAGTGGTGGAGGCTGGAAGGGTGAGGCTGTTCGGCGGGGCGTGAAGACCTCCGATGAGGAGGACGACCTCGACCATGGGAGTGCGGATGGCATGTCGTTGGATATGTCTGGCTCAGTTATGCGACGGTAGAGACCCGAGACAACGTGGCTGACTGGGTAGGAGAAGTAGGAGGCGGCGGATTGGTAGGTGTTAGGTGTTTTTTGCGTGGGCGTGTGAGATCCTGATCTCGAGGTGGAGGAAGAGGGGATTGGAGGATCGGGGGAGAGATCTGCCTGAGCTGAAGACGACATGCGGAGATTTCAAGTCAATTGCTGACAAAAGAGCTTGGGTTGAGCCTAGAGAGAGAAAAGAAGGGAGAACAGAGAAGAGAAGTATGCGGAGGTGATGAAACCACTATCGCTTATCTGTGGGGTGAGCCACGTCAGGCTTCACCTGCTTATTTATGTTCCCACGCGACTTGTAAGTCTCGTTAGATGTATATGTTGGAGATGTTTGCTGGTTTCCAGTGTAAGTTTGGTCTTCGACGCAAGCCACTTTGCTTGAGATCTGATAAGCCTTTCCATGGAAACTTAAGCGTAACACCACAGCTATACGACCTTCGAAGAGCTTTCGGTTAACCTATTGAATGACAAACTTTCCGAGCAGGACAATGGTTTGAAAACATAATTAAATTGAGATCAAATTGATGTAACAGTACTCCTATATCAAGGAGCGCAACGCCCTGGTCCATCTACACAATAGGTTGTTGAACGGGTCTTGCCACGTCAAGAGTCATTTTCATGAAAACAATATTGGTATCATAATAGTGTTGTATCAGGAGATCCATATAGAAAGAAATCATATCGTCGCGCTAAGGTCGCAGATCTACTGTCTCGAACTGGAGTCCATCAACCTCGAACACGTGCCCCGGTCGTAAAGCTCCAGTGTAGATGTTTTCCTCCGCATGTGGGTGGAAGAGACCGGTCTGCGTACAGCTCAAGACAGTCTTGAGTCCTGGCGGGTCAGTCAGACGGAACACGCCCCAGTCCGGATCTTTGCTTGGAGCGCACACGATAGCGATGCTCTCTGGGAGCATGACTTGATAGCCGCAATGTGTGTGCAGGTCGCGGGAGCTCATGAAACAGGTCTGCGATGGATGCGTGTGGATCCATCCGAGAACCATTAGGTCCTCTGAGTCACAGTAGTCGAAAAGAGCAGACTCGTTCACCGTTTCGCAGGTGTCCGATGTGGATGTCTGCTCTGGAATCACGACTTTGGATATGAAGAGTGCGTTGGAGACTAGAGTACCACAGAGGACTCCACATGTCTCTAGGTTGTTGCGGGTATTGGGAGAAGCCAGGGATAAGAAGCGATTTCGGAGGTTGGCTGGCAGAAAAACGGAGCGCAAGGGAGTACCATTTTCCAGATAAGCGGAGGGTTTGAAGGTATAACTGGATGGGTCGAGATCAGGCCGCTTGATGCTTGTTTCTTCTGCTCTTACCTTGTTGGGCAGTGGTGGGGTTGGTGCCACTTTCAATGGCGTTGGCGGAACACTTGTTTCGATGATCGAGGCCCTGCTCGGCTCAATGCGTTCCTTTGGAGGCAAGATAGGAGGCGCATGGCGTTCTACATTCTTATCAAGAATGGCGATCTGGCCCGGTGATACAGTGGGCTCCAGAGGCTTCTGACGCGGCACACTTGGATATTTGTAGACTGAAGAACCTCCGCTCACTGAATCTTTAGCCCGCTGAGCATGAAATGGCTGATGCGTGTGATTCATGTTGGACCTGATGTTCTGAATGCGTCGGCTCAAGTCTTGATCGCCTGATCGAGTGTCCGGCTTCGATGCAGCTTCCCAGTCACCCCACACACCGGCTGTACGGCGAACCTCCACTTCCTCTGGCGATGCGCCTTTAGACCCTCGGACAGTTGCACGCCGATTGAGCTCATACTGGGCAAGCTGAACAGCAAGGTCCCGGTTTTCGCCGGCTTCCAAGGGCTCGGCGACACCGGCTAGGGCGGGGTCTGCGACTTGCTCTCGCGGCTCCGGAATGATTTTGGATTTAGTTGGCAATTTGCGGGACTGACGCTCGTGCATCAACTGAGTGTAGCGCTCATATCGCTTGTTGATCCTGGGCCTTAGAACCTCTAGCTTGCTCAGGTTCTTCTCTACCTCTTTTTCGGCAGCCACCAAAGCTTTGCGGTCTTCTTCATACTTTGTAGTATCCGGGTGTTTTGAAAGATGAACTAAAATCAGCTGGGCGTGTCGGAAGAGGAGGAGATATGCTTGTTCGTCGTGTCCTTCGGATTCGTAGATTTGGGCCTAAGGTAAACAAGTTAGGTATGAACAAGTTTGATGTGAACAGAAGTTACCAACCTCTCGTAAAATTGTCGCCGCCGTCCTCAGCCAGTATCGCAAACGAACTGATGAATTGTACTCGTAGTTTTGGGCGATGCGAGTGATGTTCTCTACACTCTGAGGTGGAGTACCCCCGGAGCCGATGTTGGAAGCCATCACGAACACAAGGTTAGATCAAGCCTCAAAAGGCATAAAGAAACAACCTCCTAAACCTGGGCCTAAACCTGGGAAGACCAGCGGTAGTAAGTGAGAGCCGCATCTAGACGTGAATGGGGAGCAAAGTTGGTGGGGAGGTGAGCGGGAAGCTTGGTCTCTCCGCTCCGAGAAAAAAATAGCTTGGACTCTCTTTATGCCCATGACATAAACCCTTTCTGGTATCCATTCACAGAATGGCTACCAGAGCTGCGAGAGCAATACCCGCGACCGTTGCATCGAGGCTAAGATGGAAGACCGCAGGCAATCCTTTGTCGGAACAAATCCGTGACCAAGCGCGGAAGCAGAAATTCCAGCGTCGAGTCCAAGCTAGGAGTGACATTGTGAATGAATCCTTATGTGGTAAGCCTTTTTTTTCTTTGAAGCTGGTACTGTGCGAAAGATGCTTACAGGGTTCACAGACCAAATTCTTCAGCGTGTTGCGCCCTATCTTCGTCAAAACACACCGGTGGATATCCTTGACCTGTGGCCTGGCAGCGGCCTTTGGTCATCGAAAGTCAATGACTTCCTAAAACCACGTCGTCATGTTCTTATTGAGCCAGATATCGACATCTGGGGGCATTTTCTTCATCCCTTAGCCGAGAGCAAGCCCTCCTACAAGCTCCTTCCTATGGAGATTTATCCAACAAACGGACTGGATAAGGAAAAGGTCGATTGGAAGGCTCTATTGATGGAATACTTTCCAGAGCAAAACCTACCTTCACATGGCTCTGCACGTCTACCGCAAAATGAAACGCTGCTCGTCTTGGCCAACCCACCCCAGGCACTTTCCCAAAAAGACCATATGACACCAGGGCGTTGGTGGATCAAGTTCTTGGAAACATGTCTGCAGAAGCATGAATTACACAGCTACGGGTCTGTCCGCATCATAGCACAACTTCCTCACGCTGAGATTTCGACTATTCTCCCGCGGGCAATCGCGGAGCGTAAGCGCGCTGGATTGCTGACTGAGATTTCGGCCTTGCACTGTGTCGAGCTCGCAAGTCCGGATCTACCTGAGATACAATTTAGTTGGCGAGACTACGACGAAACCCTCGAAAATAGAGACTGCGTCGCCGAAAGAGCCGCGACGAAAGGCGTTGTCACGCCACCAGATCGACAATTACCTCCCCTGGAATGTGTTCCACTAATCCCTCAGATTACGGCCACTGGTCGTACCGCAAAGAGAACAAATATCCATCCCTACACGCCCAGACGACTTCTTGGCCCACACAAGGCTCTCCTGGATGATATCAGAAAAGCAGATCTGGGTTCCAGAGAGAAGGCGGATAAGAGGAAAGAGTTAGCGAAAGCACGAAGCACGGCTATCGGCAAATTGGAGAGAGAAAACACACAGTCTTATTATAGGAAGAGATTCGCTGATCGCCAGCTTGAAATTGACGAACTTACGCGAAAGTTCGCTCGCGCAGCAGCAGATGTCAATGAAACCCCCGAGAGATTGAAAGGCTTGGAAAATGATGTTGTGCATCTGCAATCCATCCAAACCGCTGAAATCTCCGAAATCCACTTCCTGAAAAAGAGGTTTCATGACAAAGTGATCGATGACGCCCGCAGCGTCGCTCTATCCAACAATTTCGACAATTCTATATTGCTTTGGGAGCGACGGCCATTTGAGCCCCTTTATACCCCCTATCAAGATGTTTATCCTCATGATTACCCGCGTGGCATGGTCTACTTTGAAGCACAGCGTAATCCCGCCGTGCTGCAGAAGATAGACGAGATGCCCAACTTGGATGTCACTGAATTTCTCGCCCGCTTCCAGGCCATAAGTGCTCCTTTACACCCCACGGTCGGTATGTCGGTCAGTGACCTGCTTGCCATCCTTCTCCCAGGGCGGAGCATCAATGAACTTGTGCAGCTCATTCCGAGCCTCACAGCCTTTGCCGACCGGCGACTGAAGCCTGGCCATGGGCCTATGGCCTTACCAGATGCTTCTGCGGACCCGGCGTTTAGCTACCAGCCCAACTTGAACTATGACTTGAGTGGGGTCCGGGCACGATTACTTTCCGCCGAGACACTGCTTGAAATTATAGTCGAGTTCCAAAAGACCTCACCTGGGACAACCCTATTGCAGTTCAACCGCATGTTGGGCGGAACGCTGACCTCATTCCAAGCCGGACAAGATAACATTAAACTGCACTAGAAGTGCGCTGTATTATAGCCATGTATTATATATGAACATAGATGTATCAACAATAGAGACCAATCAGGTAACTTTCGCGGACCGGGGTTAGGGCACGAGGCCGAAGGATTGGATGTGAAGACCCTAAGGAATGTACATATGATGTAGGTGATGCGGCCATATAACTTGAATCGTATGTTGATCGGAGTATACTCGTATGTCCTGGAAGTATACAAGTAGATGACTCAATTTCAACCAAATGACTAGATAAGCGATGACAGCCGTTGGGGACGCATGCGGTGGGCCTCGGGATGGCTGCATTTGGAGTCCACTGTGCCATGCAGCAATTAGTACACTTTTAGACCACTAGAAGGGTGAGATACGAGATTACTATACATGAAGTATCTAATTAAGTTACAATCTGTAATCTCACTCTTCCTAACTATCCTATACGAAGTAGGAATCCCCAATCTAGAGAACGGTGGACCCGATCAGCGCGAACCCTTCCGAGAGCCAATTTCCGTTTTCTTTTAGCGTCGACACGGTAGTATTTGATTTCCTATCGTTTCATTTCCTTTTGGTCGAGACCGGGGGCCTTTTCCTTCCTTTTTGCTTTTTTATTTGCTTTCGGCCCCATATGATCCCTCAACACAAAGTGCTTTTTGCGCTTTTTGCGCTTTCGTAGTCTTTTTCTTCTCTTTCGAGTCCTTGACATTCTTTATAGCCCTTCGCCGCCGAGGGAGGCCTTGACTCCGATATATAAGCGTGCAGTGGCTATTCTTACGCCAACAGTTGCCACCCCGTCATAGTCTGCTACCCTAACCGTGGATTGTGAAGTTATCTCTTTGCGAGTGGCGCCGATATCAGAGCTATTTGACTAGAATCCTTGGCCTGTCTCGGGCCTTCCTCCGAGCCCATATAACCCTGGTCTCTGCTCGTCTGAAATTCCCCAGAATCGCTCCCCATTGTCCTTCAATGGCGAATACCCCATTCCAGCTGTCGCTGCAGACTTCTGAGGCGACGCCTCCTGCACAAATCTCCACATCGAGTCTCACGCCGCCCGTAACCCCAATTGCAAAAGAGCGTCACCAAACATCAAGTCCATTTCAGGATATACAACCATCTCAATCCCTCACTGCACCCAAACCAAACGTCACAGCCCCTCTATACTTCACCAACGACCTCGAACTCATCCGCAATGGCGACAATCGCCCCGTCGAATTTGGCCGCGGCGCCTGGAGCATAGTATACAAAGCGCGCTCAACACCAAGTACCCAACAAATCACAAATACCCTCACAAACAACCCATCAACACCCCCAAGCTCCCCAGTCACAACAACCCGCATCCTGGCCGTAAAAGCGCCCGTGCGCCGCGATGCCCGCCCAGTCCTGGAAGCCGAAGCCCTAACTCTAACCCGCCTCACCCTCACAAAGGGCCACGAACCCTACATCGTCCCCTTCCACGGCACACACAGCGACCTAGGCGGTCTAGTCATGACAGCAATCCCACTCGCTCTGTCAACATACATAGAAGACCAAGCCGACATTGCGCGCACGCGCCAACCAGCCACGCCGACAATGTTCGACCCAGTCCAAGGACCAGCCTCGTACAAGGATCTAGCGCGCAAGTTGATCGCAGGCCTCAACTGGTTGCACCAGGTCGCGGGGATGGTGCATGGTGATATCAAACCGCATAATATCCTCCTGCGACTTGTGGACGCAGACGAGAGTGAGATTGAGAGTGGCGCTACCAGCGCATTCCCTTTCGAGCCTTTGTTCGCGGATTTCTCGTCTGCTGTTGATATTCCTGATGATCCTTCTGTCCCACTTGATACGACGCGCGCGTCTATGTCGGCGTTTACGCCGCCGTTCACTGCGCCGGAGATGTTGGCTTCGTTGACGGTGACGACGGGCGATGTTGCACCGACGCCTGCTTCTGATGTTTTTTCATTGGCTGCTACGCTGCTTGCTGCTGCTACTGGGGACTTGTTGTTGTACCCCGGTACCAGTAACATGCAGCGCCTTGCGATGGCGAGGCAGGGACATCAGATTATTGATCTGACTCGTTCTGGCTCGAGTGGGCATCGTGTGCCTAGGAATGGGTTTGTTGAGAAGCTTGTTAAGCCGGCTGTTGTCAAGGATCCTGCTATGCGGATTTCGACCGGTGATTGGATTGAGCTTGCTTCTTCTTGATCTCTTGACAATTCTTGGAGTTTTCTCTTTCGGGTTTTTGACGCTTTTCTTTTGTTTGAGTTTTTCTCTTTTCTTTTGGTCGCATATAGGGTACTGCATTTTTTGATATACCCTGTTAGATGGAGTTTCGGGAGCATGATCATGCTATATGGTGATACAATATTTGCATGGATAGATGTCAGCATTTCATAATATAATACCTATTTAAATCTCGGGATATCTGTCATTTTCGTAAAAGTCAATAATCAAAACAAGTCACAATTCAGTCGAAGTCAACATAATTCCTGGTAGAGTAGCGAGTATCTGGATAAACATGAGTAGCAAGGCCAGGAGCCAAAACAAAGCCTCCACCCTTCTCACAATCTGATTGATGAAATGAATACCACAAAAGCATTGATACAAACCTAAGCCCTCAAGCAGAGGCCACATCACCCGGCATGCGATCACCAGTTTCATCAACAGCGATGTTTTCCCTGCCAGATACATCTCCACCCGCAGCCGGCAACTGAACAAACCGGCATAAATCATCAACCCACAGCTGGAAATTAGCCCTCAACCGCGCCCTATACATAAGCCTTACAACATAACAAAGCCACCCAGTCTGCGCCTCCCAATTCCTCACCTCAGTCCCACCCTCAACAGCCTTCACCTCATGAACCCGCTCCGCCTTCAGCATGGACAGTGAATGCGCGCCCGGCGCATCAGGATCAACGCCCCAAACAATGCGGCCGATCTCGCCCGTCTCCGCGTTCGGTGCTGAGCACTCCGTTACGCGGCCATAGACGTCTGTTGCTGCTTGGGGCTTTTTAGAGGTTGAGGTTGGGTCCATGCGTACGTGAAAGATGAACCGGGTGTCTTTTTGGAGGATTGGGGAGAGGTCGGTGGTTTCATTTGTGGCATTGGAAGGTTGTGAGCGGATGGTCACACGGGGAACGAAGGAGTTCCAGGCTGGCCAAGTTGATGTGTCTGTTAGGCTTTCCCATACTTTGGCTGCTGGGGCGTTGATGAAGGTGGAGCTGCCGATGTGGAGGACTGCGGCTTCTGGGGTTATTGTTGGGGTTGCGCGGGTTGCGTTGCTTGGGTCTTCGAGGGTTGGGCCGTGTGGATTTGTCATTTTGAAGGTTGTGATAGATGTAGGAGTGGAATTGATAGAAAGGGAGAGGAAGTGAGGTGTGGAGTGTAATGTCGTATGTTGCACCCGTGGACCGTGATACTTGTTTGCATCGATTGCAGCGATAAGGGCTTATCGCGAACTATACAAGCTTCATTTGTTCATAGTTCATCTTTGAGAGTCTGTAGCAGTATTCTCAAGGTAAATTGTTTAGTTTTAACTGGCTGAATATCAATAATCCAAGATTCAATAATGTAGTTTTGTATATCTCTATACTCAATGCTTCATATCACCAGCGTTCCTTCCATGACATGCAGCTTCCCACTCGCAACGCAACCCAATACTTTTCTTCATCCCTTCATCTTTTCTCTTCTCTTTTTCTCCTCCATCTGCATACACTCTTTCCACCGTCATTTATTATTTCAATCCTCATTTCATTCTTTCTTTTCAAGTTGATCAGTCTCTTCAGTTTTCAACATGCAATACGCTCCTCAGTATCAGATGCGCTATGCATCTCCTCCACCCCCGGAACAACCTCCTGCACAATCCGCAGTTCACACTCGATTCTGTATTCTCCGACCAGAAGGCCACTGGTCACCACTCATCCCGCTTGACGAGCTTCCTTCCTGGCTACAAATTTGCAACTGGACTCCCGACATGCACATGAGTCTGTATCCAGTGTCCATGAGTTTCATTCCCCGGGAAGGAGAGTACGACGTGACCTGCAACCACTGCCTCCTTGGTGTTGATCCCCAACACAAGAGCGTTTCAGAGCGTGGACCATCTTCCGCCTCCAGTCGTGCCGCTCGTGTCAAAAATTTCCCTGTGCAGTGCTATTCACCTCCGAAGATGCAACCCGAGCCTCGCACCATGGCTACTGAATTCGGTCTGACATATGGCATATTGGGACAGCCTCCATTCCATTCTATGCTGCAGTCTCCTCTTGTTGGGATGTGTTTGGTCGACATGCATGCTCAGGAAGAGGAACTTGCGGTGGTTTCGGACGGAATCCCACCACGGATGGGTGCTGAGAACTCTGTCCCATCTGGGAGCTCTGACCAAACCAGTGCAGGTGTGGGATTATCCCCTGCTCTTCATGCTGGTCCGGACAATAGTGGTGACCCTTCTCTTTCCGCTGGTTCATCTAGAAATGTTCCGCAAAAGCCCAGGCCTGATATCCTAAAGCGTCACTCGCGACCAACCTCTGGACATGATGATCAATGGATTGGCACTCCTCGGCGTGTTCTCTCATTGCGAGGTGATGGTCCCGCATCTGCGCATTCTGCTGCGGCTATGGCTGCGGCTTTGGCTAAGCATATGCAGAGACGGCGATCAAGACGGATTTCCCGCACCAGCAGTCTTCATCGGAGCGCCATCAGCCTCCATCAGAGTGCCATCAGTCTTCAACGAAGCGTTAGCAGTCTTCATCGGAGAACTACTACAGGTGCAGGTACTGTGGTATCTGGGGTTCAAACCACCGACGCCTACACTCCCAAACCTCGCATCTCCAAGGTCCCTTCGATGCGGGTGAAAGTGAAGTCCAAAGCTCGTCACAAGGTCCGAATGCATCGTCAGGTAGCGGAAGACCAAAGAGCCCCGATCTCTCTAGCCATCTCTCCCAAGCCATTGAGCGTTGTGGAGGTCCCGAAGCCAAAGCCAGAGCAGCCAAATGCCGCAACCAAGAGACGGGATCGCCGTGAACGGTTGATGCGCAGAAGAAACCACACTGATCGAGGCAGCCGATACTGGCACATGATGAAGATCCCAAATTGGCAGACCGGTGTCTTAAAGTGTTGATCAAGGTTGGGTTTGTTGTACAATGATGCTGAATTTTGTTGTTTGTTTTGTTGATCGCTTACTTACATTGCTTCTTGCGTTTGGGTCAAGGATTTGATTGTTGTCCTTCCTTTGCTTCTCTTTTGGGGAGTTCTTTTTACGCATTGTTTTCCTGTGCTTGCCGGATCAGCAGGCATTTGTCGTTCCTTTTTTTCCCTTTCTTGTTGATACTCGGTTTCAGCTTCAGCGGGCGCTGGTTTTTTTTTTTGAATGACTCTAGTGTCTCTATCTGCTGGCCTTTCGTTCTGCAGACAAGGGTTGCTGTTTTGTTTTCTTTTGTCGCTGGTTTCGACATTCTGGTATTCATAAACTCATTTGTTCTCAGCTGGGCTCCGGTCAATAGACCTGTCATTCATTCACCTTTGTTATGCGTTCGATTTGCTTTTTTATCGGGACTGGTATATAGCTCGCACGACTGTGCATCACACTCTTTACGTGAATTCTTTTAGATATTTAAACAGGAATCAAAAGGATTTCTTGGTTATGAATTGCTATTACCTAGCAAAATGGATAGACGGTGTTTGTCTACAAACTGCTCTTGCCCAAGTTCACCGAGAAATAAACGACCCTTATATCCTGCTGCTGTTATCAATGAACGCTGAGTTTCCAAACATCTAGATCCTTATCTTCATCTTACACGCAGCACAGATCCACCAAGTAGCCGTATAGCCGATTTGGGCTCAATGGAACTCCGCAACCCCCGCACGTCTTATCCTCGCATGCAAATTCCCCTATCGGATAGCCGGTGCCGATAGTCCCGCTCAGGAAACAGGTCAAATGCAAAAATTGGTTGTGAAGCCTGTTTGATACAGCATGTCACCCGAAATAAGTAGAAACAGAGAAAACAAAGACCGGAAAATCAGCATTCTCTAAAGTCTGTTCACCACAAATCATCTTTCGTAAATACATAACTCCCACTGACTTGTATTTACTTCTATTTGTCAATTTAATCCATAGAGTAATTATTTAGTTTGGCCATTGTGTAAAATGAGAAACGGCGCCATGACTGAACAATTGTTACGAAACGGGGAAAACAAGTCCTGGCTATAATCCCTTCCGCAGCCGTACCAGATATCTACTGGCTCAGTGGTCTAGTCGTATGATTCCCGCTTCGGAGCACCGAAGCTTCAGATGATCACATCTTGATTGCGGGAGGTCCCGGGTTCAAATCCCGGCTGAGCCCCATATATTTTTTTTTCTTTTTGAATTCTATTCAGTGTATACTTTTTGCAACTACCACGATATGTTTTTTTTTTACGCATCTGAGAATGATACAGCTTATAATTAGGCTCCAAGTATTAAGAATCAATCTAGCTTGACGCTGTTGACATATTTATAACTTACAAGTTATAGTTGGAGATTGTCCTTCTGACAAGCACCACAAGATCGAATTATATATATTCTTTCAAGCCGTGTCGAGACATTGATTTGGTGATTTAGTCATGCTCGCAGGCTTGATCTTGATTTCATACAAGGGAGAGAGAAACCGTCCCAACTGCGCATAAGCCCTGGTGGTTGTTCGATATGAGGCACTTGGCGTGATTCCTCGTCTGCTTCTTTGGCTACAAGAAGCTTGGGCTCTCTTAGGAGTAAGTAGCGTTTTGCTTGCCCAGGCGGATAAACCTCTTTCAAGATTCAATAACCAAAAGGTTCTAAGTATACCGGGTAGGTCGATGAAAAGCATTAGCTGACCAAGCGATATCCTCGTACCTAGTGCTGACCCATCGACCATAAACTAACCCTAGTCATATGTAATATTTTTAGAACTTTGATATGACTATAAAGACGACAAGTTACATCTGGTCCGACATAGTCTAACAGCGCCTACATATCCCAGCTATATTCCTTCACTTCTTATCTCACTGATACTATCGCGCAGATCCCTGCCATATCAAGATTCTACACGTACCTGGCCATGTCCAAAGCGATATCGTGAAATGCGACTGGCGGAACTGGCTAGTTCCCTCGGTATCAGAAGAGGGGGAAGAGGAGAACGATTGGCGCAGTAACCGACGAGATTACCTTCTTGTCCCGGGACTGGATCTAGATAGGGCCCTGTTGCAACCTTACATATAACCTATACTTACCCTTCCCTTCAACATCTAACATTCCTCCTCATATCTTCTGAACACCTCTTAAGCATGGTTACGTACCAGGAAAGGTCAACCCAAAAGCGTGCCGATCAACACTCTTTGATCCCACCCGAGTGGCGCTTGAACCCGATCCCCTCAGTTGAATCTACCCCAAATGCTCTAGCTTATCTCCGCACGATTCTCGCAGCGGAGGAGCTGGCCCTTACAGAAGAACTTGATGTCTCTGTTCTTCTGCGCAAACTTTCGTCTGGGGAGCTCTCTTCGCTAGATCTCACCCGGGCATTTTCTAAACGCGCCGCACTGGCCCACCAACTAACAGCATGTTGCACCGAGATCTTCTTCGAAGAGGCATTCGCCACCGCCAAAGAAATGGATGATCACCTCGCGAAAACGGGCAAGACTATTGGGCCTCTGCACGGCCTACCGGTTTCTATTAAAGATCTGTTTTCTGTAAAGGGTGTTGATACTTCAATCGGTACATTACGTTTCCTTGCCACTCTCATCCCACCACTATAACGACAACTGAAATTATTACCAAAACCACAGCCAACCAAACAACCAAATTTAACTAACAAATGCAAAAATACAGGCTGGGTCGGACTAACGAACAACCCCGAAAAGGCCGATAAATCAGTCGCAAGGACCCTCCGCCGCCTAGGCGCAGTCCTATACGTGAAAACCAATCTGCCACAATCAATGATGATGTCTGACTCTTACAACCACGTCTTCGGGCAGTGTGTCAACCCCTTCAACCGGGCTTTGATTTCTGGCGGGAGTTCCGGTGGCGAGGGGACGCTTGTCGCGGCTCGCGGTAGCATTCTCGGTATTGGGACTGATCTTGGTGGTTCGATTCGTATCCCTGCTGCGCTTTGTGGGCTGTTTGGTTTGTCTCCCAGCCCTGGAAGACATCCTTATGAACGAGGAAAGTAAGTTGTTTCTTGTTTTTTTTTTTTTGTGGGTATGTTGGATGCTTGGCTGACCCTACTTTCTGTATAGTCCTGGGCAAGATATTGTTCGTTCCGTTGCTGGACCTATGGCTTGTAGCTTGGCTACCATTGAGCGGTATATGGAGGCTTTGCCGATTGTGTCGCCTTGGGAGGTTGACCAGCATGTTGCTCCTGTTCCTTGGAGGGAGCATTTGGCTTCGGGTGGAAGGAGACTTAAGCTTGGTTTTTTGATTGATGATGGAGTTGTGAAAGTTCAGCCGCCAGTTGCTCGAGCTATGAGAGAGGTTATTAAGGCTTTAAACACAGCTGGCCATGATGGTATGTTTCTTTGAGAACCATAAAGACTTTGGCAAAGTATTGACGATAAGAATCTAGTCTTTGAATGGGATGCTTCCTCACACGGCTACGCATATACCCTCTGGGCGAAAGCCATCTTCTCAGATGGCGGAGAAGGCTGTCGAAGAAAGATCGAGTTAACGGGCGAACCACTTATTGAAGGAATGCTCGTTGGAAAGCCGGAGGATACATTGACCACTACCGAGACACACCAGGTGAATATCCAACCGCCATCTATATCTCTTTTTAATCTTCTTTTTGACACTTCACGTAGCTCCACGCAGACAAGTACAATTACGAAACGGAATACCTTGAAAAATGGATATCCTCCGGTGTCGATGCCATTATCATGCCCAATACACCATGGGTAGGCTACAAGCCCTGGACATGGGTCAAGTCTAGTGCGTACGTGGGATACACTAGTATCTGGAATTTCCTGGGCTATGCCGCATTGGCAGTTCCTATCACCACTGTTTCGAGAGAGAAGGATGTTCCTGATCAGGACTGGCTGAACCATGTTCCCAGGAATGAGAGTGATAAGTTTAATAAGAAACAATGTAAGTGTATTGAGTCTTCGGTTTGGTTGGGGGGCATTTTGCTGACATTTAAAAAGATGATATCGACTTAATTGAGGGTATGCCTGTTGGTGTACAGGTTGTTGGTGGACGGTTTGGGGAGGAGAAGTGTGTTGCCGTCGCGAAGGCGATTGAAGAAGCTATACAGGGTAAGGTGGTTTCTCGAGCAAACCTTTGAGCTGAATTGGAACTATTGTTGATTACCAGCATACGATATTCCATTATGGGCTACAAAGGCATTCATTTCACACTTCTCACGGTTTCTTTCCATTTCTCCTGATCTGTATTACAGGATCTAATTAGCTTGTAATGAACACATCATGGAGGTGTATAGATCCATACGCTGGAATCTTCTCTAATTCTCACAGCTCGATCAACCCCTCCAAACCCATAATTTCATGCACTACTTTCACCCTATTAATCATATGTTTCAAACGCCTTTCTTAATATATCAAAGCGTGTCCAGAGGGTAGGATCTCCCAAGGGATATTCTTCCAACATGACAATTTGCAAGGGCAGCTGTGCGGCATCTGTAGTAATTTTAAATAGCTCTATGGGATTGCCCAGAGCTCGCATGAGCAATATACAGCTATCAGATTATTACCAGTCAAAATGAGGATAGGGAGGATAGCATCGGAATGTCTTGTTACTATCCTAAGATGGAGACATAAGAACTAATGTTGGCATGACCTTTGCGATCACGGTATGATATATAAAGTGCTGGAGACGATAAAAACATCAATATCATTAACATCATGAAAATCATCGCTACATATCATGTATCATGCACCATCCCAATGCAACAGAATATAGTATATACAACTCCTTCCCAACCGATATCAAATGGGAGCATTCATCCTCTCCTTATAATCAGGAAATTCGAAATCGCCCAAATCCCACTCAATACTAGGCACGCCACGCGCACTGTGACTATCAAGCGTCCCCATCTCCAAATCCCTTTCCCGCTCTCTAGGCGACCCACTCCTCAAAATAGGCGTATGAGCCTCCTCAGAGCGCATCCTCAACTCCCTCACAACACGAATACCAGCTTCATTCTCGCAGTCTTCGTCATTGGTATTGACTTTTGAGATACTAGCCGAGTAACCGGCCGGGCCGGGCATGAAGAGTTCGTTGAACCAGACACCGCCATCTGGGCTGTGGTTTGAGCCGTAGTGAGAGTATATTGAGGGTTTTCGCGAGACTGTTAGTTGGGTTGTGTGGGAGTGGGTGGCTTTTGAGCCTGGGGAGGAGTGGAGGGGTTGAGGGAGGAAGAAGAAGGAGAAGACTCGTGAGAGGAGGGGGTGGAGGGGTGGGAGGCAGGCGCAAATAATTGAGATGTTTGCTTCAAGGGAGGACCAGATTGCGGCTTGGGCGTTTGTCTCTGGTGAATTGTTAGTATGTGGGTTTTGTGTGCATGGGTGATTTGTTGCTACATACTCGTGAAATCTTTCCTGTTCACCATGATGGCTAATTGAGAAAGACGGGCTGAGCTGGTAGCGATGACACTACAAGAAACCAATCGTCAGTTTCACCACCAAGTCAAAACAGGCATCGAGATGAACTTACATTATTCCAAGCCCGAAAACAGCAACAACACCATACTTCTGCCGCCTGGGCATCTGCAACTTCCAAAGCAAGGGCATAGGAAGAATAAGGATGACAACATCGGTAGCAATCTGAATACCAGCATTCGTAAACCAAACCGCACCCGTAGGCAGACAATGATTTTCCCGAACTTCTGGTGATATATGCCAGAAATAATGGATGGGATTGCAGAAGATGAACCCACTCAATGTCATCCATAGCCCTGCAATGACCAGGATACCCATTGTGATATAGGAAGCGAGGAGGAAGGGGCGTGGGCGAAAGAGACGGACGAAGAGCCATAGAGCGGATATTTTAGCGAAGATCAGGGTGAGATTGTAGAATGGGATCGAGAGCCAGAGGAACTATTTGATTTCTTTGTTAGTGGGTTGGTTTTGAATATTGGGGTTGATGGGTGTCTTACGTGAAGTTGACTTTGGATGTAGTGGGAGGAGAGGGATGATTCTGGTGTTCCGAGGCCATAATGGCGTTCTATAGAAGGTGGATGTTAGATGGGAGTAGACCTGTGAGGTTTTGGAGTAGATCACTTACCGACGAGGACGAAGGCGTAGAATGCAAAATCGATGAGCTGGGGTACATAGATGTTAGTATGGAAGATCATTCGCAAGTTACATCTCGCCTTTGGAGTAACGAATGCATTCTAATACATACCAATGCACAAGAAATAAATAGATCATCCAAGCCAGGAGCCCTGAGCAGCCAGAACCTCGTTCCCAATCTCAAAACGACACAAATGGTCGCAAGGGCCGTAAAGATAGTCGATACGATCAGAACATCCATTCGATCGAAAGCATAAGCGATAGACGACACCCAATAAGAGTCAAAGAGGAGAGACAAAAGGCAGAAAGACAAGTAGGATGTGGCCAGTCCATCGGATAGAAAGATAGGTTTGTGAAAGTGGTGATATTAAAAGAAATCACCCTGACTCGATCATATTTAGATATACAAGGAAAAGGCAAGGAACCAGGCGAGAAGTGAAGAAGCCCAAAGTATATAAAGAACTTAGGACGCACAATTGCCTTCAGTCGGAAAACCCTAAGTATGAAGTACCTGGGTTACACAGAAGTCAGGCTATTCTGCAGTGTATCTTCAGTGCGTCTGGCCCTGCAGAGAATAATCCAAGAAACCCCCGAGCATTTGCCTCGAAGATCCCCCATCATTGACCTCCGCATCCGGACATCGGACATGACCGCGTCAAGGACTGACAGTCTGGACTACAATTGTGGAATATCATTGGTCGACCAGATAACCTAGTGGAGACCCGTCGCCGTATCTGTAATCCACTTCTGAATCGCATCCGAGCAAGATATTCGTTGGACATTCGAGCAGCGAATCGCTGTGTCCAATGGCTTGACCTTGGAGCCTATAAGATCGGGTGGGGTGATCTGCAAAACCCCGGTCCAGGGTGACTTTTTAGGATTGTGGAAACTCTGTATAGGCTGTAGATTGCTTCTCGTTGGTGGGTTTTGGAATATTTGGGGTTCGGCTTGGCCGATTAGAGGAGTGTCAGGTATATCGGCTAAATGGCCTTTTAGTGTTGGTTGCGAGTCAGGTGTGGCGTTCGTTGACGTTTGGGTTGTTGTTTGGTTGGATATCATTTCCCTGGGGTATGCCTTTGTCCGTGGTTGGATCCTCTGGTATCTGTGCCTCTTTGCTAGAGGGGATTCCCTGTGGATATGTGGTGAGGTACCGTGGATGAAATGTGGTCTGGTAATTGGGTGTAGTTGAGAGTTGAGAATGTAGACCAGGAAGGTGCAGAAAAGACTACACGTGCCCGGATTTTCCGAGGCGGTATGTGATTGGAATACTTCAAGGGATCTAGAGCCACGCCACATCATGTCGATGGATATATCATCAAGGGACCTGGTTAAGCATATAGATAAAGTTTGCTTGGAAGCATCAGGCTAAAACGATTTCTGCCGGCGGTCCATAGAGAACTAGGCACTGAATATTGCCTAATTTATATGTGGCATACCTCGATAGATTGGTAGGGACCTGAGTATTTAGTGTTGCCTGAAGTGCCATTGGTAGAATGCAAATAGTCTCTGTGGGTTTCTACCATTATATATCTAATGATTTTGCCATACTTCAGCCGTTCTTTTGGACCTCGTATTTTGCCTAATTTCGATACATTTTATGAAAATAGCCTTGCGTAACGAGGGTATATTTAAAAGCGGTATATAAGACGGGGGAACACCAAAAGGATAACGGGTTGACCTTATAGTGGCATACTGATAGACTACAGTGTAATGGGATAGAAAAATGTACAGAACGATTATACTGCAAGACTGTACAATAACCAATCAATAACCAAACAGTCGTCTTCGTTCCGCTAATGGGAGTCTAAAGCGGAAAATCATAAAATTTTAAAGGAATGAGGCAATCTATAGACGAGCCTTCAGGTTGGCCTTGAGCCTCCGCTCAACGGCAGCCATGTACTCGCCGGTAGTAACCCAAGCCTCACGGTCCTTACGGCCGCAAGCAAGAGCCAGATCCTTGGTCATGATAGCCTCGTCGTTAACGACGTCGGTACAGGCCTTCTCGAGCTCCTCGGCGAAGGCGACAACGTCGGGGGTGTTGTCGAGCTTGCCACGCTGGACGAGACCGCGGGTCCAGGCGAAGATGGAGGCAATGGGGTTGGTGGAGGTCTCGCGGCCCTTCTGGTGCTCGCGGTAGTGACGGGTGACGGTGCCGTGGGCGGCCTCGGACTCGAAGGCCTCGCCGGTGGGGGTGGCCAGCGTGGAGGTCATCAGGCCGAGGGAGCCGAAGCCCTGGGCGACGATGTCGGACTGGACATCACCGTCGTAGTTCTTCAGGGCCATGACGAAGCCACCCTCGGACTTGATCATCTGGGCGACCATGTCGTCAATCAGACGATGCTCGTACCAGATGCCCTTGGCGTCGAAGTCCTTCTTGTAGTCCTTATGGAAGATTTCCTCGAAGATGTCCTTGAAGCGGCCATCGTACTTCTTGAGGATGGTGTTCTTGGTGCTCATGTACAGGGGGAGACCCTTCATAAGGGCCATCTGGAAGGAGGAGTGGGCGAAGCCAGCGATGGACTCATCGGTGTTGTACTGGCACTGGGTGACACCGCCACCCTGGAAGTCGTAGACCTGGACACGCTCGGGCTCGCCACCGACGGGGGTGTAGACGAGCTCAAGCTTACCGGGGCCGGGGATGACACGGTCCTGGGCACGGTACTGGTCACCGAAGGCGTGACGGCCAATGACAATGGGCTTGGTCCAGCCAGGGACCAGGCGGGGAATACGGGGAATAACAATGGGCTCACGGAACACAGTACCGCCGAGGATGTTACGGATAGTGCCGTTGGGAGAGAGCCACACTATTTAAGGTTAGCTTTCAGATGTTGCACAAACGGATATAATTTTATGGGCTTACTCTTCTTCAGCTTGAACTCCTCAACACGGGCTTCATCGGGGGTGATAGTGGCACACTTGACTCCAACACCGTACTTCTTGATGGCCTCGGCGGCCTCAACAGTGACCTTGTCATCGGTCTGGTCACGGTACTCAATACCAAGATCGTAGTACTTAAGGTCAATATCGAGGTAGGGAAGAATCAACTATCATCCCGTTAGTATCAAGTCTATAACCAGGCCGAGGCGTAATATGATGTATCAACTGCATCAACAGCATGCACCTTGCTGCAGCGAGGCGGCGATCATGCATAACTAGCTCGGGGGGAGACGAGCGTACCTTTTCTCTGATTTCCTTCCAGATGATGCGGGTCATCTGAACCCATGAAGATGATGCGGTTAGCACATGCTAATGAGACACAATTGGAGTTGTGCATCCTTCTCGGCGGGTTTACACATGAATGACATAGTATGCCCCGTGTTTCCCCGCGTTTTGGAGACGAAAATGCGGCAGCCGAAGCACATGGAAATGCAGGCTTGTGGAACAACCCGGAGAGTTTAAGCTATAAAAGGGCAGTCCATACCTCATCACCATCCAGTTCCACCACCGGGTTCTTAACCTTGATCTTGGTCTCGGAAGCCATAGTGCGAATTTGAGCGAAGTTCAGAGGGATCGGGCCGGACCAGCGGGGAGATACAACAGCGCGAGTAGTGCGGGAGAATGAGGTTGAGAGGGATCGAGTAGAAGTTGAGAAAGAGGAAGAGAGAAGAGAAGAAGAGAGAGGGGCAGAGAGAGGGGTGAGGGAGCGGCGAGCGAATGCGGAACTTGATCGGAGAGCGTTCATCGTGTCTTGTTCGGAAGTCAGCGCGAATGTACCGCAAGTCGGCCACTCAATGCCCGCGGGTTACAACCGAGGGAATGAGGTTCGGCAGAAAGGAAAGTGTGGAGTCAAGGGGTATTCCCCCGGAGAAACGAAGAGCAGAGCAACTCCGGGATTCGGGGGGGACGGAAGAGGTCGGAACAATAGACAGCGAAGGCAAATGGGGAGGGAGAATTACCGAATAGTTGGGGGAAAATGGAGAGATGGGGGAGAGAAGAGGAAAAAGCCTTGTCCGGTACAATGGAGAGTTGTTTGATGTTCCCTTTATGAACCGCAGAGAAGCGCCGAAGCCGGATGTCACGAGATATTGATGACGGAGAGAGCTTCACTTCTCAGTGGATTTGCCTTTTTCTTTAAATCTCCTTGACAAGTCTCCTGACTCATCGGCCTATTCCTATCTCAGGTTAAAATTCTCTTAAAGCTCCATCCGACCCGCTGCCATGAGCAAACGCTGTGGGAGGCCGTTCCCGGAGCTCGGAGCAGAGCTCCGCGGCCGCTCACCGGCTCCTCATTCGCCCCGGGAAATCAGGAACCGAATTGTACGATCTATATATGCAGGGACAATAGAGGAAAATAGAGCAAATAGAGCAAACAGAGCAATTGAATTACTTGAATGTTGAATATATGAAACTGAAGGTATGGATATTCCCCGGACTGAGCCTGGTGTTGAAATTCTCCGTCTAACCTCCAAAGCAGACGCCTATTATCCTATATGTTGAAATCGATCCAAACCTTTTGAATCCGGTATATACAAGCTCTCTCTTAATTCATTCCAATCTCACTCTAGAACATCCCGTCGATGTCACCAGTCTCGGTGTCAATGTCCACATTAAGGTAGCCTGGGGCAGTGGGCAATCCGGGGATGGTCTGGATGTCAGCGGCCAAAGCGTAGCTATAATTTCCTGTTAGCGTCAATTACATAAAGTAAAAACCAGAGGTGATCTTACAGGTACCCAGCTCCCACGGCCAATCTGACATCCCGGATGGGCACAGTGAAGCCCGTGGGGGCACCCTTGAGGGCTGGGTCGTGACTGAGTGAGTACTGAGTCTTGGCGATACAGATCGGCAGGTTAGAGAATCCTTGCTTGGTGTAGACATCGACCTTCTTTTGGGCAAGCTCGCTGAACTCGACCTTGTCAGCACCGTACATGGCCTGACCAATGCGCTCGATGCGCTCCTGGATGCTACCATCCAGGTTATAGAGAAGCTTGAAGTCCTTTTCCTTGGAGCTGGCAGTCATGACAGCCTTGGCCAAGTCAACAGCACCAGCTCCACCCTCAGCCCAGTGGTTGGCAGGGACGGCATCCTCTGCACCCGCAGCGATGGACTCCTCCTTGATGACGGCGATTTCAGCCTCGGTGTCGGTCTCGAATCGGTTGATTGCAACGACGACAGGAATGCCGTACTGCTTAGCATTGGCAATGTGCTTGCGGAGGTTAACGCAACCCTTGCGGAGAACGTCTACGTTCTCGGTGCGGTACACCTCGTCGAGGGGAGCACCGGGCTTAATCTCGGGGCCACCACCGTGCACCTTCAGTGCACGGACCGTAGCCACAATGACGACTGTGTCCGGGGACAGACCAGACGAGCGGCACTTGATGTTAAAGAAGCGCTCACCACCCATGGTGAAGTCAAAGCCTGCCTCGGTGACAACAAAGCCGGTCTTGGCTTCGTGGTCTTCGTCGGGCTCGGTACCGGCCAGCTTGAGAGCAAGCTTGTCGGCAATGGCAGAGCTGGCGCCAATACTGATGTTGGCGAAAGGACCAGCATGCACCATGACAGGGGTGCCCTCCAAACTCTGCATGAGGTTGGGCTTGATGGAATCCTTCATCAAGGCAGCGAGGGCACCACCGGCACCAATGTCGTCGCAAGTGACGGGGTCGCCGCTCCTTGAGGTGGCAACGACCATACGGCCAAGACGCTCGCGCATATCCTCCAGATCGTTGCTCAGAGCGAGGATAGCCATACACTCACTGGCGACGGAGATATCGAAGCCGGTCTCGCGAGACAGGCCCTTCTCAGTGGGAGCTTGGCCAACAGTGATACCACGCAGGTGACGGTCGTTGACATCGAGCACACGACGCCAAGTGATGGTCTCCGGGTCAATATCAAGACGGGCAAAGCGACCAATCTCCTCCTCGGTAAGATCATCAGGGTTAGTCTTCTCAATACCAAGCTTCTTCAGGCGGCGGAACATGATGGGCTTGAACTCGCGCTTGCCCTTATTGGTAGGAACAAGACGCTTGTACAGAGGACCGTTCTTCTGAGTGGACTCGTGGAACATGCGAGTCTCGATGGCCGCAGCCAAGAGGTTGTTGGCAGCGGTAATAGCGTGAATGTCACCTGTCAAGTGCAAGTTGAACTCGTCCATGGGAATGACCTGACTGTAACCTCCACCGGCAGCACCGCCCTTGATACCAAAGGTAGGACCCTGGCTAGGCTGGCGAACGTTGGCAAAGGAAATGCGGTTCAGGTGGGCGCCGAGCGCTTGGGTAAGACCCAATGTGGTGGTAGACTTACCCTCACCAAGAGGGGTGGGGGTGATACCGCAAACCAAGATGTATCTTCCATTGCGGCGGTGAGCAAGTCGCTCCATGACACCGAGGCTAATCTTAGCCTTGGTGTGGCCGTAAGGCTCCAACTCGTGGTTAGCAATGCCGACTTCCGACGCAACCTGGGTAATGGGCTTGGGGTATTGTGCCCGGGAGATAGCAATGTCGGAGGGGACCGGGTTTTGGATGCGGATGGGAAGGGGAGTGACATGTCGGTCTTTTTGCTTCTCAAAGTAGCCCTTGGCGGCATGGACGACGTTCTTAAGCAGCATGGCCACGGTCATAGGGCCAACACCACCGGGGACAGGAGTGATCTGCGAGGCCACTTCGGCAGCAGTCTCGAACTCGACATCACCGACCAGTCGCTCACCAGACTTCTTGGTTGCATCAGGCTTGTAGTTGATACCGACATCAATGACCACAGCACCGGGCTTCAACCAGTCTCCCTTGACCATCTCAGTCTGGCCGATGGCGGCCACAACGATGTCGGCATTCTTCACGAGGCGGGGAATGTCGGGGGTCTTCGAGTGACAGATAGTGACAGTGGCATCGGCGTTCTTCAACAGATAGCTGACAGGGCTGCCGACAATGTCACTGCGTCCAAGGACAACAGCCTCCTTGCCTGCGGGGTCCACGCCGCTAGCCTTGAGCAGCTCCATGACCGCCAGAGGGGTGCATGGGGTGAACAATGGGCGACCACCACGCTTGGCGAGCTCTCCAATGTTGATTGCGCCAAATCCATCGACATCCTTCTCATCGGCAACAGTCGAGGTAATCGCATGCTCGGACATGTGACTGGGGAGGGGCAATTGAACGAGAATACCGTGGACGGCGGGGTCATTGTTGGCCTTGGTGATCTCCTGGATGAGCTCCAGCTCGGTGCTCGACTCGGGGACATTGATCAATGTACAGATAATGTTGGCCTAGGTACAGTCAGATAATTGCCCAGGCGTGTGATAGGATATGGAGAAGTACCTCTTGAGCAGCCTTCAGCTTCATGCGCACATAGGTGCCTAAGTAATATTAGTTCTATCCCAGAATAGTGTATAGATCAAACCCACTAGAATCGGATCGGTTTCCGACTGTATAGAGCCAAATTGGTCAGCCTTTTTGTTCTCCTTTCACACTCACGGTGGGAACTGCTTACCCTGGAAGATGATGAGGTTGGGCTTGAACCGAGGGTTCGTCACCTGAAGGTGCTCAATCTCAGCCTTCAAGCCCTGGCGAATGCCCTTCGCGATGGCAGTGCCATCGATCTTGGCGCCAGTCATTGCAGACCCGGAAAAGGTGCGGAATGGGGAGACGGGTCTGACGGAAGAAAAACCGACGTTCAAAGGAGAAGTCAACCGCAAAGAAAACCCTCTGTATGGTGAGGAGATGTAGGAAAGAGAAGAGAAGAAACGTAAAGGGCCATAGACTTGGAGATAAAAACCACGGCGGGGTAGGGTGGGGAGGAGCATGAATTATTGCTTCTTTGGGAGGGGAACCCCCGTGGTTATCGTGCGAGAAAAGGGTGAGCTTCACGTCACATGTACATGTACTTCACATGTCCTCAATTGAGTCCTTATTCGCCTGTTTCCTTTTACAGTTAATGTTTCCTTTTGTCTTCTGTACTTCGTAATTAACTTCTCATGCGGAGAGACGGGGAAAAATCGGAGACTTCTCCTTGTTTCTGCCTCAGGCCACAATGCCATAGTTAGGGCAGCAGCGGGCGGTGAGCAGCGTAAATATTCTCGGGCCGACAATTTCCCGGATTGAACACACTCGGATGAAATTCACCAGTCAAAGAACGAGTGATAACCCCCCCAAGCCACTCCGCCTTCCTCACGTCTGAGTCGACTCAGATTTTTCGATCTTTATCTTTGACTCGTCGCATCCGTCAATATGCGTCCTATTTTGCTTTCCGGCCATGTGCGTGGACTCCCCCGAACTCACTGCTGGATCCACAAAGAAACTAATCGGAGCCTATAACAGGAACGGTCCTTGACCCAGATCAAGTTCAACAGCGATGGCGATCTCCTTTTCTCCGTCTCCAAGGATAAGATTGTGTGCGCATGGTGGTCCGCCAACGGCGAGCGTCTCGGTACATACAACGGTCACCAGGGTGCCGTCTGGACTGTCGATGTCAGCCCCAACACCACTCTTCTTGCTACCGGATCCGCAGACAACACCGTGCGCCTATGGAACGTCAAGTCTGGCGAGTGTGTGAAGGTGTGGGATTTCCCGACAGCCGTGAAGCGTGTGCAGTTCTCGCCCGATGGAAGCAGACTTTTGGCAGTGACGGAAAAGCGTATGGGTTTCCTCGGTACAATCGCCGTCCTCGATATCAACTACGGCGAAAACTTCAACGACCAGGCCGACGAGCCTAGCTTGCGCATTACCTGCACAGAGTCCAAGGCCACCGTTGCGGGGTGGAGTTTCCTGTCCAAGTACATCATTGCGGGGCACGAGGATGGCAGTGTCAGCCAGTACGACCCTAAGGTATGGCTTATCGATGGATTGAGGGGCATACAAAGCTAATAAAGCTCTAGACCGGTGACCAGATCGAGAACATCCAGGCCCACGAGTTCGACCACCAGATCAACGACCTCCAGTTCTCCCCGGACCGCACCAGCTTCATCACCGCCTCCAAAGACAAGTCCGCCAAGGTAGGATCATTCGCAGTCCCACACCGATTCTCTTGCTAACAGTATGCAGCTTATGTCCTCTCGCAACCTCGCCATCCTCAAGACCTACACCTCCGACACTCCTCTCAACACTGCCAGCGTTACACCAAAGAAGGAATACGTGATTCTCGGTGGTGGTCAGGCCGCCATGGATGTCACCACCACCTCTGCCCGCCAGGGTAAATTCGAGGCCCGCTTCTACCACAAGATCTTCGAAGACGAGATCGGCCGTGTCCGTGGCCACTTCGGTCCCCTCAACACCATTGACGTCCACCCCGCCGGTACCGCATACGCCTCCGGTGGTGAGGACGGATACGTCCGTGTCCACCACTTCGATAAGTCCTATTTCGACTTCATGTACGAGGTCGAACGCGAGCAGATGCGGAAGTAAAAGGAGACGTGAATGGTGAAAGTTATCGAATCGTCATGCGTCGTGTGTGTATGTGTTTACGAGGCGAAAAGACTTGGGATAGATCCCCCCGGGTCCCGCATACGGGATGGGATGATGACCTTCTGGGACACGATTTTCTCATTTCATTGATTCCATGATCAATCGGAGTTGGTACCTTCTGTTATTGTCTTTGTTTAATAAAAAGATGACATGGTTCATGTTGAGCTCCTATGTCTGTTCTATTTGCAGGGATGTTTATCCCGAGCAGAAGAGATAAAATTAGTAAATAGACAATTCAAGCTTTGCAAATCTTCAATATGTATCCAACCGAGTAGTTAGGATGTTGATTCCATGCATCAGATTCAAGTTATCCACGAGATATGATTTTGAGTCATGAGTATCTAGTCCTGGACCAGATATACATCTGTACCAAACTCATAGTACTACAGAAACTTACAAATTTTCCACATCAAGTGCGAAAAAGAACCCAAAAGTAGAAAACATTTTGATCATAACCAGATTGTGAGGTATCTCATTTATACAAGTTTTTTTCCCATGATATCTTCTCTAGACCCGTTTCCATGCAAGGCCAGCGCTAATCCGACCAGCAGAAATGAAACCCGTAAGAAAAAAAAAAAACGTGAAAAAAGTGACAACTCATGAGAATGTGAGACATAAGTCATTGAGCGCAAAAAAAAGCAATGCAAAAAGTAGACCATAAAATTGTATCCCGGTCTCGTATCCCGGTCTTATTCATTCCAGAACAGAAGAAACAGAAAGAAACGTGGCGGGTGAGATTCACCATCTATTTCTTCTTCTTGGGGAACTTCTCAGCACCAATGTCGGAACCACGGAGCTTAATGTTCAGCACGCGCTCCATGGCACCGAGAACCTTCTGGTCGGGGGTACCGGTGCCACGCTCGAAGTCCTGGATGATGGTCGGGGTGGTGTTGCACTTGGTGGCGAGTTCCTTCTGGGTCATCTTGTAGCCCTCCTCGGTGCGGCGCCTCTTGATGGCGTCAGCGACGGCGGTGCCGACGGTCTTGGGCTTGATGATGTCGTCGCTGCGGTCGACCTTGGTGAGGTGCTGGCCTTCGGGAACGCCTGCCTTGCTACCCTGTAAATTTGGTTAGTATGTTTCTTGGAGTTTGGATTTTCTTTTGTTTGAGGGTGGTTATTTCACGTACGGCGTTCGGAGTGTTGTACTTCTTATCGGTGGTGAAGTTGCCGGAGCGCTGGGCGGCGTTAATGGCTGACTTGCCCTTGACGACAGTCTCGCGGGGGGCAGCGCCAGCTCCGCGGAACTTGCTGCCAATCTTGGTGGTACTCTCCCAGTCAGACATTTTGTGATTATTTGGTATGTGGTAGGAAAGGGTGTTGAGTAACGTGGTTGGAAGTGAAAGAGGATGACGTTGATCGTGTGAGTGTAAAGAGAGAAATGCAATTTATATCGATGACACAGAAGCTTCTCGAGGGAGGGGAGTTGGCCCTAGTCCCCTTTGGGATTAGCGTAGTTTGCGGCTGTGATCTCTCGTCTTTTTTTGTGGCCATTTTTTTAATATTTGTGATCAATGGCTTTTAAGTTGCGGATGGGTCTTTGCTGATTATAGTACATTATGTTTTTCAATAGGATCATGTCCTTGGAATTATCAATGCGTTGATTATAAGCAGAGGTATGACGATGGGTTCGTTATACCTGGCAATCCCCCACCATGTCGATTGCCACAGCCACACTTCATGCAGTCTCTTTCATAGATTCTACGTTTGACACAATGAAAATCTAATTTCATATCCTTCATGTTCTTTCCAGCACACCTAACCCGTTTCCCACTCTGTTCTTGTATACTCTGTAGTTGTGGACAAGACACCATGATGTCGCTCGACCCACTTGATGTCATATGGTCTTGCGTGCACATTTCCAGCCCTAATCCGTGATATCATAGGAAGCGACAATAAAAACCACCGCCATGAACTAATGAGATTGACTAGGTGGCCCCATGGGTCCCTTTGTCTGCAGAACGAGTCACAATGAGTTTTATTTACTGCAACCCCACTATGAGGCTGAGCCCATCGGGCACCAAGCTAGGCTTAGTCTCTTTAATTGTACATATCAAATACGTAAAAGCTCCCTGTGTCCTTTCCAGTTATAGCCTGGCTTCTTATTGCCGAATTGCATAGTCGGATTCCCCTGCAACTAATAGTTAAGAGAAAAAGAGGTGAAAAAAGGGAGGTCAAAGTGGGCAAATACATTAAACCATACAATCGCTTTGAGAGATTCAGGTCGAAAGAAAAAGGCTAAATCTTTATAAATGATCCATGTATGAATCTCTAAAACCCCTATTTGATTACAAGCTATATAGACTTATGTCGTGAACTAGCTGGATTTCCTTAATAGACCCGCTTATAAAAGCTTCACCTTAGTAGTGCCCTTCGGGCACTCTCAACATCTTGTGATGTTATATGAAGCATACTAGATGTGAGAGACCATGTAAATAGACCTTAGGCCATAAGATAAGCAAGCTAGGTAGAAGTTTAGGGCAATGCGTGGAGTGAAATACGGAGTGCGTTATAAGAAGATCGAATGCTTGTCCTTCCCCAAATGAGCGGGAAACCTAGGGACTGACCCTGCTAGACGATTTGCATACATGAAACCATGTATACGGTGTCATCGACCGCAAGTAGTTGAGGGGCGGTGTTGTCCAAGGACATTATTGCTTAAATAGTTCAACGTCAGACTGTGCTAAGTAGTGGTCCTGAGAAACACCTCTGCCTTGTTCGCATCTAAGACAAGATTGTCAGGATATACACTCTGCCGAATGGATCGGATGTCTCATGCTTCACTTATATAGACCTGGATCTTCTTAGGTTTAATGAGCTATCAATAAGCCATCAAACCCCCTCCTTTCTCAGCTTTTCTAGGCATATCAAATATGTATCGAAATGAGTCTCACCACTTTACAACTCTTTGATTATTATTCCAGCCATACAATGCAGTAGTTTGAAATACGTTAGTCCCTATTTGTCTTAGCGCAGTATAAGTTGTCGAGATCTATTGTGAGGAAGAAATACATTACTTCCATCTTACCAATGAATTTCATTATTTCACCGGGTGCTGGCATGGTTTTAAAGGGCAGTTTTAGAAGGAACCCCTCAGGATGCTTGTCAGGACCACCGACTGGCCGCTGCAAGACTTGGCCTAAGTCATGATCGACAATCAATTTACTACTAGACCAATAATGCCAATGACACTGATGGTTAGTCAGAAATCGTATTTTAAAATATTTTCGCCCCGACAATGATGGCATGCCCTCAGGTACCATGGCACTATAGCGGGATATTTGATGGGCTGAGCCAACGTTCCATTGTAAGTTTCGGGCATAAGAAGGCGACATACGATTAGATCAATTTCTATGTCAAGCGATCAGAATGTGTCATAACAATCTATAGTCAATTGCTCATATCTACCGTGTTTTACATGGTTGGTTCCAGAGGCTGTCGTTATAGATCTGCCATGACTGTGACGCTTAAGACGCAAGTTTATGAACATGATAAGCATTAATTGAGGGCTCATAGGTATACTGCCACCGGAATCCTTTTTACTATAGTCTGTGACTATAGTCCAGAAAATATTTTACTAGTGACTAGCTAGGATCCTCATGAACCAGAGCCTCCTATGGAGTATATTTCCTACTATGAATGGCTATGAAACATTGCGGCTCAACTGGGATATATATGGAAGTATTGTATAGTTGTTTGCCTTTGGATTTACAAGCTAAGTCGTATCTTATGGCTTTATTATTTCAACATCATCATAGGCCATAGGTCATATCAGGAGTTGAGGGTTTCATAAAGTTAATTTTAACCTATTTTGGGGGTGTTTTTATCTCCTTCTTGGATGCATTTGACTTATTTCGGTAGACTTCATCTATGATACAGCTGCCAGTCTTTTTGCTGTGGTGCTAGTTGACCGATGCCAAGGTCTGGGCAACAAACTATACAAATGGGACCTTCCAGGCAACAGTTAAATGTAAATGAAATGTAACAATTCTCATCAGTAAAGGGGCAACAAGACTAGCCTGACTAGTCTTGCCCAGGTATATAAATTTGAAGACGAATTTGTGGCAACCATGATGGGTGGGGATTTTAAGATTTATATGTATGCGTGGGTCTGTGTCAAGACTTTGAAAGAAAAGAAGAACAGAAAAATATACTCGGATGATAATATAACCCAGTATCGAATCATTGTTGCTTGTTATCAAATGGTAGCGTTGGAACCTTGGCCTCAGGCGGATGAGACATCTGGACTCCGCACCTCCAAACTCCTAACTCTTCCTTCTCCTTATTCTCCCTCACTTTCCTACACCTGTTTCGTCTTCTTCTTGCAAATAACTCCCTTGAATTTCCCCTTTCAGTATTTTTGCCCTTTACATTCGCTATGGCGGCCTCTAGCGATTTCGCGTCTGCTATGACCGGCCGGTCGCTCCGCATGGTCCGGACAGTATGCATCCAACCTTTGGTTCCTGAAAATGTCCGAGGTACTGACCTTCACAATTAGGAGCTGGAGTTTCTTGCCGACACCTCTGTGATCACTCCCAGACAGCTCTCCTCCATCCTCTCACAGCTTCCCGCCGACTCCGATACCAGGGCAGTGCAGGCATCGCCTCCCCGACAACTGGCCCAGCCAGTCCCTGTCCAGCCAGTTCAGGCACAGCCTCCTCCGGCTCCATACACACCATCCTACTCATCTCCTACTCAACAAATGGCCAATGCGTCCGTTCACGAGAAAGCGGCAATGCACAACCAATACGCAAGCCCGCCTCCCCAGAACCAATATGCAAGCCCGCCTCCCCAGGCCCCGCCAGCCTACCCCCAAGTTCCGCCGATCCTCGGTCTTGCCTCGGCCATGTACGCATACACACCTACCGACCCCGGTGACCTCGCCTTGCAGCCGCAGGACCGCATTCAGATTATCGAGCACATGAACGACGACTGTATGATATTCCCCGCATATACGATGTTTGAATGCAAACTAATTCTCTATAGGGTGGCGTGGTCGCAACGAGCGCACTGGCCAGGAGGGTATTTTCCCCCGGAGCTATGTGAACATCGTGAACGAGAAGAGCAACGTCTCTTCGCCCCCTCCGACCAACTATGGCAATATGCCCCTTGAGGTTAGCCAGAGTGGTCAGCCCTCGAACCCCGAAGATCCCAAACAGAACAAGTTCGAGGAAGGCGGTAAGAAATTTGGAAAGAAGCTTGGTAATGCCGCAATCTTTGGTGCCGGTGCTACTGTTGGTTCCAACATTGTGAACAGCATTTTCTAGTTTCAGGCCTGCATATTTCACTGGGCAGTCTGCTTCGTGTTTTTACTCTCATGGATTAGGCGTTGGTGGCTTGGATTTTTGCTTCGGATGGACTCGTTGGTTTCATTCAGCAGAGCCTATTGGCAAGCTGATGACCCAAGATTTCGGGACTTTACCCTGAGTTCACATGCTAATTAGCCTTTCATGATGTTGCCCTGGCAGGGGGAAGAGTCCACCAGCCTCGTCTCAAATCAAATATCGACCTTGAGCATCAATTCATTGGAAGAGTCCCCTTGCCATAAACATTAGCCGTGTCCGTTATCTATACCATTCTTTCGTATCGCTATGAGTTCCAATATTCTCCGAATCAGCGTTTTTAATGAGATGCCAATAATTAGGCAGACGATACAGAGATTTGCAGCCGCAGATCAAACCAGGTATATTACCTAAATCGGCTATAACATAAGAGCATTTGCTCTGTCTTGCTCCATTGATGCCCCCAACATTTTAGTTGTTGTATGTACTGGATTTCCAGACACTTGGTAATTTGTGGAACGTCCTGAAGTCCAAGCCGAAAGGGGTTTAAGTGACAAGTCTCCTATATACATATTCTTGAATTTGAACACTTTGGCTGAGGCCCTACCAGTATCAACCAAAACATCGTACCTCCTCGTTCCGCAAAGTCGATATCAGATAAAACGCTATGCTAAATCAATGAACTGACTTGATGTCATGCCAATGAGGATCTTATTCTAGCCGTCCCAGTCAACACGTTGTTCGACAAGACCCTCTCATGTATCCCTAAAAGGAAACATCAGACTGAATCAAAGGCTACAAAATCATGGGCTCCGTGTCTCCTTGCGAATCGCGTTCTGTGTTGTATCAACAGCCACGGAGCCCCAGAAGAACTTCTTTTCTCCAGGTCGACGGTTCAGCTCTTTCTCCCGTTGGCGGACTTTCTGGCTGTGCTGCTTACTCCGGCGCTTTCTCGCTTTCTCCTCCTTTTTCGCTTCGGGGGTTTGGGGGGCTCGATGGAAAAGATCGTTTAGCCAGCCCATTATGATTGAAGATATTGAGATTCAAAATCTGTGGCTGGCGTGCATGAAAGATGAATGAACAGTCCAGTAATAAGATCTTGGCTGCGAGACGAATTGGTGACAAGCCAGACGTGGAGGATGATAAATGATCAATGCGATGGAGTGTTCAGGGAGGGTAGCAAGCTCGGGGGTCGACAAGCTCGGGGGTCGACAAGCTCGGGGGTCGACAAGCTCGGGGGTCGACAAGCTCGGGGGTCGACAAGCTCGGGGGTCGACAAGCTTGGGGGTCAACAAGCTCGGGGTGGAGCCGAAGGTCAAACTAATGCCACGTCAAGGATGAGGAGGGCGGGGTGAGGTTTCAGTGGCTAGTTGAGTTTGGAAGGATCAGAAGGTGGGCGCGTCGACGATATATTCATTAGCCCAAAGCCTGTTTAATCAGATGACTCTGCATTTGTTGTCAGCACTAGAGCAACCAGTGGATCATCCAGGGCTGAATCAACCACTGAAGATCTCCGAGACACCGGACATTCCTTTGAGGTTCAGTGCCCCTACATCAGCATGCCTTGCTCGGTCACAATTATAGGCGCCAAGCCCGCCACCCGCCCCCAAACTTGGTACATGTCTTGGCTAAGATTGATCTACTGTATAAATCCAGATGGTTCTTGACGAAGGCCTCGAATCAGATATGGTGTGAAAATCCACACAGATGCAGATTGATATCCGCATTGTTCCGGAAATTTGCCAGAATTACTAGTGGATGTACCGTTTGGTAAGTTGATGGATATCCTTCAAATCAATCAAAACAGGCCCACATCTAGCTACAGGTCTTACATTATGGATTCCATTGCCATTGAAGAAGAGGGTCACAACGTGAGCGGCACGATGAATTATGATATCAGCTGGATAGCTGGCACACTGGAACTAAAAGTCTTGTTTCCAAGGACCAGAACGTAGTTACAACAGTATGCCAGCAACAACAAGTAACACCGCAATTAAAAGCATCTCTGACCTTTCCTTTAGAGCTAGTATGAGCCTGCCAACGTGAGGTATATAGCCAATAACCAAGCCCACAATCTCCTGCCGATATACAGATGACCGGCCTTTTGGATATAGAGAGACATCGTCAACCTCGTTATTGTCCCCTTTAGTCAGTATAAGCTGCCTATGCCAAATTAGCATATGGTCTGCCCTATCCGAAGCCAATCCCAAGTACCTTACGGGCTCTGATTGATTTGTTATCTGGTAAGAGACTTTGATCGCTCGATGGACCATCGGCAAGGGGCGGCCAGGAAACCAAACAACTGGAATATCGCCTGCGCGGATATGTTCTTGCTGATTCCATAACAAAATGAGATCACCACGCCGAAAGGCTGGCTCCATTGACTCGGATGAAACGACCATGATTGGATACGCTGAGCCACTGATCATGCAAGCCCCTTTCCATAACATGAACAAAGGTGCTATGCCCCATGCAACAGGCAATAACGAGGAAGCAAAGAACCGGAAATAGCGAGAGTATCGCATTATGAAGCGTGTTGCTTCTTTGAATGGCTAGGAGAGTAGTATCAAGACCAACTATGTCGAAGCTGAGTAGATTACGGAATGATGCCTCCGCATATATCCCGAGCTTACAGTCCATAGCTGCACCCATCTCCTATTAAATCGTGCCAAGATGAAAGAATGTAACCCTAAATGCAATATTAAAACCTGCAAATTAGCCTTCGAGCCCTCAGGCTGGCCCCCAACGTACTGGACCAATGCATTGAGCTTCAAGATGTAAGCACGAGTAATGAAACCCATTACGCACCAAAATAAATCTCCTCGTACCAGTAGTGGTGGAGATATTGTAGTCAGATTGACATCATCCAGTGGTCTTTCTTTACCCCATGACATGAAAGGATTCTGATCCTAGACAGGTGAGGCATTTCAAGGAAGACTATGTTTACCAGTTTGGTCTTCAGGGGAGTGTCAAAGGTATAAGAACGGCGGTTTTTCATTCTTAATTTCTATCAACACACTCCAAAGCTTCTCTTTGACTACTTCAAGAAACGGCCTACTCCATAGATTCAATCAACCAACTACAATGCATGCCAAAGTCGTTCTCGCTGGTGCCGCACTGACAGCCGTCTCCATGATCCCCTCGTGCCCGGCACCCGTGGTTGGAGGTCTCATCGCTGGAGCGTTTGGTGCTGAGCTCGCCGGTAACCTGCTCTACATTGGTCTCAACGACAACCTGAAAAGACGCCCCGTCGATGGCTCCGTCAAGGCCCGCAGTGCCATTGGCTACAAGTCTCGTCGTGCCCTTGGCTATCCAGGTGTCTCTGACGAAGCCGTCCAACAATGCAAAGACTCTAACTCTGGAAAAACGGACGTGAAGGTCACTCAGACCGAAGAAAACTGTAAGTAAAGCAGCTGAGCTCGCAAAAGCCAAATCTTGAGCCTTTCTGACCAATATCCATAGCCTATCAGATTGACAACGTGACTCCAGAGTGCATGAACCTGGCCACCTTGTTCACTGAAGACAGCCCGCCTGTCCCTTGTGGCTCTGCTTGCCTTCAGTACTCGAACCTGAGTGAAAGTGACAACGATGCCCTGCAGGGTTACATCCAGGAGCTCCTTTAAGTGAACCCAGTGGATAGTGTCTAGAAACAAGACAAGCCCTGTTGATCGCGGTGACAAACTCTCAACGTACATTTCTACTTGTCTTTGCCGCATGTACCATGGATTGGGTCGGCCACATCTATATGCACCTATTTTTGATTGGCTTTGAATATGTCTGTCGTTACCTACGTACTACAACAAAGGTTTCTATTTCGGTACCGATTCTTGTTTCAAAGGCAGAAAAAAAAAAGAAAGAAAAGTAGCCGTGAATTCTTCAAATTCGTAACCATCCTAAATATTCAATAGAGTGCTTCAAGAGAACTATGTGAGTAATTTCTAGATTCTAGCAAATTTCATGTTATAATATCTCCTTCATCATTTTTACACCATATAAATAGCCTACATCAAGGTTAGAATGATTGACTTGACTCAAAATGCAAAGAAAGCCTGTTATGTGATCATGGGGTCAAATGGAAGATCAGATGCAGCCTTGCAGTGAGATGTGGGTTGTTGGGTGGATGCAATTGTTACTCTTGGCAGATCCTTCATAACCAAGATTGTGTAAGTGCTTATGGCTTTTGCGTACCTGAAATTAAATTTACAGCTTGGCATGCTAGCGATGCATGATGACGAAGGTGTAAAGCTCTTGAGAAAATTCCCAGTAAGTAAGCGTCTGTATTCATGCTTTGATATCTTGTTATTGGGATGTTCAAAAGCATTCATGCGGAGATTATAGAGCCCAGAGTGGGATCAATTGTGAGGCATAATAGGGCTGAACTTGCAGTGCCACTTATCCCCGATCCTGTTATAAGTTGACGCGTGGAAAATGCCGAAATACCCTGGTGAGTATGATTTACCCAGTTTTGTGTATTAATCCAAACTCCGGCCCCAAACTATGCTTTGTGCTCAATTCATCTTTGCGGTTATATCCGATGCCTCCGAGACCGCTTGAAATACCTTTGACCTGAAAGAGAAAAAGACTAGAGCACACAGTTGGTGATGCCCCATTTCAGCCCATCGGTGGTGTCTTTTTGCTTCAGTCACGTCGTCTACACCCTTCATCAACCTGACGATGTCCACACTCCTCATTCCTCCAGCATTTTTTGGTCTCTCGGCCTTGGTCTTCCTGGTTGCAATTCAACTGCCTTTGAAATACCGAGTATGGCTCTCTCCATTGCTGTTGGGGGGTGCATACGCATCGCTCTCTGCCAGCCACTATTTGGACGCCCTTCCAAGCGTTAACACATTATGGGGACTCTTCACCTGTATCTGGATACTGCATGCCATCAGCATCCTGTTCATCGACAAAGTCGCTATTCCTCGAGGCGCTCCACCATGGACTGCAGCATACAAGATTTGGATGAACCCACGGCGTCAGTTTGACTGGGAGGCCATTATATCGAGGAACCAGAATACAAACTCAACAAGCAGAGCCACTTTCATCATCAAGCGTCTGTTTAAAGCCGTCACTTGCTGCATTCTCCAATTTTTTATCATTGGACCTTTTGTATTTTTGAATTTCTCCTTCACCTCACACGATTTTGGACGAGTTCAAGAGATCTTTATCCGAAGATTAATCTGGTCGGACTATGGGCCCTCGATTACTCCGCGCGAAATCCAGATGAGGCTTCTCTTGTCCGTATACTGGATCTGGCTGACATACTTCATGCTGGATGTTTGTCATATTCTGCTTTCAGTATTCTTTGTCCTCCTTCGAGTTGACACTCCTGAGGAATGGCCACCTTTATTCGGCAGCGTGGGAGAGGCCTACGGGGTTCGGCGCTTTTGGGCAAAATTTTGGCACCAACTAACCACACCTTGCTGTGCTTCTTCTGGCAAACTTGTTACTCGAAAGCTGCTCAGATTCAAACCCGCTTCATTCCTCGAGAAATGCTTTATTGCGTTCTGGACTTTCTTTCTGTCTGCCATTTACCACTTCGTTGCTGATTGGATGGCTGGAGAGCCTTGTCGACCGATGAATGATTTGTTCTTCTTTTTTATCAACTTCTTGGTTGTGACAGCTGAGATATTCGTGGCTTTTGTCTGGACTCAAGTGCCAAACGTTGAGGTTGGAAGGGGTAAGCACTCCAATACCTCAAAGGGGCAAAAGTTTGCAGGTTACATTTGGCTTCTATTCTTCTTCTTCTGGGGCGTGCCAAAATGGCAATACTCGAAGCTCCAGGCTATGGTTGAACGGCTTGAAAGTTCAAGACATTTGGATTTGTAGCTACTTGTTGATTGAGAAATTGGACTGAATCGAGAGCAAGCATTGGGTTGGGCTGGGACTTGTTTCAAACGATGATCTAGTTGTCAAGAGAGTTGATTGCCACAGTTAATGATCCAGAAAGTACTTTTAAGAGATCAAGTATGGTGCACAAGATGCCGGACTCTGCACGGTAATGTTACGGCCCCCATTTCTGGCCCGAAAATTTCGCCCGTCTAACAAGCACTAATATGCGCCATCTTCTTGGCGGGCCATTGATCTTCTTGACTTCTCATAGATAAAAGGCCAGTCTGACGAGTAGTCATCTTGTTGCGTCACTCGGCAGGCATTAGCTGGATTCTGCAATCAAATTTGACCCTTCCTCATTTCAGCTCGGATATATTCCGAACACGAATACTTCACTTACTTGAACCAAACAATTGGGTTTCATTGATTACCTTCGACACAACTGAAAATTTGTTTCTGTCACTGAGCTTCTATAATTCAAGCTACATTTCAAAGTAATACCTTGCAAGGTATAACGACCGACCGGCCGCGACCAAGAGTCAATTCAAAGCGAGTGAGTGTGCCAAAATTAAGCTCTCAGAATGACCGCTCACTCAAAGAAACTGTTAATATAGCATTTTTACAAGCATGGAAACAACGGGGACAGGGCAATCCGCTGCATACATGCACTCCACACACGATAGGGCCGATTTCGACATTGAGGCATTACCAGAACGGCCGCAAAAACGAGCCCTGAAAACCAACGAATCATACGCCGAAGAATGGAAATACGGCTCCAAAGCGAGAGTGATCAAGTATTATCTCATGTATATAATGGCGGGTCTCATCATCGGAGGCATCATTGGTACGGTGATAGGGGTATGTGTCCGCTACGTGGGCAGGTAATACCCAAGACTGGAAATTGGTAATTTCAGGTTGCGTCAATTGAAGCAGTACCAATATGATCCCTACAATCCCATGTCCTTGCAGAAGACCTCATTTGGGACACTACTTTTCACATCTTCTAAATAATATGACAGATTGCTTTCCCTAGGCTGTGTGATTCACTCCATGTCCCAGAACCCATGGAGTTCATGTAGTTCCTCTCGTGTCATGTAGAGCACTGCAGGGCTTGTTAGGTGAACACTTGACTACTGAATCGTGAATCTAAGGACCAAGTGATTGCCCTGTCGTGCCGCCCCACGGCATCTTCACCCCTGCCCCTGCCCACAGATACTTCTTCCCCAACATCTATTCCAACTGTATGAAAACCAGTAGGCTCGCGGTCGACAATCTATAGCCGCGATTCACGCATATCTGGCATATAGCCAAGAATATTCATCTTATCGACAATAACCCCTGTCCACTCAGCCTCACTCAGCGACCTCAGCCAAAGCCCCCACAAAATAAACCAGCCCAAAAGTCTGAACAAAAATCCCGTTCCAATTATTCCAACACTACCAGAAAAGCGCAATCTCTAAGTAGCCACACTCAAGCGTACATGCAAATACTTGTGAGCCTCAATACGCGCCAAAGCCAGAGAGAAATGCTCTAGACCCGCAGTCTGTGCTCTAGCGCAATGCGGGCAGCCTTTAGTGCAGCGACAACGACAGGTCGGGTTATGCGCCCAGCGCAGCGCTTACACATATGCATTGCGTTAGCGGTTTCAACGTCTTAGTTCAGGGCTGTGCTCTGAATATTATTAGCCGTGTTAATGCCATGGGGGTGGTTCTATACGCCTGTGGCTCTGGGGCTATCCTTGGACCCGCTAGATGGATCAGTAGGTGGGGAATGAATGTGTTTGCGATCTGTGATGTGTTAAGAGTGCGTGGTTTGCCGCGGTAGTTTGAAGGGCTGTATGTTTTTATTATGACTTATTGACTTATGATGCTTTGTACGCTGTTCACTGTGCTTTTGTTTGTACCTTTTGTTGCAGCTGATGATTGGGATGATTTCACGAATAACCTGGCGACAGATTTAGTATGTTCATGCCTTGAACTACGGAGATGGATTAGACATAAGCTAATATTTGCATCAAGGCGCCATTGATCACTCTCTTCGGTGAACGACTTACGAAACAATTCCTCTCCGAGTCGATTAGCGTTCTAGACAATGTTATCTTCGCCCTTTCGCCCCTAGGGGTCTTGACTGCCGTAGTATCAGTGATAAGGATATGCGGTAGCTCATCTCTTCGAGCTTTTGTGGGTCGAGCCCAAGAAGGACCCGCTGAAGCGGAATGCGAGCTTCTTCCCTGCATCTCGGAGTCGACATCGGAGCTTTTCAACGATGGCGGAATTACGCGAGTATTTGGCCGGCCTAAGATTGCGGAGATCGTTGTTTGGGAGGAAGGTGATCCCAAGGTTGGAGGCATCGAGACGAAGGTTGGCACTTTAAGGGAAGCACTCGTGGAAGGTGTTTGGACTTGCGGAGGAAAACAATCGGCCAGTGAACTTCCCGAGCTCGATATACCGAATTTGTCATTGAATAAGGGTATCAAGAGGAGAGACCAGTTTTGGTTTTATTGCGCTGCTGTTCTTGGCTCTGCACTACAGTTAGGTTGGTTGTGTTCTACTCGAACCCAAATTTGATAATTATTGATCGTTCGTGACATAGGGTCCATTATTTTTGCTGCACTCACAGTGTTTATGTGGCCGGAAACCTTCCAAAAGGATGATAAACCGGTAGCATCATATGCATTCCCATTCTATGTCATCGGTTCAACCCTTCTCTTTATTGGGATGTTTTTCTGTGCCTTCATCATGGAGCGATCGTCGAAGGAATACTATTTGGAACCCCAAAGACCAAGCAAAATATACTGGCTACAGCCTGGAAAACAGAACGCCGACGATCAAGTCTTCAAGGCTTTCCTTGCAACCAAAGAATACGGACGACCATCTGTGGATGGGAAACAAACTTATATCAAGTCCATCAGAGACTACAGATTTGACAGGAAGTATATCCAGATATACTCAACCTTAGTATCGACCCTTCTGGGATTCATATTCCAGTTTGTGGGACTGAGAGGTCTCCACGCTTCCGTGACCCTAGCCCAGCTAGGATCGACATTCTTGATGGCCATTGTTCGAACCATCCTTCGGACGGAGAGAATGGCACCAGAGGAGAACGCATTCCGGGACAAGCAGGAATTGCTCTCATCTACACAACAGGAGCTGGATTGTTTTGCATTTCATCTTGGAAATGTTGACTCATTCCATTTGCGCTTGCCACCGGACAGGCCAACAACCCTATCATCGCCTGGATATTTCTCTCAACCGACGATGTCCCTGGCAAAACAATTGATTCATACAAGAGCTCGACTGGCAAAGCTCACGTCTAACTCAAATCAAGGCTTGACTGTTGCTTGGGATGATATGCCTATACGCCAGGTAGCACATAATCTCGCTCGGACGATTGAAATGACCATGGATTTGATTTCCACGAGTTGGGAGATTGATCTAGGAAAGAAATTCACTTTCAACCTTCTTGCCGAATGCAGAAAGACATCATCGCAGTTTACTGACCCTGTGATTGAAGAATACTGTATGGTTTTACTCCGAGGCAGTGATACTCTGCGATGGAAGATTGATGTGAATGAACTGGAGGCCATTTTGGGGCTCTGGGTTTGGTCAATCCAAAAGTCAAACAAAAATCTTCCTGGCTACAAACTTCACCGTCTGGTCGGGCTGGGAAAGGACGACGCCCAGAAAGAAGACACAGACCTTTACTTCCATAAATGGATATTTCGCCAGACAGAGGCCACGATGGTCAACTCCAGGATGATGAACTTCTCGTCTCAACTGTTTGGCTTTGCCTCGAACAAGCATAGCCATGAAACGGACACCCTCGCAGTCAGAGTAGACAGTAACCTGGAGATAATGGCCGCACAGGATCTCTACATACAATTTTTGCGACAAGTATTAGGTCATTTCAAAGAGCTTGGTGGGGAAGCTGAGATAACCCCTGGACCTAACTCCTCATATCTGGCTCAAAACGATCGAATCAACGAATTAGTACAATGCCTTGAAGCCTGCGATCTAGGTACTCGAGAGGAGGCATTGCTGTGCATTGTTCCAACTTTGAATAGTCGAGATCTTCTGCCAGAGGTTTCCGGGGATTCAAACAACGTTCGAAAGCGTACGACTGAGTATATTGCCAACGGAAAGTGGAAAAATGCTTTGGAATTACTGGTCTGGCTTTGTCAAAGATCCGACTCAAGTGAGTTCACGCGGTCTGTTTATGAGCTTGGATATCTTTGTTGCCAGGCAATACTCGAAGGAGACGAGAGTGGTCGTCTTGAGGGATCGAAAAATATGTGCGAGCTGCTAAGATCTGACTTGAGGGCTCGCTTTTTTCTGTCCAAAGGAGCCAAGCGTCCCACTGGCTGGATGAACTCTTCAGCCCATCAAGAGTGGTGGAAATCCTTTTCCAAACAGCTCGGGTGGATTGCATGGCATTCGTGCAGAAATGTGTCAGCCTCAAACTGGATGCAACCACACTTCGAGGCTCTGGGCGGGTCCGAACACTTGTCTCCATCTTATGGAGCTGGTCTACAGGATAGTGACTCCGAAACCAACTTGCACACTTTGCAACAGTGGATTACCTATCCAATGATGGATATAGAGATCGATCGGGAAGTGCCTGGATACGAAGATGAGCTCGCATTTGACTGGGCTATCTCCAACCAACACTATGCCCTTGTGTACTGGTTTTTGGCCAAATGGACAGAGATGAGCAAAGATGTCCCACTTTTGGCTCACGCTGCCTATTTGTTCGCCGCAAAGAACCATTCCGAATGGGCAATCCAAGTTCTCTGCCGACATGGTGCCAATATCGAAGCAGAAAACTATGACCATCACTCAGCCATGATAAAGCTCATCCTTGACCGTGACTTACCAGCAATAAAATTGATGTTGGCAAACGGTGCTTCTCCGAATGGCAAAAGCACAATTAATAAGATCGGTCCCTTAGAAGCAGCCGCACAAGCTGGGTATAGCGATATAGTCCTATTACTGTTGCAAAATTACGGAGCTACCATCGACTCCACACAGAAAGGAAAATACTCGGCTCTATACTGGGCGACGGAAGAACAACATCTCGAGACAGTTGAAATTCTCTTGCAACATGGTGCTGACATCAATACCATCGGCATCGGATCCATGACACCGCTTCATAATGCAGTCTCAAACCAAAATATTGAACTAGTGAGGAAGCTTGTTCAATTCCACCCCAGAATCAATGCTACAAATGATCAAAGTCGTACGCCCTTGATGCTGGCGTCAATGGATTCGTCGACGGAGATAATTCGTTTTCTATTGGAGAATGGCGCTGATACAGAGGTGCAAGATTGGGATGATCGAACAGCTTTAGATTTGGCTAGCAGATCCAATAGCACGGAAGCTATTCGCATTCTGGAGGAAGAGATGCAGAAGCGCGCCATTATTTAACCTGAGATACTTGAATATAGATGTTCTGTTGAAGGTTCTTGTGTCATCTCCACGTTTTTTGAGCCCTTGAAATATCGTACTTACGTTCGTCTTACAGTGTTGTCGATGTCTAAATTCTTGAAGGGTGAGGTTGGCAGATCTCTCTTTTCCTACCTGACCTGAAATAGAGCTGAACTTTATAACCGCGAGACAGCTGGATCTGAAAACAGTCAATTTGCGTCCTTAGCTTATCAAAAATGAAGTATTTCTGTATTCCCATACGCTAGTTACATGGGAGGCCATTTCGGATTTCCGTAATATACAATGCAGTAAAAGTACCGATATGTTTCATTCTGTACAACGGTCTTTGAGTCCTGTTTTCTCTCCAGATAATGTCACTATCCATTCTGCATGTGTCTGAAGAATGCATTGTTTCGCGTATGCTCTCACACCCCGCGATTATCCAACATGTGAGACGTTAATACGAACACGAAGTTAATGCCAAGCATGGCGTGTGTCGAAATCAAATGTCTGCTCTGCTGTACAGACGCCAGGAGAAAATACCGCTATAATTGACATTTGTTCGCGCATCCAATAATCATCGCGAGCCCACCGTGAGTGAGTTGTGCCCCCCCCCCCCCCCCCCGGTTAGTTGCGCAAGTGCAACTTGTAAGCGCCCGGATGGGATAGACGTGCAGTAGTCAATTGTGATTCGGGCACAGCTGATCGACGACCAATATGAAAGACTTTTACTTGACTGATCACTTGGCAAATCACCTCCAAGCCATTTAGCGCTAATAATAGCGAGGGAGCTCTTGGTGCGGAGGAGCTCTGGTTTAAAAGACTATGGCCCGGCGCAACACCCCTTCTCCCTTTGGATTTTCTCATTTCTCACTCTAACTTACGCTCCATATAAGGGTCATCACTTAAGGGTCTATCTATTGATGTAAGAAAACCTGTCGCCAGCGGACTTCAATTGCCACGATCTTGGCTAGCCCTACCCCGCAGTAATTGCGACCAATACCGTGAGTGTTTTCAGTTGTGACTTGATGATTAGGGGTGAAAGTCAGGTTGACCAGAGCAATAGCAGGTTATCTTCAGAAAACAATTACATTTCCATTGGGAACAGTCGATCTCCGCGTCAATCACCATGTCGCAACATAACCAATTTGCGCCTCCGCCCTTGTCGGGTAGGTAGATCTAAACAATCTGCCATTCAGTACTCAGCACTAACTCTTTCTCAATCATTAGCCCCCGCACATGTAACAAGTTAGTGAATCTGTAGCTCCAATCACCTTGTTGATTATCTAATATGCTAATAATCCTAGCATTTCAACAATCGCAGCAACACTCCGGTTATGCCCCTCCAAACTTCAGCTATCCACCACCCCCGAAGCAAGGAACTCCTTCAAATGGAGGATATCCACCACCACCATCGTCTATCAGTCCACCTAGCACAAGCCCACCGATCAACCAAGCAGGAATCTCGCAGGCATATCCTCCCCCCACCCTCAGGTACCCCACCCACCTTCAGTCCACCACCGAGTGACTTCCCTCCTCAAAATGGGCTGGGTCGACTTTCCATTTCCTCTCAGTCACAGCCGACGGGGATGGCAGAAAAGGTCCCGGGGGGCGCACCACCACCAGGCGAGTTCCTGGGAGCCAAAGCAACCTACGAGGACGATGTTGGAACCTTCAACGGAGGTAGTTACAGAATCAGTCACAGAGACTCTAATTCGCTTTTGACGTTACAGCTCGCAATGGGCTGTCCTCTCACTGCGAGACCTGGTAAGACCAGCTCAACAAGCAAACATGAAGGCCTCACGCTGGTTTGTTCCCTCTTTCTGTCATAGAGATGCTCACACCGAACTAGGCGTCATGATTGCAATGTCTACGACTATGACATTGAGAGGATCTATATCGATTGGTTGGAAGAAGATCATTGCTGGTGGTGAGATCTCCATGTCTACCTATACCGGTCCGGGTGAGCTTCTTCTAGCTCCCTCTGTCCTTGGTGATCTCATCGTTCTTCGTATGGACGGGACCCAGACGTGGAAGATTGGAAGAGATGCCTTTGTGGCCTGTACCAGTGGCGTTAAGCATGAGTACAAGGCGCAGAGTCTATCCAAGGCTATCTTCTCCGGCGAAGGACTTTTCATCTACAAGATTGAGGGGACAGGTCTTCTCTGGATGCAAAGTTTCGGAGCAATCATTAAGAAAGATGTATGTACACAGTTCCTCCCTTCAACAGCGCCCTTTGTTGCTAATGTACCTCTGTGTTCAGCTGGTGGAAGGAGAGAAATACTACATCGACAATGGCCACCTCGTTGCATGGAACTGCAAGTACAAGATCGAGCGTGTCGCTTCCGGTGGTATCATCTCCGGCTATGGTACTGGTGAAGGTCTTGCTTGCAAGTTTGAGGGACCTGGCACGGTTTATCTGCAGACCAGGAACTTGAATGCCTTTGCTACCCAGATGAAGATCAGCACTGCCAGCGGCTGATTTTACTGGAAGACTTCTGGCGTGCCTTTCAGATTGGAACCCGGCACTATGACTTTGTTATCAATGCATCAAGCGCAACTACCATTGTATCATCGCGAGCTGGTCTCCATGTTATACCAATTTGCTCAAGTAAGTGGCGGATACAGTCATTTTACCATTTCGTTTTAGGTCAAATTTTTTCTTCTTTTGTACTGCCTCCATATATTAGCTCTTCCATGTATAGTCATGTCTTCAAAACTGAACTGGTCGGTAAAATAGTTTTCTTGAAAGGTGATCATTTTGCAATAGATACAAGGTGTTGAAATATTCATGGTGCTGCTGCCGTAATTGAGATCGTTATTCACATAATATCGAAAATAACATGCGAGGCCAAAAACCCCCCGAGAAAACATATAGTGATATCAGTCCATTTCATTTTAAACCTGTCTATCCTTGAAATCGTTTCCTCATCTCAAACCCTGGCGGCAAAGATACAGTGCCGGGGCTCTGTTCTTTTCCGCCAAAGTACTAGTAAGTGACACGCATAAAGAATAGATAATAACAAATCCTTCCTCCGCGAAATTCCAGAAAGCTCCATGGGTCGTTTAACCCACACGCTTTCTGCGGCCAATCTGGGAACGGAAACCGGCCTTGATGGCGGCGACGGAGCGACGAGATCCACAGGAGTTGCAAGTAACGAAGTAGAGACGGTTCTCACCCTTGCTGAGCTCGGTATCGGGGCTGCGGCAGGTCTTGCAGGTAACATATTCAACTAGAGCAAAGTTAGTACGGGATCGTAGTTATGATTTAGGAACCGGAAACATACCAATGTAACGACGGAGAACGGACTCGATACCCTTCTGTTGGAATCGACCCTTAATGACGAGACGGCGGGAACCGTCGACACTACCGCTTGTACCCAGTTCGGCGAACAGGAACTGCGTGACGTGGTCCTCGGAACGCTTCATACGCTTGCAGATCTCGGCAATGTTGGCAAAGACGGTACGACGGTTTCCTTCACGCAGACACTGGGGAGGAGGAATCTTGTAGGACTTGGAGCCGCTGGACAGGAGATCGGGGTGGTGGCTCTCGATGAGGGAGAAGAAACGAGAGATGAGGAGCGAGTAGGGGATGGCTTGTGTTGCGTCGTGTTGCCAGATACCAGTGCCGGCCTCACGGTCACCCTCGGGAATTTCCTCGGGTTGTTCCTCAGCAGTCTCCTCTGTGACACCGGCCTCGGCGAGCTTGGCCTCGAAGTCATCGGGGTCGACCTTGCTCTTCTTGGTCTTGGAGCTCTTCTTTTTCTTCATGGTGGAGGGGTCAAACTCGCCGTCGGCGGCAGCCTCACCCTCCTCACCTTCGGTGGTCTTGGACTTCTTTGTCTTCTTCTTTTTTGAGAGACCCTTGAACATGTCGGTGACCTCGTCGACTTCCTTGTCTGCATTGTGTATGTTAGTGGGGCGTGAACTCAGGCGACTGGAATCGAGATCCGGGAGTTGGTGCGTACCGGCGGGCTTCTCAGCCGGAGGGGCGTCTGTGACTTGACCGTTGGTATCCATGATGACGGATCCTTCGCTGAATGCGACCGATTTGCGTTGCTTGGTTTCGATTTCCTGGCGGGGGAGCAAGAAGCGGTGTTAGCTCTGTGAAAAATGAAGAGAGACGAGGAAGAGACTGCTCTGGATTTTTCAATTAAAAAATACCAGACTGGATCTCTAGGCGCAAAGGTGTGGGTTCTCTGAACGGTGATGGCCGAGGGGTCGATATTGTGCAGACAAAGAAAATGTGGGAGGGTCGGCAAAAAGACAAGAGTGCGACTTACGGCGTCAGCCATACTTTTGGGCTTCAAAGATTCAAATCGCTCCACCACACACTGTAGAGGAACTTGCGGATTGGATATTCAAATAGCTTGAAGTTCTATAGAGGCAAACTTGTTGAAATTGATACTGAGGCGATGCGTTATCGGGCACGTGACCTTGAGTCAATCGGGTCACGTGCAGCGGAAGTCAACAGTCGATCAAGGCACAGTTGAACGTCTCATTTACACGGCAGTAGGCAGGCCACTGCTTGATCGATCTTTCTCTCCTTCTCGCTTTCGGATCTAACATTTCATTCCGCTCCGATGTCTTCGCCTTCCCCAGCCGGATCGAATCCCTCGTTCTCGATGTCCGCATACATGGTTCCCTCCAGACAGAACTCATACTCCGAGTCGGAGGATGAAATTGCTTCTCTGCCTTCTGAATCTACAACCGACTCCGACCTCGATACCCTATCCGATGACTTCTCCGACGCCGAGGCAGAATGGCAAGAAAGTATTGAGCAACTGGAGCTGCTTTTGAGCATGGTGCTGGTACCGTTCATCGGAAAATACCTAGGGCGACGATGCGCATATTGGAGTATGTGGACTTGAACGACATTACCAGACTTGAAGCAGCTCGTACTGACTGATTGGCTTCTAGGTTGGACGCGATTTATGCAGTGGAAGTACCCTGTCGAGGTGGTAATAAAGAACCCCGGTGCCTTCAGGGCAGCAGGTGTCATCGAGGCAGCCGCCACTCTATGATCTCCATCATACCAATAATTACACCCCCAACCTTTGCATATTGCTTCCTTACTGCCGCATACACGACAACCAGCTTCCAGCGTTCAATTCCCTTCCCCAAATCCGACCCGGCTTATTTTCGTGGACCCTCCACCTTACCAGCAAACAGAACGGCAGGCATGAGAATGCCCTCTGTCCTGCGACAAATGCCGGCTCTCTTACGAGTCTCCTCTCGTTTGACTTGATACGAAAATGAAATCCGGGCCTATAACCAGGATTATTCTGGTGGGATACATAGACGGGCCATGTCCACATCTTGAACAACCCAAGAATCTGGACCTCGTCCATCCGATGATGTGTTTGATCCCCTGTCATCTAAGGCTACTTTATACCCAATCAATCCAACACTCAACGTGATACCTTCACTTCTATATAAGCAAACGTTGCGCGGAATACTCAATCTACCCGCCCCAAGCTAACACAGTAGAATAAATCAGATTTTTACCAGTTCACGTATGGCACAGTCGAGCTTTGACGTCACAGCAAGCCTCGTAAGTGAGCAGAGTAAAGCAACTCCATTTAGCAGGTGGAATGATCTCATACCTGGTGGTGTCTTGTTACCAGAGACCGATATGATGAGAATGGGGATATCAAATCAATTGGATGCCAATACATATATCCTATAGTTCTTGTAAACTTGGTTCTTGCTATGTATGATCCCAGTCACGTTAACCAATATTTATATCTCCAAATCCATGCTCTGTCAATACAACCTGTTATGTCGCCCAAAGTGGGATAGATCTGGGTCCTGATTTCGCTCCAATGTGCGCAAGATCGGGACGTGTAACTGTGACTTGTTGTACTGAGTCAGCCATGGCAGGGTTGTGTTTTGATCAAGTTCTCCATCCCTTGATGAGTTCCTGAGCTGCTCATCCTGGTGACTTGGCCTCAAGATTCTTGTGTCAGCCCTCTCCTGCTTGATGCTTTGAGCAAGGGGTGGTGGATGCTCTGTATCCCCGGCTTGAGTAGTGATAACACCGCTCATTCCTCGCACTGATTCGGGGGTAGTAAATGGATCACCTGTTTCATTGAATCTTGAAGACCCGAAGAGGATAGTTAGGTCGAGGTCATCTAAGACTAGTGCTTGTTCGGTAGCTTTGGGGTGTATGATAGCGTTGTAAGCAGCTTCAAGTGTTTCATAGAATAAGACGTCATCCGAGACGTGGTTCATTTCCTCCATACCAAGAACAGGAGTGATTATGGGCAAATATTGTTGGGAGAACGTGGAGAAGTGCTTGGCCTTTGCTCTAGGCGGACTTTGGCAACCTTCAGCAAAGGCACCCGAGCGGTCGTAGTCTCTGGCTGTCCGCAATGAGGCATCTCCGCGTCGTGTTTTCGGTTGATGAGGGCGGCTTTTATTCTCCCAGAGCAGTGAATCATTATGCATCCCGGAGGATGGTTCAAGTGCGTCGCTCGGAGTGGGGCATGCCTGGAATCTCTCGTTGGTATCTGCACAAACAAACCCCAGTTTGGGCGGTGTAATGTATTTAGGTGATGGTTGTACCGCTTGTTTGACTGTATCCTGATCCCTCGATTTGGGTCGAGAAGACCGGGGTTGCTCTCTGTCGATCCCTGTCGGCCATGTTGCTTTTCGCTCTTCTAAAAATATCCAAAGCTCGGCGATACTCCAATACCTAATGTCTGAAAGATAATCAGAAGTAGTTTCATAGACACCTTGTGAGTTCAAACCACTGTGCAAAGCCTCAAGGAGGCATTGTTGCAGAGTAAACTCAAGGAGTGTATCGTGGGCTTCGCTCTCGAGCCAGATATACGGAGAAGATGAAGATGACTCGTCGAACATCTCACTTGGAGAAGCACAACCAGATGGCCTGGAAGCCAACGAAATCTTGTGAATGGGGGCAATGACAAACGAGGACAGGCGGGTGGGAGACACGTCGCGCTGTTGCCCTAAGCCGTGGCATGACCTTCGCGCGTGCTTCTTTGATACACTCTTTGAAAGCGGATAGGTCGACGCATTTGATTGATTCCGCTTTTCACGCTGCGCACACGGGGTATCCTCGGGAGCAGTCAAAGTTGGCCCCGGGCTGATGTTCTTTCTCCGTGATAAGAAATTCATCTCGGAAAAGGCCAGGTCAGACTCTGCTGGGTTCCTCTTGGACCACTTCCTCGGCACATCCTTCGTAATATCAACCCATGGTCGGTTTGCGAGGTGCCCAGCCGCTGAAGATGTCTTTCCCTTGTTGAAGATGCCCAGACTAGCTTGATTGGGAATCTGTTTTCGCCCGAGTCAGATATCATCAGGCTAGACAGAATGCAGAGGTTCGACATACCGTCAGCCTGTTTCCAGTGACAGTCATTTCTTGAAAACCATCAGTCAACGTGTGCTTTCTGCCACGTCTATTATTAGCCCTGCCTTTGCGGGCTTCTGGTCGAGATCCTGCAGCTGATGACTCTTTGTACTCGTAATGATCATCGTGGGTCTTGTGTCTGGGCTGTCGCTCATAACCATGTCGTGCTCTTTTGTCGCAATCTTTATCTCCGGTAGGGCTTTGAAGATGAGGGGAGTTTTTGGATTGATCGAGATGCCCGATACTCCGTTTTTTGCGAGTCGAGCGACGAATCCCATGCAAGGCGTCGGGTGATTTCAATGATATGAGAGGAATGCTGGTCGTTTCTGCGACACCCGTGCTCTGCTGGTTCTTCTCTGATGCTTTCTAAGTGAGTGCTCCACCATTGGAAAGAGTCACTTACCAGCTGCATTCTGATAGCGACTTTGATCCGGATCTTTCACTACAGAAAGCCACTGATAGATTGGCCCTCGATCATCCTCCATGGAGTGACTGTTTGGCATTAAAACGAGACGTGGGGATTTGGGACATAAAAAGATTGGAAGTATGACTTGGTCGATGGCATAGATGGGGAGCGTCACAGCCAAAGAAAGCGCGACCAACCCATATGCCTCTCCAAGCTCCTATCCTCCCATCTTCATAATCGACCCGCCATCATTCATCATCCATTACTCAGCCATAGTTGAATTTCCACGTGAAAAGCAAGATAATGCCTGAGGCGCCCAACTCGGCCATGACGTTCTACTCTCACGCCCCCAGTACATGTACCCAAGTACTCCACCACAGCTGACAGAGTATCGACTTCCATATGCCGATCGCCAGAGTCGGAAGACTTCCGGCATTTACGGCACAAGCCGCATGTGGGCCCACGGGGCACTGCCCCTCTAAGCGGATGCACACACATCTCCCACGGTGATCATGGTCCAAGCCGACAGGGCTAGGCCCATTGACTGCATGCTGAAGCCCGCATGCTGGCTAGATCATCAGTCTTGTGCAGTGGGGTTTTGAGAAGGAAACATTGCATAAGCATGCATATGGCCAATGATTTACCTGCGAGGTACTGAGACCTGCCAAAATATTATGGTCCACGGAGACCCCGCTCAGCCCCTTGGCGAAGGGGGGCGGCTTATCTCTCAGTTTGTGCGGCCGAGATGCTCAAGATGGACGAGGCTGGAACTGAACATGGAGGCTGTCCATCCAGCCCTACCAAATCAACACTTTGTCTACAAACAAGAGAGTGGAACGAAGAGTAGTGAGAGTGTACACCGTTTTCCCTTAGTGCCCCAGTCCGTCAGGGGACGGAGCCTCGGAGATCCTCTGATTGACTGATTGACTGGACATTTCGAGGACAGCCCCGATAGGACCCGCAAATCAATCAGCTGAAGGTTCAAGCCAGCGGGACTAACAACTTGGGGGGGTTATCTTTGCATCCCCCCACTTTGTCTTCTCTTCCCGTTGGCTGGAGTCGGACTTACTCCCCAAGGTAAAGCTCACAGACAAAGACACAGTAAGCAGCATAATGCGCGGTGCACACTTGCCATTGGTGTCCAGCCCGTGCAAAATTCCCAGAGATGCGGAAGCCCTAACGCAGTGTGATTGTTACACGGAACTGCTGACTCGCCTGACAACCACTAGGATTTCCCTGTCATTTCACAACCCAGACGATTTTTGATTTTTGACCTCGACCTCTTGTGAATCATCTTTGCTTTCACCTTCCATCTTTTGCCCTTGGACTGATACTGTCCAACCGTGGTCTTTGATTAACCTCCATACGAAACCCACCATCATGTCTAAGCTCTTCATCCAGTACGTGGTCTTTGTCTCAGGTACCAGCAGGGGCTTGCCAAAGCAAGTCTAACAATTATTCAGCGGCCTTTCTTGGCACACAAACGACGAAGCCCTGCGAGAAGGATTCCAACAGTTCGGAGAGATCCAAGAGGCTGTGAGTCCGATTTAAGCCGCTCGTCGCCATCAGCTTGACTGACCCCGCTCACAGATCGTTGTGAAAGACCGTGCGACCTTGCGCAGCCGTGGATTCGGGTTTGTTCGATTTGCCAATGAGGCTGATGCAGAGGCCGCAATGAATGCGATGAACAACCAGGAGTATGAATACCATATCATTATGTTTCTTGTTGCCAGCACAGGATTCTGACGATTCGATAGATTCGATGGACGGACTATTCGTGTCGACAAAGCCTTTGACCGGCCCCAACGCCCTGAAGGTGGCTTCCAGGGTCGTGGTGGGTACAATTCGCAACCCCAAACTGGATACCAGGGCGGCGGTGGCTACAATGGTGGCGGGTACAACGGCGGCGGCGGATATAATGGTGGTGGTTATAACCGGGGATACAACAACAACAACTATCCCCCTAGTGGCCCCGCCGGATACGGCGCGGGTGGTCACGGTGGATACGGTACGTTTTGCAGCTGGTTCGATCATTATTACTTTTTTTTGACAAGTTCATTTAGGCGGCGGTCCCAACACTGGATATGGCGGCGGTGGTGGTGAGCAATAATTTCCTCACTGATCGCTGCAGCATCGGGAGTGACTGATTTGTCAAGGATGGCGCAACAACAACACGGAGCAGGCACCTCAAGACGACCATCACGCCCACTAGATAGTCAACTTTCTATTTGACTGGGCTCTTCATTGGCGGTTCCTCATAAAATAAGTCACGAATTACAACGGCTCAAATACGATGCACCTTGGACAGGGAAGAAGGTGTCAACGTTTATTTTATTTTCTTTTTGTTTTCTCGCTCTTAGCATGCAATGGAAGGAAATACGGGATTCTAGCTCGCTTGGGCAACCTTTGTGCATCAACATGTTTACTCTGCGATGTTTATAAGTCCATGATCTTTGCGATCATTTCCTCGTTTCACAGAATGAGCCTAGTATGGTTTCATGTTTGCCCATTCTTTTTTTTCGTGGCGAATTCCTTTCCACGGCAGAGCAGACAGAACATGATTAGCGAGTTCGCCGATATTGAACATAGTTTTAATCTACCTAGCGGGAGTATCCAGGGTAATAGGGGGCCTGCAGGGTCTAGAACAAGCCGTCTATGTGCTTCCTTGGCCTATCCACTCCATCTGCTCCACTTCCAGCAAGAACCAACAATCCATACGACGCTGACCTCATTCAATTGTCCCCCGACCATTGGCCTCACCAGACGCCTCAGATGCCCCCTCCAGCGACTTAGTAACCTCAAGCTCAGCCTCCTTTTCTTCAGCCTCGCCCAGCCCCTCAGCCTCAATTGCCTTGACCCGTTTCACCAAATCAGTGACGTGAACATCAGCAGTACCAAGCCCAAGCCCCTCAAGTGCCTTCTCCAGTAAAAACAAATACTCAGTATTCTTCCCGCTAAGGCCATGTCCGGCACTAATAACCTGCGCCACATCCTGCGGCTCACGTCGGGCAGCCTCACGCAGGAATTGCGGGTTGGATGGCTGACCGATGTACACCATGCAGATAATCGGCGATGAATCTGTCGCGCCTTCCACGTCGATGGTTGGGTGAAATGGCGTGTAGTGCGCGCTATAGCCGTCTATTTCCCGTTCGTCTAGGTAGTCGTGCACTTCTTCTGCGTGCGAGGCTGGGATGTGGTATGCTGCGCCCCAGACTTTGCCTGTTGATGCTGATTCAGATTCTCGGTGTGCAAGCTGTTGAAGAAGTCAGTTTGTTGGTTTTTATATACTGTGGGTGGAATTCTTGGACGGACCGGGTCATCCAATGTCTCCCAGAAAGTCCTCTCAATCACTGTGACTACTCGACCCGGCTGCTCTGGTGTACCGCGGTGGTCGGTACTTTTGGTTGCATTAGTGGATGTTCTTGTGTCCCAGATTCAATGACGGTGAATGTCAAGATGTGAGCATTAACATACCTAGCCTGAATTCCATGAACGCAAGGTCATATCATTAGTCTACCCCAGATAGTTTCAGAGCCCGCGAGTAATCTATGAGTAACCTACCTGCCAAAACCGTCGTACATAACCACTGATATACCCAGGAACACGCTGGTCTGCAAAGTAAGATCAACGTATTAATTCTCCGCTCCAAGCCATCAAACACGAGTGTGCTTTCAATCCAATGAAAAAAAAATATGAGAAAAGGAAAACCGCTGGGTGGCCGCTGAACATACTGAAATGCGGTGGTGGCTTCCAGATCAAGCTCCTATACAATCTGATCAGCACATGTCCAAGACGTCGGTTTAACCGAACTCACCCGTATCCGAATACCCAGAGATCGCCCTTGGGGAAGTGGCTTTTCCATGTCCGTCCATCTGGGTGGACTTGGTGCCCTTGTGCGGTTGCTGCCATGTTCTGATGATATTTTTGCTAATTCTGTTTGAAGAGTTGGTTCACTGAAGTTGCTGTTGTGGGTCTGCCCCGCGTCGGCTGGATTTGATGGTGACAAGTGGTGACTGTTCTGGAAGTTGGGGGTTTGAATGAATGAGTCGACCAAGGAGACTCAGTGGAATAGGTTGTTTAAATACTTAATACTTACCACTGACATTAATTATAGTCGAGGTGAAGTTCGTTGTCGCCAAAGACAGTGGATGATGTTTGCAGTGTTTGTTTCATATTCCGCCATATCGCGACATACTGCCATTTTCCAGCTTGACTTCTTACTAGCTATCAGGATAGTCCATTCTACGGGCTATCGAACGAGGCATTTGAATTTGAGCAAAATAGAGGCGAAGGAAAAGGCGGAAACAGAGGCGGGAAAAGAGAGGTTAAAGTCAGGCGACCAACAAAGAAAGCGGCCCAAGAGTCGTTTCACGACTTTGCCCCATAGAACGTCAGAAGAAACGCTTTGTAGAGAAGAAGAGAAAGAACAAGGTATTGCGATTTCTATAAATTAGACACTTTCAAAACTTGTGTTGACATCTCTTCCTGCCGCACAGTTGCCATATTGAACGAAGTGATTCAGTGAATATCGACGAGGCTTTGTAAAAAGATTGTTTTGCGTTATGTCAATAAATGCTAGCTTTGGATCAATTCCAAGGTTGAAGCACTTAAGTTCAGTGGAGGACTTCAGGTGTAGTGGCATGGAGGGGCTTGCTTTGGGCTTCAACATGCAACGTCAGTCAACGGCAAATGTCTACATCAACAACGCGATGGATCATGCTGGCGCGCGCTCAAAATGCTGGAGATTAGTGATGACGAAGGAGCTGACAGGTCATTCAAACCCTTGAACAATAACATCTACTTGGCCGGTGGGATCGATGTGGTTTCTTTGTACACGTAATTTGAACAACTGTTAAGCCAATATAAATATGAACATCGCTTGGGCTAAAAATGCATAATATCGTGATTTATGATCTAGTTGATGATAAGCGACACACGTGTTTCAGAGCTATTCTTGGCTTTATTGTTTGTATGCAGTATGTCCTTGAGCGTATGTTCACATTGAGAAGATAATATCCTCCGCTGTTCAGAGACACAGTTGTGGAGTCGCTAAGTATTCACAGTGACTGCAAAGCCAAGCGGCTATTCGCTCTCCCCACCTCCACCATACTTCTCTTTAATCGATTTAACGTGGCTCAGGAACTTTTCCCTGGCCACTTCCTTTGGCATTCCTTTCTTTGAATTCCATATATCCCACCGAGCCCTTCCCTATAGTTGGTCGGTAGAGTGGCGTTAGTAAATTGTCTATCACACCATACTATTGCATAGAATTGGAGGCGTGAGGTAGTACCTGGATATCTTGTTCTCTAGGCTGGGGTGTTGTGTTGTCGCCATTTGTTGCCTGTTTGTATAATACTTGGTTCTTTAAAGAACACAGTCATTCGAATTGCTTTTAGCAACAAAGCAATAGGAAGGGAAAATTACCTCCCAAATTTCTTCTTGTCCTAAATTGCCTTCCAGAGACTCGAAAGTCCTATAGGCTTTTAACATTTCCTTGTCCAGGTGCATGACGGCGGTATATATGAAGTTAGGCCGTAAAAGGTGGGTGAAAAAGATTTCGATCTGACTCAAGCCACTTTCCAATCCACTTGGTGTATTGAAATTTGTGGATACACTCAACAAATGAAGCAAATGAGTGATCCAGCACTGACAGCGGGGACACCCATTGAAAACTTTCCTCGTTATGTGCTTATATAATCCAGTCGGCCTCTGACCACAGGAAGGTTGGACCTACAGACATATTTCAATTAGGAAATCACAATCAATATCTGACCAGCATAAAAATGCCACAGATCAGAGCGAAAAGCAAGGTAATTGCTTTTTCGGATTTGCTTTGAGCGAGGGCAGGAAGTTTTTGACACTTGTCTTCTAGGCTGAGGACCTTGCCCGAGTTCGCAACAATCAACGAAACTGTCGCGCGCGCCGAAAAGAGTATGTCCATGACTTGGAACAGAAAGTAAAGTTCTACGAGACTACACAGAACGCTCAAGTGGATGAATTACATAAAAGGATGGAACTCCTCGCCGTCGAAAATCAGCTGCTAAAGTATTTTGTGGAATCCGTAACCTCCACAATGGACCCGACATTTGAACAACCTTTCGCTCCATTGCGGGAGGATCACAGAGCTATGACTGGGTCTGAGCTTGACTTAGATCTGCTGGTCTCCTCGGGGTATCCGATGTCGTCAACTTCAATGCCTGACGTCAGCTCTACTTTTCCGTGCCTGACACTGGACAACAACTCCAATTGTGCGCAGACAATCAGCATCCCAGGTGGCACTAAGCCCATCCATGCTAAAGGAAGTACTCCCCGAGAGGAAAATGCAATTACATCAGATACCTATCTGCCTGAACTGCCCCCACCTGATGACCAATTCTTATACATGTCATCACAACTACCGGAAAATGTGGTCCACGTTTTACAATCACCAAATTTCTCACAGATGGAGTTCATGCCACACAACGTGCTCGCCCAAGACGGGTCCCTGCCATCAAACTCTGGATACGCTGCCATGAACTGTAATCCGGGCTCGTCGAATCTCTTATCAGAGCACACCATCTCTTGTTCGGAGGCCTGCAAGCTCTTGGTTGGCTATATCCGAAAAAAGCCAGATCTCAGAAGCCTTCATTTGAGACTTCGTGCTGGGTATCGAAATAGTCTTGTGCCCGGGGAGGGGTGCAGAGTGGATTACTATCAGTTGCTTGCTGTATTATCTGATACGGCATAGGATCCAGTCGAAATCAGCGACTAATAACCTCTCGTATTCTATCTGTTTGCATATCAATCCCTATGAACACAAACTGGCCGCGACCTTGGACTATCTCACGTATGGCCGGATTTAATGGGATCTTGTGATCCTACGAAGCGCGTCGACGATCCACTTTTACATATGGCACCCTCAGTCAAAAATGACAAGTATGATCGGATCTTCCATTGTAGACCCTTATAAAGGCCATGAATATCTTAATGGAAGACTAGCTAAATAATAGATTATATCTGTGTTGATATAGCCAAACAAATAAGCCAGTCGAAGGGGGCCCTTGCGCGTAGGTACAGATCTTATTGATGCTTCCGTTATCGTAGAAGACTATTACGAAGTGAAGAGGTGCGCTTTCATCAAGTGTTTTGCTCAAGCTAACGCTATTTGGGACTCCTTCAGCTGGCTGTTAATGGAGATGGTTCATGTGCATTGGTTCAGAAGGATGATGGGCTTTCTGTGATGTCCAGTTGAATCAATCGCGTGTGTCTGGCTTAATGGCAAATATTTTGAATGAACCTGCGGTGATTGTGGTCAGCGTCAAACTTACTCTGTTTGCTCTGCGGGAGGGCTCACCAGTCCAGAAATTGAAATCCACATCGGACATCTTCGTCTTCTGAGACGGTCTGGATTTTGTATTGCAGCATGAGCCAGAAGCGGCCGATTCGCTGACCTGTTCGCCTTGCCACATTTCCTTGTAAAGGTTTAGGTCACTGTTTGTGTCTAAAATCAAAGTATCTGTTGGTCAAGAGTCAGTACTAGATCAAATCACGGGAAATAGGGAAAGATCCAGTCATAGTACCTTGAAAACCTGCTTCTTTCAAATACCGTTCATAGTCGCTGACCTGACTTGCACCGGCAATACACCCAACGTACAAAGAAAGATCTGTCTTGATTTCCACAGGCAGTTCTCGCTTCGCCAGAATGTCGCTGATTGCAACCCTGCCTCCCGGCTTCAGCAGGCGAAACATCTCATGGAAAACAAGCTGTTTCTCGGCTTCAGGCACTAGATTTACCACACAATTGCTGATGATGCAATCGACGGTGGATGACGACATTGGGATAGAAGTAATAAAAGCCTCGATAAAGGCTACGTTGGCGGCGCCAACATTTGTCGCGTTTTGACGTGCCAATTCTAGCATGTCCTGAAAGGGTTTCAACAATGAGTAATTATATACTGGTACCAGTAAGTCTACTTACCTTCGTCATGTCAATCCCAATAGCCTTCCCTTCCACTCCAACCTTCTTTGCGGCTAGCAAAACGTCGATGCCTCCGCCACTACCTAAATCAACTACAGTTTCGCCCTATGTATAGAGTATAATATCAGTACCAGGGTACAGGCTGGTCGGTTGTTATGCTCTACCTTTCTTAGGTTTGCTGTTGCTAATGGGTTGCCGCAGCTAACGCCTAGATTTGCGCTGTCTGGGATCGAGCGCAGATCCTCTAGATCATATCCAAATGCGGTTGCAACCTTGCGTTCATAGGCCCTTTGGCTATCAGGGCCGGCGTGCTTTGCAACGCCTCCATAGCGATCCTGCACAGAATGATAGGTATCTTCGGAGTTCATGGCTTCAGTTTCCGCAAGGCGAAGATGGAAAAGTATATGTGACAAAGATAATCGAACAATGTGTTTTTCATTCAAAAAATCAAATTGCTGATCTGAGACGCTGACGTTCAGAGAGATTTACCTCCTATTTATGTATTGGTTGCAATTTAAGAGCCAGGCCATGTCTATTGTATCGCTGAGGTGGAGACATGGCTACTACTTCCCCTGATTGGCTACTGCGTGCTGCCTGGTATGTCACTGTTAACAAAATAGTGTCACTGCCAAGCTGATATGTCACTGCCAAGCCGATCTTCACGTTCGTCCGAGACCCATGCGCAGCAATATAGAAGTCAGCATATGAACTGTATGCAGCGAAACAGTAGCAAGAGTTAAGTACTCAAAGGTATCCCTTTATCCCTCTCCCCCGCTTTCGTGTCTTTATCCGGTATTCTCGGGCTTTATCACACGGTTGTCCATCACTTAGCCTATGTCCCAAATTTATAACGATACATCACTAATACGGCTCCTTTCAGAGGTTGACTGATGCTTTGACCTGCTGTATGGTGCTTTGCACGGAAACTCTTACCCCTTGCCTATGGAGCATGCCATGCAGTTATAAAGTACGTATGAATAGCTCACTTATCTACGCAATGATAGACGAGAGCATTCCCCCTGCTATCTGTTTAATTATACATTTTTTTGTTATTCGGTATGTCAGCCGAGGACGCTTCGATGGCCGGGCTATCCACACCATACAATTTTCAATACCAGAGTAAGCAGAATTATGAACACTTAAATGAAGCGATACACATGATAGTTCCCAGCAAGATGCTGTATCAGGGCTATATATAGACAACGGCATGCGGGAAGGGGTACACCCGTGTCGTACCCGTGTCCGGGGAAGCAATTGGGGTTTCCTTAACGGGAAGCCGGCATAACATTTGTATGAAACATTTCGCCCCGACCGGCTGGCAGCCCCGTGACTGCGACCATTTTGGACTGTGTCCATATGACTCCCCTTCGTCTCCATCATCTTCCTTTTTTCAGCCCATCGTATTCATCATTTTCCTATTTGCTGTGCCTGTTTGCGGCTATACTTATCGCTTATCTCTTATCGCTTATCGCCTGTGCAGTTCACCTGACGCGTTTTGTGTCCTTACGTTGCAGCTCCTTCTGACACTCCTGACACTCCGTTGTGTCCGTCAAGAGCCAAGATGGCTGGCCTATTTCGTCTGCTCAAGATGCAGTACACTCCTCCCACAGATCCTCAGGGCATCTCTTTCGCTGGAAAGACCGTTCTGTTGACGGGTGCCACCTCCGGTCTCGGGTTCGAAGCCGCCGTGAAAATCCTCAATCTCGGAGTCGAGTCTCTGATCATTGGGAGTCGCAGCGTGGAGCGGGGTAGCAAGGCTAAGGCCGAGATTGAGAAGTTGACCAACCGACGCGATGTTATCAAAGTGTGGGAACTCGAATTGAATAACTTCGCCAGTGTTAAGAAGTTCGCCGAGCGTGCCAATACCGAGTTGCAGCGTCTGGATATTGCCTTGCTGAACGCCGGGCTGTGGAACCGCGACTTCAACAAATCTCCCGAAGGCTGGGAGGAGACCTTGCAGGTCAATACACTGTCCACCTCTCTGCTGGCCCTGCTTCTGCTGCCCAAGCTGAAGAGTAGCGCCTATGACGCCAACCCCTCGCATCTAACTGTGGTCTCCAGCCAGCAATTTGTTCGCGTTCAGGCTGAGAGTGTGCGTACCGACGCCCTGCTGTTGGAATACCTGAACAACCCCGAGAATTTCAAGGGACCCAAACAATATGGCATCTCAAAGCTATTGCTCGAGATTGTCATGAAGCGTATTGCCACCTATGTCCGCAATACTGATGGGACCCACCCCATCATCGTCAACACTGTGAGCCCCGGTCTGTGCGCGACAGGCCTGGGTCGCCAGTATGACAAGTGGTACGAACAGTGCATCGTGTGGATTTTGTTCAAGCTGTTCGCTCGGACCACTGAGCAGGGTAGTCGCTCGCTTGTTAGCGCGACCTACCAAGGAGTTGAGTCCCAGGGCAAGTGCTGGCGTAGTGATGGCTATCTCGAGTAAGTCGGACCCACATTTTGGTGGATTGTATGAATGCTAATGATATTTCAGTGAGTCGACTGCCCTGACCTCGTTGGCAGAGGGCGTAGAACTCCAGGAAAAGGCCTGGAAGGAGATCATCGACGTGTTGGGTGAACAGGCGCCCGAGGTGGACCTTGCATTTGGGGGAATCTAAGGCGCTTGGTGGAAATATCAAGCTGCCGAGGCTCAAAAATTGTCGTTTGGGTTTTTCTAAAAGCGTTCTCTTTGTGTGTAGCATCAACAAGCGAAGATACCCCTGTTTGTTTAGTCGCTGGTCTCTGGTGGAGTTACTGTCTTACTTCTTTTGGATCTCGATTTGGACCCTGAATATTAGGCACAGTGATAGTAGTGCAGTAGTGCTAGACGAGAATCTGGATTCTTTCAAAATGAAATGTAACAAAATGCAAGAAATGGGACTTAATATAAAGTAAGATTACGATTTGGCTGAACAGCAAGCTATACGAACACGAAGCCTCATAGCGGGCCCTAAAAGATGGGCGGTTAAATTATTTATAGTGCGGGACAGTAGGGCTGATGAGTTAAGAACAAGGTCAAAGCCACGAGAACAAGAATCAGGTAGGAAGCATATGGCGAGTCTATTAGCCTTCGACACAGCAGTGCAGGACAGCAGTTTTACTTAACCATCCGAGACCGCATTGCAACCTCAACCCCAACATTATCACTTGGCGCGCTAAAAATCGTTCGTAAATTGCCCCACGGAGCTCCGCTTTAACGTCTACCTATTCTCCTGACTCCTTTTCTTTCTTTTCTGTTCGCAGTTTTACTGTTACGCACTTCGTGAGGCTGTCGCGTCCTCCCCCTCCATTGCGTCACCTCAACCATGGCCTACAACAAATCTTACAACCCGGATGCGCTGCCAGCGTAAGTGCCCAATCGCAACATTTCCAGAGCCTCACAATCACTAACAGAGCCCAATATAGGCACGCCGAGCCCGAACAGGTACATCAATCGCCCGAAGGCACCACCCAAAGCGGCTATTAATGAACAACCAGGTCGCCCAGATGATAGGCTCAATGAGCATGGCAAACCAAAGTCAAAGCTCTAGCCAAAGCCTCAGCCAAAAGCCTCTGCCCTCACGCCCACCAGCACAAACAGGCCATAGCGGCATTCCACCTCGAGTCCCAGTCTCCAGCGCACCACCACAACATGCCTACTCAACCCCGCCCCCGCGCGTCGAGTCCGCTCACTCGCACTCCTACAGCGGCCGCCCTTCTCAAGGATCCATCCTACCACCCCTAACACAGAGCCACGCGCAAGCCCAGCACCGCCCACAGCCTCATCCGCTCCACCCCTCCCCACCACCGCAGAACTACGGCTTCGGCCCTCCACCAGTCCAGCCACAGCGCAACAGACCCCCGCCCCAATCTCGCCCGCCGCAATCGCCCGCCCCTCCACCCCTCACAGCACCAAGCAATGACCCGCAACAACTCTACCCACTCTTCCGCGCAGCGAACGTCTCCCACTCCAGCATGCTGACCGAGCAAGAACTCGGCTCAGCATTGGTGAATGGCGACTACACATCCTTCCACCCACGCACGGTCAAGATGATGATTCGCATGTTCGACCGCGATGGCAGCGGGACGATAAATTTCGACGAGTTCGTCTCGCTGTGGCGGTACCTGGCTGCGTGGCGGGAGCTGTTTGACCGATTCGACGAGGACCGCAGTGGGCGCATTTCTTTGACGGAGTTTGAGAATGCGCTTGTTGCGTTTGGGTATCGGCTTAGTCCGAAGTTTGTGGCTGTTATTTTTGGTGTCTTTGAGAGTAAGACTAAGCAGATGGGGGTGCAACCTAAGGATCCTAGTCGAAATGGGATGAGCTTTGATCTTTTTGTTCAGGCCTGTATTAGTCTGAAGCGCATGACGGATGTGTTTAAGCGGTATGATGAGGATCGGGATGGGTATATTACTGTTAGTTTTGAGGAGTTTTTGACTGGTAAGTACTCGGTCTGTTTGGGGTTGTTTGGATGGATGGCTAACCTGGCTTAGAAATTCTTCAATTGCAGGATTAATGCATTCTGGCGCTGTCGGGTTGTTTCTGATTATCATTTGTTGGTCTTTACGCTGTCGATTTTCTCTATTATACCCCTATCCCCCCATGTTGCTTTGGTCATAGAGTCATTTGAAAAATACGTTGGTCATTGCATGTCATCCAGGCGTTACTGAATTACAAAGATCTTCATGCCACTGCGATCAGTCCACTCTAGTTTGATAACAGTATCATTTTCCAGACTAGGATCAACCCACGTGGTTCAGATCGCATATAAATACACAGAGTTGGATACTAAGCCCGCCTTCTAAAGCAAACAGCTATCTATTGAAGCCCTAACAAACATTTTCAAATCAATAACATTACCCATTCTCCACTCATAATAGTCATACACAATAATCACGCTCCGTCATAGCCGTAGTCATCATAAGCATAGCAGAAGACTGATCAGGAATATAAGCCGAAGCCCGATTTTCCCTCCTCATCCTCTCCCGCTCCTGCTCACGTTCTCTAACACGCCTAACATGCTCTTGTCTATCCCACGCATCACGCGTATGAAGTCTGCGACACGTCCTGCAAAAAACCCAATCATCATTCTGTAATCGGACACATAGTTTCGCTACGTGCGCATCAGAAAGGGACGATCGATGACTCGGTCTGATGGTGTGTCTGTTGGAATAATATGGTCTTTTGTAGAGGTCTTTGTGGGTTCGGATTGAGAATAGGAGGTAGATGTATTTCTTGCAGCTTAGCGATAGACATACTTGGTCTACTAAGTCGAGATAGCGACAGATCTGAAAGACTGTTTTATCGGATATGTTAAAGATGGAGGTTTTTGGTTTAGGGCGTTTTTGGAGATGGTATTTTAGGGCTTGGAAGATATTGAGAGTGGTCTTTTGCTTTGGGGGTTCTTGTTGGTGGACTTGGGCTTGGGGTTGCTTGAACATTTTGGTGGCTTAGGGTATATGAGAGTTATCATGGTAGTTTTCATGTCTGGCTTATGCGGTGAGGTTGGAAGGTTTGATGCGGTCATTATGAGGGGTTGTTATGTCTGTTCTACCTATGCCCGCGAACTCGTATAATTTACAAGTCGAGAGGGAGAGGGAGAGAGAATAAAGATACCGGATTCTCCTGATTTAAGAAAGGGAGCTTGTATAGATCTATGTGATCTGAGAAACTAGGGCAATCACTCTCTGATTAAATAACAATAATGTCGCTATATAAACAAAATAATAAAACAGTAGAGCTACAAGGTTATAGAGTGAGTCATTGATGGCCTAGGCAAGACTTTCTATCTGTCTATCAAGACACTGCTGCCTAGTGTCAATAGGAGGTCAGATGCGAGAGATGACGCAGAGATACTCGATTTGGGATAGAGCTGTCCTTTCACTGTTAGCGATTTAAGCTAACAATATCGCCAATGAAAGATGGTCCCGATATAGCTTGGCGTCAATCGCCAGTGGATTCTCTCTATTTAGTCTCGGCTATTTAACCAGTCCACGAAATGTGAGGAATAGAAAAAGCTGAAGAAGGTATTAGCGTCGGAGTCGGTCATTAACGAACAGCCGATGCCGGGCCCACTGGCATCTAATTTTGTTCGGCCTGAGCATCTCCGATTTCTGTTTAAACCCCGAAAATACGCTGTCCGACGTTTGATTTTGCTTTTTCTTTTGCGTTGAAGGAGTATTTATTCTAGTCATGCCCGTTTGACTCATTCACCTATTTGCGACAGCTTTATCTAATTGTCAGTGACGGATCGGGCCTTTCTTTAATCTCCGTTCTCAGGAAATCTTACCTCCCTTTTCATCCTTCATCCATTTCGCATAATGGGCGACCACCATCGCCAGGACGCTTCGAGCGTCGACACAGATTTCGATAAGGCTGCTCTGGAGAAAACGCCCGTCGATGCGCCCGAGCAAGCACCGGCAGAGACACCCTCCCCACCCGATGATGCGAAGAACGCAATGGAGACCGCGACAGGCCCGGCTCTGGACCGCACACCGTCTCAAGCAGCCAAGATGGGCAAAAAGAAGATCGTCGTGGTGATGACAGCGTTATGTGTGAGTATTCTCCGATATGTCGCGCATGAAGGCGACACTATTGAAAAACGCAAAAGCTAATATTGTCGCATTCCAGTTGGTCTTGTTCCTCGCCGCTCTCGATATGGTATGCCGAAATTCTACCCCTTGCTTCGGAGACTTTTCTAACAATCTTGCAGACAATTATCTCCACTGCCCTGCCGGTAATTGCCTCACAATTCAATGCTTCCGAGAGCGGGTACTCATGGATCGCTTCATCTTATCTCTTGGCAAATGCTGCTTGTATTCCACTGTGGGGCAAACTCAGTGACATCTGGGGCAGAAAGAATATCATTTTGCTCGCCAATGTTGCCTTTTTGGTTGGCAGTCTGATCTGCGCCTTGGCCAAGAACATGGCCATGATTGTGGCGGGTCGTGCTGTTCAAGGTGTTGGTGGCGGTGGTATTATTATCCTTGCCAATATCAGTGTCACTGATATGTTCAGCGTGAGGTATGACAAAACCTTGATTCACCTTTTGAATGCGACTAATTTTCCTTCAGAGATCGCCCCATGTACTACGGTCTCTTTGGAGCCACTTGGGCTATTGCAGGTGCACTGGGACCAGTGATTGGTGGTGCCTTTTCTGGTAGTTCTGCGACCTGGAGGTGGTGTTTCTACATCAACCGTATGTGCCATTATTTGCCAATTTAGATGTTATACTAACTTTGTTTCAGTTCCTATCGGTGGAATTTCTCTCGTTATCTTGACTTTCTTCCTTAAAATCGAATCGCCCAAGACCCCGTTGATTGCAGGTCTGCGTACCATTGACTGGGCAGGCACTTTCTTGATCATTGGTGGCACTCTCATGTTCCTCTTCGGGCTGGAATTCGGAGGCGTGAAGTACCCCTGGTCCTCGCCCACTGTCATCTGCCTCATTGTCTTTGGTGTGTTCGTTTGGGCATTGGCAATGTTCAGTGAATGGAAAATCGCCAAGTTCCCCATCATTCCTCCTCGTCTGTTCAACGAGTGGTACAACATCCTCATTCTCCTCGTCTGTTTCTGCCACGGCTTCGTCTTCATTGCCGGTACCTACTATCTGCCGCTCTACTTCCAAACCGTTCTTCTGGCCTCTCCCGTCATGAGTGGTGTCTACGTCTTACCAATGGTTCTATCTCTTGCCCTTACATCCGCGGCCACCGGTGTCACCATGAAGAAGACAGGTCGCTTCCGCGAGTTGATTGTGGGAGGCATGTGCTTCATGCTCCTCGGGTTCGGTCTATTCATCGACCTGAAGCCCTACGCCTCATGGCCCCGTATCATCATCTTCCAGCTAATTGCCGGTCTCGGTATTGGTCCCAACTTCCAAGCCCCTCTCGTCGCCTTCCAGGCCAACATCCGCCCCTCCGACATGGCCACAGCAACTGCCACATTCGGATTCATCCGTCAGCTCTCCACCTCCATCTCCGTTGTCCTTGGAACAGTCATCTACCAAAACATCATGGGTCAACAATCTCACCAACTCGTCGCCGCCGTCGGCCCCGAAACCGCCGCCTCCCTCTCTGCCTCCTTTGCTGGTGCTTCCAAATCCCTCATCGAGAGCCTCACCACATCCCAGCGCCAGGTCGTACTCGGTGCCTACACCCACGCCCTGAGCCGCATGTGGATCTTCTATACTGCCGTCGCTGGCGTCGGCTTTATTCTTTCTCTCTTCATTCGCCCTCGTGAGCTAAGTCGTCAACACACGTTCCAGAAGACTGGCCTCGCCGAGCAAGAGCGGGCCCGTCAAGAACGACTCGACGAAGAGCGCAAGGCTGAATCGAAGCCTGAGATTGAGGCCTAACTTGGCTTCTTTCGTTCGCATATTCTTTACATACTCTACTCCGCGTTGCATCGCACATATTCTTAAAAGTTAATGCATATTTTTATAATCTCGGCTTCTTCTTGTTTTTCATCTTCTGTTTAGAGATGTTATTGCATATGAATGATGATTCAATGGATGCTGAGCATATGTTCATGACATTGGATATAGAAACAATGTTATCTTGCTTTTCATAGGTAGCGCTTAATCACTCACGAAATGAAAATTTGTGTTTATTTTTACCTTATGACGGTCATCCCCTAATATGTGGCTCTATCTGCCGGGTTTTAGACCGCGGCCGCAACTTTTCCGAGTGGGTTGCTGCTGTTCAGACCATCCCTCCAGACGCAACGATGGTGTTTGGCTTCTTATTTCTTCGGTTTCATTAGTCTTCAGGGAGCTTAGCTATCGGACCCCGAGATCTAAGTCCGGGAGCTTCGGGCCGGGGACTGGGCTGCAAGTCCGAGAGTGTGTGGGGCCGCTCGGCGTATGTTTACATTCAGCTATGCGAATACTCAGGAATTGATGGCATTAAATTCGCTGATCGGGCAATTTGATCAAATTTGACAGCCTTGAAAGATTTGATTATTGCGGGCAGGCGTTTGAAAACCGATTAGCCCGCTTTATTTCACAATGTATTATTTCTTAATGTCCGTCGACGGACACGTCGACGTACACTCTAGCAGAGTTAGAACGAGAGTGTCCTCGGTCCACCATTGTCCTCGGAATTTATTTGAAAAATCACCTGCGATCCAATACATTTATTGATAAATAGTGTGAGCAGCGCATGTATGAGAACTCAGGACCAGAATAACAGGACTTTGCATATAGAAGAATGACTACCGTAGAACTTTGGGTCTCGCATGAGTGTATGATCGGCGCTTGATCATATTTGACATATCATTTCCTATTTTTCTTTTCCCACCGAGGATCTATTCGTACTCAAGGCTGTAGTATGGCTATCTGAACAAAGTGCTCGTATTTACTTGATAGGAGCTTCATTAAAATGATATCAGGAGGTCACAGGTGCTTCTCATTTACCAGCACGTAGCGATAACGTGGCCTACCGGCCTCCATATCAACGATAGCTTGATTTGCATCCGACATTGAGCGTTCCTCGATCCACGGCTGAATCTTCTTTTCGGCTGCAAGCTTGAGCATCTCACGAATCTCACCGGGGCTTCCAACAATGGAGCCCGCCAGTTTGATGCCACGGTGGACGAGCGTAGGGATAGGAACTGATAGTGCGCCTCCGTCAGGTACACCAAGCTGGATGAAAGTTCCATTAGGTCTGAGGAGGGCAAAGTAATCCGTAAGAGGCATCTTGATATTCCAGATGAATTAATAAAATTGTACATTTCGGGTGGGATATTGACGTACCTTCGGTCAAGCTGCAGTTGAGATGATCAAATCCAAGGAAGCCGCATGAGACTTGGCCCAGTCCACCTGATCCTCGGTCGAGATAAAAAGATCAGCACCCAGCTTCAGACTGTCTTACTCCTTGCGCATACTCCGAGATATGGCAACCACTTGATCAGCTCCCAAAGCCTTGGCAAACAACAGAGCAAAGTGACCCAATCCTCCTACTCCGATTACACCGACTCTTTTCCCCGGACCGCATCCGTTTTGTCTCAATGGAACAAAAGTCGTTACACCCGCACACAGCATCGGCGCAGCTGCAGCAGAAGATATTCCTATCGGGATCTTGACGACGAAGTGAGAAGGGCAGCGATTATACAAGGCGTATCCACCGTATGACTTCCCCCCGTTCAGAAATACACCATTGTAGGTCCCGATCCAGTGTTTTGTGCAGTACTTTTCCTGGCCCGTATTGCATTCTTCGCGCTCCCCTTCACGAGAAAGGCACGAGTCGCTTTATGCACCGACGCCAACGCGGTCTCCGAGTTTAATATCTCCGACAGCTTTGGATCCAACGCGAACTGCGATGCAGACAATTTCATGGCCAACTATGATCATCAGTTATCTCAGCACCTATTATATGCAACAGAATGGAACGTCACGACTCACCACAACAAGGGTAGTTCGTAGTGCCCTTTGAATGAAAGTGTAGCTGTCAGCATCTCCTACGCTCTCTCCCTCAATTCGACATAAGGCAACCCACTTACCCATCCACTCCGTAAAGTATGCGTATCCGAGCCGCAAATACCGCAATGGGTAATTTGGATATCAACGTCCGTTTCTTCCCATGGTTTCGTTCTAACTCTCCCCAGACCATCTTGCCGTCCGCGGATCTAGGATCCAAACCAAGCCATCCTTCGAACTTGTAGTCAGTCGACATTTTTGTCAGGCCCAAAAAGCTGGAAGGTAGGATTCTGCAGGCCTCATTTTATATTGCGGGTGGAAGGCTGTTTAACTACGTTATATCAGCTTTGTGGAGCTTCATATGCCTCCAGATCCCGAAGAACGGGCTAGAAAATCAGTCAGAACTCCACTGGTCTCGATGCAAGAAATAATACCACAAGCTATTAGTAGGCGATCGTATCCAATTGTGGAATAAACCAATTCCCGGGTTGGTAGCCGAACGACATCTTGGCGGATATCCGGATTTAAGTTGGATATGCCGGAGATCCATAGTTGAAATTCCAAGGCCCACATTGCATTTGTAGATAGATCCCGGACATAAATAATTAACCCGAGTCAGAGGGCTGATGATGAGAGTAGGAATTCAAAGTTAGTGTTTGGAATGGAGGCAGAATGGGAGGGAGACTACCTGGACTTTAAATCCACAAGGAACGCAGAAAGCCATTTTAAAGCCTGCTAACTCTCACATAAAATCCGTAGCCAATATAGTCGGTCAATTTATACTAAGCTCAAAGCATCACTTAATGGGACAACGTATCTCTCCCAGTCATTTAAAGCCGCGATAGACGCTTTTTTCTGCTTGAAAGACTTCAATAGATCAAAGTCCCGAGATTTCCAAACCTGCTCAATAACCGCGCGCGTGCGAGACACACTCGAGACACTATTCTTGGCCATCCGAGCGAGTAACCCTAGAACCAGTCTTCTCCCATCTGTCACAGATCCAGTCTCTGGATCTATCCAGAGCTCAAAGTCAAGGGGATCCAGTTCTACAGCGGCGACGAAGAGAGGCCAGATGACGTGACACGCTGATTCTAGAGCTAGTAATTCAATGACATCTTTCAATATCATCCGGATGTATGTCTTGATCGTGTCTTCTGCTGGGTGCGCGCCATATAATGCGCATTTCAAGTAGACAATACCAGTGAGCCGTTTCAGTTCGGCGATTTTGTGGATAGTCAGATCTTCCTCTTCGCCAGTATGAGACTCTTGTCGAAGTGTATCTAGCTTGTTGCTCAACGCAGCAGCTTGAGTACTGAAAGACATCTGATCCTCATCTGAAACCATAAGTCGTCGAGACCGACTCAGATCCATGACAGCGAATATAATTGAGACAAGGGCCGGACTGCAGCCCATCCAAGGATTTATGGTTGTATCATCTTCGTGCCAATAACTCGGACCAAAAAGGTCTGCCTTTGCGCACGCAGTTCGGCCCATGACATCTTGGAATGCAAAAAAAAGTTCCGTAAACGATGATACTGGGTCTTGCGGTATACATTGACTTTCGGTTTCATTTTTCTCCGTTAATAAACGTTGCTGTCGTCTCCTTAGTCGAATTATATCCTTCGCTCCTTGCAGATGGACAATCCACTGTTTATCACAATCATCAACAATGTCGAAGAGACAGAGGAACAAGACGATGACCAAGATTTCAGGATCTTCTGCAAAAATGGAAGTGGGGTTGAGATTGATTCGTTTTCGGAAATCATTCAGAACTCGGGACTTCAATTGTAGGCTGATGTTGCTGTATTGGGGGTCGTATTGGGACCAATGGCACGCGGCCAGGGCTTGGATTGCTCGTAGGACTGTCGGCGAGGCTGATACACAGTATGGGAGAATGACAGATGCGAAGGGTGATTTTGAATTTGGGCTATGTACTGTTCGTGGGCATACTTGGTTGATGTAATAATCGAATAGGACTCGATTCCCTAGGGAGTCTAGGGATGGGAACAGGGAGAGGGATGATGGGAGGTGCTGCGTCAATGTCTCGTCCATCTCCAAAGACTGTTGAATGTAAGGCAATGGTGATGAGGCTGATAATGGTCTTGGACCACGAGGTCCTTGCTCGCCAATGACCATTTTGGCATTGAAAGCTGGCAAGAGATACGGTTCGGTGTGGTTTTCTTCCTCATCACAAAGCCGTTGGATAAGAGACATATCATTATTAAGAAATGCCCAGGTATCGACCCGTGGGGTCACAAGCCATATAGCCTCCTCCGGGAAAGCTGGACTGGATCCCGTTGGGCTTGGGGTCTGCCGGTTTTCAGATGAGTTTTTACCCCAGCGGCCAGATCTGCCAAAGGCGACCCCACGATAACGGTAATCGGATTCCCATTTCAGCTGGTAGTTGCTGGAGCATTGCAGGTCTTTCTGCCAACATCGAGTGCAGCTTGGCTTTTGCTCGTCGCATTTGACTTTGCTTCGGCGGCAGTTTGTGCAACCATGGTGGGAACGGACCGGTGCCTTGCCGTCTTTCCTTCTTTCTTGTTCCATTGCGTTTTGCGCCTTTCTGGCTTGATCGAATCTCAAGGCTGATTTTCATAAATTGCGTCCTTGATGCTCTGATGTCAACCCTGGAGGGTCCGGCAGGTCGATGCGATGACAGAGTTCAGAGTGGGGAAGTAATTGGCCAATCGGTATATTCAGAGTGGGTCTTGGCTGGCTCTATAGTATCAGGCTGATTCAGGCTGAATACAGTGTACCAAGGTGCTGTGAGACCAGCGATCGGCATTTCAAGGGAACCTGGGGGGTTAGCAGGCTTCTTATTCCCCGCATATTCAATTATAAGATCCCTTAATCCCAATTGTAAAAGTCGACTCTTTTTGCGTTCACATTACCCGACTTCAGAATTGGTATTACGGCCTTTCAGCATCAATCATGGTTTTCAATCTTCGATGGGGCATTCTCGGTCAGTGTCTCTTCCGCTTAGGCTATGCCAATTTATATGGACATACTGACATCTATTTACCGCAGCCACTGGCGGAATCGCAGAGAGCGAGTTCTCGATCAGCATCCGTTGCAGTACGATTTGACTAATTTTGCCAACAGCATTTGTGGAGGACTTGTTGCATGATCCAACTACAAGGGGGGTTACAGACGTCACGCATACTGTATCCGCCGTGGCATCATCTTCATCCAAGTCGTCAGCCGATTTATTCGTGGAGAGGCTTCAGATTCCCCAACCATGCGCGACATACGGATCCTACGCAGAGGCCGTCAATGATGCCAACGTTCAAGCAATCTACGTTGCTACACCACACTCACACCACTTCCAACATGTGATGCTGGCACTAAAAGCCGGTAAGCATGTCCTTTGCGAGAAGGCCTTTACCGTCAACGCAGCTCAGGCCAAAATCCTATGCGAAACTGCACAGAAGAAGGGTCTTTTCCTGATGGAAGCTGTTTGGACTCGTTATTTCCCGCTGAGCATTGAAGTGCGACGTCTTGTGCAAACCGGGGTTATTGGTGAGGTCTTGCGTGTGGTCTCCGATTTGAGTATTGGAGCTGACCCTGAGACTGCCTGGAACGCCGACCATCGCATGGTTAACAAGAACCTCGCTGGCGGCGCGCTGCTTGACCGTTAGTATCATGCCATTTCCTATGAATACCGTGATCATAATGCCTAGTTCGCTTAACATGTTGCAGTGGGTGTTTACGCTCTGACTTGGGTCTTCCAAATCCTTTACCACACTCTGCCCCCATCTCAACGCAAAGCACCATCACAGGTTGTCTCTCACATGTCAAAGTTTGCTGGAACCGGAGCAGACGAAGACACGACTATGATCATCACATTCCCTACCACGACGCCGTCCGCCCTTCCTAATCGGACTTCACACGCTGTAGCAATGACAGCCTTTCGTGTTGCTACGGATCCAGACAACCGCGGCTCTGCTGGCCCCTCCATCCAGATCTACGGGACTACGGGTCACATCCAAATTTTCGGGCCTGCCTATCGCCCGGAGCGATTCCGTTTAGTACCAACTGGTGAATCGGGAGATGCATCAACCGTTCAAGATGTCAGCATGCCTGTTCCTAACGATGCGCGCGGTATGTTCTGGGAGGCTGATGAAGTTGCTCGCTGTTTGCGCGATGGGAAGCTTGAGAGCGAGGGTTTGCCTTGGGATGAGAGTATTGCTATTATGGAAGTCATGGATAAAGTTCGGCAGCAGGGAGATTTGACTTATCCTGCGCGCATTGAGTCAACGGAGTATCCCTTGGCTCTTTGAAGTATCGAGACAGTACAACAATTATATTATATGCATTGCTCTGTTGCAATACTCTTTTTTATTAAGAAACACGTATTCGTGAATCTCAGGCGGCGTAAACTCCAACGTATACGCGACTCTCGTAATAATTGAGACCAAGAGAAGAACATAAATACGGACAATCATGTTCAAAGTGTGTAATCGTAGTATGGATCAACCGCCTTTAGCTAAATTATTTATGCAGGGTCTATAACTCGACGTCATAGATCTTATAAACCCCAATAAAATAAGCAAACAGGAGTTCTCAGCGAGATAATAACGGCGTCGGACAACTGTGCGAGTAAATTCTTTCTCGGCCGAGGCTCCACTTACCGAAACGGGAAATGCGGGCCGAAATACCAATACTTCGAAGAGCCCCGAGTCGTTCGTTCATTTCTGCTCCTTCCCGAGCTACGGGGCTTAGTTGCGGGCTTGATTTAGCCAAGCAAAAAATTAGGTGGGAGTTACTTCCCTTTCAACATCCTGGGAAATCCTACATAACTTACGTATAACAGCGAAGCCGTGACTCAAGTTAAGCTCTCGGGCTTTGATGATCAGGCCCACAGGCTTGTCACCGACGTTGAACCGACTTGGGAAATCTGATTTATCAGCCAAGTGGGCCTTGGCCTCACAGAAGCATTAAAAGGAATGCATCTCCTTCTCTGCTTTTTTCCCTTTGTCGCATGCCCCGTCTCCAGAGACATCTCTGAACAATTATAATTATATCCGAGCGACAGTCTCAGATATCTATACATAACCGGTGAGAATACAACCCGGGAGTATTCAAAATTTCAGTCTAATCTTGAGGTTCCAAAATGCAGTCTTATCTGCAATTCCGACGGTTGGGCAATGCCGTCGACAGACAGCTCAATGACGTCCCCGAACGCGGCTCCGCTCCCCCCGTGAGCGAGACTCCCCGTGAAACAGGAGCTTCAACTCCGTCGGATCAGATAGACGACGATATCACCGAATCTGAATCGCCTCCACTTGCTCAAAAGCCGACACAGTACTCCGAGAAAACTGTTTTTGGCAGATCCCTTGCTGGAGTCGATATAAAGAAACAGCTCGATCCTAAGTCTCATATTTTCATTGTAGGGTGGGAACATGAAAATGATCCACTCAACCCTCGGAATTATAGTACCTGGAGTCGAATTGTTGCCACCTTGCTTGTCACAGCGTTAGCCTTCATTGTTGGGGCTGCATCGGCTATCGAGTCGGGAGTTTTGCCTCAAATCACGGAGTATTATGGCGTTAGTGAAGTTGTTGGATCGCTTGTTACTGGTAAGAACCAATCTCTTCACTACGCACTGATTGATAGCTAAAACTCTATAGGTATCTACTTGCTCGGCTTTGCCACCGGTTCTCTGGTCAGCGGACCCCTGTCTGAGATCCTTGGCCGCAATGCTGTGTACGCCGGTTCTCTTACTCTGTTCATGATCTTCATCATGGGCTCAGCCCTAGCTCCAAACATTGGTGCCCAGCTCGCCTTCCGCTTCCTAGCTGGCATCTTTGGCTGCCCACCATTGACCTGCGCAGGCGGGACCATTGCCGATCTATGGAATCCCCTTGAGAAGACACTTACGTTCCCAATGTACGCCATCCTGTCATTCGGCGGACCAGTCCTGGCTCCCGTGATTGCCTCATATATCGGACAAACAGGCGTTCTTTCCTGGCAATGGACAGCTTGGATCATCCTCATAGCCTCCGGTGCAATCATGGCTCTCATCATTCTATTCCAACCCGAAACCTACTCCCCTTTGCTCCTTAAATGGAAGGGAAAGCAACTACGCAAGGCAACAGGAGACAACCGCTTCCGCTCAGAAATGGACATGGAGAAAGTTCCACTATTCACTCGGATCGGTGGAGCATTGAAACGTCAGTTCCTCATTACGTTCCAGGAACCCATCATCCTCCTGATCTCCCTGTACATGACTGTCCTGTACATTGTGCTATTCACTTTCTTCGATGGCTATGCCTATATCTTCACTGATGTATATGGCATATCACAAGGTTTAACCAACATCACCTGGGTGGCAATGTACATCGGTATCATGCTTGCAGGCGTCCTCGCATTCCCAATCTACCACTGGACAAAGCGTGATTTCGTCGCAGCCGCCAAGGCAAAGAACGGCGCTGACCCAGCGACTGATCCTCACGCTTTGGACAATGTTCACACTCAACCTGAGATCAGACTTTGGTTTGCTATGGTTGGTGCGCCGTTGATTCCTATCAGTTTGTTCTGGATGGGCTGGACCGATTTTGTAAGTTCCTCTATCCCTCAGATATACTTTCAAAACATACTAATTGCGCATTCAGGCCTCCGTTTCAATCTGGTCGCCTATTATCGCATCGTCTTTCTTCGGCTTCGGCGCTATCTGCATTTTCATCAGTTCATACATGTACGTCATCGACGCATACGATATCTACGCTGCTTCCGCTTTGGGTTTCATGACCGTCTCGCGGTATTTTGCGGCTGGCGGTATGACAGTTGTTGGGATTCCATTCTACAAGAATATGGGTGTTCACTACACTCTTACGATTCTTGCGTGTATTAGTGCGATTATGGTTCCGGTACCGTATGTGTTTTATCGGTATGGAACTGTTATTCGAAAGTGGAGTCGGTATGCTGTTGCCGAGGAGGTCACAGCGTGAGCGTTTCTGGGGATATGGTAATTTGTATAGAATGTGTTCGTTGTTACTCGGAGAAAGCTTGGCACGTGCCAAAACGTTGCCTTTCCTGTCTATAGACAGGAAAGGCAACGCCACCCTCAAAGTAATACTAGAAGGAAGGGAGGTAATCAAGAAAGGCGAACATAGGAGGCAGGGCCGGGGTTAAATAGAATAGAAATTGTTTAAAAATTCATAGTAGGAGGGTCTTAGACAATAAATTACCCTATTTAGAGAGAAATGGTTTGAAAGAATAAAGATGAGGCTTCCGTATCGGAAGGTAATGCCAAGCCTTTTAGATTTCTTTGCGTAAACTATAGACCAATAAGGGATAATGCAAACAGTGTAAACTTGCTGGCTGTGGCCGACCCACTCTTTGCTGAGCACCTGAACTCTATACCTAACTACTTATAGGCTCGATATTGAATTAGCAATACAAAATAGAACACCCACATTGTTTCGCGGCGATAAAATGCCTATTCACTCGGTCCTATACGATCACGATGTCAGCAATAGGCATCTTCCCCGAGATACTTTTTGGAAGCTACCTATAATGCTAGATCTGCTTAGCTTCTCAAAGTTGCTCAACGAAGCAGCGAGAAGGTCAAAGCGGAAGCTTGACCCTCTAGACTATACAGAGACACTTCTGTCACTCCTTTATCGCCTTGTAGATGTCTCGCCACGAAGAAAACCCCCTACCAAGCCCGGAGGACTCTACGGGTATGTGACATATCTTGCGATGCTATCTATATGACGACGATGCTACCTAAGTACACTCGCGATGACAATTGGCTTCATGCCCACTCGAATTGCTCAAGTGGGGCCGGCTACAGCAATTTTGACTAGATTTTTAAAAGGCTCTACTTGAGAGTTTTGATTATTTTACACATTCTTGCAACGGTCAACAAGCTAGTTTGGTCATATCTGGTTGTTTATCGGTCCTTCGATTTATCGGAGGGGAACGGCTTGTTTAGATCTCTGAACTTCAGTCCAGCCAAGCTGCATCAACTATATGCTGCGTTCCATTGACCGAAGAGCAAAAGGTCATATTCGTGTGCCTACATTCGCTCAGACGATAGCTGCTTTCTAATATCGTCCACCGCAAATGCATTTGGGGAGAAGAAGAGAAGAGCTTTGCTTGAAAGCCGAATGGTCCTCTCCAAAGGCCCTCAAGGTAGCATCAAGTCATTCCTCTAGACCCCCATATTAGATCTAGACTTGGACTTAGAACTTCTGTTCAGCCAACTATATTTTTGTTTGTGGGGTGGTGACAAAACAAATGGCAGAGATATAACTTGCCTCTTTGGGCTAGTTCTCATGCTTTCGGTCTAGCTTCGAGAATCGACACCTTCCGCTTTGCGGATTGGCACTCATCTCTCTTTCCGCATCTCCCACCAAAAATTCCAGGTCTATGTCTTAGACATGTCATTGGTATTTGATCCCAATTTATCGGCGCACCTTCACAACCAGATCCTTGAACGGGCATGGATTGGAGCCGCACGAGATGCCGATTCAATCCCGTCCAAGACCTGGTGGGAAGAGTCCTCGCCTATCCCTTTCGATCTCGCATCTCAACACGAACAAAGAGTGATGAAGAAGTCGGCATATTGTGAGATTCTTACGTTTTGCTACCTATGAAGACGAATGCTTACGCGCCAACAAGATTCGATCAAGAAACCGAGCTTGCAGCTTTTGTCCCAGACTGGGAAGAGATGATTTGGTCCGATAGGGAACGGTGGCCATGGCGGCCATTACAAAATATTCTGCAAGTCTATCTAGATATGTTGGATGAGGGTAAAATAACAACATATTCGGATCGTCGGAAGGAATCTGAAGATTATTTTTTCGGGGCATTCCCTTGGGAGAGTCACCAACATACTGCAATAGACGTTCAGCGGGCAATTGGTGCCTTCACTCGTCTTCTTGATGCTATCGAGATTCGCCTCCTATCGAATTCGACGCATTCAACACACGACAGTGACCACAAACAGCCAAGCTTCGAAGGTATAGCTCTCCCATACTCGGAATCGGTTATGGAGGCGTCTTTTATAGAAGCGGACTCGTTTGTCAAATCGTTTCTTTCCGCTCTTCCTATCCGCCACCTCAAATTTCGCTATATTGCCCCTGGCATTCGACTCCAAACACCAATCGAATTTATAAATCAACCACTTGCTGACCGCCGCCATAATGTTCTGATTCCAAACTTATATAGTGCCGACCAGGAGAAATCTTCATTCCCTTTACTCTTATTCCGAGGAGAGAGAGAGAACAAGTCACCCTGGACTCGGCCCTGGTTTCCTGACGGGAAGGCAGAGAACATTCCCTGTGGTTTGTATCTTGAACCCACCGACAAAGATTTCAACTGGGAATCTGGCAACCAGAGCCGACTGTTGCTGCCGTTTAGCATCGGCAGGAATGGGTTTGCTCGAAGTAGCAATGGTATTCCATTCAAAATTGCTAGGTGTCCGGGAACCGAGTGGCCTGATCAACTTTACCACGAGGATTTGTTCAGTGGCTACAGTGGCTATTTACCTTGGGACTCCCGCAGCTCGTATCTACACAAAGTTTTGGAAAGTTGGGCTGAACGGGTGGAAATGGGTGATTGGCAGGTGGACGAAGACGGCGTTGTCGGTGGTATTGACAAGTTTAAGGAGGCTGACACTGAAGAGCATTGGAGAGAATATTTTATTCCTTGGTGAGATCGTTTAATAATAGTGGAAGTTCACTTGACCTTTCGGTTAATTTCCGCAATTGGGGAATTATAAGCTAGAGACATAAGGATCTATGTTTGCCAGAAATCTATCAGGCGCGTATATAGCCCATGATTTGTAGGACTGGATAGCTTTAAGACATCTAAAGACATGCCCCGGCATAACAATTTCCGGCACCACGGTAGTCGGCAGTGCTTCCACAGTATCCCGCAGTTGAGCAACAGTCTTCAAACTGAGTCCCAACACAAGTCTTATTCCCCAGAAAAGAGGGACCACATTCACCGTTTAGGCTGAGCCCACCATTGGCACCATCACAGTTTCCTGAGTAGAAATCACCAGGACCACAATAATCTTCTCCGTCTCCGCAATACCCATAGATAGAGCAGCACCTGTAGACATGGGAATTAGCCATCGCATCTTTCTGGGAAGTCAGACGAGTTAGAGATTGATCTACTCACAATCCGAAGCTAGGATTAGTACATGTCAGGCCTCCCCAAGACGGGCCACATGTACCGTTGGTGGTGGCGACAGTCGTTTCGCATGCACCAGATATGCAGTTACCTGGACTGCAGTAATCCGATGCGGTACCGCAGTAACCACTAATGGAACAGCAGCTATTCGCAAGTCAGCATCTCAGAAGCCTCCAAGGTAGTGAGTGATACTGTGTTTACCTGTCATCTCCTGGGCAAACGGAATTTCCGTTCGAAGGACCACACGTACCAGCAACCGGTGCAACACAGATCGAGTTGTCGAGCCAAAGGATGGTGCAATTATCCCACAGCTGCTTCGGTCAATATTTAACGGACTTTTTCAATCGGGATACTCACGAAAATGTTCAGCGATTGCAGAATATTGATCGCTGAAGCAAAGACGCTACGTGAGTGGCAGACCACTGCTAAAACTGCGGCTACGATACAAAACTCATGTTACTGGTCATTTTGCGGAGATCAATGTGAGACTGGATTTCTTTCCTAGGCATACGCCAAGGTGCAGGTGGTTGGCGTCCAGACCAATATGAATTGCCAGGAGGGTGAAGTCAAGACACTTTGTTGCGCTCCTAGGACCAATACCTAGTGTCTCGTTCGTCCATAGAAGGGGCAGTTGAGCCCAGTCGGGCTACTCTGCAGAGGTCAGCTTGGGGTCACGACACAAAAATAGGATGCATATGTTTCGAGATATGCCGATGGAACATGGGGAACTGGGTGCTGAGGCTCTGCGGTATGTGACGTCATTTACAGGCATTCAAAGGCAACAAACATTAAGACGCCCAAGACCGCAGTTCAAGGCTAGCAGATCAAAAAGTGTTTGATACAAATGACAACCATTCTCGATATCCCCGGCAGCAACCCGCCAAATCCCTTCACCGCGCCCATCCAAGCCCTTCTTACTACCAACCTTTCCTTGACACCAACGCCAGCACTACATAAAACAGCTGCCCACCTTGTTGTCTCTATCACTTCCTCTCCGGATCCGGCTCACGCGCTTTGGACACTCTGGGATGCCTTTTTCATGGCCGTCGTCACCTCTTCAACTTCACACGACCCTCACCTAGCCCTCCTCGACGCGCTTCGTGCGCAGCCGGAAACGCAGACTAACAACATACCTTCAAGAATACATGCAGAACGACAACTCCGTAACTACAACAGGGTCAATGGAAATTTACACTGGCAGGTACTGCCGCGCTTTGACGCTCAATGGCGCGACGTCCATGACATCCTTGAGGCCTGGCGCGACTGGGACGGTGTGCGTGACTCAAATGCGAAAGACAACTCCACTTTCAGTAACTTGAGCGACAGCGGCGGCAAGTACTTCCTTCGCTTCTGCAGTTTTCCGGCTGCGCTGCTCAGAGCGACCAGGGGCAAAGGCGAGGTGCATCCTATATGGGTCTTCAATGCATGCCGCAAGGTGTTGGAGAGCCAGTGTCCTCGGTCCGGCAAGGCCAAGGCACACAGAATGACACCGGAGCAGCTTTGGGTGCTGGATGTTCGAGTAACAGCGATCTGGATACGGGATGGGGCCTGGGCATTGTGGGAGGCTGACCACGAGGAGTTACAGCGACACTGGGCAGCGGCGTTAGATGACAAAACTGAACTGTGGCCGAAAGAGGATGGGTTGACCCGGGAGCGGTGGATACTGTGGGGCGGTAGGCTGCGGGTTTTAAGTACAGAAAATGGGATCTTGGATGAGGAGACTAGAGCGGTGGTTACAGAAGCTGTTGAGGTGGTTAGGAACATCGTTGAGGAAACATCGGCCTAAGAGTATGAGCCGTTACTTCTTACAAAAAAGGTCTTTGAGGCACTTGCATGGACTATTCAAACCAAGGTGCTGCTTCATGCATATTATGAACTCCGTTATTCTTGTTTGCTTTTGTAATCTAGGTGACGGTAAAACTGCCGCCTCGGGAAGTGATCAGCTCCCAGAGCACAGGGTGAGTTAGTCACCCCGCCGCCCTGAGCGGCTCACGGAGCGACCATGAGCAGCTCACTGAGCAACCTGATCGCTCACCCCAATGCTCAGGCTGATCGGCCCATGCAATCTCATCTTGTTTCTCCGTTCTTTCAAATGCTCCGACAATAACCGCTCTATTGCGTACTTGTTCCTGGGAGCGAAGGCTAGGAAATGGCGTATTCTCACGTTGCTATAGTAACTTCCTCTCAATCTTTGAAGTCCTAGTTGGTCGACTCAACCAGTCTTTCAACTTGTGCGAGAGATTGAACATCTCATCTTCCCTACAATTTACTATCCAATCTTTCCTTCACAACGCAGGCTCCGTCCGGCCGTCCGTTCAATAATCCTGAATATAAATTCCCTTATTGTCCCGATTCTCTATATTCGGGGCTGACTTAACCCTAGGACTATCGTACACTGCGACAATCGGGCAAAGATTTTCGCGTGCCCTGCTATAGGCCTCGAATATATTCACACGCCGTGCTACGCAAAATAGGGAAATAAATCATCGGTCTTAGTATAACGAGAAGTTCGCGTCATAGTCTATATTATGCTAGTGTTCCTAGGATCACTTCCTTTAGCCGATCCACTATAAGGTTGAACAGCTTTTAATTGGCCACGGCCAAGGGTCGAGAAGTTGCACTAATTAACGTATGTCGTCTTATTTTTATATTTCGTTGACTATAGAGCCAGAAACTATGCCGATCCTCTTATATTACGCTCTATAGTGCAATAGGCACAAGGAGACAATAAGGCCTAGAATATAAATAGTCCTAAGGATACCTTCTTTCTAGATTTCCTTGTATATTCTCTCAAATCTAGTCCCGCTCCAAATATCCTTGCTTTCACTATAGTCACACTAAATTATTAGAATTTCTGGCAGCCGCTAATAACGAACACCCCGCAAAAATGCCCTTCGATTTGTTCCGAAACCCAAACTATCGTTATAACGGAGCAACTCAACACCTTAGGAGGAAGTCGCGAAGGAGGTTATTATAGGCTCGAAAACAATGTGCCACAAGAAGAGCATATAGCAGAGGACGTAGGTAGGTTATATTAATAATAGTTGTTTCAACACCCTTTGATTTAACACGATATCTCTAGCAGCGGAAATTAGCCGGCTTTCCCTATCTATTTCGCCTGATATCTGTTAAAGCGATGCATTAGCCGCCGATAATTACCCCGATTACCCCGAGGAGGTTACGCTTTATCCTTCCTCTCGAGTTAGTAGTACTCCCTCCGTGACTAGCCTAGATAGACCTAGAACAACAAGAGTCTTCGACGTCTTTGAGGATAATCATACTAGGCAATGCGGTAAGCATAATCACAGTTAACTTCCTACAAACGGAAGGGAGCGAGCCTAGGCAGATATTAGCAATTCTTCCCCGAAGCGACACCGGTACCATAAATCAACCGCCATAAACGCAGCCAAGCGACAGGGAAGACGAGGGAGTCAACCAAAAGCCAAAAGTCCGTCATTTAAAAGCGAAGAGCGCGATATAGATAACTATCTCGCTAGGCTTAGGAATACGATCCGATATCTAAAGCGATTTTACAGCCTGGCCACTACTAAGGCCAAGTTCTCCGATAATCTTGCCGATACAGATATTCTCAAAGAAAATCTCGCGGTGCTTCAGCTTGCAACAAAGACGCTACAGCACGCTTACGGTATTATTGCAATAAGTACCATAGCACTAGAGTATCCTATCCGACAAGCTACAACTATACAAGCACGGCAAACTATCACGCGTAGGAAGTGGTCTGTCGAAGATAATAATCGATTAGTGAAGCTAAGAGACTCTCAGAAACTGCTATAGAGTCGTATTCGCGATTTATTCCCTAGGAGGACTCTAGGCGCAGTCAAACAACGTTATATCCGAGAGTCTTCTAAGCAGACCGGAACCCCTCCTAACACAAAAGACCATTCAAACCCCTATAATCAACATATAAAGTGCATATCGAATATCCGAAGAAGCCAGAGGCTAGGCCGACCCCACCAAATTAAGTATACAAGGAGTGGTGCCGAGGGCCATCGAAGATATCCCTCGCGTGCAGCAAAACATTCTAGTGATTTAAACGCACTAGGACTAGATTCCATCGACCCCCGACTTCGAAACCTCGGTAAAACCTAAGTTCGTCTGCTAAATATCCCGATGCCAAACTCGGTAATAAACTTTATGATCTAAGTGGCAAGGTCTTCGGTATTTGTGCAGCCTAGCTAGTCCTATAATATTCTAGGTCGGGAGGTTAGGCATATTGCAGTTGATTTAGGCACTAGAGCCATAGTTAACGAGTAGTTTCTGATTACACTTCCTAACCTATTGATATAGAAATCCGGAGAAAGACCTACGGATACTTGCATTAATAATTTTTCTCTCTAGTACGTGCCGTAACCACTACCAATCTCTATAAATTGCGTACAGTAGAGTTTTTGTTCACGGATGAATTTACAAAGTAAATCAAGAAGTACAAATCCAATCCGCAATAGATAAACTGCATTCCCTAAATAAGAAGACAACTTTTGGTGAGACTATCGTATATCTTGTGGAACAAGCCATATAAAGCGCAATTATATTAAGTAAATCTATGTAGCGTGCCTAATAGGGGAATCGGAAGACCCGAGAGAACCCGGCGTAAAGGACAAGTAGTTATTTGTTCCTAGGAACCCGAGAGTCCCTAGCAGCTTACCAAATCAGATAATAGATACCAATATTGTTTAAGCGACTTCTGTTTCCAATAGGTGTCAATATTCATGTGGTAACCCTTAGAATAGACACTTAAGTCGAGGGTTTAGAGGGTTTCAAGAGGATAGTTTTAATAAAACTAATTTGACGAATTAAGGAGTGGGTTTAATACTACTAGGGCCCTTTTGGACAGGCTTATTCATCGTTCGCTCAATTCCCCCTAGTTTCTGTACGGTATTCCGGGCAGAGTCGGGAGTACGGTGTTGTAACACGCCGAAGCTTATTTAGATAGACCCCGGAGATCGCTCAACCAATCTCTAGACCTTTTTCAATCAATCATCTGATTTTGTTAGATATATTTAGTACTAGCTAGTACACAAATTCCTTGTCCTAATATGATTCTTTACTATACACATTCGTTCAAGGACTCGGTAATAACCGACAATAATAAGTGGCTAGATATACTCCGCCCAATTCAATCGTTACGGTTAACATATATTATTTTGAAACGTACTCGTTATAGTGATACTAGGATAGAAATTTGGTAATATATATACGAGTGGCTATGTAACGCATCTGTGGTTTGTGTAAGAAATAGTTCTTTCATGACAATTTAATACCATATTATTAGTACAATATTAATTATAATACTACGAACCCTTATGCCAACCAATTCTTTATTGCGGGGTCTTATAAAGTGACTGAAATCTATGTATAACTAACTGCTCCTTCTATTAAATACCTTAATACTGCTGATATATTCGGATTAGGAGTATTTATGAACGCGAACGCCTATATATATATGTATCTATCACTAACAATGCTACTACATCGAGTCAGGATTTGCTTGGGAGCTTACACGTCGCTTATAACTTCATGACTCTGCAATCAAAGTATCATATACTAGGCAGGAGCGTGAAGCTAGATTTAGGAATTTATAGTGTTTTTAGAATTGGTACTCACGTCTTCTGTCCCTATATAAGATCCTTATTGCTCCCAAAAGAGTTTGATGCAACGTTGATGTAGGAGAGGATTAGGGGGTTATAAAGGATCTAGAGCAGATGATGGATCCCAAGGCAGTGAAGGAATGCTTAGTTTTACTGACGTATATACGTTCGACCGCAACGTGCTCAAAAGCGGTCGGGAGAGGAAGCCAAAAAAAAAAAAAAAAAAAGAAAAAGAAAAACGTATCACCGATATAACCGCCCTTATTTCCTTATTTTAGAGGCTATTGCCTATAAGCAAGACTATTTACACTATCACAAATAGCGACCGAATGAAATGTGGTCGAGACCTATTAGTGCCTAGCTAGTCTTCTCAATTTTTACAAGGAACGCTCAATGGTACCATAAATGAAGCATTAGCTTAGTGAAGTCCGCCCCTCGATTGTACAGTACTCTCAGAATCCAATAAAAAGACTGCCAATAAGCAATTCCGCGTTAATAAGTCCTACTTCGCCGGCACCGACCTTTTAGCACCTTCAAAAAACGAGTCACGCGAGAAGGGCTTATCAAAAAGTGCAACGCAGAAGGGAGACACTTTTCAAAAAGGCCTTCGAATACTCTACGCAATGCGACGCTAATATTCAGCTTATTGTACGGATAAGGAAGACCGGCTAGATCTTTACTTTGACTTCTAAGTCGGAAGGGTGGCCGCTATCTGTAAGTTAGCTAGTGTGTTAATCTCACTGTTGCTTTCAGTTCATTATTATTGACTACACTGACCGAGAAAGGACTTAAGCTACCCACTACCAATCCGAAAAACGACGGATGAACTTGCGAGGCAATACGAGAAACGCGGTACCTCTGTTGTCAAAACCAACATTCTAAGTTTAGATGACACCGACGAGCAAAGCATCGCAGAAAACAGCAATCTAGTTGTCCCGGCGTCATGATTTCTGATATGTGAGAATTAAGATTGATAATATGTGAAGGCTTATCGTGGGACAAATCAGGTATTAGCAAAATGTGATAGAACATGATCTGAATTTTCCCTAGGCCATATATAGTAACTAGGCCTAATCTATAGTAGACCGCAATCCACTTTGATTTTGATGAAATTACAAAGTTATCTAGCGAAGAGCACATTAGAGCCCTTTAGTCAGTCCCATCAGATAAATGCGTG